CGCACAACTCCCATTCCCAATCAGCCACTCCCTTGTCTCGCCGCTCTTAGGTCGCGGCCTCGAAAGACGCCTCAGCAAGTCCAACACGGAGTACAACAACAAACGCGACTGGTACACGAAACTCCTCGAGGAGCTCTTGCCCACTTCGTTCTCAGACTTCCGCAAAGCGCGCTTGTCATTCCATTTCTCACTCAACACCACCAACATGACCACGATCCTGTCCCAGCAAAACTTGGTCTGGGCATGGGCCAACAACTTCCACACCTCTGGCCTGGCCTGGCCTTCTCTCGCCTCTGAACGAGTCTTGTGAGTTGGTCATTGGGCTTTCCGCGCCCCAACCACCGCACCATTCTGTGACCCTACAGCCAAATCGCATACAAAGCAGAGAATCAGATCAACGATCTGGTTTATTAAAATACCAGAAAGGAGGTCGATCTTTCCGACACTCACCACATGCGAAGCGGAGTTTAATCAGATCATCCAAGCGGCGAAGAAAGCCTTCTGCCTCCTAATCCTCGAAGAACGGGCACCGACGAAGTCACGACGTGTGACCTGTACAGCGACAGCCAACCAGCCATCGCCTCCACGAGACTACCATACGCAGGACCGCGCCAAGCATATCAAGAAGGCACTGTTGTGCACTGACTCAAAGAGGCACTCACAAGGCGTTATGTACACCTACGTCTTAAGCCACCAGACAACCAGGTTGTCATCAACCTCACTTGCCCGTTTGAAAATATAAATTTCAAGCGATATGTTGAGATTTTGAAGGTCAAGGACCTAATCGGCGTTTAGGCGCGGTACGGAGGCTGAAGCGGTGTTCGAATAGCTTCGAACTCCCGATGCACGGCTTTAACCGTAAATTTCGAGCGTCTTTTGGTCCGTCTCGTGTGGGCACTAGCACCTTGGGTGAGCCCCAGAACCAGATACCAACCCCATCCGCGAAGATGGGATCTTGGAAGAACCAGCGCCTCGGTTTTGCCGTCGACTGTAAGGCCCTTCATATCCATCCATACAAGTTTGCCATTGCGATGGGTGCACTGACACTTGTGTTTCCATAGGCCATCTATCTGCGTTGGATTCCACAGTATCTGGTTCTCCTGCCGACTTGATAGTCGAGGAGCATGCTTCGCTGGTCTGGTGGCCCATTTGTCACCATCATCGCTGGTGCTTCTCGCAAATATAGTCAAGGTGCCCTTGCTGCTCGCGGAATACGATGGCGTACAGCGCCACGGCCTTGGATCGGAGCGATGAGGATGCTTCACAGTCCGGTGTTTTGTATAAGATGATAATGCGCCAAGTACTTGCCAGATATATCTCGCTGATGGCATAACTGCGTTTGTAATCGCTCAAAAGTGCGAGTCGCATCGTATAGTCTTCCGCCATGAATCGACGCGAACTACGGCTGCCGCCATCCGTCGCGCAGGCCGGCTTGACCGGGGGCACCACGGGCAGAATCTGGACCGCAGACGGGGTAGCTTGTGACCAGTAGCAGCACTCGGCGATGCCGCGACTCGACAACCAACCCGCCTCCCCAAAACCTTCAACTGATGGCGGCCCATCTGCGCGGGCCGTACAAATCGAAATCCCCCGAGAGAGTCCACCAATCAGGGAGGTGCGAGATACGGGCGTCAAAACAACACATACGCAGGACCGAGAGCTTGAAGCCGAGGCAGAAGTCTTCACCACTAGTCGAATATAGACATTATTGACTAGTCCTCCAATATCCTCTGAGTATCGGCAGCGGGCTGTTGAACCTCTACAGATAGGAGCGCAATATCAAAAAGAGACGGTTGGCGATTTTGTTCCCGGCTGAAACACCGGGGTTAATACGACCAGGGTTCGAGTGGAGAGACGTCTAGAGACTCAGAGGCGGGCTCATGAGACGGCTAGGCCCTCCGCTTTTGACAATATGCCGACGATTTGCCCAACAACAGTGCCGCCACGGTACCAAATCATGTGGCCCAAAACACCTTGTTTCCACATCATCATCCTTTGGCAAGTGATTAATTCTATTGACTGTTGCCAGCATGCCTTTCCAAATGCACCTATGGCTCAAAGAACAACTATCAAAGTGGTACTCATGCACCTAGTCATCATCCAGCACGGCACAGTCTCGGGGATTGACCCGCGCGTGCTATCCGTCCCACTGGTTGGATACACACGCTTACCAAGAGGACATGTTAGTCGAAACCATGGATGCAAAGAGATCTGAAGTGCGCCAGAGACCTCCTTTCCCATGAAGGATCCGACCACAAGCTCCATGGCGCCTTTTCCGACGTACCTTCCTTGAAAGAGGACTGAGGGTTGTCCACGACGTTTTGGTTGGTGCAGTGCAGGGAGGCGAGGCGCCGCTCGTCCTATGTCGTCTGACCAAGCCAGGGGAGTACTAGGCTAGCCTTAGCTTCAGTGTGGGACCAGGTCGGTCGATGTGGCTCTTACATGCTCCCAACAAGTGCATGTCACGTTTGGAGACCTGAGCGCATGGACTCCAGAGGTGACCATGGCAGCTACGACATCCTGGCTAAATACTTAAAGGATGTGTCAGCCAAAGCGTTCCCGGTCCGATTCCAGTCCTTGTTGCGGGTTTCGCGGGACTATCAGCCCATTTGCTTCCATCCGCCAGGTTGTCGTGCGGAAAATGGCACACCCACCTGGGCTGGCTGATGCACAGTCCGCGAAGAGACAGACACCGCTAACCGGGTCCGCTGGATATGTCCATCATGATTTCGATTGACGACCGTAGCCGAAGGGGCCTGTTCCAGAAATCACACGACTCCTGCAGCAGCCAACTCCACAAAGCCAGAGGACCAACCGCTCGCGTGTTCTTGAGCAATGGAACCGACGCCTGATGCTCAGCACAGAAAGTGAGTTCCTTCCTGCTCACCGGTTTTCTCAAACAACCCTTGCTACGATGCACTGCAAGCGCCACAAATAACCCAACTATGAATCAACAACCTCTGTCTCAACAACCTCTGTCTCAAATTCTCACGCCACCGGCGACGCCGTATTTCCGCTTACACCCAATAAACGCGAATGCCCATGCCACGTAAACGACCCTCTAAACCACCAAGACTTCGTGTAGGCGGCTGATGGATGCGGCGCCCCGGGGGTTCGTGTACTTTGCCCGACAGGTTCAGGCCCGATGCTCGTTGAGCCATGAGATGCTGCCGATCGATGCACAGATATCGACGCATTTGGGAAGTAAAGCTCATTGGAGGTCGTCTTCATATCGACATTACCATACACCCGCATGGCCTGTGTGCGCCCGGACGGAGAGTGTTCTACTATTGCAAGCTGAATGAGCCAACGGCGACCAACACTTGGACGCCTCGCAGACCTAATCTCTGACTTGGACCTGCTCGTGCTCAGACCGGAGAACATGACGTTCGGCCGTTCTTATTTGCCAGCATCAAACATGTATATGAGCTATTCTAGCATTCCTATTATCCCATGCTGCTCCGCTCCCACCCCTGTCCGAACAACCTGGGATGACCACAGATAGCTCACCCGACGTAAGCATGGCCGGACACCGCTGGTCGATGATATGGACGTTGCAGAAAGCTGGTGCGTTTCATACCGCGATACCATGCCATTATGCCAGGTTGATGATTACTGCCTGCGACTGAGCCCACATAGCAGCATTAGAGATACAAGCCACTAGGATCCGGGGGCCTGTCCGCCTTGTCATCTGCGAAACAGGCCGATATACAGCACACTGCTCAAGCCATATCAGGTTACTGGCGTCTCCTGCATGAGACCCCAGGAGAAAGGTCCGATTGAGGGTGGGATACTGGCCGATGATCGCGGGCTTGGGAAGCCCCTGCAGGCGCTGAGTTTGATATACACGCGCGCAAGAAAGGCCTCCCCATCAGCTCGACACAAGCCAACCCTAATCGTCGCGCCGACGACCGTGCTTCCGGTCTGGATCAAGGAGTGCCGGGTACGCTTTGGTGACGAACTCAATGAGCTCGTCCCCGAAATCAGGTCACAGTCGCCCCGATCCTCCTACTTTGGGCACATGACAAAACCCGCCCCACGCGGCGGCCACTTGCTGAGCGGCATAGCATAGAGTGTTGCCTGCTTCCATCAATTGTGTCCCACTCTAGACACCAAATCTGCGGTTCTAATAATCCAAGGCTTGCCCATTGCATTGCAGCATTGTAGCGTCGCACAACTCACACCCACAGCGAGCCGCTCCATCTTCGCCAGTCCCCGACTCGAGAGAAAGGAGGCGCCTGCTCTGTGACAAAATCTAAAATAGAAGCGCAGATACAACACCCCCCCGGTGGGCGGTTTTGCCGCAGCGCAGCTCAAAGGTGCAGGCCACATTCTCCCATATGCGATGTCCCGGCTGCGGAAAAAACGCAAGCTAGTCGGAGTATGTGCGATGGTCTCATCTGGAGGGATCGGGTCCAGGAGGCAGCGGATGGCCTTGTATAAACTCTAGATTAATCACCAATCTAGAAGGGGAAACAGCCTAGCTACGATTGTGGGGTGTTGCGAAGACAGTTATTTGGTATTCTTCGGGCATGATAGCTAGAATTATACATATGCAGACACATCCTGACATGGCCTTGTCCTGGTGCACAAGCCAGATATTTAAATTTGCAGATCACTCAAAACAATAATGGTCCTACAGCACGCTAGGTGGTGTACTACAGGCCTAAAATGCGTGTTAAATTATTGCAGGGAGTTTTTACATAGGTGACGTGATCATAAGAACTAGACCAGCCAGTACAAACCTGTCACCCAATATCCTCCGCATGGCAGGCCTGCGAGAAGATACATGGTTGGTCAGAACCGGCCAACAAAGAGTACTGGAACTCATTGCATTCAGCGGAGCTCGAATAGAGACGATAAAGCTGATAACCAGCGCCCTTCTTGACAGTTATGGTACACGGTTTGATTCTTGCAGACCATTGAAGGATACCTAGGCCATCCGTAGATTGAACGCCAGAGAGAGCTAGAGCCAGCCTCATCACACTAACAGGACTGCATCAACAGTACGGGATCGACCCTGCACACCAACCCGGCTCTATGCCCGCGGGACAGCACTTGAAAGACGAAGCTTTCTTGGACCAGTCATGGTTCGGCTGGTTTGGATAATGTCCCCAGCAGACTTGCTCAATCTGCGGCAAGCCCTGAATAGCGTTTGTATGCAGGTTCTTGCAATTGTAATCCCTGGAAAAGGCTTGTTAGTTCATATATCGATAGAGTCCGGCAAGGGAGGGTGGGGTCTGGTGGACAATAACATACTCCCAGATGACACACTGGTAGCCCGGTGGGATCTCCATTGCCTTGAGATTGTCGTTGTATTGCTGGAGGGTACCGCCGGCGAGGTCAACTGTTGGTTGCTAGGTTAGGTGACTAACTTCTTGTGTCTTGCGTGAGGAGTGATCGGCATGATGGACGTACAGCAACTGCCGTCAGCATTCACAGCATATGAACTGCTCACGCCATTCTTGTTGAAAAGTCGAACCGAGATTGCGCTGGCATAGCCAACGAAAAGCAGCTGGGCGACTACTCCTGCACGCATCTTGACTAGGATTTTGGGTCGACGAAACTTGGATGGTTGAATTGGAGGTTGTGCAAGAGAGAGTGAGCAACACTGATAGATGCTTGTATTTATACCCATCTGATATCTTGAATCAGGCAGCCCATTCTGGCCTGGGCAAAGGTTGGTAATTCCTGACCGATCAAGAGCGGCGTCGTCCGTGGTCCAGCGGCCACTGCCGCAGCCCAATCTTCCACCAACCCTTCATCCGCTGAAGATTCAGCTACCGCGACCTTTGATCGATGTTACATCCTGTGGTCGTATGTCGATATGTTTCTTCAGGGTTTAGGACGAGGATGGCTAATTGTTGCTAACTGTTGCGGACAGAGCGCTCGTCCCGATTGGTCGATATTCAGTCTGGCGGCTCCTGCAGCTGAGACGCCCAGCCAGCTGAAAGCCTCAACGGCCGGGATTGGATTATTTGTCTCCCTTGTCCCGCGCCTAAGTATGCAAGGCCTGAAGCAGCGCTTTCCTAAATCGGAAGCAAGAAAACATGCCCCCCTCTCGGGGTCTGTGCTTGCAGATCTCATTGGCGCGGTACTAAACAACCAAACCCCGTGTGTCTTGGTGGATATTTGGTTGTACCCGAGAGAGCTGTTGGTGTAGAATGATCCTGTCTGATGCATTAGAAGTCCTTAGAATGTTAAGATGTCCTATTTCGGGACGCGTTTCGTCGCCCAAATTGTTTGCGCGTCTTGACGACTTGTCCCCGGCTTCCCTCCGGCCGCGGTGTCGTCGTTCCGACCACAATGGGTTTTTGTATGGCCTCTCAATACTACCTGAGCAACCGCCACCTCTTTAATCATATTCTCTATCTCTTACAGTTGCGCTCCATCATACAAATAGCGAGGGGTACGGCTGTCAATCAACCAAAAGACCTAGTCAAGGAAGAACTAAGGACAGACAAGACCAGAATGGGATATAAGTACCTTAACACTGCTGCTGACTTTTTGTTACGTGAATAGTAAAGAATCCTTCGTGCGCGGGCACGAGTCCACCTTGTACGAGTCCACCTTATCTATTGCACCAGGATCACTGGGGACCGGTGATGATGGATTGCCACCATAGCGTTCGAGCAGACCAAGCCGCGGATCGACCCCATCGTCTCTGAGGCAGCTTTTTCATAGACTTCTTTATTCGGAGCTGCACAGTTCGCTGCTGCTTGAGCCGAGAGCATGAGGGGTGATAAAAGGGCGAGAGACTTGAGGAGCTTCAGTTTGGTAGCTGGTACCCAGGGTTGTTTTTGTATGTGTGAGGGATCCTGACGGGAAAGGAAGGTGCACTGTTTGTGTTTTATAGTTTCCTGGAAGAAGCTTCGCCCATGTTAATAATGGCCCTTGGACTAATATCAGCTGTAATAGAACCGCAACCAGGGAGTCCATTCAGCCGCACGGGTTCCATGTACATGAACTTTATCGGCCGCTTCGCTCAGTTTTCGGGTTGCAGTGCCCATGTGTACTTGCCCAGTTAGCATTGGGTTATTATCCCACCCGACTAAAACGTTGAACCATAGCTTGCTCTAGACTGTCCCGATCATAGGGGCAAAGGCAGTAGATGGCCCGTGCAAGATTCATCTCTAAGTACATTCTACTCAGTGCTTTAGGATTATAGAGCTCAAAAGATATCAAGCCCTACATACTCTATTACATCCGTATATCCCCGCCGTATATTAGTACCTTTCTAATCTACCTAGTCTTAATACGTAGATCCACGCACTGTGTTCATTTGTTCGACAATCAGCCAAGCTTCGTATTCACCGAAGGTATCGATAGACAGAGACTATGTCCGGCGTCTCAATTCAGGCCCTTTCTAAATCGAGCAGTCCAGCGGATTATTCCCTCAAGCCCACCAAATGCTCACTTGGCCTCGGCAATATCACACGAAACCCCCTCCGGCAAACCCGCGCTCTTCAGCTCTTCCACCGAGACACCATCAGGAACGACAAACCTACCCCGGAGCAAAGTTAGCAATATAATCCCCTTGCGTACCTATCACACCCATGCGGTCGAATTTAGGCTATACTCACGAGGTCCGATGCGTGGGCGGCATACTCCGCGTGGAGAAGAAGGGCGCCTGCTCGGTCGCGCCTTTTGAGGCGAAGACGTCGCTCGCTCTGTTGATACAGATCGGATTAGCCTAAACGATTTGTCCAGTCTAGGTCTTCGAGAGGAAGGGGGCGGTTGGTAGCGCGGTGGGAGGATACCCACATCTGCTCGATCTGGCTCCCGTGCTGCTGGTAAGCTTCCTGGGAGTCGTATTTGATGATCGCGGTCTGGGATGGGATTCGCTTAAGAGTTATTCTGGCAAGGTGGTAGATGCCTGGGTGAGCTTACGTATTTGGGCATGGTGGTGGTTTCTAGCAGGGAAGGTTGATGAGAAAGTCAGGGTGATATGATTGTGATGCGGGGTTGCGTGGGTTAAATAAGGGGGATTACATCATAGTGGCTCCGAGGCGGGCCAGGCACCATCTTGTCGATCAGGAGAGTGGGACTCAATCTACAAACTACCAGAGGGGAAGAGAACAGAAGGTTGAATGATGTTTGCAAAAAGAGGAAGAGAAAAGCCCATGTCTGCGCTGTCGCTTACAAAATCTCGCTCACTCTAGTCTAAACTAGCATGTTGATAAACGGACGACTGGTGCAATTCGATCTATCAGTCATCGTCACCAGAGTAGTGGGCTTCTTCGTCGGAGCTGCTGTGGTGTTCTTCGTCACTATTATCGGCTGCTCGAGAAGGTTAGCAAGTTATTCCCATACAACAGACAAGATGGAAGAGATAACGGTGGTATTTCTAACCAAGTTCATGACCCAGAATAGCACCTCCCACAGCACCAATCGCCAGACCCGCAGCACCAGCAGCAAGCAGCTTGCCTGTATCGCTGTCCTTCTTCTTCTCCTTCTTCTCCTCGGGGTATTCACCACCGTATCCTCCCTGGTGGTAATCCTGGGGCGGGTACCCAGGCGGCGGGACCGGGGCAGCAGCATAGTAGTCACCACCACTGCGAGACTGCTCACCACCACCGTAGGCGAGCTCAGCAGGAAGAGTCCATTCTGTGCGGCCAGTAGATGTTTCGACGAAGAAGGCGCGCCGAGCGCTGGGCTCCCATTCCTGGATCCAGCCGATGGGGAGGGGAGGTGGGGGGTATTGAGGAGGGCGGGCGGAGGGAGGAGCGCTGGAGTAGGGAGGGCGAGAGTCGTAGGAGGAGCCGCGGTGCTCTTCGTAGGGCGGGCGGTCGTATGGAGAGCCGCGGTGTTCTTCGTGAGGTGGGCGGTCGTAGGATGGGCCGCGGTGCTCGTCGTAGGGAGGGCGTTCGTAGGGGGGCCGCTCGTACGGTGGGCGTTCATATGGAGGGCGTTCGCCGCCGCCGCCGCCGTAGTAGGTGGCTGATTCTCCGTAGTATGACATGTTGGTGGTTGTGACCGAAGGGACAGGGAAGCAGAAAGAGGCGCAAGGAGAGAGGACGCTGAGATGGAGATGGAGATGAAGATGGGAAAAGAATGAGAACGAGGTCAAAAACAGACGGCCGTTTTCTCCTTAAATATCTCTCCTCCCCCAACAACGGAGGGGAAAGACGCAGAATAGAGGGGCATCACTTCTTCACCACGAGATGCCCGCAGCCCACCTGGCACCAGCCCAACTCACCCTGACCCCCCTGACACACAGCCCGGTACTCCATAATCAGTAAACACAATCACCGTGACGGGCCCATCGTCCCCTCCCATCACCAGGCTACTATCGAATTCTCAAACCGGAGATTAATGCTGTCGCGCCGCGCGGGCCCTACAAGGCGACTCAGAGCACAGCCATTCGCTCAGAGGAGACGCAGTGCGACAGCGACATGCAGGCCTGGCGCTAAGAACGGGTGTTTCCACCAGGCCAGGAGCAATATCAATAGTGGGAGTGGCTAGAGCATGCAGATCGAGACATGGAGATGCAGGACAGCTAGGCAGCAGCATTATTTTCTCCACCGACCTCCCCTGAGGCTGTGGCTGGTTTTGGCACTTCTGAAGAACTACATTCATTACGGACACTGGACACTCTCCCCTTGGACTCCTTCTTCGGGAGTATCTCCGTAGTGTCGCATGTACTCCGTACGCAGCGAAAGACGTCTGCAGAGGCCCAGTTGGAGGGCATGACCAGCCCTACGCTAGACTCACATACTAGATCCACAGGGCTTGGCGCCACACGAGGCTAGTAGAGTGGCTGTTCCTTCATAAAGCTGTCCAATCGGGGGACATTGTGCCGTCACTAGCCACATTTCAGTTCCACTGCAAGAACTCCACCGCCACCTATCAGCCACGACTGAATCATGACAACGGCGACGTGTTGCTCCAATGCGCTCATGACTCCCTCCTGTTGCCGATGGTCGACCCCATTTCTGAGGCATTTTCTGTGTCAAGCCACGTGTAGGTTGCCGAGTGGCTGTGACATTGCTTGGAGATGATATCCTGGTTGGGGGAAGAAATTGTTGAGCCACACTTTCCTTCTGTGGCATTGGGTTCCTTCTAGTTGTGGCTGGTTGCATTTCTGGCTCGCTTGGCCGCGCTCAGGCAAGCCAGTCTTGAACTGAGCCACACCTCGGCCCATGAGAAGACAAAAGTGTTTCGCGCCCTTCCGGCGTTGCAAGAGACATGAAAGTCAGGCATCGCGGATTGATTCTCTATCAGTTGCTTCCAAGCTATGTGTAATAGATCTGCACTGGTAGATCTCAGCAGCCTTGGCTATCGTGGGAGGTGAGGTTCAATAGAAGAGGACTGAAAGTCGACTAATCATCGGTTGCATGGGAAGGAATGCTGTGTTTTGTCATGGTGTTGTGGTCGGAGATGGACACCGTAGCTGTTCTGTCCGTGGCCTTGAGGGTTTCATCAGTGGAGGGCTAATTCGCCATGGAAGTACTCAAGGAAACGACCGTGACAACCGGAGCGACGGTTGTTGTCCAAAGGTTGGTGAAATTCGAATGTCCCTGGGCAGAAGATGCTTGGTATCCATCGCTCTTTCCCTGACTATAGCCCAACCCCGCAAATGACCCCCCTCCCCCAGTGGCTATTCAAGTTCTCTTCATGGCCATTCACTTAAGGGGGACTTGCGCCTTAAATCATAGAACGTAATCATCTATTCCTGGGCTTCCTTGCGTTTGAACTTTCACAAGTAGGGATATGGATCTCCGGCAACATAATACCACGATATATATGTAATCATCAACTTTGTCCACCACCGCTGACCAACTGGACCCATTGCAATTTCAACATTTAAATAAACAGAACCTGGCGTATTCCTTCATCTAGGTCCAATCTCCTGTCACAAGTATTACGCAAATGTACTCAATATCGTCCGAAATACCATACCGGGATCTAGATTCTAAGCTCGCACAGAGAACATGATTGCATTAAACCACAAAAGTAGCGCAATAATTCTAGGCTTTAGTAGTGGTCAATTATTCCTACCTCATCTATGAATGCAACACAAGCAAGACATAAACATCTGCCTGCAGGTAAGGGGTAGCCTTACAAGTCCCCAAATTCTGACTCTGCCCACGCATCTTGCAATTGTCCTTGGGGCGATAGTCTAGTGGGATCTGATATCTACTCCGTACAGCTTCGCTTAGTTCAAATTGAATCATTTTGAACAAAAATGAGTCGCGTGGCAATGATTGCGTACAAGGCAACCCGACGAATAAATTCGAGGCAGCGCGAGTGAGGCGGATGCGGAGATAAATTGGACCCGGCCAGATCACCACTCCACTTTCATCTTCTGAATCAACTCCTTGCCTTTCGGAATGTTCGTGGACATGGATGGCACCTTTAATCGATCTCAAAATAGACATACCTGACGTCCAAAGTCCTTTTTCCCGTCACACAGTTGTTATGACGTATCCTGTTCGCTACGCTGAATGGCGTATTCAACGGCGTATTGGGGGAACCTCGGAGTTCGGAGAATCGCCTCCGAAACGATCACGAATTCCCCAGCCAATCAGAAACACCAACCAGACTCAGTGGTGGCTGTGTCGAGATCGATTATTGGTGGCCTTACAAGGTCCAAAGTACGATCGTCATTGCAGACAGGGAGGGCGAGAAGATTCCAGATGCCGGTTGTGAAGGAGGAGTACCTTCATGGATGATGGAGAGCCCCTTGCTGCGAGAATGCTGCTGATGACATTGGAATCCCTTTTCTGACGGGGTGTTATGCAGGAGCATTGCGTTGGGGTGTTGCGTCCACGTCAGTCTGGATGCGCTCATGGCATCATTGGGGAACAGTTGGGAAACACAGATTACCCCGCTAGCAAGGGATTGCGTGGCGGAGATAAGAATGATTCTTTCGTCTTTACTGAAATCTGGATTGTCGCTGTTGGTCTTGGCGTACGTCGGGTACATAAAGCCAAGTCTCGCCCGGGTGGTGCAACCAAGCTTCACTCTCCCACCACACGAAGCTTACTTGCTTCTTCTTTCTATCCATCTCTCGATTTTGTCTGGTTCTCACACTTTCTTCTCGACCTATTGATCGTCGACTGCCACCCTCTGTTCTGAATTTATGCGTAAGTCCCTTTCTCCTGCTATCCAACCCCCTGGTCCCTGAGAGCGAGCCGATCTTGGCAGCTCTGTGCCTGGCTTGGCTCGCGGCTTGTCCTGCTCGCAGACCATCAACCCCAGTCATCACAATCAAAGCTAACCAACAATTTCCATCGCGCAGACCGGATTCGTTCGTGGGCGAAAGCTCACGCGTCTATCAGCGGAAACTCACAACAAGAGGGCTCCTCTGGAACCACAACCCCTTCCCAAGAAGCCGACGAACCCCCTATACGAAATGATCAAGTGAATGATAAACCCGCCGGTGACCCGACCCGCTCGGGCTCACCAAGCGATGGAGAGAAACAACCACAGAAACCGGGACTCCTGCCTCGCATGCAGGCAGGCAGCGTCCGTTTCGTCCGCCACACCAAGACGGCTCTTTGCCACAGCTGGGTCAATGTCCTCTTGGTCTTTGTGCCCATAGGTATCGCCGCCGAGGCTGTTGGTTTGAATCCGGCTATCATCTTTGCGATGAATGCCGTCGCTATCATTCCTCTAGCCGGTATCCTCAGCCACGCTACTGAGTGTGTGGCCAGCAGACTGGGTGATACCATCGGAGCCCTGCTGAACGTCACGTTTGGAAATGCAGTCGAACTGATCATCTTCATTATCGCCCTGGTCAAGGATCAGATTCGCATCGTCCAAGCATCGCTGTTGGGATCGATTCTGGCGAACCTTCTCTTGATTCTGGGAATGGCTTTCCTTCTTGGAGGTCTGCGTTTCCAGGAACAGATCTATAACAGCACCGTGACTCAGATGAGCGCCTGTTTATTGTCGCTCGCGGTTACCTCGCTGCTCCTGCCTACCGCATTTCACGCCTCGTTCAAGGATTCCGCGAAAGCAGATTCAGCGACGCTCAAAGTGTCCCGGGGAACGAGCGTGGTGCTGCTGCTCGTATACGTTTTGTATATCGTCTTCCAGCTCAAGTCGCACTCCTACCTCTATGCCAGCATTCCTCAGCAGGTCATTGACGAGGAATCTCACCCCGGTGTGCTCGCGGATTTCATGAACTCGTCATCCGAGTCGTCGAGCAGTTCGTCTTCCGATGAGTCAGACGACACGACAACCTCGTGGACTACGGCAAAGCGCCTCAAGCGCGCAGTCAAATATAGGCGGCACAGGAAGTTTAGCACTACTTCGCGAGACACGTCATCCCCAGACCTACCACGCAAATCCTCCCTCAATGATGTATCATCTCTGGGGGCCACGCGGAAACCAAGCTCTACTAGTGCCTCCAGCCCTAGTCAACGCGATGATGCCGGCTCCTACATTGTCGACTTTGGCGACGACAACCGCCCAACCGCTGATCCTGTCTCCACCTCCCGCTCAACGATTGAACCACAGGCGAGAGATTTTGGCCAACCGGCAACGAGCATCAAGTTTGATGAGGAAGATCGAGGACACCATACGCGGGAGCGCAAGACCAGGAAGAAGGTTCGCAAGCAACGGGAAAAGGCAGAAAGGACTGAGAAGCTCGTTGTGCCTGCCCCCACGGATCCCCGTGTCTCATCTCTTGCCGCGGATGAAGGTGTAGGGACCGTTGACTCGCCAAAGAAATGGTCTCCTTTCCGCCCGGGCCTGCCGTCTCTGCTGTCCAACACCGTCTTTACCAACCCACCCCCTACTGCCGGTAACTCGCGAGGCGACCCGCTGGGCAATTTCAACGGCCTACGCCGCACCCATTCTCTGCCTTCGCTTTCGCAACCTCCAGCTCACCACCGTCAACCCCCAGTCGGCAACGCCGTGCAATTCGCCCGCGTTGCCGCTCGCATGCCTGACGCTGTCAACCCGGCGGCCCCCCAACCCCAAGAGCACCCGGAACCCGAAATGTCACGCACAGCCGCAATTGTCATGCTCCTCCTCTCGACAGCTCTCGTCGCCGTCTGCGCTGAATTCCTCGTCGATGCGATCCCCGAGATGGTCGAGAGTTCCTCCGTCAGCGAAGCCTTTATCGGCCTTATCATCCTCCCGATTGTTGGCAACGCCGCAGAACACGTAACGGCAGTGACCGTCGCAACCAAGAACAAGATGGATCTCTCGATTGGTGTCTCTGTTGGCAGTAGTATCCAGATTGCTATCTTTGTCACTCCGCTCGTTGTCATTCTGGGCTGGTGTATGGACAAGGATATGAATCTGTACTTTACCCTCTTCGAGACGATCTCGCTCTTCGTCACGGTATTCGTCGTGAACTTCTTAGTTCTGGATGGAAAGTCGAATTACTTGGAAGGAGCGTTGCTTATCGCTGCATATGTGATTATCAGCGTTGCGGCTTTCTTCTACCCCGACGAGGGTGAGTCCAGCGCCCTCGGGGGTGGCTAGATGCGCTCACCCACCGCCCGGGCATTACGCCACAGCCCTAGTTTGTGATGGAATGGAAGGCTTATTTCTGAGATGATGAAGAGTCTTCGGGACAAGCACCGGCGGTCGTAATGGACTTTGCGCGGAAGTATCCCGGATTATGGACTATGGACTATGGAGAAAGTGGACGAGGATGTTAGTGTTTATTTGATAGTTACTAGTTATCAAGGTTTCCTACTTTGTCGCACAACAGAATGGATTTGAATATTTCCTATCACAGCTTGTCATCTCCTGTAAGCTGACGCGACCCTTGGGTAGAATAAAGCCGCAAGGCTGATAATCGCAAAGTCGATAGACCGGAATCTAGCCTCGACTGTAGCCCAACAACCTGCGTGACCTAAAACGTGGAAGGGAGAAACGATATTTCACAGCCTGGCTGGGGCCATGCAAGGAAACCACCTAGTACGTACCTGTACTGCCGTTACATAATTGTATTCCCTTAATCGTGTGCCTCATAGCGCTTAGGCAACCCTTACAGACAACTCGTCGCGCAGAGTTTCTTTGAAGTTCGTTACAACGCTTGCGAATCCCAAGGGCTGGCGGTTGATTCTTTAGCCGGTGAGACCGTGAGCGTTATCTGATGGGCGAATAAAGGTTTTACGATGGACCGGGGTCTTATTGTAGTGCTAGCGAGGTGACAAGAGTAGTAATACTGAAGCTCTGTAGTGCGTTGGAGACTTGGGTACATTTCACAGAATATCATTCGGGGCCAGGTATATAGAGTCGTGATGATGTCAAACTCGCTGGATACCTAAAGAGAGGGAAAAAAGGATATGGCACAAGAGTTCCAACTGAATGCTAGTGATGTAGGATTCAGTCACACGGAGAGCATTCAAGTATATCAGGCAAGCTCAATGCCTGGGGAAATGGCCGGGTATAGAGGCTGTTGAGTATGGCTTTGCAAGACCCGAGGCGGCATCCCGAGCGTCCCAATCCGGACCGATGTCGCCACCAAATTCTCACGACGACAAAAGCACGGAGCACACGGGGGTTAGTTATAGCCCACTTCTTCCTGGCGAGCTGTATATTTTTTATTTATTTTGCTCCTTGGGTCTGAATCAACTTGTCGACTCCTGTCCGCCTGTAACCGGATCATGTCTCCAGAACATGGAGGCCTGACCTCAGCGCTACCTAGGTACTCCTTGGAAGAACCAAAACACCCCAGAACCACTATCTAACCCTCTACCAGCCTCCCGACCCTCCGAAAACTCCTCCCGCAAAACCTCACACGGCGCACACTCCTCTTGATGCTCAAAGGCGCCCTGCCACCAACAATCGTCATCGCCATCTACCAAACCGACGCAATCTCCGACATCACACTCACAGTCGGCTACCTCTCAGCCCTAATCTCCGTCCTGTCGCAGGCCCTCACACCGCGCGCAAAATTCCTCAAAATCTTCCTCTTCGACTTCCTCGCAACCTGCGTCTCGGCATCGCTATGCTGCCTGGCTGTTTTTTGTGCGGTTCGGGCGCGGGAACATACCGCGCACTCACGCCCGGATTCTGCGTCCTCGAACAGTACTAGTGGTGATGGGGGGGACTACAACTCCTCCGCCTGCGCCGTGTCGGGCATCTGGCTCATCGTGCTAATCTGGGTCGCAAACGGGATCCGCGCGTGGAGGCCGGCTGAGCTCCAGGATCCCATGGTTGCATTCTCGGTCTTTGCGTGCGTGACTGTGACGCGGGCGGGGATGTTCATGTCTCTAAGTGAAGGGCTGGGGTTCGTGAGTCGACTGCTCAAGGGGTTCCTCATTGGGTTTGCGGTTGCCGGGGGCGTTTCGGTGTTCATATATCCGGTTACGAGTCGCGGGGATGTGGGGAGGGATGTGGTAAAGTATGTCACGGGCATTGAGGGGGTGCTGAGGGCTGAGGGGGAGTTTGTGGATGGGGTTGAGTGGGAGCAGGGGATTCCTGGGGGGAGGGGGACTGTGCGAAGTGTGCGAGAAGGAGCAGAGAATCCCAATTTGGGTGCCAAGTTGATGAGGGTAAACAAGCTCCAGTCCGCCATAACGAGTCTGAATGCTCTACACGGAAAGCTCCAGTCGGACCTTTCCTACTCCAAGGATGAGATTGCTTGGGGGAAGCTCTCGGCTAGCGACCTTGATCGCATCGGCGGCCTCTTGCGCAACCTTCTTTTGCCGCTTTCAGGAATGGCGATGCTTCCTGATATTTTGGACTTCATTGTTGAAGATGAAGACGGGTTAAGTGAGATGGGCGAGGGGCCACAGGAGCCGGTGGAGACCCACCAAGTGGCTCGCTTGATGAGGAGTAAGCTTCTGGAATGTGAGGAGCTGGTGAATGGTGGGCTGCAGCATGCCCTTCTGCAGTTGGAGATGGTGAACCCGAAGAGCCTGGAACGACGGCACAAACAAGGTGACGATGAGGCCACAGTGCCGAGTCTGGATCCTGCTTGCGCTGACTTTGCTTTGTTGTTTCACCAGAGGTTGGAGGGGTATAAAAGTTCCCAGTCGAAGGACCTCCCAGTGGCCCTCTCTGAGTGTGAGAAGACGAGTGATGCAGCTTTAGAGCAGCAAAGAGTCCCAGCCAACGCCGATATCAGGCAGGAGCTCTTTCTCATTCTCTACATGTCGCAGCTGCAAGAGAGTCTACTGACGGCAACAGCAGACTTCATGCGCTTTGCCCACAGCAAGATCGCCGACGGCACAATGAAACGAAACAGGCTCATATACCCCAAAATATCACTCCATAAGTGGCTCTCAATCTCAAGGAAACCAGACGATAAGGACCAGACCCCCTATACACAGAACAATGCACACGAAGAATATCCAGACCCCGAACACCTCCCTCCCAGGAACCCCTGGGAGAAAGCAAGCACAATCCTCCGGTACATCTCCCACCTGATCAGATCCGAAGAAAGCATCTTCGGATTCAGAGTCGCTGCCGCTTCATTCTGCGTCGGAATCCTCGCATACCTCCACCAGACACAAGACTTCTTCATCCGCCAGAGGTGCATTTGGGCAATGATTGTGATTGTCATCGGCATGAGTCCGACGAGCGGACAGACATTGTTGGGGTTTGTGACGAGGATCGCTGCGACGGTTGTTTCGCTTGCTCTTAGTCTGATGGTTTGGTATATTCCTGACCAGAAGACGGCGGGGGTCCTTGTGCTTTTGTACCTGGCAAATGTGTTTGAGGTAAGCCGATCACAGAGTGTAAAGAGCGTGCGTATTGACGTGCATAGTACTATTTCTACATCACACAACCGCAGCTCTTCGGACCCTCGGTGATTGCAATTGTCACGTTGAATGTTATCGTCGGATACGAGCTACAGGTACCTCGCCATATTCCCATATTCTCCCATGCTATCCATACCAGCCCAACTAACCCCGCAGATCCGCAAACTTGGCCTCGAAGTCGGCACCTCAAATGGCCAGCCCTACTACCCAATCTACCTCTTCGGCCCCTACAAGCTCGCCGCCGTAGCAGCCGGCTGCGCAATCTCCTTCTTCTGGGTAATCTTCCCGTACCCCGTTTCCTCAAAGAGCACGCTCCGCAAAAGCATCGGGCGCAGCCTGTTCGTCCTCGCGAGGTTTTACAGTTGCATGCATACAACGATCGAACTCTGGATGAGGGGGGAGTTGGGAGATGGTGAGGATGCGACTTCTGCTTTGAGGAGGCTGGAGAAGATGCGGCATGGGATGTTTAGGGAGCAGATGATTCTTCTGAATACGCTGCGCACGCTGAGTCATTTTAGTGCCTTTGAGCCACCGGTTGGTGGACGGTTTCCGAGGGAGACGTATGATGGGATTATTGGTGAGGTTCAGAGGATGCTTGTTTGTATGGCTTTGATGGCGAGGACGGCGCAGGGGCTTGAGGCACCCACTTCGCCTCCAACACCAACACCGACGGCAACATCACCGACGAAGAGAAACCCCAACGCAACCAACGAATCAGAACTAGTGCGACAGCCAGAAACCCCGTGGTCCACCCGCCTCGCAACCATCGCCCTCGAATCCACCACCTTCAAATCCCACTCTATAACCTCCCTTCTTTGCCATCTCAGCTCCGCAATCAGAAACGCGCAGCCACTACCGCCCTTCCTGTCTGCGGGCGGCTCGTTCCCACTAGCGAGACGGCTACGAGAGGTTGATGGCGGACTCTTGAGTCTTCGACACGTCGAGGACCCGGCCTTCTCGGCGTTTGTGGCGATGGAGGTGCTTAGGTCTGTTGCTGGGCACGGGCTAGCGGGGTTGTTGAGGTATACTATTCCCCGCTGTTTGCTTAGATTCGGGCTGGCTCTTTGCGTTGTTTAAATGGCATGAATGTCCTTGTTTGCTAATTCCTTTGGTGCCTTGTAGGAATGTGAGGGAGTTGGTTGGGGAGATTTCGTTTGATTTCCAGATGCGACCTGCGACGGATGAGGCGGAGAGAAGAAGGTTGATGGAGGAGAGCGAGGATGGGTAGACTGGGTGGTGCCATTTTATGGTTTACGTAGAAACTAGGCAATAGGTGCTTTGGTGCTGATATCATAGTCTTACTAAATGGAAAAAACTCATTATCCAACTAATAGATGGAACGTTGGAGGAACTTACGATACATTATTAGCCAGAGGAACTTTGTGGTGCAGCTCCCTTCTAGAAGGCTGGCTAACAATCAGCCCCAGATAGTGAAGAAGTCGTTATAGACTGCTATGGAGGTGTTGCCTTCAAATAAGGATGTCATCTAGATACGATCACGGAAGTGTCTATCCACCTAGTGCTACCACACTCTCCCATACTTCGCGGCATCCACAATTGCCTGGACATCTGTCCTTGAGCCAAGACATTTGCCCATGTTTATGGAGCTCACAAAAGGGCCGTTGGGGTTCGACAAGGATGAATAACCCATTGTAGGGTCTAGAAGTAATTGGACGTAGTTGGACAACCAAATCAAGACTAGATCCATACATACAAATATGTCTGCTGGCAAGCGACAGTAGTTACAAAATGACTGCGGAATCCCCAGTCACACGTACAAGGGCCCCCAATCCATGTTTCAAAGACCTAACTATCTCCCACCAAGCCGCCCTTCACATCCCTCTTCGCAATGGGTCCTCGTAGGTAGGTCCCGCTTTAGTTAGCTGGTCTTCCCATCGAACAAAGATGATATGGAACATTCTTCTACGCATCAAACGACCTGTGAGACCTATAGTTCACAGTAAGATGACACTCATCGTCGTTATTCGTGCTAAAGCTCCCCTTGTGGTGACCCAAATAGCCTCCGCCGTATCCCGCAGGAGCTGCCCGCCAATCGTCTGGTCTCCGCTGTCTTTGGTCGTGCAGATTAGGCAGCAGATGCCGACGGGGAACTGGCCTGGTCGACGTGGATATTGCGGATCGCGGCCTGGCAGTCGGTGATACTAGGTGAGTAGGTTGAGCCCTCGCAGCTTTAGTGTACTTATTACATGCGAAATGCATATGTGGATTGTACCTAGCTTGGCGGTCGAGAAGAGTATGTATAGGGTGTCTGACCCTGAGGCATGTAGGGCAATGTCCACAGTTTGGCTGGTGGGGATGAAGAAGAGCAGAACCAAGAGATCAAGAGAAGAGTAGCAGCACTAGTAGCAGATGTTAAGTTGCAAGTCAGTCACCCAGAACCAGCTCGCTTCTCACAGGCAGACCGATGGATGGGTCTACTAACTCGCCTCCTACTACGTGGGCGCGGTGTAATCAGGCACCACGTTTCAGCTGCTCCCTCCGCCGCCGCCGCACCTCCATCTCTCCCCTCTCAGCCCCAGACATTTCCTCAAACATCCGCTTCGCAATGCGCAGCTTGCGCAGGTTCCCATCCTGCAACAGCCGGTGATTTAACCAAAAATTCGGCACGGGAATGTTGTCATCCTCCGGGTCGGGGGGCGGTAGACCCTCTGGGAGACACTCGGCATCGCAGCGTTGATCGAGCCGGCGAAGCTGCTCCTCACTCCAGCCCTCGACGTGGCGCAGGATCATGTGGATATGGCTCTGCCGCCAGGGGACCTTGGCAATGTAGACGTCACACTGCTGGGGGCCCCAGCCCTGTGTGCGCAGGCAGATGTAGACTCGTTGTTGGTGCTGGGGGAGCGAGGAAGGGTCGATTGGTGGAGGGGATGGAGACGGAGGAGCGGTGCGGCCGCGCGGTCGCGGAGGGGAGTCATCAAGCGATGGGTTGATCGGTAATTGAGTGCCCGTCGACGGGGTGTTCTGAGTCATGTTGGACTGTCGGGTTGATAGAGGCAGTAGTGTTGGGGAAGAGGGCGAGAGGGAGGGGAAGCTGGAAGGGGAAGCGACTGCCTTATGTACCTCGACCTAGACAGAACCAGGCACCAAGAATCAATGACTGCCTATTGGTTGAGTTGGCTTTTACAGAGATACGGAGACTGCAAAGCTACGACTAAATTATGGAATGGTCTGCCAGCCCTTTTCGCCCACCTCCCGCCGTGCAAGGAGCGAGCCAGGGTTCTGCGGCAGCAGTCTGACTGGCAAAGTTGCGAACCAGTCTTCTGGGACAAACTATTCAGTCGAGTGGCTCTGGATGTGGATTGGGAGCAAGGATTGATGCCGATAGCCAACATGGAGAGGTGACTCTCAATGTTGATTTGCTCAAGCTGAGCCCTCGAAGGAGCACTAATGCCACCATCAATGATTAAACAGCAGGGAGGGTTTTGATCAGCCGAGCCGGCGGCTCTTATAGGTTCCTGCCATGGACGATCATTGCTTAAAGTGCGTATCTTGGCTAGCCTCCTACCCTGGCTTGGGGGCGACTATGAGGGTCCTCGATCAGGCGGGCATGCCCCAGGTATCTAGTGCCACGGATTGTCGACAGACAGGGTCCTTTTCTAAAATTCCTAGATTAGCACAGCGATGGCGTTAGGTTTTCTCCAAGTTGTACATGGAGGATGTGGAAAATGATATAGCCTCTAAGCTGCTTAGCGGCCACAACACTATAAGGACGCCCCTCTGAACAAAAGTACGCTCTACAATAGGATACGATTGCGCAGTTCTTCAATACCTCTGGGCATATGTCCTGGAAATTCCCGCAGAGACCCGCTGATACTCTGTATAACCGATGGCATCTCGCTCTCCACTTCCTATCGCAAAGCTACCACAGGTGGAGGGAGACACCTGCCCTAGAGTCCGCCTTGCGCTTGTAACAGGATACAACTATTCCGGGTGGTGAAGGATAATGCAGCAGCAGCACAAGCAGCAGGGATGGGCCACCGACCTCAAAACGATGACCAAGTCTACGAGACACACACGGAAAGGGAGCAAGCGGCACTCCATTCGCGCGCCGGAGTTTTCAAGCACCAAAGCACACCGAAAAGTTATAATAATGTTGTCTGCGGAATATTCGATGATCTCAGATTTATCTCCTAATCTCTTCACAGCATCAAGAAACATTAATATTATAAGCCTTGAATATTACTTGAATGATCGACCCAGCACCCATAAGCCAACGCCCTGATAAAATTATTATCTTAACTATTAACAGCTTATGCAACCTAGTTGTACTTTAGCACGTTCTATATCTACCCAGGAAGCTGTCTCGGCCTATTGCACAAGCCAATCGAGCGAGGCGTTGTGCTCAATCCGTGACCTTTTAGTTAGCCTTGGAAGCTCGGTGATAATAGTGTAGTTACTATGGACCTTTTAATAGCGCTAATATAAAGCGCCTGCCTCGTTCAATGAATTAGTGCGTTCGCATCCGTGGAACTAGCATAACAATTCCCCACTAAACACCAGGCGGTCTTTCGGGCCACTGTCTCATGGAAAGTAGAAAGGCGCATCAAGGTATTAGCACTAACCGCAGCAACACGCTTAGAGGCTTATCTATCTAAGACTGGAGCTAGTAGCTTTACCAAGCGTCCTTCGTCTATTGCCCATGACAGAGGTAACTAAGGCAATGGCAAGAGTGGTGTTTGTCAGGGCGGACGCTGCTAGAGTATAGTAAGGAATAGAGCAAGTCAAGCGGCCGGTTCCTCCTGCTAAGCCAGGCACGACGAGACTAATATTACTTGAGTGGCAAGATCTACAGTTGGATTCCTGTGCGAGGGTGAGGGGCTATCTGCTCTCAAACGGCTTGCCTATCAGGTTCTTCCATTGTCATTCCTGCAGCCGTATCGGCTAAATCACTAGCCTATACCCATCTTTACCTCGCTCCTCGGTCAGGTGCTTGAATGGGACTTTTGGTGAAAGAATCAGAATAAGCCAACCATTGATAGTTCATGCACTGAGGTCTGCCAGGGGGCGGGGGGGCGCGCGTTTCCTTCTGCGTTGGGAGCATTCTCAGCAATCGGGACTGCTCGATCCTGACATTGAGCCGTGCGTCATAGCAACTGCTAATAAGTACTCCATGAAGCTCAAAAACAGCCATAAGGTCACTTTGGCGTTTCCTGGACTTAGGGCCCCCAGTCTGAAGGATAGAGGGTCCATTGGTGCAACAGCCACGGTGCTGGAAGACCGGATGAAAACGATGCTGCTTGCTTCGCAGCCTTCCACCACTCCACCAATGGTCGTCCAACAGCGGGGACTACTTCGTAGCACGAGCGACATTGCTGAACGGCTTGGACATTGATATGACCCCGGCGCACATTATGTAGCTCTCCGATGGCTGGATTCCGACGTTCTTTCCCACCCCAGAGGCGATTGGCTTGGGCGATGAATGCTCCGATGGTCTTGCCGATGTTCTGGACATCCGGCTTACCGGAAGGCTCTCGCTAGTGAGTGAGAGTTGGAAACCAATGGTTGGTACTTTTCATGTGCCTTGGCGCCGACCAGCCGGTTCTCGTTCTCCTCATGTCCAATAGACACACCAAGACGGCTTTGTGGTAGAAATGCTCTGTGGGAACGACGAATAGTAGGCGTGAAATATCTTCTGGGGGCTAGAGGGGACGGCAGCAGATAAACTATTCTACAGGTACCGGCCACAATCTTCTGAAAGCGTAAAAGAAGCTCTACATTGTCTCTGCTGTTCTCAAAGTGTACTCCGCGTACAAGCTGCATGCACCCTAGAGATTCTGGACCTGTTCTGTAAAAGCGCAGGATGGAGAGAATGTGGTATTCCTGGACTTAAAGCGGGCTCTCCTAAGGTTTTGGCACTGTTATGAAGACTGCCTCTGCTTTGTCCACGAGAGCTGCCGGGTGTCTGCATCCAGGCACTAGGGCCCAGTAAAGATTTGGTCACAGCATGCTTCATTCAATACGCACGGGAGACTGCGTGTAAAGCCCGCCCTGACAGATTCCCAAAGCGTAGGTCCACCAATCCAAGGGTGCCTCAAGAATGCCCGCGAGGACGGATCTCAATAGGCATTTTTAGAACGCTCAAAGAATGTTCCACAATGTCTGTATGCGCTGTGCGCCCTGTGCGATTACCTTGCGTCAGTATCCGCGCGCCATCTCGCTCGGCAATAATGGATTGATCATTATCACGGGACGGCCAGATTATCTCCCCTAAGATAATATTCCTTCGTCTCACAAGCGGGTCGTTTAGATCAGGAGGATTTTAATAGTCCTCAAGCCCCTTGTCGCGTGGGCAGTTCCTATGGGCCAAAAACAGGGCGTTTGCTTTCACGATGTCTTCCCCGTTCTGGCTGCTTACGGAGCTATAAACATCAGAGGGATGTTCTGGATACCCGTGGTCAATGAGATCCGTGGATTGGGATCACCTCATCGGTGCCAATGACACTATGTGTCGGTCCGGGAACACAACCAGGGCTGACAGCAATGAGCACAGCCAGAGTCTCCGTCCGTCCACCGTCAATAGCTTTGGAGGCTCTGCCCATCGCCAAGTGGGCTGCCCTGGCGGCATGGAGACAGAATGGCTCATGAGCCAGAGCTATATAAAAAGGCCCTCTCGCAACTGGGCGCGTGTAGCCAACTGTCCCGGATTACCCCATCCACAGTAGAAGACGGGGCGAAGAACCAGCGCGGAAGACCACCTTCTTTCATGGGCTGACAGGGTCAGAGCTTCTGTCCAGGGAACACCAAGGACAGCAATAGGTGCATTCCTGCGCAACAGGAGAGGTTGTAGCTCACTTCCATCGAGTGTAGTAGCTCATAGGAAGCAGTGTCCCTGAAGACGAACGTTTTCCTCATATAACAGACGATGGCTTTACCAACTCAAGCGGACTATGCCCCATTCTTCGAACCTTCATCACGTTTTCCAGGGCAAGTTCGACCATATTCCACTGCAAACCTCCAAGCTATTGCGCTCGTCGTTCATATTGCCCATCAGTTGCGACCTTTAGATGAACCTAGCGGGGCCCAGACCAGTATCTGTTGAGGTATCATAGGTCGATGTGCAACAGAGGTACACAACCCCTAGGAACGAGTCTTTGTCGGCAATAATGAGCAGGCCCCATAGCCTCATAGCCACGTGAGAATACCTTTTGGCACTCCATACCCGGGTAGAGCATGGTAGTGGTGGTTGTGATTAGCACGGCCATCTGCACATGAAGTCGCATCTAGTATACATCATTCGTGGATTGCAAGTGATGATTTGCCCAAGACTGCCGGCGGTGCCGACATACTCAAGAAAACTCCCCTAGTATCGCACGAAGGTCAGACTCAAGGTGGCCGCCCTTTGCAGCCGCCGGCCAACATGCCAGTCGTCGTTGAAGCCACTCAGCCGCGGTGAAAACGACTGAGATGCACCTAGAAAGCCTGAGCGTTATGTTTGGGCCAAGTGTAGAGGATTGCGACGGAAACTGTACCCCGAATGCTGGATACCCACAGTGGTACCTGCACGGCCACAAAGTAGGCGCTGAAATCCGAGCGGCTGTTGATCCTTGTCAACTTAGCATCGTATGAGGAGCAGAATATGTGTTCGGCAAAGGCCCCTCCCCGCTGAGCTGACGCGCCTCCGTGATAATCTCTCCCCATAACCTGATTACCGAGTCAACCTTGATTCGCAGAATGGGCCTCTCTAGGAAACATCCAACAGTCAGCTGAAAGCAGAACATAAGAGATGAGGTTAACGAGAGGCTGGCATGTCTGAACAGATTTCCTCATTTGAGGGATCAGGTATCTTCAGCTGTGATCTCCATATTATTCCATCTCGACGAAGGTCTCTACTTCTCTCGCATTTCCATACGCTCATATCTGCTTGACGTTGACTCTAGCCGGCAGCACTTCGCAGCGCTTTCTGCTTTGGGATGAAAAGAAACGACCAAATGGCATCATGGTCATCAACTCCCGCCTATTGCGCATGGTGACTGACTGCCGTAGCACCCCACGCGGGACCATTGGGCTAACCCGCTCCCGATATAAATGGCAAAAACGGCTTGTTGCTGTTCTATGAGGATTAAAGGAGGTAGCTGTTTTGCTCTTGGAGGTCATTAATCCACCTACACCAAGGAGTATCCGTTCCGGAGGCGGCCAGCCGCATCGACGCGATTTCGTGCGTGAGTCCTGATACGCTTTACAGACAAGGCGCAAAAATCCCTCTTATGTTAGATTCGCCGGGCCTGTACCAGGCGTCAACTATAGCTCGATGGCATCAGGTTAGGCGTCTCATTATAGTATTGCACTCTTTCGAAGGATGGGCTAGTCCCTAAAGCTGATTGACACTGCCCACGCAGTGCTTCACGCTTATTGCGTTATGTTTGTGCGACTGATGGCAGGGGAGGGTTGATAGAATCCCAAGGACTAGAGGCCAGCTCTCCGCCAGTCTCGATGAGCTTGTCTGTTGAACAATCATACAGCGTCGCGCCATGATAGACCGTTGGCATTACTGGACAAGGCGGACAGCATTGCCTGTTTGCGTGGCTGGTCCTCCATTTGAAAGTACTTGGCTTTAGAATTCCACCACCAAACATTTCGGTCATACGAAAGGGTTTTGGAGCGGAGTTGGCCAGGCTCAACAGGCCATGCAGCGTCGTGTGCATACATGTGAGGCTAAAGAGACTCTCTGTCTCCTTGCTGTCTAGAGCACCACGCCCACAGCCTGACTCAATCAGTCAACCGAGCGAGAAAGAGTGCAGCCGACTAGTCCACGAACGCAGTAACTTCAACTCTTTGAGAAGATAGCGATCACATGTGCGTTCGTTAAGCTGCCAGCCTTTCCACCCAGGTCATAAATATATTTCGTGCCGAGGAAATGGCTCACCAAATGTCAAGACTGCTGAGCCGTGATACTGCATTTCAAATAAAATCGATCGTAATTTCAGCCTAACCTTACCATGTCCAGCCCCAGGCGGGGCGATTATTATACCATTTGGCTTGGTATCGATGTTGCTGATATGTGGCGTCGCGGCAGTTTTTTCAAGTGTGGGCCCTCGTGGTCCCCACCACTGTAGGCCAATGCGGCCACTGGGTATAATATAAAATGGGGCTGTGGTTTAGTGGTATAATGTTCCCTTAGCATGGGAGAGGTCCTGGGTTCGATTCCCAGCTGCTCCACTTTTTTTGCATTCTGATGGCTCATGTGCTGCTATCGCTGCATCTACGGCGTCCGACAGTGTGTTGTCGTTTCAAGGGGCGCCGCCAGTAGATGACATGGTGTGCTCTTCGTTTTTAACATAAGCGAATGTGGGGCGGACAGGGCCGACGGAACAACTGAGATTAACATTCGTCTTTTACGCAAGCCTGGGATGCACGACTGAGATTTCCAAGTTCTCAGCCTATCGACAGGCAGAAGCATCTGCATTGGGAGCCTGCATCAGTGCCTGCTGGCATGGCTGTCATTCATAATGGCCTCGACGTGCCTATTTTTCTACGTGGTACTTTGATGATCTTCACGCGTTTTACAACAGACGCTCGGAAGGTGTGGCGGGCGAAGCTTGCGTACAACTGACGGTTACGGTCTCTGTACCATGTGCTGGGACGAGGGAGGGCCTCGGAAGGGATGGGTTGGTCTTTGGGGACACCACATCCCTGCGGAGGTCACGTCTTTGAGGAACAAATCGAAGCACCGGCGTGGCTCTTAATAGGCGCCCATGCCCTGTCTGTTTTTGATCCTAGAGAGAATGGAGCTCAATGTCGTTCATCAAGCTGTCTTGCTTGCAGCCTGGTATCCAACAAGATCTGGTGATCCTGACAGGAAGCAGCCTGTATTTCTGATGGTGCTTTGAGCTCGATAGAGCCGGGATTGTTGGATTGCCATTGCAAGTTGGATGTTGGCATTTTGATTGCTTCCCTGGACGATGCGTTTCATCGCAATGCTTGTCTATTTTACGGTGATCCTGGAAGACCATGCGAGTTCCATTTTTGCGCATGAAGGGCATGGCGAGGTGGCAATGTCGCTGTGGTACAAGGTGGTCTGGGTTTCTGGTTCCACTGATCGCTTGATAGAGATGAAACGCATCTATTCTGGATTCAGTGGGATCCGGGGCATTTGACCCTTCAAGGTGGCTGCGGGCTTATGGCCTGGGTGAAAAAAACACCACAACTGCAATGGGATCAGTGTAGTGGGGTCCAGCCCGACGAATTGGCGCACTGTTTTCTACCAGAAGGACCCCGGAAGCCCCCAACTTGTGAGCGGCTGTGAGGACTTATCTTGGAGTTTCCATGATAAAGCGTGTCTTGTCATCAATCCCATGTAAGGGGTTGACTTTGTGCTAACTTCTAAGAGGTGCTGTCCATGTCTCATCCCATTTTATTGTGAAGAATGACTCCTTTGACTTGGTTAGTGCTAAGAAGGTCATTAATGAGGCCCTGGATGCACGTACAGAGAGCAAAGATCCACTTACCATGTCTTAGCAGGTGAGGACCAAGTACTTTGCTCGCTCCCATCTCGGCCCACGAAATTGGGCCCGCCTGGGCCATTTCGCTGAGGAACAGTAGAACATGAGCTGATTGCGCTGAGCCTGTTTCTAGATCTAGCAATTATCGTACTGGCTGTATGCTGTTTATGCAGCGAGCTTACAAGTCGATCCTAGGTAGATTGACTATTTTCCACTCGCTGCTGTAGACTCCTTCAAAGTCTGTAGATCATTCATCGTGGGATTTGCAAAGGCAACTATGGTCTTACGTAGCAGTTTTCCGGTGAGGGCGATATGAGCGGAATCGGAAGGGCAAAGGGGAAGATGTGGGAGAAGAAATTGTCCGACCGATCGGGGGCTGGACGAGAGATTATATAGACTGCTGAACGGAGGTTTGAGAAACAGGCTTCACGGGCTTGAATTGCCAGATTCACACCCGAGGCGCTTCTCCACACCAGAGCAGGTGAACCATTGACATCTAGGGATATACCTTTTACAGGCCTTGTGTCTGGATACAGCACGTTTCCCTATAGATGGCGTGATTCGTAGGCAAAGTAAGACTTGCCAATGCCACCAGTAGCCAAGAAAGTGAACTTAGTTCGCGGGGCTGTGTCTGTCGTGGCTGTCAGCAATTACCTTCACGGCCTTTAGGGTGGACATGGATACGTTTCTTGGGGCCATATATCATTCACTCGCTCATGCCATAAGTAAGAGATATTTACCAGGGCATTCATGGAGGGCTTCACATTCAACGCAGTCACCTGAATCATGTCGGGGCCTGTCTGTGTTGGCCTTGGCGAACTACGACGGCCTGCAGTTTGAAGAGAGACTGGTGCATCTAAGTCTTGAAAGATGTTCAGGGGGAAAGCAAATTCATGTTCGAATAGATTAGACAAACAAGACCCTATAAGAGGGGTCAAAAGCCCATGGCTGACTCCCAGTCAAATGGATATGATAAGGAGATGTATGCGGCTGGATGACAGCAGATGCCAAGTTACTTGGGAACAAATCTGGGGTCTTTGATTCCCGGCTGCTTGGGAATACTAAGACTGTAAAAGTACACCTGGCTCCCGAGGGCCCGGTTCATGCAAGGGCTGTCACAAAGATCAGCTCCCCAAATGCTGCCCAACCGCCTAATCTGGTGCAGAGTGTAGCTGCAGGCTTGCCAAGCAACCCCATTGGCCAGTCTTACATATTCACCTGCAGATAGCAAGGAGCATGCATGCAGCGTAATAAGGGGACGTATCGGATCTTTGCGGTGTCAGAGTTTGGGGAAAGAAACTGCGGATGACGTGTTGGACAATAGAGTTTCGCTTCCAAGTCGATTTCAAGTCTCGAACTTGGACTCGTGCCTTCTGCAATTTCGCTGAGCGTCGCCAACTAAGCTCCAACACAACGTGCGATCAAAATGGGATCCATTGAGAATTCATGTTTGATTCCCTCAGTGAACTACTCTGAGGTTCTCACCAACGATGGAGCTGCTGAGGTCTTCGTGCAGGCACTGAAGACCTACGGAGCCTGCCGGATTCGAGAACATGGCATCCCCAAGGATATAATAAAAAATTGCTTCGAAAAGGTCTGTGGTTCCTTAAATGCCGTCTCTTTCGCTTTTTACTGACACCTCGGCCAGAGCTGGACATTTTTCGAGCAAGACCACGAGGTGAAAGCCGCCGAGTCGAGCACAATCCCTGGTGCGCGCTACGTGCCCTTTGGCAGCGAAAAGATCAGAGGCGAGGCACATCTCGATGAGACGCTCGAGTTTCGACATTGCGCCTACGATTGGCCCTTGCCGTGTGCACCCTGCCCAGCACGCGAGCTTCGAGATGCCTGTCGCCCTTTCCACGAGGAATGTAACCGCGTCCATGCGACGCTGCTCGGCGCGATATCATCATCGCTGAACCTAGCCCGGCCCTTGACCTCAATCCACAGCCTTCAAAATACATACTTTGCTCCATATTTCTACCACTTTCCAGACAGGACGGACAAAGAGACCCTTCGCGTTCCTCCACATATCGACCCGACAACCCTCCTCTTCACCTTTCAAGACGCCCTCGGCGGCCTCAAAGTCGCGGACCTCAGCCAGCTAGCAGGGAGATCACTCTCCGCCCACGCAGTCTCAGAGGCAGGTGCCGCGTTCATCCCCGTTGTATGCCAACCTGGCGAATTCCTGGTCCTTGCGGGGAACCTTCTCCGGAAGATTCTTGGCGGCGCGATGAAGCACTCGGTGCATTGCGTTGAAAGGCCCGTGGGAAGCTCGGGGTTCCATTTGAACTACTGGACCATCCCCAATCTGGACATTGCTTGTCAGGTTGGAGAGAGGGAGGAAACTGTAAAGGACTATCTGGCTAGGGTGTTTCCGTCGGCGTTTGGGGGGGCCTAGGGTAGGGGTCTGAGTATGTTCTATGGTTGAACAGACCTAAGGAGTGATGATTTGAAACAACCCGGCAATAGCGTACTACAGCCGTGACCCTGGGACCATGAATAGATGGATAGATAGATAGGGGAGAGTGCGTCCTCGCTTTTATCAGTACTCTGTCCATAACGTGGCTCATGTTGAAGCGCCCGGGGTCATATTACTGAGGTCCGGTCGTACAACCTCCGATATTGGATATTCATGCATACTTCGGACTGCGTCAAACATCTAGGAACCTGAATCCAGCAATTGGTCGATATGTGTCAATACAAATCGCTCATGTAGAGGTTGTCTCGTCAAATTCATGCAGGACTACGGTGAAGAATCTGTACCACCGTGGGATTTGCAGAATCGGCAGTTCCTGCATATGCTTTCTTTCTCGGTTTAGTTTTTCTTATATTCTCTTGTATTTGACCCAGTCGCTCGCTCAGCTTATTCAATGATGATTCAGGCCTTCAACTGTTCATTTCTGCTCTATTTGGTCATAATTACCCTCAGATAGCGCTCATAACTCTCATCATTGCCCACTGGTAAGTCTGATGGGACGATAGCTAGCCCTGAATTGCGCACAATGGAAATACGACGTCAAGAGACACAGGTCATCAAGAATGAATAAGAATCTACCCAAAATCAACAAGATGTCCAACTTCCAGAGCCAGACATCAGAGCTATATACAAAAGGCGCTCCCATATGCTAGAGAAATCACATCATATATGCAAACAAAACCCCATACTTCCACAAAATCCACCCTACCTCTCTTACGTGGGCTTCTAGAACCGCCTCGCCTCGGCCAGAATTGCCAGCGCAGCCTCATCCTGCACAAGGCTCAGGGGCGTATCCCCCCGCTCATCCACCGTCACAACATCCGCCCCAGCCCGAACAAGCAGCTGCGCCGCACCCAGCGCATTCTCGGCAATCGCCCAGGCGAGCGCCGTGCGGCCATGCAGCCTCTTCTCCAGATCCGCGCCCCGCTCAATAAGCAGCCGAACACTCTCAACCTGGTCTCTCGCCGCGGCATTAATCAGCGCCGTGGACCCCTTATTGGACTGCGCGTTAACATCGACGCCGGCCGCGACGAGCATGCGCGTGATCTCGACCGAGCGAGCGGCGGCCCGGATCAGCGGGGAGTTTCCGGTCGGGTCCCAAGGGGCCGGGTTTGCGCCTGCGTCGAGGAGCAGCTGGACCGCATCTGGGTTGTTCGCCCAGGCGGCGTGATAGAGCGGGGTGAGCCCGTCGGCGTCGGCGAATTCCACGTCCGCGCCGGCGTCGACGAGGAGGCGCATGCAGTGCACGGCGTTGTTGGCCGCGGCGTGCGCGAGCGGCGGGACGCCCAGCGCGGCATGCGTGCCGTTCACGTCCCAGCCGCGCTCGAGCAGGAATTGGACGGTCGCGGGGTAGTCCCTGGCTGCTGCCCAGAGGAGGAGGTTCTCTTTGCCCCGTTCGGTGAAGTCGGGGACGCCGTCGATGGCCACGTTGGTGTCTGCGCCGGCGTCGAGGAGGAGTCGGGCGGCTTCGAGGTTCCCGGTCATGAGTGCTGCGACGAAGGCGCTGCGGTCGTTTGGGTTCTGCGAGTTGGCGGAGATGCCCTTTTGCAAGAGGATCTGGACGAGATCAGTGAAGCCGACTGCGGCGGCAGCTGCGAGGAGTCGCACGTTGTCGACTGAGATCTCTTGCGTGATGTCCTGCTGGATCAGCCAGAGGGCAACATCGTGCCGGCGGCTCTGCAGCGCTGTGAACAAGGGCGCGAGCTCCGGGCGGAGGCCGATCTGGTTCGAGTCCATGTAGTGCACGAGGAGCTGCAGGACATCGAGCCTGCCGTACCTGGCCGCAGCGCAAAGGCAGGCGGAGAGCGGATACGAACAGTCGTCGCGACGAAGCAGGCGGTTGCCCATTGGCGGGATGTGCGAGAGCATCAGGTGGATCATTTCGTACGGCTGCGTCCCGACGGCCATCTCCAGCGGGGTCTTATTCCACTCGTTGGGGGTGAGGAGCTCGTCCGGGTCGAGATGGTCGAATAGATGGCGGATTGTGCGCTCGCGCTGGGGGTGCGGCCACCTCAGCGCCCTGTGGTAGAGGTTGTCGCCGTCGTGGTTGATAAAGTCGAATCGGGTCACCCCGGCCCGCTGGATCAGCCACTCAAACGCATCCTCCCCGCCAAAGTTGCACGCTTCGGCCAGTGCGCTAAAGCCGTAGGGAAGGCCGGGCCCGACGGGGAGCAGGTAGTCGACGTTGACGGTCCCGGTTGCGAGCAGGGCCTCCATGAGCCGAATGTCGCCGAGGTGCGCAGCGGCGATGAAGAAAATGTCCGCGGCAATCAGGGGCTCGTTGCGAGCCTCCAGGGCGCGGAACGCCTCCCGCATAAACTCCGTCCATCCTTTGCTGATTGCGCCAAACAGCATGTGTTCGGTCGACGGGGGATCTACGCTGAACGAGGCGCCCCCGTGGAGCAGAGCAACGGCCGACCGCTCGGCATGCTCGCCACGGGCAAACGCCGCCTGGGCAAAGGGCGTTCCTCCGCTGGCAGGGACGATCTGGTTCGGGTTGGCGCCGTGGTCGAGCAGGAGCTGCACAACCGCCGGGTGCCCACTGCGCGCGGCGAGGAACAGCGGGAAAGTGGTCGCGGTGCACTGTCTATTCGCCCCGGCCCCGAGATCCAGCAGGGCCTGGATCGTGTCGATGTTGCCGGCGTCGATCGCATAGGCGAGCGGCGTCGCGGCCCCAGCAGCCTGCGCGTTGGTTTGCAGTCCGAGTTCTTTGAGGAAGCGCACTTCCTCACCTGAATACTGCGTCGCCGCGTAATGGAGCGTCGTCGTGCCGTCAAAGTCGACGATCTTATGATCGAGCCCGGCATCAACGAGCAACTGCGCGCAGTCGTGGTCCTTGATCCTGTCCGGGAACCCAAAGAGCAGGCGCATGACCTCGTGCAGGTAATAACCCCTCGGCTTGCCCAAGTGCTTGAGAAACTGGGCAAGGAATCTAGAATCGTTCCTCAGAGCAGCGGCCATCAGCGGCGAGATGGCCCCCTCGCGCTTCAGCTCGGTATCCCTGTTGGGCTCCGAGGATCGGATATCGGGGTTGACGCCAAGTTCGATGAGCCATTCAACCGTGTTCTCAAAGCCCACCGCACAGGCGTAGGTCAGGGCCTCGAACTGCGACTCGTGGTACTTCATCAACATGTGTTGGCTGTTTCGAAGGATCCGCATGAGCTTCTGTTCTTGATTGTGTGTGGCATGCCAGGCGATGGCGCGATGGAGATCGCCGCTTTCTGGGGTGGGGGTTTCGAGGACGAGGGTACAAAGCTGGTTGATTTCGCGGTTGGCGAGGAGGAAGTTGAGGAGGGATTTTGTCGAGAGGAAACGCGAGATGCGGATGAAGAGTTCCTTGGGCAGGTCGAGTAGCTGCGCGGCTGTGGGCCGCGGGGGGATACACGGTGGGAGTATGGATGACATTGTGGAAGGAATCTGGATTAAGATGGTATGCTTTCCTATTCGGGACGAGATGTTCTTCTAATACTTATAATATCCATCGCGTTTACTGTACACTGTGCTATTTTCTACAGGTACATTGACTCTGTCGTTGACGCCTTTCAGGAACTAACAACGAGCTTCGAGAGGCAGATGTATCAAAGCGTGCCGACAACAGATCTTGGGACCGGGGCCAGATACCAAAGAGGCTCGACAAAGCAACCGAGGACTCTCGTTTCAGCTCATTCAGGCACAAGCCCTTGTCTTCGGCGCCCCAACGAAAGTCGAAACCACATCTGTCACACCTCTTCCATCTCAATATTCCAACGAGAGCTTCGATTTCCGAAAATAGGCGGATCTACATGACACTCTTAACTACCTTTTTACGCCTTACAATCAGTCTTGTCAGGATCCTTCTTGTGGAGTCGTTGGTTCCTTGGGGTCCCGTTCATTGTTGGCGGTTAGGGCTTTGTCGCCGAGACGCGCTTCAAACTGGACCTTTGCTCGGTCAACCAAGTTGGCTCCTCGGCCTCAGGAAAAGCTGAATCCCTGTTTAGCTTATGCTTTGTAGTCTGAAGATGGTCAAAGTATCATGTTCAAGTTTCAACTATCGGACTTGATATACATTACTCAAAACACAAGGCCCTAATAAAGCGTAGGTGAGTGGTGCTCGAAGACAAAGACACCTCCAATCCATGACAAAAGGACCTGGTTCTAAATATGGGAGTCAAGTAGGAGGAAACTAAGGAGATTGAAGCCCTGGGGCCGTAGCCCAGCATCTAAAGTGGCTTGATGGAATGAAGTACGTCGAAATCTATGTAGAGCCACTGGTTGACCCATTGGATAGATTTCAGAATACTAGAAGAGTTTATACGATATATTATACCCAGATTGATAATTATAACAGAGGAACCAAGCTGAGCACCGAAAACACCAGGCCCAAACACCAAGCAAGAAGGAGCCAAGTTTATATAGCACAAGAAAACCATGGTTATACAGATCAGACCGACCCCATCGCATTAACAATCAGCTCCTGCAACTCCGCCGGGGCGTACGGGAGAACATGATCTTGTGCGTTCTTCCCGTCTTTATTCGTCCGGGACACGTCGCACCCCTTTTCAAGCAGAAGCCTCGCGAGCTCCGTAATGCCCTCCCAGCACGCGTGCATGAGCGCTGTTGCGCCGTAGCAATCAGCCGCATCCGGATCCGCGCCCTTCTCAAGTAATAACCGCGCAGCGCCAACATTCAAGTGTGTTGCCGCTATGATTAGCGCCGTGCGCCCTTTCCTATCCTTTTGATGGATACTCGTCCCCTCCGCAACCAGAACCTCCATAGCCTCTGTGCACCCGTGTGCAATGGCGAGCATGAGCGGGGTCTCGCCCTTTATCCGTGTCTGTTGCAAGGTGCTCGCCCCGCTGGGGTCTGCGGCCAGGAGAGCCTTGATCACCTCTGCCCTGTTGCCTGATGCGGCCCAGTGGAGGGGGCTGCGGCCGGTTTTGTCGCTAATGTACATGTTGGCACCTTTCTTGAGCAGCGCCTGGACGATCTCGACGTTCTCGGTGTATGAGAGCGGGGTCCAACCACTGATATCGATGGTATTTACGTCGGCGCCTTTGTCAAGGAGCAAGTTGACGCAGTCTGTGTGACCGTTTTCCACGGCGAGAGAAAGAGCGGAGCGCTCGTGATCTCCCAAAGTGTTGATATCAAACCCTTTCGAGATGAAGAGTCGAAGCACGTCAGTGCTCCCCCAGGTTGCTGCAACGAGTGGAAGTTGTGAGAACTTACCGTCATACTGGGAAAGAAACCACCATGGTGATCTGTCGCATTCGGTAGCACCGGAATCCACGAGAAGTAATACGGCGTCGACCTGATTGTACCTCGTAGCCTCCCAGAGAGGCACCGGGGGATCCTCGCCCATGGCATGAATATTGACTTTTGCTCCCTCCGCGATCAAGATTTTCATGGCCTCTAGGTTGCCCAACCTGGAAGCTACGCTGAGAGGGTGGGACCACTGGAGGCGGGTCTCGGGGTCTGCGCCGAACTGGAGAAGGAGTTTCATAATGTCAGTATGCCCGCCGCGAGTGGCTTCCATGAGAGCGCATGTGTGGCCCATCTCGTCATTAACATGAGCACCAGCTGCAAGCAAGGCGTCCGTGGCAGCGAGATGGCCATTTCCGGACCTTTCAAACAAGGGGCATGTATCATCGCAACTCATTGCCGGGCTGGCGCCGTGTTGCAGCAAGAGTTTGATGACCGCGACGTTTCCACCACGGGCGGCTGAAATCATTGGGGTATTCCCCTCGCTCCGGCGGTTCGGATTGGCCTTGGCCGTGATCAGCATTTGGATGATGTCCATGTGAGAATTTGAGATAGCAGCTGTCAACGGCGTATCAGAGCGAAACCGCACTCTTCGCTGAGTCGATTCGAAGTCCGGCGTGACACCTTCACTGAGAAGCCTAGAGACGATCTTAGCGCAGCCACCTCGGCACGCAGAAATCAGGGCTTCATAGCCAACCTGAGGGTTTGTTTTATGTTGTTCGAGGATGCCATCGAGGAGGTAGCCCATCGTGCGCTCTTGTCGGTGATATCCAGCCCATTTGAAGACCCGCCGTTGTTGTTCTCGAGTCAGAGCGTACAAGACAGGATGACCGATTCGCCAGGCATCTTTGGATGTACCAACAAATGCAGCGAGAGTGTTTTTTGTGCTGTTCTGTGCAATTTCGAGGATGAGCTCCTCGGGAAGAATGTTGAATAGACTGGCCATCTGGGAATTGTAGTGTGGAGTTTTAATTGGAGTGGAGTGTGGTTGAAACTGGATGAGGAGTATTGGGTGAGTGGAGGATATGCGGTGCTTAAATATTTCTGCATGTCTTTGTCTTCGAGGCCATTGACAGCCGTAGGCGTTGTTTGGATAATTGTATTCACAATACCAGACAAGGAACGACAAAGCCTTCGCAGTTTCATACTCAAAGTCCTGATAGCTGCGGCGCTCGGAGCAATACCTTCAGACAAAGAATAATCAACAGCTTCGTTCTTTGACAGCCACAGTTTGGTTTGTCTGGTAGTGGATTCGTGCTTTCGGTATACCCATTGCATTGTTGGCATCTCGACGGAAATGCACCCCGCAGGCTTTCAGGTCTCTGACAAGAGTCGTTTCATTTTCAGATCAACCCAAGCCCAACCAAGCTGGAGGATTATCCGGGAGTTTCATAAAGTTGCGGATCGACAATCTGATATACGCGATTGTTAGCGTTGATATGGATGGCCCATTCAGGTACAGTGGAAAACTCTCCATCCGAGACAAATAAACGCTGATTGAGTCGCGATAATCAGCCGACGCCCCAACAAGGAAAGAGGTCGAAGCAGGGAAGCGCTCCAGTCCAAACAGGCGAAGAAACCCCGAGAGAAGCGCAAGATCAATCCGGATCACCCGCAAACAGCCTATCGTCTGGGATAGTAGTGCTAGGTGAGCTCTGAAGGGAGAGTGAATACCGGCACCTGCAGAGTCAAAGGCCATCCAAGTGGAAAGCGAGTGTCCAACTTGGCCAGCCCGCAGCGCCCTGTAGAGAATTCTGGCGGGAGCAGCCAGGGAGAACTGTTTGCATTGAATCAGCGCCGTAGCTGTATAAATGACGATAACAAGGATGTTGGCTGTCGAAGAACAAATCTCTCAAGATTGGAGGTTCTGGAGGAGGCTGTTGGTAGCCCTTTGCTCCTTCCTTGACATTCCTTAGAATAAGCAGGCGACGCTGTTGAGCACGCGTGATGTGCCACGAGAGGTTTAAGAGACGTCTTAGGGTCAAGGGGAAGGTAATGTGCTTTCTACATTCAGGGTCGCCCTACTCTGCCAATATATCCAAGGTGTGAATGACTACAGTTCGCTAAATATGGAGCAGCGCCGGAAGATGGACTACCCTAGGTATACCTTGACTGGAACTACGAACTAGAAGATGTAGATAACAGATGCACAGTCCAAGGGACAAGGGTCAATATGATTATTGGTTCACAAACACAAACTAACAGGACCATTTACGATGGAGGAGCAGAGTTGGGAGGAGGCGCCAGGCCCGCCCTCGTCTTCCTCGCCTTCCCCAGAAGATCCAGCAGCTCCTTTGCCGACGGAGTCCCACAGAGCGCGGGATTATTGACGATAAAGTATTCCGTCGTTCGTCCGTGATGGTCCGGTCTTAGGTCGCACCCCGCCGCAAGGAGCTTCCTCACCGCGAACATGTTCAAACACCCGGCCGCATACGAGATGGGCGTGATCCCCAGGGCGCACTGCGTGTTTATATCGGCATTTCTGCTGAGGAAGAGGTCGAGTATCGCACTCTGGCGGGCAAAGTCTACCGCGACGGAGAGTGCAGTTCGACCGCGGGAATCGAATTTGTCTTCAATGTCCGCACCATGATCCAGTAAGAGCCTGGCAATCTCGGTGTGGCTCTCTATAGCCGCGGTAAGTAATGGCGGAGGGGGGTACGCACCATCAGGGCCGCGGGCGCCGGGGTCCGCGCCGGCCGAGAGGAGGATTTCCACGATCGACGTATGCTGTCCATGTACGGCGTAGTGGAGAGGAGTGCATCCTATAATACCAGCAGCATTGAGATTCGCACCATGGGAAATCAATATCTGGACCAAAGCTCTGTCCCCATTTTCCGCAGCCTTGCATAGCGCCGTTAGACCAAGGGCGTCTAGCGCATCGATATCGAGCCCTAGATCCGTCGCCAGAAGCATGTTCAGCACCTCGACGCTTCCCCAAGTTACTGCGGAGTGCAGGATCCTCTCACGCGTGTTGATCTGAAGCGTCTCAACGTTCCAATTATGGGGACTATTTTGGTCGACGCTGCTCAGGTCCACTCCACCGGCAATCAGCAGCCGCGCGACGTCGGCATGGTCTTCGCGAACCGCAAACGTCAACGGGCTCAACCCCATTTCGGGCTTGTCGAGCACGACCTTGTGGGCGAGGAGCTGTCGAACAACCTCCGTGCGCCCGTTCTTGGCCGCGTATATCAGTGCCTGGTAGCCTATTTTCGGGTCATCCTCATTCGCAGCAAGGATCCCGGGAAGGAGGTAATCAATTACCGAGTCCATTCGAGCTCTACACGCCCATGAAAACGTAAGCAGTGAGTCGTCGACACTCAGCGTGTAGAGGACCGGGTGTCCAATGCGCAGGGCCTGCCTGGAGGCGCGTAAGAATCGAGCCAGGTCAGCTCGTGGAAGGCATTTGGTGATCGCCAGGACCATCTCTTCGGGCAACTCGATCCTGTTATCAGCTTTCTCGGCGAGCTGGATTTGATTTTGGGCGTCCATGATGAAAGATGTTTCCCCGACCGGCTTAGCTGAGCTTCGTATATCAATCTAATATCTCACAGTAAACGGCCAGGCCCGCCCGGGTAGCTTTATAGCCTCGAGCCGGCATTGTTATTTTGGTTCATTGTTGGGTTGACAAAGGCGGCAGCGACGTTATGTAAACAAACCTGAAGAGGCCGCTTTGTTTACTTGTGGCCATGGTTGGGCATTGCATAAAGGGATCCGAAACTACTGCATTGTTCAACTGGTTTCCTGAAGCTTTTGCCCTTTGACCGTGATCCTGCAAGGCTCTTATGGACATTCAAGTATGTGCTGTTCCATTGTTGGCTGTGGTTTGGCATAATCGGGTCTCTCTGTTGTAAGAAGTTTGAAGAGATAGAACCAAATGGCTTCTATTGAAACTATCCCGTAGACGATACAATGATTGGAAGGAGGATGTTGGTCGTGGGGAGATTCAGCTGATAGACGGCTCTTTCCCCAACAGTTTCGAAGATGACTTTAAGCGTCTGCGCCAATAAATCTAAAAGAGACCCCCGGGGGTCATCGGGCGCCTAAGCCATCGCCAGCAATTAAAGAGCCTTGAATCTCAAGAATACAGCTGGAAGTTATCCTTATGCAGACCTCACACTCCTGGTGATGCTCCTAGGTAGTAATATAATAGAATAGTGCAATACGGAACAACAAGATGTGACACGCCTTAGAGATTAAGCACCAAATGTAAGGTCATTGGTGTGCTTTTACGTGCGTTCTCTTCAACGCCATTCTAGACATCAACTATTACCATGATGCTGGAGACTAAATCATTAAACTAGTTCAAGACCCCATCTATTCCATCTTCCCATCATGCCCCACCATATTCCTCTCATTCATCCTGGCAAAGATCATCTGCGCAACCGCATCCTCTGTCTTGAGGTACGTGCGCTCCCCCCTCAGGAACCAGAACCCCACCGCAACAACAAGCATAACCCCAAACACCGCAATCGCATAGTTCATATCCGCCGGAGCCGGATTGGGCTCGCCGGGGAAGAAGAAGAACACAGTCGTAACGGCACAATACACGACGCTGATCCAATTGACGGTGTTGCCCCAGCGGCCAAGTCGGAATGTACCGCCTGGTGGCAGACGGTCTCGGCCGACGTAGAGAAGTGTGGCAATGGGGATGCCGTACGAGACTGTTAGCGCGATTGTGCTGACGCTGAGAATCGCTTCGAGGACGGGGCTGGCAAAGAGGTAGAGGACGCCGACGAGGGCGATGATGAAGCCCTGCAGCCAGAGGGCGCGGACGGGTGCTTTCCATTTTGGATCGATGACGGCAAAGTAGGCACTCCAAGGGAGACCGCCGTCTCGGGCAAAGCCCCAGGTTAGGCGCGAGGCTGTCGTGAGGATACTGATTCCCTGCCCCAGGCCGTTGAATATGAACAACGCCAGTAGGACAGAGGCAGCGTCCAAACCGGTAGTTTCTTGCATCAGTTGTATGAATGGGAGGTCTGCGTTGACGACGCTGTCAACATTTTGGATACCGAACAGACATATCACCATGAATATGAAGCCAGTTATGGCGCCGACGAGCACCGCCAGCCACATGACTCTAGGAGCGTTGCGGCGTGGATTTGGCAACTCTTCAGCGAGGTGGACTACTGAGTCGAACGCAGTCAGGCCATAGGCCGCTTGAACAAGACCCGTAAACCAGACGACTCCATCAGGCCATCCAGTCCGGTTGATCCACTGTCCAAAGACAAACGATGCCGGTTGATAAGACAGACCCGGTCTGACGGTGACCGATATAAGGATTGCCATCGAAAGAATGACAAACAGGGCCGAGAACCAGATGCCGACAAAGTTATTGAGCCAGGGAAGAATCTGCTCGCGCCGACAACTGACGACATTGACAATCGTCAGGATAAAGACGCAGCCAATGTAGACCAAGAACTGCAGCCAGCCCTTCCCAGCGCCGTCCCACTCTGGATCAAACATGGTCTTCATCCCCAGCAGAAACTCGGTCATAAAGGCAACTTGCGATGCGGTCAAAGTCCACCAACCAAAAGTGTTGATCCAGGCACAGGTATACGACAGGAAGCGGGCATTCGACACCCGGTACGTCCAGTAAGCCTGACCCAGGCACGAGGGCATTGAGCTCACTAGTTCACCCAGGGATATAGCAACACAAAGGTTGCAACAAGTCACAAGAACCAAGCCCCAGAGGATGGTGATGGACCCGCCGTTGGTCAGCCCGCTGGACAGGCCCTGCGCGAAGGTCGAGTATGTTCCTAGAACACAGAAGGCGAGGCAAAACATGCTCCAGGGGCTGAATTTTCTTGACAGAGCCTGGACATGGCCCATGTCAGCCAGATCTTGTTCATCTTGGTCGCCTTTTTCGACGGGCTTGACGTTGGCGTCCATCACGAAGGATTCGGATAAAATTCTGGACGGATTGAATTTTCTCAAGACATTGCTAAGGGTCGGCGACGGCGACATATATATAGATTGCTCAAGACATTGAGTTTAGGAGGACGAATGATCGCAATGGGCGCTGCGAAGAAAATTCAGTCGGGTGTCGAAAATTGCGGGGAACACCGTTCGCCTTCCAGTCTGGTCCGTCAAGTGGGTCATTACCTCATTCCTGCAGGGCTTTGACGAAACAGCGTTATTCCTTGAGAAAACAACTCGGGTGCAGAATGTCCACTGGGAGTACATCGTAACGTGAGAGTAGGGTTCTATTGGAGTAAACAGCCTGAAGGGGAATGCGACCTCCCGGGGCCCCGCGATGGTGACTTCCTCTTTCAGCAGGTCCATGCGTGGCAGTCACGACAGAAGTCTACGCCTAGCGCCAATCTATTTACAATAGAGAGGATCTGAAAATCTGGGACAGCATTGAGTCTGCATTTTGTTCTTGCCGTCAAATCCTTTGTCCATTGGTAGCTCCATCCCCGCAATATATATTTCAGAGCCGACCCCAACGACACATGAAGCCCCAAGATACGTATTCCTCAACAGCACCAACAACTCCGAAATCCTTTCACAATCGGCTTCAACAGCTGCGATACTCCAATGGCGCCTCCGCGTAACTGGGAATACCCCTATCGTGGTCCTGCCAAGTTCACCCCGTCACCCAAACAATGCTAATAATCCTTCCCATTCATAGGCTTCAGCTTCAGATTCTCAATATCAACCCCTTCAACAACACGGACCTATCCCCACAACGTTAGCTTAAATCCCACCCTTGTTCGAGTGAGTCACCCGCCGGGCGCGGGGAAGCACAGCTGCGGGGGGCGAAACAATCATTCACCAAGAGAACCACCAACATTTACTGCGATAATATTCGCCGCCTCGGGACCCTTCGCATAGACACTCGAGCCGCAAGTTGAGCAAAAGTAGTGCGGGAATTGCTTGGTGTTGAAGCGGTATTCCTGGCGCCATTGTTAGCCTATCGCTGACCCAGTATCTCACAAGGGGTAACTATTGGGGGATAGTAGAGGACATGTACCGTCACCGCATCCTCTGCATGGTCGAACACCACATCTGACCCCTTGGGGTAGACGAGGAGATATCCGTTCCGTGAACACATGGAGCAGTTGCACTTGGCCACCTCGGATTCTTCGAGGGGGGTCTCGAGGGTGAAGGAGAATTTCACGGCGCCACAGTGGCAGCTCCCCTTGTAGGTCATTTTGAATACAATTCAATTCACGCGGAGGTGTCTGATGAGAAGTCGTGGTACGGAATGGAGAGAATACGAGGGAGCGCCTGGGTCCAACTATAAATACTTCGGGTTATGTGGCTGCTCAGGTGACCCCACTTGACTCACACTTGCTCATCTTCAGCTCAGCCTTCGCACCCGAGACAGCTACGTATATAATTCAAGATGGACTATCTGACTTGTCTTGAGAGGACACTATTCCCGTACGGTTGAGTCAAATAATGATGCTGTGCCCGGAATATTACTGGCTGAGGCCTCACTCACGCGCTCGTATTCAGCGGTCGAACGCACCACTGTTGGGACAGGTTGACTTGGCAGCTCAACCTCAACCTCAACCTCAACCCCTGGGAGCTAATAATCCATCGCTAGGGTCATGGAGCCAGTCTTGATCAGGCTCTTGACTACACAATTTCAATCGCATCGAGACCAGCAGACGGAAAATATCAAACAGATGTGACTATGTGTTGTGAGTACGAGCAAGGCTATTGGTTCTCGATCTGAGTATAGATAGATAGAATACAGCTCTGCGAAAACTGATAGGCAAGAGGCTCTGCTATATCGCCTAGAATGGTTGCTTTTGACGGACCCAACCCTAAGCCCCTGTTGCGTGGGGAGTCCCGAGCAAGGATTCCTTGTGGCGGGGACCCTCTCGAGAGTTCTGCAGCTCGGTGAGGACGCTTTGGCCCTGGTAATGCTCGTCCGACATAACTCCAAGGCCCGTAAGGCTACTTGGTATGGTTGAACGTGTGGTTGAGCCTCGCCCGTGAGCGAGTCCGACCAGGCACAGCCTACCAAGTCACCTGCCTTGCAGAATAAGAGCAGGGCCCATTGCCCCTGATTAGCCATTTAGTGGATAACTCTTACTCTTTGGCAAGGGCATAGGGCGTAGTTCCTAGTGCCGTGAGTTTTCCTATAAATAAACATGCTTGACTATATGATACATTCACCCTGAATGCCATTCGCAGAAATAGGGCTGGGTCGTAGGATAATGATCTGGCAGGGCAATCCGGAGCAATGGCCATCGCAGGCAGGTCATCAAGCACTGAAACAGTCAGGCTGCAGATCAGCTTGTGAAACACCATGTACATATCAGACAAGGCTGGACGGCTTATGGCCACCCAGGATCCTTCCGTCGACGCCCACTTGGGTAGCAACGCCTTAACCTGTGAAACGCTGAGGCCAGACGCGGCTACAATGTCAACGCCGCTTATATGTCCGCCCGCCCGGCAACCCAGCGACTCTGCGCACAAGCTTCGAGTCCTCACTCCTGCCTGTACACTACATCCGCCGAAAAAAAAAAAAAAAAAAAACATGACCATGGCCTGGCACGGCCACCGCGCGGCCAGACAGTCGGCAACAGCTGACAATGATAGCAACCCCGCAACTGTATTCTTTGTTGTTGCAGGGATATGTATCAGTCTGGCGGCACTTGCCGTTGCGATGCGACTGTATATCCGCTTTAGGATTACGCGGAATCCGTGGTGGGATGATGGTAGGGTCTGCGGGGCGCCTTTTATGTTGCTGGTTTAGTTAATCCATGACCTTTAGCAACCGCGGTGATTGCACTGGTCAGTGACTTGAAGATCTTGACGAATATAACAGAGTAATGGTTCCGGATTGGATCATTTCCCGATAATACCGGGGGCTAACGATCACCATGCAGATCCAAGAGCTCGCGGCGATCCTCGGCCAGCCCGCCGTCGGCGTTACCAAGCTAACGTTACTGCTCCTCTATCTGAGATTATTCTCGCAGAACACTCCAGTGAAATGGGGAATCTGGATAGGAATGGTTGCATGTTTTGCGTTCTATACATGCAGCATGTTCATCCTTACCTTCAGACTGACTGAGTCCGGCGTCAAAACGGCCTATGCCGTCACGGTGTTTGGGGTCGTCACGGATCTGTACCTAATCTGTCTGCCGCTGAGTGTTGTGGCGAGGCTCCATTTGAACCGCGCGAAGAAATGGCGGGTTGCCGGGGTGTTTGCAACAGGTCTTCTGTATGTATGCGGACCCAAACGAGAGTCTACCTAACCACCGTAGGCTAGTGCCGTTAGGCTAACATGAGACCTCTAGGCCCGTTGTGATGAGCATCTTGGGTTGCATATTCCGATTCGAGTTGGAGGTTCTGGATTATGCGCATGATATGCTGCCCATCTATCTTGTCTGGTATTGTCTTTGCGCCTCCGGTGTGTCACCGAGATCAGACCGGCTACTAACGGCCTTCGCAGCGTGGTAGAGGTGAACATTGGGATAGTCTGTGGTTGTCTCCCCCTGATGGCCATCCTATTTAGGAATCCACAAGACAAGCGCACCCGCCCCTCTCCGATAAGGATTCGCTCTTGGCGGGGGCCATCGAGGCCTTCGTGGTTTAGCATAAATATGCTCAGCGGAGTTGGTCATAGGCCCTATTCTAGGGAAGCGCTGGCAGGCTCAGACCGCAACGTCGAATTGGTGCTGGCAGAGGTTAGGCCTTGTGTGAATAGGGGATTGAGCAGAGAGACAGTGATCGCAGTTCCGGACGAGGGTGTTTGACGAGAGGCTCGCAGCTGGGGCGCGCTCCAGGCACTTTGTCTTTTTTTTTTTTTTTTGCTTCTTTGTCGATCAGGAAGTCTCAGACAAAGGGTTGGGCCTAATCCTTTAAGCTCATACTCCTGGTTTCTAGCAGGACGCTCCATTATCCTGCTGCACTGCCTACACAGGTATTGGAAATTGACTCGTCTACTCAATCGTTGGGATTGCATCTGCCCCCAAATCAACCAGCTGGGTAATACAGCCAAGTGCCAACATCAAAACATGTGTACCCTGACCTCGACAAGAGCCTCTGCGAGTAGTAAGATGGGCAGCGTCGTGTTTTCTGACGTGAAGAGTGAGATTGGCCCCGTCTGCAATCTCATCCACTTGATCGCCCCCATTGTGCGACCTTGTTTTCAGCTTCGCGGACCAAAGCCACACGCCGCCTGGCGATTATGGTCTCTGACCAGGGGCAGCCCAGTCAGTTTGCATGTCGGTGACAACAGCAATATTCATCCCTCTTCATTCCAGTAGGGATCAAAGGCGTAGATTCTGTCCCCAATTACCTGCGTGTCCTGAAGTAATAGGGAGCAGCCGTTGTGCAGAGCAGGGTTTTCATCATGCAGCTCACCACACTCGATGGCCAATGTCAGATCAATTTTTGGCTTGGCCACCTTCGGGGTTTCCTTATTCTTGGGATGCCTACCAGGTCGCTCGTCCCAAGGGGATATGTACCCTCGGAAGGGTGGATTGTTCGCAGATATGAAGGGGAGCTCCTTTGGTGGGAGGCCAGTCTTCACACTATCGCGCAAGCTTGAAGATGTACTGTGGCTAGACCTCAACAATAAGGGAGCAAACAGAGTTGCCACTTTTATGGTAGGGAAATAAGTGCCTTGGTGATGAATTGGTGATGCCGACAACACTGGAACAAGCAGTAATCCAGGGACAGCAAGGCACGTGATTACCCCAGGTGGACGCTATGCCGTTTCGGGCGATGAACAGGCTGACCCGGCAAATCTTCGGCAAACCACCTTCAACACCACCCCCAGCATCATCAACAGGGACCGCCTCGCCTCATCCTTCAACTTCGCATTTGTCTTTAAGCACTTAGCCTTGTATGCGACTCGCGAAGTAATCCCCCGAGGCTCTTGTTGGCTGTTGATAGGACTTTCCCCCTGACGGACCGGACAACCCACGCTCAAAACGCCAACAGCCTCGGCGAGGTTACACCACACCTGCGGTCTGCTCGGATAATCCGAACTTTCGCTCCCTCATCTCCGGCCTGGCAGGATATTGGCAATGATCGTTCTTGGAATTCGGGACTTGATACGCCGAAGAAGGTTGCCCGCTAGTATGGTCTCGGATCATTCTCCGCGCGATCAGCATGGAAGCGATGAAGACGCGGGGAAGCCTGCATATCATGCTACCTTGCGTGGCCGTGACGACAGGGTTCGGGCTATCATTACCCCAGACTGATCAATCTGCTCGATTGCGGGGAACCATGTCCACGCGACCGAGCCAAATGGCAACATACGCATAAATAGGGGCCATCCGATGGTCAACATTGCTCATCATCGAGCAACCATGTCGCTCTCAGTATCACAAGTCTCGTTCGAGCACCACCGAGCCGCTCTAGGAATTGGGGAATCGACACCTCGAATCTCCTGGAGGTTCAATGGTACTGTTTCCAATTGGTGGCAGAGTGCATACGACATCGAGATCAATCGCGGTGGCCACATAGAGACATACCACACCAAATCTTCTGACTCCGTGCTGGTGCCTTGGCCTGGCGAGCCATTAGAGTCAGGCGAGGAAGCGACCGTCAGAGTCAAGTCTTTTGGTCGCCACCGTCATGATAATACGCCCTGGTCGGACCCGGTCAGCGTTGAGCCGGGCCTGCTGAGCCCAGAGGACTGGCAGAGCGCGGAAGCAATCGTGTCCGATCGAGCGACCGAGGTGAACAGTACGCATCGCCCAATATACTTTCGCAAAGACTTCTCCGTGGATGAGGAAGTACTCGCGGCTAGGTTATACATAACCGCACTGGGGGTATACGAGGCTCATCTCAATGGACAAAGGGTCGGAGATCTCGTCCTTGCACCCGGCTGGCAGTCATATGCATATCGACACGAGTACAATACCTACGATGTCACGGACCTGCTACAAACTGGTGATAATGCTATCGGTGTCACCGTGGGAGAGGGCTGGTGGGCAGGTAACATTGGCTTCTCAGGGAACCGCAACATCTATGGTGATACGCTTGGTGTGCTCTGTCTGCTTTCCGTGACCACCTCGAATGGCACAAAAACCTTTATCCCTAGCGATGGGACGTGGAAGTCTTCAACGGGCCCCATAGTCGCCTCGGAAATCTATCACGGCGAGAAATACGACTCGACACAAGAGTTTGAGGGTTGGGATAGCCCTGGGTTCGACGCCACAGAATGGCTAGGGACGCATGCGGTCGACTTTGACAAGAGTGTCCTTGCTGCCCCAGATGCGCCCCCCGTTCGACGAATCGAGGAGCGAAAGCTGGAAAATGTCTTCTCCAGTGCGTCGGGAAAGACGGTGCTCGACTTTGGGCAGAATCTCGTTGGGTGGTTACGTGTGCGCGTCAAAGGGCCGAGGGGCAGCACGATAACATTCGTCCACACCGAAGGTATCACTTCCGTTATTTTCTTAGCTTGGTCGCATACTAACAACCACAGTCATGGAGAACGGCGAAGTTGCAACTCGTCCCCTGAGAACGGCAAAGGCCACAGACAAGCTCATTCTCTCCGGCGAAGACCAAGAATGGGAGCCATCGTTTACCTTCCACGGCTTCCGGTACGTGCAGGTCGAGGGCTGGCCCGCGGAGACAGAGCTCAATGCAGACTCCATCACTGCGATCGTGGTAAATACCGACATGGAACCAACGGGCTTCTTCAACTGCTCGAATCCACTTCTTAACAAACTACATGAGAACATCATTTGGTCCATGCGTGGAAACTTCCTCTCTATCCCAACAGATTGTCCTCAGCGCGACGAGCGTCTTGGGTGGACGGGCGATATTAACGCCTTTGCCCGTACGGCGAACTTCATCTACAACACCGCTGGCTTCCTCCGCGGGTGGCTGAAGGATGCATACAAGGAGCAAGTGGCAAACAACTGTACGCCCGTGGCCCCTTCTCCCCTTCTATTCATTCAGAAACCGCAACTAACGAAGCAGACGCACTACCTTTTGTTATTCCTAATATCTTAGGGCCCTCCGGGGGCGCTGCCGTCTGGAGCGACGCGATTGTCTCTGTTCCCTGGGCGCTCTTCCAAACCTATGGTGACAAAGGCATGCTTCTTGAACAGTATCCCGGGGCACAAGACTGGATCGATAGGGGACTTCCGCGCAACGAAGTTGGTCTCTGGAACAGATCGGCGTTTCAGTTTGGAGATTGGTTGGACCCCAAGGCCCCCGCGGACAGTCCGGGTGCTGCTACGACGAGCACCAGCCTTGTTGCGGATGCGTATCTGATCCATAGCACGGAGCTTCTCGCAAACATCTCCTCGTACCTCTCTCTACCAAAGAACGCTGCACAGTACGCTCGCGATCGTGAAAGGCTCACGCGTCTCTTCCAATCAGCCTGGATTACAAGAAACGGGATCGTTGCCAATGAAACGCAGACGGGTCTCACGCTCCCGCTCTACTTCAAGCTCTTCGCGAAACCACAGCACTACACCTCTGCGACCGACCGACTCACCAAGATAATCGCCAAGAACGACTACAAAGTCGGAACGGGCTTCGCAGGAACACATCTGCTCGGCCACGCCCTCACAGAGTACGACGCCGCCGACACATTCTACAAGATGCTTCTGAACGAGGAAGTCCCCGGGTGGCTCTTCCAGGTGATCATGAATGGCACAACAACCTGGGAGCGCTGGGACAGCATGCTACCAAATGGCAGCGTAAATCCCGGCGAGATGACCTCGTTCAATCACTACGCCGTCGGATCCGTGGGGAGCTGGATGCATGAGAATATCGGTGGGTTGAGTCCGGCTGAGCCCGGGTGGAGGAGGTTCAATGTGTCTGTGAAGCCTGGGGGTGGGTTGACGTCAGCCGAGGCACGGTTTTTGTCGCCGTATGGGCTTGTGCAGGCGAGGTGGACTGTTGAGAAGGGTCAGAAGGGGGGGTGTAAGGAGGTGTTCAAGTTGGCGGTGACTGTTCCTGCGAATAGTGAGGCTGTTGTCAGTCTGCCTGGGCGCCCGGTGAGGGGGAGAGGAGACGACGAGGTTGTTGTCGGATCGGGCGTTCATCATTTCGATCGATGTTTGAAGTAGTTGCTGCTGGATTAGTGCTATCGATGCATGGGCTGAAACTTAGCCTGAACTTAGCCCAAGCAACCGGTCCGTGACTGCGTGGGGACTTATTCTAGCGAATCGGATATGGATTCCATGCTTGGACGAGGCTTGATTAGAGCCAAATTTCACAAGCTTCACAAGGGCACTTCGGCTCCATTGAAGATCCAGTTCATCCACGCCGGACTAGATACCACGAGGCACCTAGAAAATTCAGCGCAAAGCTGCCTCGGAAAAACGATTACATGCTCTGTGACAACCAAAATTCAGGAATGGGTTGCTGCGTGGGGCGTGTGTTTTACCAATTTTCGAATGGACGTCGATCGTCGAGCACCACTATACCCACCATAATCGAGAGCAGCCACCTTCATTGGCATCGCAGACAATTGCTTAGCACGGAGCCCTCGGCCACTTTACCTCTTCAAATAATGAAACAAGCCGAAAAACAAACCATTATTGAACTCCGGCTCGCTCTTGGTCGCGGTTGCCCTATAAGTCAGACCCATCCACCCGCGCATTCCGAAGACTCCGTACAGGGAGTCAAACCTGCTCGGAGGAGCTCGAAGTCCAAAGCTCACTTTCAACCACCAGCACCATGTCCCGACTCACCCTATCCTCTCTAGTCCTCCTCCTATCGGCACCCCTGACCCTCGCTTGGGAATCAACATTCGACTACATCGTCGTGGGAGGCGGCACCGCCGGCGCAACCCTCGCAGCGCGCCTCGCACAGGGCTCACAATCCGTCGCGCTCATCGAAGCAGGAACGCACTACGAATCCAGCTGGGCACTCGCTGCGATCCCGGGCGCCGATGTCCTCCCCGTGGGCTCTGATCCGAGCACACAACTCGATGCGGATTGGGGGTTTGTGACGACGCCGCAGACACATGCTGCTGGGAGGGAGGTTCACTTTGCGAGGGGGAAGGGGTTGGGTGGGTCGTGAGTACTCACTTCTTCTTGGGCAATGAGGAATGAGGGGAGGTATGGATGCTAATTGCGATGGGGCAGGTCGGGGTTCAATTTTATGGTTTATCAGAGGTGTGACCGTCCTTCAAGGTATCACGAGATGAACAATAACTGACATGGCTAGGCCGACTCGTGAATCTATGGCGCAATGGGCGGAGACGGTTGGAGACGATAGCTATACATTCGACAACGCCCTTCCATTCTTCAAACGGAGCACAAAGTTTACGCCACCTGATACCCAGGCCCGGTTACAAAATGCGACGGTCAAATACAATGCCAATTCATTCGAATCCAGTGGCGGTCCACTAGAGATCACGTATTCCGACTACGCAATGCCGTTCTCAACGTGGATGAGGCTTGGAATGGACGCGATTGGCCTGCCGGAGTCGGGCGACTTTAATAATGGTGAAGTTAATGGGTACCAGTATTGTGCATCGACCATCCGGGCGAGTGATCAGAAGCGGAGTACATCGGCATCTTCATTCTTGAAGTCAGGAGACTTGAAGACGCTGAAGATCCTTGACAAGACACTCGCAAAGCGGATCCTCTTTGATGACCAGAAGAATGCAATTGGCGTCGAGGTAGCGAATCAACTTGGGTTTCTTTCAAATATCACGGCCACGAAAGAAGTCATCATCTCTGCCGGCGCCTTCCAATCACCGCAGCTGCTCATGGTCTCTGGAGTCGGACCAAAAGAGCAGCTAGAAGAACATGGCATCCCCGTCGTTGCTGAAAGACCCGGCGTCGGCCAGAATCTTTGGGACCATCCATTTTTCGCGCCCAGCTACCGAGTCAACGTTGAGACCTTTACACGACTGGCCAATGACTTTGGATACCTGGCCTCGTCCTCCCTCGACTTCATCCTCAAACACTCAGGTCCACTGACAAACCCAGTCGCGGATTTCATAGCATGGGAGAAAATACCAGACAATCTCCGGTCGAACTTTTCCTCGGAAACACAGGAAAGTCTAGCAAAGTTCCCCAGCGATTGGCCAGAGGCTGAGGTACTCACGCCTATGTTCATTGATAACTTACTACCACTATGCTAACGAAATGGCCAGTACATGTCTGGAGCCGGCTACGTAGGCAACTTCTCCAACCTCCTAAAAACGCAACCCAAGGATGGGTACCAGTACGCTTCAATCCTCGGCGTGTTGATTACACCGACCTCGCGCGGAAACATCACCCTCCACTCCGCCGATACATCTGACGCTCCCCTCATAAACCCCAACTGGCTCTCCACACGCTCAGACCAGGAACTCGCAATTGCCCTCTTCAAGCGGATCCGCGCCGCGTTCACTAGTGACGCTATGAAGCCCGTTGTCATCGGCGACGAGTATAACCCCAGCCTCGCCGTAGAAAGTGACGATCAGATCCTGGAGTGGATTAGGAAGAATGTCATGACGCTTTGGCATCCAGCTTGTACGTGTAAGATGGGCGTGGACGGAGATGAAATGGCTGTTGTGGATCACAAGGCGAGGGTATTTGGGGTCGGGAGGTTGAGGGTTGTCGATGCGAGTGCGTTTCCGTTTTTGCCGCCAGGGCATCCTCAGAGTACTGTTTGTAAGTCCTCCTTTCCGTTTCCCTCGTCCATTAGATATCGCGGCTAATGAGGGCAGATATGCTGGCTGAGAAGATCGCGGAGCATATATTGAGTAGTTCTTAAGGCTATGAGGTTACTTTATCGGACGTTAGAAATAGTAAACGAACTCGTATTCTAGTACGGCATATTCTATAACATGCATTTAATCAATTCTTAAAATATCATCAACGCGAACAACCCGCCCCGTCTTGATACTCTCATTAGCACATATCCCAGTCAAGATAGAAAGAGCACCATCAACATGGCTTGCAGCCCTCCGGTACGGATCACTCCCTTTAACTTCCCCGAAGAGATCGTTCAACAGCTCCGGATCCCCACCGCCATGCCCACCACTCCCCTCGGGAATCTCAATCTCAACGGGCTTCCCAAAGTGCGGACGCAGCAATATCGATCTCGATTCCAGGGCACCTTCCAGCGACTGCTCGCCGCCGGAGTTCACATACGACTGTTCGACAACTTCAACCTCGAGCCGGCCCTTGCTCCCATTGAACATAACCCTGAACCCTTCCCAGGGTGCATACGCGGTCAGGGAGTACGTAAGCACAGCCTTATTGCGGTACCGAACCATGACCCCCATCGTATCCTCGATGCTAATCCCGTCGCCGAAGACGGATTGGTCGCGGTAGTATGCGTCCTCGTGCTCCGCGTCCAGGTACATGGCCTTGAGCTGCGGGTTCTGGTCAAGATGTAAAGCGAAGGGGTCCTCCTTCGCGACGTCGCTTCCAAAGGCCCGGGAGTAGAATTTCGTCTCTCCGCGCCTCTCGGCATTCTCACGGCCGTAGAAGCGTAAATCGCCCATTGCGACGACCGTCTCAGGCCGACTGCGTAGCCAGAAGTTGACGAGATCGAAGTGGTGCGTGGATTTGTGCACGAGTAACCCGCCGCTGTTCCGCTTATCGCGGTGCCAGCGCCGGAAGTAGTCTGCGCCGTGCTGCGTGTTGAGAAGCCACTCGAAGTGGACGGAGTTCACTTCGCCGATTGCACCCGAGGAGAGGAGTTCGTAGATCTTGGTGTTGTGCGGCGCGTATCTGTAGTTGAAGGTGACACGAACTTGTTTCCCCGTCCGCTCGACGGCATCGAAGATCTCCCTGCACCGCGGTGCGTCGATGGTCATGGGTTTCTCGGTAATCACATTGCAGCCGGCATTGAGGGCGCGCGTGATATAAATGTTGTGGGTGCGGTCGATGGTTGTGATGATGATTTCGTCGGGTTTGGTTTCGGCGATCATTTTGTCAAAGTCGGCGGCTAGGTATGTGGGGATTCGTGGGTGGTTGAGGGCTTCGAGCTTGGAGTTTGCATAGTCGAGGCGGGTTTGGTTCGTGTCGCAGAATGCGACGAGTTGTGCGGTTTTGGGGAAGTCTTTGATGATTGCTGTGTAGAAGAAGATGGCGCGGCCGCCGGTGCCCACGAGGGCGTACTTCTTGGGCATGTTATGTGTTCCCCTTCAGGGTGATTGATTTTTTGCAGGAGAGCAATTTCTGTGCTTGGTGAATTGGAATCCCCGTCCTAGTACTTCTGCTAAAGGTGGGCAGTTACCCCGTATAAAAGCGCCTGCGGAGAACCTCGGGCGAAGTGAGCCCGACAAAGGACCGAACAGCTCAGCGATGCATGGCAGGAGACCATTTCCATGCCCAAAGTAGCATTTGCGCAACCCCAGGCGCAAATAGGCTAAATGACAGTTGGAGATGTCGATGCCGATTTTCCATGAATGAGAGCGCTAGAATCGGGGCGGGGAAGGGATGATCGGCAACCCCGCGGTCTGGGGTAGGGTCATCGTGTGATATCGTGAGGGTATCCCCTTCAGAGACTGGTCGCATTTATCCAGCCCTTGTACAATATCTGCCTTGGCGAATCCTGCGAGTATCAGTGTCCAATCGCGCCCTGGTGTGTGATGGTCAAGAGGCACAAGCCGGCAATGGGGAGCTTGACCTCACGCCCTTGTTAGCCATGCTCCGGGAAATCTGTCACCGAGAGGGTATAAAGTGCTTTGTCTCCAACTTTTCGCCGTTGTGTTGTCGGTCTTTGAGGCTATACGACACTAGCAGCATCCAGCAACATGAGCGACAAGCAACCCCCCGCAGGCCTCGAGCCCGCCGACGCCATCACACCCGCAGTGGAAACCCGTGTGGAGCCAACACCCACTGCCGAAAAGGCCGCCCAGTTCCTCGCCAAAGTAGGTGGGGACCACTCATTCACGGCGGAGGAAGAGGCCAAAGTCCTCCGACGCATCGACCTGCGTGTTCTCCCTCTCTTGCTCGGCGCCTACTTCTTCCAGCAGCTTGACAAGTCCTCCCTCTCTTACGTATCCATCTTTGGCCTTGTCGAAGATGCCAATCTCGTCGGCCAGCAGTACTCATGGCTCGGCTCGATCTTGTACTTTGCGCAGCTGGTCATGCAGCCGGTTGCCGCGTTAGTTCTGGTTAAGCTGCCGACAGGAAAAGTTATTGCTGGTGCCATCTTCCTCTGGGGGAGTTCCTTGACGATCATGGCGGCGTGCACAGATTTCCCTAGCTTGCTGGGGTTGAGATTCTGTTTGGGAGCGTTTGAGTCGATGATTGGTATGAGCTTCCCTTGCAAGGATATCGCTGTAGACCCGACTGACACCTTCGGTCAGCACCATCCTGTATTGCAGTCACGCAGATGTGGTGGCGCCGAGGCGAACAAACTGGGTAAGTTCCTCAAGCTTCGTCAGAAAATGGACAACTGACCTCGATAGGCGAGCGGCCGCGTGGAACGCAATGAATGGTGTCACATCAATAGTTCGTATCTCCCTCTCTGCCACTGGAAAACGAAACCTAACTGCCTAGGTCGGGAGTCTATTCACGTATGGCCTAGGGCATATCAAAAGCGACACGCTCTATTCCTATCAGGTATTTCCTCTCATCCAGATCTGCTCTCAAGCGACATTGCTAACCCCGATAGACGATCTTCATGCTGTGTGGTCTTCTCACGGTCGTGTACTCTTTGATCGTACTCATATTCATGCCAGACTCGCCGATGGAAGCCAAGTTCCTCTCCGAGCGCGAAAAGGTCATTGCTGTTGAGCGTCTCCGCGCAAACCAAATGGGTGTCGTCTCTCGAGACTGGCGCTGGGACCACGTGTGGGAGGCCGCCTTTGACGTGAAGACCTATTTGTGGTTCTTTTTGATTCTTACAATCTCGTGCGTGCCCTCCCTTTAGCTCTAACATTTGAACGGGGATGGACAAGAAATCGGAGCTGACTAAGGATCGATACCAGGATCCCAAGCGGCGGCATTAGCACCTTTGGCTCCCTCATTATCAAGTCCTTTGGGTACACGAATTTCGATGCTATCCTGTTTAACCTGCCCTTCGGTGCAGTCCAGGTCGTCGTCATCCTCGGCGGCGGGTGGCTTGCAACGAGGTTCAAGACCAGAGGACTTGTTATTGCAGGGATCGCAACGATCGCTGCTATTGGTACGATTCTAATGCTTACTGTTCCCAGAGAGCACAAAGGTGCGCTTTTGTTTGGATACTACCTTGTAGGGTTTCCCCTGGACCATCGTATTCGACGTATAGGCCCACCGAATGACTGACTGAATGCAGGTATCGTGTCTAGCGGGAATCACGCCTTTGATTTACTCCTGGCAAGGAATAAACACGGCTGGTGATACGAAGAAGAAAGTGAACTCTGGCGTCGTCCTCGTAGGCATGTGCACGGGCAATGTGAGACTCGCCGCCGTCGTTTGGCATTCGTGGGCTGACCGACTTGCAGATTATCGGACCTCAACTGTACTCCATTGATCAGGCACCCGAATACCGTCCTGGTTTGATTGCGAATCTGGTGCTCTTTATCCTTGTTGGGATTCTTGCGATGTATGGCGCGCCCCCGTATCCTATGTTCTCACAATGCACTAACCACTTGGGCAGTGTGGTGGATGTATATCTGTATTGGCTCAACAAGCAACATGCGAAGAAGCGAGAGGAGCTTGGAAAGAATGCCCGAATCGTTGATGAGTCGATGCTAAGAAAGGACGAAGTGCAGGAGAGCAAGGCACTGGAGCTGGAGGATGTTGGCGCTGAGAGGGACCGGAACGCGGTTGATAAGGGATTCCTCGACACGACAGACCTCAAGAACGAGGACTTTATCTATGTCTATTAGGCGGAGGAGCGAACCTTGGCTGCGAACATGGGGTATATTGATCTTTTCCTGGTACATTCCATTTGATACGTACATGTATGTCGCTATACAACGTGGGTCAAAAGTTTGTGCACACTTCCCGCGACCGTGGAACTTCTAAACTTCGACAACAACTTCAACCAGCAACAACTCCACCAAAATGAGAGCTTTTGGCACCGAAATAAGCGGAAATCGAAGGCCTGGAGGTGAACTGTCAAAGGAAACTCGCGCAGCTATTATATACGCCCTGGCCGCTGGTAAATCGCTGACGAAAATCGCGACTAAGTTTCGCGTTTCCAGGCGCGTGGTGTATAATACCAAAAACCGCTGGATTACCACCAAAACACTCGAAACTAGGCCTAGAACAGGAAGGCCGTAAAAGGTTAGCAAATCAACTGCAAGATATATATACCAGACGATACGTAGATTTCCAACGTTAAGCTGGAGGGCCCTCGCTACCGGCACACCTAATTCTCTCTCTATCTCAATAATTAAGCGGGTTCTAAAGCGATACTATATTAGGAAGTAGAAGTCAAAGAAGAGAATACCTTTATTAAAAGAATTAGCGAAGAAACGATACAAATTTACGAAGTTATAGTGGAAATATAAGCTTTAGAAGCGCTGGGCCTTCTCTAATAAATATAGCGTCTAACGAAAGGCCTCCCATGGAGTCTAATTTATCTTTCGCTATTAAAAAGAGGGCTTTAGGGAGGATCTAGTGAATCTTGAGGTTCATGGGAAGCCTATATCGCAGATGGTTTGGGCTTCTATCTAGCGTGGTGGCCGGTCAAAGTTAGTAGTCATGGAGAGGGACCCTAAGGCTAAAAAACAGGGATATAGCGCGAATAGTTACATCTAGGCGCTCGAGGAAGGTCTTATTAAAAACTACAAGCCTGGCTTCATATTCCAGCAAGATAACGCCCGGATTCATACAGCAGAGAGGACGCAGGAGTGGTTTAAATCTCATGGGATTTAGGTTATTAAATGGCCTCCACATTCACTAGATTTAAACCCGATCGAGCACGTCTGGAATATGCTAAAGAGGACTCTTCTAAAGCTTCATCCCTTTCTTTTTGAGGAAGGAAGGGCTAAGACTGACTGGAAGAACTTCCATGAAGCTATTCAAGAAGCTTGGTGGGCCATCCCCCAGGCCTTGATTGACGGTTTAATCGAGTCCATGCCCCGCCGGATAGAGGCAGTAATTCGAGCGCGCGGCTAGTACACGAAATATTGAATAGCTTCAATTTGCATGTATTAGGAAGTCTTAATTCGTTGTGGTTGTTGAATTATCGATATTTGGAGTTGGTGGGTGAACTATATATTTTAGGGTGTGCACAGACTTTTGACCTATAGTTGTAGGTTGAGCCTAGGCTAGTCGGTAGAAAGTCAAATACTGATTCTTCCGTGTCAGAGTTCCGCAGACTCATTGCATTCCATGACCATTCAGGCACAGAGCAAATAGCAGATGCAGAGACAGGATACGCGACGAGTAGTATAATTCACTCTGTGCAGGTCCCTTCCGAGCGCTCCTTTGTCTGACTTGGTAGCCGGATAGTAAGGTATAATATTCACAACAGCGGGTATGGTTTTGCTTCCGACCTGGTCCAATAGTTGTCAGCGAATGTTTATTCATCGTAAGGGGAATAGACCGTGTGTACTAACACATAAGCGGGAACTGAACTCCGACAACGGATCCTTGATCAACTAGAATCGTCTTTCATTGTGAAGGACTCCTGGTGCTTCCCTTGCCTCTCACCATCTCCTCGCAGTAACCTTCTTTCCCTTCTTTTGCTGGACAGCCTGTCCAATATTGTTTTCCTTCGCTTGGGACGCTATCTTCGTAGACAGTTCCACAAGCCGGCCATGTAGACCCTCGAGCGTTTCCTGAATATCACGTATTTCCTTCAATATCGTTTCGATCGTGTGGTGCTAACCCAAGATTAGTCTCAAGCAACGAGCGCAGAGAGAATGGCGTTTGTGGTTTCTTACTTCTGGACGCTTCCTGCTCTCATCAGCAACAAGGTTGTTCACGTGTTCCTCAAGCTTCGCTTTGTCGATTTTGTCCTTTAGGCGCTGCTCCTGGCGTTGTTTCTGAGCTGTGGTCAGCGGAAACACGTTGTTGTAGATGAGGGGATTGAAACCTGGATTCCCCTGGCTTGTCCTCTTCTTCTCGACATGGTGGAGATTGAGATGGATCAAACCATGATTTTTGAGCGAGAATACTCTCAATTGAGGGCGGAGACGGAGACTGGGGAATGGACGGAGTGTCGTTGACGGGAGCCGGCAGAGGTGAAGCTCTTGTGTTGCCAAAGATGGCAGGCAGGTCACGGGGTCTTTGTTACCTGAGCCGATTTGAGTGAATTGCTTCCCCCACAGATTTCTCCTTTCCTCATAATGACTGATTCCCTGGTGCGCTTTGTTTGGCTTCTGATGTTTAACTCTGGCGCTATACTCTAACATGACTTGCAAAGATGTGTTGAAGTTATCTCTTATCATGGTTAACCCTGGGCCTTGAAGATTAGAGAGGTTAAGAGGACTTCTAGTGCTGGTGGACAGTATGCAGTAAGAAAGAACCCGACCAGCCAAATAATATGCTAAGAAATACACAGAGTATTTGCCTCAAACCCGTTGGTCGGCCACAACTGATTTTGAACCCTCCTTGCCCGGCGCGTACTTTATGCTTGCACGCGGCCTAAAATGCAAACTCCATGCTGCCCGAGATGAAGGCTGACTGCTGCGCTTTTGAAAGCTTGCTGGATGGCCCAGAATGCCTCAGCTGCGATGACACGCTTCCGCAATGGCAGGGCTAGTGCTCAAAGACAACGCATGGCATCCACAAACAATGGGGGGTCATCGCTTTGTGCGGACTGCGCCAACGACGCTTTGTCCCATTATAACACATTCATTCCCTTTGTTCTTCCAGAAATCAGACAATAGGTATCCGGACAAGGCGCATAGTTCCGGCCCAGATATAAAATGAACACCAAAGCCCAATTTGAAATCCGTATCAAGCAACTCCACTCGATAGTATTGAACAATCTGAAGAAAATTCACAATGTCGAGACACTTCAGTCAGCTCCCCGAGGAAATTATTCTGGATATTTGCAAGAACCTCTCTACCAGCAGCTTGGCAGCTTTCGTCAAAACTTCCTCACGGACCTACCGCATCGGCCAACCAGTGCTCTACTCACCACAACCTCATAGCCGAGAGCTACTGTATGTCATTAAATGGTCAGCGACAAACCGCCAGGAACGTACTATGCACTATGCCCTCCCTAGGATTCTACGCTCAGACGAGGAAATAAGATTCAGAGCATTGACGCAAGCTAGTAAAGCTGGTTTTACTGACATTGTTCGCTCCATACTCGATAGTGGCGTGTGCCCTGACCCTCCGATTACTGGCCTGCAAAGCTCAGAAAACCCATACGAGTTCGAGGAGAGCTCGCCCCTCATGGCGACATTGGAAGGCAGACATTATGAGATTGCAGAGATTCTACTGGCAAGTGGCACTGACCCCGGCCTCTATGGCATGGAACAGGCTGCGATGCTAATTGCAGCAGGCGACAAACGAATCGGCCAGATGTTGATCGACCAAGGTCTACAAGTCCACGGCGTGGATGCTGCAGACCATAGCACCATGCTGCATAAACTCTGCAATATAGAACACGTTCCCATGGCTGCTATTGAATTGCTCCTTGAGAACGGACTTGACATCAACCAAGCCAACGCCAATCAAGAGAGCCCGCTCAATTGGGCAATCCGATTCGGCAAGCCCACATCGACTCAGCAGGATATCGTCCGCCTTCTCCTCTCCCGAGGCGCGCCAATAAATGAGCCGTGTAATGCCAATGGAGATTTCCCGATTCACGTCGCGGTCGCATTGGGCGAAACCCAAATGGTAAGGCTCCTTATCCAAATGGGCACATCGGTCAATGCTGTTAACAATCAGGACTCTACTCCACTCGGTGTCTTGGGCTCCCTGGGCTTTGAGAACTACTGTAACGACCACGAATATGAGACGGCCAAAGCTCTTCTGAATGGCGGGGCGTCGTTACAGCGGAACCTCTCCTGGGCGGCACGGCTGATAAAGAGAGCTGCAAGAAGTGGGCATGTCAATTACGTCCGTCTGCTTCTCGGCGCTTGGAAAAGTCAAGTACCCCAGCGGCAACCACTGTCACTTCCAGCTCGTTTTCTCGCAGCGGCTGCGCTGGGAGATGTTCAAATGATGCAGGATGTGCTGGACATCGACCGGGAATTCTTCTATACCCTACCAGCAGCCAACCCGTCGGTCCTTGAGGTTGTAGTCAGAAGTGGGAGCCAAAAGGCTGTTCGATTTATTACCAGCAAAATACACTACTGGCCAGGGAACCATAAGGTCACACTTCGCCATGCCCTAGCTCACGGAACAGAGGAAACGATTCGCTTCCTACTCGCACACTTCAGCATTATCAAAACAAGGGATCTAATCAAGGCAGTTGAAAGAGACTCACCCGCAACGCTCACACTTCTTCTAGGTCGGCTGAACGAACTCATTTCGGAGAGAGACCAATCATCGCCTGAGGATGCACTCGAGTTCGATGACGACGAGAAAATCACACAAAATATCAGCCAAGCATTGAAGGCTGCAGCGACAATTGGCAAGGTCGAAGCGGCCAGTCTATTATTGTCATTCATAGCAGGGCACAGGCTGGACTGCAGTCAAAACCACCTCCCTCTAATTATAGCGACAACGCACGGGCACGAAGTAATCGCTCTGATGATAATCCGCCAGGGACAAGCACTCAACACTCCTGACCAAACCGGAAAAACACCCCTAATGTACGCAGCAAGTTTTGGAAGAATAACTCTTATGAGAGCATTGATCAAAGCTGGAGCTGACCCAAGAATGACAGATTCAGATGGCAGGTCTGCAATTCTCTTGGCAGCCGCAGAAAAGCAGCACGACGCCGTCCGATACCTCATGGAGACATTCCCGCTCTCCACGCTTCTACCCCCTGGAAATATCAAGACGGAGGCGGCACGGGCGAATCTCATAGCTTACGCCGCCCGGTATCGCATCCCCGACCTCGGAGACTATCTAATGACCCATCCCGACATCTACGAAAACCTCTTTTATCTCTACTTCTGGGCCGCCCGTCACGGCAAGGCGCACCTCGTGGACGTTCTTCTCAGCCACACCCCGCTCAAGCTACTGCAGCGAGAGTCATACCTACGTAGGCGAGAAGAAATAACCGAGCCCGCTTTGGTCTATGCTACTTCTGCCCCGGCGGAGAGGCTTAAAGCGGCAAACGCTCTGCTCCACCACGGGGTAGACGTCAATTTGGATGATCTTAAGGGCAGAACGGCTTTGTCATATGCTGCGGAGAATGACTACGTGGACACCGCGAGACTTCTGGTCGCTGCAGGCGCAAATACAATAAAGGCTGACAAAAAGAAGAAGACACCCCTCCATTATGCCTCGAGCGACGAAATGATTAGAATTCCGTATTCTGGAAGCTGAGCAGCTTCTTTTGTTATTGTCTTATAAGTGAAACCTTTCTCTCTGCCTCCCCATTCAACTACATACAATTAATCAAAACATATCAACCCCATTAGAAGAGTTGAGAATTAACATATGTGCTCACTCTTTTGCTTAGTATGCTGTAGTTTTGCTAGGCCCACACCCCCTTTTACTATATATGCAAGTCTCTACCTGTGGACCCAGCAAGACACAACGAGGACTAGGAACGGAAGATCTCTTGCGCTTGTGCTTCTGACTTGCAGCGGCCCTGCGGCATCATCAACCTTCCTTCTAATGCGCTGTTATAGATCCCTTGCATTGTTATCGGTTTCAAGTCTCTCTGGACGTGGTCGAGATTGGATATCGTTATCGTTCGCCCTTTTTAGAGTCTAGGCCCCGACATGTGGGGACTCTGATCCTTGGGGGAAAATACGAGCGAAGCCAGCTTGGGGCCTCGCTCCCACTGGCAAGAGGGTCCCCCAGTATACTAGTGTGTCACGCAAACTCGACAGGGTATTAAGAAGGGCTAAAAAGCCACTGCCAGGTTCCCATCTCGCCTGTCTGACCTTGTGCTAAATGGGCACTAGCGTGGAGGCCTCCAGGACCAGGTTACGCTCGGCATTTCTTCCCTCCCCGCGTCTCCACGTTTACGACGGTAGTACCGCCCACGGAGGCTTGCTGGGATGCTACATGGATCACATGCAATCTGACCCGGTGATGGTTTGCAGCGGTAGGGGATGTGAATCGAGAGTTTTAAGGGCTGGAGTGCTCGTTTACAGCTTGTCCCTTATAGGCTCGTCTTTGCCTTTCCAAACCGCGACGAACAGGGTCCAAACCCCCTCGTTCGTCCTGAATTTTCGCGATTGGCTGGACGGCTCGAAACCCGAGAATTCTTGCGAATTCCCCAGATTTGGGGTCTCCACATCTCACGATGCACTATCGATGGTCATGGTCATGATGAATTGACCACCAGCTCTATAAAGAAGTGCTTGCGCACAATGGCCATCTCCTATCTACCTTTACTTTTCCATTACAATCTCACTTCGGATCCCATTCCCCTACTTCCACCACGATGGACGAAATCAAGGCGTCTCGCACAGAACGGGAGGTCGTCGACCCCCTCAAGCCCTCAATGACCGGCACCGTGGGCATCAGCGATGAGATACTCGCCCAGATGTCGGACAAAATCCAGGACTTCACCCAAACGATGGAACGCGCCCACCGCGCTTCCGAGTTTGAACACAGTATGACCAATGCCGAGGCTGTCAAACTCTACCCCAAGGCCATAGCCTGGTCATTTCTCATCAGTCTCTCGATTATCATGGAAGGGTACGATACCTCACTCTTGGGCTCATTCTACGCCTACCCTACGTTCGCGAAGAAGTTTGGCTCGTGGGATGAAGGCTCGCAGACCTATCAGGTCACCTCGGCCTGGCAATCAGGCCTTCAGAATGGAACCCAAGTCGGTCAGATCATGGGATTGATGGTGGCTGGCCTCATTGCCGACCGGTTCGGGTACAAGAAGACAATGTTCGGGGCCATGGTTATCCTGTGTGGATTCATCTTCCTCATGTTCTTTGCGCAAAACGTCGGCATGCTCTTCGCCGCTGAGCTGCTGTGTGGCCTTCCTTGGGGTGCTTTCCAGACCTTATCCGTGACCTATGCGGCCGAAGTGGCGCCCACGATTTTGCGACCCTACCTGACCGCGTACGTGAACCTCTGCTGGGTGACAGGACAATTCATTTCGATTGGCGTCCTCCGCGGTCTCCTACACCGAACTGACGAGTGGGGCTGGCGAATTCCCTACGCTATTCAATGGGTGTGGCCGTTGCCAATCATGGTGGGCCTCCTTTTCGCACCGGAAAGCCCCTGGTGGTTGGTGCGCCACAACCGACTTGATGAAGCAAGACGCTCTCTCCTGCGCTTAACAACTCGTGAAAACAGGCGCTATGACCCAGATGACGCAATCGCCTTGATGGTGGTCACGAACACTCAGGAGGAACTCAGCCGGGAGGGGGTTTCGTACTGGGACTGCTTCCGAGGCACCAACCTTCGACGAACTGAGATAGCCTGTGCCTCCTGGATGTCACAATGCTTGACTGGGATATGGTTTGGGGGCAATATAACGTATTTTCTTCAACAGCAGGGATTTAGCGCAGACCAGTCGTTCAATTTTGGTCTGGGGTTGAACGCACTGGCATTTTTGTCGACCCTTGGCTCATGGTTCGTTATGCGGTGGGTAGGGCGGCGTAAACTCTATCTCTGCGGCACAGGAACAATGCTTTCAGTTCTTCTGATCGTTGGTTTTATGGGTATACCGGCCAGCAATGCGGGAATCAGCTATGCCTCAGCAGCGATGTTGATGCTCTTCGTCCTCGCCTATGACCTCACAGTTGGCCCCGTGTGCTACGCCCTTGTCTCTGAGATTCCATCTACTCGTCTGCGGATCAAGAGCGCGGTTTTAGCTCGAAATGCGTACAACATCACAACCATCGGAGCAAATTTCCTGAATCCGCCGATCCTCAACCCGACGGCCTGGAACCTGCGGGGCAAAGGTGGCTTCATCTGGGCTGGATTCTGCTTCCTTTGTTTGGTTTGGATGTACTTTCGTCTTCCTGAGCCAAGTGGCCGTACCCCGAGTGAGTTGGATGTGCTCTTTGAGAATAAGATCTCGGCGAGGAAGTTCAGTGAGACGGAGGTGGATACGTTCCGGTCTGTGGCGATGCAGGAGCATTGACCTTTTTACTTTCTTTGATTGGTTATGTGACTGTTTAGTGCTCAAGATACTCTTTATTCAGGTAGCAGTTATCAAGGGCGGAGTGTCGTGGTGGTGGTGGTGGTGGTGGTGAACGGCGGCAGGATTTCCAGCGGGATTCGCCCACAAGTTTCTTCGAGGTAGTTGTCAGTCATACGCTAGGAAAGCTAGTATAGTCTTAACAGCTCTCTAAGAAATTGGATTCAGATTTAGGATTGAACTCCGTTTACATTTCAACGATGATATATTGTGGCGTCCCGCTCCCAAAGACTTTATAAACTCTCTCACCTTGCCGTAAATCCTCCATATCTCTCCCCATATTCCGCAGAACGCGGGGTAGGCTTAGTATATAATAAGGATCTACCCCTTTTTAGCAGACCCTGTATATAATGTACAAGCATACTACTACCCAAAAATGTGACAATGAGCTACCCCTTCCTCAACCTGCACCCTACAACTCCCCTGCTCTATAGCCCGTCAGAACCCGGCATCCCACCCTCCAAGAAGACGACAGAAGAAAGGTTAAAGCCAGAGGTATGTGCACTGCATTGATATTTATCGCGCTCTATAGCAGTTTCGTCTAGAAAGCTAACGCCACACACCCCCTGGATTAGGGCGGTGCACCCTCCAATGCCGAACCCAGACTCACACTCTCCCCCCATACCAAATCAACGGGGACGATACATGACTTCGCCAGACATGTCATTACACCCTTCGATGTGGGCTTCATGCTCGATCCTCTCAAGCTCAGCGCGGCTACCCCGTTCCTCTCGCCCGTGCTCCGCGTTCCTGGGCCAATACGGTACAAGGAATTTCGAGTCGCCGATTTTGAGAGCACCGGGGTTGAGCTGCCTGACAGGTACCCGGAGCTTTTGAGCCGTATCCCGAATGTCCGCCTTGTTCGTGTTTTGCCCGTCGAATTCGTAGTCGAGAAGGAAGATTGTGGTCGCGGCACGGAGTTGAACGCACAAAGGATTAGGGCAGATGGACGAGCAGATCAAATCCAACCGCTCATATCCACATCGTTGCGGATCGCGAGTGGAAGCGTCGACATGGTTACAGCGCGCAGTTTGCATAAAACATTCCGACTGGGGCGCCAGGCTCGCGCTTCAGACATAGAGCGAACCCTTGCTGAGTGTTTCCGTATACTACGACAGGGAGGAATCCTAGAGTATATCTTCTTCGAACGACGGCTTAGCAACGCTGGGCCGCGCGCCAAAGAGCTAGAGGAAATATGGAATGTCGACGTTGATGGTGCTTTGTCAATCAGTCATTTCATGGCGGCTCTTGACCAGGCCGGCTTTATAGGAGGGCAGCATCTTAGGACGATTTTTGGGTTGGTTACTCTGAATCGTTTATTCGATGAGCATGGGAGACGGAGAGGCAAGGGTATACGAGCCCAAGTAGGCCTGATGGGTCTGGGGATGGGGAGTACGAGCTCACCAGGGGCAGAGGGACTGGGAGAATTGCAGAAGGAGTGTGAGGAAGGAGGGACTGGGTGGAGATGCGTGATTGGGTGGTGTATTAAGCCATGACCGTCTGTATTAGTGCAACCCTCTGCTGTACCCCGCACAATCAAAGAGTCTCATCTCCACTTTCTCATCACCGGAGCAGTGCATGAGACTTAGCAACGCACAGCTTCATTTTTCGACCATAACTTTTGAATCAGCCTTCCACTTTTATTCCCCTTTTATGTCCATTTTTATCCTCACTCTCCATCAGCACCGCCTTAGTACAACGTCAGAAACCGAGTAGATGACCATGCCAAAACCTCCCCCATGCGACGCCTGCGCCCTCCGTCGGGTCAAATGCGACACCTGCAACCCATGTACCTGGTGCCTCAAACATGACCAACCATGCACATACCTCCGGGTCCGCAAACGCCGTGGACCCAAGGGCCCCAGGCCCTCGACAATAGTCAGGGTTGCCGAGCAGCGAACACTGTCGCCACGGATGGACGAATCTTCCCTTGCTTCTGTGCCGGTTAGTTCGACAGTTAATACCCCAGCGACACCGAGCAGTGGATCTGGATATACCAGCCGGATCCCACTAGCGCAATACTTCACGTACCTGGACATGTACCAGTCGAAGCTCTACGCGATCTGGCCGGTCGTCGCGGCCGAGAATCTCAAGGCGAGGTTATGCGACGAAACACATATCGAACCGGATGTTCATGCTCTTGCGGCTGCATTGAGTGCAGCGACGATTCTCCAACTGCGACTGCTGGATGCAGAGTCTGATAGTATCTCGGCTGCTGCTACGAGTGAAGCATTTGTGCGGGAATGTCTGCGGCATCGGAATACCTTGACATCCTCAAATACGATATCAACGAATTTGCTTTTGATATCGCTCTTCTTGCACATGTACTATGCGAATACAGGGCAGATTCACGCGGCAACGTTTGCGCTGCGCGATGCGATTACGTACGTCCATCTCTTGCGACTCGACGATGAAGACACGCTGGACTCGCTACCGGTTGAGGAGAGAGAAGTTGGGATTCGGATCTTCTGGGTGCTTTTCGTAACTGAACGGTAGTACTCCCCCCATCTCCCGGAGAGTATAGCCGCCATCGCAAACTCACGGATGTGGAAGCTGACGGTTCTACAGAACATTCTGCAGCACGCACGGAATCCCGATCCTGCTACAGAAGATATCCTATCTCCCCGACCCAACGCAAGAAATGAACAACGGCATCTGCTCGATAACCGGCTTCTGCTGCCTCGTGCGCCTCTTCACACTCGCCGAGTCGCTTCTTCCGTCCAAGACGAAAGCCATCGAGCGTCCACAGGAGAAGGGAGAGTTGCGGTTACTCTACCAGGATATCACCTCGAATTCCGTGACTGTGGGGCAGGGGCATGAACAGGGACAGGGCTGTACGAGTTTAAGCATGGTGACCCTGCAAGAGGTCGATATACAGACAACCAGAGCGTGGCTCCAGTCACTTCTCTGGCAGCGCGCGTTGTCGAACTTCTTACTGGACTCGCATGCGCGCGAGGCCCAGTTTACACCAGAGTTTCCGTTGACTCTTGCGAAGGGGTTGTTGGGGTTTCTTTCGAGGATTCCGCTCGAGTCTATCCGGCCGCATGCTTATGCTATGGTACATATTTGCCCTACATCCTACTACCATAAACACCCCATCATTTGAGCGGCAGAGCGCACCGGAGCTGACCACAACATACAAAATAGGAAGTAAAGCTCACCCAAGTCGCCCACACGCTACTGGATATAATAATGATCGTCCCCTCAATCCGGCGCGCACGGAGCTCACAGTCGAGTCCCGTGGACGTCGTCCTCGCCCTGGAAAAGCTACTCCGCTCTCTCTTTCGTCGCGAGAGCGAGACCGTCGCGTGTATGCGGAGGCGGTTGAGTGAGGTGGATTTGGGGCCCGTGAGTTTGGTGGGGGTCGAGTTGGGGCGGGGATTGCTGCGGGACACGGATTGCTCTGTAGACGAGGGTGCGTGCGAGGGCGAGGATGAGGACCAGGGGCAGGAGGAGGGGGGGCATGGGGTGGCTTGGTGGGATAGTCACAGGCTGGGACTGGAGCTGGGATTGGAGTTGGGGGGGACGCCGCTTGAGCAGGGGATCATTGAGGGTGAGGGCCAAGCGGCGTGGTACGGAGGAGATGTAAACTTTGCCAATCAGACAAGGATATAAACTAGACTCGGTCTCATTTTCGGGGAAACTATAGCATGGATTTCGCACCAAGTCAGTGTTTCGACGGTTCATGCAATGCGGGATCCCAGGCAGAACCAGTCAGAATTTCCGCGAGAATTCTCGCGAGACCACGTGGAGGCTGGACTCTGGAGGAGTCCACGGCTCCTGCTCGTATCCCAAACTCGATGCTCCTCCCACCCAGCTTCACACCTTGCCACCAGGGATTATCCAAACCCATGTCGGACCGAGCGGCATGGGGCGTCCATCTCTATTCGGTGCGGAGACTGCATTCCACGCCGTTCCCCCCATCCGGGAATTCTTCGGCATAATCACCGCCGAGGAAGCTGGATGAGGCACCTGGGCCAGCTGCAGCTGGCCATCCACATTGTCTCAGCGTCGTGTTGCATGCACATTCGAATTCGCATGGGCAACCACATTTCCTCGTCGCATTCGGGGAGCTCGGGGAGAACCAAGACTCATAATGCCGCCGAGAATTTCCACGACTCGCGCCGCGTGACCGGAGTTGCTGGCTTCAAATAGGTCTGATTGCCTTTTTTTTTGCAGTTGGGACGGGCATCACTTCGATAAAAGCTGTCGCTCAGGTCTCTCTCTGTTCTGTCTTTGTGGATTGAGCACATGTCGGAATAATGGCGCACCGCTACACCTTTGCACAAACCCCCCTCGCCCATCCGGAGGCAATTGTCGGCGGAACAGACGGATCCAAATATCGATTCACAGTCCTCGCGGATGGCCTGCTCCGCTACGAATATGCGGTCGATGGGCATTTCGAAGACCGCGCCTCCGTGCTCGCTGTTAACCGGCGCCTTCCCGTTCCAGAATTCCGCGTCAAGGAGACCGCGACGAGCCTCGAGATCATCACGCGCCGCTTCCACCTCACCTACGACAAAAATGCCTTTTCGCCAAGCGGTCTCAGTGCGGCCGTCAAAGGCAGTTTCTGGGAACATAGCAGTGTATGGCACTACGGCGATGAGAATGCCACCCTCGGCGGGACGGCGCGCACGCTCGATGAAGCGGATGGGCGGGTCGATATGGGGCATGGGATTGTCTCGCGGAAGGGGTATGCGAATATTGATGATTCGAGGTCGATGCTATTCGACGAGAACGGATGGATTGCGACAAGGAAAGAGGGCAACCGTGTCGACGGATACTTGTTCGCGTATGGACATGACTGTCGCGCGGCCGTGAAAGCGTTCTATGCGCTTTCGGGTCCCCAGCCCCTCCTTCCGCGATGGTCTCTGGGAAATTGGTGGAGCCGGTACCATGCGTATGACGAGGCGGAGTTTCTGGAGCTCATGGAGAATTTCAAATCAAGACGGATTCCGCTCTCTGTTGCTGTTCTCGATATGGACTGGCATATCGTCAAGGATCCCCGGGTTGCAGAGGCGGGTGTCACTGGGTGGACGGGGTATAGCTGGAACCAGCAGCTGTTCCCCGATCCTGAGGCGTTCTTGAAGAAGCTGCACGATTATGACCTAAAGATTTCGCTGAATGTCCATCCCGCTGATGGGGTTCAGAGCTACGAGGATCTGTACAAGGAAGTCGCAAACGCTCTTGGCCACGATACCTCTTTCAACGATCCAATCCAATTCGATATCACAAACCAGGCCTTCCTGGACGCATACTTTGACGTCCTGCACCGACGACTCGAAAGCCAGGGTGTCGACCTCTGGTGGGTAGATTGGCAACAGGGACAGCATTCCCGGATTCCCGGAATCGACCCCCTATGGGTCCTCAACCACTTCCACTTCCTCGATAGCGGCTACGATGGCAAGCGTCCCCTGACCTTCTCTCGTTACAGTGGCCCAGGGTCCCATCGGTACCCCGTCGGCTTTTCGGGAGACACGCACATCACCTGGGAGTCCCTAGCCTTCCAACCGGAATTCACAAACACGGCCTCGAATATCGGGTACGGCTGGTGGAGTCACGATATCGGCGGTCATATGCATGGAGCAAAGGATAACGAGCTGTTGATCCGCTGGGTGCAGTACGGGGTCTTCTCGCCCATGTTCCGTCTCCATTCATCCGATAACCCATGGAACGCAAAAGAGCCGTGGAACTTGAGTGGTGATGAGGAGCGCATACTCACCCGATTCCTCCGTCTCCGACACCGACTCGTTCCGTATCTCTATACGATGAATGCGCGCGCTGCGAGGGACGATCTCCCACTCATTCAACCAATGTATTGGGGATACCCCGAGCACGACGAAGCCTACCAGGTTCCGAACCAGTACCTGTACGGATCTGAACTCATGGTTGCGCCGATTACGGCACCGAGAGATAAAGAGTCTGGTCTTGGACAGGTCCTCGTCTGGTTCCCGCCTGCGAGACATGTCGATATCTTTAGCGGCGTCGTATACGATGGGAATCGTTTGCTCTGGGTCGCGAGGCCGTTGGATGCCTGCCCTGTCTTTGCACGCGAGGGCTCGATCATCCCGTTGGACGCAGAGGCTGAGCCGGAGAACGGGTGTAAGGAACCGGAGGGGATTGAGCTTGTCGTAGTCGTGGGCGCGGATGGGTCTTTCGAGCTACTCGAGGACGAGGGCACTGGGGCGACGTTGGATGGGATTGAGTTCTCCAGCACTTTGATCACTTTCTCGCAGTCTGCCGGCCGATTGACAATCAATCCGAGAAAGGGAGCCTCCTCTCCTCGAACCCATCGCACCTGGTCCATCCGTTTCCCAGGCTTCTCCTCCGCAAAGGAAATCCACTTCCACGTCAACTCCACAGCGCAAGGCGTCCACCCGGAAGGAAGCACCACAGGTCTCACCGTCCGACTCGGCTCACACAGTGTCGATGATGAACTCGTGCTGAGTATCGGCGAGAATCCGCAACTCGACGTTGTATCGCCGAATCCTCGGATCATGACATTCCTTCAACAGGCGCAGATGAGTCTTGGTCTCAAGGATCGGATTTGGAAGGTTGTTTCAAAGGAGGCGCCTGCTGCAGTCAGGGCGGGCGAATTGGTTGCGTTGGGCTTGAGGGATGAGATACTGCAGCCGATTTTGGAATGCATGCTTGCTGTTGCGTAGGTTTTGTTTAGTTATATGTATAGGTTGTCAATCTCATTCCTGAACAACAACGAGCCTACTATTCGTACTGTGTAGAGGACAACTAGGGCAAGCGCCCAGAGCCACGCAGGAGCGGTCGAGAGAGAACCCACCTGGTCGATCTATTACCTGTTGATCAAGGGCATGCATCCTCGTTAGTTTGATTCTTCTTGCTAGGAGGTTGAAGTAGTCCAGAGAGTTGGTGAATGGGTTGATATTTCAGCTGGTCTGGCATCTATGGTTCTGGACATATTCCCTAAATCCCCAGGAAAAGCATCTGATCCACGTCTAGAACGATGCGTCATTGAAGGTAATAGCAATCGGAATAATGGCCATTGTTGATAAACCTGAAAAGCCGGGGAAGCGTAATTCGAGCCGATTTTTCCGGGTTTTAAGCTTCCTTCAAAGTGCCTCAAGGGTATGGAATGTGGGGGACGCAAAATTACTTCCTGGTAGGCAGAACCATGATGCTAGAAATACCAAGCTTAGCCGGATCTAATTTAAGCGGATCACTTTCGGTTTCTTGGACCAAGATTCATACATAAACAATACCTTTTTAGGGATCTCCTTGTTCCATGATATGCGGCTGGCAACCTCGGAACGTCTGGATGTATTGCCAAGGTATCGAATCTTCCTAGAAGAGCCATCGAAGCTTCCATCGAGTCAATAGACTTTCGATGAGGCAAGAATTGCTGCTCATGACGTAAGCTGGCACCAACCCCTCCGCACCCATGGTCGAGAATGCGGGAAACGTGGCGGCCGCATGCTTACATTCCTGGTCATGGCGAAGCCTGTCAATGGGGGTCGAGTTCATACGAGATGATGTGAGATGTGGAGATTGTTGGTCAGCAGTGCTTTATGAGGTGGGGGCCATCCCTGTCGGGCAGGGCGCCTTGTCGGCCGCCCTTTTCGCATCATGATTCAGGAGCGTGCTCGGGTAATCGGATCGTGCCTGTGAGCGTATCATTGGCCCTGGAATTAGCTGCGATGTCCGGGGACGGATTAAGCCGGATTTAAGGTCCTTGCGAAGTCCCACTGGATTTCCCCATCCGGCGCTGGTCCGAGAACCCTCCATCCGCGATTCTGGAAAAATAAAGGGACTCGCCCCAGCTTCGACTTCTCTTCTTCTCATCGATGAAAGACGTCAAACATGGCGGAATCTGGCGAAAAGAGTGACGATGGCCCGAAGCCTGTTGGGTTCTTCGACCCGGCGCTGTCGTCGACTCGCAAATCGGTGTTCTTCCAATGGGCGCGCACAGGTTGAGTCGACCCCTTGCTCCAGGCTGCTGACGATCCCCAGCTGACCACCTGCCCCTCCGTGTAACAGTTCTTATGCTCTGCGTCTTTATTCTCTGCGTGCTTTCCCTCTACTGGGCTGTACAGTTTCGTGTCGAGGCCAAACTTCCGAATCTAAAAGTGTGGGTTGTCGATTTCGATGCCTCGTCCGATGCGGTCGTGGGCCCCGCCGTCACAGACCTCGCGCAATCCATCATAGACTCCGACACTCGGACCGTGGGGTATGTGATAAAACCTCCGACAGAGTTCAACAACGACCCCGTGGCCGTTCGCCAAGCGGTGTACGACGAGCACTGCTACGCTGCCATCGTGGTCAATTCCAACGCCAGCGCAGCCCTCCGAGCAGCAGTCAGTGGGGGAAACGATGCATACAACCCCTCGGACGCTGCGCAGTTTGTCACATTATCTGCCAGGGACCAGTCCACCTACTCCAGCTATATAACACCGGCTCTCAACTCGTTCGAGCTGCAGCTCCGTTCGGAGTTTGGGCCGGGATGGGTGAGCAGCCTGGCCGAGCAGTCGGTGAATTTATCCCGAGCTGCTCCTCAGGCGTTGAATCCAGCAGTCGGTTTTGAGACTGTGGATTTGAGGCCGTTCTCTCGGGCTGTGTCGACGCCGGCGGTCACCATCGGTCTGATCTACCTGATCATTATCGCCTTTTTCGCCTTCCCTTTCCTCATGCCCATCCACGCGCAATTCATCAAGGGCGACCATCCTCCGCTAAAGATCCCGCACTGGCTCGTGTGGCGCATCTCCTCAGATATCGCCGCGTACTTTTTCATGTCGCTGTTTTACTCCTTCGTGTCGCTGGCGTTCCAGATTCCGTTCACCAACTCTCCGGCGCCGGATACGGTCAGCGCTGACGAGCCAAATGCCTATGGCCGTGGCTCCTTTGTTGTCTTTTGGATGCTTAACTTTTTGGGGATGGCTTCGCTCGGTTTGCCTTGCATAAACATGGCGATGATTCTTGGATTCCCTTGGTCTAGTTTGTGGTTGATCTTCTGGGTTATCACAAACGTAGCCACAGGATTCTATGCCCTGGACCTGGCCCCCGGGTTTTTCCGCTGGGGATACGCGTGGCCGTTGCACCGAAGTAAGTCCCCTCTATCCATTCATCGTATTATGGATCCAGTTTGCTAACAATCGCAGTTGTCGAGGCGTCGCGGACCATCCTGTTCGGCACACACTCGCGCATCGGCCTGGACTTTGGCGTCTTGTTCGCGTGGGTTGGAGTTTCCATTTTATTCTTCCCCTTTGCGGCGTTTGTCATGCGCTGGAAGATGAAGCGGGGGATGTAAGGAAATACGTTGGTTAATAATTAATATATAGAGAATAGAAGATAGACATGACACCACAGCTTCAGCTTTGCTTTGCTTTGCTTTGCTTTTACTTTGGGCTGAAAAATGAGACGGATGCGTGACGTCATTGGAGTCAATTCCAACGAGCGAGCCAATCAGCGCTGTCCATGTTACCTGCCAAGCCCCGATGTAAATATAGAAACCTGCATTGGAAGCTGGAGGAAGCTCAATCGTGAGACAGTGAGACACGCCTTAAATCTCTTTCCTGCCTCTGGTTTCTTGTTTGTTCTTCTCTCTCCTGTCTCCTGATCATTCATCTCCCCATCACAGTCTCTCGCTACCACCAGATTTCATCGGTTTTCACCACCACATCTATTCCACTCGTTAACCACCTCTACCACGCCAATCAAAATGGCCAACGTAAACACAACATGCACAGGGGTATCTGCTTGGATTCTACCAGTCCAAGACGCCGCCTGCGGCCTCCCCAACACCGGCAACTCCTCCTCCATCATGGATAAGTGCTGCGGCGTCGCCGACGTCTCGAAATTCAACGACGACTGCGGCCTGTACTGTCTCGCGCAGGGCCAGAACGTCGGCGACCTGCTCAGCTGTATCGAAGACGCCGGCGCGACGCCGGGACAGTTCTTTTGCTCGGGGAATCAGAGTGCGACTGCGACTGCACCTGTTCCGTCGTCAACGGGTGGGAGTGATGATGATGACGATGACAACGATCCGTCCTCGACGAGCGATAGTGATGAGGCGGAGCCGACTGAGACGGATAATGCGGGTGTGAGGCTTGGACAGCCGGTTTCGAAGACGGGGCTCGGTGTGCTGGCTATGCTCTTCTGCTCGGCGCTTTTGGGGGTTGCCGCGTAGACGGCTGGGTTTGGTGTGGCTCGCTGTCACGGTCGACGATATAATTTGGTATGGAAATGCTTTGGTCTGGAAATAATTCTGCTGGATATAATTTGTGAAGCTTCGGATGCCAGCACCGTCGGGCTCGCTTGTTTGATTCTGTTGGTCTCGTTGGTTTGGTCGGTTGTATAATATTTGCATGTGCTTGCCTTTAATATTCGTATCTCTGTCTCTCTCTCTACCTGTCTGTCTGGTCTGGATCACCGACCGATAATCCATCTCATTGGGTTTCTCCATATGCATCATTGTTTCACCGTGGAATGTCGTACGGATACAACCCCCCTCGGCTCCTTACCTCTGCTCCCCTCTCCTTATCTCGTGATACCATTGTGCCCGGTATACCGCAGTGTAGAACCAGGATTGCTCCGTATCCCCTGCGTCACCAAGTTTTCATCCATCCTTGCGTTATCAGGCTTCAAGCATAGAGTCATAGCACATATTAACCCGGAAGATGATAGAGTATATAGCTATCTCCCCGCCGTACGCATCATCAACCCAAACACGGAGTACTATACGGGAACGATGTCTAACCCTAAGCCAGCGCTCAAGCCCTCCGAACGACTCTCCCTCGAGAAGATTGAGAAATTAGAACTGCCCTCGCCCTCCTCTCCATCATCATCGACTCCCGAAAATGGCGCCATCACCACCATCCCCATTCCCAATGCCACAACAGCGCCGCCCAAACTCGACCGCACAATCTCCTGGATCGGCGCCGTCGGCCTCGCATTTACAATCTCAAACTCCTGGATGTCCTATGCTGCAACGTTCGGGCCGTCCCTCGTCTACGGCGGCGGCGTGACTGTGCTCTTTGCGCTTATAATTGCTGCCGCGGCGCAGTGGGTTGTTCTATTGGGGGTTTGTGAGATGGCGAGTGCAATTCCTTCTTCTGGTGTAAGTGTTCTTCCAGCCCGGAGGAGGAGTGGGTATATCGGTGTTGGGTGTGGATGAACTTACAGAGGGTGATGTCAGGGCTGCTATCACTTTACATACTTCCTCGCGCCAAAGGAGACGCGGAATTTCGCCTCGTTTACGGTTGGGATTATTAATATGCTGGGGTTCTTGATCGGTGGGGTTTCTGGGATGATATACACGACGATTTCGGTTTTTGGCATCGTTGCGTTTTGGGTTGATGGGTTTATGCCTGCGCAGTGGCAGGTACGCCGTCCTCTATCACACTCGGACTCGAGTTTGGATTACGCAGTAACTGAACTCAATAGGTATACCTCGGCTTCGTCGGCGTGATCCTCCTATCCCGTGAGTCCACTCCATCCCAATCGTCTTCCAAAACCAGACCCTAACCTCCCTACGCAAACAGTAATCCCCATCCTAACCCTCCCGCAACGGCACACCAAATACCTAACAACAACCGGTCTGGGCCTCTCCCTTTTCTGCCTAGTCTTCTTCATGATAACCCTCCTCGTCATGGGCCGCGACCACTACACACCATCCAACCTCGTCGCGCACAGGAATCTCAGCGGCTGGTCGAATCCCACCGGGTGGTTGCTGAGTATCACGCTGGGCGAGTATAGTTTCTCGGCAACGGGGACGGTTGTGCATCTCGCCGAGGAGGTCGAGAGGCCGAGGAGGGGGATCCCGAGGGCTATGTATGCGCTCATATACCCTTCCCTTTCCCTTTCCGTTCTACCCATATCACACCCATCCCCGTCCTCGTCTCCCTGAGTAGAGGACTACCCAGACTAACAGTACTAGAAACGTAACAATGGCCATCAGCATAGCAACCGCAATCCCATTTATAATAGTTCTGGTCTGCGGGATCCGCGACATGGACGCCGTGCAGAATGCGTTTCTGCCCATCCTGGAGATCTTCTTTCAGATGACGGGGAGTAGGGCCGTGGCGACGCTGTTGCAGGCTTGTTTGGCCGGGCTTTACTTTTGTACGTCTTGTCCCTTTCCCTGGGGATGGGGTGGGGTAGGGATTTGGGCATGGGCATGGGCATTAGTGTGGGATGGGTTGTGACATAGACGAGCAGCCGAGCTAACTCATCCAGCAACCGTCTGCACGCAGTGGGTGTCAGTTAGTCGGATTGCGTGGACGCTGGCTAGAGATGTATGTCCTTGCCTCCACCATCTCAACTATCAAATCCCCATCTCACAAGATCCCAAACGCAGAACGCCCTCCCTTTCTCCAACCACCTGTCAAAAATCTCCGCAGGCCGTCGGATCCCCCTCCACGCAACCCTCGCCTCTGCAACATTTTGCATCCTCTTCGGCCTGATCTACATAGCGAGCACAACAGCATTCAGCAGCGTGGTAAATATGGCCACGCTGCTGCAGAACCTCGCGTACACGGTCCCGCAGGGGATACTGGTTGCTCAGCGGCGGAGGGGGCATTTGGCTGCGGAACGGGAGTTGCGACTGGAGTGGGGAAGAGAACGCGGGATGCTGGGATATGCTGTGAATGGGTTTTCGGTGGTCTGGCTGGTGTTTAGTGGGGTGTTGTTTTGTTTTCCGAATCGGGTTCCGACGACGGCGGGGAGTATGAATTAGTAGGTTGATCTATTTCTTCTTGGGTTGAGATGAATGATGGATGTGATGCTGACTATTGACCCTCGCCAGTGGCTCCGCGGTCATTTTCAGCCTCTTTATCGCCATCCTTCTCATGTACCTGGCTCGTCGGGGCAAGTATGATGGGCCGCAGATGAAGCATTTCGACTTTGTGACTCCGAGCATGGACTTGGATCCCGCTCTCACGACAGCAGTCACCTTGAATGCTATACCTCCTCGCCCTCTCGAATCCTCTCCCTGCCGGCCTGTTCATCATGCTGCTGCTGCTGCTGTTGCTGCTGTCGCCCCTCCTCGTCCTCACTTTCAACCCCCCTCTTCGGCATCCTCGGCAAAGCACACCAAAGCAACGTAATCCCCGCACCCAACCCAACAATAAAGGGCTGCAACACCTCAACCCCCTTCGCCTGCGCAATAGCTCCGACCGCGAACGGAAGAACAGCAGCTCCGGAGGCTCCAAACGCTGCTGCGAAGCCGATTGCGCTGACGTGCATAGACCGGGGCAGGAGGCGGGTGGCTACCACCACGGCGCCGGGGAACATGGGGCCGAGGAAGAAGCCCTGGATTGAGACGGCGATCACGGAGGCGTAGAAGTTTGGGACGAGCCAGAAGATCAGGGCGAATACTATGGCGAGGATGTTGTAGATCTGGGATAGGGTCAGGTCATCGGGTTGTCGGGCCATGCGATATCAGTTACGGGTCTTGCGGAGGGTTGGGGTCAAGTTAGAGGGGAGGAGGGGAAGGGAGGTAACGATATTAGAGCAGAATAGACGTACAACAATAGCTGTCTTCTCGCCGATCTTGGGCGTGATGAATCCCAGCACCACGCGGCCAAATGTAATCCCCAACCAGTACCCCGTCGCCCCCATTCCAGATGCAAAATCACCACCATCACGCACCCGCATTAGAAACGTCACTACCCAGCCCCCGATTGCAACTTCTTGACCGACGTAGATCAAGAGAAAAAAGGCCAGGAGCCAGGTTACGCGCGCGTAGCGGCGATCAAAAAGCGCGCGCCGCACCCCACCGTCATCGCTGGAGTTTAGGGCTTCGGTTTCGGCCCTAAAAGAGGCTGCGTCGGAATCCCAGAAGGTCCAGATGCAGGTTCCTACTTCTATTGCGGCGCATGCGACCTGCTACACGTTAGGTCCGTCTGAGCTGAGAGGGCGGTATGTAGTCTCACCATGATATAATAAAAATACCACCATCCCACTTTCGCCTCTGTGATCAAACTCGTGGCAACAAGCGGCGCAAGGACGGCACCCAATCCATACCACCCATGCAGGAGCCCGAGAACCTGGTTTGAATCCGCCATGTTCCCGATCCAGGCATTCCAGGCCGAGTCCGCGAGTCCATTTCCAAGGCCCGCGAAGATGAACGAGACCACGAGGACTGGATACGGCGGATGCAGGCAGTTGACGATGTACGCGATTAGATGGCAGCCTGGGCTGAGGATTGCGATTCCACGGCGTCCGAACCGGAGGTGTAGGATGTTGTTTGTTAGTGCAGCGAGGGTGTATCCGCCTATTGGAGAGAGGAAAACCAGTGAGACGGTTGTGTAGGAGAGGTTGTAGTGTTCCTCGAGCTTGGATGGGTTAGTTTTTGGTCTGGGCGAGAATATTAGGTTATGTGGGCGGGTTTCTTACATAGGGGATGAGGGGCTGATGGTCATGTTAGTAACGTACGATTTTTGAGACTCAGAATAAGAAAAGAGAGGGCAACATACTCCATAAGCCGAGTCATTCGCGCCCATGACAAGAAATGCCCAGAATGTCGCGAGGGTCTTGTAAATATTAGAGCGTGGATAGTTCCACCTTTCAACTTGGCGGCCAGCACAGTCACTCCCCGAACCCTGACTGTCAGGTCCATTATCGATGACATGGCCAGTGCGAGAGTGAGAGTCCCCCCGCACTGCACTATCCTTCTTCTCCGCATCCGCGTGGGCGGCGTTATTCGCAGGCGGCTGTGGCACCTTCTCATCTACATCGACCGTCATCGCCATCACCATCTCGCCACCAGAGATGTGCAAGGTCCAAAAATACCAGAACCTTGAGAAGGGGAGGGCGGCGGTCTGGTTAAATAGGAGGGCTTGTCGAGTTACCTGATGAGGCAGTTGGGTCAACTTTAGCCGGTGGAGGCTAGTGTCTCTGGGCACGCCATGCCTCGACCGTGGATCGGCGCTCGCTGGCCACGGCTCCCTATCGTCTCGGTTCGACCCTACTTTGCGGGGGTGTCGGGGCATCTACCCGACGGATGATTAGCTTTTTATGAAGCTGGCGTAAGCTTATACAAGCAAACTATGTGCTGACGCTTGCTTTGTTTGCTAAGGCGTCCTATCAACGTCTCCGTTTGATGCGGGTAGACAGGCGATATGCAGACGGCACTACGCCATGGTGCATCTCTAAAATCATTCCATCAGGAGCATTAATCTTGTAATCCTTTCAAGACATAGACCGAGCGGAGTTGATATAAGTCCGAGCGGCTTGCAGCTTTTTTCTCCACGGATTGAGGTTTGATTGGCGCCTACCTGGCGTCAGGGCTTGGCCGTGGCTTCACGGTCCTGTCAGCATAGAACTTGGACAAGACTCTTGCGGCTATGACAGCTCTGAGGTCATACTCTAATGCTTGGATGTTTTCTTCCGAGTCCGAGGTTGCGACCAGGGCAAGGACAGCGGCGACATAAAACTGAGTCACCTTGGGGGGTAAGGTAGGCGATTGTTCATGCGGTTTGGGATGCTCACTTACAGGAGTATATTAATCTGGGTCAAAAGAAAGGTTATAGTTCGATCAAAAGGTAGTTTAGCGTGTATGAGGTATCTAAACCGACTTGAGTTGTTTGTTGAATGCAGCAAGGCGGGAGTGGATGCCAGTATATATAACCGCATCCTCCGTCTGAATCCAAGACCCCCCAAGCTTATGGGCTTTATCCAGTGCATATTCTTACACATGTTCTAATCCTACCACAAGAACATGTTTCTTGATCCAAGCACTAAAGACAATAAGAGCCATGAATATGAACCTGATGAGTACCTAAGTGAGCGACCAAATAAGCGAGCAACTTGCTCGATAACCATTATATAGTCAATCCCATAGCCCTAAGCCAATTGATTGCTACTTTTTCCAATTGTACCAACAGCGTGAAGGACGTTTGCTTGTGAGCAAGCAAATCAGTGAGCACCAAGGAAGGACGGAAGTGAGGACCTAATCGAGCAGATAGTGAGCGATGCAAGGCTCTAAGCCCATACATTTCCTGGACAAGCCATGAAGCTGGTAAAATCAACCCTGATCTATTATTCTAAGAGATACAATCGTCTTACCATAGACGGCATGCTCAATAAATCGTACATGAAGGCAGAATGGAGAAGCATCCGGGGCGGTATGCAATAAGAGACAAATAAGTGAAATAAGGAAAAAACACAAGAGCGAAGAAAAAACGAATGAGAAGTGAAGAGTATTAAATGTGATAGCCGCCATGCACATAAAGCGGAGGATGCAGGTACTAGTCATGTTTATATCGTTGCGGGGCGGATTTACTCAGGCTTGCGGCCGACCATCAGGTACATCGGGGTGAAAAGCTTCTTCTCACCTCCGGCGACGAGGCAGTCGGCGGCCAGAGCCAGACTGTCGGCAGTCTTTTGTGTGCCTCGGGGGATAACTCTGATGGTCTCCAAGGCTCCCACGAAGCGGTGGACGAGACCACGGCCCCACCATGTCATGCGGGCAATGGTGAAGAAATCCCAGGGCGATGTCATGTGCTTGAAGGAACCGGCAAGAGGGTAGTACCACGGGATGGTGTCTGCTCGGTCGGCCAGATCCTCGTTGTGAAGAAGCTCGAAGCCGGCGTCCTTGATGGCCTTGAGACCCTCAGACACCCTGACCATGTTGGAGATACCGTCTCCCTGCTCGATACCGAGACGGATGCGGCGGTGCTCGGGGTTGTCATTGTCGTATTCGTCGGTCATGAGCCACTCGTAGACACCAAAGACACCACCGGGCTTCAACACACGGAAAATCTCGCTGTAGACACCAACGAGCTCGGGGGCGTGAACAGTCGCCTCAATGGCGTAGACGGCATCAAAGGAGTTATCGGGGAACTGCATCTGCATGAAATCACCCTTGACGAAGCTCAGCTTGTCGGTCAGACCTTCACGCTCTGCATAACGGGTCGCACGCTGGATCTGGTAGTCGTTGTTGTTGAACCCAACCACGTTGGCGTCAGTGAACTTGGCAATCTCGCGCGCGGGGCCGCCGACACCGCAGCCGACATCAAGGACCTTCATTCCGGGCTTGATGCCCATTGTGTGGGCGAGGTAGTGTTCGTGACGGGCAATGGCCTGGTAGAAGGGCTCTCCGTGGGAGAATCGGCAGAAGTGGAATGATGTACCCCAGCCGTACTCGTAGAGATCAGTGGCGAGGTTGTAGTAGCTGTAAACGAATCCATTAGTCAATGCTTTGCCGTCTTGTGTTAAAGAAAGGAACGTACTGTCTTGTCAACGTGGCATACTCGGCACGACGAGCCTGATCAAATACTGTTAGCCAGAGCCTTTACCAATCCAATCCAGCGAGATATCATACAGCCCGGGTCTCCTCTGTTTCCGTCTCAGCAGCTTTGTTGTCCCAGTGCTTAAAGTACTCGTCGACAGCGGCCTTTTGAGCAGCGGCGCTCTTTTGGCGCATGGCGGCGAAACCACCCTGGGCCTGGGCTGAGTTACCGTGCATGGCACGGTTGAACTCAGCATCGCGCTGGTGATCCTCCTTCTCGAGAGCTGAGGGAGCCATTGTTGTGAATTGAGATGTGTTTTTTAGGGAGAAATTTGTCGTGAAAAGGGGTGAAGCGGAAAAAGAGGCGGGACGGGAATGTCGCAGGCCGGAGGAGGAGTTGGAAGGAATTGAATGAGCAACACAACAGTCAACTCAAGAACAAATGGATTCTTATATCCGCGCAGGGGAAGAGAACAGCCGGGAGGTGTTTCGGAGGGAATGACGGGGAGGAAAGAGAAATGGGGAATACGCGATGGATACGATGGCCAGAAGAAAGGAGGTCAATTTCGAACCGACTTTTGAGGCCTTTTGGCCAATCGCGGCTCTTTCTAGGGGGAACTTTCGACGCTGCACCGCCTAACTTGTTGCAGCCTAGTCTGGGGTCGATCCAAACTCCTGACAGCCATCGCTTGGAGGCGAGAGCTGGAAGGCCATGCGGTCCGCGGGCGCCGGGCTCAAGAGTACGGCGTACAGAATACGATGCCCAGCCGCGTGGACTGAGTCGGTTGGAGTCGATCCGACGGATTAACTGATATGATCAGATTAAAGTAGCATTCAAGTTTCAAAATAACTGGATAACCTGCAGCCTGCATATCGAATAAAAATGCGTATTCGATACGACGATCGGCTGTGCAGCAAAAATCAAAGGCCTAGCCTGAGGCATTATGGATCCTAGACGCCACTGCGCCAGAAGCTCATTGAGCGTCCGTCAAGTGAAAATGAATGACAAAGCCACAAAGCTGGCCGCCGCCGCCACAGACACGCGCCACAGACACGCGCCACAGACACGCGCCACAGACACGCGCCACAGACACGCGCCACAGTGCAAATGCTATCGATAGTCGGATCGTAATTCTGCTCAAGTCACCACTTAACGGCCTTGACAAGGGCACCTAGATTACCGCAACCATGCCTCCACAAATTAAACAAGATCTCAACCGCTCAGGATGGGAGTCAACGGACTTCCCGTCTGTCTGCGAGAACTGCCTGCCCGAGAACCCGTACGTCCAGATGCTCAAAGAGGACTACGGCGCTGAATGCAAGATTGTAAGTACAACCTGCAACACTCTGCAAAGGAAATACTAACATTTACAGTGCACTCGTCCATTCACCATATTCCGATGGAAAGCCGACCGCACGGCGCGGACCAAGCGCACCGCCATCTGCCTCACCTGTGCCCGATTGAAGAACTGCTGCCAGTGCTGTATGCTCGACTTGTCATTTGGTCTCCCGATCGTCGTCCGTGATGCTGCGCTCAAGATGGTCGCTCCGGGTCCGGAGAGCTCCATTAACCGCGAATACTACGCGCAAGGCCACGAGAAGGAAATCGAGGAAGGGCGGGGCGCCGTCGAGGAATACGAAAAGACAGACGAAAAAGCCCGCGAGCTACTTCGCAGGCTCGCCAACAGCCAGCCATATTACAGAAAACAGCGACAACTAGAAGGACCGCAGGAAGATGGAGAGTCGGAAACACCTACCAGTTCAGATGCACCGGTAGTCAAGAGCAGGTACGGTAACGCGCCTGGGCCCATTCGGACGAGCGAAAGCAGACGAGGCACACCACTCCCTGGTCGGGGAGGCCGTGGCGCTGCCCGTGGAGGTCGTGGTGGTCGACCTTTCCCTGGTACTGCACAGCTTCCGCCATCACAGGAGGATATTCTCCCGCCTGCAGACCCGAACATCTTGTCGCTGTTTGTCACGGGTGTTGAGGACGATCTCCCGGAGCACGCGCTTCGGTCTTTCTTCTCCCAGTTTGGCCAGCTTCGCTCTCTCATCTGCTCGCATCGCGCTCACTGTGCGTTTGTTAATTACGCCACACGTGAGGCTGCCGAAGAGGCCGCCAAGCAGTGCCAGGGCAAAGCTGTCATCCAAGGATGTCCACTGAGAATCCGTTGGGGTAAGCCGAAGGCACTGGATAATATGGACCGCGAGGAACGACTCAAGTACGCTCGCGAAGGCCGACAGGCCACAGGCTCCCCTGCCAACGCAGGTCGCGAAACCAGAGCTATCACAGCCGCCGGTGGCGAGGAACAGCAAGATAAGTCTCGCAACGTGCTCGTTGCTCCTCCCCCAGGCAGCGGCGAGGTTCAGTACTCCAGTTTATCCGGCGATTAAGTTATGTATTCTATTATCTGCCTCATTCATGTATTGCAGCAGCACGATTGGGAAGGCTTCATGTTTGTTTCGAAGCGGGCGTTATTGTATATTTCAATTCTATTGCTGTGCACTGCGCATGATCACCTAAACCAGAGACGCCAAAGGAGAGAGAAAAGCTGGGTATACTATAATACAAAATGGTTGCAAGCGTTCTGTAAAATCTTGCTTGCCGTCTTCCATCCCATAATATACATCGCGCGGACGAGTAACATCGTCGTATATATTCTTGTACCTATGACGCTGACGAGCACGGCTTGTCGACCTTGACGCTCTTCCCAGCAATCTTGATAGAATCATTATCACCACGCTCGATCTCATCGTGTATGCGGAGTTCTGTCACAGTCCATATGTTAGCCCCTCGATGCCAATCCATTATTTTCAGAGTAAAAGAAGGAGGATACACACCCCACCGCGCATTCTCATCCTCCGCACTCCTGGCACCCTGCACTATGTTATGCCGCAGAATGCTTGCAACCTCTATGGCGTGGTTGATCTGCATGGGAGTATCGATTCCTAATCGGCGGTGCTTCTCAAAGTTTTGGCGGGCTTCTTGACGGGCTGCGAGGAGGACGCGAGTGTCATCTATTGCAGGCTTATATTAGCACGCCGCTGGAACGGTTTGGTAATTGGGAGACGGACTCTGGAAGGCAATGCGGGCTGCACGCAGGATTTGGCGGTAGGCACTTAGTGCTGAGACGGCAGGTTGCGAGGCCATTTTATTGTGTGTCTAGAAAGTTCTTGGGAAGGTAGAGAAAGTAAGTCGAGTGTCAGGATGTTGCTTTGCGGTGGTGGCGCTATGGAGGAAGGGAGGGCGCGGAGGTTCACGGGTTGTGAGCAGAACGCTTATAAGAAGAAAGCAAATTTGTAGTGAGCACCTAGTTCAATGAGAGGTATATCTGACCAAAGAACGAATGATTGAAGAACAGAGCCTGGAAAAGTCTCGCCGTCCTCATCCTTCGGCATTCAATGACCTCCGAAACCAAGCATCCGCTGATTGGGTGAAGGCGAGGCGGGGAGTGCTGGCAGAAAAAAATAAACTCGCTCGCCCACTCAATTTTCAGCGCCCCAGTGTTGATCCCCTCTACACTTTGTCCATCCTTTTACCTCTTATCTCCCCCTCCTCCTTCGAAGCTCGGATCTGGTCATCGGCTTCATTCTCAAAATGTCCTCCGCCCAGGTTATCAACGTTACCCTCCCCGCCCTGTCTGCCGACTGGAGCGCCGACAAGGACTTCAAGGCTATTGGCAAGGTCTCCGCCGCTACACAAAGGAACCTCGAGCCTGTTGGTCCTCATTTCCTTGCTCACGCCCGCAGAGTACGTTTATCTCCTCAAAGTATATATCTTGCTCAATAAGCGATATATACCCTGATTGTCTCTTGCAATGCGGGACAATGCTAATGTCTCTATAGAAGCGCCACCAGCGCACTTTCTCCGAGGACGAGCGCATCCAGGCCCAGCAGAACGTCAAGAAGACCGAAGATGATGAGGATGATGATATCTCTGAGGATGAGGACCCCATGATGCTCCAGCGTGATGCCAAGGACTGGAAGGTATGCATCCCAAATTATCGAGCCATGGACAAATCTAATGTCTCTCTAGAGCCAAGATCACTACGCTGTTCTCGGCTTGAGCAAGCACCGCTGGCGCGCGACCCCCGAGCAGATCAAGCGTGCTCACCGCAAGAAGGTGCTCCGTCACCACCCCGATAAGAAGGCCGCCCTCGGCGACCGCGACGAGAACGACAGCTTCTTCAAGTGTATCCAAAAGGCCACCGAGATGCTCCTCGACCCCGTCAAGCGCCGCCAGTTCGATTCCGTCGACGAGGCTGCCGAGGTCGAGCCCCCCACCAAGAAGGAAGTCCAGAAGGGCAACTTCTACAAGCTCTGGGCTCCTGTTTTCCGCGCCGAAGGCCGTTTCTCCAAGATCCAGCCTGTTCCCGAACTAGGTGACGACAACAGCACCTTTGAGGAGGTTGACGCTTTCTACAACTTCTGGTACAACTTTGACAGCTGGCGTACGTTCGAGTACCTTGACGAGGATGTTCCCGATGACAACGAGAACCGTGACCAGAAACGTCACGTTGAGAAGAAGAACGCCAACGCCCGCCGCAAGCGCAAGACCGAGGACACTGCCCGGCTCCGACACCTTGTCGACGACTGCGCCGCCATGGATGAGCGTATCAAGAAGTTCCGCAAGGCCGCTCGTGCCGACAAGGACAAGAAGCGTCTTGAAAAGGAGGCCGAGGCCAAGCGACTGGTTGAGGAGAAGGAGAAGGCCCGTCTTGAGGAGGAACAGCGCAAGAAGGATGCTGAGGAGGCTGCCAAGGCTGACCGTGAGAAGGCAAAGAAGGCCAAGGAGGCCGCTAAGAACGCCACTAAGAAGAACAAGCGTGTGCTCAAGGGCTCCGTCAAGGACGTCAACTACTTTGCCGAGAGTGGCGAGCCGTCTGCCGCCCAGGTCGACGCTGTGCTCACCGATGTCGACAACGTCATCAGCAAGATCGACGCCGAGGAGCTCGCTTCTCTGGCCGAGCGTCTTACTATTGCTGGCAAGGACGGTGCTGCTGTCAAGAACGTGTACACAGAGGAGTTCAAGAGGCTGGTTGGAGCCGGCAAAGCCAAGGATGGCGAGGCCAAGTTCTTCGCTTAGATTTGTTTCTCCACCTGAGTATAGACTTGCACAGTGATTAGAACATAGAGCGGGCTGTGCTATGAGCGGCGCGATGAATATTGACGAATAAATGCAATCTTATTATCTTCTTGTCATCTCCGCCATTTCCTGTCATTATCAGCCAACTCGGTCGTTTGGACCGTAGACCAGCCCACGTGGGAGGGGTGACACCGAGATCAGGCAAGTGGTCATGGCCGCCTGTATGCCTCGTGGATAAGCCTTGCCAATCCCTGCCAATCCCAGGCTGTGGATGCTTAGGAAGCTTGTCGGGTGCCCCAGTACCTTGAAGGCGCGAGTTGCAGGGGGAAAGCAGTCGAGTCAGAGCTCCCCGACGCCGCACGTGGCCCCGCATTCTCCACCCTCGCCTTCTACTGTTTCTTTGGAGAACCTCCATCTCTCCTCTTCTAGTCCAGTCAACAGCGATCGATGTACAACGTGCATCTAAACAAGCTACGCGAGGTGGGCCTTTGGATATGCTCCCGAAGATTGTCATGGCACGATGTAACCAATCGAGGCCAGGGCATTAGAGCAGATACTCACGCGTGGGAGCAACGAGATGAACTCAACTCGGATTTGCCCTTGCCTGTCAAGTTATAAAAGGGCCGCCGATCTCATGCTGGACAGTCTTTCTTTCTGTTCCAGCTCACAGGTCTTCTAGACGCCGATCTTCACCCATCGTTGTGAATCTCAAACTCCCCGGCGCCATGTATACCAAGAAGGCTCTTGTCGCCCTCCTCGGAGGTCTGACCCTCTCTCTAGCTCAGACCTCCTCTGAGCAAACTCCCTCTGTAGCAGAGATTGAAGCTGCTCGCGCTACCACTCTGCCACACTCGCCCGTCTCCAACGCGAAGGGCAAGTCCTTCCAGCGTTTCATCAACATCTGGCTGGAGAACACCGTGCGTCTTTCCTTATCTTCTCATACTCCTCTATACTCACCCCGGTGTTAGGACTTCGAATCCGCCGCCAACGAGGGCCACCTCGCAAAGCTCGCAAAGAAGGGTCTAACCCTCACCAACCTCTGGGCCGTCACTCACCCCTCAGAGCCCAACTACTGCGCCTCCGCCGGCGGCGACACCTTCGGCATGGACAACGACGACTTCATCCAGATCCCCTCAAACGTCTCCACCATCGCCGACATGTTCGACACCAAGCACATCGCCTGGGGCGAGTACCAAGAGCACCTTCCCTACCCCGGTTACCAGGGCTTCCGGTACCCGACCTCGGGAGCAAACGACTATGTCCGGAAACACAACCCCATGGTCCTCTTCGACTCTGTCACCAAGGACGCGACGCGTCTTAGGCAGATTAAGAACTTCACCTCCTTCTACGAGGACCTAGAGAACCACGCGCTGCCGCAGTACGCCTTCATCACACCCAACATGACCAACGACGCACACGACACAAACATCTCCTTTGCCGGAACCTGGACGTGGGACTTCCTCATCGACCTCCTCGACAACGAGTACTTCACCAAGGATACCCTGATCATGCTGACCTTTGACGAAAACGACACATACGAGCTCGGCAACAACATCTTCACGTTCCTTCTCGGCGGCGCCGTCCCCAAGAACCTCATCGGGAAGGAAGACGACACGTTCTACACGCACTACAGTATCATCGCCTCGCTCTCTGCGAACTTTGGTCTCCCCTCGCTGGGCCGCTGGGACTGCGGCGCGAACCTGCTCAGTTTCCTGGCCGAGAAGGTCGGATACATCAACTGGGACGTCGACACGACGAACTTGTACCTGAATGTTTCGTACAATGGGCCGCTTTCTGATGGCTCGTATGCGGAGAAGACGTACGAGTGGCCTGTTCCGGCGACGAGTGGGAAGTGCTCGGGTGGCCATGGCATTCTGGATGTTGTCAAGAAGACTTGGGGGCATTTGAGTGCCACTCATGATTATTCGAGCCCGGTTCCTTTTGACAAGGAGACTGGGAACAGTGTTGGGATTAAGTATAGCCGGAAGCTGGTGAGTCGATCCTGCGCCTCCATTTTTCATACCAAAGCGGTGCTAACGATCATTCTGCAGAAGAACGGCAAGACTGAGAAGCATGTTACCGGACGCACGGATGGAACCTGCGCCTAGATAAGGATGTTCCGTTATAGAACTTGACAAAAACGCTATGATGCCGTGAATGTATACTTAGATTGGATTAATTACGACTCTATACACGTGGAAGAAAGTCTAATCTACCGAATAATTCAGCCATGAGTCTCCCGAATGTGGAAGCTCTTGAGCTTATAGAATGCATCAAAGGACTGCGGCCCGAGAGAGCATCCGAGACCGGAATTCTTCCATCCAACCCACGCGAGATCCTGTCATATTATGTCAGTCTACTTCTTATGATTAGTTAGATGAGGGGTGTGGGAGACAAACCGGACTAGGGTAATCACAGCGATTAACAAACACCGTACCCGCCTCAATCCGCTCAATGAGTTCCTCGCCACTCTGGATATCCTTCGTCCACACGCTCGCAGTGAGACCATAGTCGCTATCATTCATGAGAGCGATGGCCTCGTCATCGGACGACACCTTCATAATCGGGATGACGGGACCAAACGTCTCCTCGCGCATGACACGCATATCGTGCGAGACGTTTGTGAGGACTCGTGGGGCGATGAAGCTTCCTTGGGATGGGAGGGAGTCGAATGTGGGGTTCTTGGGTGTTGAGTCGACGGCGCCGCGGGAGAGGGCATCATCAATGTGCGATTGGATGTTCTTGACTGCTTGATGGGAGATGACGGGGCCGGTGGTTGTGGCTTTGTCGGTGGGGTCGCCGAGTTTGTAGCTGTCGCGGATTAGTTGTAGTAACGAGAAGGGTAGGCGTAGGTGGCATACGTTGCAAGCTCCTTCTGCACTTCAGCTACAAAAGCATCGTGCACATCGGCATGGACATAGACCCGCTCAATCGCGCAGCAACTCTGGCCGGAGTTGAACACGGCGCCGTCTACAACCTGTCCAGCCGTGTAGGCTAGATCGGCGTCGGCGCGGACATAAGCTGGGTCGTTACCACCGAGCTCGAGGTTCAGTGGTACAATTCTTCCAGCAGTTGCCTGGCGCAGACGAATACCACCCTGTGTAGAACCAACAAACGAAACCAGCTTGATCTGAGGAATCTTGACAATCTCGTCGAAAACCTCCCAGGCGCCGAAGTGGACCACTTGCAGGACGTTTTTGGGAAGACCGGCTTCGTTAAAGTACTGTACTAGCTTCTCGCCGACGAGGGGTGTTTGTGGAGAGGGTCGAAGGAGGACTGTGTTTCCGGCAAGGAGGGCGGGGACGAGAGCGTTGATGGTGATGAGGTAGGGGTACTGCAAGGTCAGTATCTATGCCTCTGCAATACAGCAGCTAACCTACATTCCAAGCCGTCGCAAGGAGCACCGGCCCAACAGCCTCCTTCTTCACATATCTCCTAAACCCACTCTCCGCCTTGCCAGGAACACTCTTCAGGCTCTCATCCGCCAACTCAAGCAGATAATCCGCGCGCTTGCGCATGGTATCAATCTCGCCAGCGGTGTACGAAATCGGCCGACCCATCTGGTCAGTCAATTCCTGCGCCAGAGTCTCCTTGTTTGCATCGATTATATCCAACGCTTTGACGATGATGGCTTTCCGCTCGGCGAGGGGCAGCAGCTTGTACGTGCGGAAGGCATCTTCGGCCGCCTGGGCGATCTGGCCGACCTGCTCGAGCGAGGCGCCGGGGTGCTCGAAGATGACTTTTCCGGAGGAGGGAGAGAGCGTGCGAATTTGGTTCGACATCTTGTGTTGTTAAGTGAGGGCGTAGGAGAGAACACGTTATCTGGTGGGCGAGCGGCGACGTCGGCCATGGCTTATAAGGCGATAAGAGGTGGGGTAGTGCAGCCTGAGGTGTCGGTGCTGCGTCAATCAGATTCTCCAAGTACCTCGACGCGAGGTTCGAGTGCGTGGCGAATTTTGACCATTGTAAAAAGTGTGTCTCTAAGATGTTGATTACGATACACAACATTGGCTTACTTCCATACCGCGGTAGCAGTGATCCCTGTCGATGTGGATCTTCTATAAGCGCTCCCTCTCATCTCAAATTCTACCCCGCACCGCTCCCCTCTCAGTGATTTCTCTTTCCGCCGGACAACCACCGCTACTTGATTCCGCCGGACATGGTAGCGCAACTAATTTAAACAGCTCTAGAGCTCAAGTCGTGGCTGATATTACATTTCGCTCCCATACCATTCTTCTCCGCAACGTAGCCGCCCAAGTCATCACAATAAACGTTTTGCTTCAGACTCATTCTTGCGGCCTTCCCAGGACATGCGGGACATTGACATACAAATGACTCAATTGACAGTATTGTGACTATTATTTTAATAAGCAACAAGGCCTTGACTGCGTATACTATACGTCCGGTGAGTCGTTATAGTGCACGGTAGAAGGTTCTACCGATAAGCTTGCGAGGCTGAAGTAACCCAAGAGCTCGATTGTTAGCTTCAATCTTCTCCTTTCCAACGGGACTAATGTGCTATGCCTAAAAGATCTATACGGTGAACAAAGCAAATATCAATTGCATATACGCAAAGTCCTGACGGTGGACAACTCCTTGAGGAGACGAGCCACGTTAAGAAGAGTATAAATTCACCACCCCCACTCCCCTCGCCTCCCCTGTCTCTCTTCTCCTCATACTCGAACAACTCAAAACAATCACCTGAATTGTTCAGCCGAAATGGCTTGGTACGACTCTTACATCGGCAAACCAGTCACGGACCTGCCAACTCCATCTCTCATCCTCAGCAAACCAACAATTGAGCGCAATATCAGCCAACTCCACCAAGATGTTAAGAATTTGGGGATTGCCTTTCGCCCGCATGTCAAGACGCTCAAGGTTTGCCGTTCCATACTCCACTTACATGAAGAAGAAGGGATGGCGAGCCTAACCGTGCGCATAATAGTCCCTTGAGGTAACCCGCCTCATGCTCGACAATGGCCTTTATCGCAAGATTGTCGCCTCTACGCTCCCCGAAATCGAGGGTGCGCTCCCTCTCGTCAAAGAGGGAGTTCTCGATGAGGTTAGTCCTAGTCACATCAATCCCGTATACCCACGATTGCTAAAGAAAATCCGGGAAAGTGCCTCTACAGCATGCCCATCTACCCCAGCGTCCTCCCCCGCCTGGCACAACTCTCCGACACGCTCAAGATCGTTCTCATGATCGACAACGAGCAACATATCGACATTCTCGAACAGTTCCAAGGAACAAGAGCCTCTTGGCCCGTCTTCATCAAAATCGACGTTGGCACCCGACGCGCAGGCGTCGTAAAGTCCTCCTCCGTACTCCCGTCTCTCGTTCGCCGCGTAGAGGAGTCTCCCGCTGTCGAGCTGTACGGGTTCTATTGCCACGCCGGGCACTCTTATGCGTGTCGGACGAGCGAGGCCGCGGCGAGTGTCCTTAAGGATGAGGTTGAGGGTGTTGTTAGTGCATCGAAGTTTTTGTCTAAGAAGGAATCTGGACGAAAGGTCATTGTCTCGATTGGGTCGACGCCGACGGCACATGTTGTTTCGTCGCTGAGAGAGGTGTTGCCTGAGGGGTTGGAGTTGGAGTTGCATGCTGGTTTGTCCTCTTTCCCCCTCATTCTCCCCCGTTCGGAAGTGAAGAGAGTGCTAACAAAACTTAGGAAACTTCCCCTGCAACGACCTCCAACAAGTCTGCACAGGCCTCATCCCAGCAACCGCCCAATCCGTCCGCGTTCTCACAGAAGTCTGCAGCGTCTATCCCGAGCGCAACGAAGCGCTCATCAACGCGGGCACAATCGCACTCTCCAAGGAAACGAGCGATCTCCCTGGGTACGGCCGCGTAATCGACAGACCACAGTGGGCTGTTGTACGGACAAGTCAGGAGCATGGGATATTGGGACTCTCGGCCGCACCGGCGCTCTCTGTGCTTGGGGTCAATAATAATGAGGTTGATACGGAGGAAAAGGCAGATCAGACGTTTAGGATTGGGGATCGCGTGCTGCTTTGGTGCCAGCATGCTTGTATTACGGCGTCGGCGTTTCCGGTGTATTTTGTTGCTGATGAGAAGGATATTGTTAGGGAGGCGTGGGCTCCTTGGAAGGGGTGGTGAGCGTATTTGGGCATTTGAGGTGGAGCTAGGAATGTGAACGGAGTAGACTGTAGTATATAAGTGGAGAATTATATTAAATACTCAAGAAGGCAGACTGGACACGAAGACAAATGCTAAGCTAAATATAACAACCTGGCAGCCATAACATGCAATCATAACATATCATACGTAAGGATGAGAGAGAATCATTAAGAGGGTATACAAAACAATAACGAAAAGGCGTTTCACGTAGCGCAGTCATGCATCGGACTTGTTCTTCATCTTGTTCTTTTTCTCCTTCGTCTCAGGAGTACCATTCTCCTCTGCCCCATTGGCATCAGCACCGGTAGTCTCAGTCTCAGTCTCAGTCTCAGTCTCAGCCTCATCCTCGGCATCGGCCTCGGCTTCAATCTCATTATCATGGATTCCCTTTCCCTCCTGGGCCTCACCATTCTGCCTTCCATTCTCTACGCCAGTGGGCTTTCCCTTTTGCGGTGTGCTCTCAGCCTCGGACTGCACCTGGCTCTCTTGCGCGCTGCTCGCGGCCTTGCTATCGCGCCGCTTCTTCCCACGGTTAATCAGCCGATTATGGAACGCGGGCTCATCGACCTCGGGATCCTCATTCAGGATACGACGCGCCGACTCCCGTCCGATGACCGGCAGCCGATCGACGCCCTGCACACCCTGCGGAACGAGCTTGGGATCAAGCAGACCGACCTGGACGAGAACACTCGCCTGGTCCCAGTACACGTGCTCTGAGTAGAGTTTCCCCGAGCGCAAGCTGACGATGCTGACGAGGATGAATTCGACTTTTTTGTTTGTGGGACCCACGCCCGGGAGGAGCCAGGGGATTTCCTGGGTGTGCTGGAAGGAAACGAAGAGTTCGTCGACGATGCGGTCGGCGCCGATGGTGCGTGAGATAAGGCGGAGGTGCATGGATTCGGGGAGGTGGTCGAAGAAGTGCTGCTCGTAGAAGCGGCGAAGGGCGCGCGTGCCTGTGCCGCCGCTTAGGGTTGGGCCGTATGTAACGTTGGGGGTGAGGTTGGTCACGTATTCGTCCATAGTTTCGTTGATGTCCATTGAGAAGAATTTGCCTGTCGACAGGTGAGTTGGAGGCTAAGGGTTGGTGGTTGGGGCGGCTTACCCTGCAGGTGGTTCTCCCAGGACTTTTCCAGGTCTGTGTCGCGTCCGTAGGCCGAACGGAGTACATCGAGCGTCCGGGTAAAGGCGAGATCGGCAGCGAGGCGGTTGTACTCATCCAAGTCCACCTCCGCGAAGCCAGGCTGCGCATCGAAGTAAGTGTACGCGCGGTGTCCGATGTGCAGGCGCTCTCCGGTACCGATACCAGGATCAATCCGTCTGGATGTGCGCTTCTTCTTGCCCTGAAGGCCAAGGAGGGTTGGAGTTGTAGTGACGTCAATCGTGTCGCCAGCCAGGTGGGTGAGAATCTTTACTGATGGAGGGTATCGCGAGCGAGTGTCCGGAATGTTCGTTGGATAGTAGCAGACCAATGCGCAAAGTCGACTGACATTGTTTGGCTTGAGATAGTATTCCAGACAGAAAGAAGCAGCGTCGCCGAAGGCTGTAGACTTTAGTAAAGACCATCTTCTCGTGGTATACTTCGGCACTCACCAATAACACCATAGTTGTCTCCGACCCCAAGGCCCTCCTTGACGGCCATTAAGCGACGGACGTATTCCTTCTCGTCCTCTGTGAATGGAACATAGATGACACTGAATCCCTCCTTCTGCCATGCCTGCACGAATTCAGAGTCGAAATCCTCGGTTTCCGCGCTAATGATGAGTCGCGCGTTTCTCGAGTTGGAGTATAGAAAGCCACCGCCGGGCGCGTTGATGGTTAGCGAAGCCATGATGGGATTACTAAAGTACCTGAGAAACAGCCGGAATGATGAGATTTGTTCCTGGACAGAGTTCTGGAAACGTTGTTGTCGAAATCTTAAAAAGGGATCGCGGCAATACGTCACAGCCTGCATTTCACCCTCTACGTCATCTCATCATCTCGCAACCAAATCATCTGATAGAGCACACTGACATAACACCCCTTAACAGCCAGCATTATAGGCGAATAATATGCACCCTTTCTAAGCCGTACGTGGCTTAGTCTTATCCAACTTTAATGCTTGCTTTTTATATACTTCGGACGTTTCTGTCGCCCCGCATTCCAACCACGGCAACTTGCGACCCAGTAGAAAGCAGCCCAGAAGAGGAACAGCCAATGAAAGCTAAAAGCTATCTCGCACATAATCATGACGGGACGTAGACGTATGTCAATCCAATCCTCCAGGAGAGCAAAAAAAAAAGCCCTTATCTTACGATTCCTTCATGCGGCGTTATCTACGATGGACAGCTTCGCGTAGACCAGCCCAGACTCCGCATATCGAGAAGTTTCGACCGAGCCGACGGCCCCACGAGACTACGGAGTACTACAAGACCACCCTCCTCCTCACTTCCAAGTTTTTTCCACCTCCCTGATTTTTTGCCAGTTTCAATCTCTGCATCTTCACAGCCGGCGGGTTTCCTCTCACTCTACTTAGCGTAACATGTCCCTCGTGCAGCATGTCTCTGCACTCGAGGGCGTGGACCACATCCCAGAACCAGAGCAGCAAGAGACACTCGACGGCACCTACGACGGACTCGAGCCGATCCACCGCCAGATCAGCTATAATGCCTTTCCGCCGCATAGCGAGGTGATCGAGGATAAGCCTGCGACCCCTCAGTACAAAGTTTCAACCGCGAAGAGAATAGGTAGGTCTCCTCCCACGACGCGAATCCGAGTCGCGTGCTAATGTTACCAGCCCAGGTTGCCATCACGATATTAGCCTGCTGGTTCGCATCAGGAGTCGTCTTTGGCTACGCAGCGCTGAAGCCTGTCCTTGTTGCCCAGGGAGTCTACAAAGATCTATGTGCAGTGGAGGATCTCGACGGAGAGTTGGATACCTGCTACAAGCAGGAGCTCAGGTTCGTACAAGCTTACATACCCCGACAGCCGATTGCTGTTCCACGACTGACACCTTGTGCGACTCTAGGTTGAACCTGTTCTTCACCGTCGGCTCGATAACAGCAAATGTGTCGGCCCTCCCGGTCGGGTCCATTCTCGACCGCTATGGCTCGCGTGTGTGCGGGTTCGTTGCGTGTGGATTATTGACTGCAGGAAGCTTGTTGATGGCCTATTCGTTCTCGAACCCGCATTTCGATGGATACATTGCTGCGAACTTCTTGCTTGCGCTTGGTGGAACGTTTCTCTTCGTGCCCTCGTTCCGGATCGCGAATGCGTTTCCGAAATATGCGGGGACGATCGTTGCGCTCGTGACGGGCGCTTTTGACGCCTCTGCTGCGATTTATCTATTCTATCGGTTATTGTTCGAAGCGACGGGTGGAAGATTCACACCTGATAAATTCTTCCTGGGATATACGCTAGTGCCTGCATTGATATTCCTTGCGTTGATCACCATCATGCCCTCCCGCGACTACCAGACACCTCACCAGCTCGAAGTCAAGCTTGAGAAAGCGGAGGATTCAACCCGGGATATTCACGACTCCGACGATGAAATTGAAAGCTATAATGAACTTCGTCGAATTCGAAAAGAGAGAGCCGAGCGGCGCAAGGACAAAGTTCGCAAACTCGATAAAGTCCTCGGAGACGAAGACGTGCGGAAACAACGCGAACAGCATGAAGAGGAGCGCCAGGCGGCCAGTGCTGTGTGGGGTGTGCTGCACGGTCAGCCTGCACATAAGCAGATGGCCACGCCGTGGTTCGTGCTGATTACTTTGATGACTGTGCTGCAGATGCTGCGCATGAACTATTTTATTGCGACGGTTAGAAATCAGTATGCTTATATGCTGGGCGAGGAGCGAGGGGTTGAAATCAATCACTTCTTTGATGTTGCCCTACCAGTTGGCGGGGTCCTCTCGACGCCCTTTATTGGGTTAATCCTGGACCATCTCAGTGTCCCGTCCACACTCGCCATAATCGTATGCCTTACCACTGTGATCGGAATCCTGAATTCCATACCGGCGTTGTGGACAGGCTACCTTACCGTTATCCTCTTCGTCTTCTTACGCCCATTCTACTACTCGGCCATGTCGTAAGTACCCCTTTCCACAGCCAAGCTGAGCCGAACCCACTAACAAGAGGTCTCCAGCGACTACGCAACAAAGGTCTTCGGCTTCGCAACATTCGGCCGCGTCTATGGAACGATCATCTGCTTCTCGGGTCTCGTCAACTTCTCGCAGTACGGCCTCGACGCCTTAACCCACGGCCCATTCCACGATAACCCGATTCCCATAAACATCCTTCTCGCAGGCGCGGGATTCGTCGTCGGCTTTATACTCGTAGCCTTTGTGGCGACGGCTGAGCACCGGATTCGAGCGAGGCAACGGGAAGATGCGGCGGATGACGAGCAGCGACAACTGTTGATTCCCGAGGAGAGTGGGGAGGAGGGGGGTGATTATGGGTCGTTTCGGTAGGGGAGGTGCGGGCTTTGTCGGGCAGGGATTGGCTCGAGGTTGAGTCGGGCTGTCACCTGTGAGCTGCAGGTAGGGGGTTGAGGCTGAATCTAGACTTACCATGGTAGTAGGTACTAGGTAGCGAGAGGTTCGGGAGTTGAAGGCGCTGGCGGTGCGGTCCTCGGAAGGATGCGTTCGGCATGTAATAGTGGCTTTATAGGTCTGGGGCGAGGGTCCTAGTATTCGATGATAATATGTACTTATGCTTCTGTTATGGGCGTCGGCGTTTCCAAGTTGATTAGCCTATATCATAATTAATTTCGCTTGAAGCGAGACCCTGTGCCCGAGCATGAATCATCCAAGATTACTCCGCGTACAGAGTCTTAGCGGTCGGCTCACGAACCATGTGAGCACCTCGTGGCCACTGCTTCGGCCCCATCGCTCATCGGAACGAAGAGCTCAACACCATCGGCACTCAGCCTTGTCCCTAGGAACATGGAAAGAGCGTTGCCCGCCGATTGGAGCGGCACTTGGACAGAGTTTCGCACCGCAACTCAGCTTGAGACTAGCTCAATGACAGGGGCGAGTCAACAGCTGACAGGCATGGCGTGGCTGCCACTCACACCGCGAAGCGAAACAAGATAACACAGGCCTGGAACATCGGTCACTGCCACCAGAACTTCCAGACCAATTAAACACACAACGAAGGAATCATTCCCAGCTGCCAAGAATCGCCAAGATGGGCTCTGCGAGAGTTGCCTAGGTATCTTTTTTAGCTTGGCAAGCGGGCCTTGGACTGGACGCTTTTTCTCTCAACTCGTGAGTGCACGAAGCCGTGGCGATGTGGTATTTCGAGGAAGGAATCGCAATGGGTGGATTCCACCCCGCGCGCTGGCCCCGCCAGTCTGGGGAAAAACTCGGGACGACGTGGAGATGAACACATCTCACTGTGCCACTACGCGACACCAGCGCTCCAACCGGATGATTGAGCTACACCGGATCGGGAAGTTCCCGAGGCACTTTTGCGTTCCAAGCCGGCTTTTGCTGCGTTGAGCAGGTTCGGCAGTTTGAAGGTTTCTGGGCTGTGGGCCGATGTTTGTTCTTCCCAACTTCTTTGGTTTCGGGCTCGATGGGTATTCGTCTGTGCACCTGTGTGAGAAGACAAGGGTCCATTGGTTCTCGTCCTATGGGCGTCTGCGATGAGTGAGTGAACTGGGGGAAGTGGGTAGGTAGGTATACTCCGTACGGGGGTGGGCACAACAGTTGCTCATGGGGTTTGAACTGGGGTTGGGAGTCATTAATCTGTCATTTCTCCCGCAAAGTGGGTATATAACAGCCTTCCCCATGCCCTGGTGGATCAATTGATCTTCAGTTCGTGTTTCATCCGCTCTTTTCTCTCTCTATAGGACCATTCGACACCTTTCAGGAGATACTTTCGAGTTTCCCTACTGCCAAAATGGCCCCGTTCGCTGATGAGAAGCGCTCCAGCGTGGAGAAGATCGAGAATGCAAACCTGCCTGCCTTGAATGCGCTGGACTATGATGAGGAGTACTCGCCTGAGGAGCAGAAGCGGATTATTCGGCGCGTTGATCTTCGTCTCGTTACGATTACCGGCCTTGCGTACTGTGTTTCGCTCATGGATCGTACCAACTTGAGTAATGCTGCCATTGCTGGGTAAGCCTTCTTGCTAGTGGATTGCTGGTTGTTTCGCTGACTTACCTGGGCAGTATGGTGGAAGAGCTGCATCTCTACGTTGGATTCAGATATGTGCGTTCGAGCGCCAACGATTATTGTTGACTTACTAACGCAGTGTAGTCCATTGTCGTCCTTATGTTCTTCGTCCCTTATATCATCGCCCAGCCTCCCCTCACAGCGATCACTAGAAAGCTGGGACCGACTTATTTCCTCGGAAGTATCGTGATTTCTTGGGGAGCCATCCTCATTGTACGTCTTGATTTCTTTCACGCGTTGCACCTGCTAAATGTATCAGGGCATGGGTTTCGCAAAGAACTGGAATCATCTAGTAGCTTGCCGTGTGCTACTTGGTCTCCTAGAGGCAGGTTACTTCCCTGGCTGTGTTTATCTCTTGTCCAGTTGGTACGCGAGATGTAAGTGTCAAGCTCACGGACCCAGTTTCTCCATCTAATGAGTCCAGATGACGTCCAGAAGCGATTCTCCGTCTTTTACCTGATCGGCTGTGTGGCCTCGGCGTTAGCTGGTATCTTGGCTTACGGCCTGATGCAGATGGATGGAGTTCAAGGTCTAGGTGGCTGGAGGTGGATCTTTATCATTGAGGGCGTGGTAGGTATACTGATCTTCTCAATGAGTTCCTGCTGACAGTGATAGATCACCGGTGTCATCGGAATTCTGGCCATAATCTTCCTCGTCGACTTCCCTGATCGGGCTCATAAGTCTTGGAGGTTCCTCAGCGAGAAGGAGTGCGCTTTTATTGTGCGACGCATCAACCGCGACCGATCTGATGGAAATGCAGAGCCCTTCACCCTGAAGCGGTTCCTGTCCCCGGCACTTGATTTGAAGATCTGGGGCTTCGCGATGATCTTCTTGTAAGCACTGCCATTCCCAGAACCGTTGAAGCCCTAGCTAACAAGACTAGCTGCGTGACGACCGTTAGCTATGCGATTGCATACTTCCTTCCAATCATCCTCTCCGTGGGTATGGGCTTTGATACTGGTGTCTCTCAGTGCCTTGTTGCGCCCCCATATGTCGCTGCTGGTTTCGTGATGTATGGAACTGCTTGGGCGGGAGACAAGTACCGCGTCCGTGGCCCTGTTCTGATCTTTAATGCTCTCCTATGCATCATTGGCCTTCCTATGATGGGTTTCGCCAAAAGCAATGCTGCGCAGTACGTCGGTGTCTTCTTTACCGTGGCTGGTTCCAACGCGAATATTCCCGCCGTCATGGCGTATCAGGCCAACAATGTCCGTGGTCAGTGGACCCGTGCTCTGTCCAGCGCCACGCTCGTTGGCTTCGGAGGCATTGGTGGTATTGCGGGCAGCTTGGTCTTCCGCGAGCAGGACAAGCCTCATTACCGACCGGGTATCTGGTGTGCGATTGCGTAAGTTCATTGACTCTCTCTATGGAGTATGTACTGATGCTATCCAGTTGCAATCTGCTCCTCATGGTCATTGTCGTTGTTCAAAGCGTGTGGTTCCGTTATGCCAACAAGCAGGCGGACCAGGGCAAGCGCATCATTGAGGGCTCGCCTGGTTTCCGCTACACGATTTAGGTTAGCGGTGGGGCGGTTCAGGGGTTTTGATATACTCCGGAGAACTTAATACAGTCGGTTCTGGGGGGAAACTGGGATAGAGGAGCGGATATGATTGGAAGAAATTGGAATATATTTTCATTGGACGAGGTCCGGCGCAGGATTGTCTTCTAAGCTAGGTAGAATTCCTTCCAAAGATTGAACTCCGTTCTAGCCCGCTATCGCCCGGAAAATCCTCTGAGACTAGTAGTACTCGTGGCGGAGTTGAGACTTTTGAAAGGCAGCTGTTGTCGAAACATGCACGTCGAGCTTTTTTGAGGTCTAGGTACAGTCATGGCTTTTGGAGACGATCGAGAGAGTGCGCCCGAGAAAAATGACGTCATACATAGACACAGAATATGCTTCAGAATTGAGTCAACTCTCTCCAAAAACCAACACAAACAATCGCTTCCTGCTGTAGAACTGTCATGACAGACGCCCGCAAGACAGCAAGCTCGCTACCAGAATGCAAGCTCCTCCGACAGTCGGTGTGAACCCGCGAGGCACGAAAACTGCTCGAGCTTTCCCGCGGGAAATGGCCGCTATCAGCCCATCGCTGGCTGCTGATTGGTCAGCGCCTGACGTTATCGTGGGCTCGGACAGTTTCCCGTTGTGGCCGCGGTCTTCATACATCACTGCGGCTTCAAGAACTTTTTTCTCCCTCATCTCTTTCTTTTCTTCTTCTCAGCTTCCTATTCTCCCCTCTGATCCTCCTAGAATTCTACTCACTTGATTATCTCCCGCTCAATTGGCGTCGTTGCCGCTTATGCCGTCGCGATAAGAGCTATAACCATCCCTGCCCCTAGCTAAGAGCTCCGATTCCGTGACAGCTCGGCCTGTCAACCCCTCACACAAGGATGGCAGCGTCACTGTGCCTGCGCGGCACTCGCCAGCTTGCTCTGCGCTCTCAATTGCGCACAGTTCCTTCATCCCTACGACGAACCTCGCCTTCCCGATTCCTCCCCGCATACCGCAGCTTACACACGACATCGCAACCGTTGCCTTCCACACGGCGGCCGGTCTACACCAGCTCCGTTGCGGACCATGGCGTTCCTCACCCAGCCGATGTCTTTCAGCCCCTAGATACCTTCCCGCGGCGTCACATTGGCCCTTCTCCAGATGCCGCGGAGGAGATGTTGGCTGTCCTTGACCCTCCCGCCGCATCTCTTGACGAGTTCGTCAAGCAGGTTCTCCCCGCCGATGTGCTGTCCAAGAAGGACTTGAATGTCACACTTCCGAGCGCCGATACAGGTCTGCCCCGGAGCAGCGTGCATGGAGGCTTGGGAGAGACGGATATGCTGAAGCTGTTGGATAAATACCGCAAACAGATCGACGTCTCTGGAAAGACTTTCATCGGTGCCGGTTACTATCCCACAATAGTTCCCCCGGTTATCCTCCGCAACATCCTGGAGAACCCTGCGTGGTACACAAGTTACACACCCTACCAGCCGGAGATCAGTCAAGGTCGCCTCGAGTCGCTCCTGAACTTCCAGACCTTGACCGCTGACTTGACCGGGCTCGCATTCGCCAATGCCTCCGTTCTGGACGAAGGTACTGCTGCTGCCGAGGCTATGACCATGTCTATGGCCACCTTGCCTCTTGGCAAGCAGAAGAAGGCAGACAAGACCTACGTGATCTCTCACCTGGTCCACCCTCAGACAATTGCCGTAATGCGCTCGCGTGCGGAAGGGTTCGGTATCAATCTGGTCATCGGCGACATTCTGGCCGATGGTCACAAGCTCGTCAAGGAGCAAGGCGACAGCCTCATCGGTGTCCTTGCCCAGTATCCCGACACCGAAGGTGGTGTCTACGATTACCAGGCGCTGAGCGACACTATCCACGGTACCGGTGGTACCTTCAGCGTTGCGACTGATCTGCTCGCATTGACGGTTCTCAAGGCTCCGGGCGAGTTTGGAGCTGACATCGCTTTTGGCAGTGCCCAGCGATTCGGTGTTCCTATGGGCTATGGCGGTCCTCACGCTGCCTTCTTTGCTTGCGCAGACAAGTACAAGCGCAAGGTTCCTGGACGTGTTGTTGGTGTTTCCAAGGATCGCTTGGGCAACCGCGCGCTGCGTCTTGCTCTGCAGACAAGAGAACAGCACATTCGTCGTGAAAAGGCTACTAGCAACATTTGCACGGCTCAGGCTCTGCTTGCTAACATGAGCGCCATGTATGCTGTCTATCACGGGCCTTCCGGTCTGAAGACTATCGCTCAGCGTATCATGTCCATGACTACCGCCCTTCAAAGCAAGCTCGCTGCCCTGGGATACAATGTCCCCGTCAAGTCAAATGTCGCTGATGGCGCGGCTGTCTTCGATACCGTCACTGTCGAATTCGCTAGCAGTCAAGAGGCAGATGCGATTTTCGCCGCTGCCCGCGAGAACTCGCTTTTCCTCCGCCGCATTTCTGAGACCAAGGTTGGTATCTCCCTAGACGAGACCGCTGGACGCGACGAGGTCAAGACCATCCTCCAGGTCTTCTCTACCCATGCGTCCAAGGGCGAGGTCACTCTAGAAAAAGAACTTGCGTTGGCTTCCGTCCCCGCAAGCTTGGAGCGTACTTCTGCCTATCTCACTCACCCCGTCTTCAACACTCACCACTCCGAGACCGAAATGCTCCGGTACATTCGTCACCTTGAATCCAAGGATTTGTCTCTGGCTCACTCCATGATTCCTCTCGGATCTTGCACCATGAAGCTCAACGCTACCACTGAGATGATTCCTGTCTCGTGGCCCGAATTCTCCCAGATGCACCCATTTTTGCCCGCTGACGTCGCCAAGGGATACACCCAGATGATTGACGACCTGGAACAGCAGCTCGCGGACATCACTGGTATGGCTGAGGTCACCGTTCAGCCCAACTCCGGCGCTCAAGGTGAATTTGCCGGTCTTCGCGTCATCAAGAAGTACCAGGAAGCCACTGGCGACTCCAAGCGTACCATCTGCTTGATTCCGGTCTCGGCTCACGGTACCAACCCTGCCAGTGCTGCCATGGCCGGTATGAAGGTGGTTACGATCAAGTGCGATACTAAGACGGGCAACCTCGACTTGGAAGACCTGGAGGCCAAGTGCAAGAAGCACCAGGATGAACTCGCGGCCATCATGATTACCTATCCCAGTACCTTTGGTGTGTACGAGCCTGGTGTCAAGAAGGCTTGTGATCTTGTTCACCAGTATGGTGGCCAGGTCTACATGGACGGAGCGAACATGAACGCGCAGATTGGTCTATGCTCTCCCGGTGAGATTGGTGCCGATGTCTGCCATCTGAACCTGCACAAGACCTTCTGTATCCCCCACGGCGGTGGTGGTCCTGGTGTGGGCCCCATCGGTGTCGCTGAGCACCTCCGTCCCTACCTGCCATCTCACCCCAACAGCGAGTACCTCCAGTCTAAGCGCTCAGAGCTCTCCTCCCCGCCAATCAGTGCTGCACCTTGGGGTAGCGCCAGCATCCTCCCCATCACCTTCAACTACATCAACATGATGGGCTCCAAGGGTCTGACGCACGCGACCAAGATCACCCTGCTCAACGCGAATTACATCCTCTCCCGTCTCAAGGAACACTACCCCATCCTGTATACCAACGACAATGGCCGCTGCGCGCACGAGTTCATCCTCGACGTCCGCAAGTTCAAGGATACCTGCGGCATTGAAGCCATCGACATCGCCAAGCGTCTGCAAGACTACGGCTTCCACGCCCCGACCATGTCCTGGCCTGTCGCCAACACGCTCATGATTGAGCCCACAGAGTCCGAGAACAAGGCCGAGCTCGACCGGTTCTGCGATGCCCTCATTTCCATTCGCCAGGAGATTGCCGCTGTTGAGAGCGGCGAGCAGCCCCGTGAGGGCAACGTTCTCCGCATGGCACCCCACACACAGCGCGACCTACTCGCCACCGAGTGGGATCGGCCGTATACGCGTGAAAAGGCGGCTTATCCTCTTCCTTATCTTGTTGAGAAGAAGTTCTGGCCGTCTGTCACGCGAGTGGATGATGGTATGTTCCCTTCTCGTATTCCATGAAAGACCCGAAGCTAATAGAAACAGCATACGGTGACCAGAACCTGTTCTGCACATGCGGACCTGTGGACGAGATCGAGTAGTTATGATACCCATGTTTGACTAGATCACGACGTTTTTATATATTTTCAACACTTCTGTCTGGGATGGCTATTGTGGGCATTTGAGATTCAACATGGCCATAGAATACACGGCGTTGGATTGCATTGGATTGGACTGTTATTCTTACTTCAACATACATAGCATGGGACACTAAAAGTTCCACATTGCATATTGAATATCATTAGCATATTGATATCACATTCAGAGGTTGTATGCTGTAGATAAGCTTATCGTGTAGCCCAACTATCTTATCTGAATTTGATAAGCAGATCGGACGGGAGCCGACGGGCAATTGATCGGAGCCAGCCGTCAACCACTGCGGAGGTCGCCATCCGCAGCCTTGTCCCTTTCTCTATAAAAGCTCACTGCCCCATCCCATCTCGTCTGGAATGATGGACGGGTGCTGCTCGCGTGGCCAATCTTTGAACACATAATACTTTCCCAATACAGGCTCTCGGTCGCGTAAGTCTATCCCCTCCCTCACTTTACATCACAGCTGACACCGCATGACGCAGATTCATTTTAAACCAGCCGCACAGCCGCTTATCAGCGGAGACTGAACAATATCGAAGAACCGAAACAAAACAATGGCGCCCGCACCTCCAGTCACCCTGTTCTACGGAACATTCGTGGACCTCCCACGGACAGAATCCGGCTCGAAGCACGAGCTCTCAATCAGACACGGCGCCCTCTGGGCGTCAACGCGCACAGGCCGCATCGCAGGCTCCGACTGGAGCATCACCAGCGAGGCGCAACTCCAATCGCTTATCCGCCGAAACGCCTGGCCGGGAACAGTTCGCATCATCCGCGCGCGCGAAGACCTCAACGAGTTCTTCTTCCCGGGCTTCATAGACACGCACATCCACGCGCCGCAGTACCCGAACTCCGGTCTCTTTGGTTCTTCGACCCTACTCGACTGGCTCGAGACGTATACCTTCCCGCTAGAATCTAGCTTGGGGAATTTGTCGAAGGCTCGCACAGCATACGACAAGGTCATCTCGCGCACACTCGCAAATGGGACAACATACGCCTCCTACTTCGCGACAATCCACGTCGGCGCAACGAACCTGCTCGCGACCCTCGCCCACACCCGTGGCCAACGAGCACTCATCGGTCGCGTCTGCATGGACAACCCGTCCTTCTGCCCGAGCTACTACACCGACGGCTCCGCGCAGGAATCCCTCTCCGCAACAAAGGAGAACATAGCACACATCCATAGCCTTGACCCCGCGGGGAAGCTCGTAAAGCCGATCCTCACCCCGCGCTTTGCGCCGACGTGCTCGCCGGAGTCGCTTTCGTCGCTTGGCGCCCTCGCGGCGTCGCACAGTCCGCCACTGCACATTCAGACCCATATCTCGGAGAACAAAGACGAGGTTAGCCTCGTTCAGTCGCTCTTCCCGGACTCAGAGTCGTATGCTGATGTCTACGATAAACACGCGCTGCTCACAAAACGCACGATCCTCGCACACGCGGTGCACCTCACACAGACGGAAATGGACCTCATCGCGTCCCGCGACGCAAAAGTTTCACACTGCCCAGCCTCAAATTCAGCACTGGGCTCCGGGATCGCACCCGTGAGACAGCTGCTCGAGAGCGGGGTTACGGTCGGGTTAGGGACGGATGTCTCGGGCGGGTATAGCCCGAGTATCCTTGAAGCCGCCAGGCAGGCATGTCTTGTTTCGAGGTTATTGCGGCATACGCAGCAGCAAAACCCCAGCGAGGGTAAGGAGGTCAAAGACGGCCATGAAGTTCTCTCCGTCGAAGAAGCGCTGTATCTCGCGACGAGGGGTGGCGCCGCAGTCGTCGATATGGCGAATGACCTCGGTGGCTTTGAGGAGGGGATGTTATTCGATACGCAGCTTATTAGACTTGGTGGTGTTGTGCGTTCGTCCCCCTCTTCTGAGTTGGAGTCGGGGTCGAGTTTTGGGTCTGCGTCCGTGGAGAAAAACGACTCCGTCGTCGACATCTTCGGCTGGGAATCGTGGACGGAGCGCGTGCATAAGTGGGTGTGGACGGGGAATGATCGGAATGTGCGCGCTGTTTGGGTTGGTGGGGCGCTCGTTCATTGTCTTGATGATGAATTCAGAGCTGATAGCGGTTCTGAGCCTCTGTTTGGGTCATTGGGAGGGCGACTTGGTGGAAGCGACTGGTTGAAGTATATCGCTAGCGGTGTCGGTGTTGGCGCGTTAGGTTGGGTTTTGGGACGGAGGAGGTAATGATATAGAGGGAAAGATGATATCAATATTCAATGTAGACTAGAGGCTGGGTTTTGGGCCTTATTCTTTTTCTCCTCCACCTTGCTTTACATCACTTTTTGGACTTGGGCTGGATACTCTTGGATTACTTATGTGTATGAATGAATAGACGAGATCCAGAATGAGATCGATAGATTTACAGTACGGCTCACAATCCATGAAAAGAATGTCTGTAGAAGAAACGAAGGTAGTTTTCTCCCACAACTATCACCAGGATAGCTATGGCTTTTGTACGCATATAGTAACAGGTGTAAAAACAAGACATGCGAGGATAAAGGCAGAAATGAATATGTACAGACTGAAGTTGGTTTAAGTTGGAATTTTGCAGCAGCTCTCGTCCGGGATAAGGAGGGACAATAAAAGTGTTGTGAGACTTTACTGGAAGAGCTCGACGCAGTCGAAGATCTGCGCTATAGTTAGCCCATGCCTTCCCTTCTTTCAACTGAGGGATAGAAAAGAGGGGGATGGAAGCGAAGGGAGACGTACGAAGTTCGGGCTCAAGAAGGTATCGCCGGAGCTTCCGGAGATGACGCTGATAGTGATCTGCAGGGCATTGGTATTAGCTATGTCTTCCTTTCTTCGAAACTTGGAGTAGTCCAGTAAAGGCATGGAGAACGAACCGTGTTTTGACCAGCAACAATAGTTCCAGCCGGGATAGAAACGTCGTAAACTTCGCCGAACCCACGGTAGGCGCCACGGGTTACGCCACGGGAGTTGAGGTTTGTGGGCGCGGAGGGGGCGCTGCCGGTGTAGCTGTTAATCTATATTTATTGTTAGTTGTCACGGTTCTAATTGGAGGATAAAGGGTAGGTGATGGGCTAGCGCACCGTCGCCTGAGGACGACCACCCGCAAAGGAGAGGGTCGTTCCGATGCGGAGCGTCGCGGCACCAGTCTGCGAGGAGGTAGCGGTGAACTTGATGGTGACGGGGTTGTTGACGCTCTTGAAGACGGCCATGGGGAAGTCGGAGAGGGAGGAGCTCCCGACGGTGTAGGTTAGGGGACCCCAGCTTGACATGCGGGAGTCGGAGGGGTGCATGCGGAGCTGGTTCTCTGCGTTGCGGAAACCAGTGGGTCTAGATGTGTCAGTCAGTAAGTAGGTGTGTGGCGAAGGAGGGTGGGTGAAGAAGTAAGGGAGGGTATGGCGCTTACTGTCCGTCCCATTCTCCAATCTTGAAAATAGTTGTGCCGGTTTTGACGGAGCCAGAAATGTTCTTGGTTGTGGTAGATCCGGCGGAGACGGTGACGGAGGTCTCAGCCACGGCGTACTCTCCCTGGTAGTACTTCATGGTGTATGTGCCGGGCTTCATAGCGGGAGAGGTGAAGCCGCCGTTGGAGTTTGTGTAGGCCCAGTACTGCGCGTTGTCGTTGAACCTATGCCGATGTCAGCGTGGTAGATACCAGTATTATGTGCTGTAAGCTCACCAGTGCACAACCCAGTCCATGCTAGAGTCGGCTCCAGATGCAGTTCCGGTAACCGTTCCTCTCCCATTGGCAGCGACGTATCCCTTGATCCCGAGGTTGGCGAAGAAGGACGTGTCAATGTTCGTGCCGGGGGTACCGCTTCGGCTGAAGTACATCGAGTAGGGACCGTGGAGTCCCATGCGGTAGGATTCGGTTTGGACGTGGCCGGAGTTCTAGACAGTTAGCTAAGTCGCAGGCGAGGTGTCGGCGTCCGTACCATATACCAGTAAAGAGCGGTCATGTCACCGCCGTTGTTGGTGTTGATGTCACTATAATCATAAGCTTCGATCATATTACCAAACAGAGAGCACTTACCGGAAGAAAGGACCGCCAGAAGAGGTCTCGTACTGGTTCAGAATCATGCATACGCGGTGTGCGCTTCCGGAAACACCTTATCAAGTCAGTTATTGTTCGGCTGATTCACCGAGTGACTTACAGTGCCTGTGGTCGTCGATGAACCTCTCGCTGGAGTAGAACTTGCTGCGAGTCTCTCCGTTGACCACGAACTTCCGTCCGTTAATGCTGGGCCCGCTGCTACCCAGTGTATGTTGGACTTACCACGTCTGATCCCTCCACCGTGCTGCTGCTACCCCCTGTTGTCGAGACATCGCCGAATGGTTCCTCATTGGGCAAGAGGTCGGCGTTGAGACGAGCAATGAACCGCAGCTCACCAATATCAGGCTCTATGTCATGTCAGAAACTGCCATTCCTGAAAAGCAAGAAGTACGTACCGGCGGTGATATAGGTTGCCATGTGGATGATGGGGTCACCGTTGTGCACAACGAAGTACTGCGTCAGGGTGCTCGTCTCGCAAGTCACCTTGACATAGTCGCCTGTCAATGCCTCATAAGTCTGTATTTATTCAATCTTTAGCTGCAGTAACCTACCATCTTGAACTGCAGAAACCGAGGCAGAGCCAAGACCAGAGCCGATATGACTGCCTTTACCACTGTATTGAAGCTCTGCCCCATAGTAGTAAATTGAGGTGATATCACAGCTTGACTGGCTCACAGTAAACCTCAAAGGATTAGGAGAATTGGCGTCGATAGTGTACGAATCGCCGTTGTTGGCAACACCGAAAGCTGCGTTAGCAGCGCCAGCCCACAGGGCGGCAGAAGAAAAAAGTAACGATTTAAGGAACATGACGTGAGTGCTGACAACTGACAAGAAAGACAAGTCGACGATCTTTGCGGCAAATGGGTAGCTTAAATCATGAGCAGTTCTTCCTCAGGAGGTAGGGCTGGAACCGCTCCCAGTGGGGTGAACCTCCGGCCCCTGTCACCCTTGATCTCCTTCATCAAGAGGTTCCACCAATCTGAGGCGTACCGGTCAACAAGCTATACTTCCGTGTCGAAAGGGCCGGCGCTACGACAGACTAAGGTAGGTGAGCATGACTCTGTGAACGGCTTTTCTGCAGAGGTTGGGTGGCAGAGTGGATCGCATGCGGAGAAGCTCAGCAGCCTTGACTTGCAGGGCATCTTTTGAGACTCCATTCGAGTGTGTATTTCTGACGAGATTTCCTCTCACTATCTTCTAGCCCTATGGCATCACCTCAGGCTCTTGGCGGTATGGTATTTTTAGCAGTGCCTCCGGGGACTCAGAACCTCATGCCCATGACTCTCTGGAGTGTTGTCTGCGCACGGATAATCAAACAGACAGAACCATCTGTCGAGGAAGAGGCGGGCTCTTTGCTACGGAATCATTTGCGACGTCCGAACCCGTTATGGTAAAAGGCCGATCAAGACTGTCGATCTTGGGAATCCTTGGCCTTCAGTGGTGGAAGACCTGCTGCAAGACCGATGGCTGTTTGTATGCGGAACTTCTAGTTTCCGATATGTCTCCTTTCGCTGCGGGGTCCTTGAAAGTTCGGCCACTCGATAGCGAGGGCAGATTGCAATTGTCTTTCTTTCGTTTTGAGGCTATGAGGGGGCAGCAACTTAGCGACTGCTGTTCCGCGAATCCTGGTCGTGTCTCGCCGCGGCCCCTGAACAGTTTTGGGATGTGGAGGACCGAACAATTGCAAGGAGCCCAATCTTTATTTATCTGAGACGGTTTTCGTGGTTCCAACCGCCAAGACGACCGACAAACATTTGACACACGGTCTTTGTCCAAGTCCGAGATAGCGCGGCTTAATTTGAAACGATGGATGGGCCGTGCAAACTCAACCTCCCTCTTTCGAGAACATGATTCAGACCAAGGCAAATCCTTGTGCGATGCAAGTCCGGCCAAGGAAATGAATCTCCTATTCAGCTATTCAAAGAGCGACCACGAGGCTGATCTTCTGCAGTTCATGTCGCTTTTCCAGGGATCTGCGGTCGGCGCTACGGTAGCAACCGGGGATCACACACGACAAACAAAGTTTTCGCGCATCGTTCATTCGACAGTGGAGAGGCGGCTCGATTTGAATCACAGCGGATATATGGCCAGAATTGTCGCACTCGAGATACTCCAGTTGGTCAGATCAGATTGCAAAGCAAACAGCGCACCCAGGTCTTGATTCACGCCCATGGCCGCAAGAGCCAGCAAATATGGTGTGCCAACACCAGCAGTAAGACAGACGGCTCAGCTGCGATCCGTCTGTGCTTGTCTTATGAGATGTTTTGATTGGCGGGAAGGGAGCATTCCAGCTTGACGCAGCCTGCATTCCAGGGTTCGCACCCACTGCGAGCGGACAACTCATTATAATCTGGGCTACATGAACGAGTCGCGGTATGGCTTACCTCATTTACGAGTTTTCGCCCGTCGGTATGAACCCGCGTGGGTGGTATCATCTTGAGATTTGGGCTGCCGTGTGGTACAAACGTGGAAAGAGAGTCCTCGCTTCTGGCGCGGTGGCACAAGTGAGCCATGGTTCGTTCAAGCCAGGATCAGGGGTAAAACTTACTCTGATGATGCTGCCTCCAGGACTGTCTCTGGATTGAGTTCATGGTGGATATTGTGATGGGCCCAAGACCGAGTGAGACGAGAAGCAGAGCGAGGAAGAAGAAGATAAAATTGGAAGCTGCAAGAATGTATCGGACTGTTTTCAGAGACGGCGAGGTCATGTGGTCTGGCTGGAATGTTTGTATTGTTCTCTCGCTTCTCGAACATTGTCCCCGCGACCCCGGCCTCAGTGAGTCGCCGTGTTTCTCATTGCTTCTTCGTCCCTGTTCCTTTGATTCCCCAGTGAGGCTGGGCCGCGTACAAGACACCAATCTCCCGTCTATGTCTGCTATCGGTTTGTCGGCCCCAGAGCCATCAACTTCAGGTTTTGATTCAGTCCGACCCCACCCAGCGAGGCCCTTCTTACCGCACCCGATACGTTCATGTCTCGGCTGACTTGCACCACATTGCTTTTTCCTTGTGTTAGCTCAGCAGAGGTGTGTTGCCTGTGATGACGATGATGAGACAACCCTGTTTGGCCGCAGCCGTCGATGCGCAATTCTAGGATAGAAATAAAGCATCCGCCCATGATGCCGGCTCTCGGGAGGATAAGCAACATCTCTTCCGGTCTGTGATTCTTACGGGTCATTCCACTCTCTTCGGTGATTTTTGAGCTTTTTCTGTATATGAGACTGTCCTTTCCTCTGTTGTTTCACGGTGCACAAAATGCATTTCTACCCGTCAATGTCAGTTGCCCTCGTGGCTCTGCTCGCAAGCTCTGTAGCTGGTCTTGGGCTGCGATCTGACTTGGCGAAGAAGCTGCAGCTTTCGGCTGAGTTGGGACTGGATGTAAATGCCGCCGTGAGGAGTGAAACGTCGTTTCGTACAATGATCGCGGCGTCCACCGATGTCAACTCTCCGGCAGAATATGTTTCGGTAGGGACAAGAACCCTTTTGCAGCGCTCACCAGTTCTTCTGCGAGCTAACACGCTACCCGTTATAGATTCCGATTGATCACGACAATCCGTCTCTTGGTACTTATGAAAATCGGTACTGGGTGAACGACGCATACTATTCGCCTGGAGGACCAGTTATTCTATACGATGTCGGAGAGGCCAATGGAGAGTATGGTGCTCCGCATCTCACCAGCAGTACATCCTTCTTCAGAAGCCTACTTGAAGATTTCAATGCAATCGGGATAGTGTGGGAGCATCGGTTGGTCCACCGAATACACCGAGTTGGAATGAACTGACAATTTAGATACTACGGGGGGTCGCTCCCATATCCAGTCAATGCCAACACTCCGCCCGAGCACTGGAGATATCTCACTACCGCGCAAGCGTTAGCCGACATCCCTTATTTTGCGGAGAACTTCACTCGCCCGGCATACCCACTGGTCGACTTAACTCCAGAAGCAACGCCCTGGATCATGATCGGAGGTTCATATCCTGGTGTCCGAGCCGCGCTCACGCGCAAGGAATATCCAGACACGATCTTCGCGGCATTCGCCGCTTCCGCTCCGGCCCAAGCGCAAATCGACATGAGTGTTTATTACGAGCAAATCTATCGAGCGATGTTGGCCAACGGATACGGAAACTGTGCGCGAGACATTCAAGCAGCCCTCGAATGGATCGATGAACAGCTCGCTCAGGAAGACAAGGCCGCGGCAGTCAAACAACTTTTCTTTGGTCCCGGCGCTGAAGCGAACACAAACGAGGAATTTACTGCAGCACTTGGCGGAATCTATGGCTACTTCCAGACTCATGGGTTTGGTGGGCCTGTGGGGTCATTGGACGACTTCTGCAGCTACTTGGAGTCAGACCCAGAGACGGGCGTATCCGCAGGCTCAGAAGGCCTCGCTCCAACCCGGGGGAACCAGTTTATTGCGGAGCATTGGGCAGCATGGCCAGTGTTCACAAAGGTGGTTAACGACAACTTGTTCACGAACTGCCGAGGTCTAAACAAATCAGCTGCTCCAATCTGTGAGCTAAACAATCCGCCAAACGAGCCAGACGCAATCGCTTGGACCTGGCAGTACTGCTCAGAGTGGGGTTTCTACCAGAGCAACAACGTGGGAGTAGGCGCACTCCTTTCCAAATATCAGACCCTTGAGTATCAGCAATTTCAGTGCAACCGAATGTTCCCCGACGCCCTGAGTAGCGGCATACTCCCTTCAGAGCCACAGGTGACCTCACTAAACGCTGAGTATGGAGGCTGGACGATTCGACCATCAAATGTGTTCTGGAGCTCTGGGGAGTTTGACCCCTGGAGGACGCTTGGGTTATTCTCCACCGAGAGTTTCGCGCCGCAAGGCATCACGGTCACAACTGACATTCCGCAATGTGGAGTAGAGACCACCGCGGATACGGTCTTTGGGTATATTGGTGCCAACCTCTACCACTGCTTCGACTTTCGCGACTCGCAGGCTGCTACTGAGTCGCGCAACTACTTCATCCAGGCGTTGAGGCAATGGCTCCCCTGCTTTGAGAAACAGAAGAAACTTGCCACTACTACTCCTGATTCGACGAATCAGCCTGCGAGGCCTTGGTGGTTCAGAAGTACGTAGTGATGCGAAGAGCCCAGTCCGACACTCGGGGGGCTACGACAGTATCTTCACGGTGTCATGAATATGTCCACATTTTCGATTTCATTTGTACGTTACTTTTAGCATAGCACATAGTTTGTTATCACATGCATGCTATTCATCCTCTGACATCATGCTTGATAGGGCCTTTGTAGAACACTTTGTGACTTGTGGGCCTTGCTACATACTCGATCCTTGAGCCACAAACCAAGACCCAGGCAAGGACCCGAGCAATGACCTGAACCAGCAACTGATATGCTCTGGATCCATCGGCATCGGGGCAATGGTTGCACCGCTGGCCCGTGCAGCGGCTGATCTTGCGAGCCTTACTGCTACCAGAGTAGTCGATGCCTAGGTACTCTGGGGAAGAAGCGCTAGCCCGATCCGGGACTGCTTGCGAATGGGGTTTTCGGTTGTCTTCCAAGCCTTCACACAACGCCAATTCACCCCAACTCGTGCCCCAATGAGATCTCGTGAAGCCTCGATGACGCCCCTCTTCACCCCTCCGCGGCCCCCGAATTCCCCTTCTGGGGCCCATACCAGCGGCTGGAGATTGCCCCATTTCTCACATGTTATTTCTAAACACAAGTCTTGATGCCTATAAGAGTCGCTGGATTCCTGGCGCACACGACTACACAAATGATCAGATACCATAAGCTCTGACGCAATGTTGTCTCCAGCAGTCATCCTAATCGGCGCCGTCTGCCTTGTCCTCCTGGGTGTGCAACGCATCAGACAACACATCCAACGACAAAGAAACGCCAAAAAATGGGGATGTGAACCACCCCTAAGGGTCCAAACCGGCTTCTACGGCATCCCAGCCTTTATCGAGTTGACCAAGGCAGCGAAGGAACGACGCTGGGTGCAGTTTATTGCCTCGCGATACCAAGAGCATGGAACCACATTCATCCAGACGTTCCTAGGAAAGGACGGAATCTCGACTATCGACCCAGAGAACCTCAAGGCGCTCTTGGCTACGCAGTTCAATGATTTCTCGCTCGGCACCCGCCATCGCGAGTTCTTTCCTCTGCTTGGTGATGGTATCTTTACGCTTGATGGGGCTGGGTGGTCGCACTCGCGTGCGTTGCTGCGGCCTCAGTTTACTCGCGACCAGGTATGTCTTCTCTCGACCTGCTCCTAAATATCCAGACTAATAACAAGCCAGGTCGCGGATCTCGATCTCATGGACGGGCACGTCACACGCATGATCTCACTGATCCCAAAGGACGGCTCAATCTTCGACATCCAGAAACTCTTCTTCCTCCTAACAATCGACTCGGCAACACACTTCCTCTTCGGCGAGTCCGTCGGCGCCATGGAAGGCGATAACGTTCTCAGCAGTTCGTCAGTGGGTGGATCACAGGGCTTTGCTGAGTCGTTCAACATCGCTCAAGAATACTTGGCGTGGAGAAGCATGGCGCTAGATTTCTACTGGATGATCAACCCCAAGGAATTCCGCGAGGCCACACGCCGCGTCCACGAAGTTGTCGACCACTACGTCTACCGCGCCATCGAGGCGAAGAAGAACGCTGAGAAGAACGGCATTGAAGGCGGACGCTATGTCTTTGCTGAAGCCCTGGCTGCGGATAATGATAACCCGAAGGTCCTCCGAGACAATATGCTTAATATCCTTCTGGCCGGCCGTGATACGACGGCTTCTCTGCTTAGCTCAACATTCTGGTTCCTCGCTCGACACCAGGATGTCTGGGAGAAACTCCACCGCGTCATTATTGAAGAGTTTGGTGATGCTGAGCATCCCAAGGGAGAAATCACCCATGCGAGATTGAAGGAGGTTCGGTACCTACGATATGTCCTCAATGAAGGTACACTCCATCTCCCCTCCCTTACTCCGTCTCTTTTTTTTTGTCTAATCATCCTACTAACTATCCCCACAATCCAGTCCTCCGCCTCCTGCCCCCCGTCCCCCTCAACTTCCGCGTCGCAACAAAAGACACCTCCCTCCCGATCGGCGGCGGCCCCACGGGCAAATCCCCGATCTACATCTCCAAGGGGCAACCGATCATGTACAGCGTGTACGCCATGCACCGCCGCAAGGACCTCTACGGGCCCGACGCAGAATCTTTCCGTCCCGAGCGCTGGGAGGAGAATGCCAAGCGCGGCTGGGAATACTTGCCGTTTAATGGTGGGCCGAGGATTTGTTTGGGGCGTATGTGTTTCCCTCCAGTCATGTCCCTGTTTTGTGAATGAGTAACTTCTAACTATGCTACAGAGCAGTATGCCCTCACGGAGGCTAGTTATACGATGGTCAAGCTCCTGCAGCGGTTCAAGACGGTTGAGAATGGGGATCCGGGAATGAAGGAGCCGGTTATTCAGTCGAATTTGACCCTGGCGCATGGCGATGGGGTGAATATTCGGTTGTACTAGAGTACGTAGGGTCAAGGCCATGGTTATAATATGACGACTTGTGTATATTTGTAAATATGGGGTTATTGGTTTATCGTTGAATTTGTTTCGTAGTCTAGTCAATGAGACCCAAGTGCAGATAATTCACGCCTTATATCTGATGTCAAATCAGCAACACCACATGCCCCCCACTCCTCAAACAAGCCGCTACATCCCACGTATCAGTATCAACCCTCTGGCGCGCCCGCCACGTATATTCCATGATTCTCATGACCTCTCTCACCGTCCCCAACGTCCCAATCGGGCCCATGGACACAACAAGCGCCCGAAACGCCGCCTCCTGTTCCTCCTCTGCGAGACACCCAGCCACGCAAAGCGGCCAGGCTAGAGATCGCAAGAGACTAGGCGAAGGCAGCAGCGCGAAAAGGTCAAGCATCAGAGCCACATCCTCGTGGATCTCGGGGGCGGCTATCTGCCAGCCTGAGAGGACAACGTGGAGGTATACTCGGGCGGCGTACGCCCAAATGCGGGTGACGAGTTTGATGGTATCTTGTGCGCAGGCGGTTTGGTGGGTACAGGCGGGGTTCAGGGCTTTGGGGAGGTCGAGTTGTTTAAGGGCTGGGAAGTCTACACCTGAGGTTGAGTTGAGACGGTCGAGGCCGTCTTGTATTTCTTGTTCAATGGTGGAGGCCCGCTTCACGAGCTGTGATATTGTCAGTGTGCGTCGGGTTTTCATGTCCTTTTTCCAGGCATCCAGGGCAGCGATCTCTCCTATCTGGCGGAGAACCCAGCTTTGACAGCCGAAGAAGTCCTCGAGTTGTAGTGGGGGTTCCTCTCGTTGATATTGTTTTGTGAGTATGTCTTCGTGGTAGTCACGAAGTCTAGGCGGCTGTCCGAGCGCCGTGCTAGAAATAATATCTGCGAGCAACAAGACAGCGGAAAAGAATCGAAACGAGGCCTGATCTGAGTTCCAAAGCGTGTAGCCAGAAGTAACCATGGGCAAGGACGATCTCTGCTCCATCAAGTCTAGAAGAGAACACATATTCCCAAAGTCCGACTTGACTATCCCTTCGAACAAGACGATGCCGGCATCGAGATGCATGCGCCACGTCTCGCTGGTAGCGACTAGACTCTCGTAGACCAATAGTTGCACGATACTCTCGAGGAGGTATGCGCTCTCCACGAGGTCATGGTGCACGCCGCGGCTGTTGATGTTCTGGAGGTCGTACTGTACCATTTTCACGGCTAGGTCAATCTGCTTGCGCTGCTCGCCATTGGCTATACTTATGCATGAGTTATACGCGGGACCAGAGCTGATTGGGACGTTTGAGAAGAAGTACGACGTCAGGCTTAGGGTTGCGTGGTACAAGGCCTGGATCTTGAGGGGCAAGACCAGGAGCCAGCTCCGGCCGCCGTCGAATATCGTGGGCGTGTAGAAAGGGAACAGAACGGGGAATGTATAGTCGAGGTATATCATCATAAACGACAGTTCGAGCTCATTATCGAGAGGCTGAGACAGGCGGTGCGAGCCCGGCACAGTGGAGTAATCCAAAGGGCCCGGTGGTGAGCCATTGTCAGAGCGAGATGTCTCAAAGGCGACGCGCGGTGCATCTTGTTGAGCGCTGATATTGCTCGGAGGGCTTGTATTTGAAGATTCGGCTCTCCAAGCCTGCTCCTCATTCGAGCTTCTATCACGTGTTTCCCTCGCGGGCTCTGTGACGACGCTCCCTGCTTCAGAGGTCTCAGGCCGAGCGTCCCCCTCCTCTCCTTCTAGATCGCGCGCGATGCGCTGCATCAGCTTTTTCGATCGACGTCGAGCAGCGCTTCGTTTCACTTCCGCTTTGATCCGCTGCGCCATCTCGCGCTGTTTCGTCCCATTTTCCATCCATTCTGGCTTGCGCGTGTCGGAATGGCACTGTATACCGAGCGCGTCACAGCCCCTACAGACGGGGCGGGTCTTGTCACATTTCTTGCGGCGAATTCGGCATGTCCAGCAGCCGGTATAATCTCTCTCGCCATTCGTTAGCATTGAGGTTTCGAATGAAGAGCTAGATTTTTGTTCTGCGCCCGTTGGTATGCTGCACGTGATTGAATCCTCTCTCCCCGAAGCCTGAGGCAGCCAAGTCTGTACGGTTCGATAATTGCGACACTCGGTTGACACTCCTCGCGTGGTCTTGCTCTTCCAGAGACTGACCCTTTGTGACAGTAGCGATCGTGGTTTTTAGCGTAAATCTGGCTCTCTGCCCTTGCAATAGGCTAATCAAAGAGCCAACTGAACGAGATTCCGCGCGCGTTAACAAGCCGCGCGGGCTCAGACTCGGACTCGTATAGTGAGGATTGTTATTTAGACAGGTAAAATGGCATATTTGCAATGACATCCACTACCTGTTTCAATTAGACCCACCACAATTATACAGGCCAGAGGCTATAACTGCCCCACTTGTGTAACCAAGTATGTGATATGATGACGTTCTAATCGATTATTTATACGACCATAACCTTCACTATTCTCTAATTTAATTTCCATATCAAAACTCAGAAATCATGGCAGGCTCCAAAATTCTGGTTCTCGGTGGCACCGGCCCCGCGGGAATCTGCCTGCTACGAGAACTCGTCTATCGCAAGCATGCGACGATAGTCTACGCTAGGAATCCGTCCAAGATCCCCGAGGATTTGGCAGATCATGAGCTAATCGAGGTGCGTGATTGTGGTAGAAACTCCATCCCATACTAATTTACGAATTATGGTAGGTTGTCAAGGGCGAGATGAACGACCTTGAAACCCTCTCTGCAGCAATCGCCCAGAGCTATATAGTCCTCTCGCTCCTGGGACCAAACATACTAGATAAGAACATGGAGCCGACACTATTCGCCGACATGTACAAATCATCCGTGTTCCCGCTAATGCGCCAACACGGGGTGAAACGCATATACGCCATGGGAACTATATCGCTCTATCGACCGGAGGATCACTGGGTGCTATCTCGGTCCGTAGTCGTCACTTTCGTGCGGCTCTTCGCGAATAGAGCATATCAGAATATCATCAATCTTGCGAAGGTGTTTGACGAGGATGCCGATGGGCTTGATTGGACGGTCTTTCGGATTGCGATGATCCCGGGAAACGCGGATGAGGAGAGTTGGCGGAGGGATAGGGAGGATGGGGAGGCGTTCGCGGGTCCTGTTGGGGCGAAGGGATGGAGTATTTCTCAGACTCGGGCAGCGCTTGCTCGGTGGCTGGTTGATTCTGTAGAGCGGGGAGGGGACGAGTGGGTGGGCAAGATGCCGGCTGTTTGTAAGAAGGCAGCTTGATGATGACAGGATGGAGCATAATTCCATAGCAGTACATAGCGTAGGTCGATAAGGGAAATTGCTTATAGTCGCGGCATTCGAGAGGACGTCACGCATAAGGGGAACCTACCCAGAAGGCTATCAGAAAGATCTTTTATACTCTACGTTCGGATCTAGCGCCTTAGAATGAAGTAAAAAGAAATTGCTATCAAACCCAGAAATATTTATATACACAATCTTAACAGAAGATATGAAAAAGAACATAACCCATTTCCTGCCATAATCATTGCGACTTCTTCATATGTAGGTATTTTACAACTTCGCCTTGGCACCATCCAACAGCTCCGCACCAGCCCCCGAGATGGCAGGCTTGCCTGTCTCAACAACAGTGGTCTGGAAGAGAACAGTGTTGCCCTCCTTCCACATCTCTGTCCTCAATGTCTGGCCAGGGAGCACGACACCGGCAAAGCGAACCTTGAGGTTCTTGATGGGGCCGAACTTGGAGAAGACATGCTTGCCGGAGATACCGAGGGAGCAGAGACCGTGGAGGATAGGAGTCTTGAAGCCGCCGACCTTGCTGAATTCAGGGTCGATATGGAGCGGGTTGCGGTCGCCGTTCAAGCGGTAAAGGGCAGCTTGGTCCTCGGAGGTCTTTTCCTCAACGACAATGTCGGGCTTGCGGCTGGGAGGCTTGTAGGCTGCGACGGCGGCCTTGGGGCGCGGGGCGGTGGGCTTGGGGGAGCCGCCGAAGCCACCGCTGCCGCGGATGAAGACGGTGGATTCGTTGTAGAAGAGGTCTTCGCCGGTGGCGATGTCCTTGGTGGTGTATCCAGCGACGACGAGGGCGGCGGCGCCCTTGTCAATGACGTCAATGAGCTTGGGGTAGGTCTTTGTCTTGGCCTCGGTAGGGATGGGGAACTTGCGAATCTCCATGTACTGCTCCCCGTGGAGGAGCATCATGGGGGAGAAGTTCTTGACGATGTCACCCATGTCCCAGGGGGTAGAGGTGTTGAACCAGGGGATCACACCAAAAGTGGGAAGGGCCTGGAAGTGCTCGTTGTTCTCGTAGACGAGAGGGAGGTCAGTGCGCTTGGCACCCAAGCTCAGGTTGTAGAGGATGATATCGCGGTCGGTGTAGTCGAAGGGGGTTCCGTCGGAGGTGGCCTTCTTGGCAGCCTCGATGGCGTTGAGGATCTCGCTACCACTGCCGTCGCTGCGGTTGTTGAAGTTGGCCATAACCTTCTCGTTGGCGGCCTGGATCTGCTCGGGGTGGTCGGCACGGCCGTCATCGAAGTTGATGATCTTGGGGAGCTGCTTGGCGACAGCCTCGGGAGTCAGCTTGACGTCCACGGGGAAGCCGTGGCCACCGCTTCGCTGCCAGCGGGTGCTGCCGAACCAACCGCTACCGCACTCAAATAGACCCTTAGTGGAGTAGGGCTCGGGAGTCTTGTCGGAGCAGAGAAGAACGACCAAGGGAGCAACGTAGTCGGGCTTGAAGGCCTGGACAACCTCCTCAGGCATGATGGAGCGGGTCATGTTGGTACCAGCGTTCGGGGCGATGGTGTTGACCTTGATGTTGTACTTGGCACCCTCGATGGCAAGAGCGCGGGAGAATCCAAGGATACCGAGTTTCTACGGTTGTTAGCAGGCATCTCGAAAAATTTAAAAAGGAGGTCAACGTACAGCAGCAGCATAGTTAGCCTGTCCGAAGTTTCCGTAGATACCGCTGGTGCTAGCCGTGTTGACAATACGGCCGTACTTCTGCTTGAGCATGTGGGGCCAAGCAGCCTGGGTGACCTTGTAGGTTCCGCGCAGGTGAACGTTGATGACAGGGTTCCAGAGGTCATCATTCATGTTAGCGAAGGCCTTGTCGCGGAGAATACCGGCGTTGTTGACCAGGATATCAATACGGCCATATGTGTCAATGGCGGTCTTGACAACGGCGGCACCGTCCTCGCAAGAGGCCTTGTTGCCGACAGCCTGGCCACCGGCCTTCTTGATCTCCTGCACAACTGGCTCGGGGTCAACTAGATCGTTGACCACGACGGAAGCGCCAAGCTTGGCGAACAACAGGCAGTAAGCACGGCCAAGACTGACAAAGTTAGCATGGACCCATACATGCCGTAGACCTTCAAACGTACCCATTGCCACCTCCAGTAACCAGGGCGACCTTGCCCTTGAAGTCTGGCTCCTCTCCAGCAGGAGCAGAAGGCAGCTTCAGGCCGTCCTCGAGAAGACCCATAAAGTCAGCAGGCCCAGTGGGGTAGCTGGGCTGCGAGTAGTCGTTGACGTCCTTCCACTTTCTGGCGATGGCACCGGGGGTCAGAGAAGCATCGGGCTTCAGCAGAGCACCCTTGGCACGCTCCCATCGGATCTTGGCGACGTGACCACCACCGACTTCGAAGATGGAGCCGGACTCTGTGGTGTTGGAGGAGTGGACGAGGACGGCAACCAGGGGAACAACCCATTCGGGCTTGAGGAGATCTAGAACCTCTTGGGGCATAACGGTAGCAGTCATACGGCTAGCAGCTGCGGAAGTTAGTGATGCTAAACTACAGAATCCGGCTTGCGCAACATACCAATGGGAGCAATGACGTTGGCGAGGATGTTGTACTTGGCACCCTCCTTCGCGAGCGTCTCAGTGAAACCGACCTGGCCGAGTTTGGCGGCTATTCTTGTCAGCTAATGCAATCGAGATTCATTCCGTGGGTCTCACCAGCGTAGTTGGCCTGTCCGAAGTTGCCGAAGAGACCGGCCGCAGAGGCAGTGTTGATGATGCGACCATACTTTTGTTTCCGGAAATGGGGCCAGGCAGCTCGTGCGCACTAGACAAATCAGCCCTGCCGATTATTCATGGGATAACCCGTGTTTCTGACCTTGTATGCACCATATGTGTGAACTTTGTTGATGAGGTCCCAGTCCTGGTCCTTCATATTCTTGAAGCTGACATCCCGGAGAATACCGGCGTTGTTGAGGAGGATATCGATGCGGCCGAAAGCCTTGATCGCGGTGTCGATGATGGCGTCGCCATTCTCGACACTGTCGTAGTTGGCAACGGCCTTGCCGCCAGCAGCTTTGATTTCTTCGACGACCACATCGGCGGCCTAAGAAATGAAGATGTATTAGAATTGTCCACAACTCATTCGCATGTGATCGACACGCTCACCTTGCTCGACTTGCCCTCTCCTACGTGGGAGCCGCCCAGATCGTTGACGACGACATTTGCTCCTCTTGAGGCGAAGAACAGAGCATATGCCTTACCCAAGCCACCACCAGCTCCCGTGACGACAACAGTCTGGTTGTCAAAGCGCAGCTCGGACATGTTGCAAACCAGTTCAAGAAATGAGGAAGAAGATCTAAGGAGAGTGAAAGTGCGGGATGGGAGGGAGAAAGGGAGAAGTAATGAGATCAGAGAATATTTAAAGACGGGAAAAAAGAGGAGGACGGAGAAGCGTCTGGGGAGAGCCGAGTTCAAGAATGAGGGTGAATATGGGGAGAACAAAGTGACGACGGTCGCTGTGCTCGGCAAGCTGCAACGCGTGAGCCGAGGTATCTTTGCCCACCCCAAGCTCGGTGCTTTCGCTCCCAGCGGGACCCACGCGCTTGCGGATCGAGCAAAGGTAGATGCTACGGCTTCACATGCCGATGGTGCATTTTGTTCTTCCTCTTCATAGAGGCTAACGGCCTATCCTTACCCTCCGAAGCTTCTCCATCTTCATCCTGCCGTCGGTCGGCGATGGACATCCGGCCCTCTCCCAGTGCAACATCTTCGCTTTGTGCTCCTTTGGGTCTAGTCTGCAATGGGTTAGCCTCTTCATGTGATCCGAGGTCATGTCATCAGACCGTGGATTTGGGTCAGGTGACTCTTGTGGGGCTCCACGGTCAACAGCAGAAGATAATCGGCTTCATCTGACATCTTGGTCAAGCGTAAACAGCAAGCGAGAGCAACAAAAACCCAGTCCTTCAGAAAAGAATATGACAAGGGCTGTCTCGACTGTAAACTCAGACGGAGACTTGGCAGCTCGAATTGACCGTTTCCATCAGAAGACGGCAAACGGACTAGCTGCAGCATCCGAGGAAGAGCGTCTTTACGGAGTTCACCTTGCCAGTGCAACAGCCGCGGTCAAAGGTCAACCCAAGCCTACGCCGTATATTATTATACCTCGTACCGCACCAAGTGTTGCCAATGCTTAACTTGCTGATTGTGATCACCACCCTCTGGGGGTCACTTGGGCTGTCTTATCCTTGGGCCTGCAGAAAACAATGCTAGGTAGCACTGACGGAAAACGCGAAGCAGAAGTCTCGTTGTTTACAAACCTCGATCCTAACGAGGCAGCGCCATGAAGATGTGACTACTATTCTCTTCAATTGACAGAACGTCCGCGACTCAACTCCTGTGGTTCCAGCAATGGACGAACCTAATTCTATTGATGATGCGGTCTATCCGTCTCACCATTATCAAGTTTGAGAGCGCTGAAATGCTACAGGATGCAGTTCAGATCAACTCATATACCTCTAGAAGAGTCTGATTGCCGACAATGAGGAACTCAATCTCTCGCGCGATACTCCACCTCTCGCCCGTTCGGCCCACAGCAAGCATTTCCCCAGCCGGAGAAAACAAGTCCGGTCGGATAACCCCCGAGTGCCGTTTCCGTCTATATCAACGCTGTAGATCCGCAAGCGCAATCTGCAAGAATTGCGTTCTAGAACACTCACTCACTTACAGGTCCAAAATGCCTGAAATCTTCGACGACAAATCCGAGCACTGCATCCCGTTTCTCCTTGAGCGGCTCAAAGCCCACCAGGCGCAGTACGGCAACGACCCGGCGAAAACCCCGCCTTTCTTCCTCGGTTTGAATGGCGTCCAGGGCGCTGGAAAAACGGTTCTGGTGTGTATCCAGATCCTATCATAATACCACGATCAATATGCTCCCACGATAATCTTGAAGCACGCAGTCGAGTCACCGGCGCATTGCTAACGACGCAGGTATCAACCCTCCACACGACCCTCCGCTCCCCGCCATACTCCCTCCCCGTCGTGACCCTCTCCCTCGATGACCTCTACCTCACACACGAAGACCAAGTCGCGCTCGCAAAATCACACCCGACGAACCCCCTTCTCCAACACCGCGGCCAGCCTGCAACACACGACCTCCCGCTCGCTGAATCCGTCTTCGCCTCGCTCCGCGCGGGCCGCCCCACCGCGATCCCAGCATACGACAAGTCCGCCTTTAGCGGGCAGGGGGATCGCGTTCCGAAAGAACAGTGGAAGTCCGTGAATGGAGAAGGGCAAGAACAGGTCAAGGTTATCATCTTTGAAGGGTGGAGTGTAGGATTCCGGGCGTGGGATGACGAGACCTTGAAAGCAAAGTGGGAGGATGCGGTCCGGAAGAAAGAACAAGAGGGCGAAGGATACAAGGGGAGACTTGGGCATGTGCGGTTTGAGGATGTAAAGACGGTGAACGACGCACTGCGGAATTATGATGTTCTGACTGAGTTCGTTCTCCCTACCTGACTCGGCTCGCGGCTTCTGCGGAGTACACAGCTAACCCATTTCCCGGTATAGCCAGTTGGACGCGTTGATCCATATGTATGCCCCCTTCCATATCCTCAACCCCGATTATTCGCATACTTACAACAAACAGCGATGCCCAAGATAACCACTTCGTCTACGACTGGCGACAAGAACAAGAGCGGACTCTCCGTGCCGTAAAAGGCATCGGAATGACAGAAGAACAAGTCAACCACTTTGTCGACGGATGTATGTCACTCACACCTCCAATTACAACCACCGGTCCAAGCTAATAAACCAGATTACCCATCGTATGAACTTTACAGCGAGACCCTCCGCGCAGGAGCCTTCAAGCCCGTCCCGCACTCAACGACGGCCTCCGCTTCGCCCTCGGGCTGGGAGGGCAAACAGCTTAGATTGATCGTTAACAAGAGCAGAAGGGTGCAGGAAGTTATCAAAATCTAGAGTGCTTCCTTCATTCGAAATGTCTGCGAGGTAAAAAAAAAAATCCTATAACAGTATTCATGTCTCGTATCATCTGATCTATATATAACCTGAAATACCCAACCAACCGAATGGACAAATAACCAACCCCGCGAGACCACTTTCCACTCTCCACCCTCCTCTCCTCTTCTCCTTCATTTTTTTTACTCCAACCCTCCTGGATTTATATTCCAAGACCCGAAGCACGTCTCCGGATCAACCCCGGCATCCTCAAGCATATTGCTAAACGGAAACAACACCGGCACCCCGGCAAGCCGGTGTTCGGTCCAATATTCCAGAGACACAGGCGCAGCCCCACCGGATGCCGAGACGGCAGAAGCAGTATAACCACCTTCGCTCTCTGTAGTCCCTGTCGCGACACCTTCAGGCGTTGGTAGACCTGCCCCAGAGCCCGGTGTCCCCGTTCCTGTTCCCGTCCCCGTGCCGGTGTAATCGGCCCCGGGGACATCGTGCATGTTCATGTTTATGCTTCGTTCGAAGGATGTCGTTTGTTGCATGGGGTATGGGTTCCGGCTTCCGACTCCGACGGGTATGCTCATTCCCATGCCCAGTCCCATGCCCATTTGTCCCCCGACGTGCATACCCATTGGAACCCCAGCATAAGTCTGCGCCTGCGGCTGCGTTGGAATCTGCCCCTGCACAGAGCCAGCCCCCGACCCGGACGGATCAGACGGACTAAACCCCTCGTGCTCTCCCACCGCATCCCTCTCCGAGTCTCCACCCTGCCCCTGCCCCTGGTGCCCCAACGACATCCTCAACAACCCATCAAGCAAGTATCTCGTCCAGATCGCAATCGGGTACATATCCTGGAACCGGTCGAGGACGTGCATGGCGAGTGCGGCACGGTGCTCGGAGACGGTCCGGACGTCGCGCTCGCCGCGCCGGATGTTGGAGGCGTGGACGACGATTGAGGCGAAGATTGCGGGTAAGCTAGATCGTTTATCTTTGGTCAGATTATAATTTTGGGGCGGGCAATGCATGGGATTAAGGGAATGATGATGAAGATGACGAGCAAAGAGTTGACGACCTACATGAGAAAAGGTGCATTATGCAGTGTCCCCGATGCAACGAGGTCTTCTAGAAGACGGCTCACTCGCGCGGCGGCTTCGAAGAGCGGAGAGGAGAGACCGACTGTTACGGGGGTTTCGGAGAGCATGCGGTAGAAGACGATTTGGTAGTCGCTGCGCGCATCAATATTAGATTTTTATTTCCACTGAAACGAATTGGGACAAGGAACTTGAAAAGGAGGAGATGGGACGCACCAATAATACAAGTGAATCAACGCAGGCCAGAACCCATTTTCGGGCGTTATCAGGGAGGGTATCTCTCTGAATCGTGGCGGGAGGGTCTCCTTCCACTGAAGGAGTTTGTCGTAGGATGTCTGGTTTGTTTCTGTGTGTGGAGAGGAGGAGAGTTTTGAGACAAGGCATTCGCCGACTAAGCCATACAAATATGAGATATTAGTTGCGTTTCTTTTTGATAGTGGACGTGAAAAGGGCGGGTATATTGGTTTAGGTGGATGGGGTCTGGTCTTACCCCGGGTAATCAAATCAGCCAGGTGGATCAGGTACAGTCTGCCCTCGTACGAGCCCTCGTGGCTTATACCAGTACTCAGACCTGTGCCTGGACTTGGACTTGGACCTTGCGCATCGAGCTCGAAATCTTCTTCCCGGAGAGATGCAATGTCGCAGAAGCTCGGGTGGATGTGCGGTGGTCGGCCGTAGACGGCGGCATGGTGGATGTCGTTTATCTACCACCGTCAGCACATTTCCCATACCTACGAAATGAGAGTATAAAAGTAGCAAGGACTCACATAAAGAACCCACCATATCCTTCTCCATACCCTCTGCGTCTCTTTCGGGAGCATATCATACGATTTTCTGTAAACACGGACACCTGCATGAGCACACACCCACGGCGTTCGAAGAAATGAGAGAAAGAAAGAAAAGAAAATAGTACGCTCGGTGCATCCCCAACGCCTGTGCCAACCCCGCCGCAACACCCAACCAAAACCACGTATCCTTCTGCTCGACGGGCCCAGCCCACCAATTCGACATGAGAATCGTCGCCTGCAGCGTGCAGATCCCATCGGACTCGAAGTCCGCATCGTACAGCGCCTTCGCGCGCCGGTAGAATGTCATGCTGGCGTGGTACCGCGAGGCGAACCCGGCTTCGTGCAGCAGTGCTTCGGGGGCGTGGAAGGTCGCGACCATGTAGACGGCGCTTAGCAGTAATGGTGAGAGTGATCCGTCGGTATACTTGTGCATGAAGTCTTCCTGTGGAAAAAGGGGAAATGCGGGGAATGAACAGCGCATGAAGACCTCGACGAGGGCATCGCTGAGGTCTTTCCGGGGAAGGGCAAAGGCGCCTGCGGAGCGCAGGATCTCTTCGTCCTCTGCGCGGAGGTTGTGAATTGCGGACTGCGTGTACCGATCCAGTTTCTCGACCATGGATTTCTGGAGCGTGTCGCCCCAGAAGCGGGAGTGGCGGGCGGCGCTGGCACCAGTGTTACCGTCCGAGAAGGGGTCGCCGACCTCGTGGAGGACGTATTTGAAGTTTGCCGAGTCGCCCATGTACACCACTTTGCCGGCGTCGTTGGGGCTGTCGCGGTGCACGGCAACCTCGGAGAGAGAGGGGCTGACATAGCGGTTTGAGGACCGGGGTTTGTGGGATGTTGGGGTGGCATCCCCTGGTGTTGACGATGATGCTGTGGATGCGGAAGGTTGGGGAGGCGAAGAGGGCGAGGCACGTTCTCGCTCTCGCTCTCGAGGTCGTCTGGTAACAGTTCGAGTGTATCTGTTACTCAATTAGACAGTATTCTAGGAAAATTCAGGTCCCTGGAGTTTGATGTTTTTTGGTGGTCTTGGTGGTGGGTACTCACTTCCCCCGCCTCGACTCAATAAGCTCACAATCGGCGCCGGCAACACGACAATTCGAGCAGGCAGAGCCGGGTATGCGATCGCATTTGACGCGCCGCAGATTGCACAGCTTACAGGCGACCTTTTGTGGAGGCATCATGCACTTTCTCTCAACTCGTGGGATTGAAATAGTGGATGGTGATTTGAGATTCGGTTGCGAACCGAGCGGGCGCCCCCCTCCCCAGTCGGCGACTCTGAAGACACTCGAGAAAACCTTTTCCGGCTCGCTCTCGTCCTTCCGCTTTTTGGGCATCCTTCAGTTGCCAGTTTCAATCCCTGCTTATCTTCGTGCGAACCTTCGGTCCGCCGAACCCGCTCCTGGGTTGGGTTCGCGATCCTGAAGGACCAAAGTACGAGTGGCCCGCGAACTGATTGGGTCCCAGTGCTGAGGAGTCGTCGTCGGCATTTTCGGGTTGGCCGGGGAGTCGACGGGGCCCCCGCAAGCCGCCGGGCGCTAAACAAGTACAGGCTGCACTTCATTAAAATCGGTCGAGGCCATTGGTCTTATTCTATGTTACTCAGCAGTCTAAGTTCCAGCTTGCTGCTTCAAGTGGCTGGGGCTCCTGCAGAAAAAGCAGGGATTTGCAGTCAAATTGCCACCTTGCGAGTCGCAACGCACTGTTGCAGGGCATTGTGTGAGTGTTGCATTGTTGCATTGTCGCATTGTCGCAAACTCCGCTACAGCCGCCCTCGCCAGCGCACTTCGAGCAGCCGAAGCGGGAAATACAAAACTCCCGCGCTCACCGTCCCCAGTTCGTACGCGAGATCCCCTGTGTGCTTCGCGATCGGCCCGACGTACCAGGCGTTGTCCATGGATGTGATGATGAGTGCCCAGGGGACGATACTCGAGACGAGAGCAGGAATACCCGAGGGTAGCGCGGCTGCATTGTTCCAGATCTTCGGATCCATAGAGGCCGGATCCGCGCGGCGGAAGTAGAACCACTCAATTAAGAATACGCAGACCGTCGGACCCGTCATGTATCCCGCGATACTGACAAGCGTGCTCAGCGTTGATAGGAACGAGCGTGAAGCCGCGATTGCCACGCCGATCATCACGCCTGCGGCGCCAAAGAGGATAATTATACGCGGGACACGTCGCAGCCAGGGGACAACTGCGACGGTGAACAGTGACATGCTGTACATGTCTCGTGCCGAGGTCGTCACGATTGAGAAGCCAAGGATGACGAGGAGGAAACGGCCGAAACCGCCAACTTTGTCAACGAGGATCTCACCAAGGACTGCACCCAGCCCGCCCTGGCCATATGCTGCTCCCCAGGCTGGGATGGCGCCGATTGCACCGCCGATGGCTGCGCCCAGCATCATCATCAGTGTGAAGGGGACGTACAGGCCCATGAAGCAGTAGAAGGCGAGACGCAACCGCGGGGCGTGCGGAGGCATGTAGCACGCATAGTCTCCAACAATGGTACCCCATGTTGCCATGTTGGATGCGCAGATGGAGATCGTCGCGAGGTAAGGGGCAGCAACGCCAGAGGTACGGGCGGGCGCCTGATTGTGCAGGCTGCTTCCGGCGCAACCGACCAGGATCAGCAGGGCGATGCTATTGGGGATCCAAATGTATTGGCAGATCAGATGCAGGGCTCGGTAGCCGATGAAGCTGATGACGAAGCCGACGACGAGGATGATTCCGATGGAGCCTTCGACCGGGAGGGTGCCTGGACGGATGGCGGAGAGGCACTCTGCGCCGGAAACTGTGGCCAGAATGCCAAAGATGAGCACCTCAAGGATGACGATCAAACTGATGAAGGCATTCGGGTATTTTCTTCTGCTGTCAGGTTTGTATAGGCTGCAGGTTTCAGGCGGCTTACCCGAAAGCATAACGAAACTGCACCGACTGTCTCATTCCCAGCAGCGGAGCCAGCGTGAGGATATACAGCGTCGGAAGCACAAAGATAAACTGCATCGTCACGATCATCGCCGCTGCATCCTTGAACGAGAGGCCGAACGCCAGGGTCGGCGTGGTACCGATGCTCAGCCTGCACAAGTCAGCTTCATATTCATCTCGTCGAAGGAAGGATACACTCACGGCAAAACAGAAACAAATGAGCCTCCAAATAGTGTAAAGATATTGTAGTACTTGATGTGGTTCCGCTTCTCAGGCGGAATGGGCTCCAGGCCTCGCATCTCCACTCCCGCCGTCGTGAGCCCCTTGAGAAGAGTCCCAAAAGAGGACGAGGTCGAGACCGGAGGAGTAAAGTCCTCGACGACTTCATTCTGAGGCGCTGGTTGAGACGACTCGACGTCTGACTTTTCGACCGTAGTCGAAGGGTTCTTGGTTGAGTCCATTGTTGTTGTGCTTGTTGCTTTCTGGTGAGGTGGACCCGAATGGATCTGAAGCTCAGGAGAAGAAAAAAACGGCCGGTATAAGATTGACTCGGCTCGACTTATCTGCAAGGCTTATCACGTTTGCGTTTAGCCAGGCTCGGCGTGCGTCGTTAGGAGGTTAGGAGTCGGCGACTCGAGTTTCGAATCCTTCAGACGACACCAACAATCTCATTCTTGAACAATCATCAATCGCATGGTTGCATGCATCTCATAAACATTCATACATACCATAATTTCATACGAAACTCATCGCTTTTCAATGCATCCTCTCACGGCTCTCGACTCACACTCTCGACAAACGCCGCAATCTCCCCCGCCACAAGCCCCGGACAATCCAAACTCGGAAAATGCGTCGCGCCCCCCAAATCCCTCCACGAGAACCACCCGCTCCCCTTTCCAGTCTGAAAGCTCTCATGCCTCACCCGATACGCCTCATTCCCGCGCGGATGCGAAAACACATGCCGAATCGGACAGATCTTGCCCCCTCGCTCCGCAGCAAGCACCTCCATCCTTTTCATTGGATTCTCATGCTCCGCGTACGCCCCCGCAATCACGCGGCATGAACGCGCCCACATGTCGTATCCGAACCGCCCGAAACTATAAGCAAAGTGATCTCGCACCGCAGCGTTGTCACTCCCGGCCAGCCAGCTGGCGAAGAGGCCTTCCCGTGCCGATTTCCAGCTCGCTTTGTCCTGCATTGCGATGAGCCCGGAGGCGAACTCTGGTGGGGGGTCGGTCATGATCTGGTCGATCATAAACAAAGACAGGACGCGACTACTACTGCTAGAGCAGAGCTTCTCAACAAGCCCGAGAGCCGCCCACCCGCCATGTGAGTGCGAGACGAGGTGGAATGTATCAACGTCCAACGCGTCCAGAAGCGCAATGGTATCGCTGACTTGCTCGGCGACCCCAAAGTCCGGTATGGGGTCTCGGGACGGCCCGTGGCCGCGCCAGTTTATGCGGATGACGTTGAACTTGTGGGCGAGATGGGGCAGGACGAGGTCGTAGAGCTGGAGGTCGTGGGCCCAGCCTGTTAGCAAGACGAGTGGGGGTCCTGTGGCGTAGCCGGTGGTGTCGTAGGAGATTTCGGTCCCGTTGAGGGTTTTTGTGAGGAGCATTTTGCTGGAGGTTTCTTGTGTCAAAAAGGTACAGGGGGAGAGGAGGAGGGTGTAGTTGGGTAGTGACTGTGATTGCAATGCACTGCAATTGCAATTGAGGGCAAGTGGCCCCGCGCTTTATAGTATACTTCCAGCATGATCGGATCAGACGATCGATCACAAAAGCTATAAAATGCTTCACTCCCACCGTGAGTCGGCGTCTCGCACACCCTGAGAAAAACCGTACGACCGTCCCAACCCGAATGGGCAGTTCACCAGCATCTCCACCAAGACGCCGACTCAATGAGGGGCCGTTGAGAACGCTCCAACGCCACGTTACACACCGAACAAGGATACATAATGATACGCATATCTACCTCGTGGCTAATTCTCCGATAATACAAAGCCATTGTATCACATAGATCTTCAACGATACATTCCTTCACATATCACACAATGGCCGAGACACCTTCAGATCCGATCATCATCATCGGCGCCGGCCTGGTAGGGCTCACCATGGCCCAAGGCCTCCGCAAGGCAGGGTTCCCGTTTGAGATTTATGATCGGGATAGTAGCCTTGACCAGCGGCCGGCCGGATGGGGGATCACGATGCACTGGGCGCTGGCGGCGCTGGCTTCCTGTCTTCCGGAGGATGTCTTTGCGAGAATTCCGTCTATTCAGGTGAATCCGAGGGATGGGGGGAAGGGTATGGCATTTCTCTTCTTCATACTCTTGTATCATATGATATGAACTTGATATCGATAGTAACATGCCACAGAAAACGACCACTACAAATTCCTCAACCTCGAGACCGGCACGGACGCATTCGCCATCCCTTCCTCAGTGCACTACCGACTCAACAGAAAAAAATTCCGCCAGCTACTGAGCACCGACATCCCCGTAAAATGGGGCAAACGCTTCACGCACTTCGAGACCGTCCCCGATGGCGTCCTCGTCCACTTCTCGGACGGCTCCGTGGTAAAGGGCTCGATGCTTCTGGGCATCGAGGGCAAGAACTCGCGCGTCAAGCGGCTCCTCGTCGGCGAGGAAAACGCCAAACTCAACCCGCTCCCCGTTGCATTCGTCGGAATCAGCTTACGGCTCTCCCCGGCGAGAATGGCCCCGTTTAAAGCTATACATCCGGTCCTCTGGCAGGGGTCGCATCCGGGGTCTGGATATTTCCTTTTCTTCTCAATGCTTTCGACACCCGAGAGCAATGGGAGTGCGGGAACGGGTGAGGAATTCTACGAGGGGCAGTTTAACATGAGTTGGCTCGTTGAGAAGAACGGGCCGACGCCGGCGACGGGGCCTGAGCAGATTGCGAAAGTGAAGAAGGCGGCGGTGAGCGATACGGGGTTCTTCCCGGGTTTGAGAGAGGCGGTTTTGGATATTCCAGAGGACAGTCCCGTGCTGGAGATCAAGCTCGAGGACTGGCCGACGCAGATGTGGCCGAATGCTGGCGGGAGAGTCCAGCTTGTGGGTGATGCAGCGCATACGATGACGATGTGTATGTCTCCTCTCCCTCCTCCTTTACCTCTACACCCGTCCCTCTATATGCTACTTGCACTCTAACCTGTCTCAGACCGCGGAGAAGCCGCCAACCACGGCATCTTCGACGCAGCACGACTAACAGAGCAACTTATTCGATGGCGAGACGGGAAACAGACGCTAGAAGAGGCGTTCGACTCGTATCAGAAGGAGGTATATGCGCGAACGCACGACGCCGTGATTCAGAGCCGCTATGCGTGTCTGGAAGCGCATGATGTGTCAACGCTCAGGGAGGATAGTGCCATCTTTCAGGTGTCGGGGTTTAATGCTGCGGCGGAGCAGCCGAGGGCTTCATTGTGAAGACGGAGTACTATGGATATTGGGGGTGTGGGACGGAGATGGGTATGATAATGAAGTGGTGGAGTACGTAGACATAGCAGGCTGTGCTGTGTACGAATACGGAGTATGAGTGTAATGAACCGCCAGTGTGGGGTGATAATGGAGAGTTGTAGATGCCCTACTTGGAAAATTGGACAAGGCAATGATAAGCATCGGCGACTCGATTTCATCAAGACGCCGACTTGGATTATCTACTCGCATTCTAGAAGTCCCAAAGACACATCTCCGATAAGCTTCTCCAAATAAGCTTGCAGCTTACTATACTATTCTCCGAATCCACATCTAGCTAGATATACACCTCGCGTCCCTCCCACTCTTCACCTCTCGCCTATCATCCCACACCTAAAATGTCCAACCCAACCACGATCCCCATCTCCCTCCCCACAGGCCCAATCCTCGCCCTCGCCCTCGAAGACGACCTCCTCCACGCCCGCGGAATCCCCTACGCTTCCGCCCCACGCTTCACACCCCCACAGCCCATTTCCGAACCATGGACGCTCGAAAAGGACTGCACCACCCCCGCACCAATATGCCCACAGCTCCCCTCCCGCCTCGAATCCGTCATGGGCGGCCCCCTAACAGCCGGTCACGAACAGAGCGAAGAATCCTGCCTAGCCCTCTCCGTCACCGCACCACGCGACATACAAACCAACAAGAACCGGCCCGTCCTCGTCTGGTTCCACGGCGGCGCCTATATCTCCGGCGCAGGCGATCTGGCCTGCTACCAGCCTCTCGAACTCGCGAGGGAAGGCGTCGTCTGTGTAACAGTGACGTATCGCCTCGGTGTATTCGGGTACCTGGGTCTGGAGGGCATCGCGCCGCGGAATCTGGGGCTGCTTGACCAGCGCGAGGCGCTGCGCTGGGTTCAGCGCAATATCGCTGCCTTTGGCGGGGATCCCGGGAATGTCACGGTCACGGGCCAGTCCGCGGGCGCAGACGCGATTATATGTCTTATGGCCGCTGAGGGAAGATCAGCGAAGAACCTCTTCGCGCGCGCGATACTGCTCTCTCCGCCGCTAAGGGAGATCACGGAGCGCGCTATGCAACGAACTGCGGAGCTGTTATCGAAAAAGGCAGAGGGGTTCCTTACCAAGGATCCGAGGGAGATGTCCGTGGCCGAGCTACTAGAGTTACAAAAGAAGCTCCTGATGAACCCCGTGCGGAAGCAGGTTATGCTTTTTGCGCCGGCGGCCGGCGAATACCCTCTACCAGCCGTCGAGGACTTTAATAGACGCGTTGCAGAGGCCGTCGCCGATGTCCCGATACTGATTGGGTGGACTGCGCACGACGGGCGGCCGTTTTCGGGGATGATGGACCCCTTGGCGGGACTATATGGTCTTCCCCTGCTCGGATCATTGCTGGAAGCCCTTCAGACGTGGTATGTGACGCGGAGTTACTTCGCGTGGCCATCGAAGGAGTTCCATGCGTATGTGCGCAAGGTAGGCGGGACATCGACGACGTATGAGTTTGCTTGGAGCGGGAGTGGGAGCGGGCTTGGGTCGTGTCATTGTGTGGATATTCCATTTGTATTAGGGGCGAGGGGGGCGTGGGCCGGGGCGCCGATGTTGAGGGGAAGTGGGACGGAGGAGGATGTTGAGCGGTTGGGAAGGGAGATTAGGGGGCTGTGGGTTGGGTTTATGAGGGGGGATTGGGTAGAGAGGGAGCATCTGAGGTTTGTTTAAGCAGAACCTTGGGTTTGTATTCAATGTAGAATAATGATATGATGAAAGAGCAGCTTCGAGTAGCCATAAGTTATACCTTGAGTATAACTGAGGTAGGGTAGATCTGGATATCCTCAAGGCCCAAATGCACGTAGAATCTACGAATTAACATCCGGCAAGATAATCCCACAATCATCGCTCTTCCCGCACTTGTTCTCGGGGACGCAGTTGCCCTTCTGTTGAATTTCAGTCTCACTCTTCAAGCATATCCAACTCCAGCTCTGGAGATGGAGTGGGAATAAGGAAACGATAAGGATTCCAAGGCATCCATGGGAGACTCACGCAATTCCGATAGAACCCCTCATCACAGAAACACCCAGCGACACAGACGAGTGTATTAATGCAGGCGATCGTCCCCTCGCCTTTATCGATGCAGTGCGCGTAGGGACAGGTTGGGCCGCAGTCGGAATAGTATGAGTTTGCCTGCTATGGTTAGTTATATACGATACAAATATATGGGCGAATGGAATTGCGAAGGAGGAGAGATAGGAGGATAGTGAGCGTGATAGAATGGAGATTCGCACTCTGCAGCGAGGTTTGTCTTCTTCGTCCCTCTTCTCTGCTGGAGAGGACGAGACGGAGTGGGTTAGGGCTAGGAGGAGGAGAGCGCTGAGGATGAACTTCATTTTGGTAGGTTGGATCGAGTTGGATAAAACCGGTGCTGGAATGTCGGCAGTGTTCGTTCGTGTCGCAACTTGTAGGTTCTGAAACAGAATCAGAGGTGATATGAAGGACACACAAGATGTCTTATACCATGGTCTTCGCTGATCGGCGAGTATAGTTAGGCAACCCGTCCACCGAAGATATTGTAGGGGCGTTCTTCAGCATCATCCGAAATCCAATCGCCTTCCCTTCCTCCTTCGAACGAAACTTTGAACGTCTCAGATCCCCCGCAGTACCCCTGTCTCCCGCGGTCCCTCGGCGAAAGCTCACGTTTCAAAATGTGGAGTTGGTCGCCTAAGCATATACAGAAAGTAATAAGGCCTGCACGAAAATGTGAAGATCCGGGGTACAGCCCGTGTTACGCCGTCAGACCACACACAGTGAGATGAAAGAGGCTCAGCAGCTCGTATCTGCAGCAAGGGCGTTAGAGTTAAACGGGTTGATAGCACGCGGCTACTGGGTATGTTTCGTTCGTCTTCTGGAGAGATTGCAGATTGTCTCAGCTGGATGGTTGTCATCGTTGCCAGAGTTAGTTGGAGAGTTAGGGCGATTGGTAGGGACAGGGTGTGTTGATGTCATGAGGTTCAAGTGTTGAATCCTGGCGGAGTGTATTCTGGGAGAATCGATGTGACTTTGGCTCCAGAGTTTTAGTGATATTGATCGTTCTCTGAGGACGTAGATTAGGATGCAAGGATCATCCAGGCCCTGGCCTTGCTTCTCGATCTGCAGAATGAGGGCAAGATATCGTTCTTCATGGTGAGCTATATGTATGCGTGGGGCTTGGGGGCATGCTCATCCTCGACGAATCCCCTTGCTCAGCTCGCTGAATCAGGTCATCCGAGTCGGATCATCGCATGGTTCTTCACAAGCTGTAAGCTCAGAATGAATACTCCCAAGCGCGAGCTGAGGACTTGAGGCAAACCCTCTGTGTTCAGAACTTGGTCAATTGTTAGCAGCGCTGGGAGTATTGAGCATAGGGAGCAGGACACACATGAAATCTAAAATCGAAAGGTGACATGTAGTAGTTGATCTGGAAGAGCGGAGGCGGGAGTAAGCTTTGTACTAGTCGACGATGAGGGATGGCGTCATCGAGGGACAGTGTTGCCAACGTCGCACTACGAGTTACAATGAACAACTACAGACTACATTACTGAGAACAAAGATATTAGAGAACACTACAATTGAACGACAAGGGTATAAACGTGGACCATCATAACTGCTCAAAGCTTTTGTATTTTCAACTCGGAATCAGACCATTATCCGTATCCCAGCCAACCCAACAGAGAGACGAACATCTAGTTCATCTGGCGGATGAGGGCGTTGATGTTCTCCTCACGGTTACCAGTGTCACCGCCCTGGATGTAGTGCTTGAACTTGCGGGAGCGGAAGCCACCAGTGGGGTTGGAGAGCTTGAAGGGCCAGAGGAAGTTGTTGGCCTGCTTGAAGTTGGGGCCGACGGTGTAGATCTCGTGGATGAGATCCTCCATGCAGACAATGCCGAACTTGCCGAGGTGCTCCTCGATGATCTGGTTGTCGGTGAGGGGAACACGCTGCTTGTCGACCTTTCCGTAACCGCGCTTGTAGACGAGCTCACGGATGGACTTGAGGTTGGGGTAACCGTAGGCGACGTAGGGGTTGATGATGGTGAGCATCTCCTGGGTGGCCTTCGTGAGGCGAACGAAGGTACCGTTGTTGATCTGGATCAGACGGAGCAGCTGAAGGATCTTGCGAGGCTGAGGAGCAATCTTGTTGATACCCTTGATACGGACAACGAAGACAAGCTTGGGCTCGTCAGGGACGTAGAAGTTACCCTCCTGGCGGGCGACGCGGGCCAGGCGGATCTTCTCACGCTCAGCATCGCGGTACTCCTTGACGTAGGACTCGGCGCGCTTGAAGATGACGGAGCGCTTCTGCTTGTTGGCCTGAAGTCTGAGTTAGCTAATTGTCAAAAGCATAACCTCATGCAATCAAAGTTATAGGCAAATTCTCAGCCCCGAAAGATGGTTAACAAAGCGACAGCATCGACTGGTAATCTAGTCGCGTAATGGTTGGTGTCATCACCGTAGTGTTTGCAAAAGAAAGACAAGAAAAGAAAATGTAAACTGACCTCCTTCTTCTTCTGGGCCTCCTCACGGGCAACAGCGCGAGCCTGCTCCTGGCTCTTGCGCTTCTTCAGGAGGGTCTCGGGGACGAGGACCTGGTCCTGGGTGGGGACGGTGCTGGTAAGGTCAGTTTAGTCTGTCCGTAACAAAGTACTGAACTGATTCCGCCGAGTGCAAGAATTGCGGCTACAGCGCCACATTCTCATGCTGAAGGCTAGGAAGATAACACCCGACAAGATGGATTTGATCAGTGAAGATGGTCTGTGCGACGCTACCTAGTACTAGTCGTGCATTTTCAGCGCGACGTTCGCAGGATCAGGGCGACGACATTGCAAGCCTCATCCGACAAGACCCCAAGCATAACGCTCAGGAAGATAGTGTTGACGCCGTTCGTCCATCTTGGCCGCGAAGCCAAAGTGAGGAGACGATAGCTCTCAACAATTGTTTTCAAGGAGAAGGCACTGTGCTTTCAACCTCAAGACCCCATTCCTTTCCTCAATCCATTGTACCGCTTCTAATTCCGTAGATGCAAGCTCATGGCGAGAGAAAAGGGCGCGGGAAAAATCGAGCTGGTGCCTTTGGACCATTTCTGGTCGAGGCCTCTCCAGCGAGAAGGACGACTATAACCGAACCTTGCAGGCTCGCACACGAATCAGCCGACAAGGGATTGTTCCAAGGCAGCATACGTAGCAGTAGAGGCCATTGCGACGGTCCTGGAGTTCGCGAGTTGGGCGGTTGGCGAAAGCTGTCGTACTGGAAAGAATTCGAGAGAGAAATTTCAGGTGAAGAAGAAAAGGCGGTTGTGGGCAGACAAGACGGCGCTAGGCTCACACAGGTTAGCTTATTTCTGAGTTTACCCTTTCCACTCGGGCTAGACCAGCCCTTATCTTTCTAGGGCAATAAAAGTCAGCTGACAGCCGATAAGGATCCTTGGCGACAACATCGTCACCCGCTTCAGCGGTGCAACCCCGCAATCAATCCTCAGACAGCAGCACTATCATGGCCTCTCGTCGCGGCGTCGGCCTCGGTGCCTTTGCAAACCGCACACAGGCCAGCCAGTCATATGCAAACCATGGCGCAACTCTACGCTCAACACACACCTCCTCGCTCCAAACCCAGCTCTCCGTCTTCCAGTCCCTCCTCCACACCTTCGCGCTCGAACACAGCTCGACCATCAAATCGAACCCAACGTTTCGCGCTGAGTTCGCTCGCATGTGCAATGCTATCGGAGTCGACCCGCTCGCAGCCAGCAATGTCAAAGGCAAGGGACGAAAGGGCCCAGGCGATACCGGCAGCTTCTGGACGCAGATTATGGGCGGGGACATGAACGACTTTTACTTTGAGGTTGCGGTTCGAGTGGTTGAGCTTTGTCGCGAGACGCGGAGTGAGAATGGAGGGCTATTAGGTGTGGAAGAATGTCGGAAACGCGTGGGCAAGGGGAAGGCCATTGGGAGTGGACTTGAAGTCACGGAGTAAGCACTGACCTCTCTGATGTCGATGACTTGACAACTAACAACTTCACGTCCAGCGACGATGTCCTCCGCGCCGTAAAGTCCCTCGAACCCTTAGGCTCCGGTTTCTCTATTATCCTCGTCGGCTGTAAACAGTACATTCGCTCGATCCCGAAGGAGCTGAATACCGATCAATCTACCGTTCTCGAGGTTATACAGATACTAGGCTACGTGAGCGTGTCGATGCTGCAGCTAAACCTAAAGTGGGAGAAAGCGCGTGCGCAGACAGTCCTCGACGATCTTCTGGCCGATGGCCTGGTCTGGGTGGACCTTCAGTGTCCAGAGAAGGAGTACTGGTCTCCTCAGGGCCTTCTTGGAGATGACGATGACGGCTGAACATTAGGTGATTGTCTTATCACCCAAAGGCCATATAAATTTTGGCTATAGACTACACCCGATATAAGCGGAGTCCGTACTCGGTTTTTCTGCCGGCACAAGAAGTTCCTTAACGAATCGCGCCAGGGCAACCCCCTCACTCGAAGCAACTATTCTGATTCCCGGAAACGGGTTGACCTGCAATAGCCGCTTCCAAAGATGAAGCGGGGACGTTCACCAAACCGAACTTGAACGTATATCAGCCATAAAACACGACAGGTTTCTTTATCTTTAGGGAAATACTTGGTTTAGTGTTTATCCTGGCGGGATTGGGCGCATGATGCTATTGATCCCTTACACTCCGCTTCAACCTGGAAGACCGGAATACCTCAAATTTCGGGACTCTGAAAGAGATTACATTAAGAGAATAAAGTGAAGAAGTGACATAATTCCTCTAAACCTAGTAGACAGCCATCAAAGGCAGCAGATGAGAGATCATACGTATCATATTCCAATAAGAACATTAGACCGTGAAAAAGAAGAAAGAAGGAAAAGGAAATGCCATTATGAAACAGGAAATTTTATTTATGCCTTGATCGCTCCACCCAATGCACCACCGCCGAATTGCTGTCCACCGGGTCGGCGCTGCTGACCACCGGGTAATCTGGGACCACCGCGGGGTTGGCCGCCACGTCCTTGACCACGGCCACCACGGGCGCCAGGCCCCTGGTCGCGCTGGAAGGCATTTGCCATGCCCTGTGTGCGTTGCTCGAGAGTCTTCTCGTTGGCCTCGAGCAGGTTCATTGACTTGTCTGCGAGGGTGACGATCTGGGACTGCAGGCGGGAGAGCTCGACACCCTTGCGGAAGACGATGGCGTCGTTGACCTGGTCGAGGGCGGCGGCGAGTTCCTCGTGGCTGATCATGCGGCTGATGATGGCGGCAATCTTCTTCTCGGGGAGCTCGAACATGTTGGACAGCGTGGAAATTGAGAGGCTGTCGTAGAAGGGGGCGTATGTGAAAAGGTATGTGCGGAGACCCTCTTCTTGGATCTGCTGGGAGAGCATCTCCTTGACCTTGTCGGGCTGTGGCATGAGGTCCCAGATCTTGATAGAGTTGAGCATCTCGGCGGCCTTCTTCCAATCGCCAGCGGCGAGGAACTTGGCGCTCATGATGACACCGTCACGGGTGTTCTCGGCAGGGCCGGTGAAGACCTGGCGCTCGTTGTAGTCGAGCATGCGGCGGAAGGTCTTGGAGATGACGCGGCGCTTCATTTCGGGGGAAGAGGAGGTCTGGGCCATCAGAGGCACTTCAAGGAACATGCTCGATGTGAGGTAGATGCACTCGAGGAGTTCGAGGTTGATGTGCATGTGGAAGGGGAGTTGGCGTTGACGCTCGAGACGCTCTTGTTCGGGGGAGACGGTAGAGTAGCGCTGGAGGATGATGCCCTGGGCGAGGAGTTCCTTCTGGCGGCCGCTACCGCAGATCTCGGAAAGGGTGTTTTGGGCCTCGTAGATGAGACCGGCGCGGAAAGCGCACAGGCCAATCTGAACAAGGGTCCTGTTGAAGAGGATCTGAGAGCTGACGTCGAAGTTGGCAATGTTCTCGGACAAGTGAGACATGAGCATCAGATCACGCGAGCGGTAGTACTGGTCGTGAAGGGCGAGGAAGTAAATCTGAGAGAGCATGGCACGGGCCCGGGGGATACCGTCGCTGTTCTTGAACAGGTAGTTGCAGAGTGTCTGAACAAGAGTCTCGGCATCGTTGGCGTTGCTGCGAGGGGTGATATAGGACTCGAGCTCCGAGGGAAGAGCCTTGGCTGTGCCGTCCTCCAGAATGGTGACCACTTGCGAGGGCTTGAAGTAGATGTGCTCCAGTCTGCGCATCACAACGCGGTTCAGGCTGTCCTGGCGGGCATCGGTCTTTTCCTGTTTCGTCAGGCCTTCGACGTAGATCTGAGTTCGCACAAGGTTGGTGTACAGCTGCTTCTCATCACTCAGGCGGTCAATGTACTCGGCGGTGTGGGGGTCGATATGTTGCAGAGACCTCGTGAGCTCGTCGTCCAATCTCTCAACGTAGGAGACCATGCTGCCAGGAATGTACAGCGTCTCGCCAGCAGCAACTGTGGGCTGCTTCTCGTCATCCTCCCATTCCTCAGCGCCTTCACTGACGACGTAGTCACGGTTGGTCTCGAGAACGGAAAGCAGAGTAGCGAATTCCTGCTCGGCGGCCTTCCACTGGTCAACGGCCATGTAGGCAGCGGTGGAGGTAGTGGTGAGATCGAAGCGGGTGGAAATGAGGGTGAGGTAGACACGGATGCGCTGGTAAGGGGTCTGGGCGACCTCCAGGAGCTTCTCCATTGTCTTGATCTGCTCGAGGCGGTCTGTGTTCTTCTTTCCTCGCGATTCGACGATAACACGCAGGTGCTTGAGGATGCTCTCGGGGGTATATTGGAGGGTCTTTCCGCCACGGCCGACAGTAGCGAATCCATCATCGTCTCCGAGGGTGGCAGCAGGGGCCTCGACGCGCTCGAGCTTGGTGAGGCGAGGAGCGGTAGGGGCGGGCTTCTTGATTTCCTCTTCCTCCTCGTCCAGGTAGCCGTCCTTGTTAGCCCGGTACTTTTCAACCTGTGTAGCGTAGTCCTTGTTGTTCTTCTTGATCTTCTGCTTGATGGCGTTGAAACCCTTGGCGTTGCTCGCGTTCATCTTCTTGTTCGACGACTTTTGCTTGGCGACGGTCTCATTGACGAAGTCTTCAAGATCTGCAACAGTCTTGACATAGATTCTGGGGACAGGGCCGGACTGGAGAACTTTGACGATTTGGCGGTTGAGCTTATCGAATTCTAGAAGAAGAAATCTCAATTAGTCCCTCGCCCCTCTTTTCCACGACTCTCTCAACTCAAAATAAGTCGCAAGCCATCCGTCAGAGCAGATTCCCACATACCTGTTGAAATCACCGCCCAGTCGTTGATCTTTTGCGCATTCTCAATCAACTTGATCGTGCCCTCCAGTTCGCCCAAGCGCTTATCCTTTGCACTTTTCACCACCTTGACCACTTCTTCATCTTCACTCTCCTCGCTCTCGGACATGTTCTTGATGAACCGCTTAGCACCACCGGCTTCATCATCGGAGGACTCCCCCTCGGAAGACTCGACCTCCTCCTCGCTGGACTCTTCCTCCTCGGACTGCTCGACCTCCTCATCGCTGAGGACCTCCTCGTCCGACGAGGCGCTGTCGGAGTCGCTGTCGCCGTAGAAAAAGCGCGACATAGTTGCGGAAATTCGAGCGTGATACGGATCGAGATGGCGTGTCTTTTCTCCGGTCGTTGGCCGTGCTTGTTGCCTGGGTAGGAAAATCCCGTTGGTGAGAGTTCCGCAGGCTGTTGGGCGGCGAGCCACACAAATTTAAGCGAGAGTGCGCCTAACCGGATTTGGTAATTGAGATAGCCCGCCACTTGTTCTTTGTCTCTATATCAGGAATTCTTCCACAAGGTTATTTGTAGATGTGATGTATATTATGTCTTATTGAAGATCCCGAGTTCCAGCCAGGTATATTTCGTGTTGTTGCCTCAATGTATCCGGTCAAACCGCGTACTAAGCGCTCATATGTATACCCCACACCATATCCATCGACTATCTACCAGCCATTTGACGAAGCCCAGTTAAAAGATGGGGGCTCTCGGTCTGGATTCTTTTATCTACATGAAAGTTTTGCTCAAAACTATAACCAATTTTATGTCTGAGTAGCTTGAGTGTCATGTTAGTGTTGGTGCTATAGAACAACGATGCGTGGAAATATATAAATTGTACAGTCTGAATGTTACAGCAAACTGGAACATAGCTACACAGTTGATCATAAAATACGATTCTACCAGACATAAAAGTGGCCTGACCGGGTCATGGGAAGCTATAAACAGTATGAAGGTGGTTGAAATACTGTGGGGTAAGATATTTGCATTATATTAGACTGTAGCCGTTGTACATCATACAATCTAGCAAGTCTTCCGATCATGATACCTAGTACATCATAACGCAGGCTGCCACTAGTTGGGGCAGCTCGTCATCGCCTGCTGACGTATTCAGGCTTGAGCGACCACTTTCCCCGGCCATTTCGACCGCCCTTTTCCAGAACAGCAATCTGCTTCAGCATCTCCTTGAACTCAGCCGACCTCTGCGGCGTCGTACAGTAGTGGTTAAAGTGATCGATCAAGTTCTGCGTATACACCGCCCCGCCATGAGAGGTGATGAAATCTCGAATCATCGTGATGAAGTCCTTCCCACTCGGGTTACTTGCTGGAGCAGGGCTACTGGTAGCGCTTCGACTCCGAGAGGTGGGCGTGCGCGAAGAGAGATTCGCCAAGATACTTGCTGAAGACGGCCCACCTAATGCCCGTCGGGCAGCGCTGCTGCGTCCGGCGAATGGCCCTCGCATGGGAGATTCTTCCGGTCTCCCCGCGACCCCGAATTGACCTGTCCATGTCGGCGTTCCAATCGGGACGGATCTCGCTGCTTCGCCTGCCCGACGGAGTTCTTCGGCGGCCTCGGCGGCTACACGCTTGGCTTCTGCTTCGATTATCTTGGGGTCTGCTCGGACAACGCGTTTGCCGCCGACGATTTGGTCATGCTCTAGAGCCGAATGGACGCCTGAGCGGGCGAATATGCCTTCCATGATCCGTGATTCCGAGTTTGTACCGGCCTCGCCTTGCTCTTGTTTGGCTTGTTGCTCGGTTTCGCCTTCAAACTGCTCAATGGAAGCTACGCCTGTCACTTTGCTGATATCTTGGTTCTCTGCTTGTACATTGCGCTGGTGGTCGTCTGTCTTTGCCTCGTTGCCGTCTGTTTCATAAGTGACTTCAGCTTCTTTGAAAATCTTGCTGGTCTCTGTAGGACCCTGGCCTTCCTCTCCCAGGGTGAAGAGATCGTGCAAGTCGCTGAGTTGAGAAGTCTGCCGCTGTTTCGGGTCTTTTAAAATTTTGTTTGTAAGAAACTGTTTGAAGATTTGACGGTGGTATATCTTCTCCTCAATCGTCCCGGCAGTCATCAGTCGGTAAATGGTGACATCTCGTTTCTGACCCAGTCTCCATGCACGCTCTCGAGCTTGCACGTCGGTCGAGGGATTCCAGTCTGGATCGTAAATGATTACGCGATCCGCACCAGTAAGGTTGACGCCCAATCCGCCAACCTTGGTCGTGAGTAGAAAGACGTGTAAATTTGGGTCATTGTTAAATTCGTCAACTAGAGTCTGTCGGTGTTGGATGGGTGTAGTGCCATCCATGCGGCGGTAATTGAACCCAGACAGTGACCTGACGAATTTCTCCAATATGTCGAGCATGATCCGATGCTGTGCGAATAGCAAAGTCTTGTGGCCGGTATCCTTCCACAGTTCAAGCAGCGATTTGACCACTTGCATCTTTCCAGACTTTGTTGCATTCCCATAGTTTGCCTGGGTATGTAACAACTTATGGTTCTGCAAATCTGGGTGGTTGCAAATTTTGCGTAGGATATCGACTCCATACAGTACTTGTCGTCGTCCCCGTAGGATTGACTGCATTTCCTCTGAGCCCAAGAATGCCATGTATGCCTGCCTCTGCGGCTTCGTCAGCTTACAGAACAAGACCTGCTCGCTCTTCTTGGGTAGGTCTGCTGCCACGTCGATCTTGAACCGCTGCAAAAGGTAAGGACTGATGGCGTCCTTGAGAGTTTCTGCACATTTGGCCGCGGTCTGCACCTGCAGGTTCGACGCATTTGCATAACCGCCTTGCCTGATTGGGAAATCAAACTGATTGCGGAAATTGACCAGTGTGCCGAGACGCATGGGAAAGACAAAGTCGAATAACGACCAGAGTTCAGTGAGATTGTTCTGCATTGGCGTGCCTGAAAGAATGATCCGGTGCGGAGTCCGTAACTCTTTGCAGTGGATAGTGATTGAGGTGTTGGGGTTGCGGATCTTATGACCCTCGTCCAGAACCGCACCACCCCATTCGACTGGTATCAAGAGAGAGGCGTAACTCTGAAGGCCCGAGTACGTGGTGACCAGCACATGCCCTTCTTCGACAACCCTTTTAACGACCTTTCTCGCCGCCCTCGTGCCAGCACTAGAGCTGCCGGACCTATAGCTTCCAGCTATGAGGGCATCCTCACGACTACTCTCGTTCTTGATGTTGACCATACCACTGCCAGACGTGTGTAGGATAGATACGCGGAATGGAGGCCACCAGCGGTGAAACTCCTTGACCCATTGCTTCATAACTGTAGCGGGACAGACGACAACGATGGGCTTCGTTAGTTGTTTGCTGTAATGAAGCCCCGCTAGAAAAGCAATGGCTTGGATTGTCTTTCCCAGACCCATCTCATCGCCGATAATACCGCCTACCTGTTGCTGATGCAACTCCCACATCCACTGCACTCCGGTCTTTTGATAGTCAAACAGGAGAGGATGAATGTCCCCTGGAACTCGGTATCCATTGTCCAGAGGCAGGTCTGCCTCGGTCGGATGTGGCATGAACCACTCTTCCTCGTCCGAAGCCTCAGCGTCAACTATCTCAGGGTCCTCGTTGGCATGTAGTTTTCGAGCACGTTTTCGAGCCGCACTTCTCCGCCGAACCCAACTTTGAAGCCGAGTTTGATAGACCTTTTCGTTGCCGTCGTCGAGTCCGCTGAAATCTTCCACACCATCAGCATCCTTTGCTTTCTTTGAAGTCACCGGTGCATTTTCTTCGGTTACAAAATTATAGTCATCCTCCGAGGATGATTCTTGCTCTCCTTGGTCAACGTAACTCGCAGAGTCATCTTGGTCTTCGGATACCCGACCATCAGAAATATCCTCCATGTCTAAATCCACACCCTCTGTTTTGACCGGCCGTGTGACTTTTTCTAGCTTTCTTCGTTTCCCAGGGCGTTCAACAGGCTCTTCCGCAACACTGGATTCAGTGGCTTCATCAAAGTCGAATCCGGGGCGGATTAGGTTACGATGAGAGACGGCGGATCTGGCTTTTACTTGCTCCAAGGCCTCCGCTTCGTCCCTTTCATCTTCCGCGTCGATTAGTGCATCCTGAAGACTAGCCAGCGGGCCTGTATTTGGGCCGGCTCCCATTCGCGAGAAAGGTGTAATCTTTCCGGTTCGGATGAGATAATCCCTGCGAGACTCATTGAGCATCCTCCCTGTCCCACTCGCCTCCTGATTCGTTTCTTGCTCTTGACGTCTTTCATCGATGCGTTGCTGTATGTCCTTAAGATCGTTTGCTAGCGCGGCGTTACGTGCCTCCAGTTTATTCAAATCATTCTCCAGGCGAACTCGTGCTGACGTCCCGATTGGCTGCGCGAGACGCTGGTGCGACCTCAAGATCTGCGATTCGAGTTTCCTGCACAATAAGTATGTAATACAGACCGTGCGCATGTGATGTCATACTCTTTTTCAAGCCTCGTCTTTTCCAGCCTCTTGTTGTCCCGTTCCTCGGCTTGCTCCATGAGCAATTTATCCGCCTAGAGACATATTAACAACACAGAACAGCAAGCATACTAAACAAAATAAGCATACCTGGCGTGTAATGTCCCGTTCCAGGGCATCTTGATCACGCACATCGGCATGAAGCTCCTTTAGTCGGCTTGCTTCATCCGTGGCCTCGGAAGTAACTGGATTCTGCTCCGATACAGCCGACTGAGGCTGGTCAGATGTATCAAAGAAAGTATCCTGCGGGGTCTCAGGCTCGAGCTCTGCGACAGAGCCATTTTGCTCGTTCCTTATATCCTGGTCCATTATACAGCGACGCGAGTGCTGAGAGGTGTATAAGATTGGAAAGCAAAGAATGCGAGAAGAGCTACAGAGTGCCTGTTGGGGCAACGGAGTTGCAGCAGCTTAGCGCAGTGCTGTTGGTCAGGTACTCCCGAATAGTTCAAGAGAATGGATAGCTGGATGATTTTCCCACAATAGTGGCTTCGCAATCAGCCGCATGGAACGAGTGTCAGAAACAGATGAGCATGGTGGGATAAATCTGCCATGAGCACAAGTCCGGAACAAGAGTCTCAGATGAAGTCTATTGCTTTTTTGACTTGGAGATTTCCTTGATGATCGTCACTGTTAGGTGATCATCGGGGGACTGTAGCCTGCAATCACCGCACTGGAGAGGAGAGGCGGCAGAATGTTAGTAATATGCCTCTACAGCCTCCCACGTCACACTGGGCCAGACCACCACCACGAATGGCTTGCCGGAACGATACACCCCAACTTATTTGTACTCTATGAAGGACTGACTGTTAATCTCTCCAATGGCTGCAGAGAGGGTTGAAAATAGGTTCAAAGAGAAAAGTGCCACCATCGCGCAAGAACTTACTCAGGCCAAGGAAACAAACTCTCCGTTCTTTGCTGCAGCTATCCTAACCCATCCCGTGCCTTGATTTGCCAGGGCAACCGGGGGAAGAATTGAGCCATGAGTGAATATTTCTAGGTGGGCTTGAAAGAGTTGGGTGTGAACTCGCGGCCAGTCGGAACTCAAGGGGCAGCTCAGAGCTGAAAGTATACCGGAAACGAGATCGTCCAAGAGGCTGGTAAGGAGGGGCCAAGCGGCGCGGACAAGCATCTTAATCAAATTCATTCGCACAAAGCTTTCCCCCAGGCAGTTGCAAATATTAATTGATGCCCGGACGAAATCTAAGAGCTCTTACTAGTATGGTTCCTGCTGTCTGATCAATCAGCCGCTGTCTGCCGCTGCGGCTCGCTTGGGTTCGCATCAACCTGCAAAGTGATCACTTCTATCAAGAAATTGTGAATTTGACGAGAGGAACTGTTGGAGAAAACGCCTACTGTATTCTCATTGCAGCGAGTGGCCCACAGATCTGTCTTGCCCAACTGCTGTCTCTACCTAACAAAAAGTAAGAAGGGCGGCCTGAGGCCCTCCAGATCCCAGTGTGCAGCATCCATCGCCGTCTCCGCCTCCACGAGTCGTCCTCGTCTCTCCTCTCTTCACTCTGCCTCACCCTCCCTCCACAGCAATCCAGCTGGGCTGTACTTTTGCGTGTGAGCTTCTGTTCGGGGCTCCCGTTTTCTCCGGGACTTCCAACAGCTGTCACTTTATCCTTGCTTTCACAACCCAGCCCCTTCTTGAGGCCGTCAGGATTGTGAATTGCGACCGCCCTTCATCGTACCTTGCCCACCTCCCATGGCCAGTGGTCACCTCGCCCACCACCCAAAACGACACCTCAACCAGATAATGCGGTGCAGCACAGCTTGAATCAACATCCAATCCCTTCGCTGTGTTTCCGGCATTTCGAAGCGTCTCAGAAATCGCTCACATCTCGCCTCGTCTTCGCCTGATTGCGCTGCGTGCGTCTACCGGTCCCCGCTACTATCTAGCCCCCGATCGCAGGTGCATGTGCGCTGTTGACAGCGCCAGGCGATCGTCCTCACTTCGGTCCAAGCTTGTACGATTATCTGCGATTGTGACAGAGGAGAGGAGACAATGGATCACCAGTGGCAGGCATACAAGGACCCCTTAGCGGGTCGCCCTGCGCAGTTCAACAATACCGGGTTGACGTCGAATCCGAACCCCCAGCAGATGCCCTCGAAATACGGCACCCAGCCACAACCGTCACAACCCCCCGTTGGCTACACGTACGAGACTTTTCAAACTCCAGGTATCACTGCCAAACCGCCTTCCGCCGCTACAACCTCCAAAACGGTCTCATTGGCGTCTTCCCCCACCACCGCGACACCTCAGAGCCGGGATTATGTCACTGACGCAGATACCACCATGGAGGATGCTGACCCGTACAACCGGGCAAAGTACCCTACGCGGCCCAACCATCATAGCCGGCCTTCTTCGCAGTACTTTCCCAGCGAGGGGTCCTCTGCTGCCCGCCGATATTCTCCAATGAATGTGTTGTCGCCTACCTTGCCGTACAATTCGAGCCCAGGAAAGTCGGGCAATTCATACGGCTTCCCTCCTGCGCCAAATCAGTCTCGACAGTCGCCAACGAGGACGTCTACCTACTCCTCGCCTCCGCAGCCGTTCCAGTCCCCTCCCTGTAAGTCGCTTGTCAATCAGATGCAATCGTTTATAAAAGCAGTTGGCTGACTTTGTTCTTGCGTGGCAGCTGGATCCCGCCCCCCGCGACTACCCCCCATACAATCCACTGAAATGAGCATAAGTCCTGATCAGTTCTTCGGCCCGTCATCGGGACCTCAGCTCAGTTCACCGTTCCCACAAGACGGAAGGTCTCCGCGCGGAGGAACCACGAGCGGGGTTGTCCAACAGCCAGGCCGAGGCCCAGTCCCCAAATTCCAGAAGCTCAAATCGGTTCAGGAGCTTCAGCCTCGTATCAATGCACAACCACCATTCAGACGTGCCAACCCTGAGGGTGGTTTCATCAGCGTAAGTTCTTGTCAATCCAAACAACCTAGTCGCCGTCTTTAACAATGCATAGCCACTCCAAGCGCTGACAGTTCACCTCCCGTCTACATATCGGATATGCAATCCTGGCTTCAACTACGAGTCATCGCGAAATCCACGACGAGTCCTCACCAAACCCAGCAAGGGCGTCAAGAATGATGGCTACGATAATGAGGATAGTGATTACATTCTTTATGTCAACGACATCCTAGGTAGCGAGGAGGCAGGCCATAAGTGAGTTGTTATCCGTTACGTATTCTCGCCTCTTAACTAACAAACTCCCCTAGAAACCGCTATCTCATTCTTGATGTGCTTGGCCAGGGTACCTTTGGGCAGGTCGTAAAGTGTCAGAACCTAAAGACGCAAGAGGTTGTGGCCGTCAAGGTAATCAAAAACAAGACAGCATATTTCAATCAGAGTATGATGGAAGTATCTGTTCTGGACCTGGTAAGCCCTCAGATTAGGTGTGTTTGAATAAGCGCTCACCCTTTTCAAACAGCTCAATAGCAAGTACGATAGAAACGACGACCATCATTTACTCCGACTGAAAGACACGTTCATACACCGTCAACATCTTTGCTTGGCATTCGAGCTACTCAGTGTCAACCTCTACGAATTGATCAAGCAAAATCAGTTCCGAGGATTAAGCACCACGCTTGTGCGTGTTTTTGCGCAGCAATTATTAAATGCCCTGAGTCTCCTAAACAAGGCCCACTTGATCCATTGCGATCTCAAGCCCGAAAACATCTTATTGAAAAAGTTCGTTCCAATCGTTCACTTATCACTTGAGCTGCAACTAAGCTAACCCTATTTTCTAGTCTCGAGAGTCCTATTATCAAAGTCATTGATTTCGGTTCGGCTTGTGATGAAAGACAAACTGTGTATACGTATATTCAGTCAAGATTCTACCGCTCACCAGAGGTGTTACTTGGCTTACCGTATGGCTCCCAGACATCCTACACAAAAGACTGCGACTAATCTCGGCTCAGGTATTCGTCCGCAATTGACATGTGGTCCCTAGGGTGCATTGTTGTTGAGCTTTTCCTTGGTCTGCCGTTGTTCCCTGGATCCTCAGAATACAACCAAGTTTGCAGAATCGTGGAGATGTTGGGTCTGCCTCCGACCTGGATGTTGGAGATGGGCAAGCAATCAGGCGATTTCTTCGAGAAGACCCAAGACGAATTTGGTCGAAAGAATTACCGCCTAAAGAGCCTGGAGCAATACTCTCGCGAGCGTAATGCAAAGGAGCAGCCCAGCAAGAAATATTTCCAAGCGTCAACATTGGAGGAGATCATTCGAAGCTACCCGATGCCTAGGAAGAATATGAAACAAGCAGAGATTGAGAGAGGTGCGTCAACACGCCATATTACTGATCTTTATTAACAGTGTTATAGAAGTCAACAATCGCGTTGCTTTCATCGATTTTGTCCGCGGTCTACTCTCGATCAATCCGCTCGAGCGCTGGTCTCCCCAACAAGCCAAACTGCATCCATTCATCACGCAACAGAAGTTCACCGGTCCATTTGTACCTCCAATGAACCTAAAGTACTCCTCGCTGAACAAGACCCTGCCGCCTGGTATTCAACAACAGCAGCAGGCAGAGGCCGCGAGCAAACAAAGAGCGGCTCATGCCCAGTCTGCCGCTCAAAGCGCTTATACGATGCAAATGAACCAATACCACCCGAGTCCCGCTCACGCCCAGCCCCCGCCTCCGATGTACAGTGGAATGTACGCTGGGCACCAGCAAGCGGCGCCCCCGCCATATCCTACACAACCACCAGCATATGGACATCAGATGAACTTGATACCGGGTCAGATGCCTCAGGGACAGATGCCGCAGGGACAGTACGCGCCTTCGCAGAGCCTTTATGCGCAAGCAACAACCAGAGCCGGCCGGCAACGTGCGTCAACGATGGACCCTCAGGGTATTCCTCCTACCATCCAGCGCGTTGCAAGCCACCTCGACCCGAATGCGCCTATTCGGCTGCAGCCAAGCCCTGCGTACTACCCTCCTCCTGCAGATGGGTATGTTGATCCCAATTCTGCCAACCAGAGGAGACGAGGTAGCCGCGCTGGTGCGACGCGAAATAGAGACTTCATTCGCACGCTGGAAGATGGTGTGATGGGGGACAACTTCATGAACCAGAACCAGTGGCACTAGATGCATCCATGCAGGACATAACCTGAAACCTGCACACAAACTCGTTTATCAGGAACGCTGTTCCAGTCGAGTCCGAGCTTGCTTCATATACGTCAGTGACTCATGGTGAACGCAAAGGCGCTCCGCATGGTGCCATTTCTTGCGTGACGTTTGCGAATCGCTCCATGCCCTCGAGTTCCTTTGTACTTGATTTAGCAACGGACCTGTCTGTACCAAGGTGATGCCCTTTTCATTACTGTTGCGCGTCTAGCTGTAACCTGGAGTGCTTTTCTATGGAGAACTCATGGTCAAGCCAGCAACATGTGAGAAGCGGGCTGTAACATCTCTCGGTGTGCGTGACCATAAGCAAGCCCGGTCAGCGCTCCTGAAGCGCTGAGGTATATCATTGCTTGCCTGATTTGGTTTAGAGATGTTCCAACACCGTGCTCACCAACATCTATCCCAAGTTCATGTATGTGCTGCTTTCGGCATAACCAGGCGTTTATGGGAAGATTACAATCATTTTTTTCTCTGCTGTGTTACACTTATCTTCTTTTCTTATCTTCACTCCTGCTTGGCAGCAGTGCTGCTGTCTATTGTATGTGTCTCGACTTCATTGCCTCAGTTCGATGCTTTTACCATTCTTCCTTCAATTGAAGGAGCGGCATCACTATAGCTTGGATACTCAGGTCCAAAATGCCAGTCTGTGCCATTTATCGCTCCCCGGCTCTCACCAAGATCCAACCCGTTGGCCATTCCTTGTCCGGGCCTGACTTTCGACCACCTGGTGGGACAGTCTATTCCAAGAGTGTTGGCACTGCGCCTTGTACGATTCATGCGACGAACATGGCGTGAAACAGGTTACAAAGTCGCTATATGACCTGAAAAGTCCGTTGCAGGTGGTTTCCAGTCGTCCAGTTTGCGGTTTAGCATAGATTGTGCACTTGTTAGGATTCCACTTGGCGAGCATTTTCTCCTGCAGATGTATATATTGCATTAGTACTAGGATGATATACTTTGACAAGCCGTCCTTGTTCTTTATTTAGAAGGCTTTTCAACTAACTTTGTCCTCCTGGAGCAGTAAGATCGTGGTAGATTTTTGTATAGATTTGACGTCAATCTCCTCAATGTTTCATCTATCAATGTGCTAAATACTTCATCATCGTACAACAACAAAATATGAAATGATCTCATCTTTTAACTATCCCTGACCCACTGTAATCTCCCCAAATAGAAGAATCGTTTTCATGGACCGAACTGACACTTTTGATGGAACTTAATTCGACGATCATAATGTCAAATTTGGTGATTTGTGTTTCAGAAATCTGGGGATAGACTCCTCCGAAGCACTCGGTAGAGTCAACCGCGTGTCGTATGACGAGATAATATGATTGACGTACATTATTGATGTGTAGATTCTAAATTTAGATAAATATACTTGCAAGGTACAATGTAGTCATTTCTTATGCTTATAGACCAGATGGAGTTCTGAAGGGCAAAACACAGAAGAAAATACCTCCTTATGACTGGGAGTGCTCAGGCACATGTATATTTCGCGGACAAGACGTCCCTCGTAGGAAACGCTTAGCCAAAGTTGGAAGTTGATATTCAGCATCGAGGTAGTAGTTGATGGTTCGATTCCGTGTCTCGGAGAATAGACCATAGAGGAATAGTTGAAATCATTGAATAACAAGGATCATGGCATCTTGCACAATTGCTGCAGCGTTATCAGAATCCTCCAGATGTCGATCATCGCCCCAGCCCGCGGGTGGGCTTCGGATGTCTCAAACTAAGGCTTAAGCCGAGCCTAAGAAGACTAGGCGAACTTGTTTACGATGGCGGACCAACCTACCTACTCCGTAAATCACCTACGTACTTAGGGCCTCCTCCTGGCGGTCATATCCATGTCTCTGCAATATGTGTCGTGTATCTGATTGGGGACGTTCTTGAGAACCTTCAAAGCTTGCATGCCCTGACATGTCGCGGTGCAGCAGATGACGATGCTGCGGGAGCAAACAAGTCGCTTACCTGCTGCGAGCCTGTGGACCGTGTGATCTTCTCTTTGGCTCGACTGCCTGCTCCTCTTTAGCATCCACTCACAATGTCCGACCCGGGCCGGATGTTGACCAAGCGTGCTTTTCACTTGTGCCCAAGACTCAAGTGGACGAAGATCGTCGATTTCCTTGTTGTTGGCCTGTGTTGCCAGGCAAAAGACAAGAAGAGTGCGGATAATGTCTCACTTTGCCCCTCTACTCCACAAACAAATCCTGGGTCGTCGGGCTGGTTCTATGGATGAGCTCCAGGATTAAGATTTCGGCCTCGTTTATCCTTCCAGTGGAAAGCTCGCGGTTCTCTGCTGCGAACCATACCGTCAAAGACTCTTGCCACCGTCCCCAGATAAAGTGGCTGTCCCTCCCGTCGAAGCATTCTCCAGGAATCTCAAGTCTTCATCACATAGGCCCACGTTCTTTGGGTATCTGTCTTCCCAACGTCCTCTTCATTCTTTCTTGTTTCGTTGCAGCATCTCTCTTTCAAGCTTTGTTATAATGAAGTTCTTCGGCACACTCTCGCTGCTGGTTGGGGCGGCGCTCGCTACCCCGTCCCGTCATGCTCGCCAGAGCACCAAGGCCCCCGACTCGTTTTACTTGAAGACTTCGGGATCGGAGAACTCGGCTCATAACGACCTCTATGTCTACGGATACCACACGGGCGCTGGACTCAACGATGCCGTCCTCACTCCAGACGTTGACACGGCTAGCAAGGCCTTTATGAACGGCACAAACGTGCAGTTCGACTTCAACACCAACTTCCCTTGGGGTCTCTACCCGATTGGTGTCACAAACTATGCTGGTGTGTCATTGTATCTTCGTTTCGTCAGTGGAACCGTTACTGATCTTCTTGCAGCCTGGCAATTTGTGGAGCTCAACGTCGGACACGGCGCAGGAGACTTCTCCGTCAACAGCACCGGCTTGCAGTGGTCGGAGCAGAAGGGCTTCGGTGGTTGGCTGGGTAAGTTGATACCACAACCTCACACAATTCCCATTGCTGATCATTCTTTAGTATGCGACTGGTACCACAATGCACCCCAGCTCTTCTACATCTACCGCTACTACACGGCAGAGCTCCCCGGCTCTTGCAGCAGAGTGAAGCTCTTGACCGAACCCACCGCCTGAACCCCGGAATGTCGAAATGCGGTTCCCTTGCCACAGTCAAAAAAGAGGCTCATGACGCGCGTGGCGGAGAGTGATGATTCATAAAGTTTTGGATGTCCTTTGGTCTAGAGCATGGCCTTGGCATATATGTCTGGGTCGTTCGGGATGGGTTTTGACGGTTCCTGACCGTTTGATGACTTAATGCGATGCTATCGGTTACGCAGATCGATGGTGGGTTCTGATTTGATGTTGGGAATAATCATAATGATGCCGGAAAGACGCTCAATAATCTTGGTTTAGAAAACGGGAAAGATTATGCATACTTATTTGAGACCAATTATTGGCAATAGTATAGTTTTGGTCGTCGCCTGCCGAGGTCGGTTTTGCAGAGTTTGTCCTTGGAGAGGTGTACATGAAACCAGCGGAAGTTGTAACACTCGAAGCGTCGCTCGTCTGTATGTACTGAAAATGTATAATATGAAACCTCTGGAGAATTCAATGTCTGGCAAAATTGGAGCTGCGACGAATGTGAAGCCGAGAAAGGGGAGCTGGAGTGCCTGAGGCGCCGTGCGATCGGCCCAAAAATAGACTTTGTCTCACAAGTAATCCCAATCGGGTTAAGCCACCTGATCTGCCGTCTGGTCGCTTCGATTCTTTCTCGCCATCGCGTCCTCTTCTCTCTCGTTGTGCTGCGTTTTGAATCATCATCTCTGCTTCTCATCCTCTTCCCCGAATCACTTTGTCCGTTTTCCGTGTCTGTCTTCCCTCTTACCGTGGACGGATCGTCCAGTCGCTCGCTTGTTTACGCCCCTCGCGGCCCTCCATTCGCTATAGGGGACCCTGGACCCTGAACGATATCAGACGATTGCCGGTTTCACAGACAACGCAACTGTTCGCTTCGCCGCTTGAATTCGCCTGCTAAGAGTTGTTCTTGCTCAAACCATCACTCCGAACGATTTTTTGCCGATACCATTCCGCTGTTTGCAATTATCAACACTCGTTGCTGTGGACAACAAAGACTCAGATATAGAACTCACAGTTGATTGGAATTGAATATTCTGAAGCAGAGGATCAACTGAGGTTCTGCTTCACTTTACACAAAGTCGGCAGTTCTACAACGGCTACTAGACACCATGCGGTTCACATATCTCTTCCCTTTGGCGTGCCTCCTTTTGCTGGCGGTGCTCTCAAAAGCATGGCAGTTGGAGGAAATGCACATGGGGAGCCATGGTCAACTCCTGCCGAGACAAGATGGTTAGTTGCCTGAATGTTACGTCTATCGTATCCAGCTAATAAGGATCAGATTCAGAATCAGATTCAGAGACCACCACCACCGATGCCGACAGTGCCACCACAGGTGCTACCCCCACCGCAGACGAGACAGCCTCGGAGACCTCCACCTCCACCTCCACTCGCTCTTCTTCAGATGATGATAACGAGAGCCAGACGACATCGCGCCCGTCGGTAACCTCGTCTCGTGGCTCCAACTCGACACATACCAGCTCTTCAAACCGGACAACATCTGTTGATCCCCGTTCCCCTCCCGGTGGCATCTCCATCCTCACCCCTGCAGCAACTTCGACGACATACTACAAAGTCGGCGACACCCTTACCTTTGTCTGGAACTACACATCTCTCGAGATTACGCCTACTGCAGTCAATGTTATCGCATCGTGCAGCATTAACAGTGCGACCTACACCATCTCCAGCAACATGAGCGTGTCGGAAACACAAAGCGTCGAGTGGGATACTGGAAAGTACCAGGCCAATGCCACAATCCCATTGCTCACTGCGACATATACCCTGATTGTGTACGATGAGAGCAAGGACGTCGATGATATTGCCAGTGCTGGTGAACTCAGCTCCCAGAACCGCTACTACTTTGGGATGTACATCTCGCAGCCTTACGTGGATCTAGATGGTATGTTCCAACTTTTTGGTGTTTTGTACTGCCGCTAACTGGGATTAGAATATGTCTGCGCAACCTGCAGTGGCGCCCTCTCGTCAACGGAGACGCAAGCCCTCAAATTCGGCGTGGGCATGGCCCTCATCACCATTGCAACGTTCACCTGGTTCGCTACTGGATTCGGTGCCTTCGCCACTTGACCTTCCCAATCTTGAACATCCACCTTTACATCTACATATTATGCATTCAAATATGTTGCATCGAGCCAAGCGATTCCGATTTTCGATTTCCGAGTTTTTACGATAGCGATCTATCAGCAGGGCAGGACGGCGTTTGTGTGTTTGTTTTTCTCTACACTTGACTAAATATGCTTTGGTGAAAATGATTGGCCTTTTTCTCGCTTCAGTGCTTGTCTCCTTTTCTTCTACAATTGTACGTCTTTATTTTCTGCCCCGCCATATCGGGGCCGTAGTATAATATTTTCTGGTGATGACGCAGTCTTGTCTTTCTTGTTCATAATGTCTTACCACTCGATTTATCAGCTTATACTTAGGTAGAGAGACGATACCAAGCTACATAGCAAACAGACACCCATTATAATAACTGAATAGGCACAATACACCTGGCTCCCCACACAAATATTCCTCACCTTCCATTACCAGAACCTTGGAATCCCTTCCGTTTCCCTCCCCCAATTGGGACCTCCCATCAATGTTACACATACCCAGAACCACGCATGAGCCTGAATAAAGAAACCCGCACTACAACACCACACAGACAACCCACCCGGGAATCCACTGTGCCAGAGCTGCCGGCTGGTACGTAGCTATGTGTCTGGAACCCCAAAACCCAGAATCTAGATCCCGCCCCTTCCAATCGATTGAATGGATCCAGCAAATCTAATGCATCGTTACTTAGCCTCAATTCAATGACGGTTGACCATGCATGCATGCGCCTTCCCGCGAACTGAAAACAACAACAACATGGAGGCTTGAAGCTTTTTGATGTCTGTTCTAGAAAACAGCCGCTGTCGTCATTTCCTGCAGAAGGGTTCTTTGATGCTTGTCGGTTCGATGGATTGGGTTCGACCACTGTTTCTCTCCACTTGGTCTCTCTAGTAGCTGGCGCGGAGGTTAAAAGTTTCTTTCGCGTGCTTGAGCTTGTATGTGGATGAGCATGTTGCAGAGGATTAAAAAAGGGAGCGGTTGTGAATACGTACAGTAGTTAGGTAGTGTAGTAGCGCTTCTTCATTACTTACGTACCGGCATCCAGCTCAGACCAGATCCAGATCTAGATTTCGATGACCTGCAGGTAGGTTTGTAGCGAGATCAAACTATCTACTAGTTGGCAGGCTACATGACAAAGGAATCCGATTGTAGCAGTCGCATGAGGATACGGGAAGGAGGATAGCTTTGAGTTCAACAGAAGCAAAGACAGTCAAGAGGACAAAGCGGACCACAGACAGAGGGTGTGAGTTCAAAGAATGGATTGTCTTACTTTGCAGCGAGCTGGGTAAAAAGCCTACTAGGTATCTGGTATGAGATGGAGATAAGTACTGGATTGACGACGCACATGTCGCTGTCATGGATTTCTTCACGCTAAGCTGAGTGTCTACCTTCTTGCTACCTTTTTCTTCTCATCTTTGCCGCGCTGCACTTCCCCCTTCCTTCATCTCAAGCCCCTCCTCACCCATTGCGAACGCCCCCGATGCCTGGGCTCCTGTCCATTCTGTCTTCTTGCATTGGTCTCATCACGATCGAGGAACCGCCGCCATCGGCACATACCAGGAAGAGAATGGCTCGGAAGATGGATGCGCGTCAACGGAATCCTCCCAAGCCCGTTGCTTCGAGTGCACCGCAGGCTGCACCGTCTCCGGCGGCAGCGGCGGTGCCTGGAGTAGAGAGACAGCATGTCCCGGAAACCCAGTTTGTCTATACAGCACAAACTGTTCAGGGAACACAGCCTGTCCATGAACCGCAGCCTATCCCTGGTCCGCAACTTGGCTGCGCACCGCAAGATGTTATAATAGCGGTATGCGGACTGCAACCTGTTCAGGGACCACAACCTGGCTATGGATCGCAACCTGTTCGAGAACCAAATTTGGAGCAGGTACCACAACAGCGACCGCAACCTGTCCAGCAACCACAATTTGTCCGAGAAACACAGCCTGCCCAGGGACCACGCCCTGCTCGAGAGCCAGATGTTGACCGAAAGAGACCCACTGCAGGTGAAGCACGATATGCACCAGGTAACCAGTCCGCACGGTATGCACGAGCTCCACGAGGCCCACGAAGTACACCACCTGCGTCCATCCCCGCTGCAACACAGCCCATGTCGTCTGATGGCGTCAGCACTCGACCGATGCGGAGACACCGGTCATCGCCCGAGAGAAATGCCCTTGAATCACACATAGAGGATCGACGTCGGCCATATTCCAAAGATCAATTATATGAACAGTCCGAATATGAAAGGCCGCGAAGTGATGAATCGTCCGATACTGGCTCGACGAGAGCTCACGCTGATTACAACCCAAGAGACGATTACCCACTGCCCGGATGTTATACGCAGCTTGGGGACTATGACTCTCTCCCAGAAGATGAGTGGCCTCGAGATATCAAAGGGCCTGATCAACATGTACCGTATTCTGGAGGTTCAGGCCCTGCTGGAATGTTTGCGTGTCCTGTCATCCAAGTTTTTCCAGTCTTCACAGCGCCCTTATGTCCAGGGCCTTATCCAATGACTCCAAAGCCAACACTTTCCTCTCCGCCATACCAGGCGCCGACAAGTTCTCCCCAAGGAACGGATTTTGGCAAGAGTCACGACCATTCATTACATCATAGACCTAATCCAATGATTCCCAAACCACCACAATGCTGTTCCGAACATCGGGCTCCGAAAGCCCTGCTTCTAGCAAACGGTGGCCAAGAAGATCGTGATCAGACGCACCATCATTCCATACATCATCAGCCAACAATGTCCCCAGATTCGACACCATCATCCTGGGCGGGCTCCGAGCCAGTTGGGTCGCCTGGAAAGTCAAAGAAGAAAAGGCGGTCAGCTTCAAAGATCGGCTATATCTGGCCTAAGGATCCTCGACCGGGAAACCCAGGACGGTGGTCTCGCGGATCGCGCTTATGTGACATCCTCACTGGAAAGGGACCCGACATGTATGTTGGACGGATCGGTGTGCGCACCCGGGAGGAGGTAACCGGCGAGACCCCGAAAGCCCAGAGAGGAACCGAAAGATACAGATGGGATTCTGAGAAATATTGGTCGCTATGGGGCCACGAGCACGAACTCCACTGCAAGGCAGACTACTGTGACGACTGTGATAGAATTGAAGAGCAACGTGTAAGGGATAATCGTATCCCGCAGGCGAGACGAGGATCGTCAGAGCGGTATGATTTTCGGATGAGGAAGTATCGGGAACCGGATGTCGGGACCTGGTCCGGGGTGCGATTCTGCAGGGAGAGATCGCATACGGTGCCGAGGGTGTATAGGGATATCCAAGGGCGGTCGTACCCGGGAAATCAGTGGCATGATACTGTTCATGGGGCGCATACTGATTAATCAAGCGTTCTGGATGATGTTGTGCTGTGTGTGAGTTTGGTGCTGTTTAAATACAAGTAGCGTGGTAGGCGTCGAATACGGGTTCAGGCCCGTTGGGCGGCTGGGTTGCTTTGAGACGGCGAATTGCTGGGAGATTCGCTGCTTTGTCTGTAATACTGCCGCACTTGATGCAGGTTGTTTGCAACATGTTCGAATAGGACGAAATCATTTCCTGCAATGTATGAGCTCGAGGTCTAGAGTGAGATTAAAATGACTTACGAGCAGATATAGAAGATCCCATTTTCTCGAACGCGAATTGAGGCAATCCAAGACAGCACTTTCCAGCTTTGAAGGCGGCTCTGCTATCTGCTTGCTGGAAACCTGCCATTCGGGAATTTCAGATTCTTGAGCAGCTTTGATGGCATGAACCTTAAAGGACATTCCTGCCTTCGCAAGGAGGATAGCGAAAGAAGATTCACTCTTGGTAGTTGAGATGCGCACTCCAGGTATGTTCTTCTGCGCGAAGCTGTCGACAATGGCCTTCCAACCTCCCTCCGCTGACTGAAGTTGCGAACGCTCCAGCTCTTCCTTGACTTTTTGCTCCTGTTCTTTCCTGGCAGCGTCTTGTTTCGTGAGCTCCTCGAACAGTGCACCGTAATCTTCCTCCCACATTCCAGATGACTGGAGGAGCTGGCCGGCGTTTTCAAAAATCAGCGTGTCGATGCGGTCCCAGACAGGCTTCATGTCTTTACCGCGCCACAACGACTGGAACTCGCTGACTTCACTAACGCCGGCACGTGCGGCTTGAGAGAGCTGCTGAAACAGCTTTTGAGGTGAGTTTGGAACCGTAGTTCCCGTCGAAGCTTTGGGATTCACAATGGGGGCCAGAGGCTCCAAAAGACGCTCCGGAAGTAAAGTCCGGAGTTGGTGGATCTGGAAGGTTAGAAGAGGGAAAAAATCAAGCTTTAATACAGCGTCGCTTACCATTTCTTCCAATTTCTGAAGCTTAGCAAGAGACGTGACGAGCTCCATCTCGGATTCCAAGAGCTCGGGGTCGAGGACGGGCTCGGGAGACGCCTCTTCGCGTATGGTGTTCGACATGTTTGCAGTGATCGAATCTTTGACATGGATGTCCTTGACATTGCCAAGTCCATTGCGCTTCATAGTTGGTGAAGAATCCATCTTGGGAATGACAACGGCTACAGTAGCAAATGAGGCAGATGTTCGGCCACTGGCCAGTTTCCATCCGTTGCCGGATGAGAGGATACAATGGCAGCGCAAAGTTGAATCGACAAGGGTAAACCCGTTGACAAGAGTATTTCGTCTGGATTGTCTTCGTTGCTCGCTTGTGAGCCCGAAAATTGGGGTTAGGGAGGAGGTTGGATGGATGAATGAATGGTTGGCGGATCCGACAAGGAATAACAAGAGCCGTTGCCGAGTGGAGCTACGCCACATCCCAGCCACACACCAGTGGCTGGAGCAGGATATAGTCGAAGTGCTTGTCCATCACTTTCTCTGCTATCAAGTTGTGTTCTTATTTTGCTTTGAGTGTATAGCACTCTGTACTAGTTGAGCAATAGAGAATCTATGGCATTGAACTGCTTTCTCACAACCACTGGACCTTACCCTCCCGCCCACTAGCAAACGACCACACAGCTTTTTCCCTAGGTAAACAACAAAGCAGGGCAATGCAAATCTAACATAGCTCGAGTATCATCTTATCAACTTGAATACATCCGTCGCTAAGTACACGATTCTGAAGGAAGGCCGGCTAGTCGCCTCACAACTCGAACACTCGACAAGTGAGAAGCCGGGTACTCACAGCAAGTCAAGACACATCGAAACCTTGAGCTAAGAGCTATTGCAGTGTGTCGGACACCGGAGGAACATCTACACCTCCAAGTGTGTAGGTAGCCCAGGACGCCTCATCAATAGCAAGAAACGGCCTACAAGTTCCTCCGAGCATCAGCCCCCAGCCCGCAACGCCCGAGGCTGAAGAGCGATGACACCGTTTGAACAATAGTGACTGTGGCTTTGACAAGATTTCGGTAGTTTCGCAGCGACCTGAAGGCTGAAGACTCGCACTCGCCACTGCAGCAGTGCAGTTCCTGCAGATCCAGTGGGGCGTTGCCCTGCGCGGCGCCGCGGTGAAGATTTCCTCTGACAGACAGGCGCTAAGCTGTTTTGAGAGCTATAGCGTAGAGGCCATAGGTGATTCTACGAGTACAAGAACAAGGTATATAATGCTGTTTTCCTGTAAGCTTTTAGGGAAGCAATTGTCAGTATAGTCTAATGTGTTAGCATCAGACCGTAACAATGAGAAGAACAATCATGGACGAGTACGTCCCGTCCGTCCAGTCTATAACACAACTAACCAAGAAACCACAAACAGCTACACACCCACAACCTTCCACTCATATAAGACTCCGCCAGTCTCAGCCCCCACAGCTATTGACGCTCTCCTCGCCGCATCTCTCCCGCCAGGCACCACAGACCCTTCAACCGCCGCTGCCCGACTAGCCTATAACCTCCCATCTACGCCCGTTGAAGTTCTCGACCGAACGATCAAGTCCCTCTTTGACTACGGGCCCGAGGATGCCTCGCTGAAGTACTCCGCGCTCGAAGACTCCGTCCTCCGCGGGACAACGGTCGTTGATCGCGGCTACGTCCGCTCGTCTCTGGCCCGCTATATCATTGAACAGTTTCCGTGGTACGATTCGAAGCTTGCGACGAGACTGGTTCTACTATTCGCTTGTATGCCGGACCTGCACCGTATGCTTGAGGCGATGCGCTTCCAGAATGAGAAGATAGCCGGTATAACCACCATGCAAGAGGTAAATTCCACGCCATCAGCGGACCTACCTAGCCGCTTTGCGCTCGCAAAACGAGAAGCCCTATCCGAGGCCGCTCAAGTGACTGTCCTCGGTGTGAGCCTCGTCGACGTCGAGAGCCTGGAGAGGATGGAAGCGCAAAACGGCCTGGGTACGGGGTTCTCGAGCTACGCGCATAACTTCGCGCTTGCAATCGGGAGAGAGGGGTGGCGGATGTATCAGGCTTGCGAGAAAAATGAGTACCGGCTTGATGAGTGGTTGATGAGGATTAATGGTGGTTCAAGGTTGAGGGACTGGGAGGCGGCGGAGGGGTGGATGGGTTGGTTTCGGAGGATCTGTGGGGGAGGGGTATTTATCTCTTTTTCTATTCTTTTCTGTTGCTTTTGGGTTTTGTCTTGATGTATCGGCCTTTCTTGCGGGCCGAGACTCTTCTGACTTGATGCGTACAGGAAACGTGGACTGCGAAACTCAACGATGCGTATACTGCCTGCTTCGACGTGGACCTTGACTTTTTTTGCGGGGAGGGACGGTCTTATCCACCTCTCATACCCGTGTATCGGCCCTGGGTGAAGATTCAGCAGATCAACGATGTCAAGGTGGAAGATATCTGCAAGTTTGAATGGAAAGTTGGTCGTTCGTGGGATTAGCCGGAGCCTTCATGTCTTTGACTCACGCAAATATAGTGCAATGACTGGGCGTCTTTGGTTGGAAGGATACTTTGCGTGGTTGGACTGGGGTTAGATTGATCTGCTGGCCGTGATCAATGCTAGGTAGTTATTGTAGAGATGGATATGAGGCAAGCACTTGGACTTGGTTTGATATCGGGCGTTAGACATGAGTTATTGATGCATTTGTAGATTGAATAAGATATGAGATAGAGACTGTAATCGTCCCCTCTTCTGCCGGGATACATAGTAGTCATGAAAGCCACTTTGATTTAGTTTGGACCGCACTGCAACACTAACATACTCACCCACCACTGAAGTACAGTCAGAAACACAGTCAGAAATACACTCGCACTCTGTACGAGTGTCCAAGTGAGTCTGAAAGTCGTAGTACCTCTTTTTTTTGCTATGGCAATCAAGTATTGGAATATCTACTTAGGCTTGCAATCACTGAATGAATTTGAGCGACTCAAGTGGCTGATAAGTGCTGCCACAAGTCGCCTGATGAGAGTACGGAGATATAGAGTAGAAATGGGCCTTATGACATCAAATCGCCTAGAGCTTAGTTGGTCTGCAAAGAAATGGCCGTTACAGACACTGCAGGATTCGTAAATGACTTTTCACCAACCGACTCTACTCCGCCCTCGCCCCATAGCCCTTGGTCCTTGAGAGCCTGATATCCTCCACGGAGACTATCAGCCTGTATACCCTGCGCTCGAAGAACACTCGTGGCAACTCTTGCTGTATCTCCGTTGTAGCAGATGACCAGGACGTGCTGGTCACAGAGCCTGTTTAGCACGCTCTGCTCCTTGAGCAATGCCTCCAGTTCTAGCCACTGTGCTTCCAACACCTTGGGATCCGCAAATGGCTTCCCTGTGTGCGAGTCGAGGGTTCGAAGCGAGATATTGACCGAACCAGGCAGATGCCAGGAGTTGAAATCAATTGCCGTTCTCAGGTCGACGACGCAGCACTGCGGACGGAGAGTCAGCCTGCTCAGCAGGTCTTGCGAGCAGGCCTTTGGAGACTCGTAAAAGTGCGTAAAGAGCACAACGGGGCTTCTCTCCCAGCTTTCGTCGTAGCGGTACAGATCAACACGAGTGAGATCCTATACAGTTAGCAAGAGAAGACCAGCAGGTGAATCTACTAACCTCGTTTTGGATGGGATGAAACTTCTCCGGTCCCAGTTTCTGAAAATACTCGCTGATATACTGATAAGGCAAGTCGCAGCATAGAAAGACGCAGTGGACTGAGCCATCCGGCCCGGCGAGCTGAGGCAATGTACCAGCCTTCTTACGCTTCTCGAGCATTTGATAGAGACCCTGCAAGTTGAACCCAGATGATGGACCGCAGACAATGCCCTCTCGGCAGAGTTCCAGCGAGAGGGAGAAAGAGTCATAAGAGTTGACTTCCTCGATGGTGTCCACGGCCTCTTTCCACGGAAACTCGACGGGCTTCATCAGAGCAAATGATCTCGGTCCAGGCACTCGGTCTCCTGGCGCCGTGCACACTCCAAGACGTACCACCGATGGCTTGGTCTGCTTGAAGTATGTGCCTAGCCCAGTCATGGTTCCTGATGTTCCCATGCCGGCACAGAGAACGTTGATTTGAGGAAGTTGTTTAAAGATCTGTGGTCCGGTCCAGCGGATATGTGACTGCCAATTCTTATCGTTCTCGTACTGATTCGGGTTGAGGATTTCGTCTGACTCTATGGCCATCCTCCGAGCACTCTGAATGCCGCCTCGCTCGTCGTATGGCTCTGGTTGAGACGGCCCTCCGAAGAGACTAATGTTGAGCCCGAAGAACTGCATCAGCCTCAATTTTGCCTCGCTCGTCTTGTTGCTAAGGTAGGCTCGAGTGTCGTGCACGCCATGCATGACTCGGGCAATCATCGACATGGAAATGACTGTAGAGCCGGAGCTGTACTCGATGATCGTCTTTGTCTTTTCGGGTACCACATTTGACTGAAGCATATTCATTGCTGGTTCCGTCATCAGATTGTCTCAAAACTAAAAGATCTTTGATCTTGAATGTTACATACCCGGCATAGCTTTGACATTATTAGCAGGATGCATCGTCATCATCTTCGCATATATCCGCACGCCATCTTCGTAGTACGGATTCAGGTACGGCGGCAGCTCAACCAGAGGCAAAGGGGGCTGCGAGTCGGGGTCAAAGTACTTTTTGAGGGAATCTTGGCCAAAGTAGACGTTGAGCTCATTAGAGTTCGCCATGATGCATGCAAGTATCCCACGGCTGCAGAGCTGCAGTGTTTAGGAAGCAAGCGAACGAACCATGCGGGCAGCAGCATATATAGCAGACCCTGCTCAATCACAGAACAAAGACCCCTCCTCCCTGTTGCCTCTGCGCTGTACCCCCCGTTTCCGCGGGAAATTCGGTGCAGAAAGTTGCAAGGTTGCGACCCACGGGCCACGCTAGACGTATGGAATGCGTGCTCTTAGGGCCAATGACGAGGCCCTGACAGGATTATCTGCAGGAATTGGTACCATGTTTGCTCGCCTGAAGAGTGGGCTAGAGCCGTGGACAGCCAACGATACCGAAGACGTCGAAGATCACAAAAGTCAGTCCGCAGGGTGCTGTACTGGCAGACGGGATCTCAACACATCCTATCCCAGCTGGGCCTGGCCAGCAGATCTGCAGGAGCACAAGGTCCTTTGGATGAAAAAGCTGCAAGAGGCATTTCCCACAGGTACTCAGGACGTCATTCGCGTTGGGGACCTTGGTGAGCTCGTTTGAGCACATTTCGTCGATCATCCCTGCCGGTTCCACTGTTTCTCCCGCGCGCTTCTCTGCAAATGACAGGTTCCCAGACTTTGGCCTAAACTCTACCATCAATTGAGTTAGTGCACATCCAGTGTTACCCAAGAGGTGCTATGGCTCCCCTGTGCCGTCTCGGAAGGATGGATCCAGTATGGCGAGCAATTACTCAATCCTATATAACTTGTCAACCTTCTGCCGCTCTCTCGCCATCATGCCAAATTCAAGAGGATGACTGCCGATTTCAAGTCCGCCGGCCTGCCGGATTCGACCAGTTTAGGCACGGAGTCTCAGCCTGGCACCCCGGAGGCGCACGCACATCATGTCTTCAACGAGCAGACGAATTACGTACCCAAAAGCACAATAATAACCGTAAGGCTCTCCCCCCACCACTGATGGATCCGTGTCTGTCTAACGCGGCGACAGATTTTTCTGGCCTGCTCGACAGTAGACCTGATCGCGTTGATGGACCAGACGACACTGGCAGCTAGTTTAGCTATCATTGGAAACGCGTTGAATGCCAGCGACAAGGCAGCGTGGATATCCGGAGGATATTTTGTGTAAGCTGTCACTACCGATCTCTGCTACTATCAGGTGCTAACTTGTGTCTAGGACATCGACATGCTTCCAGCTGATCTATGGTCGACTCTCAGATATCTGGTCGCGCAAGTTTGTGCTCTTTGTAGGCCTGGGCATCTTCTTCTTTGGTTCCCTCGCCGCCTCTCTAGCTCAAACCGCCACCCAGCTGATCGTCTTCCGTGCATTTACCGGAGTCGGCGGCGGGGGGCTGATGACTGTTGCACAGATGATCGTGAGCGACGTGGTTCCCCTTCGCGAGAGAGGAAAATACCAAGGTATCCTGGGAGCCGTGGTTGCACTCGCCAACGGTATCGGCCCAGTGATCGGAGGTGCCCTATCTTCTATATCCGACGACTCATGGCGCTGGATCTTCCGTCTCAATCTACCGCTGACTGCGCTCACAACGCTCTGCGTTCTCTTCTTTATGCCTTTGCGCAAGGTAACCGGAGACTGGAAACTGAAGCTCAAAGCAATCGACTTTGTAGGAGCTTCGCTGGCCCTTGCAGGCACCGCGGTGCTCCTTTTAGGGCTAACGTGGGGTGGTGGTGAATATCCCTGGGACTCGGCTCATGTGATTGCCACATTGGTCATTGGCTTCGCTGTTTGCGTTGTCTTTATGCTCTGGCAGTGGAAGGGGGCTCGGTACCCGCTGGTGCCGATGCATATCTTCAAGTCCCGTATCGTCAATGGTGCTTGTCTGACCATGTTCATCAATGGATGGAACTTTTTAGTCCAGGTCTACTATATTCCCACGTTCTATCAGCTTGTCTTCAATTATTCGACCGTCAAATCTGGCGCGATGCTTTTACCCATTACCCTAATGCAAAGTAGGTCCGATCCACCTCACTCAGTCATTGCACGCTAACCAATTCAGCTGTCAGTAGTACCGCGTCTGGACTTGTCGTGCACTGGGTAGGCCGATACAGAGAGTGTATCCTCTTCGGATGGATGATATGGGCCGTTGGACTGGGGCTATTCTCGACTCTAGACGAGTCCTCTGGTCTTGGAAAACAGATCGGTTACGGGATTCTGACTGGTGTAGGTGTTGGAAATACGCTGCAACCGTAAGCCTCCGACTCCTCACTGTCATGGTCTATTTACAGGCTCTGACGACATATTAGTGCCCTCATCGCCATTCAAGCCGGTGTCGAGCGCCGAGATATGGCCGTCGTCACTTCATTCCGCAAGTACGTTTTCCCCTCGCAGCATCTCCAGAAAGAGAAACAAGACCATACAACCCATGTAGACTAACCAATCCTTTCACTTAACAGCTTCGTCCGGAACCTAGGCGGAACCCTTGGTCTCGCAGTCGCGCAAACAATCATGTAGAACTCCCATTTACCCTGCCCCTAGTCACCTTGTCATCCAACAACCAAACTAACTCGATCTCTTCTATCTAGAAACAACCTCCTAGCCACTGCCCTGACATCCCTCTCCCTCACCGCAACTGAACAAAAGTCCTTCCTTTCCAGCCCGCAAACCTACCTCTCCACCCTGCCAGCAGAGGAAGCAGACCGTGTGCGCGCTCTGATTATTCCGGCCTACAAGCGCGGATTCATGATAATTTTTGTTATCGGTGCTGCGCTATCTGCGGCTGCCTTTGGCCTTGCGATTGGGCTTATGCCGCAGGTGGGGCTTGGGAGGGAGGATGATGAGAAGCTTAAGGCTGAGGGCAGGAGGAGAGTCAAAGGCGAAACGGAGGGGAGTAATGAGGAGGCGAGAGAGGGAGGGGTTAGGTAGGCAGGAGTTGTGGTAGTTGAGTAGGAAGGTATGTATAAAGATAGAACGGGGTGGTTGTTGCATAGAGTTACTTTTGAGCGGAGATTGCAATAGAGGCGAGGTGATAAAATCAGAATAGATGAAGACTGTGTGTTTATTCCAATCATATGAAAGAGGTCTAGAAGCAGAAACAGTTGCAGACAGAGGTATAGCCACAAATACTTCCAAGTATACGCCCATCAAACCAAACCAGCTCAACCACTATAACAGAAGCTTAATGGGAAATCGAAATCACACTCCCCAAGTACCCCTCCTTCCCCGACATATCCCCCTCCATCTCCCTCACCAAACCATACATGAACTCGCCAACGTCATCCCTACAAATCGTATACCCCACAAACGGACACGCAACCCCCACAGCCGTATTCTGCCCCTCGCCCTTCCCCTTGAGCGCACGGACCTTAGAGGGCTGACTCTGCCCCGTCGTCAAAAAGCTCGGGCGGATCATCGCAAAATCCCCCAGCACCCTCTGCTGCGCGGGCTTCGCCATCTCCTCGAAGATCAGCCGCTCCATAACCTCCTTATCCGCATGAGGCACTTTCAATACCCACTTGTAAAAGGGGACCATGGCGAGTGGGATATCGCGCTCCTTGGTGATCCCCGTCGTGGAGATTGCAACGAGTACAGGCTTCACATTCGAGGTGTTCATCTCGCGGAGGGCGCTGAGAATATTCCGCACGGTATCTTGGCAGATTGTCTTGCCGATGAATTTGGGGCTTAGTGGGTTGCTGAGGTCGGGCACGCCACCGACGCCTGAGAGGATCATTGAGGCGGGTGGCAGGTTTGCGGGGAAGAGGGTGCGGATTACGGCGTTGAGGTCGGTTGTTGAGCCTTCGATTATGGTTAGGTGGGTGGTTATTGTTGCTTGTGGGACGCCCCGGGCAGTGAGCATGTCGGTGAGTTTCTTGGGCGTGCGTGCTACTTTTTTGGTTGTTAGTATTCCCGACGATCTATAGTAAGTGGTGGGGAGACATACAGGCAACGCAGTTGTAACCGTCTCTAAGGGCGGGGATAAGGCAGGCGATTGTGCAGCCGCCGGTTGCGCCGAAGAATGCAAGAGTTGGCTTGTTCATTATGTGTTGTGCTGTTGTGACTGAAAATTGTTGGAGGCCAAGTATATAGACTAGATCGAGCCGATAGATAGAAGCTGAATTGCTTGAATCGAGTGTCCGTGTGTGAACATCCATCGCCCTCCAGCTGAACCGCCCCCTTTATACCTCCGTCACCTTCCCATATCCTCCATACAGAGCCCCAAACATGTTAATATCGGACGCATCGAAGCCCCCGTCCCGTCAAGAAGCTTAGCAGTCGGCGCCGATCTGTCGGCGCGAAATGCGTCCCGAACTGGATGGGTGCTCGACACTCTGATTGGTTCGGACAGACAATCCATCCGCCGTCTCCGCCGGCCACCACGTTTCAGCAGGCGTGCGGCGCGGCTTAGCATGGCTCCGTCGCTCAAAAGGGAAACATAAGGTTCTGATGGGGCTTTCAGAGTCGAGCTGAATTTGTTCGATAAGAGTTTATCCGAAGGCTGAAGTCTTGCAACTTAGGCGGCAGTTGGCCTGTTGCAAAGTTGGGGCGAGAGTGGGAGGGTTCGCCACTCCGATCTTGATGGAAATGGGGTGGGGCGGGGGAATTGGGCCCGCTTGACATGATTGGTCTGATCGCGATTTCTGGGGGAGGAGCCTTCAAATTGTTGGCATGTTGCTTCGATCTGGATCAACTTCAAGTCTGCGAGATCGGTGTCAAGCGAAGAAATCATGAAATCTTTTGAGGTGGTGTGGGTTGTGCTGTCCTCACTCAGAGCTGAAGTGGTCTATCCCCAACCGCTATTTCGACGTCAAGTAGCAGACTACTTGCGGCTAACCTTTGTTTCGTCAACTTACATGCAACGATGATTAGGTATGATTCAAATTAGGATTATACCACTATACATATCGCAGACAAAGGCAAGCCAAGAGAAGACAGGACAGAGACAGCAGTCTAATCTATCGCTCCCAGAAATCCAACCCAGACGCTGTAAGAGATCCCAAAACGCCATCTATGAGTGGAGTGTAGTCGGTCAATCAGTCATTACCCAAACAAACGCAATTCATCACATCCGACAATCAAAGCTTAGCAGCAGCCGGAGCAGCAGCCTCCTCCAACTCCTCAAGATACCCCATCAATCCGGCCCTAAACCTCACATTAACAACACCACCAACACCATAAGCCGGCACGATTTTCCCCATCCGTGCAAAACAGCTAGGCACATAATCTCGCCTTATCCTTGCCGCGCGCTCCTTCCACCCTAGCCCACCAGGCGGCTGGCGGTTATACAGATCCAATCCGAGCAGATGCATCGGTGTACTGGCAAATTGCATCAACGCAGGACAGCTGAACTGCGCGATCGCAGCTTTCATCGCAGGCGTTGACGCGATCGAGTCTGGGATTGAAGGGGCGATGAGGGAGGGGACGTTGAATGACGCGAAGATGGTGATGCTGTCGCGCATACAGAAGAGCGCGTAGGAGGTTCGGGGCACTTTGAGGGCCCCGGTTCCGGAAGGATGGCAGGATGCTGGTGTTGTCCCTGGCCCTGTCGCCGTACTTGTACTCGTCGCAGTCACCGTGGACCCCACAGAAGCAGTTGTCGTCGTCGTACCTTGCGAAGACGGCGCACTCTTCGCGCCAAAAATCCTCGCAAACCTCGCATCCTTGTAAACACAGATACCCATGTTCACCGCGGTCGTAGTAAGGAACTTCGCCGGCCCCGCAAAAACCGCCGAGAACGGTTTATCGCGAAGCGTCGAGGTGACGGTATCGATTGCATTCGCCGTCAGGTACGTCGACGTGTATAGCGTGTAGATGAGCAGGAACGGCGTGCTGAGGAAGAAGCCTGACGGGTGCGAGAGGATGGAGCGGGTGGCGGATGTTATTGTGCTGCGGATGGGGATTCCCTTTGCGGCCTTTTCGATGATTGCTCTGTAATTGAGTTGAGAATGTTAGCTGCGAGTCTTTCTTTCTCTAGTTGGAATGTGCTAGCAGGGACAGCTGTGTACCGGTCAATCACCGTGATAACGGGGCATGTAAGAGCGCCGGCCGCCGCGGCGGAGACGATATCGGCGCCGAAGCGCGCAGCGAGGCGGTTTGTGTTCCATGACTTTTTGTCTGTTAAGACGGGTGCTGGTGTAGCTATGGATGGTAATGGTGGTGCATCTTGGGAGAGGGTCTGCGCTTGAGGCATAATTTACAATTCACGCGGAGGAAAGATCGGAGGGAGAGCTGAAGTAAATAAGTAGACATGCAAGGCGCATCTAATGAATGATGGACTCCTGAAGTAGAGAGAGCGTGGAAACGAATTAATTAGCTGCGACTACAGCTTGTATCATGGTCTAGCAATCATAAGCGAGAGTCAGATGGTGTGATAAGTGAGGCATATTATTTTATCGACCATTTAATTAGCTGGACTTGACCTCAAGGAAGATTCATGCGGAGGAGAATGGGCCGACCGGGGTGCTCTCCGATGCCGGCCCTACTCCAATCCCGAGACTCCATCCGAAGTATACAAGTACAGAGGGCAACAGAATTCATTTTATATAAGCACATACATACGCCCAACGCCACACGTCCAAAAGTCCCAGAAAGTTTAATGATACTATTCGAATCCCGCGGATCTTTACTACTATGACGACGCGATGTGCGGCGTGTTCGCCTCGATACCATCGAGCGTGACATTTACAGCGCCCGCTTGCACAAGCTGTACAGATATTAGCGACGATCAAAACCAGCCTTAGGGGAACCTTACCGCTCGCCTCAGATCATCAATAAGATCATCCACGTCCTCAATACCCACACACAACCGAATCAGATCCTCTGGCATCGCGCGCTCCTTTCGTGTCTTCGCATCAATACTAGCGTGGCTCATCCGGCACGGCAAACTGATCAAGCTGTTGACGCAGCCAAAGCTCACACTGATAGCCCACAGCTTTGCATTCTCAACAATTCGCTCGCTCACAGCTACATCGCCAGTCTCAAACGAGAGGACTGCTCCGGCGCCCCGGGCCATCGAGTGGTGTAGCTCGTACTGGGGGTGCGACTTCAAACCGGGATAGCGCACCTTGAAGCCGTGTGATTCTAGGAACTCGGCGATGCGCTGTGCGTTGGATTGCTGCTGGTCCATGCGGACCTTGAGTGTCTTGACACCGCGCATAAGCAGCCATGAGTCAAATGGCGATAGGCCGCAGCCAGAAGCATTAATGGGGAAGTAGAGGCGCTCGCCGAGGGCAAGGTCGTTGACTGCGATAACACCAGCCATGACATCGTGGTGGCCAGAGAGGTACTTTGTTCCGCTCTCATAGACAATGTCGGCGCCGAGTTCGAGGGGATTGAGCAGGAGAGGAGACATCATGGTGTTGTCGACGCACACTAGAGCATTGGGGTTCGCTTCGTGGGCGGCGGTTGCGATTGTCGGGATATCGACGATCTTGATGAGGGGGTTGGTCGGGGTTTCTAGTAGTACCATTGCGGTCTTATCATTGATGACTTCCTTGACTGCGTCCGGGTGTGTGGTGTCGACGTGGTGCACGATAATGCCGCCGTTGGTCGAAAGATACTTGAGAAGCCGGTTGGTGCCGCCGTACAGATCGTCACCAGTCACTACCTCATCGCCAGGCTTGAGGAGACGGGTGATGACATCCAACGCTGCCATTCCAGAGGATACGACGAGAGCTCGCTGAGCGGACATGATCTTGGCTAGATGTCGTTCGAGGTGTGTTCTAGTGGGGTTGCCGGACCGGGTGTAATCATACTCGCCGCCTCCTCCGTACGACGTCTGCTTGAATGTAGCACTCTGAATCCATCAATTAGCTCATGCACAATTGTGCTAGATGTAGCATTGTAGGCTTGCACTGTAAGGGAAAGTACCTGGTAAATCGGGACACTGCTGGCATTGTATTGGTCATTGCTTTCGGTATAAACAAGCTCCGTCGCAATGTTGTATCGTCTGCTTCCATGAGGACTCGAAGGGGCAGGGGACGGAGGCAGGTTGTGGCCCTCGGCGTCCACCTGAGGGAATGCCTTTTTCAGGGTGCTGGAGGCCGACATCGCTGCGGGGAGTAAAAAGGCGGAGGAGGGACGGGAAAATATCTTGAGGGGGACGGGCAAGGACGAGGTGGCGAGGGAGGAGCGATTCGAGGCTGGTCACAACGCAACGCCCAAGAATAATCCGGCAATGGAGGGAGTGAGATTATGTACAGAATCAGGAGAAGTGGTTGTGTCAATTGATATTTTGCCTCAAAGAGTCACACCTCTCAACCGAATGGATGCCGACACTGGGGTTTGGAATTTAGTCATACCCATCGCCATACTCTGATTGGCGCACCGGCCAAGGGAGAGATGTCGTCATTTCACTAAGCCTAATGGAGACAGACACCTGAGGTATCTACAAACTATCGGTGTACGTCGTCCAGTCCAACTGTCAGAGAAATGGGATATTAGAAAATAGAGATACAGAAGCTTTTCTTCTATATACAGAGGGCTACTGCCCTCGACTCAAAGATTGCCGTCAGGTCTCATAGTGCACATGAGATCAATTCTGTCCAACCTGTACTCCGCCTTTGCAAAGGCTATCCTCACGAAACAAAAGTCAGAGCAATTCTTCCATAAGCGTACAAGACCTCCATCGTAGGAAGATAACAACTGAAGGACGTAATTTTGTTTCTTTAGAATCGCAATGTCGGCAATATGCCAAAAAAAAACCCGCCCAGTAGACCCTAAACGGCGACAGGGGCAACGCTAGTCAAATTCAACGCAATAGCGAAACCGTCATTACCTGCCCATGCCGAAAGGAATAGAAAAAAGCACTAGATGAGGAAAGCAATCAGAAGATCTCAAAGCGGCAAGTTACAGCTATAGACCAGCTCAAGCTGCCAGTTCGCCGAAGCTGCCGTTAATGCCGAAGAATTGGAACCTGGTAAGGAGGTGGTGAGCGAGTGCAGGTTCCTCGAATAGGCGGAGATTGACGTACCAGTCTTCCACGTTCAGGGTGGTGGGAGCAGTTGGGCCACTGCGAGAGCTACTGCTCCAGTTGTCATCTTGGCTTGCATGGTCCATTGCCGCGCCCGCAACGGTTGCATCTAGGCCATGCATCGGCCAGGGTTGCTGAGCATCCATTCCGTACAGCTGTTGTGGCTGTTGTCCTTGAAGGCCAATTCCGGCAGGCATACTCGAGAGAACCTCGGGGCTTCCTTGGGCACCTGGGAGAGAGGCTCGGTGGGATATTTGTGGGGGAACTATTGAGCGTTGATCCAGACCATGGGCCTGTAAATGTGATTGCATCTGAAGTTGCGGGTCAACTGTCGCAGTCTGGGGAGAAGTGAGTTCTGGGAAGATCGCCGTGCCGTCGGGGAACAGTTGGTCTGGCTGAAAGTTCTCCCAGAGAGAAGGTGAGAGGTTAGGTGATGTGCGCGTGACCAGGAATAAGTCAGGGGGAGTCGCAGGCAAGGAGAACTGATTATTGAAGGGGGTCGTTGGCCGTGTGTTTGCGCGAGAGTTGCCTGTCCCGGGAAGACCTTCCTTTGTGATAGTAGGAGAGCCTTGGGGCAGAGGCAAGGTAGACTGCCCGAGCTCCCTGGACGGTGTAGCCGCCGGTGTCTGAGGGCGGGATCGTTCGTATGAGACTGGAGGCGTGGGGCCCCCATTCGGCAAGGTGATATCCATGTCATCGAATTTGCGCTTTGGAGGAGGATCTGGCCTTCTCGATGCGTGCTGGCTCGATTGGCCCGAGTCGTGTTTCACTCGCTGGTGCCTCTTACCCGCGGCCTTTTGCAGACGTTCTTCTAGAACTTTGTTGCCCAGAATAGACTCGAAGAGGGTGTGCACCATCTTGGCGACGAGCCAGACCTTGGAAACATCCTTGAGCGCTTGCATGCAGATGTTAATTCTCTCTTGGCATGTGGCCACGACAGAGGGTACAGATGAACGCATCTGGTAAACATGCATAATCAGAGCCGAGAAAAGACTGTACACACTGTTCGGTTGTTAGCTTGGAAAGCATGGGCACACGGGGATGTTGACGTACATGAAAGCGGGCGTGTAGCGAATCTCATTATGTGTCCCTAAGTTCTCGACAATGGAAGTGATCATGCCAGCAGCCTGGAAAGCGATTGTACGCGACGGATACGCCATTTCCTCGACACGATAGCTGCTCGGCACTGACGATGCCGGTGGCATGTGGGCTCGATGTAAGAGGCAAAGTGTGGTACTGCCTACGTTAGCAGGCCGAATTGATACAATCAGATCAATACTCACTAGTAGTTAGCATGTAGAAGAGCTGCCCAAAAGTGATGGCGTTGACGCTGCCAACACACCTCCTTGGGGCAGTTCTGGAGCCAGTCTGCAAGCGCCATGTCTGAATGTGTAAGATCCATTGCGTTCATGCGGCGAGACTTGGATGCTACCGAGTATTGCTGTGAAAGAACCAAGCCCATGATCTCACAGAGTTTGACATATTGAAGGAAGAATTGTACGTGAACCGGGTCTGGCGGTAACTCGGCGGCCATATCGATCTCGTCCTCGATGAAATCGTCTTCGGTCAGCATGCCAACGTCTGCGTCGTCTGTGTTGATACCGATCGGACGACCTAAAGCCACGGCTACGGACCGATCCCGGGTGAATAATGTCCACCAAATGCGCTTCCACAGTCTCTTGTCGGGTTTGCTGAGTTGTGAAGATTCAACGCTGTTACTGTCAGCTCATGCTTCTGTCGACCGTTGCACAACTAATCTTACCTGCGATGCATGCCAGACCCCTGTGCAACCACCATTGCCACTCTTGTCCAGTAGAAGACATTCTTGGTGACGTCTAAAGCATATCAGAAACGCGAAAATATTACATTGAGCCGGGGAACCCACCTTCAGGGCCCTCCCAGTACCAGCCAAGGAGCACCAGCGCCTGCACAATCGTGACTCGGTCGTCTTCATAGTTGGCGTCATATAGAGCTTTTGCTCGCTTGTAGAATGTCATGGCCGCCGGAGTAGTCGAGCCATTAGCGTCCATTAGCTGCGGATTGGTGCACACTCTGGACCCGGCCAAGAGGATAGCCTGCAGGAGAAGCAACGATGGAGGATTCTTAGGATCACGATATTGGCGCATGAATCGGCTGCGGTTGACAATAGGGACGACCGGTGCAACCCACTTGAAGTAGGCGTCGACCAACTCGTCACATAGTGGCTTTGGTGGGAGGAGAAAAGCGCCGCGTTGGTGTAAAATGTCCAGCTCAAGGTTATCCAAATCGGTGATTCTCGCTCGTGATCCTCGGATGTTGGGAGGAAGGGGGTAATGCACGACGTCGGTTGTTCCATGGCGGTCCTGAACTAACAGCGAGAGATTTGACGATTCACCCAAGTATGCGACCCTTCCAGCTTCCTTGATCGGTGCGCGGGCAAACTTTGGCTTCATGAATTGGGCATATGTCGAATTTTGAGAGGCTTGGTGAGCGGCCTGTGTTTCAGTAAGGGACGTTACGGGCATGCCGTCGACGGCCATGGGGTTGTTCTGGTAGCCAAATGCATCTTTGCCCGTTCTCGGTACGGAGTCTTCGCGCTTCTCCTGGCTTTGGGATTTGTCATCGGCATCATCGTTGCTGTAGAGCGACAGGGAAGCGATTAGTATGCGATCAAACTGCGTCCGATAGGCGGAAAGAAAGGGCCGATTTACTCAACGTACTCGCCGGCCTCCTTGGATTTCGTTTGATTCTTTTTACGTTTCGGCGTGGGGATTCTGCATTCGATAGAGAAGGCGACACAGTTGGTACATGGTACACCTAGACTGGCAGCATCGCAACGGACCTGTTTGTTGAAAAAGAAAGGGGTTAGATGGGTTTCGGTTGGGGAGGCCCCGGTCGCAAGGCGGGAGGGGGCGGAACTCACTTTTCGCGCATGGCAAGTCTTCACCAGAGAGCGTACAAAACAAGCGTCAGTCAAGATTCATCAATAAACAGAGGGAGGTTGGAATGTATGTGCGTGCATCCAGCACTCCGAGTGGCCTCGCGAGTTGGAGCAAACATCAGAGCTGAGATGGGCCGAGGTGCCGAGGCTGCAAAAGCTTCGCGTTCCCCTTCGAGGAACAAAATCGACGTACCTCACACGCACGCGACGCACGTTGTCTGTATAAAAAAGCTCCGTTAGAAAATATAACTTGTTGACATTTCCCGTCCATTTTTTTCGCTCTTGATTTTCATTCTGGCTTGGGCGTCTAGCTCGAGGTGGCCTGCACTGATGCTTTCAGTGCTCAAAGCAACCCCGCGTCCAGTCCAAAAATGCTCACCACTTGTCGGAAACACAGGGAAAAGGAATATCAATGCACGCACCTTCTGAAACTCATTGAGCCGCTTGTTCCTGAACGGACAGCTATTCCTGAAGTCCCCGTTGAACCCGCTGTGCTTGGAGTCGGGCTGGGTTTGGAAGCCGTTGGATCTATGAATCGTTCGCCTGCTGTTGTGCTCATGGCCAAAAAGCGTCCATCCAGAGAGAATCGCGACGGCAGGAAAGTCGTGCGAGACGGGAATCAGGGAAAGGGAACGGGAATCCACAGATTTCCAGGGCGAGCGGACTCGAGGTTTGGTACGAGGACAGTCGAATAGGAGAGAGGTCGAGGAGAAGAAGAAAACGACAGAGTCGCAAAAAGAGCAAAACAATAAAATCGAGCGCACGAGTGTAGGGAGGACAATAGGATAAGATAAATAATACAGGGGATCGATGAAACCTCGAAAAAGCAGTCTTGTGGGTTGGAATTGGATGGGCTGTTACAGGTGTAGCCTATGGCTGGCGCAGCAGAGGGAGGGAAATACGGGGGTCGGCGGGACTGGGCCCAGCAGCAGTTCAGGGTAGAAGAATCCCAGGCGCGGTGACTGGAGGATGCAACGAACCAGACGCCACCCAACTGTGGACGGAGCTGTCAGTGGTCACAGGGAAGGTCAACAGGAGAAAGTCGATGCAGGAGGTAATGGAGGGGGAAGAGAGAAAATTCCGGAACGAACGGGGTTCCAACGAAATGCGCGAGCGAATAGGTAGCACTCCTACAAGAGGGGGGAGGCAAAAGCAAATTATTATTCAGTTTCAATGAGGATGACACGCGCAGTCGAGTCGCAAAAGGGCAAGAGAGAAGAAGAATCATGGCTGAAAAGAGGGCAGGATATTGGCCAGTTGAGGAGACCAGGTGGAAGCAGCAAATGGCGGGGAGTGGCAATAATCATCCTCCGCGGGCGATCTGCTCAGAGTTTGTGTGGAGAAGCTGGCTTGGACCGTTATCAAATAAGTAGCTAATAACAGGAAAAGGACCTTGGGCTCTTCGCTAGCTGCATTGATCATTTCCACCACCGGTTCCTAGTGGAGGCGAACAATGTGCTTATGCAGCCCGTTATAGAGGCCTAGAGTCTAGTTTCTCGGGGCAGGTACCCCAGACTCTAGTCCAGGTCTCCCCTGCACGACAACCTCGACGAGGATGCTCGCAATCTCGATGAAACGAGCATTTCATGTCTCATCTCTTGTCCTTACACACGGTCCATCGCAGTCACAGAGGACTCTTTCTAAATGTCAAGCTTCTGTTTGGGTTCTATACTACTCCTGTGTGCTGTGTACTTACAGTGGATCCCTCAGCCCACTCCCGAGCTAATTTTCAAGGCACTAACCACGGAGGACTTACTATACAGAGCACTGTCGCCTGAACGATGTGTAAAGCAATCCCAAAATAATTCGATGAACGAAACTTTGGAATTCCAAGACGACTGCAGGGATGGCACAGGTCAATACTGCGAATCGAATTTCTAGAAAGCGGCAGCCTTCGGAACCAGGAATTATAATTAAAGACCCAAAATTCCAAACCAAAGCAGGAATAGAGTCATAGACCATCGGCATCTCTCTCTCTGTCCATATCTCAAACAACGGCTCCAGGATCTGCAGCGCATCGGGACTAGGCTGGGAGTGTGAGGTTGAAACATCAGGGCCTGGCACCCTTGCCCTGTCTCAGCCATGAGTGTGAAATTGTGATGGCTTGGAGCCTTGGACATTGCTCACCAGGCCTCAGCGACCCAACTAGAGTCTGCGATTTAAAGATGTCAAGATGGACAGTCCTAGAGCCGCGCTTATAATGGAGGACACAAGGTTGAGGCGTTGTTGTGTACGAGTCGCCGGCTGACATGACAGTCCTGGCTCGCCCTTGTGCAACAGAAGCTTGCGCTGATGGTATCAAATTGCCAGCACTGACAAGATTACCGCGATGGAGACAAGCAAGAAGAGCGAATGCCGGGGTCCACTGTATCTTGATCATTACACCTTGTTAGTTCCTCGCGTGCTCATCTTATTTCTCCAGGGTCTAGTGAAGATTCAGTCCCGACCTTTGCAGGTATACCGTATTTATTATTATTACCATTGCATTCAGGGTGGTCTATGCTCGGATTAGCTGACCGGGAAGACACGGGCCAACGAAGACAGTGTTGTGATCTTCTTCCAATCTATTGTCCGTTGTTAGCCTAGCTTGACAAAAGTCAACCATCTGACAGGTTTGCCTCTTTGAAGATCACCAGATGCGGGATTTACAACTCCATCTTCAGGACGACATACCTTGCTTGCAAGCAGCTCGACTGCCACGAGGACTTGAGAAGAGAACCAATCATAAATTCAAACTCGCAATCCCTTCCGTATCCGGCCGATATTCCCCGCAAATGCAGTGTTGAGGCGCGGGTGGGTGCGCGACAGATATTAGAGCTGTTCCTGAATTCTTCTCCGGGAGAACTGGGATGCACTGATGCACTCAAAGCCGGCCCTAGCCTCAAGGCCCGACAGTCTTAGTCCTCGATCATCGAGTCATTGGGCTGAGATTGTCGACTTAAAAACGTCGGTCAAACTCGCGACACAACCCGATCTCAGCCTAGCTGGCAAAGGATGTGGTCTGGGCGGTGGAGCCTCACCCAAATGAAGTGTCGTCACCCAGCCTCCTCGTGATACCTCGGCTCATTTTGCTGCATCTCATCGAGCTAAGCAAGCTGACGAGCCAGCGGGAAAAGCAACGATAAGCACACTAAGCACACAGGGATGCAGGTTGCAAAGCGCAGACAGCGCGGAGAATGATGCTTGAGCGAGCACTTTGAAAAGAGAACAGAAACTGACTCAACTTGAGTCTTCAGTAGCTGCCTGTGCTTGGAGAAGCGGAAGTCGGAGTCGGAGTTATTTCCCGCCAAAAGCCACCGCCAGCCCTAACCCCAGAGATCGGGACAATCACCGCCACGAATTCCAAGAAGAGGTCGAAGTAACAATGCAGTATCGATAAGCTATCTATCTTTATAACATATGTACAATTCATGACTGGCACTGGATTGAAGTGGCCATTTGCGCCAGTCCAGACCGATATTAGGGGTCTACTGACCTCACTCTTTTGCATCTTCGAAGCCAATGTCAACACTTTCACGGCTCCCCGAGACAACCCCATTCACGATGCCGGCAATGGGAGCCGTAACGGTGCTAGTGCGGGGTCCAAATTCCACCCCACTGATGAATACTTCGCTGAGAAACTCGAGTCCGGCAACAAAAGTACACAAGAAATTTGCAATGCAAAAGTTGGTGATAGTAGTGCCGATATCGAGCCAGGAACCCTCGTCACGGACCATGTAAAAGAAGTTTAGAGTCATGACATCAGAGATGGTCATCACTACCATGAAGAGAGCACTCGGTGCCACCTCCAGGCGGCGATTGAGAATGCCTAGGTTGGCACTGATGATCGCGAATGGGATGAGAATCTTAAAGATCAGCAAGGCGCCCTGGCTAAACGGATTGAACACCGGGATGAGTCGGTAAACACTGTCCAGCGAGAATGAGGATATCGAGGCGATGTTGCCCGTGCTGAAGAAGCCAGATTGCAAAAGGAAGAAGAAGAACAGGGCAACGCGAGCATCTGAAACGCTGAGTGTGCGGAATCGATATGTTACACCTTCAACAACCGTGGTGGCGTCGGGGCTTTCCTTTTTGGGCGGCAGAGGGGTCGCCTGTTCCTGCTTGGTAGGAGACACAGAAGCGTGGACATAGGTAGCGTGCTCCAGCCTGACCCAGGTAATCAACGTCATACAAAACGAGAAGTAAAATAGGCCTTCGTAGGAGATGGTGAGGATTATAAAGGTTGGCGAGAATGTCAAAAAGAGGATCATAAGGCGATGCAAATAGTGGCTATTGGGGTATAATCGGTGGAAGAATGGTAGTAGGAGTGACGCAACTAGAATGGTCAGCTATGCTGTAGAATGAAAGCCTGTTAGCTACTTACCAAGAACGATCCATCCCACTACCTGGTTTCCAAAAGGAAGACCTTGCTTCGCTTGGAGGGAGGCAATACTTGACCTCGTAACAATCAACGAGAGAATGACCAAGCCCAGCTAGAGCATGTCAGTACACAACCAAATTCCAGGCAATCACAACAATGTGACATGTATTGAAGGGGAAGATGCCGTACCTGCATTCCCATAATCACTCGAGACCCAGTTCGGGAGACAGCCGCAGAGTGGTGGCTAGAGCCAAGGATCTGATCTTCGAATAACAAGTATAGTAAGCCGGTCAGAAGCATCAAGGCAGCGCCGCAAGTTCTAAAATCATCAGCCATCGAAAGCTCCCGGTTTTTACTGGTTGAAGCTGCACTTACATTGTGTCAACATCCTCAACCTTCATGGCAGGCAGCAGGGTGAAAATGCTCATGAGAAAACACCCAACAGCCCAGGTACCATAAAGCACTCCATTGCGCCTCAGGAATCCAAGTCCATATGTTAGAGGCCAAAGACCGCCTAGTACGAAACAGACAGTATAAAGCCTCCGCTCAAAGTACGAATGCACCTGCATACTCTTGTTAGTGTTGGCCACCATCAGAAAAAGAGGATCGATCGCTTACCAAAGCTTCTATCACACCCACAAATAACAGCAATTGAAATCCGAATGAAAAATGGGCGCCCACCGAGCGCACGTGGCCGAGTAGGATCTCACGCCCAGCGAGCAAGGCCTTTCTCTGAGAAAAGACTTCTTCCCAAAAGAAGATTGGGAACATCCCGTAGAAATAATATCTCCAGGATGACCCTTGGTAGAAGAAAATTGAGAAAAGTGCGACCAATATTGAAGAAAAGAAAAGTGTGCTGCTCATAGTTCGGCTTGACTCTGACGCACCATGAAGAACGTGGAGGTCAATGACCGTGGTCAGAGAATAAGCAATCCATCCTAGATACCCAAGAGTGACAATGGTCCTCAAGAAAAGCCAGTCATAGGTCTGGAGATAGCGAAGGCCCTCTAATCCCATGCTGAATAGGATAGCAGACTTTTCAATCGCTTCGTCGTAAAGACCACTATCAATCAGCTCTTTGATAATATTCAAATGCTTCTCCACCGAATTCTGACCGTCCTCTGCCAGGGGCTCAAAAGGCTTATAACGCAACAAGGAAGCCTTTTTGTGTTCCTCCTTGACGTGGTACATTTCCAGAACCGCTTGCGTGTTCGCTAAGACAGCCAAAGCCTTCTCCCTAGGGCTGCCATCAATATAGTCCAAGGGAAGCCTACCGACAGAGTTTGTCGGGAAGTCGAGCCCAACCAGGTACGCCATGAGGGCGGCGACATCTGCCTGCTCAACATCGTGGCGCACAACGCTGTGCAAGTCCCAGTCAGAAGAGGCGCCGTCCTCATGCCCAGAGAGGGCACCCACCTGCGGCTTCTCTGGGCCCGCCACACCTGATCCCCAGACGACGAGTGGTGTCCTTGTGTTGTCGGGGTGTCCATCTCCATGGCTGCCCCAGTCACTCATGCCGTGGTCCGCGGTGAAGACGAACGCTGTCTTGTCGTCTCCGTAAAAGTTCTCCACGAGTCGAGTTATTTCCTTGACGCCCTCATCGACCAACTTGATATTGCGCATGTATTCCTTGGAGTAAGGGCGATAACCATGACCTGTCGTATCGATCCCAAGGAGATGCAAGAAGAAAACGAGCTTGTCTTGCCGCAGCTTCGCATCCAATTCCGGATCATGCTTGGCCGACTCGAACAGCTCTTTGACCCTGTCAAACACCCAAACGTCGAGGGCTGTAGCGTCGGCCGTAAAGTCCTCTGCTTCCTCCCCGTACATATCCGCATCAACTCTCCCCGGAACGGCACCCTCCTTGAACATGGGAAGGATGTCCGGACTCCCCCAGCTCCAGGTATGTCTGCTCCGATTGAACACGCTGTCAAAGTCCACTGGGTTCAATTTCCAGCCTGTCGTAACCGCCGAGACATCCTCGTATAATCCAGCAATCAGCGCAACATGACCGGGTCGTGATTCGGTTGGGACTCGAGTGTGGGAGATGCCAAAGGTACCGTGCGACAGGACGCGGGATCGAATAAACGGTGCGAGGTGAATTGGGTCGGCGTCTTCATCTGAAGCACTGTCTGGGTCAGGTAGCGCCTGGAAGGCCTTGTCTGCGCGCAATCCGTCGGCGACGAACAGAACGAGTCGCTGCGCTGGAGCTTTGGCGCCAGGCTCCCGCTCCACGCGGAACGAGCTCATTCCACTCACAATGGGACTGACGAAATAGACGTCAAATATGGAGTAGGCATAGATGAGGTGGAATATCACCGCAAGGGTGAGAAAACCACTACGGCCAAGTCGCGCCATGGTTGTGTTCTTTGAACCCTCCGCGGAGGGATAGACTAAACGACGAGAGATTTGATCGCGATGAAAAAGGGGCGTAAATAAATACAATCAAGAAGGGTGAAGCAATGCGAGAGGGAAGAAAGAGAATACCCTCAGATCAAGGAGCAGCATCGACAACTTGGGACTCCTTGTCTCTGTGTTGGCTTGGGACCAGATGGCACTTTTTCCCAAGGTTGAAGAGCTTCGGGGAACTTGGGGGTAGAGTTGGGCCCCTGCCAGCCAATCGGACGCGTGGATGTCCACACAGCGCGCATCCACCAGATGAAGCTTAAACTGTTTACTTGAGTAGTAAATCTACTACAGCTACCTTAGGAGCGTTCAATTACCCTTGAAAATAGTATCAAAAAATAAACAAGCCCTGCCCGCTCTTCACGACTGAGTTTGCACAAAAATACCAAACAATGAAACGGCCAAGTATGCAAATGATAAAAAAAAAAAAAAAAAAAAAGACCAAACGCCATGTCCGACTCCTAGAAATGCAAATCCTGCTTTTGCGAGCCTCCCAAAGGGTAATCCAGAGCAACCAATAAGGCGAAATTGCATAATTGATCTCAATTTCCCTGGCTTGCGCGTCGCTTCGTGAGCGCGTCAATTACTCGGGTATAGAACTTGGATGCCTGCTGGCGCACAAAGGTGATATCCACAGTAAGATATTCAGGCAGCGTGGCAACCAACTCTCGGTCTCGATTTTCGTCCAAAAGAGGTATGTATTGGAATTCTGCCGTTCCGAAATCTGCTGATGACACGCGAGGAACAGCAAGCTTGAAGTGGAGAGCTAAACCGAGGTAAGCGACAATTCGGGCTCTCGAGAAGATGAATAGCCACTTACTTCCATTTACACCTGTCTGAATGCAATCATACAAGGTGTCTTCATCCCTCTGTTTCACATCACGGATAATGAGTCCCGTAAGGTCACTATAGAGGTCCTCCTTTAGCTGCGCCAATTGCGCGGCTTGCGCGGCTTCAGCTGCCACTGCAGCATTCGCACGGTTGGCGCCATGGTTCTTGATCGCACTCCCTGGTGCTTTGAGTGCAGATTGCTCGAGCGTGGCCGCGGTGTTGCGCGCGGCCGCAAGTTTCGTCTGCAATGCCTTGACTTCATTTTGAGCGGCAGTCAACTGGCTGGTCGATTGTTCCGTTGCCGCTGTCAATTTGGCCAACTCGGCATCTCGCTCGCGCAACTGCTTCTGAAGCAAGCGGCTTTTCTGTCCCAAAGCCTTTTGCGCCTCCAGCTCGGCTTTAAGGGATGTGATCAGGTTATTCGAGGCTGGAGATGAGTTTTAGCGTATACTAGGATCAGCCTATATTCACTTTAAACCAACCTGTTGTCATTGATTCGCATTGCTTTTTGAGCTTTTCCACGTTAGCGTTTGCCTCGACAATACCTATATCCTTCAGATTGCGATATCGATTCTCCAAAGCGTCATATTTTTTGCTCAGGTCACCAAGTCGCCGTCGCAGCTCGGGCTCAGTGCCAGTTTTGTCATCTTCCCCTCCAGACTTCCTTTTCGACGGGGAACCCTGTGAAGGACGCAGAGAGGATTGTCTTCGCTTAGCAGGTGACAGGGACACTGGTTGGGTCGCAGGAATCTCCTCCCCCAAAAAAGTCTCTTCAACGACTTCCCGTACCGTCTCAACTTGCGTTGTATTTTGTTTTGCACCCGTCACAGACTTTTGTCGTTTTCGGCTCGTTGACTCTCCTGCCGACACTGGTTGCTGCTCAGATTTATCAAGCTTTTCCTGTTGTCGCGTACTTCTCGGTGTGTATTCAAATTCGCCGTCAGTTTTGACTTGTTTCTCTGCGGCAGCCTTCTTCCTTCCGCGAGTGCTGGCCCCTTTCGTTGATCTTGTCGACTTTGCAGCAGGGCGCGGCGCGCTGATCTCGTCATCGCCATCGGTCTCTTGCGTCGGCGCATCATGTTCTTCTCGAGGGGGCGCTTCCTGGTTTTTCGCGGCATCCTGTGCTGCTACCTGGCCCGAGTTTCTACTTCCCTTGGGCCTCCCCCTTCTGGTACTTCTGCCGGTGGTAGCTTCGGTTTCCTGAGTTGTCGCAGCTGCGGGTTCAGCATTAAGCTGAGCTGGAGTTCTCATCTCTGCCGATTTCGATCGAGGTCTTCCTCTCGCCTTCTTCGTTGGACGCTCATCGTGGTCCTGCTTGGCACTAGTCGCCAAAACATCCTCGTCGTCCGACCCAATGAGGCCAGAAAGTCTAGCAACGGCAGCTTTCCGTTTAGGCATTGCAAGTATATATAATGCGCTGTAATGTTGAATCGAATTATCGATGCTGAATGCTGATGTGTACACGCGACAATTATAACACGACAGGAGGCGAAGAAGAAGCGTTTGGCGCGCTTCCAAAACACCAAAACATGTGACGCCCGGCAAAACCACGACTGCGAACGGGCGCCACACCGACGACCCGAGCTGCCAAAACCCATCTATCGCGTGCTGGCATCCTTTCGAGGTTCAATCTTTCCGTTGCTGGCCTCTGGATTTGATTGATATCAAGACCCATCCTTCTTGGTGTATACTTATTTGTTACTTCATTTTCAGTCTCCTGCCTCTCTTTGACCAACCAAGAGCCCAATACACCAGGCTTGTTTCTCGGCCCGCTGCTTCTCGACCGCTGCTTCTTCACCATGGCGTCAGCGCGCGGTCCACGCTGGCAGCAGTTCTTGCAAGAGCTGGTAATGGTTGCGGGCACAGTAAGTTTCAATAACCTTTTGTTGCTTGCAGTACATGTCTCATGGCGCCTGGATAGTCTGCCTCCGCATATTTCCTCATCCGCTATCTCCTATCTCGCCTCGACTTTGACCCTGAGAGCCAAAAGAAGGAAGAACAAAAAAGCAAATCGGCCGCAATCCTACGAAAACTCGACGGGGGCGATGGTTCTGAAGATGCTACATCAGGCAAAGGAGGGAGGCAATCCCGGCCGAAACGAGGAGACCTTGTCCTCAACCAGTATGAACAGGCGATTGCAATGGACGTTGTTGCTCCCGACGACATCCATGTCTCATTCGAGGATATCGGTGGCTTGGACGACATCATTGAAGAGCTTAAGGAGTCTGTGATCTATCCTCTGACGATGCCCCACCTCTATTCATCCACATCATCACTTCTTACAGCACCCTCTGGGGTCTTGCTATATGGCCCGCCCGGTTGCGGCAAAACTATGCTTGCAAAAGCGCTTGCTCACGAGAGTGGCGCTTGCTTCATCAACCTTCACATATCGACTTTGACGGAGAAGTGGTACGGTGATTCAAATAAGCTGGTCAATGCCGTATTCTCCTTGGCCAGGAAGCTCCAACCCTCGATTGTCTTCATTGATGAGATAGACGCAGTGCTTGGGACCAGGCGGAGTGGCGAACACGAGGCCAGCGGTATGGTCAAAGCGGAGTTCATGACACATTGGGACGGATTGACGTCGGCAAACTCTCTCGGTGAGCCCCAACGAGTTGTCGTCTTGGGAGCCACGAATCGGCTGCCAGACATCGATGAGGCCATCCTCCGGCGCATGCCCAAGAAGTTCCCCGTTACTCTACCATCTTCAACCCAACGGCTTCGAATCCTGGGTCTTGTACTCAAAGACACAAAGATTGATCGTCAAAACTTCGATCCGCATTACCTGGTCAAGGTGATGGCGGGAATGTCTGGCAGCGATATCAAGGAAGCTTGCCGCGATGCTGCCATGGTTCCAGTCCGAGAATTGATCCGACTTAAGACAGCGCGGGGCGCTGCAATCAGTGCAGTTGACCCGGATGAGGTCCGTGGCCTTCGTACAGAGGACTTCTTTTCTCGTGCCGGTGGTGTTCGCGTTCTTGAACCTCCCACACAGCGCCGAGCAAATGCAAGCAAAACCGAATCTGAAAAGGAGTGGAGTACAGAAGACGAAGCGGCTCCTGAAGGCGACGCGAATGCGTCCAGCAAAATGACAGAGCCACCCATATGAGGGCGAAACGGGATCGCCTCGATCAGCGTCCATGAGCTCCAGTCTCTTGCCTAGATACGACATCTCGACAATTATCTGACCTAATAATACCCCTGTGGCAGGCCTCCGCATTGGTCTTCTTGTATACATGACTATCCTTACCTCGCCAGTAATTTTCACGGAGTATGTGGTGTTGTCTGATCAATTGATAATTCTTTTGCTCAAGAATGCGGAGTTCTCCGCATATTTTTACAAGTAACCATTTACTCCGCAATAAGACAATTACATGATGAACTAGAGAACGAAATGTCATAATAGTAGCCATCTGAATCTGTAATCTATAAGCACGGGGGGAAAAAAAAGATTCTATGACAAGCCTTTTCAGCCTGCCAAGAATGCAGAGTTCTCAAATGAGCAGTCACTAAAGCCTTTGTATCGATACTTGTACGCCGGGGACGGCCAGTCAATGCCAGTCAAGGTTACCAAACAAACACAACTTGGATAAGGCTGAATAGAATAATTGCAGGTCATAAGGAACTGCTCAATGCTAAAGGCAAGCAAAATGAGGTTGCCTCAATTAGCTCGAGTCCAAGTATAGATTATTGTCTTAGTCAAAGGAATTGGAGGAATTGGCAGTTCGAAACGAGGCGCCCCCCCGCCGTCCCTAAACGAAGCTGGGAGTCGTCATCGCTCCGGGCGAGGAGGCTATTAAACTCGTTCCTCTTGCCGCATCGCGCTCACCAAACGCCCAGATAGTACCACCCGCCCCTGATTTGGCCGTCGACAGCCTCAGCACTTGAGTTTTCTCCTTTATTCTTCGAAAGACACAGCATCCCGGTTTTCCGCAATCCCCACACTCTCCCGATAAGCTCGAATTAAGGACACGGATGCGAGACCGACACTACTGCATGACGAATGGTCTATCCTAGAGACGTCCGATGGCAACCTGTGCCCCCGGGGTCTCCAACGCAGCGCTAAACACCCTTTGGAAGAGCTAAAGGCATCCTCTGCCTCTTCTCGCATACACCCCCTCACACCCGTCAGGGATGAGTTCCAGAGTCGGCTCTGCCGATACCTTCAGTCCTGGGACGACAACAGATTCCACCCACCGGTCAACAACCTCTACCATCCGACCCCGCCGCTTGATCTCATTCAACGATGACGATGGAGACAATACAGGGAGACAGCCTTCATCCACCGGCCTCCCTACGATGCGCTCCGCAGAGGGACCGACCCTCCGCTCACGAGGCGCGACACCGTCGCCGCGCCCGTCCCGGACGGTTTCTCCTATCCCCGTGAGCCATCTTCCTCGAGCTACGCAGTCTCACAACGGTTCTCGGTCCGGGAATTCACTAGGTGGGTTCACTCCCGATGGGAAACACCACGATCCGTTTGCTGAGTCGTCGCGGGCTGCCGTAGACTTTCTAGATTCGTCATGGACGTCGCTTCAAAGTCTGGCCTCTTCGCTTCTAGGGAGTGACATTGCGCACCCCGTCTCGAATGGAGCGCCGCGAACTCATGCCAGGAAACCTTCTCGACCCGATTACTTTACCAGAAATACTTCGCGGACATCCACTGCTTCTACATGGGGCCCATCAGGCGTCACGACACCAGAGATTGGGGCCGGAACTCAAGAAGAAAGGCAAGCGATGGTGCAAGCAAAGAAGAGGGAGGCTTTGCTATTAGCGGACACGGACCCTAGCTGGAGCCTGAATCCTAGGCACAAGCGGCGCGACTCTAATGACCGGGCCACGCAGTCGGCAATTGATGCAAGCCATGATGAAGAGGCGCTCGTATATGTGCATCAAGTCCAGCCCTCTGACAGCATCACCGGTGTCACTATACGGTACGGTTGCCAAGCTGCGATATTCAGAAAGGCAAATGGATTCTGGCCGAGTGATAGCATTCAAGGTCGGAAAACCGTACTCCTACCGGTTGATTGCTGTTCAGTTAAGGGGCGCCCTATACAGACTAGGCAGCCCGATCTTTTGCAGGACAATTATTCGTCCATTGAAGATACGAGTGGAAGTTCAATCGTTCCAACATCTACACCGAAAACCTCAACAACTCCGCAAGACTCAACTCAGACGAATGCCGAGCCCGAAGCTGAGTCTGGTCAGGTCTGGAAACACGAGTCCTGGGTTCACATCGATGGGTTTCCCGCGGCAGTACAGATTGGTCGTGTCCCCCGGCGCGCATTGGGATTCTTTCCACGAAGCCGTCGGAAATCCCTATGCTATAGTGATACCGAGCCAATGCGTGGCCGAGAGCAGACACCAACTATATCCACGGCATCTTCGCCATCAAGCGTGGGTCCGTCATATTATAGAGATCATACAGAAGATCGGCTTCATCATCCGGGTTCACCAGCGTCCCGAATTCCTGACAGATCCAAGCCTGGCGGGCGGCATAAACGCCAACAAAGTGGTCTAGAGTTTTCGGGGACAGGCGTTGGCACCCTTGATCGCAGCGCCAACATTCCCGGGCCAGCCATGGATGGGCTTAGCAAGTTCTTCGCACAACACCTTCCAAACCTCGCGCCAAAACAACCCTCTCCAAACTTTGAGACTCTCAGCGGAAATTCATCAACCGTGCCCTCCAGCAATTCTACGAGTCTTGATAGTATAGGAGGTGCAGTCGAGGGCTGGGTCAGAAAGATGACAGCTCGCGCAAAGTCTGGCCTAAGCGATCTACAGCCGATTAATTCTGCTTCGCAGACCATTGACCCCAGCCAAGATAATAGAAGGAGAGGACTGGGTGACCTGATAGAGCTTGATGATGGGATGGAACCCCGGAACTCATCAGGTCTACTCGCAGAACCAAGTTGGAAGCCAGACTTTGGACGCTCCGTTTCAAACCTTGCCAATGGCTCGAACCTGAGGGAACGGTTTCCGAGTGCTTCGCCCAGCACGAGCAGGACTCGTACGGGACAGGACAGGTTCAAGGACGATTGAACCATGGAGAATGCTATACCATGCACATCCCCACCAACACCTAATACCCATGTTTGATACTTGCTTTTCGAAGATATAAACCCCTTTTACGCTTCACGCATAGCACGGCGTAGCAGGACCCTGCTTTGGTCTCTTTTTCCTTTGATGTCAGGATATTTGCTTTCTGCGTCTTATTTTGTTTATTAGATTATGATGGTTGCCTCTGGCTGCCTCAACAACTTCCTCCTTGTGCAGCATGATCTTAATGCAGGTTGAATCTATGGGTGGCCGCCAGCCGTGCCACTACTGAAGCGTGTACGCTAGCTAGAATAATGCCTCTTGTATTTCTGTCGGTCTAATAAGCGTGTTCAACAAGCAACCGGAGTCTCCCACCTACAGCTTGAACCAGCTGCAGATCCGGACAAATTCGATCCCCGCATGAGGGAACTAGTGAGGGCCTCCGCATCGCATCCCCAACTTCTTCCACCTATAATCTCCCTCCGCACCCAGTCCCCCGGACGAAACCCTCCTTCTTTCATAACCTTCATTTCATCAGTCTCGTCGAAATCGGTCTGTCAACTGGCGGTCTCCGGCTGTTCCCACTTTTCCCCACCGACACTCTTAAACACGGCAGCAATTCAGCCAAAATGGCGGGGATCAGCTATGATATAAGAACCCTTTGGATCGCCATCTTTTCCTTTGTACACGCCACAGCCATAACAAATATCATAGCCAAGTACAAGGAGATGCTAGGAAGATGCGCTATCCTTCCCTCTCAACACTCCCCTGGCTCGCCGTCCTCCCTATCGGAGGCCTGTCATCAGAGACCCACGCCTCAAACCCTCATCGTGACCCAGCAGTCACACTCCCCAACGGACCTCGGGGGAGAGCGACCTTCATCGGCCGCTCTCTCCCGGGATTTGACCAGGAACTGTTCCTAGGCATTAAATACGCAGATGAGCCCGTTCGGTTTACACCCTCAACCTTAAAGACAGTCTATACCACCAATGACAGCGACTCTGGCCCTGTTCGGTCTTCGTCTGCGCAGCGGGCTGTTCTCTACAATGCCACCCAGTATGGCTTTGACTGTCCTGGGTACGGGTCTGACGAGACAAATCTTGTGGAAATGGGATTGATCCAGTTGAGTGAGAACTGTCATAATTTGAATATCATTCGACCTGCGAGAGACTCAAAAGATGATGAGTTGCTTCCCGTTATGGTATGGATATTCGGGGGTGGGTGGCAGCAGGGTGCGACGGCTGATCCAAGGTGAGTGCGTCCTACTAGAGGAGCAACCCTGGCCCAAAGAGAAACGATTGTATAAGCCAGAAGCTGATTGACGAGTATAGGTATAATATGACATATATAACCCGTCAGGCCGCTCTCAATGGAAAGCCAATCCTCGGAGTCTCGATCAACTACCGAGTCGCTGCTTTTGGTTTTCTGGATTCGGAGGAGGTTCGCGTGAGTCTATCCTATTTATATTCTATGCACACGAATACCCCTGCTCACTCCTGGCTAGGCTTCCGGGAACAATAATCTAGGCCTTCTCGACCAGCGTGTTGCCATGCGCTGGATCCAAAAGAACATCGCAGCCTTTGGCGGCGACCCAGACAAGGTCACGATATGGGGCGAGTCTGCGTGAGTTCGCACCCTACTGTATACAAGAAATGGAGTCTGATAAGAGCAGAGGTGCCTATAGCGTCGGAGCTCATCTTGTAGCGAACAACGGCGATAACGAGGGCCTTTTCAGGGCCGGTATGTACCCTCACGCAGTAATCCCCAATCCACTGTTTGGGCAGTACTTACCATTAATAGCAATTATGGAGTCAGGTAACGCAGTCGGACCACCCTGGAATGGCACAGACTGGCACCAGCCGATGTACGACCGCATCGTGGACGCAGTAGGGTACGTGTCGTCGCAACACAGTTATATAAACAGTTGCTAAACAAAGTACCGCAGATGCTCAAACTCCTCGGACACACTCCAATGCCTCCGCGAAATCCCCTTTGATACGCTATACGCTGTTGCCTACGAGGGGCTCGAATGGTTCGCCGCCGTCGATGGGGAATTCATCAAAGAGTATCCCCAAATCAGTATCACGCAGGGTCGACTCGCCAAGGTACCTATCCTTCTCGGAACGAATACAGACGAGGGCGTTAGCTTCGGCACTACGGGCGTTGATACAGATGAGGAGTGTATTGCGCAGCTTATTTGTATGCCTTTCTTTTCTTGACTAATTCTCAGTCCATTTCTTCCCAAGCGAGAAGGCCGATAACTAACATTGAACAGCCTCTAAGCGCTGGGTCCTCACCGAGGAGCAAGCAATGGAGCTCATAACATATTACCCAGATGATCCAACAGTCGGATGTCCCTACGGCTGGGGAAACGTCACCTGGCCCGCACGAGGGCTCATGTATAAGCGATATTCGTCGATGGCCGGCGATATTACCATGGACGCACCGCGACGGCTTCTCGCGCAAACTATGGCGCAGTATAAGAAGGACGTGTACTCGTATCGGTGGGACGTATCAGCGCTCAACGAGACGAGTAATATCGGCGTTAGCCATTTTGCAGAGGTGCGCGGCCAAACCCATGCTCGTGCTTCAACAGGAGCCCAACACCAAACACGCAAAATCAGGGTCGAGACTAACCCTATACTCTTGGAAAACAGATTCCCTTTGTTTTCGCAAATCCCGTTCAAAACTTCACGAGGCTAGGCGACGACCCTGCCCGTCTCGAACTCGCGAATCTCGCCGCTCGGATGTGGACGTCGTTTGTGGTGGATCTAGATCCGAATGGGCATGGCGGTGCGTCCAGAAACCTTTCTTCGCATATATTATAGTGATATCCATACCCTATTGGATTCTTCCTGTCTACTAACTCAACCTCTGTCTACGCAGTCTCCGACATCTCCCAATGGCCTCGGTACCCATTCAAATCAAGCTCCACCAAGGTCCAGCCCTCGAACTTTGTCTTTCGTCTTCCGAGAGATCAGAGCTATGTTGAGGATGATACTTATCGCGAGGAAGGGATGGCGTACCTTAATACTATTTCGCGGTAGTCCTCCCAACGACCTACTTGATGTGCCTATACATAGGGCATGTTTGTCAGTATGTGATCCATCATCACCCAGCAAAGGAACCGCTGGATAAATAATGTCATTTCATGTCAGAGGAAACGAGAGAAACAACAACTAAACACATACATACATGTTATAGCACCAAGACTCCATGCAGACTTCGCTATCTGATATCCATCAGGATTGAATGAAAGCAACAAGTACAAGCAAAAGGAATAAAACCAAGCCAAATAAATCACGATTCAACACCATCCGTCAAGCTCAATTCTCCATCTTTGCTCGCTTACGCTGCACGCTCTGATTGATGCATACTCCCTGCCCCATCCCATCCAAAACACCGATATACAAGGACATTCAAACCTGAAAATGCGCGCTTTTTCCACTCCAAGCTTCCCATACCACGCTACCTACCGCTCTAGCACTCAACTCATTGGCTTTTGGCAATAATCTTCTTCAGCTCGACCTCGCTGCCACTTCCGTCAGAGTCTTTAGGCCTTGCAGAACCAGGGGTAGAAGAGAAGACAGAAAAACCTACAAAACCAGCCCCGAGTCCGGAGGGATCAGCCCAGGGAATCCCCGGGGGCCGTAGCCGTAGTCACTAGAGCATTCGTCAGTATCACACCCGGCGTATCAAGCAGTCATGCCCTTGAACCGCAAAGGCAACCTCACCTCGAAATCGTCAGGATCGCCTTTTCACCTAGAAACATTTGCTGTACGCCTTCGTCCCATCCTGCCACCCATACAATGTTAATTAACTCAACATCTCGGGGCAGGCATTTGAAGTAAAAGCGATAGAGTAGTCCCACTCGCTCTGAGGCCCTTTTCCCAGCGACTAAACACAAAAAAAGAGCGAGGTAAGTCCATACCCTTAATAACCTTCCCAACACCAATCTCCGTCTTCAGCGGGCCACGACCCGTCGATGTGTCGAATCTATACAATACACCTATCCGTTAGCTCCAATATCCTACCTAGCAGAAAAATACACCCCATGGCTGACGAAGTTTGAGGGGAGAAAGGAAGGGGTTAAACGCACTGCGTCCCCATGCAATAATTATCTTGCCTCGACTCATCATACAGGCATCCGCGATACTCAATGATAACCGTGTCCCCTTTCTTCGGCGAGTCTCTGCCGTTGCCGGGGACGAGGATTGTTTTTGTGAAGCCCATTAGGATCGCGCGCCTCCCTTCTTTCTTTTGGTTCTGTGGGTTTTCCGGGGTATAGAGATGGAAGGAAGTAACGGTGGGAAAGATGGGGTAGAGGGGTAGGGATGGCTGATTAGAAGTAGAATCCCTGGTAAGTTGAGTCGAGTAAGGAAGTGGGGGGGAGAGACTACTATAGTAATAGTGTAGTGTAGTACGGAATGAAGCACTGACAGGCGATGGCGGATCCAGGAGTAGTATTAACTTATAATATGAGCTGATTTGGGTTGGGTTGCGCCGGGCTGGCTGGGGAATAACGTGGGTGTATTAATGGTGCTACAAGCCTGCTAGTAGAAGTAGAAACCACCAGTAGTACTGCTGCGTCTTCCGCAACTCGCCATAAATCTCGAGCTACCAAGCCCGTGAACAAGTGAATCATGATGGAATTGTTCGCTATCTCTCCAGAAAAGCAGAGGAGCTCTGACCCTCTCTCATCGTCGGTGCCCATCGCAGCTCGCCAATTGGTCGGTTGCGCTGTGTATCCCACTGCACTATCCCCCCTCGTCACCCGTGGCATACCGAGTTATATTAGTCTTAGGTCCTTAGGTAGAGAAGCGGTGTTCTGGGCACAGTCTGGTATCAATGCAGATTGGATGTTTTGCCGTTGGTTGGTCCGGCGCCGCCGCTTGCAACGGAAGGATCCGATTTCGTGATTCTACGGTGTACGGACGCTCCAGATCCTGGCTCTTGAAAGAAAGTGGGTCGAGGATTTGGAGCGTTGCGCAGGAGGCTGCTAGTTAGGTACATTCCTGGCGTTCGGTTCCAGAGTTTCTGAGGTGCTGGAGAAAGGTACCGATGAACTACTGTACGGAGAATACTACCGTTTGATCCAGGTCAGGGCTAGCTAGCTTCCTTTCTCCCTCCTCCTTCTTCTTCTTTTATTTCTTTACGCCTTCCAGAAATCCATCTCCTTGACCTCGTTGACAGCCACGGACCTGACCACCGTACGTGGAAAGCGGGGATCCACCGGGGTGCTTGTCTCACCATCCGCGAGATCGAGATAATGCAACGTCGAGATGCCCACTTTGTCGACAAACTCCAGCACTCGGTGGTAGTTCAATCCAACTTGATCCAACCCGTGACTGTCGTCGGAAAGACAGAACCTTCCTCCCCGGGCCATGAATTCCTGTCCACGTTCAATCAGAACTCTATCTTGCATCCCTCTCCTTTGCACATGACCCAGCAGATCCCGAAGACAACTCCAACAGATACAAAGAAAAGGACAAAGTAAGAAAAAGAAATAAAGAGACTCACCTGGCAAATCTCAGCCTTGGGATAAGGCTCCCTCATCCCCTTGCGCAGCGCCGCAGAGTTCAGCTCCAGCAGTCCCCCATACCTGGCCACGTAGTCGAGGTTGCGCAGGATCCGCTCCCAGACACCCGCCCACTGCTTGAAGCTCCGCTCGGGATCATCGCTCTTCAACCGAATGAGATCGAAATGCCCGACAACCAGCGGCCTCAACTGCTGCAGCATATGCAGCTGCTCGTCAAAGTACGCCTCAAACAACCGCTCATCCGACCCACCCGCCGCATCACGCGCCTGCTCATACATTGCGCGGTCATAATCAATCGGCACCGTCCGCGTATGATGGATTGAGCCCATAAAGAACTCAAATGGCAGCCGGGCCAGCGACTCGTCGATCAGCGTCTCCGACTCTGGCCGGATCCAGTCACACTCGAACCCGATCAGTATGCGGATCTGGCCGGCGTACTTGTCCCGTAGGCGCTGCGCTTCTGCGAAATAACTTGCTTCATTGGCAATCATCCATGATTGCGTCTGTTCGGCTTCGATCTAGACAGTACCCACCCAAGCACCACACACGTGTTAGGCTGAAATTAGCTCCTTAAAAAGATACGAAAGTTACGGGAAAGATTGGGAAGATGGGGGTACTTTTGTTTCCTCAACTCTTCAACGTTGCTTTTCCCCCTGCAGGACTAGCGAGTTCTGCTCGGGTATGGGGCGGAATGGGCATGGGAGAAGAAAGAAAGGGAGGTTACCTCTTCCGGATAGTAATCAGCTTCTCCGCGGGGCATGTGCTCGGTCAGGCAGAAAACGCGGAACTTTTTGGCGATGGCCAATTGGACGACCTCCTCAAGGGAGTCCTTTGCATGGCCAGGGCAGAACTGGCCTGAGTGGCTGTGGTGAGAGAAGGGCATTATTGCAGCTGCGCTTTCTCTCTGAGGGATATATGGGACTGGAGCTGGGCTGCAGTTAGCTGGTTGATTGCCGATAAACGTGTTTCAATGATAACGATGCAGGTTAAGGATGAGAAAAAGGGCGGTATCATGCTTGGTTCGACCAAGGACAGACTTACAAGGATGATCGGAGGGTTGCCCCGCGTAGAGATAACGATTCGGACCGCGAGGGCGAGTGAAGGAGCGGTGAGCTGAGAGAGATAACAATATGGGATACGTGTTGAGTTCTAGTTCATTGTGAGATATTGAGGAGGAAAGAATAGTGGTAAGGTGAAGGTTGAAGTGCAAGGCAAGAATGTTCGTGGAGCTGATTGTTTCGCGGGAAATTTCCGCCGGCTCCGCAGTCTGTATACAACCACCCCAGTGGAGGTTTATGACTACACAACAAAGGATCAAGAAGCATAAACTAATTTAGTAGTATGCATTGCTTATGCAATTAGTAACTCTACCTCCATACAGTGCAGGTCCATGCAGTCTATGCAGTCCATGCGTCGATCAACGCCATCTCGAAGGAGCTTTAGAGGGTCCGACCATATTCCTCGGATCCCAAGTAGTCGCTCGTTCTATAGAGGGTAACTCCAACCTGGCCCAGGCAGACATACAGCTCAGCGAGTACATCTCAATAACCGTGTTAATAGCTGTGGCAGTAGGATAGCCTCGGCGCACGATGTGGTAGGACGACCGTCCCAGCAGGCACAAACCCAGTAATGAGTAGGCGAGCTACGAGCCTCGTCATACTCTCAATCGCCTCTCCGGTGCAGATAGTAATCCAGTCCAATCCTCTCAATCCCTCACTTCATCCCGCCGCCATAACCACGGCAATCACATACTCCCCATCATGCGATATTGACAGCCGCCCAAGCCGCCCCGGCCCATCCCCATCCCGATCCAAAAACACAATCTCAGGCCTACCCTCCGCATCCTCACTCTCGTTAATTTCTCGGCCTTGTCCTTCAATCGTCCCTTGTCCCCGTCCAACCCTAACAACAACATCCTTCCACCCTAGAGCACTCGCCCCACCCCTCGCAGCCTTCCTCGCCGCCTCCTTCGCCGCGAACCGTCCGGCGAGATAGCGCGCCATGTCCGGTGTGATCCTCACCTCCTTGCCCTCCGGATTCGCATTCTTCGCTGTGCGTAAGCTCGGCGATGGCGGTAGCGGTAGGGATTGAGGCTGCGGAAGCGCGAACCGGGCTCGGAAATCTGCTTGCTCGGACTCGGTGAGGATGCGGCGGGTGAAACGCGAGAGGTAGCCGCCAGGGCGGGTGATGAGACGGTTTATGCGTGGAAGATGGACGATGTCGGTACCGATGTTCAGGGCGAGGGGGAAAGGGAGTGGTGGTTTCATGGTGGGATAATTGGTGTCGATAATTTGGAGCTTCAGTCGGAGTTGGAGCTTGTTCTATTTGGCCTTGGGAGGAATGCGAAGTACTGACTAAGCAGGTTTATAGGAAATGCGCCGTGCAGATTAGAATCAATAATGGTCTTTCAAGGTTTGTGGACCGACAGAACGCTAGGAGGATGTAAAGCCTACGGTTCTACAGGTATAAAAGTGTGGACCGCAGCCTTGGTGCGCACTCGGTCCCGCTAATACTCCGCACACTACACGTATCAACCTCACACTTGGCGGTGAAAGCGAATATAGCCTTCTAGGTGTATACCTCTCTATATGTACAATCCAGACTGGCCCACTAGCTCAATCGCGCTGTCCGCCAGCGAGCTCAATCCTTCAAAGACTCTGATCCCAGTCGGGGCTCCGAATATGCAATCGTAGGTCCGATTTCTAGGAACACGCTATGGTTTTCGAGGATTGATCAGGTCGTCCTCCACTCAGATTAGCTACCGAGAGGATAGCTTAATGTCCAGCCTTCTTATCCTCCCCGTTCACTTGTTTCAGAAAGTCCCTGGAGACGATGTTAGTCCAATTGCGCGTGTAGTTGTTTCCTCGGGATAATTGCATGTCGAGAACGTAGACATCATGTCCATATATTCCGTAGTGGGGTGTAACCGGGGTAGGCAGTGTTGACATACTGAATGAAAGTCTCCTCATCCTTGGACTCAGCCTTGATCGGAGGAGCAGCAGGCTTGGGTTGGGAGCTGCCACGGGTAGCAAGGTAGACACCACCGAAGAGGGAGCTCAAGATACCGAGAGCGAGCTATACAGAAGAAAAAAATTATATCAGCACTCGGCTACCTTGCTATTTGCTCGGTGGATCTCGGAGCAAAGGATGGAGCCAGGGGAAGCCAGGTGCAAAGGCAACATACGTGGTGGGAGCCAACTTGGCGGCCGGCAATCGCGTAGTACTGAACCATGATGAAGATTGAGGACGGAAGCGTTTCTGAATGAACGGTCGAGGCGAGTGAAGCGGTACGAAAGAGCTGGTTCTGCGGGAGTCGTCCAGACGGCGGCGATGGAAGTTGCGGCGGGTAACGGGCTTACCAGATATGGTTAAGACTATGTATCAGCTGACCTAGCCAGTCAAGTCATAAGTGAGTCAGCGGGAATGCCGCTTATGTACATAATTCGCGCACCACGAGGTCCGTCTATGATTCAAGTTGTACACGTGATAACCCGATCGTTCCCGTTGTGAGATGACGTCGGGAAAATGCTGAGCGGGCCTGCGGGTGATTCTCACAAGCACCGAATTACGGAGGATTCATTTCCAACAGCTGACGCTTCGGGATAGAGGTGGCGTCGCCTTGGACTCTGGCAACTGCATCATGTTGGGAGTCAGAGCGAGGAATGTGACCGAGAAAGTGAGCTCTTCAGCTCCGCAGCTCCCACAGCGATCACTGCATGACACCACGAACAGCAAAGGGCCAGTGAAACGCATATACCGAACCTCGGGGGAAGTATTCTCTTCCCTGGCTGCGTCGGGTGCTTTTTACGGATGGCACAACTCCGTGCGGAGGAAGGAGGCTGTACCTAGGTCGTAGTTTAATATATTTTTGGAGACTTCTTTCCTTCTTACTTCTCACTTTCCTTTGTTGCTCGCTCAGATCTACACACAGCATTGAACCGACACCTCCGCTACTCATACGAATACTAAAGTACCACTACCATCACACCATGCTCTGGGGAAGCCGCAAAGAGGAAGTCCCCAAGGAGGCTCCTCAAGAACCCATCAAGCGAGGCAAACTCTCGCCGCAGTTACAGAAAATCGTCGATCGCGACGACCAATTCTACGACGATGTCTATAGCCCATAGTATGTGTCTGTCTTTCATCTTATCTCAGTCTCCTTCCTGTCGCGTGCTCCACCCCCGCAAAGCCACTCTCCGCAAACTCATCTTCCTGCATATCTCCAACCTATTCTGAAGCTTCAAAGAAAGCCAGAAAGACAGGAGCTAACACAATTCAGCTCCGTCGACTCAACCGACACACCCTACCGCTACGCCGGATACGCAAACCGCCTCCGCACTCTCCTCCTCTCCGCCCACCGCTACGTCGCCTACACATCCGACATTGGCGAGTCCTTTCGCCCAGTTGCCCACCCCTGGCTCGTGCGCTCCGCCTACGGAATCTCCTGGACATATCTCATCGGCGATGTCGCTCATGAGGGATACAAGGCGTACCTGCGGAACCGCCGCGTCCTCGCGCCACCATGCGAGGCATACAAGGACTCCTCCGACCTAACACACCAGCAAATTGTCATGGGAATGGCGACAGGGAATGTAGCAGGATCGTTGACGTCGTCCTCGCCGTCATCTAGCCAAGGCGAGAGCGAGACGCTGACACCATGGCCGTCGGCACACATCCCGCTCATTGAAGACTACCGCCTCATCATGGTGAAGCGCGCTGTGTTCCAGAGTGTAGCAAGTATGGGACTTCCGGCGCTGACGATCCACACTGTGGTACGGTATAGCGGGCGGGCATTGAAGGGGTCAAAGACTACGTTTATGAGGACCTGGGTTCCTATCGGTGTATGTGCCCCTCTCCAAACGGCTTTTTTGTTTGCCGGTTCAATCTCATATTGACAAACAACAGCTCGGTCTCTCCGTCGTCCCGTTCCTCCCCTACATTTTCGACCACCCCGTCGACGAAGCCGTCGACTGGCTCTTCCGAACTGGTATCCGTGCTTACGCAGGCGAAGACGCCGTCCAGCCTCTCCCGCGGCACTCGGAAGTCTCGGGTACAGCAGAGGCTCATGACGGTGACGCGACCTCACTAAGTCACCTTAAAGTCAAAGTCCAAGACGCTGTGACCGGGGGATCGAATGGAAGAGTCGCAGATTCCAGCTGGGAAGAATACAAGGCTGAGCTGCAGCGCGCCAAGGAACAAAGGAAGCTTGAGCGTGAGGCACGGGGGGAGACCGGCATTCTGGCGATGCTCGGATTTGGGTCGTCGAAACCAAAGGATAAGACGGAGTGAATAATTTCTCAACTGAGTGAGGAAGGGGGAGAAACAACAATCGGGAGAAGACATGAAGGTGAGGAAGCCGATTTTCAGATCACTCGACTTTTATCTTTCCTAATCACGGCATGTACACACTTACACTTAGCGCATTCTCTTCTCTGGGGGTTTCTTTTGTTTTATGGAAGTCGGGTGTACTTTATCATCCCATTCATTTCTGGTGAGCTTACAAACTATATTACATTCGGGGCATCAGAAATACAGGCATACAGTTGCAAGGAGTGTCCAAAGATCAGAATAATTGAGAAAATTTACATCTATTTCGTTCAAACATCCATGGTCGAACATGGCTCGTCTCTTTCTACTTACTTCACTTCACTCACTATACAGCTGGACAAAACAAAAAATCTGGTAAAAGGATGGAGTCGGATCAAGGAAGAAATGGATGAGAGTCTAGCAATGACATGTGCTCGTCACAGATACCTGCCACCCACCCAACCATCAGAAGGAGAATAAAGCATGATATCCCAAAAAGAGGTGTTTGAATGGTGATGAGAGAATGATCCGAGGTGTGTATGGTCAGGTCTCTGCGCGGTCACATAAAGGAAGGTAAGAAGAGGATAAAATCAGAAAACAATATGGGGAATAAAGTAGAAAGATAAAAAAAAAGTATGTAAAGGTGAAGAAGAATGGTGACGTGCGCTGAGACACCTCCAGGTAGAAAGTTTGAAAATACAGGTAGAATGCCAATAATATACCAACTGATACATCCCACGGACAAGGGTAAGAGAAGCAGAGACCTTTGCTTCTTCCATCCACTCTTTCTGGGCTATCCTGCACGGCTCTGCCTTGACCCAAAACCATGCGTTTTACTTGATATAGTGTTTTTTTTTCTTTGGGAGGCCAGCGGGCTTAGTTCCAGCCCAGAGAGTTCTCAGCCATCACAGGAGCACTGATCATCTGGGTGCGTTGGCTACCACCGCTACCACGAGAAAGACGGCCACCGCCAGTGAACAGGGAACCACCACCCTGGCTCATCTGATCGGCCGTGGAGCTGGTGCGGCGGTGAAGCTGGCGCTTCTTGCGGTAACGACGAGCAACCCAGAACATACCAGCACCGTAGGCGGCGGCACCAGCAACAACACCAACCCCAATTCCAACAGAGCTGGCCTTGGTCGACCCGCTGCTGTTAGCTCCAGCAACGGAATCGTCGTAGCTATCCTGGTTGCTGTCAGCACCATTGCTGGTGTTATCGCCGTTGCCGTTATCGCCGGACACCGAGCTGCCGTACGAGTCATCGTACTCACCCACGAGAAGTGGGATAGAGGGATCGATCATGCCGAGCAACGTGGTAGCAGAGTTGTCGGGTTGGTTGTAGAGGCGCGAGATGGGGTTGTGGAGGAGCTTCCTTAGTGTGTCAACCTTGTCAGAGGGAATGTAAGCCTGGGCAACGGTAGCGATGTATCCGGTGGTGGCAGAGTTGTCATATGGCTGGATGGCGAACATTGCGATGTCGCTGGCCGCAGCCTCTAGGGCGTAGATCAAACCCTGAGGGATGTACAGGAAGATCTGCGAGGAGGACAGCGGGTGGGTCGCGACAAATGAGTAGCGAAGGGGACGAGTGAAGCCCAGCTGGATCAGGGTAGAACCAGCAGGAGCATCTGGAGCACCTCCGGCGGGAGAGATAGATCCAGGGAGCTGAGTTGGCTCAACAGTCGTAGTCTCCTCGGTAGCTGTTTCCTCGGCGGTGGGAGAGGGCTCCACGATAATGCTGGTTGGCACCCAGTCGGTGGGCTCAGCCGGGGGCTGCTGGGTGGTGGTCGTCGTCTCTGTGGCGGAAGGGAGCTCAGTAGTTGTGCTGGTGGAGGATGTTGTCACGGTCGTGGCAGGAGTTGGGCGGCCCGTAGACTCGACCGAAGTGGTGGGGATCAAACCACCAGAGGAAGACGAGGACGAGGTTGGAATAGCCGAGCCACTTGTTGCGGGGATCGATGTGGGAATGACTGGCGCGGAGGTCGCGCTGTCAGTAGAAGTAGGGAACAAAGTGCTGGTCAAAGTAGGCGGTAGAAGAGTCAAGGTGGAAGAAGAGGTTGGCACGACATCGGTGGAACTTGAAGTAGCCGTAGGGGTTGTCTCAGGAACGCTGACGGAAATTGTCGGCAGGATGTCAATCAAACCACCAGACGATGTGCTAGTGGAGGTTGGCTCGATCGAAGTCCCGTTGGCGGAAGTGGAAGTGGAGCTTGTGGTGTCAGGGAACAGGCCATCAAGCAATCCACCAGACGAGCTAGTTGACGTTGGGGTCACAGTGCCAGAAGTGGATGTGGAAGTGGTAGATGAGGAAGTATCACTGCCCAAGAGGTCGTCGAGCAAGCCACCGGAGGTCTTGGTAGATGTTGGGGTCGCGCTGGTTGACGAAAGAGCGGTAGAAGCCGTAGACGAAGTCTCATCGCCGCCTAGGAGACCATCAAGCAGGCCACCAGACGAGCTAGTTGCCGAAGGAGACGTGGTAGTGGTGGTGGATGATGTGGAATCGGTCGACTCCGAAGTGGTGGAAGACGAAGACTCGTCGGGGAAAAGCAGGTCAAGAAGGCCACCGGACGAACTGCTGGTGGTGGCGGTGGAATCCGAAGTAGTAGTGGGATCAGCCTCCGTCTCCTTGGGCTTCGAGGTAGTCGACTTGGTTGTGCTCGAGGAGCTGTCCGTAGTGTCAGTTGTGGTCGACGACGAACCACCAAGAAGGCCTCCCAGGAGGTCATCAACCAAACCACCTTCCTGCGTAGATGAAGAGGAGGTGCCCGTCTTCGTTGCAGGCTCAGAATCCGCAGTGGTCGTAGCAGTTACCTCTGCGACTGTTGACTTCTTGGTAGTCGTCGAAGCAGCGTTGGTTGCAGCGCCAGTCCTTGCGGTGCCTGTAATGGTATGCGTCTTTCCATTTTCGTCAACAGAGAGAGTGATTGGCACCACCACGACTTGCGGGCCTGGGTCACTGGTGGTCGTGGGTTCGGGAGATCCGGTATTGAAGAGGGATTCAAGCCAGTTGAAGTTCAAGCCATCCGAGTTTGAATTTTGGCGCTTGTTGAGATGCTTGTTCTCGAAAGGAACGTTGGGCCGAAGTGCAGAGACCAATTCAAGGCTTCCAAGCGATAGGGCCGCTGCCAAAAGAGTCTTTTGCGATACCATGGTGACTATCTCAGCGCAAGACGCTCAAGAAAGCGGGGAGGGGTCGTGTGAGACGGTAGATGTGTATATAAGGAGCGGACTGAGCAGGGGCTCAACTACGTCGGGCCGAAGTTCCAGTATGCAATGACTAGTTCGAGCGCTGAATTCGAACTTCAAACCGTTCAAAGTCTTAAAAGGCTGGCAGCTGTTGTCTCGGACAATGATGCTTTCGTGTTCGTCCTTTGTTCAATATTCCTTCCTTTTTCACCGATAGGGATAATGAGGCTGGCAGCGTTTCGCGTGGTAAAGAGCGACGAGGTCTTGGAACGGTAAACAAATGCGGGTGAAAGAGTGGCAGGGGAACAAAAGACCCCTTGAATTAAGTTGTCGAGCGATAAAATATCAGATAAACGAGTGTGATTGCTGTAAGGAGCGAGCGACGAGATCTAAAACACAGATCTGTCAAAAAAAGATGGCGGTGGTGAGCGAGGGCGGAGGGAAGGTTGTTATGTCTGGTACCTTTTTCAGAAGCTAGACGCGACCGTGGGAGGGCGTTTGATGCAAGGAGAGAAAAAGCAAGCGATGAATTGTCAGTCCCAGCGGCTCATTGACGTAGAATGAAAAACCAAAGACTGGCTACGTCAACGACAACACCAACGATGGCGAAAGCATCTGGCGAAAGATGAGAAGAGAGGATCGAGAGGGAGTGAGTGCAAATGAAAGTCTGTCAGACGGGCGAGAAGATTCAAGAGCGAGAGAAGGGGAGATTGAGGCTAAGCCACGTCCAGCGTCAAGGGGCAGAGGAAAGAGGGGAGAGTGGACAATGGCCTCAATGGTGGGCCGTGGCAATAATACCCCGAGCACTGAGCAGCCACAAAAGTGGGTTACGCACACCAAACGAGCCGGTGCATTTCCCTCTGGAAGTCTGACACCGCAATCTTTGTTTCTGCTACTATGAATAACTACGTCCTCCTGGTCGTACCTCTTTCTCTGCCATTCCGCCTCAGGTCGAGGCCGAGTTAAGCTGTTTCTTTCAAGTTCAGAGCATGTGTGCAACATCAATTGCGTACACTCATGCAGAGTCAGCGTCAAAAGAGGATCCAGCTCACGCTAGGAAAATGACGCCAGACAAGAGCCAATAGTGCAGAGTCCAACCGTTCGGTAAGATGAGCAGCCAACACGAGGCCTTGGAAGCTGCCGATACCCTCAGTCTTGGTCCTTGGGCCCGTCTCTCATCAGATTCCTTCGTCGACTTGCTGGCAGTTGGTGAGTTCTCGACCCATGATGAGATGATTTGGATCGACAGCGATCCAAGAGAGATTGGAGTGCCTGCGATGGAGACGCTCTCTCATTGAGTTGTCAGAAGATCTCTCTACCTCTTCGAACAAGTTCCCGGTCTCGAAGACTGTACAGTCGAACAAGACTCAAGAGCGCCTTGAAGCTGCAGGTCGGCCGGTAGCCAGGAGTCTGTGAAAGACTTGACAGCGACTTTTGACCTCTCCAGGTCTCACAGAGGCCAACGGCAAATCTCTCGCGAGTTCTGAGTTCTGGAATTCTGCCTGTTCGACTTCGAAGAAATCAACGGCTTCCTGAATCGGTCGCCCATGACAGGCCTTGCAGCGACGGTGCGAAACACCAACAGTCCCAGCCAGTGAGAATTGGCCATGTCGATCGATATAATTGCAGGCGCACATCACAATGAGTGTGGGCCTGAGGGCGCCAACCTCATTTCATCGAGGCCGAGACCAACGGCGTGGTTTTAGCACGCGTTGTTCCTGGATTATGTGGGGGCTTCCCGGTGCGTGCGCTTACTTGGATTCCCGTGGTCTCTCGCACCCAAATTGCTCAAGGAATTCCATCATGCTTTCGAGTCACGACTCAGTCGTCAGACTGCCTCCGTCTTGTCCTCGCGAGCTGGATGTCAGTCCGTTGATGAAATACAAATTTTATCAAATCCCTCCTCGGCAGGATCAGACGATTTTCCTCTTCCTGTTGCCGGGTCCATGGTGTTCTTCCACCAACTCAGCCCCTTTTCCTTAGACTGCTTAGCACCGGGCATCTGTCTCACCTCACTCCTCCGCGATTCCTAAATTATCTGCCGGGGCCGCTCGGTTCTCGCACCCTCGTCGAGCATCCTCCGCTCGTTTTCTGATCCTTCGAACTGGAGAGGCCTGGAAACCATGTGCGGGCTGGCTCAATTTGCCAAAGAATGCATTCCTGATCCATATGTGCCAAATCAGTCCAAACATTCTTTCCCTTGGGGGCAGAAACATTTCTTTGAGAATGCAGTCATTTCAATCCTCTCACAGAGAAATGTCCTGAGAAAGGTGGCATCACAGACATTCGCCTTCCCGAGGTGGTACTCCGTACACTCTCTGACTTGGGCAAGCATGGGCCAGATAGCCCCTTGATTCTGCTCCTCTTCTGCAAGCTCGTCACAACGAACACTGTTCAACCAATCCTGGTGCGATTATCTGGCTCCCCAAATCAATCACCCCTCTCCTGAAGACTTTTCAGAGTCCAGACTCTGACTGTCTGACTGCCCGGATCGGCAGGTCAATGCTCGCTGTGATGATCAGGAGCCTGAGGAACACGATCATCAAGCTTCGGGTATTGCGCAAATCTTGGTCCCAAGGGCGCAAACTCACATACTTGAAAGTCGTCATCCCAATCATACCTCCCAAAAGTCAAATCGATCTCTGCTGGTGCAAGCCCATGACCCAGTCCAACCCATCAGCTCATATCGATTCGCTGGCTCAGGAAATGAGACGAGGCTGCAACCGTGGCTGTTGTTTTGATGGATAACCTTCGCGAGTACCCGACGCTAAACCTGTTCCTGAACAAGCTCCGAGCTCCACAGCCAATAATGTACCCGCGGGACCCCCGCCAACTTTCCTCACAAGCCAAGTTGCTTTCGCTGTTGGCCGGTTTTTCTCCCATATACTGCTCTCAAACGAGGACAGATCAGCCCAGCAGAAGCAATATAATTGTGCTGTGACCGTACACGTATGTAGGGAGTTCCCCGATAACTCCTGAGATAATTCCTGAAAATGAGAGTAGCTTCCTTTCCCAAAATTCCTTTGCGTGACCATGCTGTGATTCTCGTGTGGTTGTCTTCTGGAATTTGGCAAGCGATCCGCTATCGCTGTCCGACTACATCGATGTAATTGAAGACGCTTCTTTTACTGAATTCAGGTTGTTCTTACGTTGATGGCCTATCGAAGCAACTACATACCAGTAAAAACCCACTAGTAGTGCGTCAGTCATGATTTGAATTCCATTCAACATGTGATCAACTCCATTCTTTTGGCTTGAGACTATTCTATTTACTGGAGAATCTTGGACTACAACATAAAAACCTTTACAGTTTACACTACATATTTGGGGGCCTCCCGATTTGATATCCGTTTTATCTATGTATCAACTCCATCACATCCGAATGTCCTATACCAGATGCTTAGATTTTGCACTTCTCCATGTTTATCTACAGCTTCGCCTTAACCGCGCCCGGATTTGTCACAAGCGCCGAACACTCAATTTCGACATCCGACCCCTGTGGCAACGTCTTGACAGCCACACACGTTCGGGCCTGAAAGCATCAAATGCGTCAGCCAAAACCAAGTGGTAAACAAAGTCAATATACCGTTGCGGCCCAGCTCAGGTGCAACGAACAGAAAAGACGGGAAATAGCAACATACAGGCCTCGGCTCCGGGAACACCTCAACATAGACCTCATTAACGGCCGCGAAATCCTTCATGTCAGCCAGGAAGATGTTCACTTTCGCGACATCGGCGAGGCTCGATCCACCGGCTTTCAGCACGGCGGAGAGGTTGGAGAGGACTTGTCTCTGTCCATAGAATATATATCAGCATTGCCCTCGACTCGTTTGGTAAATCACTCTCGCTTCTCTATTTTATTCCACGCATCGTAGAGCAGTCGTGTCTCGGAAGGAGATATGGACAGACAAGGAGTCGGTGAAACGTACAGCCCTATCCTTAACACTCCCCTCAACCATCTTGCCTGTCTTGGGATCAACGCCCAGCTGGCCAGAGCAGAAGAGGATGTTCCCAACGATGGTAGCTTGGTTGAGAAAGGGCGGGGGTGCGGGGGCGTCCGCGGTGAAGACTGGGATTTTCGACATTGTTATAGGGCCGGTTCGTGTCTGTTTTTTGTGCTGATCAAATGAGTAAGGGCGTAGGGAGGGAAATGGGCAGTTGGAGGTGAGTCTGAGGACGTGGGGTTGATTTATATGATTTTGGAGTTGTGATATGGAGGAAGTTGGAGTAATATCCTCAGCTGGTTTGGCCCCACTGATAAGAGGCAACGGCCATGGCTTATCTATCATTTCGGGGTGCGTTGGAGATGGCACCATTGTTTCAAGGCTTCAAGTATGGCAGTTGATTAAAATGTTGCTATACGGTATATCTGACGTCGGTCGATATCCGGAAAGGATCAGCTGGATAATCGTAATCTCTATGCCTACATTTTCGAGTTGAGCGCTGTCACCGTTATTCTCCCACCACCCCGCAACATTATATACATGCAGTTAGCCTAGCATTTTCTCTACAACATTGGTTGTATGTAGGCCAGTGAGCGCGAACTAAAGTGCCTCGAAGACGCGTGCTTTGCAGATGATTGCATCTCCGTTGGTGAAAGTTGATTTATCTAGACAAACACCCATCTTGAATAAGAGAGATGATTCTCTAGTTTAGACATTAAAATAAGAACAACACCCCAAAGTAGATTACCATACAAATTCTTCTAATAATATCCCTTTCACTTTCAGAAGTCCCTAGGCATTATCTAAAATCAGAGTATCTTGCTACATATTCTCGTTTTTCACCCTTGTTCTATGATTCTTTCTCAGATTTCACTACCACCTGTTCACTGATGACTGGATAATCTGCGCAATCCCATTCACTACTTCACATCACCACAGTAACACCCAGGTGCAAAGCATCTCTCATCTCTCAAATGGCGTTTACTGCGTCTTTTGCCTTTCCTTTCCCTTCCGCTTGCGATTTCTCCCACCCCGAACCCTGTCACAGGTATCAAGGACAAGATGGGTAAACCCAGACTGCCAGAGCGACTCAAGCCACATCGGCCCCTCTCCACAGTAGTCGAGGAGAACGAAAATGAGGACGAGAGCGAAGTTCAGAGGGATATGAGTGGAAATGGCCACGGACACAAAGCGAATGAGACGGGAAAGGGCAAGAAGAGAGATGTCGACACCAACACCAACACCAACATTAAAACTGAATATGAAGATGACGGCGAAGCTCTCCCCATTGAAATTGACGTTCATGGCCTCAAAGCAAAGGTTTACGCCAACTGTTCCGATGTCGATATCGTTCCTGCGCGGTACCTTGAAAAGGCGGATCGCTCGCGTGCGTTGATACCTATCTTGCCCTGCCAACACCCCCCCCCCCCACTCCCCAGTTCGTCATATAGAATCTAACTCTATCAACCAAGCAGCCCTCTTAAAACGCACACCGTGGATCTTCCGCACAGCGCGCGACGGCCGCACCGTAAACCTAGGCAAATGGTCGAAAGTGGACATTCGATACCGCGGCGTCTTCAAGACACTTAGGAAGGTACCACAGTTTACGAAAGGGCTTTTTGAGGATGATACCACGGGAGACCTCTCAAATGTGACATCGTCGTCGTCGCCATTTTCAAAGAAGGATAAATTCGACTTTGAAGAGGCGGCCAAGGCGCAGGGGCAAGTAGTTTATGCGCTTCTCGACGAGATCTTGGTTGCGTTGAAGATTCGGAGGGATGCGGGGGGATTAAAGGAGTATTTCTTTCTGCGGTGCGTTCTCAAACCCTTGTTCACTCTTCTTGGCTTGGACTTCGTGAAATCGGTTTTGGGCCATGGGCGATCTAGTATAAGGCGTACTGAATGTTTACTGACGAGGATATATAGTCCACGACTTCTCAACTGCCAACCAGAGTACTGGACCGGCTATCGCATCAAGCACAGAGACTCACCATTCACAGCCGGGTCTTTATCACTAGACTATGAGCCCGAGCGCAGAATCGCTCGTGCCGTCGTCCCAGTGTTTACTGTAGGACCCCGCCAATACTAATCCCACCTCTCCCTCTTCTCCTAGGGTTGGTTCGCTCTCAACTGACCATCACAGACACAGTCCCGTGGACAGCCCCTAACCGAAGCCCTAGAAGACTCGTTCAAGCTGCTCCTGGCCCAACTCCTCGTCCACATCCACCGCCTCTCCCCACCAGGCGACAAACTCCCAGACCAAGAAACCTTCCTGATAACACTGCACGGCTCGAGACTACATATCCTACGCGGTGTCTTCCCAGGACAGAAGACTTCAAGGCTGTGGTGTGGACGTCACAACCCACCACCCACGACCACGAACCCCATGACAATGACACCGGCCAGCCCCAGCACCCTAACGCCAAATCACCACAACGTCAATATCAACAACGGAACCGACCCTGAACATGGACTATCCCACAGCCACATAACCAACATTACCTCACGCTTCTACACAAAACTCAACCTGCAGCGCTTCATGGAGCAGATCGAATGGAACCAGCTTTCAAACCCCGAGAACGAGGCGAGTCCACGCGGATTCCAGATCCTAGCTAGCCGGGAGTACGATCTCTGGAAGAAGGATGAGTTCTTTGCCGCGGTTAGGCTTCTCGCTGCGCTGGCAATGTATCTTATGAGTGGGACGGCGAGGTGTGGAATCTTGCAGGATGTTTTTGCGCGGTGGCCCTACGATGAGGGGGATGAGGATGAAGATGATCTTGGGGGTGGGTGTGGGGGTAGTGGCTGGGCGGGGAGGATGGAGGAAGAGGAACAGAGGATCGTGGAGGAGCAGGAGAAGTTGCTTAGAGAGGAGGAAAGGAGGAAGGCCGAGGAGGATAGGAAGAGGGTTAGGGAGCGGGAGGCGATGAGGGAATCTGGGAGGGATCGTATTGCGGGGATTGGGGCTGGGGGTGGGTTTCGTCAGCCATGGTGGGATTGGGTTTGGGAGGACAAAACTAATGAGGGTCGTGTGAAGAATGATGATAGTGATGTTATTTTCCGGGGGCCTTGAGACCTTTCAAAATTTCCCCCAGGGCATGTAAACTTAGTACGAGCGAACAAGTAGGAATGAACAGGACTGAAGAAGTGAGATTGTTCCATCAAGATAGAGTGGAGAGCGTACCCAACATTGTCTGGTATCTTTTGAATGTACTATGTCTCCATGTGGCGCCTTTCCGACTCAAACTCCGTAAATGCATCTATACCCCAGCCATCCTTGCCGCCAGTGCGGAAGTATTCGACGACAACACCAATCGCGTAGCAGGTCCCTGCTGTGGCCGCCCCACCGATGAGAATCCGCCGCAGTACGTTGACCGTCCGAGATCGAGATTTCTCTCCCCTGTTTTTGGGTTCATCAGCACGGGGGAGCTGATTTCCAGTGTAGAATCCAGTTGGCTGCTCAGGTACCATGTCGGCTGTGCCGGAGTTGGCACTTGCGTGGCTTTCATGGTCCTTCATGTTCTGGTTGTTGTCTATCTCAGGAGCCTTCCGGAAGACAAGGATGTTATCTCCGCCTGATACAATCTCGTATCCTTCTGCACGCATCTTGTTGAGACTTGGTAGAAACTTTGCTGGATTAGCTAGGTGAGTGAGCACCTCGATTGGATGAAGATGCTCGCTGGGCGGTTGAAACGAGGAAATGGTTTCGGCTTCGATTACCCGAAGCGAGGACGGATCGTATGCGAATACGCGATATACCGCAGCTGGTGATGATTCAATCTCGAGGTTGGCATCGTCGCCTACTGGTTCATTCTGCGAAACCGCATGTGCTTCCTCATTTGCCTGAGTTGGGCGGGTTGAAGCTGACGATTCCTCCGATAAAGCCGGCATGGAATCATTGTAATCTCTTGAGGGCTCGCTGGTGTAGTTAGAGACGAAAGTTCCAGCAGACGTCGCGGACCAAGCAAGACCTTTATCTGCTTCAGCTTCTTCAGCTTCTACCTCGGACTTAATGCTCGACTTCCTGGGTTCGTAAATTGCCCTGATATCGCTTGCGCGTAGCGTATGAAGACTGCTATCTTCGTTATAAATCGAGGATTGCTCCTGGTTTGTGCTGGGAGAAGGTATAGAGAGCTCTCCGGCCCGTCTGGACAGAAACCCGACTCGGTCAAGACTCCATTTCTGCTCTTGTTGCCCCATTATTGGTTCTGGACTGGCTATATTGATGACGCTAGGCTGCTGGTTTGCATGGCTCATTTCGTCGCTTGGTGCGATACTGCTTTCACCCTTGACGGTAGGTGTTTGGGCTTCGTGTTGGTCCTTGTTCTGAGGAGTTTCAACGTGGGTCGCTTCACTTTTGGTTTCGGGGAAGGCAGACACGCTGTTCAGATCATTTTGAGCTGGCGCCAAAGTTGAGGTTTGATCATGAGGGGTATCGGCAACGAAGGCAATGGAGTTGTCGGTATCCTTTGAGGTAACAGGTGAACTCAATGTCGGTGCGGAACTCGAGGGCTCGGGCTGGGACGACGGATCGACTTCCTGTGCACTTGTTGATCGAAGCAAGATCTCCGGCGGCATTGATATATTTTCCGGGACCGGAGCTTTCTGCATTGACGCAACATCAAGCTGATGTTCCTGCGGATTGTCCTCATTCGATGGTCTGGAGGTTTGATGGTCACTCGAAACACCCAAAGACGTAAGATCGTAGTCCGTTGCTCCATTCGCTTGGTGCTCTAAATTCTTCTCGACTGTTCTAGGAGCCTTTTTAACCATCCGCCCACTAACCGGATCAAACTCGAACGTATCACCCCTCACACTCACTTCTGACATAGACCGAGGCTCAGCAGTTGGATTGATCAATGGCTCACCATAACCAGCCGAGCCTCTATCTGACTTTGAATTTTCCGCCTTGTCATCTACTCGCGGTTGCGATGAAGCCTTGGTATCCTTTTTAACTTCGACAAACCCAGAGCCCAAACCCAGGAACGAATTCCACAACGTCGTAAACGTCTCCTCTAGCTTTGGAAAATGAAGCGGCTTATGTCGTCTCCCGAACAAGGCCGCGTATGGATCGGCATCAATCTCCTTCTTGAGCCAATCCATGCGCTGCTGATGCCGTCTGCTCTGCTCGTTCCAGAAACTGTTCCAGTGGTTGTCAAGGGGCCAGTCTTCGGTGCGGCGTGTTTTGGAGTAGTTGTCGGTCCATCTGCGATTATGCCTCCCCCAGATGTCCCATTCATCGTCTTCTACTTGTGCTTTCTCGGGCCGGCGTGGATGTCTGCATTTTGGGTGACGGTAATGCTGGTATAAGATTCGGGAGTGCTTCTGCCTTGGTCTAGGGTCTTGTTCGTGGGTTGAGCACCACAGTGTGCGATGTTGATATGAGAGGCTTAGAGCTCGAAGAGAAGGATATAGGGCATGCGAGTTGGCTGTGCATGATGTCCCGGACAGCTTTTGTATGCTTGTCCGTGGAAGCGTAGGAAGCGTCATGGTTGGAATGGGATTGGCGATAAGATGCAATAGAGGACACTGATTAGGACCAGGCGGCCACAGGCCGTTCAACTCACATTGAACATGGAGCGGTAGATTGCTCAAGGACAGTCCAGGTGCGCATTTGAGATTGATGAAACAGAAAAAGCATCGTGCTTCGAGATACCTGATGGTTGAAGCGGTGATGGCAGATGCGGAGGCGGATCCCTTATCAGTGCGGGGTCAGCTGCTTCGGTTGCGTGCCTCGTTGCCTGATCAGTCATCTACTCCAACCAAAGATCCTGTTCAATCATCATGACGATAAGCGAGTCTATGTTGAGTGCATTAATCGTAACAAATCTATGGTCATCAAATCCAAGCTCAGATCTCATCTACTGAGACGGCCAAGTCATTGGGGTCGTCGGTTGGGTCGAAAGTAATGAAGTTGGTCCAGAACTTCAGGCCTTCAATGCCCTCCTCTCTACAGAAGATGCCCTTGTCCTCGGCCATCTCTAGCTCCTCAGCTGCAACCCCAACGCTCCATCCAAAGCGCTGAGCTGCCTCTTGGGCAGTCACCGGGCGCCCAAACAGGCGCCAATCCCAGGGAACGGGATCAACAGGCGGGATCTGGCGGAACTCGGCCATCCAGTCCTGGAGCTGTCGAAGTGTCTTCTCGTCGCTCCAATCATATCTCTGGACTACCAGGAGCCCACTTTTGAATCGACGTAGCCGAACAGGCAGCTTCAACTTTTCCCAGAGCTCAGCAGCCCTCTGAAAATCTGAAGGGCTTACCAGCTCGACCCCATTCCGCGAGCGATTGAAGACTGCCCAGAGGTCAATCAGACTCATGATGCCACCCTCCTTCTGAAGTACGCCCTTGCGGTCATCAGTAAGATACTCTGCTAGGTTCCGCGAGAGCTCAGAGAGGTAGAGATTGCTTGCGCTAGACCCAAGCATGTCTTTTGTGGTCACCATGCCCAAAGCTGCCGCAGATTCAGACAGAACAGCGGTAGTCTCTGCAGATGTCTCGTCACTGGCTATGCCAGATTCTCTAGCTAGGGTTTCGGCAAGCGCAACTATCTGTTTCGCCGATGCCATCAGAGCCTCGAGGTCCTCAAACGCATTTCCAATCACTACCTCGTTGTTTCTACGAGCTTCGAGTCCTCGCCGCTCCAGGCCTGCGATCCCAACTCCAGGTGACCGAGTCTGGGCAGGTGTGCCAACGCCAGTGGACACGCCTGTCGGATCAGGTGAGGATGTCGGTTTAGGTTGTGGCGGAGGCGGAGGCGCGTTATAGAGCAGCCATTTCCTCTGGATCAATGCGCCTTTGAGTCTTTCAAGAAAAATCTTCTCGCCGCCCCCTCGGAACGAGAGCTTTATGTGGTCGCTGACTTCGGTATTGCGAATGTTCCCCTCCTCAAACATCGGCGCTGGAGACTCTGCCCGAGTCTCCCCCGAGCCCCGTAAGGAATTCGCAGCCGGCAACGAAGCACCACATATCTCGCACTCTAAGAGGGACGGATGATTCAGGAATGTACAGCGAGGGCACGTCACCGAGCCACTTCCATTCACTGTAGCCTTAGACCCATTTGCCTCGCGCAGTGTACTCGGCCCTAGCTGGGCTACCACTGGACTCGCCGGGGCGCTCTCTCGACTCGACGCCGCGGCAATAGCTGCCTTCAGTATAGTAGTCAAAGGCGGTTTAATTCCACACGCGAGACAAGGCGGTAGAGGCGTCGCGTTGGTCGCAGTCGAAGCGTCAAAGTTAGAGGGTACCGGATTCGAGAACGAGCATATTGGACAGACCCATGTCGCATTCACGGGCATGGGCGGGGGTGGTGTCGTCGCTTGGGAGAGAGGAGCTTGCGTGCCCGCCAACTGTGTTCTCAAGGGTAGCGACCGCGACGGACTGGCGCCGGAGCTTCGCGATCGGTTCGCATTTTTCAGAGGCTTGGGGTACATGATGATCTTCGCAGAAGACTTGAGGAAACCTGCCTGGTATTCTGCCCGATCAATCTCCTTTAGGTCAATGCCGATAGAGTATTTCCGCGGCTCGTCGACCGCGACGTAGCAGACTCGGTGTGACGTAAGGTATGCATGGCCGTTCTGGTAGTTGGCGACCTTGTATTTGCTATCGAAAGAGGGAAATAAACGTCAGATAATGCAGTCCACGTAGCCTGTAAGAGAAAGCAAGGCAAGCAGAATGATTCCGACGCAGTAGCAGCAGGTGGGATGCCACTTACCCTTCGTACAACCCCACCGCATCCTGGACAAAGAGCAAAGTCTCATCGGGAAATAGAAGAGGCCGGAGCGCAGTGGTCAGATCCAGAGCCTTGAAAAACATCTAGAGACTCAGACGGCATTTCTGACCATTGGATCGTACAGAGAGAGATAGCAACCTCAGAGAGTCGTTGGTGTTAGTGGTGCCTTCGTGACCTCACTTGGCTGACATAAGGCGCAAGTGTAGGCTCATTCCTAATTAGGAATAGCCTTGCTGGTTCCAAGGTTAGTATAGATGATGACTAGATCTGACGGTCTATACAACTTGAACAACTACAAGCTCACTTCATAGTTGTTGATCTTGCACTCTTTATACAAATGTAAATAGCGTCATCTTACAGTTTGGCACCCTCCGTCCTCCCCAGCACCACCGCCGAGACCAACTTCGCAGCTGCCAATGTCTCCTCATCTCTGAAATGCTTCCCAACCAGCTGCAGCCCGATAGGAGCACCAGCATATCTCTCCGGGGTATACTTCTTCCACTCACGCTCATCAATCGCACTTCGCGGCTGGTACTCACTATCCCTGACAGAATCCAACGTTGGATCTACAATTAACCCACTCGGAAATACAACAGCGGGCTGGTCAAGGATATTCCAGATCGCTGTGTAGTTCCAGTAATGGGACTCCCCCAGCACGGCAGCAGCGCCGACATATGCGGGACAGAGGATGAAGTCAACCCCTCGTGATTTCATGAGCGCATGGTATTCGTCTCGATAGACGTCACGCTGAAAATTGAGTTCCCAGTTCTCGGCGACGGTCAGTGGCACTGAGCGGCTGTATTGGAAGGCCCACTCGGTAAGAGGGAGAATAGGCTCGCCGGTTTCTGCGATTAGGGCTCGCTGGCTGGAGGCTGCGTCGGGGAAGTAAAGAGAGGACTAGACTTTTGTTAGCAGGTATTGCATATGTCAGGCTTCAAGGGATTTGCTTACGATAATCTCCCACCCGTGAGCATGCTTGTAGGGCTCCCAATCGACCACTTTGATACCAGCAGCCAACAGTTTCTCTTGCGCATACAGTAAAGCCCGTGCAACCGGTGGGTAAGGTCGAACACACCTAGCAAAGTCAGAATCGAAACTAGATCAAAACAGATTCGTGAAGTACCCATCATCCCACATTATAGCCACCGTCATATCCTTCGTCGGGCTAACTCTCCTCCAAGGAGCCGGTACCAAGGATGTCTCAATATCCCACGGCTCCTGTGCTAGAGCTGCACGCTGAAACAGATCCAGATCCTCAACAGACTGACTTGCGAGCGGACCAATCACACCAAGAATGGATTCATGGCCTGGCTCAGGCAGCTTGAGCCCCGAACTCGGGTTTCGGCGTGCCGTCGGACGAAAGCCGTATGCACCGCAGAATGCCGCCGGGCATCTGATCGAACCACCGATATCCGTTCCAATACCAAGGGGGGCACACTTGAATCCCATTGATGCGCCTTCCCCTCCAGAGGAGCCGCCAGGGGTGAGAGTGCGATTGAAGGGGTTCAAGGTGGTTCCCGTGAGGTTGTTGCTGCAACAAAGATGCTCCTGAAGGTTGGCCTATATCTTGCGAATGGATTGGGCATGTTTAGACCTACCATGAGAGACTGAGGCTGGTTCGTCCGAACATGGAAGACGGCACCCGCTTTCGCTAGACATTGTAGTAGGAGAGCATCTTCCATTGCGATATCATCGACCCTATTCTCGTTAGCATGAGCCAGCAGCATGCTTCAGATATCTTACCAGGTCGCATAGCCTCCATTCAAGGTCAAGCCCTTGATTCCAATATGCTCCTTGACACTAATTGGAACACCGTGCTGCAGACTGTCAATACGATCACCCAGCTCCATAGTCCCGCAAACATACCAACGGTCCGATCAACTTCCCCGTTTTCTCAAAGTACTGATCCAACTCTTTAGCTCGTGAGATAGCCTTCTCAGCCATAAACTCCGTAGCAAAATTCAACTGCACGAAGATTAGTATCTTCATCCAACAGCGCGCCCGGACTATACTTCAAGGACATACCAACTGATGCCCTATAACAGCCTGCTTCAGGAACGCCACGACTACTTCCTCCGCACTGAGCTTCCCCTCTCCCATAGCAGCTACAAGAGCCGTAGCAGACATCCCCGTGATGGCGAGCTCTCTCTCGCTCAGCATCCCGCTTTTGCGCGGGAAATCAGTCACGTTGAGTTGTGTAGGAGGAGGAAGCTTGTCGACGGGGACAATCCATTGCTTTGGAATAGACTCTCGAAGGATGGATTGTGCTTTCAGAGCTTGGGTTTTCCAGATTGCTGCCATCATGAGTGTCGAGGTGAGTGGTAAGTAGACTAGAGTGCCTGGTGCTTTGTCCCTTGACGAGGTGTCATGCAAGAAGGAAGAAGATAAGATGCGACCGAAACTAAGAGGCAGAGAATGAATATCAACTCAAAATCAAAAACTCACACCCGCTCGCCGTCGTGGATACCTTTTAACAGCTCAAGACACCCGTCTCGGGGTTGAGGTAAGCAGATAGGCGATGTAGGTAAGTCATTCATCATGCATCTTCGGAACGAACCATGGGCTGCGACAGGTAGTTCCGTTGTCAAGAGACCGCATCAACCTTCCTATTCAAACGTGGCGCTGATAAGTTACTGGTGCTCAGATAATCAGTGGGGGTTGGAGAGGTTCTCCAAGTGGTTGATGCATGGCTCTCAGCACGATGGATCACCATGGAGTTCGCCTACAGGCGTTGAACCTCGGGATAAGCCATGGTACATTGATCAGCTTGGAGATGGAATGTGGCCCCTGCGTCTCCAGATGGAGCTATCTAGCAGGGTTAATGACCATGGAACAAGGTTGAGATGCGGGGATGCGTGCTGTGTTGCTCGGAATCGTTCCGCTCTTTAAACTCGATTGATTTGCTCCGGTCGATAACAATTTAGAGCGCGAAATAAGTACAACCCAGGAAAGAATGCCAGAAAAAAAAAAGCCCCTCCGCTTGCTACCCACAGCAAGCCAGTTCCTTGCATACAGCACTACACTTCGACTGGCACTGGCCAGCATCCTTTTGTATTGCGAGCCCGTTCATCTCCAACTGCTCTTGTGCATACCCCAAGACGAGGCGATTCATAGGGCCCGCCATCTCCGGCTGCACCGTCACTGAATGAATCCCATACGCGTGAAAACACTCCTGAATCGTCGTCACCAGCTTCGAGAACTCGGATACCGAATGGTCCTGGATCGCGACATGAACTGATGCAAGCACCTTGTGCTGGCTAAGGTGCCAGATATGTAGTTCATGAACTGCGAGGATACCAGGGATCTGGAACATGAGATTAACGCCGTGAGTTGATTCAAGGATTGTCTTGCCTACCTTTTCAAGATCATGCTTTACATCCGCAGGATTAAGCCCTTTCGGAGCGCTTTCCAGCAATATGAGACCGGATTGTCGGACTATAAAGCACAGGCATTGTCAGCTTCTGCAGTTTTCTACTCATCAAGTAAAGAAAGGACTGACGTACCAAGTGGAAGAGCGGACAATACAATCATAGCTGCAATTCCCATGCTTGTGGCTGGATCGGCATAGTACCTCGCCTCGTAGCTGGTCAGCCATATCACCAGGGCAGCAACGATGACTCCTAAATTGTTGGCGGCGTCGCCTATGACATGGAGCATGACGCCCATCATGCCCAGGTCGTGGCCGCTAAAGGCGGGGACTTCTTCGTGCTTAAGGTGTCTGTGTTCGTGGTGCTGTAACCGGGGCCGTGTTAGTGCTGGTGAACGCGGGGGCCTATTGGGGCTATGCAAACCTTTGCTTCGTTTCCAACCTTATCCTGCTGTTCGATATCAACTTCCTCCGGGTGGTGATGATGATGACCGTGGTCGTGATCGTGGTCGTGACCATGATGATGCTCTATACAAATCAGCCCAACTCATATCCAACTTGAAACCTCAGACGACAGATCAGCATACCGTGCAAGAACATCGCACAAATGACATTGAGTCCCAGCCCGATGCACCCAATAATAAGCATCAGATTCGGATCCTCAACATCTGCACATATCGCCCAATCAGCAAGTATCCTCCCGCTTAGCATTTCTCCTTCGGAATCTTCAACTCACGATGCAAGGTAATAAACCGCTCAATCGACTGCAGGAAGATACTGATCCCCAGCGCAAAAAGCAGACTCCCATTGAAGAATGCACCTAGGACCTGCGCGCGTTGCCATCCGTAGGAAAGCTCTTGCGGGGAACTTTTGCCGGTTGAGACCTATATGGATGGATTGTGAGTGGCCTCCTTATTGAGAGAGATGATAGCTTGGATAACAGGAGTCTTACCTTTAGAGCAGTGAATGCCACAATGAACCCGACGAGATCATTGAGCTACCCCCGTCTTGTTAGCATCTGTAGTCCCTCGACATTGTCACACCTCCGTCCACTTACATAGTGAAACGCGTCCGCAACTAGGGCGAGAGAATGAGTGTAGAACCCAACTGTAGCAGTAGAGTCAGCAGCCACCACGTTGACACCAAGTGACAAGAGAAAAACACACCCGAAATCTCCGTCAAGAAGAAGGCCGCCGAAATCCCAATTGCAACCATCAGCCGGCGCGAGCGCGAGCGCGACATTCCAGCCTCCGTTTTTGCCATTGTCCTATCCTTTTTTTGCCGTGTATTCTTTGCCTGAGTTATAACGCGAAGGTAAAGCGGTGCGAAACGGACTCGCCACGTTTCATCTCATATTCACCTCACAGTTGACGTCGAAGTCGATGATAAGGGAAAAGGCAAGTGACTGGCTGTCGCGGGCCATTCTTTGCTTTTCCCATCGTCGTGAATGCAAGGGAGAGCTGGCTAGTACCTTGTCCTCTGTGTAACTTGGCTGGAATGTTTGTCGGGGTGGGGGTGGTGAGATCAGCGGCATGTTGATATCCCGTGTGGGATTTCAGCGTGGACTGCAGACTTATGCGCGTCAAGATTGTTTCGAGGGAATATATCCTCACCAGGTCTAGTCCTGCTCAGCTGTCTGCGTGCCATGGGCCTGGATGTACCGAACCGAACCAGTGTGGAGTGAGTGTATGTATGGCACCGCATCTCATCCGTGGATCAGGTATGTGGCCCGATGTCGCTCACTATTTCGGAGTATTTGCTGTTCTCTTGTCGATATATGTCTGTGGAATGCCGCTCGATTTTAGATCCGGATACTCGCAGTCGCAGTCGCAGTCGCGCGATGCTGGCTGATAAATGCGTGTGGAAGATGAAACATCAACGACTTGTTTCTCCTTTCAGAAGAGGGCAAGAGCCTGGCCATAGTTGAATATTGCCTGCTGTCCAGTCAATGCATATACAGACCTGCAAACACGTAATAACTATACAGAGGTATATATAATTCTATCAATGTATATACAATTAGAAAACAACACAGGCGATACCAAACACGCACCAAGACAGGCAGGGCAATGCTTCTATACAAAAACAGCATTCTGAACAACCTGCAAAGAAATCATCACATACCACGCTCACAACAAACCAGCCGAACAATCAGCCATAGCCCTAGGGTATCGTAGCGGGGGTTCACATATTATCCTCACTCCACCGACTCCGCGCCTTAAGCCAAGCATCGTGCTCCTCCTTCCCCAGACCCCTCTCAACCCACTCCTTACTTCCCATCTCGGACAACCGCGACAACGCACGCGCAAAGGCAAAGCGCTCCTCATCGCCGCTGAAGATCGAGCTTGTCTTGAGCGCCTTCATTGATAGACCGAGGTCGTCCATCATCATGCGCATCGCATCGGAGAGGTCGGTGTGTTCGCCGCCGTCTTCAAGCGAAGTCTTGACTTCAGTCTCCGAGATGAAGAGGGTTGTCAGGGGGGTCTCGGTTGTGAGAACGAGCTTGGCCTGGATATTGTTAGTTCTGCTATATGGATAGAGGAGTGACATGCTGGGAAAGTGAGAAGCATACCCGACTCTCATAGACGGCGTCAATGAAGGTGATAAACCGTCTCGCCAAGTCCCGCTGGTTCAGCGTCATCGCAGGGACATCAGTGATGATGAATGCCTCGTAGTTTCTCACGAGCTCAAGGTAATCCGCTGCACCTGTTGCAGAGCCGATAAGCTGCTGGAAGCTGAACTTCGCGGCCTTCCCACTAGCGAGTGGTACTTGAATCTTACGACCCCAGACTTCTTGTGTGGTCGCGTGTGGAGGATCGTTGATCGGGTCGCCGAGGAACTCGAACCATTTCTGGGCGTGCTGTTCTGCTTCAGCGCCTAGCGGGTGGTGGTAGACGCCTGAGGGTGGTCGGGGGATTTTGCGGTAGTCTGTAGGGGAGTTGAGGTTTATTACGTCGAGGGCGGTTTTTAAGAGGTTGATGCAGGGAATGAAGGATTCGCGCTGGATACCGTTCTTGTACAAGTCATCGGGGTGACGGTTGGAGGTTGTAACGAGGACGACACCGTGGGACATAAGAAGTTCGAGGAGTCTGCGAAGCAGATTAGCATTCATACCAAACCGTATCATGTCTCGAGAGTAAACATACCTCCGCAAAATCATAGCATCCGCAACGTCCGTACACTGGAACTCATCAAAGCAAAGCACGCTCGACTTCTCGGCGATATCAGCCGCGACGAGTGGTAGCGCATCGAAATCATTCCCAAACCGCATCTTCACCACATGCATGCGCTTATGTACATCCTGCATGAAGTTGTGGAAATGGATCCGCGACTTGGACGAGATATTCGGCGGCAACGTATCGTAGAACAAATCCATCAGCATCGTCTTGCCGCAACCAACATCACCGTACATATACAGGCCCTTGGGTAGATTTTCCGGGATAGACGTCTCTGGCTTCGCGGGTGCCTTGCTGAAAAGTGAGCCGAAGAAGGACTTTTTCGGCGCCGAATCGAGGGACTCTATGCTTGGGCGGACAACGGATGGTGCGATATATGACCGAAGTCGTTCGTATAGATCTTGCAGCTGTTCGATGATTTCTATACATCGCCGCAGTGGCTTAGCATACTCTCCACCAAATCGAGAAACCATTTGAGTAGATCAGCCACTTACGCCTCTGGTACGGATCGTCCCTCAGCCTCCCCGTCTGCACCCTCGCATTGTACTCTGCCAATGGACCCGACTCCACCGCCGGCGCTTCATTCTCCTCGACCGCAGTGCTCGCTGCAGCAGTCGCCGCAAACCGTCTTGCTTCCCGGCCTACAGAGAAACCCGCATCCCACCGACCATGTCTGCGCAGAACCACGGGATTCGATCGAGATCGGTAAGACGACCTGCCGTGTAGATTTCTCCTGCAACCTACGATGTATGTTGGTCTGGCGGTGCGAAGCGCAACAGGATGCACTGGAACCCGCCTGGTCCGGAGTGCGCCAGCGATGTGGTCCGCGCAAAGCCTGCCGGAGGGTCCACTCATTGGGTATCTAGGTCGCAAGCGCTGTTGGTGCTGTCGTCACAAGTGCATGCACGGTTTATTGCTTCGAGAGGGCTGAAAGCACTGTCGTTATCGGATCGGGTGGGTTGCCCGTGTTTTCCACTTGGCCGGCCGGAATTCGTGATTTCGGAAGAACCGCGGGGATGGGAGGGGAAACGAACCACAGGACGGCGACTGGCACGCCGAACTCTCTTACGGGCTGACTTGGGATAGTGAAAGAAAGAATAATAAGAGTTCTAGGAAGAAGAACAACGAGGATTTCGAATTGCGGCCAAAGGTAATCACACGCCTCCGATTTGGCAGAGTCGAAGGCGAAAACGAACCGCGTCATTGCCGAAGGGCCGCCACGTGACTCGGAATCCGGCAACCACTTTTAGATCCGAGACGGCTTCAAAAAGTGGTCAGTCGAAGGTTCCATGGTTCCTACGTCAGGGACATGCGTTGAAAAGTGAAATGAGACTTTATATGCAGGCCAAATTTTATGTACAGATGAGAAACCGAGCAGCGCATGAAATCCACGTGAAAAGGGTATGAGGGAACAGAAACCAATGTACATAATCGCATCAACGTTCAGACGTCTCATTCTTGACATCCCAATAACCTCGTGATTTGACAAATATACTCATGAGGTTGGTGGCCAACAAACAATCCCAAACGCCACGACACCTAGTACCCAAACAGAAGAGAAAAAGTCGGGCTGAAGTAGTTATCAGACAAAAGAAACGGCAACGAAAGGTGGCAACGTGAGGTAAAGCGAGGGCGTGGAAGAACAGAGGAATGTCTATCGTAAACAGATTCTATGCGAGTCCGACATAAAGGGTGAGTTTTGAGTTTCGTTGAATAGCAGTATCGAGATCGCTGTCGCTGACGAGGTCCATGTAGGAGCCAGATGGCTCATCCTTGTACTGGATGGCGATATCTTCGTTAATCTTTAGGCGATCCATGAGCTTCTCCTTGAGTTGCTGAACATTGATGTCGCCGGGTACCCGAATGGCGATAAGGTCATCCTGGAAGAAGACCTTGACCTTGAGGGCCCCAGTGCTAGACGTGGTCGACACTTGTGTAAGCGAGCTCTGCTGGCGGATCATAGGTGGAGGGTTGCTATTTAGGTGTGAAGAGGTTGACGGTTGCGACCGCTGGTGCTGGTGGGAGGGTTGTTGAGTAGGCCCGTTCATCTGCTGTTGCGACGATTGTCTGGATGCACTGGGAGAGATCTCCTGGCCGGAAGAGTGGTGCGAGCCGCCGGAGAAGCGCGCATCTTCCCCAAAGGCGCTGGGGTCAATTTCAAAATCGCCGGGGCGAGGAGCGAAGAGCTGGCGGACGAGGTTGCACTGCGCAATGTGCGTTGGCATAGACAGGAGCTTCTTGATATATTCGTCCAAGTTTTGTCGGCGGCCGTTGGAGATGGCATCGGTAACGTGGGTAACTGGGCCGGGCATGAATGGTAATGTTCGTGGCTTGCCTCGGCTACCGGCCTCCTCCTCGAACTGAGTCAACAGGGCGATCTGGAAATCGTAGAAATCGTGATAGTATCGGGCCAATTCCCAGCAACGACCATCATCCATCTTGGCTTCGATAATGTACCAATATTTATCGTTATCGAAACAATACCGGGGAATTGAGGCAGCGACCGGAGCGGCGAGTGGTTGGTGAAAGTTATTTGGTGCGTGGTGGATAGATTGTTGGGCAAGCGATGCCTTGCTCGCATTGCGGTTATGGTAAGCCTGGTAGAGCGTGTTAGGCTGACAACGACAATCTTAAAAAGCCTAGTAAACTCACCATAGATTGGCCATTTTGGCTCATATGGCTCATGTGGTCTGAGCTCTGTCGCACTGACATCCTCTCCATACCAGATGTGACGGACTGTGTGGAGCCAGCGGCCTCGATCTTGCCCAGAGTGATGCTGCTGTTCTTATACTCCGCAGTCATCTTCTTCCACTCCTCCACCTTGGGAACGCCGGCACGTCTGACGGCCTCGAGCGGATCCGTGACTGCCGTTCCCGTCTGCATATCGCGAAGCTCGACAAACGAAACGGGAATCAGACCTGGGCCACCCAGGCGACCGATGGGCTTTGCGACGAACCATTCCGGGTTGGACTGTGCGATGACAATGATCGCCTCGCCCGCTTTGGCGTCGAGCTCATCGGGCCGTTCTGCCTGGAAATCGTACTGAACAATGCCATAAACCATGGCTCCTCCTCCTCCAATCTTTCCCATAGTAGACAGTCTAGGAAGTGCGGGGTGCGATTGATAAGATTTCGAACTGCTGGAGCCGAACTCGGAGCCTGAAGACGTAGCCCTATCAGCGAAGCCCGAATCGTGGGGTTCCTTTTTCTTTCCAAGGTCGATTGATGCGATGCTGTCTCGTTGGGTTTTGCCGACGATTTCGAAGAAGGACACGGGAACCAACCCCCTAGCGGTAGGGATAAGGGGATTGCACGCTTCGTACCAGTCCAAGTTGTCCTCCCTGCTGATAACGTGGAAAAAGTCTCCCTTGCTGAAAGCCAATTCCTGCGTGTTTCCTGGTTCGGGTTGGTAGTCGTAGAGCGCCTTTATTACCTGTACGTGTCGAGTAGAGATGGTCAACACAGGCTGTGGAAAAGGAGGGGATGGCGATGAATAAATTGGCGCAAAGAAAAGAACACGATAAGGAGGGACGACAATACAAAAAAAAAAGATGAAACTAGAATGAAAGGCAAAAGACAAGGTTATAAAGAAGAACTAGAATTTCCAAGGGGAGCAAAACGAAATAAAAGTCTAGGCGCACGCACCTTCTTAGGAGGGAGAATTGCGACGGCGGACTTGGGGGTGATTGACAAATGATGGTGATGGTGGGGTTTGGGATCTTTCTCCCCTTTGAGAGAGCGGCGAAGGGCCTAAATTTTGTGGTGTTAGAGTCAAGTTGCCTCATCAAAGCAGGACATGAGGGCGGCAATTCTAATCAAAAAGAGAGGAAATCAAGAAAGGTTAAAGTGCGCTGGAAAACGCCAGAAGCTCCTGATAGGGGGCAGCCTCGAATTTTGCCTGCAATTTCCCTCGTTTTGTGTCGTGTCGGGAACCACGACAATCGCAATGGAGATGGACGAGGGGTATAAGTGGATCAAGACAAACGTACCTTCATGATCTTTTAATTCTTTAGATTAGATAGATGTAATGCAAACAATGCTCACAGCGACTGAGGAGTATAGATTGAGAGTCGAGTTGACAGGTCACCATTCAATATAACCCCCGAGTGGAAACCACTAGCAGGAGAGACTTGATAGAAGAGAAAGAGAGCGGCGCAGACGGAAGCCCAAGGGGGGTCACAAACAACAAAGAGAATGTGAGTCGCAAAGAGGCAAAGCAAGTCTTGAAAGAAGGACTGAGGGCGTTGAAAGAGCGTGCGAGTAGACAAGGTCAAGAGAGAGAGAGAGAAGAGAGAAGATGATGAAAGGACAGAGAAGGCGAAGATGGCTGACAAGCGCGCAATAATGCTATCCAAAAATGCCAAACAGCTGTTCCTTTCCTCAGGAGCGGTTTTCACGAATTAGTTTTGTGTTCCAGAATTGTTCGTCCCTCGTGTGCTGGGTTACTGTACCACGGACGGGCACAAGCAGATTGCAAAGAGTGGTTCGGGTCTCTCCCCCGCCTCTGCCTCTGCCTCTTGAGAAGATGTCTGTCTGATCCGTGCGTGAAATGTAGGTCGCTCCAGAGAACCAGGCGGACCGGACCCTCTTGTTCTTCTTTTGAGGATGCTTGCGCTGGAGAAGATGATTAGAGCACAGACCGGTGGCTGAGAAAATTCAGAGGGGGTCCGAGGGGGTGTGGGAGGTTGACGACTCAAGGCCAAAGTATTTCCTAGTGGAGGCTCCCAGCCGACTGGAACAGCATAAGGGGTAAGCAAGCAAGCAGACAAACAAGCACTCAGGACGGTGGCGGAACTACTACTTACGGGCATGCAGCTCTAGCCTTGAGATCAGCTTTGAGCGACAGGCTCCTTCTTGGATTTGATGACAAGACTCAAGGGAGTTTGGATATGGCGTTACTCCGTAGTTTGTATGGAGTCGGGCTGGGGGCTGAAGGTGGGTTCGCGTGGCCAATGAAGATATTGCAACGGTCAAAGCAAAGAGGAAAGGGAAGGCTAATTGTAGTATGACAGTTAGTTCAAAGTTGCCCTGCTAAAGTGTAAGAAATCTAATATCTATAGCCACGACCATGTCATTGAATCTGAGTCTTTGGCTGCAGCTAACTTAAACTCAGCTGGCTTCGACCGGAACATCTTCCCCGCTGCATCTCAGTGCTTACCCACTGCAATTTTGTTCGCTTTCTTTGCTCCTTGAACAAGAGAATCTCTCATACCCAAACCAACAATCTAGGGATTCAATAGTCGCTACCTGTCGGGAGGTTGGGCAGCAGTTGCCACGGAGTCGCTTGATCATCAGAGACAGAGCCTTATCAACCCAGCCTAATCGCCAGGCTCCATCTAGTCATCAGGAAAAATGACTCCAATCCGGGGATAAATTGCCACCACCCGTACTAAATTTGTACCTGCCTTGCCTTGCCGCATCCCAACCGCCACGATACAGTCACTTGACCACCGCGCCTCTTCTCGCCCAACCCCATCACAGCCCACCAAGCCAGCACAAACCCTGGTCAGAGGGCAACTGACCACCATCACAAAGACAAAGCCCTTTATCTATCCCTCACTTAATAACAAAGAGCAACCCCTCCACCACACGACTTGGCTGAAGTCACGACTTACCCAATTTCGACTTGCTCCTCAGAAGGTTTCCACCCGCTCACTACACCTGATTCTGATGCTGCTCCCTGCTACCAACCAAGGTTCATCACCTTCGGTTCCATTCTGTTCGCCTTCTTTCCCACCCGTTCCAGAAAGCCATCCTCCGCCTTTTCGAACGGCCGTACCAGATTTTCTGGCTGGTTTTTCGGGTTTGCTGACTGTTGGGTACCGGGTAGCTAGGATCTGGAGTTTCCTTCAGTTGCGACGGATGCGGATCGCGGAGGACCGGCATGAGGGCATCTCCAACTTATGACCGCCGTGTGGCGGTGGTCTCCGCGATGCAGACGCTCCATCCATTGTTTGCTGACGATAGCAGTAGCAGAAGCTCCTAGGGTTACATTGCGCTTTCGCTAGGCTTTACTACGGAGAGACCAATGAGATGAGCCTTAGTACGACGGAGAATCTAGAACCTAGATGCTTTTTACAGAGGCCCCGGGACCTACTGTAGGTAGTAGTATCTCCCACGAACTAGCTGGGAAATTAGCCAATATACGGTAACTCCATATCGGCTATCCAAGTCTCTTTCGTCTCACCACACACATGCAACGGACTACTCCTCCTACATAGTTAACACTCCATATGCAGGTACGGCGTACATGAAACACATCCAGTTTCTTGACGAAATTCAATCACTGATCCGACACCGGCGGCCGCGACGTTGGACCCGCTATGTTCTCGAACGTTTGTGCGGGTCTGACATGCCCACAATTGAACCCCATATGGATATCGTCTAGAATCTTGATACGTAAGCGCATGTGGAGATGGACTCGAACTGTTGTGCTGTGCGCTGTGCCGTCATGGCGCCTGCAGAGTGTCTGAGACACTGGCTCCGAAATGTGAAACAGCCTCAAGCCTTCCAAGGCTATCGAATTCAGGACTAGATAGGGTACGATGTATTCAGTGACGTATTTGCTGCTCTGCTGATACTCAACTAAACTATGTATGCAAGCTAAACTCTAGAGATGTTTCCTAGAAGCGAAACGAAACGAGACGAGAAAAAGGATATGAAACACCAAACCATGAACAATATATGCCGATGCTTTTGCGAGCTGATGGGTATATGGCTCCCAAACCTGAGCGACGTTCAGGCTATCGAGAACGAAAAGGTGAGAAGAAAAAGACGAGGTGGGTGTAACTGGGATGAAGTTGGAGATGGGGATTTCGGCGGGTGAGAAGAAGGTAGATAGAGTATGCGCTGTAAATGGAAATCAGAAAGAGAACTTATATCTGTCCCTTGATATCGACCACGCGATGGGCTTCATTCTTTGAGAGCTCAAAAAGCTGGGCTGCTTTGCCTCCAGTGAGCAGTTTCACGACCCCATCCTTTTCCTGGAGCATCTCCTCCGCGCTATGGTCGAGGATGAAGCGTGCACTTTGCTCGTCAGACTCGAAGCCCAGCTCTTCGGTGATGAAGCGAATTGTTACGTCTGGTTTGTATCTAAAGCCCGAGTTAGCGAAATTCAGGACCTGTGGGGGATTTGGAGACTTACGCTTTACATATGGCGGCAAGTGCAGAAAGGCGCTCACGATCCACAAACATGTCCATCAGGTAGGCTCCCATGTTCGGCGTATCAAGATAAAGCTGGAAAAACCGATGGTAGTTCCCAAGGGCGAGTGCAGACCGCACATCCAAAGCATGCTTCACCGCATGGCTTTGCTTGTCTGCTGCTGTTAGATCGGCCAGGGCATCGTTCATGGCCGTCCAGTTGCGCGTGTGGATAAAGTAGAGAATCCGATAAGCCTTGAATTCGGTCGGGTGACCTCCCAGTTGCTGCGCGTATAGCGCTCGCAACTGTGTCTGACATTGGTTATATTCAGAAAGATCGGCCCTTTCCAGAGCAATACGGGCGTGGATCTCGTAGACGCTGACGGTAAACTCATTCCGGATGTGCTGCACTGTCAAGTCCTGCCGCAGTGATTTGAACTGATCGCAGATGTAGGTATAGTTGTTGTCTTTTTTCCATTTCTTCTTCAACAGGTCCAGGGTCTTCATAAGGACAGGCAGAGGGCGGACGGTATCCGGGTTTGGCGCCGACGTCAACCGGAAGTAATTCTTCTCCAGTTCTTGGCACCTTCCAACCACTGGACCAGTCGGTGTGGGGGTGGAAGACGCGGCGCGTGACGACGGCGAAGACCCATAACTCCCCTGGGTATCCTCGAAACGTTTCTTTCGCATCTCCAGATTAGCTTTGGACTTACTACTTGAGTTCTTGAAATCTATCCGTTGTCGCTTGTCTGTTGGGGAATAAGTGATTCGATCTTCAAAAGTATTCTGTTTGTTAGTCTGCCTCCATGGCGGGTAGCCGTTTGATGAATCCGTTTGGTACTCAGCCGACTTCCTCTTCTTGGATGATTCGTCGTGCTTGTACGTTTGAGCAGAAGCAGCAGAGGCCATATAAGGCGATCCCCACGTCGAGGCCTCAGGATTAGCAAGAATCCGGGTTTTGTCATTCTGCACCATGACCTGAGGAAGAGGTAGCGTGGCCCAGTCGATTTTGTGGAGTGAGTCACTCTGTGCTGCCTCCGTTATGACTGACTTTAACTTTTTTTCCATCTCGCTTCTTGTGACGCCAGGAATCTGATGCTCTGGTTCGAAGCACCTCTGTACATACAACCGAACGGCCGGCGGGAACTCTACTCGTTTCCGAGCTGCGTCTTCGTCTGCTGGCGCCGGCTGGGATGAAACTGTTGTAGTAGGCTTCGAGGGTGTGGTGAGGCTACGTCGTGCTTGAACGGGAATGTATGCTGGAGTGGCTGCTCAAAAATATCAGTATGACTGCGAAGAGATTTAAGAAGTGAGAACTTGTGAGAACTCACCATGGCTCGGGTATACAGACGCGGTCGTCGTGGCCGAAGCGCTCGCACGCCACGGCGGAAGGCCAGAACTCATACCGACTGACTTCAAACAGATATAACAGGCACGATATGAGAGTGAGGTAAGGAAGAGAGAAAGAAAGGTGATGTGAAGAAAGAGCAAGGGGATGCTGATGAAGAAGCGAGGACTGAGTGAGCTACGAATGTCTGGTTTGGTTCGAGAGGTGGCACAAGAAAGGTTCTACAACCAAAGTAATTTTGACAAGTATGTAGACAAGCTAAGGGGACAAGTAGAGTATGAGAGGCGACCGAGAGAAGTGCGAACCGAATGCAGATGAAGACGTGGAGTTGGCGGAAGTTGGGAACACACTCTGTTTCACTTTCGGTGCGTTCCTTTTGGTGGCGGAGAGTATTTTCTCAGTGCGCAGTGGGTGTTTTCGCCCCGCCGTACTTTATCACATGATTTCGTGCTGTCTGGTGTTGCTAGGGAAATGCGCGGAGCAAGGACAAGGATACTGTTAGGGGCAGCAATTCAATTAAATATAAAGGCCCTCATGATGTACTTAGAGTGTTGCCTTTTATAGCCCTTAGTTAGCCATCTGCCATGCTGGGCCGCCAGAATAGTGTCAAGGATTGCAGTCAGATTCTGTGGTATCTCGTATTGACAAAGTAGTAGAGAGAAGACTGGCAATCGACGAGTGCAACCACCAAGGCGAATCTTGGGAGAAGAAGCCCTCGTTTCCAAGAAGGTTCCCTTGATGCAGCCCCTGGTGCTTGTTGGTGAGGCTTAGTCAACTGCTACGTGCCACAATAACTAACTAACTTAACTAGTTAACTAACTAATAACCACTAGTTTACTACGTAGTTATATATACCCGAGACGTCCTTTTGCTTGGCGGCCCGCGCCACACAATCGTGCTGGCCACACATGGTAGAATGCATATTAATCTGGTACGTACATGACTTGAAGGAAAAGACTTGGGTAGAAGGTACTAGTAGCACGGGACTTTGTATGGCATGTACTCTGCCAGTGTTGACATGATCCACGGTACAGCATCTTCCGCGTCTAATTAAGTTCTAAATTGGCTTTTCCATTGGGTCGGAACTTGATGTGCTGTCATACTTTCAAGAACTAGGTATACGACGACGTCTGTCTATGGTCCCGCAAAGAGGCAAGCGGCCCATCAAGGTCATCGCAAGGGGATAGCTGCTACTGCTACGTACAGGTGAAGGCTAAAGATTTGATTAAGTGGAAAGAACCAGCTTAATGGACAGGACTGCTAAAATAGCTTCATCATCACCCCTGGGCAATCCTGCGCAGTAATCAAACGAGCAACCAGACCACCAACAAGACAGGGGCTTGTATGTGACGAGACCCTGCATTCTGAGTCCTTGCAAACAGCCCAACGGCAGATGCAATGCGCTCAGGAAGAGCAACCGTGCACACCCCCAATCCATGCTATACTTTCTCCTAGATCGAGAGCATGCTCGACGAGGCGACATCTGGAAGATATACAACACAGCGACGTTCGAGCGTTTTGCGTCCCATCCCAAATGGCCAAGTTTGTAGCCGTTTCTCGAGTTCCGATGAGGTGAGTCTCTTAAGGGAGGTACACGCCGATTGACAGCTCGTCCCCCAGGTATTCTTCAGCATCTCCAGTGATCTGATCAGGCATTCACTGTCCAGCCACAAGACACCCATCCCGTGCTCGGACGCCTGCAGGACCTTTAAACGAGCACGGTTATTCTTGAACCATCTGGATTTGTTCACTGGCTAGAGGGGAAAAAATGATGTCAGCTTCTGACCCGACGCTCGTGAAGGCATTAAGAGTACGGGGTATCTTGTACTTGCTCGCGAGACAGAGTACTCGAAAAGCCAAACGCCGGACTGTGTGCTTGCCACTTTCGCCATGGCTCAGCTCATCTTTCTCTCGACTGATCTCAATTCATCCCGATTTAGCATCAGTTCTCCGGCTGAGATCATAGAGAATGGTTGGTAGGCCGAAGCGAGACCGAGTGGCTAGGTATTGCGCTGAGAAGGATGGGGAGAGTAGTGACGCTGGACATGCAACTCGGTCACTTTTTCTTTCTCGCTGGGGTTATAGTGAAGAAGAAAAGCCATTCACTTGCCTGCTGAGAAAAATTTACATCGATTGTTCATAAAAAGGCCACTTCGCCCACCATTATCCCTCTCTTCCATAACACAACACCTTTTTTCTCTCCCCCCTCCCCAACTCTCATTTTCCTGCTCTTGAACTAGGTTGGAGCTGTCCAAATTCACCTCTCACCTCACAGATCTTCTTCTTCTTCTCCCCTCTCAGAACACAACAAACAACCTCCCCTCTTCTCTCTCAACTCTCCCATCCTTTGCTGTAGCTCTTCAAGTCTACAGGAGCTCCTCAATCTTTCCCTTCTCCCTGTATCCCCTTCTTTTATCTCTCTGTTTTCATCCCGTAGTGTGTAACCATCGAGCTTTCAAGCGAGGTTCGAGCCTACAGCTTGACTTGTCACCCTAAACACCTTCATAAACAATTTCGTCCCTCTCTCTCCTCTTCTCCCTCTTATTTTCCTTTCCTGTGTCCCTTTCCTATTCTGCTCTCCTGTTTCCGCCGTTACGCAAGAGCATCCGTAGAACAAAGCTACCTCGCAAAGTCAGATCGACAATCCTGAAGACATCAAACAATATAGATCCATGGCTTCTCAGTCTCGCACGCTGCTTTTGACGATCAATGCACCATACGGCAAATGCGAGCCAGGAGGATCTATGGGACGGCCAAAGTCTGGGGCCCGAAGCTCAGGTTACTCAGGAAGCCAGGGACGCAGAGAAGGAAGGACAAAAGCTCATGGGACACTGGCCATCAGAAGATTAGGTCAATCTCTCCAAGAAAAGGTTTAATTCAATGAGATAGAACCATTTGTCGGATCTGAAGTTGATCGGCGTCGCGGGCGCATACCCATCGATAGCCCTAAGCGGCGAGGACACGATAGCTCACTTGCACACAGGTGCACCTCGCACACATCCATTGGCTCGCCTGCGCCCCAAACAGAGACACTCTCGAGCCTGAAGAGAGCTGCCAGCTGTTTCATGGCAGTTCGGGTTGCTCTCAAGAACCTGGCAGAGGCTCCTCTTTTCGAATGGGACGAAAGCAAAAAGGCAGCCCCTTACTCGCGTTCAAGGCTGTGGGGAACCATGTTACGGCGGAACAAGCAGGCTCCCTGATACCAAACAGATTTAACCTAGCATGTACTGTCTGTTCCGGACACTTCGCAGTCAACGGCAAGCAGGGCATCCTCGTCCGCGATGAGGACACCAAGGAGCTCGAGATCAGCGGCAACATTTCTCCGGTGAAATGCAAGTTCTGGCCGAAGATTGTTGCCATCGTATTCGACGGTGTAATGCGACTCAGGCCTTCCGTTATGCTCGCTTAAAAAGAGCCCGGTTGGAACAAGTTCAGCCTTTAGCCTAGATCCTGACGCTTGAGAAGAAACCCGGGATCGTTTCGAGGATGTGGTCGTTGTCACAGGTAGAATGTTGCTTTCATCATTATAGACACGTTCACCCAGATCTTTGCCTATGCCGTAAGGTGAATGCCGGCAACTGTGGGTTCCGGTGACGCCCGGGGAATTCCAAGGGCTAGCATGAGGATGTTGATGTTGGCCATGCTTTTGAATTTGTCTAGGGCTGCAATCCATGGATCAATTTGTTCGTGCCTGGGATGGGCTATACTGTTTTTGGAGCTTATTTTGCTAGCGGAGACTTTATGCTGCTTCCGATCAGTAGTAGAATGTATCTAAGATAAAACCAAAAGAAAGAGGCTAAAATACTACCTATGCTTATTCAGTCCAATATATAGAATCTCGTTTTTTCTTGCTTCGAGCGCGGGCTGAAGGCCGTTGCTTTCCCAGGCGTCGAGAACGCCACCCTGTGGACGCCTACGAGTATCCCCAAATCCACCAATGCGATGCAATACTACTATTAAAATCTAGAGCCTATAGAAACTTGAATCCGCACTGAGTATCTATAACGTCTGATCCCAGTACTGTTGGGTGAAGGCGCCATGGGCTATAACCACCTACCGGAGAACCTCTCACTTGTGATCAAAACTCTCCGAACAACAACATGTTCCTTGATGCAGCTCAGATACATATTCAAAACCTTGTCACTCTCTCAAGTCTTCCGAGGTTTTCTTACAGTATACTTAGGTATACCCGACATCCCCAGCTACCTGATGGATCCAGTGACAGCCAATCAGAGGTGATAATTCGCTGAGGGTCCCAAATGGGCTTGGCAGAGATTGTCTCCAGCAACACACCGGTGAAAAATGACTTCATCGTCGATCGGGATTCTCTCATCATTCGAATTTTGGCCCGGAACAGCGCATTAGTATCGAAATGAAGGACTACTCCAAAGAGCTCGAGATTGCTTGCTTAGCGGTTCAGCGGGCGAGCCTTTTAACCAAGAAACTCCTCGAGGCAGTTGACAAGGGCCACTTCGATAAAATAGATGCGACGCCAGTGACTATAGCAGACTTTGGAGCTCAATCGCTTCTCATCGCTGCCGTCCACCATTTGTTTCCCGAGGATGATATTGTCGGGGAGGAAGATTCGAAAGCCCTTCGGGCGGAGCCTGACCTGCTCGCACGAACCTGGGATTTAGTCTCCTCGACTCGCCTGGACGATGAATATAGCGAAGCGCTGCTTTACGCGCCCTCCTCGAAAGAAGAAATGCTCCGATTGATCGATCTGGGTGCCCAGGGAAGCTGCAAGCCACGAGGCCGGACCTGGGTACTTGACCCCGTGGATGGTACGGCGACGTTTATCGAGGGACGGCAGTACGCTGTTTGCCTCGGACTCGTGGAAGACGGACAGCAGAAGGTCGGTGTTACTGGATGTCCAAACCTCAATCTCGAGTCAGGCCAAGTTCATGAAGATATCGTTGATCGGACGGGCTACGGATATCAAGTCTATGCTGTCGCGGGGCAAGGAGCGTGGATGCGACAGATGGGCACAGGCGCTCTTTTGCCTGCACGCAAGATCGAACCCAAAGCACAAATCACAAAACCCGAGGATATCCGACTGGTCGACTGTCTGTCTGCGAATTCGTCAAACTATGAGGTGCATCAGCGCCTGATGGAGAGTTTGGGCGCACCCTGGCCGCCGAGGACGGACCTTTGGTCAGCACAGCTACGGTACATCGCTATCGCGGTAGGGGGCTGCAATGTGCTCATCAAGATCCCGCGCAAGGCCTCATATCGCTCCATGATATGGGACCATATCGGTGGAATGTTAATCGCCTCCGAGCTTGGCTGTATAGTGAGCGATCTGAATGGAAACCCCGTCGACTGCAGTCTCGGCAGAACGCTCTCAGGCTGCTACGGGATGATTGTTGCTCCTGCGTCCTTACATCCAGTACTGGTCGACGCTGTGAAACAACTGCAGTGAAACTATGAGCATGAGAGGAAGTCAGATTATCCGGCATTCATTAGTCTTGATTAGGTTTGCATCATTTGGCCCATCTTTACGGAGAGTTTTCTTGCCGATTTTTTTTTCTTTTGCTTGCACATTTATACCATATTAGTTGGGACTTCCCGGTTGGAGTATCCTGGAATTCAAACCCCGCTAGAGTGATCGACCCCTGCAGACAGGCCTCGAAAGAACCTGACCTAAGCCCCCAGAGCCCATGTCTACTTGTACGACTGGCTGCATGATGGCGCTGCTTCTGTGTATCCGGATCCGTCTATCAGGGCTAGCTAACTTGATTTTGCGAACTGAGTTCCTAGTCTGCATATTGGGGCCAATCCGTACGGATCGACATCACAGCAAGAGGGCAAACTGGGAACCCGGGCAGACGATTTGACAACGGGCTCTGCTTAAACCGGCAAAGGCTGAAACCTCGACACTGGCTATACCCAAAGTGCCGTGGCGGATCATATATCAGCCAGTGAGGGGTTGCGAGGTCGTGTCAGGAGATCAAGATTGCAATGGGAAATGCGGGGGCGAAAATGAGCCCAGGCAGGGAACATCTTCGTCATCTTACATCTTTATAAGACGGGTTCATCACCCAACGCTGAAATATTTATCCTCTTACTTTTCTTTATGCTTTTCCATAGTTTGGGCTGTTACCCTGTATTAGTCTCTTTTCGCCAACTGAGACCACACACGCCATGCCGAGTATGTCTTTACCTACACCTTGCTTCTATACTCAGACCACCCACACTAACTCCTGGGATTAGACATCTACAATCCGTTTGCAAGACGCGAGTCGCACGACAGGTCCGTGCTGACTACATACCGAGTCATTGCCCCTCTGTCGTACGCCGTGGTGTTGATTGCGGGAATTTACTATTCTTCACGGCGGCCAAGCGAAGTTTCCAATGGACATACTATTTGGGACAATTTCTTGCGACGCATCACGCCATTTAGTGTTGAGCTGACTGTCACAGCAATTTACTGGTAAGTGGACCTTGCCCTAGCCCTCTTACTCAAGTACTAACCACCCTAGGATCCTATTACTACTTGCCCAACTACACTATATTTTATCCGGACTCGTTTTCTCCCGAGATACAGCTCTGACTCACGCGGCGGCAAATATTGCGCCGTACTTCATCCTTCATAACCTCTTCGTCTTTGCTTGGATCCTCCTTTGGACACGGAACCATTTCTGGCCTGCAGAGGTCTTTGTAGGGGTGGATTTTATCCTCCAACACCTCGCCTTTTGGCGTTTCCGCGGCCTCACACCCCTCACCCACATCTCCGTGATTGCTGCTCCATACGCCTGGGATCTAATCTTGCTTTTATGGAACGGGTCCGCTGCAGCGCATTCCTTCTCCCCCGCCGCGGAAATCGCGGCAAATATCTTCATCTGGGTATTCTTCGTTATCAGCGCTGCGTCAATCTTCTTCACCGTCGATGACCTTTTAGGGTATTGTTTGAGTCTACTGAGTCTTGGTACTAAGCCCTACCCATGGATAGGATAGACAATGTGCTAATCTCAGTAAACAGGGCTCGCTATACAGCAGTATACGCGCAAGCGTCTCCCACTCCAGTGGATCTTTGCCTGGGTCATATTTGCAGTGCTCTTTGTTGAGACGATCTATATCACTGCCACTAAATATTCGGGCCGGACAGTTTACTGGCGCCGCGGGGCTGAACCTGAATCGACTGATGCCGAGCGGGCGCCTCTGCTGAACGACTCCGCACCCGTGGCGGCCTCATAGTGTGATGGGTGCGTGGGTGTGACTTCTTGAGGCTGAGGCGAGTTTTGGCTTTGAATGAGGCATGATGATTTGATGGAACGGACAAGGTCGTCGCAGGCGAAGTGAGCAAGCCTCAAGGCGCAGCGAGCGGAGCAGACAACAATAAGCGCAAAAGAGGATGAAGAATCGTAGTATGAGTTATGTTATTGATGTTTTTGTGCTTCCCTCTCGAGTTTGATACCACGTTTAAAGTCTGCATGTTGTTTTGTTAGGGATGGAGCGACGATACAGGTCTGTCAAAGATATATGGCCCCTGGTAAATAATAATCTCATCTCTTGAATGTAGTAATGAATCCTCGCTTTCCAATCTCCGAGCCACTTCTGCCGTGGTACGTAGGCTTGGCTATGATGTTTTGAATCTAGATTACTATGAGGCTGCGCTGCTATGCTCGGGAGTAGTGGTGGGGTGCCGTGGCTCAAGAGACCCTCAATCCACCAATGCGATAAAATTAGAAATTGAAAACGCATCAAAGCCAAGAACCTGACCCAGGCAGACAAATTATTCATTTCCTGAAAAGCAATATGCAAGGCACGAGTCAATCCGAATCTGGAGCTCTGCGGAGAGCTAGGATGTTGTCGCCAGGGCAACGGCGGGGACAACAGACCGAGCGAGGACAAGGATGCCTGCGCAGTGATCGCTCGAAGCGCCGTCAAGCGACGCAAACACTTGGGGGAGAAGGAGCAATCTCACTTCCTCCAAAACTTCTCTTTCATCGTGGTTTTTTAGAAACTGCGTTGCTTGATCTTGTCTTTGTTTACTGGCAAACGGGCTTCCACTCCCGCTTCAGTACTGTTGATCTCACGCTTCGCAGTTGTCCCAGATTGTTCTTCTCTGGTACCTCGGGGCTGCCGGCAGTTCCAGTCGTGACATTTACCCCGGATCTCATTGTTTATTTACCCTATTCGCCCGCCGTCTTTTAAGTCTCGGACGGCTCTCCGCAGTAAGTCGCATTCTTTCGACATCAAAGGAATGCACGAATGGAACCATTGACGTCTGAATCAGGATCCGAAGACGAATTGTCGCTTCAAACGCCTGAGTTTACCCAGTCGCATAGTATGTCCTGTTAAGCCGTCCAAAAAGAACAATCATGAGGCAGCAACGTATACACCACCAGGAGGAGCCGCCAGCATACAGCTACGGAGAAGGCTCGTACCTCACTGATAACTACGACCCGCCTGTCCGACACACGACCATGCGGCTGCTACCGACGAGTTCGCAGGTCGAGAGTGATTTAAATGCTGATTTGGGCACTGCGTCCACTTATCGCGATCGAGATCCTTTTGGGGATGATAATCAGTGAGTAGTCACATTCCAATGATACCATCGGGTATCTTGCGCGGCCCCTTGTGGGTGGTGTCAACAAATTCACTTGCGCCCGATGCTTTTTTTAGGGCTCCAGCCCATCTCCCTCGTCCGCTCAGCCAGTGGAATTACAGACTGTATCTAAAATGGCCTACCATCGAAGACGAAGAGCTAATCAAAATGTTTGGTATGGCAGAACCGAGAGATACTACGAATACGACACAGAAGATACACCCTCGCGCCCTGCTTCGAGCATGCGAAATGTGCCCAGTATCCCAGCCCCTACAGCGTCCGCAGTGGACGACATGCACTTTTCCTCTCGTCCGGCGTCGCCCACACGACCTTGGTCCCCGACGCGTGCCCCAGATTGGACAAGACCCCCGTCTGTAGCAGGCTCCCAGTACGAACGCGCGGATCTGAACGGCAGCCCTCGGCCAGGCACACCTAGTTCAAGATACGGCGGGAGCCCCCGGAGGCCGCTCCCACCTGCGCCACTATTCTCGAAGCCAGGAGTCGGTGGACAGGATGCGAAGATCGATATCGGCGACGCGGACGATGATCCTTTCGGCGGTGGTGGACGAACAATGAATTCTCGACACGGAGGACACGGCAGTGTCAATTCATTTACCAGCGATTCGACCTTTATTGCGGACGACAAGGATCTGGAGAAGATTGACCTGGAAGAATATAGCGAAACCCAGTCCATGGTTGACCCTAATCTGCACTACGGCCCAGCACCAGACAAACAAAGCCGCCGAGGAGTTCGCGATGCTCAAATGTCCAAAAAAGAGGTCCAGCTGATCAACGGTGAGCTGATCTTGGAGTGTAAGATTCCTACCATCTTGCACAGTTTCTTGCCCCGTCGAGACGATCGCGAATTCACTCACATGCGGTACACGGCCGTTACTTGCGACCCCGACGACTTTGCCCAACGAGGATACAAGCTGCGCCAGCAGATCGGACGGACGATGCGCGAAACCGAGCTGTTCATCTGTGTGACCATGTATAACGAGGATGAGATTCATTTTACTCGGACCATGCACGGTATCATGCGCAATATCAGCCACTTCTGCTCTCGTTCCAAGTCTCGTACTTGGGGTAAGGATGGTTGGAAGAAGATTGTGGTCTGTATCATTGCAGACGGTCGTAAAAAGGTGCACCCGCGGACTCTGAATGCTTTGGCAGCTCTGGGTGTCTATCAGGAGGGCATTGCAAAGAACATCGTCAATAAAAAACAGGTAAACGCCCACGTCTACGAATACACTACCCAGGTATCCCTCGACTCCGACCTCAAGTTCAAGGGTGCGGAAAGGGGCATAGTCCCTTGCCAGATTGTCTTTTGTCTGAAAGAGCACAACCAGAAGAAACTAAACTCGCACCGTTGGTTCTTCAACGCCTTTGGCCGAGCGCTGCAGCCCAACATTTGCATCCTGCTGGATGTTGGTACCAAGCCCGAGCCTACCGCACTCTACCACTTGTGGAAGGCCTTTGACCAGGATTCCAACGTCGCTGGTGCCGCCGGGGAGATCAAGGCAAGCAAAGGAAAGGGAATGCTTGGCCTTTTGAACCCTCTGGTCGCAAGTCAGAATTTTGAGTACAAAATGTCCAATATTCTTGACAAGCCGCTGGAATCGGTGTTTGGGTACATTACCGTGCTTCCCGGTGCCCTCAGTGCATACCGATTCTTCGCTCTGCAAAACGACGCCGAAGGCAATGGCCCTCTGAACCAGTACTTCAAGGGAGAGACCCTGCATGGTAAAGACGCGGATGTGTTCACAGCCAACATGTACCTGGCCGAAGATCGTATCCTCTGCTGGGAGTTGGTGGCCAAGAGGGAAGAGCGATGGGTCCTCCGTTTCGTCAAGAGCGCTGTCGGAGAGACTGACGTGCCTGGTATGTGTTTCTTCAAAGTGGCAGATATTGAACAAGTTGCTAACACTTCGGACAGACTCTATTCCCGAGTTCATCTCCCAGCGTCGACGTTGGCTGAACGGTGCTTTCTTTGCCGCCGTGTACTCTATTGTCAACGTGAAGCAGCTATGGAAGACGGACCATTCCCTTGCAAGAAAGATTCTGCTGCAGATCGAATCTGTCTACCAACTGCTTCAGCTAATCTTCACGTACTTTGGTCTAGTAAGTTGTCGGTTTCAGGAAGGAGCGGACCAAAGCTAACAGGGGCAGGCAAACTTCTATCTCGCCTTCTATTTCATTGCCGGTTCGCTCACTGATGACAAGATTGACCCATTCGGGCATAATTTTGGAAACTACATCTTCGTCGTGCTGAGATACGCTTGTGTCTTGGTGATGTGTCTCCAGTTTATCTTTTCCATGGGTAATCGACCTCAAGGGTGAGTCTTCTCTTTCCTTCTGAAGATCGAACTGCAAACTAACCGGCCAACAGCGCCAAAAAACTGTACCTCTCGAGTATGATCATCTACAGTATCATCATGATATACACAGCCTTTTGTACGCTGTACTTGATCGTGCTTGAGCTCATGGCCAAGACGGGGCACGACGTCCCAATCACCATAAGTAATACTTTATTCGTCAACATTGTCGTGTCTCTCCTCTCCACCATCGGCCTGTACTTCTTCACCTCATTCCTCTACCTCGATCCCTGGCACATGTTCACCTCTTCGGCGCAGTACTTCGCCCTATTGCCATCTTACATCTGCACCCTGCAAGTCTATGCCTTCTGCAATACGCACGACGTGACTTGGGGCACCAAGGGGGATAACGTGACGAATACCGATCTAGGTGCGGCTCGTATTATCAACGGCTCTATAGTCGAAGTCGAGATGCCCTCGGAACAGCTGGACATCGACAGTGGCTACGACGCTGCGCTGCGCAACCTCCGAGACCGTCTCGAAGTGCCGGATCCGGGAATTTCCGAATCTCAACTTCAAGAGGACTATTACCGCGCGGTGCGGACCTACATGGTATCTATTTGGATGGTTGCCAATCTTATCCTGGCTATGGCCGTTTCCGAAGTCTACGGTATCGGCTCGACAGGAAATAACATTTACCTCGCCATCGTTTTATGGTCTGTTGCGGCCCTCGCTCTCATTCGTGCCGTTGGCTCGACGACATACGCAATTATGTACGTCGTTCAGAAGCTTGTCGAGGGCAAGGCAAAATTCCAAGCTGGTAATATTGCGCCGGCCCACTCTAGTGCTCCTGCTAGCTCGCTGGGGGGCGGTACGAAGTCAAGCCTGAACATTCGGGATACGCTCTACGATTCGCGGTGGGCTATGCAACGTGGTTTGCACAAGGTTGCGTTCTGGCGGAAATGATCTTCTTTGTTCCCATTTAATGTTTCTTTCATGATTTATGTTGACCATGTTTGATCCCTCCTCGGTAGATTCTGGATACCAGACCTTTATGACCTCCATTGCGTGCCTACGGCTACCAATTTTGTAGCATGTCCCGTTGTAGCTACTATGTAGGGAGAACACCTCACCTACGACCGTTATACCGGTTGAAGAAGGTATAAATAAGTAATCATGCATTCCTATTTCAGCTTTTTTTTTTGGTGTTTGGTTGTTTTGAGATCGAAAAGCAAGAAAAAAATAGTGTCATCCGCCGTGAAGATAGTAAAGTTGGACGTAATACATGCAAAGATCTCCAAGGCACAGCCAGTTGCCAGGACCTTGGTCAATAAAGAGCAGAGTTGCACATAAAAAAGGAAGACAAAAGAACAAATTTCGAAGCATAACCTTCGGGAGAGACATGTTGGAGGTGGGTGTGGGTAAGAATGTTAACGACGATTCCAATCTTGAAGAGGTCGAATTGTCAGAAGAGCGGGGACACGCTTCCCTTAATCAATGCGTCAACAACAATGTTCAATTTTAGTTTGGAGATGCGATGAACCGATACCAGATGACGCTTCATATTCATGACAGAGACCCACAATCTCTTGCACACTTCATGCCCGCAGACACAGTGGTCCGCATCTGCATCATTCTGTCTAGGAAAGGGATTTTGACGGGATCTAGCACGAGAAAAGAAGTCAGTATTTTGTGATAAGCGAGCGGCGGTGTTAAGAAAGGGGACACTTACCGGAAATTCCGTCTGTCTCCATGACCATTTTCTTCTCGGCCGCGGCCCATTGAACGAATTCGCAAAGGTAGGGGACCTTGGACTGGACGATCTCTCCAAACGAGTTTTGGCGCTCCTGTATGTCTGTGGCAAAGCTGCCAGCGCCAACGGCCATGGGAACAACGCAAACCACGCACTCTATCATTCTTGAGTGTGCAACGTTACACCTGTTGTCGCCATTGACGAATCCTAGGTCACGAGAGGATTCCGCAGCAGAGACGACAAAGTCGACGATAACGCACCAGTAGAAACAGTGGAGTGGTAACTGGAAGATTGAACGCCTTCGCCACATGGATACCTGAACAGTTCACGTTTGAAGCGGCAGACCTGTCAGGAGCGAAGGTGATACTGATATCTGTACCCTCCTTTAGTCGAAAGCATTCCGCGATATTGCTATACGGCACGGTAAAACGAATTGTGGCCACAATAGCTTGACTTGCAACGCACATAAAGGCAATTTCATGGTCTTGTCCACATATGGCGTCGTGGCTCTCCTGGGAGTATCTCCACTCGAGAAGAGTGCCATACGCAAGGGAAACGGCACCTTCATTAGGAGTAGGGAAGGACACCACAGCCGGATAGCGGATAATCGAGGGACCTTCGACAGCTTGCTCTTCAGGATCTTCGGCAGCTTGGTCTTGAGACTCTTCGGCGGGCTCTTCCTGAGACTCATTGGCAGCTTGCTCAGCATCGTCCAGCATATTCTCGAACAACTGCTCTGCAGTGTTATCGGCCGGTTTCTCGGTTCCGAACTCGAAGGCATCTTTGTTGATCGATTTTGGCGAGTTGAAAACGCCCCATTGAGTCTGAGGCTGTCAGTTTCCTCCACAGTATGCAGACCAAGCAACACAAGGAATCTTCTTGAAGTCGTAGATGATCTCCTGGGTGCGTTTGAACTGCGCAAACTTGGCTTTGGCCATTTTATTTTGGTCCATGTTCTCGTCGACGACGAAATGAGCATTCACGCGGGTCTTCAGCAATTCAGGCGATGTGCCTGGCATGCTCAAGCGAATAGCCAACAATCTCAACCACCGGATCAAATTTCCCGACGGCTTGTCGAAGCCGGAGATATCGACATCAAGACCTATGGCCACCATGCCCTTCACGGTCAGTCTGATAAACCAGTAGCTGTCTTTTTTATCTCTAGGAGTTTGTGGCTTCTCCTGCTATGGTTTCGTCTCCTGCCTGAAATCTTTCTTCTGCTTGGAACCCTTCTGCTGCTGTGGTTTCTTCTCCTGGTTCGGATCTTGGAACTCTTCCTTGCTATCCTGTCAAACACTTTGAAACCAACGACATGTTCGTGATTGTCAAACTCGACGGACATAGTCCGGTTCTTGGATTCGTCTTGTGAGTCGCGATAGCGAATCTCAAGGATTAACCTGCGATAGGCGGGTTCTCCCATGATCCTGGCTCGGACAGTGACACCGTCTTCTTTGAAATTCCAGTTTGGAGGGGAAAGAAGCACATCTTTGGGTCCAATCGGGATAGCAAATTGAGCGTTCTTCCACCCGGTACCGAAGAATTTCTTCGCCTGGTCAGAATGGCGGGGAGCAAGGGAATGAGCGTCTGACGCTCTTTCTTGACCTCTTGCCGACGCAATGGGAACCCAGTAACCTAGCAATCAGATTAGTATTAATTTCGAGCCTGATTATAAGAAGGATTTAGAAGAACTTACCCGATCATAGTGTTTTGCTTTGGCAAAGGGATCATCTTCCTGGCCGGGTTGGAACACGCCGAACTCAAAGATCTCCTCGTCGTCAGAAGTCTCCTCTGAATTCTTAGGAGAAGGAGAAGCAGAGGATTCGTCGGGGTTCTCAGGAGCAGGAGCAGAGGACTTGTCTGGACTCTCAACAGGAGGAGAAGCGGAAGATTCGCCTGCCTTAACGATGTGGTAAAATGTGTTAGCACGTGCCATGTTTAGCTGTAGACACTGCCCGCACACTGTAGAGCAGAAAGGCCGATGTAAAGAGAGGCTCATACCTGTTCATTCTGTGTCTTGTAGGCCATAAGAGCATCGAATAACATTCTAGCCTCGTTGTGCCTGAATGTAATGTTTTTCCCATGGCTAGGTCTGAGACCAACAGCGACGAAAGCATACAGAGCTATTTCGTCAGGTTTTCCGCCGTCGGCCTCTGTAGAGTATCATTAGCATTCAATAGTCAAAAAGATTTTGTCTTGAAAGAGAAGTGACTTACTATCAATCTTCTGGTACTGCCCAACAATTTGTTTGGTGCGCTGATTGCTCTTGTGCGAAAGTTCCACTGCCAGCTCCGAACAGGCCCTCTTGTACAGATTTTGGAAAGCGGGACTATCGAGATTCACATGGGGGAGATCATCAAAATACATGCCTGTCACCATTTTGAGCTTGAATATCTTAGTTTTTAACAAGATCAAGGGGTCTCCATCGCTTTGGGGTACGAACCTTTCAACTTGAAGTGAAAATCGATAGCTCTCATCGCCTAGGGATTGCTGGCATTCAGCAAAAGATCGGCAAGCCCTCGGTATGCGAAGGTTTGTCTGGAAGATGGCCCTGATGCTCTCGAGCTTTGCCCATTTCTTACCCGCGGCGGGGTGTGGTGGCGGAGAGAAGATGGCAGGGCATCCGACTTCATGGAATACCATTGCGGTGACTGTAAGTAGAAAGATCTTGCAAGTGTCCGGCTGTCCTTGGATAACTTTTATGGCCCCTGGGAGTGAGATGCACGACCAGAGACATGCCCTTTAGTCGGCAGACAGCGATATATTCGCTTGAAACAGTCAAGGCTTTGTTGAATCTCTGGTGTTCAAAATTGGATACACGGCCTTCTTGGGGCCCGGCGGGTGTTCAAAAGGCGCCCAGTCTGACGATTCGCGGACCCAGCGCCCGCGTTCAAGTTCGTGAGGAAGTAGACGGCGTCTACCTGCCTTTGCTCCCTCGTTGGTGATAGTCAGCGATGTGCGGACTCAACGCCTGGGCTCATGCCCGTGAGATCGACTGCGTCTATCTGCCGTTTTGCTTCTTTGCTGGTCATTGGAAACAAGACTCGAACCGTCTGCAGCTCCAGATGTTTCCCTGTGCGGTCGTCAAACGGCTTCACCTTGGATGAGATACATGGGATCAGTGATCGGCAGATTGAACACATTAGCCACCATGATGCCTGTTCATCTTTCGTTTGGCTCGGTCTCCATCGACTTGTCGGGGGCAAAGGTGATAGCTATGTCTGGGCCCTCCTTTAGTCGGAAACACTGCGCATATTTGCTATCTGGTACCGTGAAATGGACAATAGCTATGCTAGTGACAGCATCGTTTGCAACGTCCATGAATGCGACTTCATGATCCATCCTAGAAACAGGATCATGAGTGTCTTTCTCATAGCGCCATTTGAGAAGGGTACCGAATGTGTGTATGATCGCACCTTCATTGGTATTGGCGAAGGACACGACACCAGGGTAACGGATGGTACCACTCTGCGGGCTGTCTGCTTGCGCTTGAGCATCATTGCTGAGTACCGAGTATCCTGAGTGTCTCGAGGGGCTGGAGGGGGGCAGAGTGTGTGTCGTCGAAGAAAATCCCAGCATCAGGAGAGAAAATAGACTTGTTCCCGTGCATATAGTCCTAAGCGTCAAAAGGAAAAGCTTCAGGAAAGTAGCCTTGCCAGGCACAAGCCAACGGTAACTTCATCGATGAGTGCAGTTCTCAGAGGGTACAAAGGAACAGCGATAACAGTTGTTACTGTCGCTCTATCGCAGTTTTCCGCTAAAACATCTCGTTATGTATGCAGCTGTCAAGGAAGCTCCGCCTCGAATAGAGTGTGGCTTACCTTCGTGGACACCGTAAGGAGTTGAGGCAACGATAACTGTCCTATCACGACAGGCTCCCAAAGAGAAATAGCCGAACATGATGCTCGGGAAGCCAATGGTCGCCATTTCGGCTCTCGAGGGGTAGCGAGGAAAAAAAAAAAAAAAAAAAAAAAAGAGATGGGAAAAGAGCGGGGAAGGGAACGTGTCTGGGAAGCAGAGAAGGTTGATAACGGGGATTACTGGAGGAGAAGGTTCGATTTAGGGCCAAGGTGGTAGGGTAGAAGAGAGATGCAAAAAAGGAGATTCTGTGTTGGAAGAGAGACGCAGGAAGGAGGGCGTCTGGGGGAAAGACACGCCTTTATATAGCTGATTGTGATAGTTGATAATCTCTTCACAGTAAGACGAGAATCTGGTCAATCGACAACTTGGTGACTGAATGGTGCCGGGAACGGGGTTGGTCGAGCTAGGGCTATGCCTAGTCACCCGGGATTGGTCTACCTTCTCTATCATTCACTATTTTCGTAAGCGTCCAGCCTATGGTTAATAGTTCTGGGCGGCCGGCAGGGAGATTTTAGTGGCTGTAACCAAGAAAGTCATGTTCAAGAGGACGAGCATATCTAGGAGCTTGCTGGATACCGCCAAGCTAATTGAAAGTATGCGCACAGGGATGATAGACCCATCTGCAGTCGGACAAAGAGACTACCAGCAAACAGAGCGGAACAGAATCAGAAATATCGTGAGAAGAACAGCCAGCGCTTGGTCTGATACTCGAGTACTCTTCCCGGTGAGCAAGCGTAGGAAAGTATGTACTCTCGCTGCGTTCGGTGCCTCGGAGTCAAGAACGGACATTGATTTTTATTCTAGACAGTAAGTTAGGGCGGATGATTTCAAGATGATTGTTTTCGTTAGTCAAGCTCGGGAGGCGGAGTGCTTACAAGTGTGTCCAACGCGAGGCTTACCGGGTGAAGCCCCATAGCCAGGCCACTTCACGCCAGCCACACCAAAGCAGACTTGATTTATCACAAGCGAACCACCGTGCCATAAAGTTAGATCAAGGCCGAGCAAGAGACGCTATACGACGGAAGGCAGGAGTATGATGCCTACGAATTAGGTCAACATGTTCGATACTAAGAGGGCACTGAAAGACTGCATCTACTGCTTGTATTCAAGATAATGAAAGAGAAGCCGCCACTAACAATACATTAATCGTTCAGGTCATGAAGGGATCAGAGTACTGCGAACGCAAGCTCATAGGCAAATCCAACAGTCAGCCGGGCGTGCTCCAACATATGATCAAAGTTCAAATGCTCAATGCTATCACCCGTAGTGTGGATGCGCTTATTGCTATGCTCCATGCGGGATTCTGTTGCCATGGCCGATGGGTATCCATACTTGCTCGCGGACGTATGGTCAGAGCAGGCGTAGCCGCACTTGGTCTCAGTGAAGCCGATATTGCAGTACTGCAGAAGCGGTTAGTGAAGTTGTCGTATAGAATGGAAGCAATTTCACTCACGGTAGTTACGACGGTCTTGAGGAAGGATGTGAGGCCAACGTCCACGTAGTCGGTCATTATGCCTATCGCCTCTTTTTGTCCAGCGTCAAGGGTGCCCTGGATATAACCAGTCATGTCTTGCTGAAGCATAGCTTTGACATCGTACTGATTCTTCTTATACTGTGAGAAGATCGCCTGGGAGCCAAGCATACCCCCTTCCTCCGCCGAGTACCAATGGAACTCAATCGTGTTTGGTGCCTGGGAGCGGGCGATGATATCTGATTTCAGGAGACCTCGCAGGCCCTCGAGAATCGTGACAGTTCCGCTCCCGTCATCGTCAGCACCAGGGCTCCTGAGTAGACTGGGAATGAAGAGGTTGATCGAGTCTAAATGGCTTCCCAATGCGATAGTTTTGTTGGTGAGACCTGGGATGCGGGCGATGATGCTGGACTGGCCCCAGGGATGGTCAAACTTCTCCACCGTGGCACCCCACTCGTGGGCCTTCGAGTCTGTGACCACCTTCCGAATTTGGTCGTAAAGCCAATTCGCAGCCTCAATCCCATAGTCCGACTTATAGTACCGCGTGTGGAATGAGGTGAACTTCTCCAGGTCCTTTCTCATATTGTCCTTAGATAGCGACGGAAGGAGACCCTTTACTTTCTCGACATGGCCCATTTGCTGAGGATAGGTGACATAGGTACTGGCGTCGAGGGCGGGGGAAACACCGAGGGTTTGTTCTTCTGTGATATCGATAAAGTTGACCCCGTCCTAAGTCACGAGAGCTGTTAGCAGGTGAAAGATAAGTCGGTCGGGCGACATACCAGTTTCAGAGCCCATTTCTCTTCCTCTGTGACCCATCTTGTCTCATATGGGGCCAGCTCAATTAGATATTGCTCCTGCTCGTGGTGGATGTTCGGGTTTTCCAGGACGTCTTGTTGTGGAACGGCGTAAGCCCAGGTCCCAGTAGAGGCAGTTGCGCCGAGAGCTAGAGCTGTTGACAGCTTCATGGTGGAGGACAATTAGGGACAGGATCCAATGATGATAACAATAGGTATAGTATAAGAATAGACGACGATGAAGAGGTTGGGTATGGTTGAGCGAGGTTGACGGTTGAGGCAATCAAGGGTGTCGGCTCCAGGTGCTGATGATGAGGGGTGTTGCAGTGTGGCAAGGAAGGTGCAGGTCCGGCCGAGGAAAGAGTTCCTGCTGCCGACCGGGTAGTCAATCTCGAAAGGTTCTAAGTCTAGATACTAGAAGCTATCATGTACAAAAGCACTTTGAATCAAGTTTCGAATCACTGAAAAGATTAGATGCAATTCAGTTCGACTGTTGCGTCACATCATCAACGATGTTGACGGGTGCCTGGCTTAATATAAGCTCCGCACCCATAAAGTTACAGATGGAGAGCTCCAACTCAGCTTCCGGCACAGCCTCAGTGGGGCCAACGCGGAGCACCGCCTGCACCATGGCAGCAGCCAATAGTTTCAAGCCGTTGTATGAAATTACTATGAAATGTGTTGGCTAAGATCAAATGGAAATCATCAGCTGATTTACAATGTCATGCACCTTGGGTATAAGTTGTGCACGTAGGCCAGGCCCAACCAGTTCCTTTTTGAATAGTATAAAAAGAGCTGGGCTTTCTCGTTTCTTTCTCTTGCCAAATGTAATAGAGACACAACGCCTCTCATGACTTGTTTCCTGGGGCTGTGAGGTTTTTAAATCGCACTCTGGAAGTCATGCTGAGAGCCTGAGGCCATAGCGATACACAGTGCTAATACCAAATTAGGCTTAGTGATAAACCTCCACTCAATCACTATTGATTGTCATCCCCACATCCTATGGTCGCTTTCGACAAAAGAAGTACTCCAACTCCTTCCACTACATCATCAACACAGAGCACCTTACAGCCCTCAATCCTGAAAAAATCTACTTATTTCTCTCAACCACACGATCCAAGCATATTCCACTCAAAAACCTAACTCAAGGTCTATCAGAATGCCTCAGTCCTCCGACTGCCTTCGTACGTATTCCGCTCGACATCGAGATTACTGTCTAGGTCGGGATGACCTTCTGACCGCACTACTACAGAGGCTCCCCTCACCCCCGCCGAGCGGGCCATCGTCAAGTCCTACGGTGGCTGGTCTCAGTTCCTGTTCAGCTATGGCCTGAAGCCTTGGAACACCGAGGAAGCGGAAGAAGGGAAAAGGATTTTGGAGTCACTCGCTTCGGGATCTGATTAAATGGGGAATCAAGATAACACAATGGCGGGAAGCGTCAACTGCGGAGCAATTGGGAGAGATTAGTTGTCATGAGAAAGTCTGAATGCCAGCGTTGAATGGAAGAAAGGGGACATCGGATTGGAGCTGTTTTAATGACAGCCACATGGCACGCATCGTCAGCCCAACTCAGGTACTCAATCACAGCACCTTTTTTTTGCTTCTCGGGTCCTATGGGTTGATTAGGAGTTGATCAAGGGATCCGAATGTCGTACCTCCAACCTTGCCATAGTAGCGTAGTAAGGCAAAGCCGGCTCTGGCCATCGATAAGGACCTCACGCAAAGACACAATTTGGTTTCAAAAGCATCGTATCAAAGACCGGTGATCCCTGTCAACGAGACGGTTTGATCTGGCCTCGCCAGGCAGATGGACAGGAGTTATCACAAGGGCACGCGAGATTATTGTGCTCGACCAACGGAGAGCCCAGGGACCAGTAATGATCTCTTGAGGTCTGCCTGGACACAACGGACATTCTCGTCGGTCAGCAAGCGGAGTGCGATGGCTCATACTCCGTCATGATTGCGAAGAGCGTGGTCAGCCTGAGATTGTGAGGCCAGCGATGCGCTTGCTGTGGTGGAACAAGATTGAGGCTTATTATTTGCAGAATTTTGGTCAAGGTCTGTGGAAATTGTAATTAGTATTCCATCCGATCACCATTCTGATATATTAATGTCAGTTTGCTGCACATGCTGTCAAACTGGTCAGGGAACCGGATTGCGATGCCCTCTGACGAGACTTGTGGGGCTGAGCATGCGCTGTAAGCACATCCAACCCTTCCAGGCAGCTCTCCATGAGCTGACATGAATCATCCTGAAGAACTGGAGTCATTTTTTCTGTGAACGCTGCCATGAAATTGAGTGGAATACGGGCTTGAGAGCGGCAGTGGCCAATCAGTGATGAGCCTTAGCCATTGTGAGTCAACGAGTGGATTTTCGTGGACCCAGGGCTGCGGTCTCGGAGGAGGTTATTCCGATCCGTTGACGCGCTTCGTGGTATCTCTTGGTCTCTTATCTAGGCCCGATTGTCCCCGCGCCAATTCTGGTCCGTCCCCCTTCCACCTCCCTCGCCTTTAGACAGCCATTGACGAGATCCGTATCACTCGGATCGACATCGCGACGCAGCTTGTGCGATCAAACGCTCTCCCCGGACTTCCTACCGCTACCAGTCTCGTCGCCGAATCCCCACGTGTTCTTCCCAGCATGGCTATTCATCCGAGTTTCCCGTCACAAGTAGAGGTTAGAAGGAACCTGTCGCTGCAGCAGGCCCAGGCCATTTCAGCTTGGACGGAACAGGCCACTGCGTCTCTGGAGGATTTGACGATAACAGATTCGGCTCACGGGGGCGAAAGAAATACCTCGGCGCCGGCTTCAGCCACTGCTCGGGGAACTATCCGTGGATCCTCGGTCTCTCTGTCGATTCCTCTGGATGATCCCGTTCCAGTTGACAGCAGTAGTATCGTGCCAAGGGTCAAGATTTTAGGTCGAGTCCCAGAGGAGACACCAAAGGTCCCGACGGTCAGTTTCCGGCGCCGGGAACCACTCCGCCGTGATAGTCTGAAACGACGCGAGGCTCTGCTGAAGGGAAAGGACGGCAGTCGCCGCAGGCAGCGCTGGGAGAATGGTATGTCTCGAACGGCTGAATGGTTATAATCAGGGTGATCTCCTGAACTATGATGATTCGGACCATCTAGTGTTTCCGAAAAGTGCTGACAGCCCTGCTTCGGTTAAAGATCGCCTCCTCCATAATCCCTGGGCCACCCCCCCATCTCCCAAGGATTGGCTTCCCCAGCCAACCCATATCCGCCATGAACCCATGCCCTATTTTCTTGCTCCACTCTGGGACAAGCATTACGCGCATCTGGACCATCGGACGTCCAAGCAGATAGCGAGTGAAGATACGGTCGAAAGACATCACATCCCGAAAGAACTTCGTCTTAAATTGAAGCACGCACGTGCTGCGAGGGGTATGCTTCAAGACCTCGAGGAAGATATTAGACAGTTCATTCAAAGGTGGAACGAGAGGCAAATTTTGCGCCGTAAAGACGGTCTCGCCGATGCGCCTTCATCGTCCGATGAAGACTCTGAAGACGAAGTCGTCTTTGTAGGACGGAACGGCCAGATGCATGATTCACCCGACCGCAAGGCAAAGCTGCAAAACATGCGGGAGACGATGACATCTCACAACGAGAACCATGGCGAGAAGATGGTGTTTGAGAGCCTGGTTGACGATCGGGCTGCTGGGTTTGGGTAAGTATGCCCAATTTCTGAGGGGTGATTCAAGCCTAACTTTTTTTTTTTTCTCTGCTAGTCGCTGGCTCGTCCACTCCATTGCTTCTTACTATGGGCTTCACACATGGTCTGTGACTGTTGGAAGCCCCGCTCGACGCGAAGCCTATGTGGGATTCCATCCGCCGTCGCCTGGGAGTAGAGCTGGGCTGTTGTCCCGTCCACCAGCGAGCTGCCGTACAGAGGCATTTATCCAGCCTGGCGAGGAACTTCCTCGGCCCTTGTGGTCACAGGTGTAAGCCACACAAGCCTGAATCCTCGATTCACTTACGGAGTCAACGGATTTGGCCGAGTGGCGACTGCCATAGACAGGTATAGATACTGGGCATCGCTGGCCATGTATATCTTCAGCGATATGAAAGGCACTGGATGTAAGATAGAATAGAGGCACGAATTTCCTTCCGTCCCAGCCAAACCGTATTCTTCCGGTGAGCAAATCGCCAGTCCGTGTCTTGGTGTACTCTGGTCTGGGAACATCCGCCGCCAAAAGGGTTTCGGTGTACGCTGCAAGGGATGTCAAATTGACATCACCAACTACCTCGTCTGCTCTATTCAATAACTAGAGAACGTCTAACCTGTAGACCGCAGACCGAATGGGGTTTGTGCACCCGACAATGTGGTCTGCATCTGACTGATCTACCCGTATACCGGGATGTATCCTGTGTCTTCTTCAAAGAGGCGACGGGTTGACGTACATCCCCACACTGTCCTCGTGATCATTCTTTGTCCTCAGCTCAGATGATGATTTTAGTCGTCACATCGGCAATGGTTGGTCGAGACAAAGCTTCGTGTTTGACTTGGAAATATTGGGTTGACAGTTGTCAAGGCGAGAGCCCAATTTTCCCCACAGAGCACTGGCTGCTTATTTGTCTTTAACTTTATGTGATAGTGTGAGTATGTGTTCCTGAAGATTGTTGCCAGCCAAATCATCCTGAGATGCTGCCTCTAAACCCGCTTTCCGTGGGGGCGGGTTGCAGAAGGCCGTTGTTGAGCAATTATGACCAGATGGTCTTCGCCGGATAACCTGAGCCGTGCACATGGATATGGCATCCTAACTAATGAGGGTACTCCAAGAATGCATGGATGCCCTGGGGAGATGAGGGGAAGAGTGCAAGTTCGAGCGGGCGATCGTCAAATCAAAAGCCAAGGTCGAGACCTACCCCGTAGCCACAGAGACGGCCCAATGCGGAGGGCTAGTATTGCTCAACCTGGAGCAATTCTGTGAGACTTCGTTGACCCGACGAGCGTGTGCCACTGTGGGCTCCCTCGCTGGGTGTTACGTCGTTCGTTGTGACCCATAGGAAATATTCTGGGCGGTAAAGAAGGGTAATACAGGATATCTGATCGAGGATCGGCTGGAAAGACTCGGAAGAATGCTGATCATCAATTGATGGATCGATCGGGTTCGGTCATGGTGCGTGAGAGTGGAGATGGAACCTGCCTGGAAGAGTTCATAGAGGGTGGCAGAGACCCGATATCGGAAAGTGCCAACAGCGAACTTTTGGGGCCGCTGGGTGATGGCAGGCTTTTGCGCGGCTAACTGGTGCAAAGATAAATCCTGACTGCTTGCGGGACGAGCAAACATGTTTGAGAAGAGGTGTTGTAAAAATCGTCGGAGTTCGGACCGGTCCGTGTTGGGGCAAAGGGACCCTTGGAACCAGAACCTGGAAGGAACGGAATCCAGCAGAGGATCCCTTAGAGTCTGGCCGAGTCTAAGGTGAGGCGTTCAGGCATCGACTTAACAGTGCTGCCACCCTCAGGTTCGATTCTCAAATAACACCCCGCCAGTCCCTTCTGGCGCTTTCCTCGGACCAGCCCTGAATATTCAGCGCACCTGTCATCTTGCTGCCCGCTTCTCGCTCTTCAATCAGCTTCGATCCGGGGATGCGCTTCGACGGCACACTGCATGTGAAACGGCTGAAAGAGCCACAGAATTCTCTGCAGGGACTGTCGCGACTGTGCGGTTGGGGGTCGAATGTTCAGGCCATGGAATCATGCAACATCCTCACCCTCCAGGATGGCGGTTCTGGCACATGATTGAGCGTTGCTTGGGAGTGAGACTCGAAATTCCCGGAATAGCCCGTTGGTGTCGCGTTGCGCGGGAAATATCGTAAATTGGATGACATACGCGCGGGCCAGTGATTGGGGTCATCCAAGTGGGATTTGGATTTCGAGTTCAGTCCGGGGCATGGACGCGGAGTGACGGAGTCCGCTGGTCTGACTCTGTAGTATACTCGGTACTCTAACCTTGAAGAGTCTAGGTATAGCCGGACGCTTAGGTAGGGCACTCGCCCTTTGTGTCCGGTATACTATATACTACAGAACTTCAAGTAAGCTTGTTACTTTATTCAGCAGATATGGGCCCCTTGTTGCTGTAATCAAGGGACAAATAATCAAGCAATAATCGAGTAATTGCTGATAAGCGCAGAGGAGGTTGAAAAGCCAGCGTCATCAGCCGACGGGGCTCTTGAAACGACGTGGCTCCTGTCTCCGGCCGTGGCTCTTGGGCGCTGCATTCTCCTTCGTTGCCCTCCGATACAACAAATATCCTGCGCCACTTTGCTCGCCCCTTCGTCCCTGGATCTCACCACCTCTGTTCCTCTGGCCCTCTAGCCCCCGAGTTTTCCCCCCGGTTTGGCGTCATCTGCTATGTTCTCAGGCCCCTCGCATTCTCCCAACAATCACATAGGCAGACTACTTCTTTCTTTTTCTCCCTGTTGCCTTTCTGCTCCTCATAGTTCAATTTTATTCAATCCCTTTCTCTTCCGGCGCAGGCTACCCTCATATGACCGAACTATTAACCCTGCCGTCCCTCGCCTCATCCAGCTTGTATAGAGATCTCCCATCTTGAGTATGAGTGGTGCAACTACAAACACAGGGCTGAGACTACCACTTGAACACATATTGTTGTATATCTTTTGACTGTTATCTTCTCTGATCGTTTCTTTTTTTCTCCTCTTCTTCGGATATACTCTCGACAGTTTTTGGAATATAACCACTCTATCTCCCAATCGGGCAACCAGACAACACGCCCGCGGTCCGCCGTCAATCGCTTGCGCACCGTCAGCACTTGCGATCACCAGCATATTTTCTTTCTTGATCTATTCAATATACTAGTGTCGCCATGGGGTCGTACAGTACGTCATCTTGTTCAGATGCCTCGGGGCGCTCAAAAAGCACGGCTCCCACAATATACAGTGACCGGCCGACTTCAAAGCGTCAGGAAGAAGAGGTAGATCTTTACGACTATGAGTACGACGACGAGGACGTATATCCTTGGGACTCTGCATCGACCTTTGAATCGGACGACTCGGCGGACGAGATCGAAGAAGCCCCATTATACGAAGTGACGGACCGCAAACGTGACATCTTCTTCGCAGACGTGATCCCATCAAGTTCGTCAACGTTTGCCAAACTATTCCCTTCCTGTCGGAGGCTGCTTATCCGGCATGATGATGCAACGCTCGATGGGAACATGAACTTGCGCGTGGACACCATGGTGCCGCACCGCGCTGGCTATCAGCAAGACGTAATCCTCTTCCACCTCCGCATGTATGACTTGTTCGCCAGAAAGTTTTCATTTCGTCGCTACTGCAGAGAATCAGGTCGCGAGGTCTGCCACTCAGAGAGGAGGACGGTGTCATCGAACCTTGACAAACCCCCAATGCTTCAACGCTCATGGAGTAGTGTGCTGGCTAGCCTGCGACCAGGGTCAAGTGCACTGGGTGGCCATCACAGGAGACGGGGCTCGGAGCAGAGCGCGCTTGACGACGAAATCATTGGTTCCAAGGGTGGTGTCGATCGACCAGCCGCACTTTCCGACAGCATAATGCTGGAGTTCTCCAACTATGCCCACATTGAACTGAAGCGTCGAGGTGCAGGAATGACAAAGCGGTACGAGTATGAGTACTGGGCCACGAAATACCAATGGAGGCGCGAGTCGCGCAAAGATGGTGATCTGCGCGAAGTCTCTTACCACCTAGTCAACACCCGAACGTCGAAACAGGTTGCCCACATTGTGCCCGAGATCCTAACCCCGATAGAGGCGATCGAGGAGGAAAGCAAGGGTGGCTGGATCCCCCCATCCTCCATGTGGATCAGTGATCCTTCTGCCTTCAAGAATATGAATGATGTTGCCGAGTAAGTTCCCCCGCGCGTCTGACCACCATACTCAATTTAGGCTAACCAGCATGCAGTGTGATTGTAGCTACAGGGCTCATGGTACTGGTTGACGATTGCATCCGGCGGCGATGGCACCGCAGCGGTCCTTCCCCATTCATACTCCCGATGCGAGCATCGTTCTCAAAAGGCATGGACCGGATGGGCCCAAAGCGACTGATTGATGAGGTGTTCAACCGCGCCCCTTAGGAAGACAAGGAACACTGTCAACCCAAACAAGCACATCTCGCCAAGCACATTAGCTTTGGGTGTCGTGTCATGCTTTCATGCTTAACTACGGTCCAGATGAACGAAAAAAGCAAGCCAGCTTTTAGAGGGTGACGTGGAGCTGGCGCAGGCTACTCAAAGCAATGAGGCAACCTGACCAGCTGGACAGATCCTGGCAATCCAATCTAGTCCTCGACCTAACGAGTTCCCTTGTCATGACCATGGATGACTTTCGATGCTACAAGTGTTACTCTTCCTGCGTCGTTGCTTCTTCTAACGTGGGTACCTTTGAGCGGTTAGTCGAGGTCCAATAGTTCCGCATGACTTGCAGCGATGTGCCACAGCTACCTAGGTACACGAGGATCATTTTTGACTTGCATGCATATTGGTTGGATTTGTTTCTCCGCCTCGCCTCATTTTATTTGTTGGCATTTATTTTGACTTTAAAGCGTCATTTCCGAAAAAAAAAAATGTTGTTGCAATGGCTCTTATCTATTGGGCCATATTGCTCGGGCGTATAGTGTCCGCGGGTGATGGGAGATGCAAGTGTAGGTACGAATCTAACGACTACTACTACCGACTTGGTCCTATGTACAGAGTCAAGTTAATCGGGCGTGAGTGACACGGACGCAGGATATGAAATCAGGATCACAATCACATTGAACTCTTGACGTTTACTGCTCCAGCGGCGCTCGTGATGGTTGCTGGTCTGTTGGTTTGTGCCCGACCTGATTTCTTGTCACTTTTCCTTCTGCTCCGCAGGTCTGTTAGTGTTGGGCCTCTGCTCACGCCTAAGCCGCGCACTAAGATTTGCGAACGAAGTTGGTATCGTGAGTACTAGGGATAGGGGCGCTCAGGTCAAAGCGAGTCTTTTGCCACACCTTGTATATTGTGTATCTACGCATTCTATATAGAGAGTAATAAAAAGAAACGATAGACGAAGCCGAGTGCTTATCCCTGGAGGGCGATAGAATGCGGGGCAAACGATAGATCCGGTCGAGTGGCGCGTCGAATCACCTGCGGTCCTGCATTGTTTGCAGTTTGCAGCTTCCTCATGTCCATCTTCCGCTCAGCATCCTTCCACCCTCCTCCGGTTGGCGTCGATTATCAATCTCACACCTTATGCAGGTTCACCAGCTCCATCGCGTCTGCGGTCTTCTTCTTTCATCGCCTTCTACCCCCACCATTCATCTTGCTCCAGACACGCTGCACGCCAGCCAAAGACAAGGAGGACGAAGACTGCACGTATTAATGCCCAACTGCCCAAGGCCGGAGGCAACGAATCATCTCCACGCCTCGACCTGGTTTCGATCAAGTCGACTCGACTAGACGGCTTCGATCTTCGCTGGCCGTTGGTGGCTCCCGGATGTCTCCTGGCAGACAAGCTGTTGAAGCAAGACAGAAGCATTGCCGCCGTTGGCCAATTCTCACACTTGCTTTTGTCGCTCTTACTTGTTAGCGCCCTGAGCGGAAGAGCCCCTGGTTGCCGCGAGACACAACCCCCGACAACCTAAAACAGGTCTCTCGTCGCTTACAGTCTGCAACCCGCTTCCGCGAACCAATTGTTCATGCAGAGCGGCCTGGCCTCCTGGCCGTTGGAAATCCAGGGCTGAGCGGATCGGACAGTCTAAAACCGGTCCTTGTTCAGATCCAATATTAGACATATTTAAATCGTCTGATGAGCTGGCACTGGAGTTTCGCCTGGGGGTCCCGCTCGCGCTCCTCTGAGTGGCCCAAGTCACTCAATATCAACCTCAATTCGTCGCTTTTTTTTGACATTCTATGGACACTCTCCGCTTTTGGGCAACTAAACCACCCCTCATGGCCCCTCCTCTACTATCACTCAGTATCGATACCACCAGCGAACCGCCTCTTTCCTTTTTTCGCCCGTTTTTGTCCTCGACCACGTCCATGATGAGGCAGCCTGGGCCTGTTCATACCCGATCCTACCTCGTTCTTCGCGGGACAGGGAAAAATTATTAGTGGTCCCGAGTCACCGTGATGCGAGCAATTAAAATAGTCTCCTCAAAATTCCAAGGCGGATGATTCGTCCAGCAAGGTCTAGAATAGCCATTTTTCCTTCTTGTACAACAGCGCCCATGTCTACTGCCATATTCCTTGTCAACGCAATGGATCTCTCTAGCCTGTGTGGGAACTAGTGGCCCTTTTTCCCCTCGTCTCTGGCGTTTCTTCAAAGCCATTGCGCCGGCCCGTTCCAGCTTGCAGCCTCAAGATGATCCGCAGGTTCTCCATGCCCTGGCGTGCCTCGAGTGGAGAGTGATGGAGGGGGGTAACTTGCTGACGTCGTGCCATGTCCAAGTCTCATGCATAAGTCCGTCGACTAGGTTCTCCAGTGATGATTAGTGCTCCGTGTTTGTCATGCCAAAAGACCAGAAAAAAGACTGACTTGTCTTGTCTGCACTGAGGCGTGAAATTTGAAAAATGGCCCACCGTTTTATACCACCGCTGTTCCCCATATCCACCAAGTCTGTTCGGTTTAAGAAAGAGAATACTCGATAATTTTTCCTGAAAGAGGAGCAGGGAAAGAAGAGAGAAGACAGACCTCCTTCCTTCCAGACATTCTTTTCAGTGATTCTCCCTTATTCTTTTGTTATCAATTGGCCTCGTGGTCCCCTGGCTGTCGACGTCTACCATCGTTGCTCCAACATCTTCCACCTATTTTGGCACTATTCGACAAGAGAGCTAGCCACAGGCAAACCCCACCACCACGGCGAGTCTTCGTCTGTCCTTCGCTTGCCCTGATAGACCACCAGGGTGTTCGTCTTCCAGAGCTTCCCACGACCAGACATCACCCAATATCTCCCACAATGTCCGACCCGAGTCTCGGCATCAAGAAAGTCTGGCGGATGAAACTTCAGTGTACGCCCCACTTCTCAATTATCCTACTGACGGAACACCGTCCGTGGTACTCAAGAGTGCCGTGTTCTTTCCCTCATTCCATCAAGATATCGACGCAACTATGATTTGAGTTGCTAACATGATGCTTTTCAAGTCTACTGTGACAAAACCAGTGTCGCGCCGCCAATCTACAATACCTTCTCCGACCGTCGAGGTAAATATGATTGCCCCTCTCTTCATGCCTTATACTTCAAGTGTCCTGTAACCCGAGGGTTGCCTCTCAACTGCCTCACATCTGCTGCTGTCAAAAAAAAGAGTCAGAACGCTGGAACAACAATGAAGATAGGCAGATCTTTGGTGACGGGAGGCGTCAAAGAAAGCCAAACCCGGCATTTCAGCGTGGGCGAGTGGAGTCAACTTGATCCCTCACCGACTTTTATACCAAACCATCAGAGTTTTCATCAACATGGACTGACGAGAATGTTCTGTTTCTAGGAGGTCGTACAGCGTGGTCCTGCTCTGTTGTTGTTCATGGCACTACCTTCCATTCTCGATATTGGTTCGATGGCGAATACGTCGAGAACGCGATGGAGGATGCTGCTGAGGTGGCGATAAAAGTTCTCGATCCTGGAGCTTGTCAACCTTCCAGCGGGGGTAACTTCCCGGGCACCATCGACTGACGGTGCTTGCGACATTGTACTGCTGAGCGCCCTTCTCAAGTTCTTCGAATTTTCTTTCCCATTTCTCTTCTTCATTCGACCATCTGGAGAGATCTCATTCCACAACTCTTCTTCGTTGGTGTTCTCCAACCTGGCAATTTGGCAACTTGACATTGCATGCGACCTGCACCGGATTGACGCCAATCTCGCAGACATGTACAACATTACCGGCTGTCGACATTATTGTTTGTTTACTTCTCCATACAGAGCGACGGTCAGAAGCGGGTGGATTCATGCTGCTAGGCGCACATTGTACTTTTGACTGGAACGGGAGACGGGCGCTCGCGAGGTTCTCTACGTTCGTTCGTGGAGGAAAGATCTCATTATTCTTGGCCTGGAATACCTCTCCGCCCCCAACAAGCCGACATGCGTGACCCGAGCTCCCTTCTCATACCTATTTTTTCATCTTAATTTCCTCATATTTCCCTTTCCAACGGCAAGCCGGTGCGACAGACCACGCACGGCACGACATATTTTTGACGACAGATAATTATGACGTATGAATTTGACATCTACTTTTTTTTGGTTCCGGCGCTGCTGTGCCCTTTCTCACCCAATTTGCGTGAGAATGGCTTGGGTGCAGATTCAGATTACTACCACTGCTATAGCTACTAGTGTACAATCTGTCCATCATATCGATGCCCAGGGAGTTGAATGGCTAGCCTTGAGAGCTGTCTACCATTGCATTGGCAGATAAGGACAGGGGGCATTCTTACTGGTAAACGTAGAGGTAACCAGTGAGGGTGCTATGTAGGATCTGGATGGCCCAAATCCCCATTGAAGTCTGGGCGTTATAGCATGAAACTAACCTAGCAACTCTTCATGCTGATCAATGATCAAGATCTGTCTGAGTTACTGGGGTAGGGTACAAACTGGCCATCGACTAAGTCTGCCCGCTCCAGTCCCATACTTCGTGCACTTACGATGATAGTCGGGATTGGCGAAGATCAAATGAAGCCAGTACGCAGATGCATCAATAGTCTCTCTCGGGGTTTGCTCCCGCATTATAGCCCACTTCGGCCAGCTCAAAAGTTCATGGATATGCAATACACTGTCGAGAGACGAAGTTAGAAGTATCGTGCTAGTCTAGATCTCGGAACGTCTGAGCTTAACCTTATTTCGCGCAACTAAGGTTTCACGTGCAGTGCTCGTTCCATGGGTCAGGCATCCCAAAGGCCACGACTTTTTATTTGCCCTAGACTCCTACCTCTCACGAGAATTCCACGTATCATATACTAAATAATGCATTGTCCGCAGTTGGATATGTTATAGATACGACGACGATAAATAATAAATCTTATAGAGCCAGCAGATCCATCCTTCCTTCCCTCCCTAGCACAACCCGTGAAACCCCTCCTCCCTCAATAAGCAAACCTCTCCCCACCCGCACCACCCTTCCCCTTCCGATTCATCCATCCATAATACAGTCTCAGTAAAATACACCCGACCGTGACGAGCAGCAATAGAGCCGCATTCGTCCAATGACCCGTGGGATATCCTCTTGCAGCCTCGTTGGATTTGTAGATCCACACGCCGACGATCTGGCCGGGCGCGCCGAAGGAGACGTTTAGCGCGATTGCGAGGCCCGTTCCCGCTGTGGAGCGGATGTTTGAGGAGAGCCAGCCGAGAAGGGGCGGGATGCAGGCGAAAGAGCCGCTTGTTGCGACGATTAGGCAGCCGTAGCGGTGCTGGATTCGTGAGTGATCAGTTTAGGAAGCAAAGGAGAACGGAGTGAATGGTTGAACGTACAAGGTATGCATCTGCCGGGAGAACCGCGGATGCGAGAAAGCCCATTGCGCCGATAAAGGAAAATGCGGCGGAATGAAGGCCGCGGCTGGGGAGTGTTAGTGGTGTTCTATTGCATGTGTGGTGGTGAATATGTGGGGGATGGCATACCTATTGAAGTGGTCGGCGGACCAGGCGACGACTGTTGTAACGACATAGGCGACAGCCCAGGGAGGGACAGTCATGAGCTGCGCATTGAGACTTGTATACCCTAGACCGCTTGTGATGGCAGGAGTAAAGAGCGAAAGACTGGAAAACGGTGCAGAGATGCCAAAGTAGACCTGTCTCGCCAAAGTTAGAGAGCTGAGTTTGTGGAGGTGAAGGGCACTAACAAGATAATGTGCGTATAGTCGCCAGTCAAAGAGGACTTCTTTGGCATCTTCCCATGTCATGGCCTTTGCAGCACCCTTGGATCCTTCTAGCTCGAGGCGTTGGGCGGCGAGGGCCTTTTCTTCCTCGGATAGCCAGGATGCAGTTTCCGGGTAGTCGGGAAGTATGAACCAGACGAGAACAGCAGAGGCGCAGGATGGGGCACCCTCGATAATGAAAAGCCATCGCCAGGCCGAGAGGCCATGGACCTGGTTCATGTGTCCGACTCCGTAGGCGATTGCGCCGCCAAAGGCACCGGCTAGTGTGGCTGAGGCAAGAACCAGAGCTACGCGGATCGAACGCTCGTGGGTGCGATACCAGAAGGTTAGGAAGTAAACAAGGCCCGGGAAAAGACCGGCTTCCATGACTGGCTGGGTCAGATGCGAACTCCAAAACATTCGTGGGTATGGCTTACCTCCGAGAAGGAAACGAAGGCCTGTCACTTGCCCAAAATTATGCACTCCGCCTAGACCCATTGTCACAGCTCCCCATGAGAGCATTAGGAAGGCGATCCATCTCTGATTCGACATTAGCGATGCGGTAATAAAGTAGCTTGGGCAGAGGTTTGTACGCTGGGCTTGAGCTTCTTGAGGAAGTAGTTGGAAGGTACTTCGAAAAGGGCATAGGCAATCAGGAAGACCATGAGTGCGATTCTAGCCAGGTCAGTACTGAGAGAGCCGACAAAGGAGTGTACTTACGTATACTCGTAAGAGCTCATGTTCGTCTCGGTGAGGAGATCATTGCCGGTTTCTGAGTTCATGATTCTGGCATTCCCTAGACCATATAAGCATCATCCCTTTGACAAGAGATGTCAAGCGTACCAATATTGGATCGGTCAAGATAACAAAGCAAGTAAATAGTAGCGGAGAGCGGAACAATATGCAAGTCCTGCTTCCAAACCAACGCCTTCTCGCGAGCACGGAGCTCAGCATCGTCGGCATGATTCTAGGAGAGAACGCGGGTAAGCCTTCGGTCTCGAATCTTGGGGGCATAATTACTCACCTCGAGCGCCAACTCCGCGTCAGTCGCGTTGACAACGCCGTGCGGGGTTACCTCTTTCTCATTCATGATAGCGGGGATAGCAGAGAGAGAAGCTGTGCAGGACGACCAACCTTTTTTTTTCCCCTGCTGGTCAAAGGTTTTAAGGGCAAGCGCTGTCAGGGCCGTGCCCCCCACATGGTCCGAGTTGAGCTAGATCTTGGGGTAAAACCGCGACTGGGGAACACTCCGTGCTGGCAAATGTCGGTCAACCTCCGATATGAGACCCAAGTTTGGTTCGAGGGGGCCACAGAGACTGCTCATAGGACCAAACTGATCGGCGCTGGCCCACATGAGAGGGGGCTGGCTTCGTTTTGTCCAGACAATGACTCGCAAACTGCCTTCGCTGTCCCCGACGTTGTCGATAGAAAATCCAATGGGATGCCGTAGATCTAGCAGGGATAGCTTTCAGCCAGCCAGGCTCCGGTTCTCAAATGCATTCAGCTGGTTACCCGTTGATTGAGCCAAAAAGAAAGGTCTCAAAACGTCTGTCGAACTCAGCAATCAGTCCAAGACGGCGCATAGCATGAAGCTACGCTGTATTTTCGAGCACACTTCGTCCAGCTCATGACTCGGATTTGGATGTTGAGTGCGCTCGAGCCGATGGTAGCCTTATGCTGTGCCGGTTGTGTCGGCAAGCTTCTGTGAAACTGTGAATGACATTTAAGCCCTTTTCGAGAGATGTCAACCAAGAGAAGCAACATCAAGCGCAAAGAAGCTTTGCTAAGAATAGCTGATCAGAAACCAATCGCTTCTGATAACCCGGTATCGTACGGTACATTACATACATCCCCAAAATGACAGCCCAGACAAACATTGCAAACTCATCATGAATTTGTTTGATCCACGAGATCCAGAACAATCGATTGCACGTCTAGACGAGCATTGGCAGTGCTATGAATGTTTCTTGATGATATATAGCTCTCCGCAATACAAGCCATCTTTACTACGCGGACTTCGCAAAGCAGCAACCCGGCCGCCCACTCGATTCATGTCAGCCTCAACCCCGCGGAAGGCCATGCCTTCGGCGCTAACCTTCGACCTACATCGCAAATGCTCCGTGAGTACATAGATCACGCTCGGATTCCTATGGCTCGATATCTGATCTAACAAGAATTACAGACAACAAAAGCCCGCGCCAGTACCCTCCACCTCCCCCATGGCTCCGTCCCCCTCCCAATCTTCATGCCCGTCGCGACGCAAGCGTCCCTCAAGGGCCTCACATACGACCAATTGAGACAGACCGGGTGCATGCTATGCTTAAATAATACATACCATCTTGGCTTGAAGCCTGGACAAGCTGTGCTGGACGAGGTAGGCGGCGCGCATAAGCTGCAGGGGTGGGATCGGAATATCTTGACGGATAGTGGGGGGTGAGTTTGCGGAGAAGGGGTGATGCTGTTACTGTTGTGGATAACTGTGCGCTTGCTGACTGGCGCAATAGCTTTCAGATGGTTTCTTTGCTGAAGCTTGCGAAGGTCACGGAGGAAGGTGTGAGGTTTCTCAGTCCTCATGACGGGACGCCGATGTATGCTTGCTTGCGCTTACTACTGAACGGACCTGATTAGAACATATCAGATCAGGTCATATCGCGTGCTTTACTGACCCTATATAACGATACTAGGCTCCTCACCCCCGAGCACTCCATCTCCCTCCAAAACTCTATCGGCTCGGACATCATCATGCAACTGGACGACGTAATCGCAACGACTTCCCCAGACCACGCACGAATCCACGAGGCCATGGAGCGTTCAGTCCGCTGGTTAGACCGATGCATCGAAGCTCATAAGAATCCAGAGACGCAGAATCTCTTCTGCATCATCCAGGGCGGTCTCGATTTGGAATTGCGGAAAAAGTGCTGCGAGGAGATGGTCGCTCGAGATACGCCCGGAATTGCCATTGGAGGGCTTTCCGGTGGTGAGGCGAAGGATGAGTTTTGCAAGGTGTATGTTGCCCTAGCATTATATCTGCTATCTGGCTAAGGTCAGTACTAATGAGAGAAGGGTCGACACGTGCACGAGTCTTCTACCGGAGTATAAGCCGCGCTATGTGATGGGTGTGGTAAGTTGCCACTCCTATCCGATTGGCGCATTATCAGACAACACTGATATAATGATTTAGGGATATGCCGAAGACCTGATCGTCGGAATAGCCCTCGGCGCAGACATGTTCGACTGCGTCTGGCCAACAAGAACAGCCGTACGCACCTCTTACGCCTCCATCAGACTCTTGAGATACTAACTCGACACGCCTTTTCAGCGCTTCGGCAACGCCATCGTCTCCTCCGGAAACCTCAACCTCCGCCACGCGTCCTTCGCGCACGACTTCCGGCCCGTCGAAGAAGGCTGCCCCTGCGCTACTTGTCGACCAAAGGAGGAAGGCGGACTGGGAATCACGAGGGCATATATCCACCATCTAGCTGCTAAGGAAACTGTGGGGGCGCATCTGTAAGGGAACACCCGGATCAGTCCACTACATGTTTTCGTCTCTATGCTAACAAGGCACGCGCGTTAGTCTCACCATACACAATGTCCACTACACACTATCGACGATGGGAAAGGCCCGCGAGGCAATTCTCGAAGACCGGTTTCCGGCTTTCCTCAAGGATTTCTTTACCAAGATGTATGGGGAGAAGGCGAAGATTCCGGAGTGGATTGTTGGAGCGTTGAGGGGGGTCGGGGTCGATGTTTTAGAAGACTAACAACGATCTTACTATATATGAATTCAAAGAGGTCTATTCGGATACCGCAGTCAAGCCGATGGTGAAACGAGTAAGAATGAAGGGACAAAGTGTATAGGAGAGTATATTCAAGATGCAAATTGATGACGTATTGCTGAAACGCCAACATAGGGAGTATCATGCTATGCAATGAGAAACAGATGCAAATGGCGAATGGTCAAATAAAAATCAAATAGATATCACTTCCCCAGCATGACCCCAGCACCCCTTAACAAAACAATCGTATCACCCGTCTTTACCTTGCCACCCCCAATCGCATCCGCAAACTCCAAAAACTCCCCAGACTCAACATGGAATAACCGCAGCCGCGCCTCCTCTCCAGCCCGATTGTTCATATTCTCAACCCTCAGCCTCTTCGCCGCATCATCAAGTACCCGCCCAACCTTCCACCGCGAGTCGAACCAGAAATCCCCGTTTGGCGCGTCAGCCGTCTGCGTCTCCGACGTGCCGACAACATGTAGATATATGCGCTTGTCCGCGGGCACACTCGCATCCCCCTTAGCCGCCTTCTTCATCGTATTCACCTGCACAATCCGCGCAGCTGCACTATTGGGCTTCGGTTTCGGCTTCGCAGCGGCCGCAACCTGCACCGCGGCCTGACTCTTGTCCTTGCCCCACGAACGCACACGCGCAAACATAGATTTGATCGTTTCGTTCGGTGCCATCCCCGCACCAGCACCAGCACCACGGCCGCCTAGTCTCTTGGCGCAATCATGTTCCTCGCGCAGCCGATGCTTGAGGCAATATTCCCGTCGACAATCCGGACACCGCACACCAGGGTCTTTCAGCGTATTAATGAGTGTCTTGCATGACAAGTGCGCGCACTGATCGGAGTTGTAAATTGTGGGCTTCTGCGTCGCTGTGGTGGGAGTGTTCTCGCGGGAGGCGTTCCTGCGGCGGGCCCATTCGCCGGCGTTCGGGCACTGGTGTGCGGTTTCAGTACGGTGGTCAAGGCAGTATGTCCCGCGGCAGGACTCGCAGCGGAAGGGAAGGAAATCTAGTTGGTTGCAGTATTCAAATTGGCAGTGGCGGCCGATGGATTCGAGATCGCGGTCGGCCATTTGGGTGAAGGACTGCGGGTCGGAGTCGCCGCCGGTGCCTTTGCTTATTGAAATGGGAGCCATGGTTGAAGATGGGAGTAGTTGAAACGAGAGAAAGGAAGAAATGGAACAAGAAAAGAGGGAAATGAGGCAGTTGAGTCAAACTTCTGATTGTATTAATGAAGGCGATGTGAAAGAAGTCAGATTGATCAGCAACGCGGAGGCGGAGATTTGGAGAGAGCGCCCTGGAAGGTTCCCACTGGAGCCTGGCAAATGCGGAGGCCTGCTGCGTCAGCATGATCTATAGGTGGCTTCAGCCTCACAAGACGGTTTCTCAAGACATGGCCAGGGCAGAAAGATCAAGTTCTAGCTTAAATCAGCAGTCCAGTAGCCAAAAGATTTTGTACCAACAAAGTCGTCTTTTTTCTGAGTTCACATCTGAACAATAGGCAGTCAATCTCAGACAACCCCTTCTCAAAATCCGATTCTCAGATACGTCGAGTAAAGAGTCAATATTTCATTACAAGGAAGTGGCAGTGAGCTCTAGCAGCAACCATAGGTGAAAAGCGACCGAGCGTCATAGATATCATGTCTCATAAATAAGTAAATCATAACAACAATAAAAACGAAATCCTTCTCCTTCATACAAGGGGTTAAACTCCAACAAGAGGGTATATCAAAGAGGTAGTAAAAAGAACTCAGAAGCATGATCAGAGAGTTTGAAAGTGAAAGCAACAAAGCAAGTCCAATATGCGAACGAGACCACGATAAGCACCAACTCCGGATTCAAATCGAGATTCCCACCGAGAGGATATCACACTAAGTTCCAGATTCAGAGTTCGGGGTTGCCTGCGCATGATCTTCCCTTGTCACGTTTGACGGAGCAAACGGAATTGGGCCACGGGATGTAAACACGGGCAAGCCGGTTCTGCTAGCCGAGGCTGTCGCGAGAGGCGAATACAGCATGGACTGAGGACTTGCAGAGGAGCTCACGGGTCCAGGTGTGAGAGGTGGAGAAATTCCCGCATACGGATTCTGCGACGGAGGCATATGTGAAGAACCAAGGATTGCATTCTGGTTCCAGTCATTACCTTCCGCAAGAGTCTCGGGTCTAGCGCCTTCGGGCTCAACAGGTGTAGGGGATGATGCGTCTGGGGTCGCGAGCGATAACCCTGAGTATTTTCCGCTTTCCTCTGACGGCTCAAGTTTGACCGTGTGGTCTGGTGCAGGCATGGTTGGGAGGGGAGGTTCTTCAGGAGAGCTTCTAGACACATCTGGGCGCTGACATGTTGTAGTTGACGCAGGTGTCGGGGCGGGTGCTTTGCCAGAAGCTTTTCTGTGAGAACGAGAAGGCTTAGAGATTGGTTTAGCGGTCTTTCGTCTGCGCTCTTCGGCCGCCTTTTTCTCCCGCGCCGCGTTCTCTTCCGGAGAAGGTACCTTGAGTTTGATGCTCAGCTTGCCAACATTGGCTGTGAGACTGTCCATGTCATCTTGGACCCGGCTGCTATCAGACGCGGGCTGCTGCTCGGTCGGCAGCGTCATGGGGAGAAAGGCAGAAGGAACTCGGGGCACAGGTGGTGCTTTGCGTGGACTTGCTGTGCGCTTCGGGGTTCCAGGTCGAGACATGTTGGTTTTACGTGCGCTTATTAAACCCTGCGACGAGGGTCTCTGATCGGCTCCATTCTGCTCAGGGGTCGAAGCAGCACTCTTTCTCCGGGAAGTACGAGGTCCGGGCGATCGAGATGGATCGGGCAAAGCACTCGGAGAATCGAGCGTAGTTCGGCGGCTGTTTCTGTCGGTGCGGCGTGCCGGGGTCTCAGCTCTTGGTGTGCTGGGCAGGGAAGGCTTGGGTTTCCTGATGCGGAGCTTCATCTTGTTTTCCTCGCCTGCAGCAGGCTCAACCGGAGTAGCTGCTGCATCACGCTGGACAATGTCTGCGGTTGCGGTATGTCGTTCCCGTCTCAAGCGCGAGGCTTCAGCGTTCAACTCCTCTGGGCGACAGCTTGTGGTTTGTCGATCGCTGGGTATGAGTACCTTGGACAACTCGTGGGCGGCTACTGCCCAGCCCACGGGAGGCAATGGAGGCTCCAGGTCTAGACTGGCGTGCGAGCCATTAGATTTTCGATCCCTGGTTGGTAGTACTACTTTGGCTGCGAAGGATTGTGTCGGGGCGAAGTAGGTCGGAGCAGATTTCTCTCGAGGTTTCGCTGCTGGTGGTGGCGGGTAGACCAAAGCCTCCAACTCTTCTAGCAACGGGGGTGACCACCATTCACGATCGTAAAGTGCCTCAAATACAGACCACTGCTTGTCATCCGGTGCAATGTCCGACAAGCCAAGGCGATCAGTCATCTCAGTCGCCAAACGATCGACATGATATACGTCGGCCGGAGCATGGGTCGTGTCTCCTAGCCCTGACAAATGGCTCAAAACACCCGTTGTCAAAGCTCGATTGCTGTACCCTCCTTCCAGTACACTGACAATCCGCCCATCGACCCCAAGTCCTTCCTCCTCTGCCATCCGCACAACATCGGCAGTGAACTTGGCGTAAAACTCGGTGGGAACATTGACCTGATGTCTCTGCATGCCGGCACCTTCCCATTCACTCGCGTCAAACCCTGCAGAAATAAAGATCGCTGCCTTGGGCTGAGGGCCGTTGGGAATGCTGGCCAATCGCTCAGTGTGCATTTTCAGGAACGCACGAGCCTTGTCTATCAGAACGGAGTATCTAGAAGCATATAGGTCCCAGAACTCCGGCTCAGTCTTCCACGACTCCAAGTGAACGTTCCAGATAGATTGCCCATGCGCCTTCTCAATGCAGACACTCGCGTTGCGCACTTTTTCCGGTTCGCCCATTTCGCACGGGTACGAGTTGATGTCATGCAAGCTGAAGTAGCCAACCATAGCCTTCTTATAAGCAGCCGCATTCTTGGGTGCCGCAAGCGCCTTTTGGTTTTGCTCCCAAGTGATTTCCTGAGACCCGTCGCCATGATGAAGGTCAAAGTCCAGGATCGCAGCATGGGTGAGACCATGGGTCATTGCTGCGTAAGAGATTCCCACATGGACATTGTTAATCCAGCAGAAACCGGAAGGGTGGCTGGACGAGCAGTGGTGACCGGGAGGGCGAACGCAGACAAATGCACGCTTCGTAGGGGTTGGGCTGAAAATAGCATCCACTCCTTCACACACCCCGCCCAATGCTCCCTCAAACGCATTCAACGACTCGGAGCACAAGTAAAGATCTCCCTCGTGGAATGGCTTGTCAGAAGTAGTACTGCTGGCGCTATCCTTGCCGCTGCTCCGAGGGCGAACTAGTTCCTTGCCATTCAGCGCAAGCCGTGATTCAGCAGCGTCGCACATGTTTTTGAGATCTTCCATCCACTTGGTTCCGTGCACATGGGTAACTGCGGGAGAGGTAACTGCCAAGCTCCGTGAAGTCTTGCGGATCTGAAATGGCGGAACAGGTAGCTGGTGCAGGTTCAAATCCGGGTGAACGGTAAACTGGCCACCAGCATGTCTGCGGGCAAGTCGAACATATGCAGCAGATACCCCTAAAACACAAGCTTGGACACGCTCGGGTCTCTCAACAATTGAGCTCAGTGCGGCACGCGACGTGCGCGGGCGTGAGAAGCGGTGGCCGTAACATGCATCGTGAATCACCACCAAAGTCTGAGATTGCAGGTCCACAGACTGGTGTTGCTCGACTTCTCTCTTGAAGTGATCGGCCGCGATGGAGGCCGCAGTTGGTATTGGTTGTTCCACCGCTGCGGACAGCGAAGGCCGTTTGGACATGGTGGAACCGCTCTCGCTAAGGCCCAGGGTAGGTGACGTCGCGAGTGTGGAGGACGAGCGGCGCGACAGAATTGGTCGGGGAGACACTGGACCCCCACTGTTGAGCTGTGCGGAGCGAAGAGAGGCAGTAGACGAGCGCTTCTTTAGGTTAGGAGTAGACTTGCGCCTTTCATCTCTTAGAGAGCTGGAACTAGGTATGCGCCTTGGGGTCAAATACGGCGGCTGGTTGACGCCAGGACGCGCGGGAGGATCAGACGGCGATAGGAGCGAGGAGGAGGAAAACGCGGACGGGGAAAGCGGGGGATGGGTCGCGGTAAGGGACGGATAGCTCAGACGATCGGAGAAAATGGACGGATCAATGGGGGGTGGTGGACGAGGAGGTGTTTTTGAGGGGGTTTTGTAGGTGGCAGTCGCATTAAAAGGGTTGGAGGGGTCCATGATGCAGATGACTGGCCCATCTGATTTTGATTAAGAAAACATGAATGAGACAAGCTGCAGTCAGTAGAAAGACAAGGTAGACTTTTAACTATGTCAAAAGGGAGGAGAGTATCTTGCATGTTGTGAAAAGGGAGAAACAAGGAGGGCCAAAAGATCATAACAATCACAGGAGGCTAAAGAACAACCGCTGCTCTTTTGGGCCAATGGGCGGTCGATCGTCCATTCCTCGTCTCTTCTTCGTCTTGTCTTCATTTCTCCCAGTCTATGGCCTGTCAGTTCAAGAGATGACAATCTTTGCAAGAGTTTAGAGAATTTGACAGAGTTTGACTAGGTGGCTCTTTGTGGGATATTTACTCCGCGAGTCTGCACATACCTGGGCATCGATATTTACTCCGTGTACAGTACACTAACAGACCAATCAAGTTCGACTTGCGAATTTATTGCACGTTCTATTCATATCATAAATCATAAGACGCCCAATCATAAACCCTACCCACCATTAAAAACGCCTGAAAATGGACATGCCTATAGGAAAACGCCAGGCCCATCATTTATCCAAACTCCATAAGCTGGAAACTCAACACAATGAAACGAAGTATGTGAGAAATAGTAGAACCTTAGAAGGTAGACCCCCGCGACCATAATCGGTACCACCTCCTCCTCTGAACCGGAGCCTGCCCGGGACCCTTCTCCTGGTCAAGACTGACATCTGAGTAGCGCGAGCTGCGGAAAGAGACACTACTCGTGGAGCTTGAAGACGCCGTGGACGAGCGGCTCTGCTTGCGCTTGTGCTTCTTCTCAGTCATGAACTTTTTCGTTGCGTGGTTGTTGCAGAAACACTGCATGCGCGCGGTCTCATATTCGATACCAGCACAGTCGGCGTTCGGCTTGCCAACGCCGCAGGTCTTTTGGCCGGCGTCTTCTTCGCACTGGCACCAGTCGTAGAGAGTGAGGAATTGGCGGCACATGTTGTAGGACTCTTAAATTCTTTTTTTTTTTTGGTGTGTGATGTGTTGGCTGGTCTATCTTTTGCTCTTCTGAGCGCCACTGACGTTGTAGGGCGATCGATAAACGAAGTGTGGGCGATCAACTCCGCTGGCTTCCGGAGGATGTAGACCGATGTGAACCCCGCTAAGGTTTTTTGATATGTGGCTTTTGAATGCAAGGATGCAGAGATTGAAATCTTCTTTGCCGTAGTTTATGCCGTAGTTTAGTTGTGTGAGGGCTCGTGTTTGCTCGGGTTGCCGAAGTATGGTTCTCTTCTAACACAAATGAGACAATGATGTTCCTGAAGCGACAGCTGGATTTATGTTAAGAAACTTGCAGAAGAAAGATATCTAGCGACAGAATGCAAAGGAGAAGTAGAAAGGTATTTAGTGGAGATAGCAAAGAAAAGGACCCGAGTAAGAAAGCGAGGATCCAAAGGGCTTCTATAAGTAAAAGAGAAAAGAGCAAAGCCCGCGGAGTGTTTGACGTCAGCATCGCAGAACAACTGACGAAGCGCCCTCATTGTGGAGCTTTTTGTTCGGTCTGACGCTGGCCTCAAAGGACCGCCCGCCCTAATCCATTATCCCATGCTGATTTGCGCGATCTAGACTCGAGTTTCTGAGACTTGTTCTTTCTTTGGAACCGGCCAATCCTCTCTTGTCGCTGCCCAGGATTCCCAACGCCTGAGTCTCTAGACGCCGCTGAATGAATGGCTCTAGCCGCTCTACAGCTTCGGTTTGGTGGTTTCATTTAGCGCTCCTGACTCATACAATTGAAGAAGCTGGTCAATTGGCGGACAAAAACAGAAACAATCAATGCGTGAATGCGCCTGCTTGCCTGACAAAGAGCTCTTTGTGTTTCTGTGAATGACCACCAAGAGCTTTAGGATGAACCCCAAGACCTCGGCGGAGTTTCTCCCATTGAAAATGCTCTGCGCGGAGCTTGGCGATCAGAAAACGCCAATCGAAGCGTCACTGACAGGATTTTTACCCCTCATTGGCGGCACCAGAGGGACGCCGAGAGTCCGACTGTCCGAGTGAGAGTGATGATGTCGTGTCGTCGTACCGGGGTACGTCAACCTAAGCAAGCGTGAGAGTATCCGTACTCCGTAACATCGTAAAGCAGAAGCTCACTTAGCTCAGCTTATCGATTGCTGAGTGATTGATCGGTTCGTCCGCAATCGGCATTGCCTGCTTGATGATCTGATCTGCCTAACTTGTTGTGGTTAGGGCAGCTTGGGCTGATCTTCAGGTCACCTGACTTTCTAGGGCAGGGCGAGAAATCTGGTGCTCTGGAGCTTAGCTCTTGGGTATAGTTATCCTTGTTTAGAGTCCATGGACTCTCTATGCACTGCCTGATAAATATGCACAATGATTGCGCCACGCTCTTGTAACCATGTAGTCAAAGTCAGCATGCTTGTACCTGCCGACAGATAAAAATGCCCTGAGTCTTGGCGAAATTTCTCCAATCTCCGCAGTTCTGCACCCCTCACCTACACCAACTCTTTACAGGATCTCTATAGTGCACAGCTTCCTTCGCAAATCTCCCTACTCATAGCAACCCACCTCGGAAATAAGGTCAAGGACATGACGACCTTATCCAGCGATCCCGAAATCATGCCCCCCTCCGCAGCCCGAACAGCAACCCTCCTCGCAAACCTCGCATCTGTAACAAACCGGGTAACAACCGCCGCGAGCAAACTCTCCGTCCCAAAAGACCCTTCCTCTCCCGTGCGCCTTGTCGCCGTCTCAAAGCTAAAGCCCGCCTCGGACATCCTCGCCCTCCACAACCCACCCACCGCACACACGCACTTTGGCGAAAACTATCTACAAGAACTCCAAGAAAAGGCGCGTCTCCTGCCCCCTACGATAAACTGGCACTTCATCGGTGGATTGCAATCGAATAAGTGCGTTTCGCTTGCACGGGATACCCGCGCGCTCTGGGCCGTCGAGAGTGTGGATAGCGAGAAGAAGGCGGGCCTGTTGAATAAAGGTTGGGGAGAGCGGAAGCGGGATGTCCTTGGTGGAGAGGAGAGACTTAGGGTGTTTGTACAGGTCAATACGTCTGGGGAGGAGAGTAAGTCTGGTGTTGAGCCTGGGGAGGGCGTTGTGGGCCTGTGTCGGTTTATCAAGGAGAAGTGTCCGAAGTTGCGGCTACAGGGGCTCATGACGATTGGGGCGATTGCGAGATCAAAAGCGACAACGGCGGAGAATGAGAATGAGGACTTTTTGTGTCTTAGGGAGGCGAGGGAGACGGTTGTGAAGGAATTGGGGCTTGAGGGGGGAGAGGCCCAGTTGGAGTTGAGTATGGGGATGAGCGAGGATTTTGAGGGGGCAATTGTTCTGGGAAGTGATCAGGTGCGTGTTGGAACTACAATCTTCGGAGATAGGCCGCCGAAGGATCAGGCGAGGGTTGTGTGATGAGTGTGCATTGCAAGGAGGACGCGAGGCGCCTATGTATATAAGCTACTTCTGACGAAACTGCATGTGATGACATGCTCAAAGAATTATGTACTACTCTAAATGATATCAATAAATACATGCCAAACTACCTCGATGCACTGGCACCAGGAGCAATGTCGAAAGAAGTGTCATGGCGCTATATGCAATATTAATAGCCCAACTCTTCGCTTGGACTCATTCCTCGCGGCGGTTCTCGAGCATATGTCCTATCCGCCAACGGCCCCCGCGACAGCCTCTGTTCCATCTGCCGCGCCAACCCCTGGGGCACCCCTTCTTGTGTGGCTCGAATTGTTACACGGTACATCTATAAACAATTAGTATCTCTCGAATTGGTATGGTTGAAATGCCACCGGGGCGCTCACCTTGCGGTCATAGTTGGGCTCGAGGCGTAGAAGACATCCCGTTTTACCTTGTGCTGAGTGATACACGGCGCAACCCACGATGTTGGTCTTATTAGGGTCCACGCCATCCAAGAGCTTCCAGCCAAATTGTTCCACGGTTCGTCTTGTGAAGCCCTCGCTGATAGGCCCCGCCTTTGCGACGAGCCCGAATGTGTTTTGCGCTTCGAGGGGAGCTCCGCCAATTTGTCTCCAGCGCTTGAAGAAGTCTTCCGCAGAGAGACTGGAAGGCTCCATGTACCGGTGCATCAAGATTGGAAGTTGCAAGGTATAGGCTTGGAGTGCGCCTGCAAGGTATGAAATACGGATCGTGGGTGCGTCAGAGAACGGGCCCTTGGCCTCGAAGAAGAGGGTCTGCTGTGTCTGGCCAGCAGCCGGTACTGAAGGCTCTGGGAGACTCTTTGAGTCGATCCTCAGATGCGGCGCCGATTGATTATCCACAGTCGTAGTCAGTGATCCTATGGGAAAGGAAGCTTTGTTGCTTAGGTATAGCTTCACTACACCTAGATGACCCCTGAATTCAGACCGTAACCCAATCTGAATCTGAGCATCCTCAAACAACACACCCTCTTCAGCAAAGTACAGCTTGTCGTAACCAATTTCCCAGTCCGGTGAAAGGTTGGCCGCGCTCGCCATGTTTGTAGGAGGAGGTGGTGTGGGTGCTGCACTCAGGTCTAGTCCGGCTAGGTCCCCTGATGCGCTAGACGTAGCGGGTGTTCCGTTGGTGCCCGTTCGCGTACCGTTGACGATTGTAGTGAATGTCCGCTTAAGCCCCGTATTCTGCGCCATCAAGATTTCCGCTCCGTCAGTGTTTGCATCCTTGCCGCCCACAACCCATGTCTTCTTGTCTGTCGTACCAGCAGTCTTCTGATGGAGACGCGAGAGCAGGATCGAGGCCCTCTCGGAGAATGGAGGCATTTCATCGCAGACCGTCCGCAGGAGATCGTCGGTTGGAAGTGTCGCCAGCGACAGGTATTCAAATGCACGCTGCTGCAGTTCCGGGTCCGGTGAATGGCTGTACAGCCGGAAGATGTGCAAAAGTTGCGGCTTGATTTCTGGGAAAAGATTGACGAATTTAACAAATGACGACAGGATCATCGCCCGTGTATTGTCCGTACTCGTCATTATCTTGGCCTGCAGAGCTAGGAACTGCTCGATAGGGCTTGACCCTTGGTTGTCAGCTACCAAATGTCCAAACTCTCCGAGAACGTAGCAGCCAATCTTGACTAGACTCTCGTGACAGTCGGTCTTTAGATAGGTTAGAAGTGTTTGGGCAGCGTATGCTTGTAGTTCCTCGTTATTCGTGACAATTTGAATCACGCGTTGCCATACTTCGTCGTTAACATGGTCGCCAGCCAGGGATAGCAGCTTCAATGTAACATCAATATACCATTGAGCATCAGTGGCATATTTTTCCGTCAGAATAGCAACCTTCAAAACCATTTCTTCCCTTATCGCGTAATCGGCAGATTGAAGATATCGCATCAATTCATTAACAATCGGCGCAGCGTTGGTACTGTCACACATACTGTAGATCAAATCGAGTCCCTTTCGACGAACGCTAATATCTCTATCGCGAAGAGAGCCCAAGATGATGTTTTGATGCTTCTTGATCGGGTCGAGTGTCTCTGCTCTGGCTGCAAAGTGAGCCATTGCCTCTAAACCAAGATAGCGCACATTAGTCTCGCGTGATTGAATATATTTTCCAAGCCGGGAAGATATCTGCATCATCAAGGTGTGCTCCGTATCAAGGTGTATGAGAAGGTTGATGGCTTCGAAAAGCACGGCGTTCTGGGCATTGTTCTGCTGCACGTTTTTCGGCGTGTCCATGGCAATCTGCATGATTTGCTGAAGCGACGCGCGGATGATATCACGGACATGGCTGTCCGCTGCATTTGGTTAGCTAAATACAACAGCTAGACGGAGGTAAGAAAAATACCTGCAGGAGGATAGTACTGTAACAATCGCAGCAGCTTGACCTGAAGCCACGGACAGGGAACTCGATAGTAGAGGTAGTCGGGCGCAATATCGTTATCCACAACGACCCTCTTCAACCGTTGAGCAGCCTTGACGTAGCTTCCGCGATACTCCTCAGGTCTGTCCTGGACCAATGCCATGACCAAGGATGTCACGGAGAGCGTGACACCCATGTCCGGATCATCCATCAGAGATATTATACGCTCCGCCCATGTATTTTGGACAATGCTGGGGTACTTTCGGTATAGGCGGAGGAGGGTGAGCGCTGCCTTTTTCTTCACGAAGGCTTTAGAGGTACTGTAGACATTAGAACGGAACTAAAACCATAGAACAATCATAACGTACGGGGAAATCAGCAACCGATGGACATCCGTTGAGAGCGCTTCACCCATCTCCCTGCTACCGACGTTGGCAACGGCGTGCAAAGCCAAGCAATTGTTCAATTCATTGTTATCCAGCAAATCTTTTCTAATGCTGTTGACGACAAGGTGTAGCAGCTCATGTTCCTCATGGAGAAACAGAGTTACTGCGAGGTAACCGATCTGCTTCTCAGAGTACTTGTTCGAGGATATCAAATTGACAGCTTCAAGGTGACCGAAATCGACGTCGTAACCCTGGATATAGACGTATAGCAGCTTGCAGACATATTTCTTCTTCTGGTATCCGTCCAAGCTTCCAGACTTGAACTTTTGTCGAATGTTTGCCAATTCTTTGTTCACCCGCTTCTCCTCCAATTCGCGCGCTCTTGCATTTCGCAGGTCAGCAATAAACTGGACTAAACCTCGCATCGACGACATTTTCGTGGAAAATGGGGTTTAGACGCGGCAATATAGATCGACAGCAAGTTTCAACTCGAAAAAAGGAGTGGCTGGACTCTGGAGAATAGCTCGGGGAGCTGTCGTGGGGCTCGAAAGGAGGGGATCGTCTTCGCAGTCTGATGCAGGTGCTCACACCGGGACAGAGCGCACACTCAATGAACAAATATCAGAGAACCATAGCCCGCTTTGAGTATTCTGTGCTTCCTTTGCGTTGATTTTAGAGGGCGTTCCTGGAACTCTTTGCCGCATACAACATGGCGCAGAGTTAAAGAGGAAAGCGTGTCTTCGATGCCAGTCAGGAGCTAGCGTTGCCCGGGACAGGGATAGCCAGGATTTGGTGGATCGCGCGGCTACTGAGCGACGATTAGAAGAAGGAAAATAGCTGAAGAATCACCTGATATCAAGGTCTGGGAATTGTGTGACCCGGAAAGTTAAGCATCCATAGGACGGCGTAACTGCAGCTATTCCCTAGGAGCGTTCCCCCATTTCAGGGTGTGCAGCCACTTCCGCGGCCGATCCGGCGGAGATTGACGGAACAATGTTGATACGCTGTGGCGGTGCTTCCCGGCTCTGGGGAAGTATGTATATCCCATCTTCTCTGTGTCATTGTGATTATATTCAATGATATCGTCGTAGATCCTATCCTACAGGTTTTGCTGTCCGTAAGCCACCAATTTCTAACTTTCGCGATATCAAAAAGTCCAAAACGCCCACCAGTCGTAACACCCACCAACCAGCCATGCAAAAGGAGCCAAATGGTATCGAATATAATGCATCCATCAATTTTATTTCCTACTCCGTAAAAAAGCCGCAACCTGTTCATGTCTGGTCACAAAGAACATCCTTTTTCGGTCCGACTTCCAGATCAGGACACCAATTTCATCGGCATACCGACATGGTGCCTCATACTCGGCAAGGCTGACAAAGTCCTTGAACAAGAACCCCGCTGTAGCTTTGACTCGATCACGCTCCAGCTGCCAGAGACGAATTTGGTCAACAACTGTAGGTGGAAGGACTGATGGTGGTATTCCGGCCTGGTTCGATGTGGACCGTGAGACATTGTGTTTCCGCATCTGCGGATGTGCGTGCGTAGCAAGGTATGAAATGATCTGGTCCGCAGTGATACCCATTTCGATCGCTCGACGAATAGACTGTCGGGTAATCTTTCCCGTGATGAGGTTCGGAAAGCGGTATTTGAGTGTCGTAAAAAGTGCTATGAGTGAGATTTGTAACGGTGAAGATGTGTAGGCGTAGAGTCGATAATTCGTCTCGATGATAATGAAGCCGGAACCAGGTTGACCGGCATCACCATTGCTAGGACCGGAGAGTTTTCCGGATATAGGGTTGCTCAGTGCACTCGAATCCGAGGTAAGGGTGGTTGCAAGGCGAGTAGGGTAGAAATGACTAGCTTCGGGAGAGTCCTGATAAACGATGCCAAAGTCTGCCAAATCGGTGAGGGTGCGAAGCTGGTTGGACGTCAAATGCTTCTTCTCATATGTCCTGCCGAGTTCCAAGCTGCTAAGAAGGAAGATAAACGAGAGCACTTCCACGCTGTCCATCCCAATAGCCTCGGCACTTTCAACGTAGAGAATCAGAACATGCCAGACTTGCGTCCCAACATCCTGCAAGACAAATGCGAACCCGTCTTGAGTAATCTCAACACGGCGGTCTCTGACTTCAACAAGATGCCCGGCTTGTAGCAGCTGTTTCACCCCTTTGCTCAGGTTTGCGTCACGTTGGATGCCTAGACCACTCGTACCGACCATGTATCCCAACACCCCCTCCCACTGTCGGCGCGCATATTCATCGAGATCGGGGATGGAAACACGCTCCTCGTCCGATATTCGAGAGAGTACTCCAAAGGACTGTGTCTGTTCAGCACCAGTAAGGGCTTGTCGAAGCGAGGCAGCAAACGGGTTGGTGACCATATACGCCCGGACATTATCAGCGGTCGTCGTATTGGACAGGATATGCAGCCTTCCTAGTATCGACAAAGCATTATCTCGTTCTCTAAGGATAGTAGTTAGTGGCGTACCGATAGATAGATCTTATAGATCTCACTTTAAGCTCTCCGATCTCACCCAGATCTCCAGATCCGCCGCGGGAAGCGGATCCTTCAGGTATAAAAGGGCCATCACGAAGCATTTTGCTATCGTCGCAGGTGAAAGGTTAACTGAGACCGAACAGATATCGTCGACCACAACATATCTACATACCCAGGTCAGGCAGCATGCGCCTGAAAATAGCAAGAGCGGTGGATGGCTGCTGGTAGAGCTTGAAGAAGACAGTTCCGGGAAGGCTTTCGAGATAGTCAAACGGACGCGACGGGGCGGCCGCCATCTTGCCTTCGAAGGTGAGTTTTAGCTCGTCACTCCGTTGGCATGATGTGGTCCATAGAAAAAGTACCCAGAAGCGCAGGTGAGGGAAAGAAAGACAATGAGGCTCTCGCCAAGTTCGGGATATTTACTCCGGTGACCGCAACGGCCCGATGCGCAGTCCGCGGCGATGATCTCACGGCAATTGGAATACCCTGGCTTGCATAGTCCGTCCTTCTCCTACTTCTCTCGCCAGAAGAATCCATTGATCGGTTCGAAAATGACGGCGCTTCGCTTTGTCAAATCTGTAAGTACTTTTGACACACGTGCACGAATTTCCTTCTCGAGACATTCTTCTAACAGGTGTCACCAGGTTTGGGAGTCCTTCCGGGCGACTTCGGGGCTCGAGCCTCGGTAGGAACAGCGCTCATTGTCATGATATGCATTACTACTAAGCTTACACCTTGTGGGTACACAGGCTATTGGACGGTGTAAGCATTATTATTTATGAGCTATTTTTCAGCCAGAAACCGAAAAGCTCTCGTGACTGCATTGGCACGCATCTATATAAACATCGGCAGTGCTGACGGACGTTGTTCCAGCTCCGCGTAACAGCCGCGAAGCCGGGTACAGTAAACTTTGAGCTGGACATTCAGAAAGAGCATACAGTAAGCTATGCGTTTCTAAATTTTGAATCGGAGTCACTAATAGCCACACAGAACCGCCTTAACATTCTACATGGAGGTACAATCGCTAGCATGGGTACGTTTACTCCAAGAATTACCCGTGTTCGTCGCTTATTTTTATTACCTACAGTTGATCTCGGCGGCTCGTTGGCTGTTGCATCGCGTGGACTATATGCTACGGGCGTGTCAACCGATCTTAATGGTACGCAACAGCAAGCTGTACTTGGAGTGGCCATATCTAACTTATCGTCCAGTAACATACCTCAGTTCTGGTGGGAAAGTGGGGGACAAGATTCTAGCGGTATGTATCTTCGTCCGCTATAGCCAGTATAGGGCTAATTTTGCAATAGGAGGTGACCTGCGATAAATGTGCGTCCCAACCTTGATGGTAGCTATGGCTGCTCTCAAGGAATACAGTCTAACTCTATACAGTCGGCAAGACCCTCGCGTATACCTCCATCAGGTTCATGAACTGCAATGGTGATGTTTTCGCTAGAGGAAGCCACACAAAGTATGTACATTGCATGGTTCATTTCTGCTGTATTTGATGCTAACGATCCAGCAGATACGTCGCTCTTGCATGGAAAGACCCTAAGAACATTGTCGAGGAACTAAGCAGCCGCAAATCGCCGTAAGAGGTGTTACGCACAGCAAGTTCGTAACCATGGGACCCCACAAATGTACATTGTAGTATACTGTCACCTATAGACTACTCATCAGTGTATAGAAACGCGGGTGGATCTCCATTTTTCCAGAATCTAGAATCTATTAGGTGGAAAGTACAATTCAGAATAGACCTCCAAACATAATGCACCATTCACCCTGTAGGAAGTGACGCGGCTTTTAATTCTTCATGTTTATGGGAGTACATGTTCATGTAGTGGATCTTCATCGCCTTCCTCACCGGCTCCAAGCATGATTTCATCCCCATCCTCAACCAAGTCTTCCTCCTCATCTGGCATTGATTCATCGACAATCGCATCCTGCCCACCCAGAGCCTTGATCTTGGCCTGTGTCATCTCGAAGACGTACTGCCCAAGATGTTCTACGCCTTCCATAGCAGTCCCCTGAACCTCGTCGCCTATTGTTCGTGTAGTTGGGAACATCTCCCCAGGAGCCAGCATTAGTTTGTCAGGGCGTTGTAGAAGCAGGTCGAATGCGGGCTTTAGCTCGTAACAGGACTCGAATACTTCGCGACGACCCAGGATGTAGAGACCGAGGCGGGCCCGTGAAAGTGCTACTGTCAGCCGGCGAACATCACGGAGGTACCCGACTGTGCGGGTTCGTGTTAGGGAAAGAATGAGGTCTGTCATTTGTTAGTGAATTGGTTACGATTGGAAATACAGATGTACTTACAATCATTCTGTTCTCCCTGGTACTTGTCGACCGTTGTGACTGTCTTTGGCATGCCGAAGAAAGTATTCTTGGCACACCGATGGTTCAAAACATCCTTGATGAGCGCCGTTTGGCCAGCATATGTTGCGAGAATCGCGATCTTCGACGCCGGATAGCCAAGGAGTCGCATATACTGGAAGATGGCAACGGCATACTCAGCCTCGCCGAGGTTCTGGATAAAGTGGGGAGACGGCTCCCGTTCTCCTGTGCCTTGGTAGTCGGGGACATTGATGAACTGGTACTCAAACTGGAATCCAGCGTTGGCCTGCTTAAACTCTGGAGCTTGTTCGACAATGGGCAGGTTGCCGAGGTTCTGATAACGCCAGCGGAATAGTTCTGCGATACTCGGCCGAGCGCGTCCCTGCTGGTCAAGCGTGATGACTGGGACACCCAGTCTCACCAAACGAAGGAAAAGGCTTTGGTCAAAATGAGCATACTGTCGGAAGGCCATGTTCTGAATAACGGGGGAGTTCTGTAGGTGGTCACCGCACAGAACCACTCGCTTCAGAGGAAGCTGGCCATTCTTCATGCTTTGCAGAGCTGCGGGGATAAAGCTTTCGACTTCAGTAATCTGTGCAGCTTCTTCCATTACAACATTGTCATAGTGAAACCCAAGATCTGCGATTTCTTGCCGGCGCATGGCTGCGTGCGTACTTGTCATTGCGATGATCCTCGCCTCTTTCACAAGAAGGTAGTTAGCCTTGTCTTTTGGCTGTCGTAAGATCTCAAACGGCCGGATATCCTCTAATTCTGAAAAGATCTTGTCAATATGACGTTGGCAGCCTTCTGCTACATCAATTGCCGCCTCCCTCGGTGCAGAAGCATCAAACAAAGGCTGTGGTGCGTTAAAGAAATAGTCGTCAAACGGGAAGGCCGATATGATTTCTTCTGCGGAAGTGTTTTCCGCACGGGCAAGCTCCCAGAACTTTGCCCATGCGGGTTTGATATATACGGTATTGAAGTAGCCTGCAGTCTCGCAGGAGTTCCCATGTGCACCCTGCGCGCCAATTGAGGCCGCCAGGCGGGTGACTTCTGAGAGGAAGAAGCTTCGGTTGTCGAGAAACGACTCAACACGGCCATACTTGCTGTAGCTGGTCTCGGTTTCTAATTCTTCTTCACCGTGACCGAGGCGCAATAAGTGGCGTTCGTCAATGTCTAACGCGACGATTTTCTGGAAAAGCTGATTCAATGCCTGGTTACTGTGCGCAACAAGCAGCGTGCGCTCATTTGGAAAGTTGTGATAGATGTTGTTTATGATTTGAGTCGCGACATCAGTCTTGCCGGTTCCGGGTGGCCCAACGATGACTGTGAGACCTGGTTGTGTTCCCGAAGCGATCGCATCAATCTGAGCCGGTGTGAAACGCACGGTGTTGAGTTTTGGAGAGTCTACCAGATAGGGCCCCGGATTTGGGGGCTTGTATGTCGAGACACGGAGGGTCCGTTGTCCGTCAGATGACTGCTCTCTCCGTCGCTTTTTCGTGCCCGAAGTAGGGAGCTGAGTGGCGTCTTCAACATATTCTAGTGCGTATGGTGGCTGGAAACTTGACGTGGCATCGCCGGAAGGCTCGATAGTCAAACCGGGGAAACTTTCAATCAAGTGCTGCCAGTCCAAAAATGTGTCCCTAAGGTCCACGGATTTAAGGCGGTTTGGCAGTTCCGTGTAACGGGCTCCTGTAGGATCCCCATATCCCAGGAAAATATCTTGGATCCATGGTGGTAGGGTAATGTCGGATACAATAAGTCGTTGCATGGTCTCGAGAATGGACTTGAAATTGTTCTCTCTTCCTCTCCTCCTTGCGATCACGTTGATGAGTGGATAAATGTCTGGCTTCCCTTGCATGCTGCGATCCTTGTCAGTCTTGAAAGCAGTGGGGTCTAAATTGACTAGTAGCCTCCTGATGCGAGGCCGAGGTTTGTATCCATTTGTCTGACCAGAAGTCGGCTCGCGCAGCGGTCGACCATTTTCATCGAGTACTTGAACAACGTCAGCGGTTCGAAGATGTGAAATGCCAGCGCCACCTTCTCTCTGGCGGGCTTGTACAGCCAAGAGGAAGACGACATCATCGGGGCGAAGCGAATCCCATTCCGCTCGGACATGGTCCGCTAACCTCCCAACTTCGATGGTAACCTCGGCCCTCACGAAGGCAGGCTGGGTGGATCCAACCTTGGGTTGCGCGACCTCTATTATTGCTGGTTTTGAGATTGGGATAGCCATACGAGAGAACCCCTCGAAAGTCAAAGTTCTTCCGTCCTGACTCGACCGGGGCTGCATTCGCTTGATCACTGACTCCATGTCTTTGCGAATTTGAAAGAAAGCTTCCGCCCGATACAAAAGAAACGAACGCCAGAGGAAATCTCCAAGGCTGAGATACTGTAGATTCAGTTTGGGTATTGCCAGCGGCCTGGACCCATCATACGTCTCATTTCGGAGCAACGATGGGTCGTAGAGGCTTTCTTCTGTGGGGACCACGCTCAGATGGGATGCGGCTTCCTGGAAAGGGATGGTCCGTTCGTAAAAGGATAGCAGCACCTCCATGTACAAAGCTCGATCGGATGTGACGTTTGCCTGTTTGGGATAGCTTGTGCGAAACCCTAGGTGCGAGCAAAGGGCTTGCAACTCCGAGTCATCCAAAAGAGATAGCTGACCGTCAAGTTCGGAGCGCTGCTCAATGGAGCCGTAATTTGATAAAGCTAGAATAGTCAATTTATCCTTGAAATGCTTCATCGAGGTTCTCTGTAGCTGCGCCAAATCTTGGCAGTGAGCATCGTACACTGCCTGTGATGAAAGCGCTTCTCCTGTATAGTCGTTGATCGCAAAAGCCGTGAAATGCTTAAGAAGATTATGAAAGTCTCGGAAGAGCGCATTCTCAGACGTACGGTACATCTGTGACAGCCGGATGACAGGCAGGAGGTGGAGATCTCGGAGTAAAGTGTTCACGTAGCGTCTCGTAGGTAGCTGAGACTCTAGATCGACAAGAAACTCGAGGAACCGCTCGCAATACCGTAGGTTGTCCGCCTGGTCCTTTTCTGGCCCGTTCAATCTCCGCAGAAAATCCAGAAGCAATGTGTATAACCAGGACCGCTCAAATCGCATTTTCGCCTTGGCCGCTTCATCTCCAGCGTCATAGCGTTTTGCTGCTGCCCTCCACGCCTTTTTCAGGTTCGGCGCTTTCCCGAGAACGCGTTCTCTAGCATCTTCGCTGTGAAGATTGTGCCACAGAGATATTGAAACGAGAGGGGCGCATTCCTTCCGAATTAACACGTTCTCGAGCGACTGAAACGCGCTAATCATAAACGACAGTATCGACAAGCGCGAAAAGGTAGGAAGCGATTGATCGATGCTCATCGAGAGGATCCGGTGGAAAAGGTTCGAAAAGTCATCTGGGCGATCTGAGAAGATGTCTGGGGCTGTTAGTCTGCGTTCAGAATGCTTAGGTATCATATCTTACCCCATATCGGTAAATGCTCTCGCTGTTTGACGCCCACGATCAATGCTATTAGCAGAACATGGTAGTTTGAGGCGTCTTCCGTGTAGGTCGGCCAAAGAAACCTATCGGGTAAGCATGAAAAAGCAAGACAGGAAGGGACAAAGAAGAACTCACTTCTCAAGAACATTTAGATTCTCTAGAGTAAGAAGCGAGCGAAGGCTGAACTTTTCAGCCTCTAGTGGATCCCAAAGGTCTTTCTTGATCGCATCATGCTTCACTTTGCGGAGATTTGACGACTCGAGCCAATGGGATTTGGCCAGTTGCACCCAAGGACTGTCGTCGCGAAAATCCTCGACGGTCGGTCTGGAATCAATGCCGTGCGCCATGGCATGCTGTGTCTGGAGACCCATTCCGCGACGTTGAGATCGCCCAAAAGCTCTCGAGCGCGGGTCCGAGGGTCTATATGGATTGCGTAAATGGTCCGCTAGGGTAGGCCGTACCGGATAGCTCATAGGCGCGCGTCTAGCGCAATCTATGATTGACGACAAGGAGCCGCAGCAGCCCGCGACAAACAGCTTTGTCATTTTTGCCAACAAGTGGTCTCACCATTTTTCAAAGATGGAGAACGCGGATGGCGATGTGGTTGACGCCTACAGGAGGTCGATTGGATCCCTCATGGCCAAAGCAGAGGCGGCCAAACCGGGCAGAGAGATTGAGCCTCCTTTGACGGAAACACAGCTTGGTGAATCGTTTTGGCTTCTCCCGAGTGAAGATGACCAGCTATCGCGACAATACAGTCTACAAACACGGTTTGCAGCTGTCGAAATCGCGTTCAGAGAGAGATTCTACAACCTTCTTGTACGCAAAACCTCAGGACGCCTGCAACTCATCGCTGACTACATGCTCGCCTCAGGCTACTATTTCGATCGATGACCCTGGGTTTATCCAAATATGGAACCTGCTCGATATAATATCCGTCTTTTCCGACAACGGTTCGTTTCCGCCTCGCATCATGTGAATCACAACCTAACGCCGGATTAGAACAATGTGAGCCCGGCCTCATTTTCTGGTTGATTGAGGAACTGCTTGATAGCCAGACGATTGAAGGTTGCCGGAAGGTCTTTGATTACCTGGAATCCCGAAGAGAACGGAACACAAAGGTACCAGCGCTTCAAGTGTCCCATCCTCGATACGCGCAGCTAACACTAGTAAAGAAACACTTCAAACAAAAAAGCTTGATTATTCTAAGGACGTGCAATGAGTTGCTGCGCAGGCTTTCTCGCGCAGAAGACACTGTCTTTTGCGGACGGGTGTTTATCTTTCTGTTCCAGAGCTTCCCTTTGGGAGACAAGAGTGCGGTGAATCTTCGAGGCGAATACCACACCGAAAATGTGACGACTTTCGATACGATCACGAAAGAAAGTACCGATCAGGCGGACGGTATGGATGTGGATATGCTTGATATCAAGGAATCAACCCCGATCGACGGTTCTCAAGCAACCGAGAGACAAGGCGTCGACGAAAAGTCGACCACTCAGGATCTTCCTGGGACACCCAAGGTGACTATTACTCGACCTGGAGATCAAACCCCGGGGAAATCAGTGGACCTGGATTCCCTGTATCCCGTCTTTTGGGGATTACAAGCATACTTTTCTGCGCCGACAAGAGTTTTCGATACCCAACACTTTGCCACATTCAAGACCGGACTGGAGTCTACGCTCTCCGCGTTTAAAAACGTCAAGACAGACCTTGAAACTTCGAATAGCAAGTCGTCAGAAGAAATCCGCAAATCGAACAAACGTAAGCGAACTGCAGATGGTCCTGAAATTGCAAGCAGTTTCAATCCCAAGTATTTGACCAGTCGGGAGCTTTTTGACCTTGAGGTATGCTCGATCCTATGCGATGTTGCTGTACCAGACTAAGATTCGTATCAGGTCAACGACACGGCCTTTAGGAGACACGTTTTGGTTCAAGCCCTCATCCTCTTGGATTTCATGCTTTCTCTTACACCCCAATCCAAATCAAAGCTGGCAGACTTGACCAACAAGTCTGTTCTGTATGGATTTTCCCTCAGTGAAGAAGATGTAAGCAGTTTTTATCATGCACCTCACTCATTTACTCAACTAATACGTCTTAAGGCGATCTGGGCCACCAAGATGCGAAAGTCAATCGAGGAGTATCTCCAGGAAGGTGTCGGAGGAAAGTTCTATTACCGCATGGTAGATACTGTTCTCTCCAGAGATAAAAACTGGGTACGCTGGAAGGCCGAGGGTTGTCCGCCAATCGAGAAGCCTGCAGTGTCCGTGACGGAATACATCAATGCTCGTGAGAACGCAACGAGGACATATTCAAACAAGCGGCTGCGGGCCTCGCCAATGGGGTCCCTTGATCTCAAGTTTCTCTCAGAGAGCGAATCATCATCCGCAATTGACAGATTAAAAGAGTCCGAAAGGTGTGTACGCATCCGCTTTCCTTTGTCGAGTCTCTAACATAATTTAGATTCAATGTTCCGGCCCCTGAGACTCTAATGCGTGTGATCGAGGACAATGAGTTCGATATTGACATGGCTCAAACCAAGGAGGACAAGGAGAGCGCAGTCCAAGCCAAAGCAAGCAAGACATGGCTGATGCTGCGACTGTCCGCCAAAAGTAAACTCACAGCTTTCGAAAAGATCGATGACGGGAAGAATCTAAAGATCCTTTTCGAGGTCCCACAAGCCAATGAAAGCACATTACAACCCGCCACAAATACACCACAAGATTCCACAACCAAGCTATCTCAGGAAACTGAAAATGAGCCGAATGGTCCGGCACAGGATCAAGATGCGGTACAGGACCAGGACAACGATGTCGGAGCTGAGAACGATACTGTCATGGCGGAGCCCAAGGCTAGCGAAGTAAATGATGCAACAACTACTGATGCACCAGAGGCATGAGCGAGGAGGCACCACATCGATTACTGCAGTTGTTCCAACCGATCATTATCTTGATTGACTCTGTTCGCGCTTATTCGGCCGATCTCCTTTATTCAGTTGAAACACCAAGTTCGAGTTGCATTGTGCAGATGATTCCTTGATTACATCTCAAGGAGGTGGGCCAAGCGCAAAATGGGGTTCCTGCACAGCGACGCCCGGGTAGGCTTATGAACTAGTGCTATACAAATCCTGTGCGAAGCATGCTTCAACATCGCCAAACAGGGGTAAATGCACGCCTGCGTCGCTTACCCCTCTGTGCGGTATGATGATGAATGACGCGGTGGCCTGTGTGTTTGAGGTTTTGTGCATGATGCAAGGGTCTAGCGCCTTTTCAGATATCTAGTGCTTGTCACGGGCGGCAAATGGTTGGAGAAGAACGCTGTAGAATGGACTTTAGGATCACCCCCTGCTTCTTGGACAACAGTGGGAGCTCTTCGGGGCCTCCCCCGTTCTCAAGAAGGAAGGTTTGACACGAAGATCCTCATCGTCCATGAAGGTTTGAAGCAGTTTTGGAATGGAATGGCAATGGCAGGATCATCGGGGAAATCCTTTGTGGCATCACCCACCTCAGGTTCAACCCTACCTCTCGGCGCCAAACCAATCTACTCCTATCAATGATCAGCAGATCAATTACCTGCAACGTACCTGCATATATTAAAACGCACGGTCTCATTCTTGTACTTCGGTGAAGAGCCGATAATTCGATATGCATAAGGTCCCAATCAAAGTGAAACAAGTTCGACCGAGCAAGTGACTTGCCCGAAAGCCTGACAATAAATGACAACAACGTGCAAGAAGCTTCGAATTCCCCTGGCAGTTGGAGAGCTGCGGAGGGTTGGAGGCGAGATTAAAGGGCGCCTGTCACTCAGACGCCATGTTTCAAGGTAAAAAATTAGGCCCCAAGAACCATAATGGCGGAAGCTGCCTTGGTCAGGCCGACAAATCCGCCCATCGACTTAATTATCAATTACCCACAAAGCCATATCGATAAATCGTGAGGTCTAATTCTCTAAACATATTGCACTTTCACGCCTACGTACTGAACGGCAACGCATCATCCAACATTGCCAAACGAGCTTGGAACCCTTTGTTTTGGGAGTTGTGCCTCGGTAAAAAGCCTTGTCAGGTACCGTCCCACTCGACTGTGGATGGAGAGCCTCGTGGTGTTTCAGCTTGGCCGGAGACCCGCACAGACCAGGCAAAGGATTGAGGATTCCGATTCGACCTTCGGTTTCAGGAACCTTGAGCTCGGGTTATTGAAGAACGAGCGTTGAAGAACAAAGCAAACTGATCAAAAGCAAATGAAGGGGCTATCGCTCTTCAGCTTGGCATTTCGCGCGAAGCCTTGGAAGAGATTAGAGTTGCTCCTCTTCAATTTACGGTCTTCCAACCCCAGCGCCACTGCAAAGGCCATGACTGGTCGCTTTGATCGCGGTCGATTTACCTGTGATCTTCTTCCCCGCACCGCTGCAACATGAGTGCGAATCGCGATCCTCGATGTGACCGCTGGAAGAAAGCTTTGGTCCTTTTTGGACAGAAATCAGGCCACGCGCTGGGTCCTTCAGCTTTCAGAACACTCGTCAACTTAATCCACTCTTCGGACCAAGCATCTCCAAAGGGAAATTCTTTGGAGCCTCCGAGGAGGTGCTTTAAAAAAAGTACCCACAAACCGTACGCGTATACATTACACCCACGCACTCTTGGCATGATATATCAAAACGTACCAGGGACGCATCGTCCAGGAGCTCAAAAAAGTTGCGAAGTTCGAACGAGTCGGCATCGCGCGGCTGACGTCTCCGAGATTTCGCCTCGAACCTTTCCTGTCTAGGGAACAAAGCCTCCGGAACGGAGGTCCAAGTGATATTTGAAGATGACCCGGCTGTAAGCTAGCAAGGGGCATGAATTCCTATCACTGGTTAGGAATTCTCCGAGAGAGGCCAAGAGCCCAAGACCTGTAAGCGTTGAACGTTCAGAAGTTCTCCAGACGGCTTCCATCAGCTTCGGTGGGACGAGGAGCGCTTGCGTTTTGATCCCCCGTGTGATCCTGGGCGACTTAGACAGGCACCGGACTCAGGATTCAAGGCTGCCGCTGATCCCGGTCGGTTATTTAGCCATCTTTCCAGCAGTAGGAATAATAGGAATAGTTGATGACGAGCGATATCAAAGACGCCTGTGCAAAGGAAAAGGACATCTCGAGCTGTGATGACTCTACTCAGCTTCATTTCCGATTCGCCTCAGTGGCATACTACTGAGAGTCGATTTCGATATCGAATCGGTGACTCTTGCGATCAGGATTCTCTAACCGAGCATGATCAGGGCCTGGATAGTATGACGAACTGACCCACCGCGACTCATGTCACCTTGTTGTCAACTTGTCTGGCATTCTGTTTGCACTCCAGAATTCTTGTCTTTCTTCACGATGTTGCCCTGCAGAGAGCACAAAACGAGCAGTGCAATAATAATAAGCCTGACTTCCAGGTTCTTGATTCTTCCTCCTGTTGGCCTTCGGCAGGCACTCCTATTCACCAGTTTCTGCTCCTTTCTGGGCCTGTCGACCAAGGTGTTTCATGCAGGTGCTTCTGTGGAGTTTCGTTTCCCCTCCTCGCTCCTTCTCGCTCCGTCGCCAAATAGCTAGCTGGTGGGGACACGGCCGTTGACAAGCACACGATTTTAGCGTCTTTCGGTTCAGTGTCCGTTCTGGTCGCCTTCCATCGAGGTTCCTTGCGCCAAGGCCCGCAATTCAATCGCTGGAATCTCTGGAATCTGGATCAAAGGAAGGAAGCCCAGTCGCTCGCATCGCGACGGCTAATATGATGATCACCTAAATGATGCGCCGTGCGCGCCATGTCGAGAAAATCTCTTTCCCGTCGCCCTCCGTGCTGAAGGAGAATTTTGAGTCTTGACGTGGGATCATTCCCTCGCCAACAACGGTGACCCTGGCTTATCTCGAGTGCTAGTACTAAACTGGCAAGGAATGGTTACCTCCGGCTCCCATTTGGTGGAATTATTCTTCCTCCCGCGTTCCATGGCTCTGGACACTTCCAGACTTCCAGCACACGTTGTTGTGTTCCTGAATTTCTTCAAAACAAGTCACGTCGGTGCACGAGGCACCGCTGAACAGACATTATTGTTCATCAATACTCCAATTCTTGTTCCAGGTCTTGGCCCCTTCCGGTGTTTCGATCATGGGTCTTGTAATCCGTTTCTCCTCCTGGAGGGGAACTCAGCGGCAGCTGCTCTTCGGTTTCACTCGGATCCCCCCATTTAATATTCACGTCACTTGGGATGGTGCTTCTTGGCTGGCTGATGGCGGACAGGGCGCTAACTCGACTTTCAAGGTTAGGCCTCTCGTCTCGATTCCGGTGCTTTGTTTGGTGGACTCTGGGCCAAAGCACCACCCGAGTTGTCAACCACGCCCGGAACATTTCCCACATGGTGTGCCATGGTCTCCATCAAAAAGACAATTAGCAGACTAATCAGGGTGAGGCTGGTTGATTCGGGTCCGGCCCCCCGGCAGGCCAGGCAAATGGGCATTAGAGAGCAAGGGTCCATTTTTACCCCTCTCACAACGGTCAATTGGCGAAGCGAACGGGCAGTGGGGATGAGTCTAAGACTGACCCAATTGACCCGCAACTATGCGGAAGCAGGAATCATCCCGGTTTGGTGTCCACGTTCTACGCCTGAAAAATGCCAACTGCACTCAAAGCGCTACCTCTGTTGAATCGATCGATAACTCTCGCGAACGGCGGCTTGTGACATTCCTGTATGACTGTACGGGCAACCCTATGGAGATTGAACAAGCATAGGTCCTTCGCCTTTTCCATTGCATTGTGCACCCAAGTAGCCAGTCCGGTTGCGGAGAAACCTCTGTTGTCTCAAACTAGAGACCTTGATACGGAGTAGTGTCCGTCGTTGAAGTCAATGCTTGCTGAGTGGAAACTCAATCGCTGATCGTGTACCACGCACCCTCCTCGACTTTTTCCACAGGGCTCCTACAGCCGATCTGGGGCTCGAGAGGGAGGTTGGTCTCCTTGCCACCTTCCGTTTTGCTAAAGCATGACTTCCTCCCTGTTCCCTTGACAACTTCAGACCTAGCGTTACAACATATTATTACGCTTCTGCCTGACATCCGAGTCTACTCGTACTATTGATTCATCATTCTATTTTCCCCCCCAAAATTATCCTACCTTGGGCTGTTTGTCCGTAAGACCTGACCCCCGAAACCCGACTCATGATAGCGCCGCCAATCTCTGTCCAGCGTCAACACACCTTGCAACGAACCTTTATATCATCTTTATTATTGCTTAGTGCTACCATCGGCAGGAGCTCCGCTAAATAGACTACGACCGCTCTCCCTCGGTGCACCGGACTTCTGTCTGATCTCAAGCCCAATCATCCAATTACCCACCTTTGTATCACCTTTCGCCTTGATTTTAGCGCCGTGAGTCTTGTTGGCGACCTTTGATATCTACTGCTTCGACAACGGCTCATACTGGATCTTAGCGCAAAGATATCTTGAGTCGGCTCCTGCATTAGGCTCTGGTTGTCATTCGTCTCCAGACCTGTCAGTGTCAGCCTGTCATCAGCTGGAGAGGAGAGGGCGCTCCTTGCCACCCCTCACTAGTACTGCCCCCTGCACTTCTGGCCTTGGTGGCAGCAGTGTCAGATCCGGTGGTGGATCATTATTCCTCTCGGACATTGATCACGGTCCTAAGCGCCCCGGTCTTCCTGGTTTTATTTCCAAATGCCCTGATCTCCTTGTCGTGACCCGCTTGGCTAAGCACTGTTTAATCTCTTCTCCTTCCTCCTTCACCTCCACGCGCCAGTAGACAAGAGTCGTCCGCCACACGGAGGGACCCAACGGTGGAATCGACCCCCATCTTTCGCCTGTCGACCTGCGGTAGTCCCGGCCGCGACTCAGAACCCACCTTCTATCACCTTATAGGAAACACCCAGGCGGCTAGACTATCTCTTGTTCATCCGCCACTAAAGCGGACGATAGCCTGAGTTTTCTTCAAAGGAGCGACGAACGACCAACTTATTTACTTCTCCCCTCTTGACCCTACCCCTGGGTCAACAGCTTTGAGACCCTGGGCCCTCCGAAGAGAGAGAAAGAGAGAGAGCACCCAATACCTCTCTCGCAGACCCACTCTACTCGGTGCCACCCTTGACCCTTTTTGGCCTCTCTTCAGTATTTACTCGACCTTTTGACCTTTTCGCTGCTTTGTGCCAGTCTGTCGTTCATTTTGCCGGCACTCAAATCGACCCCACGTGGAATCTCTATGGATTGACCCGAAAAGCAAAAAAGAAAGAAGAAAGAGTGATCACGACCATGTCAGTCGGCGGCCCTTGTGCCTGGGTTTCGACGGTGCCACCAGCAGCTACTGCTCATCCATCTACCATCACAAGTTCCTGGACCTCAGTCTCGTGGAACAGTGAGCAAGGCTCATCAAAGTCGGGGTTAGACCTAACAGTCCTATCTACAGTTAGGGGGCCGGGAGGCGAGCCAGAAAAGGCTCCTTCTGTGGAAATGCAGTCGACCGTGGTCAAGGCTGAGAATGCCTTTCCAGTTCAGGCCACTGCAGTGTCCCCTAATCTGCTCAGGTACCCGGAAGAAGATGCGCATTTGAACAGTTTTGAAAGTCAAAGTTCAGAACAGGGCGACTCCTTGTCGAGGTTGAAACTAGAGAGGCTCAATGCCGACGATCAGGAGAGGGACAAATCACCGCTGAACGAAGAAGAAATGTCCTTCAATGTCAAGTCGGAACTTTCAGAAGACATACAAGAGGATGAAAAAGACCACAGCGAGATCAACGCCGGGTCTTCTGACGATGGAGCGGGATCCTCCGTTGCTGATGATAAAAAGGCTTCTCAACTGGAAAAGAAGAAGATGAAGCGGTTCCGGTAAGTGATCATAAGAGCCCATTGATGTGATTGATGACAAGTGCTGACAACGCGAAGGCTCACTCATAACCAAACTCGATACTTGATGAGCGAATTCACTCGTCAGGCGCATCCAGACGCCGCACACCGAGAACGACTATCGAGGGAAATTCCTGGGCTGACGCCACGTCAGGTTCAGGTATGGTTTCAGAATAGGTATTTTCAACGCCCAACAATATATATCCAACAATTCGCATGTTCTGACTAACACCATAACCAGGCGCGCCAAACTCAAGCGTCTTACCAGCAACGATCGAGAGCGGATGTTAAAATCTAGAGCATTGCCGGATGATTTCGATACAACCCAAGTCTTGCGGACTCCATTTGGCAGCAAAGCGACCTCAGAAGCTCCAGTGAGTTAGCCCCTTTCATTCTGCCCCAGGTGCACTGGGTCCTGACTTTTTTGCTTCTATAGGGACTCCTAACAGAAGGCTTACCGCGCTTGAACGACGACGACTACGTGATATCTCCACTGAGTTCTGCTTCGACATCGGGCCCCGGCTTCCCGCCTGCCGATAGGGGTTTTGAGAGCTACCAGAATCGAGGAGCAGCAGCAACGGTTCCGGACTTGAGGAGCAACCGTGGCACCTTTCCTTTCCCGCGATCGAGCAGCTTCTCTGAGTCATCCTTTAACACTAATCTCCAATATCCCGGCCGCTTTTCGAGACCAGGGGTGGAGGCAATGGGTCATCCTGGAATTCCATATCCACGACGGCCAATGGACTATGCGATGAATCGCCCAGCAAATGGCATGGTGGTTGGCTACAACCACCATCGCCAAATAGAGGGCTCTGTATCACCTACCGGTCAACCTGAGCAGCAAATGCCGCCATATGGCATGGAAAATGCTGGTAGGTACTTTCTCATTCTATGTAAAGTCTTGGGAGACTGACACTCATTTTCTCTCCTCGCGCCTAGGTCAGATGCACAGTTACCAACCTCCTCTTTCGATGCCCGGCCCAAAGACTTATGGAGGCTTGGAAATGCACTCCCATATGCAAGGCCCCGGACGCAGTATACCTACCCTACAACACCTACCAGTCTCCGAAGCGCCAGACTACCGCACCTATTCCTATGAGAACCACCCTTATGGCATGAACTCCGGGATACCCTTCAGTCAGGCCAATGCTTCGAGTTTGAGCCTACCAGCATCTTTTCCTTCCGACACCGGACACGTCTCTCAAGCACCCGTCGGCAGTTCACCCGACGACAGAATGACCCAAACCCCGCAGGTCATGGACCCCCTGCGAGCAAAATACGGCCAAGGTTACGAATACGCCAACTACCTATAACCGTTGAATCACTTTCCCATCTACGAGCCTCCCACCTCTGAGTGATAATTCGACAGCGATTGCATATGTACTCATGTGATCCGGAGAAATGTTTAATTGATTGAAAGAGCTCGAGCGCCATATTTGTTCTCGATATATCTGTTTCTATTTGGGTATACATATTACTTCTCTCGTGTGTTTATTGATCATTTTGTCATTTGCGAGGCGGAAAATCTTGGTGGCTGTATACAAGGAGTTTGGTCACTAAACCGGCGTTATTATTACTTTCCCAGTTCCCGTTTCCTTCCTTCTGTGTTCTACAAGACTTATTATCAGTTGTTATCATAATTTCTAAACTTTCTGTACTTCCAAGCAGTCTCTCGCTATACAATGTAAAAAACAACAAAGGGCTGACCAAGATGCTGCGCTAAAGGGCCAATCCGTCATCGATATATAGTTCAAACTTTTGAGATTCCATACCTCCACGCTTGACCTATTTGTGGAAGGAATGGCTATCAATTTTCCGATTCGTTCTCGAGTACGTCTAAGTCGCCTTACTAGGTACTTGCTCCGCATGGAGCCAATGCCATCGCCTAGATATGTCAGACTAGACTTGGAGATCAACATCGCCTCCCAAAGGCTTAAATCCAATGTGGAAAAAGCAATTACCAATCCCTCGGTTGACGAGCAATAATCAAATGTCATCTGGGGAACTATTTGGTGCCTGAGGCACAAATTAAGGTGGCGTCTCGCCAATCAGCACCGCCGGATTCTTAAGCAAATTGAGTTGATGACTGACGAAGGAAATCTTGCGATGTATAAAGGCGCTGGCTGCTACTCTTCTTTTCAAGTTGAACAACAACAATTTCACTACGAATATCCTTCTCACAACATTCAAACGCCAGATTCGAGCTCCCAAGTTCTCATCGATCCTCAATCCAAACATAACTACTCGACTCATCTGACGTCATCTCTCACACCTCATATACAACCTCCAAAAGCACTTAATTTCACTCAACAACCAAAATGGTCCACCCAGCTTCAACCTGCTGCAAAACCAACCCCACCGGCGGCTGCGTCTGCGCGGCACAGGCCAAGTGCTCCTGCGGCAAGGAATCCGCCCTGCACTGCTCGTGCAACAAGGCCTCGACTGAGAATGCTACTGCGGGAGCGCGGTGCTCGTGTCGTATGTTTTACCTTTTTACTCCGCCTGAATGCTGCGGCTTCGCTTGCTGGGATGTTTTGGCTAATTGAGACATATGCAGGCCTTCGTCCCGCGGGCGAGTGTACGTGTGAGCGTGCGACGACGGAAAATCACCCTGTGACCGGGGAGGCGTGCCCTTGTGGCAAGAGGCCTGAGGGTATGTTTTCTCTTTTCTACTTTGCTCTATCTGGGGCTGTGACTGACTATGTTGATAATAGCTTCTTGTACCTGTGAGAAGGCTAGTGCCGTTGATGCGGCTGTTGAGCCTCTTGAGACGGACTTTACCACCCGTGCTTAGATGATTCAGGATGTTGGCTTGTGCGTGCGTATGCGTGGTTGCTTTTCTTGAGTCATTATATCATAGCTAAGGGACGGCGTTTATTGGAGTATGTGGAGTGGTGGGTGTGACGCTTAATGTGGGCAGAGAACTTCATTCCAGAATCAGCAATACATCTTTATGTCTATTACAGGCTCTTCGCTTCATGATCTAAGTCTAGCAGTATGAATTAAGTCAACGGATGTTGACTGCAGCTGAGCCCGTCAAGCCATCCAACGATCCCCGAAGCGCCTGATGTACGCCTCTCGAAACTCGCGCAAACTTTCACTCGCCTCCTCAGTCGCACACAGATTCTCCAGCGCCATAAAGGCCCGCTTCACCCTATATCCCGCCAGATCGCCGTCGTCCGAGGCCTGGAACGGCCGCGAATAGCTAGAAGGCATCTCGAACCCAGTTGCAATATCCGGTTCGCCAAAGGAATCCTCGTAGTGGAAAGCGTTTGTAAGAGACATGAATCGGCCGAGCCAATACTGACTAGGCATGGCTGTTTGGACCTGTGGACGCGGATCAGGAGGTTCCATTAGCATAGATTTCCCAGGGTTTGAGAAACGGCATGGAATTGCGGCAGAGCGAGGAACGTTATGAGGACATATGGGCTGCAGTTGTGCTGATACCATTTTCTCTCCTCGTGTCTTGCGTCTACCACTGCTGCTGGTGCTCGCTAGAGGCAGTTTGGATGGTAGGTTGCTCGTCGCCTTGGGCGTAACGACGTCTGCGTCTGTGTGTCTTGCGGGCTGGAGTTGCAGGTTTGCGAGATATGTCCCTGGAGCGTCATTTTCTTTGGCCTGTTCATAGACCTGCGCCTGCGTTTGCGCCGCCTGTGTCGTTTGTCTCTGAGCTGCTGGTGTGCTAGGGCTATCTTTCGAGCTTTGTTTGGGGATAGGCAGTTTGGACCGTGGGGTTTCATGCAGTTTCTTTTGATCATTGAACTTCTGGGTCATTTTGACACGTTTAGACGAGGCCATTGCGTTTATCGATGATATTTCAGTGGTGGCCTCAATGGAAAAGACTTGGTTGTGCTTCTGATAATATCGAGGGAGCAGGTACTGCGTGCTGCTATCGCTGGTACGTCCGACTCGCACTTTCCTCATAGGTAACTGCGCCAGTGTTGGTGTAGGAGTCATCTTCACAAACTTCTGGTTGCTTTCGTCCTTGTACTGCGCCGCTGGCTTTCTGAACATGAGAATCCGCCGCTGAGCAGCTGGATACGCTTGTGGAATGGACAGCCTTATCTCAATCTCGTCATTGAGTCTTACGTTTGCTCTTTCCTGGTGCCCCATTGTGAATCGTGTCTTGACTGGGGAGATGACACTCCTCCTCCCCTCCGTCTGATAAACTGAATGCGAATACAAATTGCCCTTTGGTGGCTTAGTGGGCGTAGGAATTCTCGAGGGAGCAATCATGGAACGACGGTCTAGTCCTACTGTTGTCTGACTGCGCGGGAGTGACTCGGCTGGGTTGGAATAGGGAACAAAGCGTCGGACTCGGAGGATTTTCCAGTATTGAAGGGATTCCAAATTGCCATCATTGATAACTTCTCTCTGATATATCTCGTCTGAGCTGGATGGAGGAGTGTGGTGTTGGGTTGATGAAAAGTCCAGGGTTGAGCGTCTTGATCTCGAGCTGCATGTAGAGATGGAGATGTTCTCGTCGGTTGCCATTGTTGCTGACGTGCTCTGCATTGTCGAGGTCGAGATAAGGGACGAAAGGCGTCCGAATTTGCGAGAAATGCGCTTTTTGAAGGTGTTTCGGAGGGATTTGAGGGTGGGTATTAATGTTAATCTGCGGCGCTGCTTTTCAGCCATGATTGTGAGGGTAAGAGATTCAAGAGATAAACGTGAAACTCCAAAACTTGTCAAATATCTATTAGATGCAATAGCCAAAGGCTGAAGAGATGCATGATGGAGAAGAGGAAGAAGAGAGAAGAGAAGCAGAAGGAGTAAGCATTTGCTGCGAGTTCTGTCTTCACTTCACCACAAGTCCAAGTGTTATTCACTCAGGCTTGAGGAACCACAATTTTTCCCTCAGACACCTTTACTGCACTCCCTTTCAGGACCAGATTCTCGATCTTGGCCCCCTCTTTAACAACAACCTCGACTCCAATCTCACTGCGTCTTCCCATCTCGACTCCCTGCACGACATCATACTTGAACTCGCCAGCCCTTCCCTCCGTCAACGACAGGTACGCTGCCAACCCACTCGCTGCACTTCCCGTCGCAGGGTCCTCCAGATTTCCCAGAATTGTTCTCGTCCGAATGACCTTCCTGCCCAGCTTCTCGTCCTGCACGCCCCTCACAAAGAAATACGTGCAAACCATGCCCTCGGCCCACCCCTCGTCCAAGTACGATGCACTCGCCTCCTGCCCACCATACGCCGTCGTCACAGCACCCAGAACCTCAAGCGAAGGCAGCTCGATCAAAAGCTGGCTCATACCCTTGACAACCGAGAACAGCGCAATCTTTTCCGGCTTCAGGTGCGCTTGGAGAGACGGGTACAGCCGCGAGACCTCGCTCAGTGGATACTGGGTCTCATGGATATGCACGTTATGCGCGACATGCGCTGTTACAGTCCCCGCTTGCGGATCCTGAAGAGAGATCGGGACTTTGCCCGCCTTCATGAGGAGGTTTTGCACTACAGCATTGCCATTGCTGTCCTCCTCAGCGGCATGGCAGAGGAACCATGACGCAGCGCCAATGGTCGGGTGGCCTGCAAAAGGGAGCTCGACGCTCTCCGTGAAAATGTCAATGGCGCGGGAGCCACTGGGGCTGCTGGCTTTGTCGTGCACGAAGATTGTCTCGGACAGGTTGAACTCGCGCGCGATGGTTTGCTTTTGGCGCTGCGTCAGCTGCGGGGATGTTGGCGGGGGTAGGAAGACCACGCCTAGTGGGTTGCCCTCGAAAATCTCTGTGGTGAAGACGTCGAGGGTGACAAAGTCGATTTGAGTTGCCATTGTTGTGGTTATACGCTTGAATCAGACTTTAGAGTGCTTGTGAGCTCTTGGAGGGGGACTGCTCCACTGGTTTATACTTCAAGGGTTCTCCACATCGCACGAGCTACTGACTCATCAACTGGCGGTTCGGTCAAGACGTGAGTCACCATAAATTGAATGCGAGCTTTAGTTGTGGGAACAACTCAACAAACTTGATTTCTATCCAGTGTTATGCAGAATGATTACCAGCATTGAGCCCCAGCCAAAACACCAAACACCTCATATCTCATCAATCTTTCTTTGCGGAAGCCCTATTCCGAGTCACTATCTATCACGAACCCTGCCCGAATGCGTCTACGGGCTGGAGCCGATACTGGCGCATCGTCTTCGTATTCCTCGTTCGTCGCATCCCCTCTGGGATTAGAGGCCTCATCGGAAGGGCGCAGCTCCAACGTCTTCTCACGGCCCTGACCAAACGCTAGGTCGTCAATGTCGAGCTCGTCGCCAGATGGATTTGTCAGAGCATCTTTGTCCGCGCCATTGGCATTAATAGACAAGTCTCCCAGTGAGGATGCGCGCGGAGGTGTGCCTAAATCGCCCATAAGAACATCATCATCGTCATTCAGCTCTGGAGTAGCGAAACTGCGTCGTCGACGTTTCCCACCGGCTTCAGTTTCTCCAGCAGTGTTGGTCTCGTTGGCGCGTTTACCTCGCTTCTTCTTCTTAGACGTATCACTAGGCGCCTCAGTCCTTCCAAGGAGCAGCGCCTTCTTGATACGCTCTGATTGTTCTTTGCGTCTTTCTTCCTCGAGACGGAAGAACTCCTCATCTGCCTCGTCATCGGTTTCCTCATCGCTAGCATGCACAAACAGATCGCTCTTGATCTTTGCTAGACGCGCCCTCGCATTTTCATCGCGAGCCATGCGGCGCTCTTCCAATGTCTCTTCGTCTAGGGGTTCCGCTTCACCCTTGTCCTTTCTTTTCTTCCTCTTCTTCTTCAACTCATCGAGCGCATTGCTTTTCGATCGAGGGTTTGGTGGGAACAACGGCCCATCGGGCACGATATCTTCGCCCTCCGAGTCGGATCCGAAATTAACATCAAGCGTCGTTTGCTCAGCAGACCCTCTGGATTCGTTGCCATATTTCCGACGGAGCAGATCTCGCGGGTCGCGGTCATCTGTAGCACCAATCACTAGTGCCTTATCGATGATGGATTTTGACTCCCTTAACTCGGTTGAACTTGAGGACGAAGGGATAACCCAAGATATACCTTCCACGTTCTCCTGCCCTAGTCGCTCGAAGCCCACCAACGTCATTAAAAGTCGGAGCTTGGCGTTTGAAAACATGGCTCTTTTGCATGACTCGTCCCGCGGCTTGACAGCTATGGTAAGTTAGTACAGGGTGTTGTTCTTGGTAGGACAAGGAACATACCGATGATAGGGTTCGAGACATTGGAACGCTCTTCGCCCTCGCCGACTTGAACAGCCTGTTGCGCTTCCCAAGCCTCCCTTTCGTCTGCCGCCGACACTAAAACATCACTAATCCATTTGGCGAGTGTTGTTTGCTCATCCTTGACCAAAGCAGCCACCACAATGCTGAGCTTATCCTCCAGGGTTGAAGCGGCCCTGGGATCAACCTCGAGTTCAGGGGGGGCTCTTTTGCTGATGGATACCGTCTGCTTCTCATAACCGTACTCGAGGTAGAATGCGGTCGAGTTGATCTTGCTAAAGAGTAGCTCTGTAATCAACGCAGGTCGTTGTTCAAGTTTCTTCAAAAGTCTGCGCACGAGCTGCCGCACCAGCTCCTCCCATTCCCTAAAGATGGGCTTGCTGGAATCTATCCCGCCAGGTCCCTTGATCATCCGATAAAATAGGTTGAGGATGTCAACGCGGTATAATAGCACGGTCATCTCTTGCTTGAATGCTATCCGATAAAAATACCGATGAGCGCGCTTCAGCTGCTCGGTGTCCAACTCCTTGTAGAATTTGGTGAAATTGACAAAGGTGTCGACACATTTCTGGTTGCAAAACTTGGCGGCGAAACGAGTAAAATCAAACTTGCGTTCTTTCGACATTCGTTCGGCCTCTGCGTAGTCTTCGTCTTCTGATTTCTGGTCTTCGTCATCACCATCGTTACTCGGTTTTTCATCGCGCTTCTTCTTTCGAGCCCGTCGCCGCGAGCGCACATGCAGATCAACATTCTCTTTTGAATATCGCTCCAACATGCGCAAGAACACATGAGATAACTCGGTGCAGGCGTCCAGGTAGCCGAACCCTTGATCAGTATATCCTCGGGTGATGGCTAAAATGCGATCATGAGTTGTCTCCTCGTAGAAAATGCGATTCTGAATGTTTTCGGCAATCTCCTGGTCCTCCTCCAGTGGTGACTGAGCCATCTCCTGTACCGTCAGTAGAATCTGCGTAAAACACCTCATCGCAGCATTAAGGTCCTCCCACTCCTTATTATCAAGGCTGTACTGCATCGACCGGTTCAGAAAAACAAACGTCTCCTGGTTAAACACACCAGCAACTAGCCCGAAACTATCTGGTTCCAGCTCTTTGCCCTGTTTCTCACTCTGCGCTCGCTTTTCACGTTGGCGCGCGCGGCGAACGCGCTCTGCCTCGAGGAACCAGGACACCGTATAAAGAAAGTGGCGCTTGTTTATGGGGAGCACACGGACCGATTCTCGCTCGATGGCCTTTCTCACAAGGACGAAGAGCGGGTTGAACCCGGAGTCCAAAAACTCTTCGACAAACATGCGCAGATTGGTCGAGGCTCTCTGGTTGAGGTGTGCTGGTGTGTTGAAATCGTTGTCCAACGTCACGTCCTGTCCCTTTCTAGCCCGTCGAGGCCTGTTCCATTTCTTTGTTTGATCCATCTTGTCGAGGGTCTTTTGGCCGTCTTTGAGCACATCCTGTCCTGAGACCGTCGACACTTTTGCATCGTCTCGCTTGACCCAGATCATGGTTCCGAAGCGGCCATGGCGAGTCGGGGCATTCTTTGCGTATTCCCTTCGCAAGGATGACTCTTGCTGAAGCAGATCGTTCAGTTCATCTGTGCGCTTGGCGCTTCGCTGAGCATCGTTCATGAAGAGCTTCTCGACGTTTACACCCTTGACAATGTGAAACAGTGTTTCGAGAAGCGCGATATCCAGCATGTTAAAGTCGTCGCTGACGTTCGAGCACAATGTGAGCAGTAAGGCGAAAACGTCTTGGTCCTGGAAAGCGTTGATGGTCGCCGACCTCGATGCTTCCTCCTCTTCTCCTTCTGCCGCGAGACGCGCATTGGCAGAGATTATAGCAATATTCCTAAGCAAGTACAGCATAATCTTGAGTATTCCTTCGTCCCTAGTCGTACGTTCGGATCGTGGGGTCGCCATGCTAGGAAGGCCGATGCGGATGACAGCTCTCAAAAGACCGCAGCTACCATTATTGAGGATACCGCGTTTGTAGGATACCTGCGCTTGCTGCAGGTAAGGTATGTGGCGGTGGTGGTTGACTGTCATTTCGCCATGGACCTCCAATGGCCAAGTCAAGGGCACTAATAACTCCACTGCAAGCTGTCAGACAATCATTTCAAGTAGAGGTGGGCATAATGTACCTACCGCAAGCCAATGCAATTCTCGACATGTATTTGCTTTGCTGATTGCCATTCCACCAGAGGGACAGAATCTGTAGCAGGTCGCCATTGACCAGGTTCGCTTCCCCCAGGCACCGTGCAACATCCATACGATTGAACTTTTCATCGTACAGCTTTAGCCACCGCTTGATATCGCGCAAACAGGCCAAGGCATCGTCTCCGAGCACATAGTGATCCGCATCTGCGCCATTGAATCCTCCTAGCTAAGAAGAAGCTGTCAGTCACGGAAGACCCTAGGAAAAGCCGGATATCCTTACTGCAGTGACCAAGCTGTAGACGTGGGAGCGGACATCGGGGTCCACCACCTCAACGGTGTTCAGAGGCACGACTTCCTCCATCACGGTCCGTCGAGTGTAGGTATTCCGTCACCGTCAACGTTCATCCATAGTCACCACCGCAACCGCCTTGCGATTTGACCCCAGATGGATTCGCGTCGGAAACAAGCCAATCAATCCACGCGTCAATCACGCGTCGCGCGTTTCGCGAGCGGATAGACCGGGTATGCGGACAAACATAGAGCCGACAGCCGAGGATAGCCGATGACGTCGGATCCGAGGTCACATGGAGATTCATCTATTGATCGACTGGGAGTTTATCCTCTTGGAAATTACAACGCATTCCTTCATTCGTTTGTCTCCGTCAATTCTTGTAGCTCGCGCAGAGATGTTGTTGTCTCAATCCCTTCGCATGATACTTCGCCGAGGGCCTTCAATGGCCTCTCGCGCGTTCAGCACGTCCCCCGCCGTGAGCGCTGCCGAGGTTAAATCGCTGGGAGTTATTGGAGCTGGACAGATGGTGTGTTTACAGCTGAGCACTTATTTTTTGCCTGCTAACAGACTCTAGGGTCTTGGAATTGCTCTCGTCGCCGCTCAAAGGGCTCAGGTTCCTGTCACGCTGGTCGATACCTCTCAAGCATCTCTAGATAAGGGCCTGAAGTTTGCGGGTGTGTAGCACCGCATGCACCCAAGAGAGATGCCTCTCTAACTCTCGCAACCACCAACAGACAAGTTGCTCGACAAAGATGTAGCCAAAGAGCGTATTACCAGAGAAGCAGCAGACGCTGCCCGAGGCCGCATCACCTCCACCCTACAGCTTGACGATCTATCCTCGGTGGACTTCATCATCGAAGCCGTCCCCGAGATACCCAATCTCAAGACCTCCATCTTCTCCAAGATCGCCCAAATCGCACCCAAGCACGCCATCCTCGCAACAAACACCTCGTCCATCTCGATCACCAAGATCGCAGCCGCAACAACAACAGACCCGACGGACCTCCAGGCCCCATCGCGAGTTGTCTCGACGCACTTTATGAACCCTGTCCCTGTGCAAAAGGGCGTGGAGATTATCGCCGGCTTGCAAACGTCAAGGGAGACGCTCGACACGGCAATTGCGTTTGTGCAGCGTATGGGTAAGATTGCTGCTGTTTCAGCGGACTCGCCTGGTTTCCTGGCGAATCGGATTCTCATGCCCTATATCAATGAGGCGATTATCTGCCTTGAGACTGGGGTTGGAGCAAAGGAGGATATTGATAGTATCATGAAGAACGGCACGAATGTGCCAATGGGTCCCTTGACCCTGGCTGACTTTATTGGGCTTGATACGTGTCTCGCTATCATGAATGTTCTGCACCAGGAGACAGGGGACAGCAAGTATCGGCCGTCCGGGCTACTAAAGAGGATGGTCGATGCGGGCTGGTTGGGTAAGAAGTCTGGAAAGGGGTTTTATGACTACTGAAAAGGCCATATGCGAAAACAGAATGTAAATTGCCATTTCTATACTTGGCCGCGACAAACCCTAACCACATGGTGCAATATGAATCCATTGTAGATCTGTTTTTATATATCTCATATACAGAAATCTGGGTCTATGTGATCGCTAGCGGGCGCACAGATTCATTTTATGGGCATCACTAGATCTTGCCTCGAAAATCCAGACTTGGTGTGGATATCGTCTACAAGGTTGAGTGTATATATATATATATATATATTCTGGGCTTCCGCATCAGAGAAGGCTTCGTGCGTGTAGTTGATATAATCATAGTAGCCCAATTTCCACACTATGTCTGCTAGGAAAGATGCAAGAATCGGGCTAGAATTCGAATGATGAATCTGGACTTGGAGAAGGCTCCAAGCCTCGATGTAACGCTGCTATACAAACTAAGCAGACTAGCCAAACCAGCCAAACCAAATAAACTTAGCAAACCAAACAAACAAAGTGGCCTTCCAATTAAAGCAATCTCCTCTTCTTCATCTGTCGCTTCTTGTTTTGGGGTAGCACACTGTCAGCAGTAGTATAAGATGGCGTGATTGTAACTAACCAGTTTATAGGATTGCAATCAACTGCTCCTTCTATGCCCTCCAAAACACGCTCAGAATGGAACATATTCTATATGCACAAGAAATCGGCGAAGGACTTCCCGTTCTGATCATTCATGGATGGCAGATGAATGGAGGAGTCGAAAAGCAGGACTTTGAGCCGATTTTCAGCAAAACACGAGGGCTTCGCCGTATTTACGTCGACCTTCCCGGCATGGGCACAACTCCCGCAAATAATGTCAAGGATCTAGACGATATATACTCTCGCCTGGTACAATTCATCGATTCTCGACTGGGGGAATCAAGGTTCTTACTTGTCGGCTCATCATGTGGCGGCTACCTTGCACGCGCGATAGCTCAAAAATATATTGAGCAAGTGGATGGGTTACTTCTCCGCGTGCCGCTTATCGAGCCAAAAGATAGCATGCGCGATCTCGATGCTTTTAAACCCGTTGTTGCGGATGAGCATCTCATGTCGAACATGTCACCCAAAGACAGGGCACTTCTTGGGAATGTCCTTGTTCAGACGCCGGCATACGTCGAAACGTTGAAGGCGAAATACAAGGGAGTTTACCTTCCAGCGGAAAAAGCAGCAGATGACAAGGTGTTGGATCCGATCCGAGCCGACTCAGACCGATACCGACTATCCCTTTCGTTGGATGACAAAGGGGCCAAGTTCTTTGCACCGACACTTGTTGTATGTGGCCGACAAGACGAGAGCGTGGGCTATCGAGACAGCCTCCGCTTGCTGGAGCTTTATCCACGGTCAACCTATGTGGTTTTGGATCGTGGTTCGCATGGCCTCCCCATTGATGACTCTGAAAGGGGTGTTTTTGAGGCTCTTGTTCGTGACTGGATATTCCGGGCTGATGAATGGCGAGGTCGCACGGACAGATAGCAGTTATCCGTGATACCAACTCTAGTATATAGAATAAAAGCGGGCGGCGGTTACAAATGACTAGAAATACTGTTGACGTATAATGGTGGGTGTCAATTAGCCGAGATCCAACATCCTATAATACTAGGTAGAAAAGAAATCGCCCACAGTCTAGTGAATAAGAGTAGTAAAGAGAGATAAAGTCTTGCTTGGTCTTTTTCGACGCTCGCAATAGAGGAAACACAATTAGAAAAAGAGGATATCCGTATATCTGATCTCAATCAAAAGGTATCATGACGAATAAACATGGACAACTAGAAATTCAAAACGAGCTCATTATATCTTTAGACATTTCTGAAAATTCCCATTACCCGAGGAATGGTTGAACCCTTCAAGCGCGCCCAAGTATTGTTCATCAAACAGCCACCATGATGATGGAACCAACCGCCATAGCTGGAATCTCCGTTAGCGGGTGCAAAGTAGGATGAAAAAGACTTGAAAGAACGGCATACCAGATCTGCTCCCGACACGGACAAGCAACATGCTTGCAACTACCACGGAAGTCACCTTTGGCGGCAACCTCATCATCGGCGTCGACGAGATTTCCACACCGGCCACACTGCTTCCACCCTTTAGCACTCGCCAACTTTAGCAGCGCCTGGCGCCCCTCATCAGGTGGGCAACTCCCAGAATGGCCGCGACCGCGGCACCGAGTACAGATATCCGCATTGCAGTGCGAACAGGCGAAGGAGTGCGAGAACGCGGTGCCCTTGACGAGCATCTCCCTCGGGCGTATCCATCGCGCGCAAGACGGCTTAGGGCAATACCATAGGCTGTGGGAGGAGAGCTGGCACTCCTCCACCTTGTCGATATATGCCTGTTTCTGAGTGGCGGACAGACAGGGAACGATGGACTTTGCCGGCTCGAATTTCTTGCAGCAGAAGTTGGGGTACGTGATTTGGCCGTTGATGTAGAAATCGGCCAGGGTGCGGACACAGGCAATGCAGTGTCTGTGTCTGCAGGACAGTTCGGTCATTTCGGAAGGGAGCTTCTGCTCATGGCAGATTACGCAGCGGATGAGGTCCTTCTCAGTCCTTCGGGGGGGTATGTTAGTTGTGGATTCGAATGGGGATATGGAAAGAGCTCTCTTTGAACTTACTCTTGCACGCTCCCCAGTGAAGTGGAACTGGAGTACAGGAAAGGCGCCTGGGACTCGCTGATCCGGCTCTCGAGCTTGGCAAAAGCTGCCTCGTTTGCACGGGGAAGCCCTGGAAATTGCAACGGTCCTTGCATGGCCATGTTGTAGTGTGTGTTCCAAAATGTTACGGTGTTGAGGGGAACTGTAGAAAAGAGCCGTCTTTCGATTTAGCTTTGGACGTTTTCGGGAGAATTTCAGCTGCAGATGCTGGGGGGAGGGTTTGTGGTTAAATACTTGATTAAGAAACCACGAACGTGGACAAAACCGTCGCCACGCTTAGCCATGCCGTCACCGCATCTATAAAGTTCAGGCAGCCGTCCGAGAAGAGGCTTTCTTTGAGTGATACCGTGGGCAAGTCAAACTATCTCGTTGCGAGTCACGAGTAGCCGTGTCCGAGCCATAACATGCGCATGAGGATAGCGGTGGGACGACAAAATCCAAGTTTGGCAGTTTGGCAGTCCGGCATTGACTTCTACTTATAGAAACTGCTGGATAAATTTCATTATCTTGCACTGGTATCAAAGTTCGCAAGGGTATCACTAACGAGTTATATACGCCCATAAGCCGCCAAATCCCAATACATGACGCAAGCCAAACAAGATGAATCCACTCATAGAGCACCAGAAAACTTCCGACCTACCCATGTAGATCCGTGTTCTTGATACTCTTGACGAGTCACGGCGACCTTTTTCAGCTCTTCTTTGTTCGTGCCCAGTCGGGACGCTCCGAGCCATGTAGAGCGGATTGGGCTAATAGAGAAGACGTTAGCATAAAAGTCCAAGTGAGTGCCGAAGCAGCAGGGCGAATGACGTACTCTTTCGACCGTCGAACTCTAACAATGCATTCTGCTGAGGCGATCTGGCGCAACTCCGTTTCCCTAATATGCCATCAGTTCTCGCAGAAACTGTATTATAAAGTTCATGACGTACAGCCTTTCCATAAACCCAGGAAGCAATGAATTGCCGCCAACAACCAGTACGTTGGCCAAGAAGGCCGGGTGCAGTCCAGTAGGTAGCACTGAAAGGCTTTGCAAGATCAGATCCGGGATGCCGGCCGTCTTCATGCCAATATCACTGGGCGTGAAAAGGATTTCAGGGACAGCGAAGCGTTCGTTTCCGAGCACCAAAACATCCTCCGAAAGGTGTTCAGCACCACCAGAAAACGCGGCTTTTCTTTTCTTGGAACCTAGCATGGGGTCATGCGGCCGCATAAAGCCTTTTTTCCCTCCGTTCGGATCGGGCAAAACATAGTCTACCACGACGCCACCTCCCGGTTCAGATTGACCACGTTTGCGGTTTCCTCTCCAAGTTTGCTCCAGGTCGCCGGAAAAGTCATTGCTCACGAAACAAACAGACTCCTTGACTTCATTCATAATATACGTCTCGTCAACCATATTGTACTGACGTATCGATACCAGCTCCTTGAGATAGTTTGTGAGGTGTTTGCCCCCAAGGTCGAGTCTTCGAATACCACGTTGAATCGGCTGTCCTTTGTAGACGGGTGTAACGATAGTATGAGAATAGCCGGTATCAACCACAAGCAGGCACTCGGTCGGAGAGATTGCAGCACCAGGTTGTTGTAAGAGTGAATCTCCGAATAGAGATTGAACTTCATTCCAAGCATTCAACGACGGACCTGCGATTCGAGCGCAAACAGCTTAGCCGTGTCTACTCAATCATAGCAAGGGATAAAATCTTGAAAATGATGCCTACCGACACATCTTAAATAGCCTCCAAACCCCCACTCCTCCATGATAATCTCGTCCGCATTCTTCTGCAGCGCCGGTAGCGCATTGGGAGCTTCTGTGAAAATGAGCGTGACATCCTCCGGCTCGGCAACGCGCAATTCCCTTGACCGCACTGTCTTCTCATCGAAGAAAGAAGTCTCCCAAATCTCTTTTTGCGCTTCCCAGTTTACCGTGTATCCCTTTTCCACGGGGCGTCTGAAGAGCATCTCGTTCCAGTCCGTCACGTTGGTCCCGATCTGCGCCCCGACGTAGATTCGATTTCCGCGCGTCTTGGCTATCGCGTTGGGGATGGCGGTGCATGCTGAAAGGGCGGTTTCCTCGTCGTCTGGAGGTGGAAAGTCGGGCGCGTATCCTGCTTTCATGGTGTATGCGCCATTGTCGATGATGAAGGTCTTGTCGGGGAGAGCTTGGGTTTGAGCGATGGAATTGCGGCCGGCCGGGCGCGGTTTGGTGGTCCCCATTTGGGGCGATCGAGATAGACAGCGAGTCTATTCTAAGCAAAGCTCAGGTGAGCATGGGTGAGGAGGTCGGGGGTTGTGGTATTATCGAAGGTGCTGAAGTTGTCGTGGAAGCTTCTGCTTGACGGAGCTCGGAGATGTCATTCACGCCGCCTGGAGATCCCGAATCAGGAAAAGTAGGGCAAGGTCTTAGGGCGCGTCATAGATCTTGAAGAATAAACTCGGAATCTGAATTCCCGGTACTCGTGTATCATAGTCCTCAGTTTTCCTCATTAATATTATGTTCCTATGAAAGACTACGGTACTCACTGTTCTCCAAGGTACCTGAAGAATGATGCCTTACCACGAGCGAAATAGAAAACTTAGCACAACAAATAAAGCTACTGTATTTCTCAAAACACAATTTTCGCTCTTTCGTATGATCTATTTCTCCCCCACTATATCAATATTACCGGTAAACACGAAGATAGTAGTCAAGAGGCAGACTCCAATAGCAACAGGTGACCCTGCAGAGCCCTAATCAGCGGCCCCGCAGTTCAGGCTTGAATCATAGATCATAAAATTTCTCCCCTTCAGCCCTCCGACTATCACTGCAGCACCAACACTCATCCTCAAAGCGAAGGAAAATATCTCAATGTCCGGCAAACTAAAGACCGCCCTAACAACAACTCTCACACTCGTGGAGCAGTTTCAGCCTACCCTTTCCTCTCGAACAAATGCCGGGCAACCTACCCCCACCATTACGGATGAACAAACCAAAGACTCGGACCCTCTCGCCCTCCTTTCAGCTTCCGCCACGGCGCTGAAATCTCATGTCACGAAACTCTCACTGCTTACACTTACGTCGCCCTTTACTGCATCCGCAGTCGCGACCACACTCTCAACACTGAATGAATCTGTGCTCCCATCGCTAGTTACCGCCGCGCTCCTTGTAACACCCGAATCTCATACGGCAGCGTTCCAGAGCGAGATTCGCATCCTCACCGGTACGGCCCTGAAGGATTTCTTCTTGCTGGTGAAGGAGGTGCAGGTTGTTGCTGAGGACAAGGCTAGCAAGAAGGGTCTAGACCAGTTGGAGAAGGATACAGTCACGCTTGCGGCAGGGCGGGTTTGGGATGCGTGTGATACGCTGATTGATGTCGCGACGAAGGGTGTTGTGGGGTTTGTGGTTCAGCGCGCCGAAGAGTATCGGGCTCTGGTCCGAGACGCAGTGGAGGAGATTGAGGCGTGGGATCCGGATGAGGAGGGCGATGAGTTTTTCGATGAGCTTTTGGATGCTGGGGCGGACATGGCTGGTGATGATTCCAAGGACGACGAAAGTGACGAGGAAGGCAGCGCCGCGCTGCATAAGCGGAAGAAAGATGCTCTGCGAATGTTGAAGCCGATTGCGCAAATATATCCTGCTATTATCACGAATCGACTGAAGAAAGCACCCGTTCCGCTTACGCCATCTACTACCAAGGTCATAGAAACCTTGATGAAGAACTTGCAGCAGATTCCGGAACACATCGACGAGGTAGCCGGCGCGCTCTATGAAGATGACCTGGACAAATACACGCGTCAAGTGGGAAAGACGAAAGACTGTTCGTCCAAAGCAATCAACTTGGTTGCGCTACCCTGGGCTGCCAAACGAAGCTCCGTAGATGAAGAAACCGAGGGAGATAAGTTTACAACCTGGTCAAAAACATGGCTCAAGGTTGTGGGAGAAGTTAGCAAGTCGATCGATGAGTCTTCAAAATCGCGAATAAACTAGCTGTGGAAAGGAATATAAATATCTATGATTCGATGCTCGGGGCTGACCTCAGTAGATAAAACATGAACTTAGAAATGAATGATTATATACACCCTCCCATACTGGCTGTGAGCTCAAGCTGCAGTTTGCTGAACGAACGTACCCAGCTCTACTCTTCCTCATATTCACGCAACTCTTCAACCGGTATCCGGTCCTTTAGCCATTCAAGAATAGCATCAGTCCCTTTGGCGACAATCTGCCACCGGGGGACTCGGAAGCTGTTCCCTGCAACCTCGAATCTTCGAAGGGCCGATCCACCACCCCAGTTTGCACTGTTACCCTCGCCCCTCAAAAGACCGAGTTTTGGGGGCAGAGCGCTGATGTTATTGTTGCCTACATCAAAGACCTGAAGTCCCTGCACAACCTCAAACTCCAGGGTGTCAAACTGGTTCTCTGCGGCAAGGAATGTCGTCAACCGCGGGTATGCGGGCCGGACATGGGGAACAGATCCAGAAAGGCTGTTGGATGACACATCGAGAAAGGTCAGCGAAGGAGCTGTTAGTTTTGCCATGATTGGCTCAAGGGTGACAAGCCCGGTAGCACTCAGACTGAGTGTCTGAAGGTTAGGAAGCTCGACAGCAGAAGGGAAAAGCTGTGAGCTATCCAGCGGGTTGTGCGACAAATCCAGATCGGTCAGACTGATAGCAAGCATACTAAGAGCTGGGGTTGGAAAGAAGCGCAATTCGTTGTGTTGCAAGTATAAATACTTGACATCACTCGTTTTGATGTGCTCCAGCTTGTCGACGTCGAAATCTTGCATCTCGGTATACGACCGGTCAAGTACGCCTCCAGGTTTAAGCTGCCAGCCAGAAGAACTGTGAGCGGGGGACTCTGGGGCAAGGGTGAACTGCGTCGCGACCGAGCCTTCTTCGTCGTCCGTCTCCTGAGGCTCGGGCTCACACCGGCTCCTCAAATCGCGCTTGATATCCTCCACAGTCATGCCAAAGAACTTGCGCTCACGAAGAGGATTATTGGCTATCCGAAACGACACAAGGCTGTCCATCAAACCAATCTTTTCGTCCAATCTTGAGAGGTCGTTCCCTGTCAGATCGACATTTCTAATCTTTTTCAAGTCGGTAAAGCCCAATGGCAATCCAGTTATGCTGTTGTCCTCTGCTGACAAGGTGAGAAGCTCCTGCCACGACGAGACATCAGGCAAGTCCTTGATGCGATTCATACTGATTGCCAATGTCTGCAAAGCAGGCAACTGCAGGCTTTCGTTCTCAGAAAGTTTCACAATTGCATTACCAATGACGTCCAGGGTTTGCAGAGCATCGAGCTTTCTGACCGACGCCGGAATCAATGTCCCCTTGATATTATTCTTGGGAGCAATGATCTCCCTCAATGGAAGCTTGTGGAGGATTTCGAAAGGCAGGGATGTAAACTGGTTATGGCCGAGGTTTAATATTCGAAGAGATTTCAGGTCCGCCAGGGTCGCGGGAAGTTCCGTAAGAGAGTTTTCATGAAGATCAAGTGTCTCAAGATCCGTGAGGCGACCAATATCATGAGGGAGAGCACCTTCCAGCTGGTTCTTTGCCAGTTTCAAGTCCCTAAGGGAGCTCATCTCCGTGATCACTTGAATATCCTTGGTACTTAGTTTATTCTTAGAGAGATTCAGGGTGTGAAGTCGTTGTAGCCTTCTGAAACCTAATGGGAGGGACTGGAGCAAGTTTCCATGAAAGTCGAGAAATTCCAATCCCCCAAATTGATTTCCCTTTTCTTCGCTATCCAAGTCAATTTGATTCGGATCAATGTCCGGGAAGGCAGCATCAGGGAGCTCGGTGAAATCATTGTCGGCGGCAATGAATTTGACCAAATCCACGCTTTCGTACCAATCGGTACCTGCGTTGGGGTCAAAGTCGTACATCTTGAGGACTTCTTCTGGAAAGGTGGTCAATGACATGGCCGCGATGTTCAAGTGGCCCGAAGTTCGACCTGCCTCCAGTCTTTTCCGAAGTAAACCATGATTTTGATCCTTTGGTTGCTGGTTGAACGGATCTTGGATATCAGTCTCTGTCCACGCACCAAGGGGCTGCGTCTGGGGTCCCTTTTGGGCAGCTGCCTTTCGTGCGGCTTTTGCTTTTGCAATGCTTTCCCGCAGAGCACTGGACGATTTGGATATCTTTTTTTCTTCCACTTCTGTGCTCGATTGCAAGGATACATCTGGTGCGGGTTTCACCGCAGGCGATCTTGATGCCGCCGAGTAAAGCTTTGAGTTTGACGACTTGGGTTGTATCCTCCGCGACTTCTTTACCTGAAGAGCTGGTTGTGAAGTGGCGGTTTCCGCGTCAGAGGGCCTCCCTACAGCTTGATTCAAAGATGCGTGAGATTCTGATACCGCAGGAGTCGGTCCGAAGCCTCCGTAGATGCTTCTCTGCATCATAGGTTTCTTCAGCTTCGGTGAGCTGTCCGCAGTAGCCACTGAACTATGTTCGCTGGCTGATCCATTGGTAGACAAGGATGGGCGAGATCTTGACGGTAGTCGTATAGCAGTTGGGGGCCCAGATAGGAAGTCACTTCCACTTAATTGTCGGGTTGAAGAAGATCTAGACGGCGACCTGGAGTAGCTCGTCATAGATGAGGGGGGCCGAGACGGAGACCGCATCGGGCTTGTGGCATTGTAGACATTTGACGGCCTCCTGGAGGAGGCAGGCGATGGAGGTATTTGGGCAAGAGTCTCAATCGTTCTTTCCGACAGAGACGGTCGTATACGACCCCGGGATTCCACATCCAGGGGAGGGGTACCATCTGCTTCCAGCTTTTCATTCTCTAGTCCGGTCCCGTCACTCGTCCCCGTCACGGAAACAACCCGCTTCTGCTGGTAGTCATTCTGGATCCTTTTGGGAGGCGATGTTTTGGGGAGCGGTTTTTTGAACTCTGGTTCTTCAGAGGGACGTCGAAGCCGTGCAGCCTTTAATCCGGGGTCGGCGCGGAGTCTGTCGCGGGACGGGGAAGGTCTGAGCGAAGGTGACGAGGTTGACGTCGGCAGGGGGATCCTGGACACTAAACGAGGAATTCCGCTGGGGCGTGACGGTGTCTTAGGTTGCTGATCCATGGTTGTCAAATTCCAATGTTCGCTAGTGCATCTATTATTTTAAGGGGGCAGCTCTGTTTTTATCGGTGGCATTCAGTGGGGGCTTAGTGGAATCCCATGGCGGTTCAACGTGGTGGTGGACAGGTGACAGGTAAAAGTCTAGAAGAACATTCTTGGAAGGACTATGATGCAATCAGGCAAGACAAGGTGGAATTTGAAGCCGTGAAGCTCCAGGGGCGCATTTTCAATGAAAAAAAAAAGCGATCATAGGCCAAAGAGCGTTAGCATGGATGTGGTAGATTATCTTCAATGTTTACTCCGCGGCTGACTAACTGAATCCCCGCTAGGCCCAGACTCCTCAGTGCCCAGTGCTGAGTGCTCACGGCGGCGGGCGGCGCCGCTGTCGCATTCGTGTGTTCAACAACCTGCAGTTTGGAGAGCTTCTGGGTTTCCTGGCCACCCGTCCAATGTATCGAGAAGATACTCCGTGGGCTTAGTTGTGTTTCATGCAATGATGCAGTTGAGAGGACCATCCTTGGCACTCATAACTTTCGAACTGCCAGCGGTTGTCTGGATGAGTTGTAGGCGCATGGGCAGGGTGACGCTCTTTCTCTCTGTCTGGGCACCTTTCCTGCGTAGATATCTATGAACGAAATGCCCTGTATAGTATGACACCGATGTCCTGAGAGGCAGATCCTGGTTCGTTGCCTGAGTTACAGGGCAGCTTGTCTCTGTTTACTCGCCCGGAATGGCCCCTGATATCCGCATTAAGCCTAGTCGAATTTCTGGGCTCAGCAACAAACATGATTGGCCCGCCTCCCAGCCTCCCGCCAAATGCGAAACTCCTGCCGCCTCTCTATCCTTAAGGCATCAAACCATCCCCCTCCGTCGCCGACTCCTTGCTTCTCACATCACTCTCATCTATCTCACCTGGTTTCTCTTTCTTCCACCCCTTACTCTTTTTATTTTTTTCGGCATTCTCAAACTTACCCCGCGATCTTTGTGATCTGAAGCATCTGTCGTTTCGGAAGGCTCATCCACCACTTACTTCCTCGGGTTCTTTCGGTGTCTATACCGCCCTGCTTAATCGATAAGCACCGAAGCAGTCGACTTGACGTCGGCTATTATTAGCCTTTCGTTCTATAGCGCGAATAGGCCGCAGCGGGCAGCGGGCATCGGGCATCGGAGCGATTCCCCAGACATCTCTATATCCTAAATATCTCTACTATCATCTGCACTAGAGAAGCGCCGTGAAATCTCTCATCTGATCTTCACGGTTCTCACGCCGCTGCTTCCGCGTGGTATGTCTTGACCGCCCTGGGACAACTGTTCGACCAGCGCATGTAAAGACTGACCACGATTCCTCTAGTTCGATATTGACCCCACTAGTACAACTCATCAGCCTACATCATATACAGTTGCCATGTCGCAAGACATCGAGCTCCAGCTGTCGCAAGGCTCTCTTGCCCCTCCTGTGGAAATATCGCGCCCTGTGACTCCAGTTCAACGAGCAACCCTCTCTGCCTCACCCGATTTGAGTGTTGGAGCCAGAAGTCGTCGTTCGCTGCGCTCCGACCACAGCGGGTTCAATTCGCCTCCGTCATTGCCCTCGTCAGATATGACTCCTCCTCCTTCAACGCAGATCCCTGGAGCTCCGCTCCGAAGGTCAAGGTCTCGTTCGAGCTCATACCTCGCACCTTCGCCGGATATCGAAGAAACCCTGTGCGCAGCCTATGGCGCGTCTGAAAATCTCCCCACTCCCGACGACATTGATAGTGCTAGTGAGTCCAAGCTGCGCACCATTGCGAAGGAGCTCCTTGGAATAGCCCGGGAATCTCGCGTGTCCGCCCTCCACTTCAAGTTGCAATATGGCCTTTTGGAGTTTCGAAGTAATGTGGCTATTCAACGCGCCGAGGTCGAGCATAAGCTTGCCAGGAGAGAGGCGGAGATCCTTCAAAGTACCGAGTACCGCAACCGTCATATCATCCCGGAGACAGAACCCACGCCACAGGTTTCCAATGTCGAACTTGAACTGGCCGTCAAACGTAATCAGGAGCTTGAGAAGGTCAATGCTACCCTTGACAGAAGGCTCCGACGAGCGAAAAAACTTATCGAACAGGAGAAGGACAAGTCGGACCTGCTCAAGGAAGAAAATCAGGCGTTGAAAAAGCGTATCCGAGAGAACCGGGAACACTTTTCTCGAATGATCGAACACTGCCCAATGTCTCCTAGTCCCCAGGCCGGCGCGCAAACCCCTCAACGAAGGTCTTTGCCACAATTTGTGGAACATGGTGACCACGTCCACAGGAGTGATAGCAGCAATCCGTTTGCGGCCCTTCTTGCAGCAGATCGCGTTCTGAACAGGGAGTCATCTAGTGTGACATCAACGCCCATCCGGCATCGTGGCCCCAGGAATAATTCCAATGGACACGTGCGGGGTAGCCATTCTCTATCCTCACTTCCCATGACACCGTCTCAGACGCAAAAGTTCCACCATCAAAGCCATTACGCAACACCCGGAAGAGAATCAAGCGATGAGAATCGTGACCGGGACAGCACAATCTCAGCTTCTGATATTGAAGAAGCCGAGACGGAAGAAGACATTCCTGCTTCTCAAGCCGGGTCGCTTGCAACACGCATGCTTCGTCGCAATCCGTCGGGTATCCAGCAAGATGTAAGATCTGCAGCTGGTGCTGTGCCAAAAACCAGCACCCTGCTTCAGACAAAGCTTTTTGGACAAGTGAGAAAGCCTGGTGTTGAACGGCCACCTCCGAGCAGTCTCAAACGCAAAGCAAGTTTTGACGGTGCGAGCTTGAAGAAAACAAAGGCGGGAGAGCATGTGGGTCTCGGGATTCATTAGAGGGTTTTGCAACCTTTGCATAACACTACTATAACGCTGCTATGTACTAGTGTCTACAAATTGTGCCTGGCCATGGCTCTGCGTCCTGACTTTCAGGACTTCCATGGGAAGCTGTTCTCTCTTGCTGTTGCTTTGGCATAGGATCTCTACGTTAAAGCATGATTTCTGCCAGTCTTCTCTTTTATATCTTGAGGTGTCTCTCATTATTGTGAGCGTTGATGACGAATGATGACATTTATGAAGCATGGGCGAATCGGTGTTGTTTTGGTTTTGTTTTCACCTGGGTTCATTCGCCAGCATTGGGCATCTGATGCAAGATTTCTTGCAATTTACTCATTTTGATGGGGTATACTAGATAGCTGAACAACAAATTGAACAAGGGCACTGATAGCGGAGACACATCTGATAACTAACTACCGTTGCTAAAAAGTGACTAAGCAGTTCTGCAATCACGTGGTATGGAAAGAGCTGCGAGGTTCACGGAGAAAGATGAGAAGGACATCGACAAGTTGGCAATATATTAACAATATACAGACAAGACAAGTATCACTGATAGGTATCAAATCCCCCTTCCAAACGCCATATTCATCAGCGTTGTCTGCCAGGTGTAATAGTTGGTAAGTTCGTAGAGCATCCGGATTCGGCAAGAAGGAAGGGTAGGGCTCGCTAAGCGAGGCGGTGAGCGACTCCCGCGCGGTTGGCCGCACCGAAAAGTTCCACTAATATTGAGCCGGAGGAGTTTTGAGATACGACCAGCAACCACCCACGACGACCACGACAAGCCCCGGTCTGATCACCATCTGACACAATGGTGCGTATATTGAGATTCCAGTTTCGGCTCTTCTGAGATGAACTGAGAGACGGACGATCCTGTGTCTGTTCATGACAGGAGGGGGAACCTTTGCTGATGAGATTTCTTCGTGATATAGGCGATCAAGCACAACAACCAGCTTCAGAAGCACCGTGAGTGGCACCCGCCGAGCGAGATCCGGAATATGAAATGCGCTTTCGTCTGAATGAACGCGATCAGAAACTGCGATGGATAATGAGCAATTGTGTTGGGCTAGGATTTGCTGATGGGGTTTTCATTTGCAGACTTCCACAAGGACTGGCAGCGTCGTGTTCGCGTGCACTTCGAGCAGGTACGCTCTCTTCGATTTAGATACCCGGTGTTGCTCTGGCGGAAAACCGAATTTTTCTCGAGAGACAGAGAGCGCTTTCGCCTAGGTTCGAGTTTGATGGACTAACATGGTTTTTTCGTTGGGTTATAGGCCGGTCGCAAGCACAGCCGTCGTGAGGCCCGTCTCGCAAAGGCTGCCGCTGTTGCTCCCCGTCCGGTTGACAAGCTCCGCCCCGTTGTGCGATGCCCTACCATCAAGTACAACCGCCGTGTCCGAGCCGGTCGTGGTTTCACCCTTGCTGAGCTGAAGGTAAAGAAACAACCGTCCTGCACCCGGGAGCTTTAATTGGAAACTTATACTTGTCCCGCGACGTACAGGAAGCCGGTATCCCCAAGAAGCTCGCCCCCACCATCGGTATCGCCGTTGACCACCGCCGCAACAACTACTCCAAGGAGTCTCTCGTCGCCAATGTCGCCCGCCTCAAGGACTACAAGGCCCGCCTGATCCTCTTCCCCCGCAAGAGCGGTCAGTTCAAGAGCCTTGACTCCTCCGCCGACGAGGTCAACGCCGCCAAGGCTGCCTTTGCCGCTGAGGGCCAGACCCAGGGCTACGCCACCAAGGTTGGCTCTCTTCTGCCCATCAAGAACACCAGCGCCGCCGAGGCCGTCACTGAGGTCAAGCGCGACGACCTCCCCAAGGGTGAGGAGGCTGCATACCGCCGGCTGCGGGAATCCCGCGCCGAGGCCCGCTACCAGGGTGCTCGGGAGAAGCGTGCCAAGGCCAAGGCTGAGGAGGAGTCTGCCGCTAAGAAATAAATTCCGTGTACCTAAATGCTTCTTTGCTCAAAAATCTTCAGCTAATGATGAATCTGGTCGTCGATTTTTCGTGCGGGGAGGTAAATTCTCCCTCATCTACTATCCAAGTGTACCGTGGCATGGCTTTGGGATTGGCTGGCGTCCCGATTCTTTCTTATCTACCTCTTTTTTCCCCTAGACCTCTCTATCTGCTCTATTTGTCCCTGGGCAGATAAAAAAAGGTGCCTCTGAACTACCCTGAAATGTGAAACGCGATTGTTCGAATGTCGTCTCCGTTTTGAGTCCTTCAGACTGTGTTGCTCTGGTAGATCTATCCTTCTTCGTCTTGAGTACTGAAAGACCAAGAATTTCCTCAAGCATCTCAACGCAACATTGAACTAGGCTCAACTGTTATGCTCAGAAGGGGTTCTTGCAACATTGTGTACTCTACAAGGCAAGAATGGATATCATAAAACTCATCGTCTCATAAAGCCTGGCCAAACCACGACTTGGGATCAACTGCCTTGGTAAAAACAAAAAAGTACTCCTCTAACCTACTTTTCACTATTCGCCCCGAACAACACACCCAGAACACAATCCGTAGCCCTCAGGATCGCCCGAACGTCTGAGCCGCCTGCGGCTCCAGACTGGCTTCCCGTGGTCGACCGTTCATTCACAATCGTCTTAAAAAGTTTCTTGGAGTCCTGCGCTATCTTCTCGCTAGGTTCGTTGTCGAGCCCTGTTGTTGAGATGCAGATGCTGGACGTGAGTTCTGGTTCGCCCGTCCACTCATCGATTGTGAGTTCGCATGAGAGGAGGAGGGATTTCTCGGGAGATTCAAAGAGCATTGATGTGCGCTCAATGTGTGGGAGGATTCGGCGTAGATCGGATTGTGTCGGGGCGTCTGTGTCTTCAAGGGTGTTCTTTTTGGAGTTCTGAAAAGTTCTTGGTCTGCTGCGACCAGGGAGCAGGTCTGAATGGTTGTCTTCTATTTGAGCCCAGATCTGGGCTCGTGAAACCAAGGCCTCCCAGTATCGGCTGATGCCCCAGCAGAGACCGGATACGTCGAGCTTTAGCAGCGGATTCGCTAGCCGCGTCTTTATCCACTGCCGTACATAGTCTGGTGTATTCCCGTCAATATCTGCTGACAGGGAGACTAAGCACTGTGTTTCGGGGTTTGTTTCATAAGAAACGGATATTCTGTATTGGGAAGGGGGAAAAGGCGAGAGTGGTGAAAGGATGAGTTGGTGTCTTTCCACGATGGGTTCGGATTTTGAACAGGGTATCATGTTCGATGATGCAGTGAGCTTTAGAGGCGCAAGTGCAGACAGGTATAGATCCGTCTGTGCGCTCTGATCGAGAGCAAACGGATTAGATTCGGGCGAGGCTCTGCGTGGCTTGGGTGGCCGCTTTGTAGAAAAGGGGAGTAGTGTGGATATAAGGGATGACAACGTCTGAGTGCCCAATCGAGGATTCGTTGAAGGGGTATGAGACGGATCATCCAATAGTAATAGAGAGCTTCTCGAGTTAGTGATTTTTTTTTCCAATCGACAATAACCGAGTAACATACCTTAGTTCACCCAGATAAGGCTCTATATTCTCGCCGCGTTGCTCGAGCTGCTCACACAAACCCTCCAGTTTCGCAACATCCCGCTTGAGCGACTCTAGATCGTGAGAGAGCTCCCGTTTGAGCTTTCTCTTCTTGTGAACAGATTCAGGAAGCAGCACATCATTCACACTTCCGACATGCTCTGTTGAGCCCTCGGGATCAGTACCGTAGTCAACGATCCTGAGCTTTGAAGGACTCTGCTCCAGATCCCCCGCGGCTCGCCGTTTACCCCACTGTTCCTTACTAGGACTGCTACTCAACAGTCCCCTTGGTCGCCCCGGAGGCCGCTCCAGGCCTAATTGGGTCGGTGTGGGGGGCAGGTCAGGCTCGTCGAAGCCGTCATTCAATGAAGGACTTTCAAAATCGTCGTCACCCATGTCCGCAGCGCCGGTTGCGCTACCCAATTCAGAAGCCAGTTGATCCTCTGGAGTATTTATCAAACTCGCTTCTACTCTTGTTTCCTGCGACGCAGTGGGTGACTGAAAAAATAGGTCCGAAGTGCTGATTCTTTTCGAAACGCGCCGCGGGGGTACGGCAAAGGCAACAAGTCCGCTTGACCGGCGGCTGGGGAAAGAAAGAGGTGATTGTTGACCGAGTTTGAGAGGGTCTATCGGACTCGCGGTTAGCGTGATTGAGGGCCTGAGGGCTTTTCTATCACGCAGGCCGATTGCTCTCGTTTCGGCCTCATTCTGCGGGTCATCTCTACTGCTTCTGCGCGCAGATTTCCGCGTCGGCGATCGACTCAGGGCGCGTTCCAGGACTTCGGGGTGCGCCCTCGCCAGGCTTGCTTTTGTTGGCGCCTGGAAGGAAGGTCTAGAGGGGGAGCGCCGTTGAGAGACATTTCGAGGGGGAGGGGGCTCCATTTGCGACGCGTCAACGGCGTTTGTTGTGATTTCGTCGATATCGTTTGCGGACTACGTCAGGCAACCATTGCGATGGTTCGTACTAAGAAGGATCAGTGGTAGGTTGAGAGCAGAGTAGATTGCGCATAGTATTATGCTTGAATAGCTTCAGGAGTACTCACTCGATCGTTTCGCATAATTGAGGCTCAATAAAGCACGACCAAATACCCCGTATGCGGAGCACGTGATTGAGGTATTGTTTGCACTGTTTGCTTTCAATCACCTCGGATAACGACCGCCGCCGCCTCTGTCGGAGAATGACGATATCGATTCTCCCAACACATTAATTTCATAGCACAAATGGAAGGCCATGCGCTGGCCACAGCCAGACATGCGCTTGCCAAACACAGCACAATATCAATTCTCATTGTCTTCAGACCAATACACCGACAATCAATCAATCGCTTTCCCCGCTTCTCGTCCCCGCGCCTCTTCTCCCATGGACGAGCAAACTCAAAATCAAACTGCGCAGACGCTATGCAAGCTTATCCCCTCTCAGGGTACTACTTTGATATCCTTTCTGCTCGCTCAAAGCATCGTGGGCAAGCGACAACCTCACCCTCCGCCCCAGAACACAAACCGGCAACCACGACACCACCCGCCGAATCAAGCGGACTGCCCCAGTCGCCGGAAGAGAAGATGGCAATTGTCTTTGGGACCCGCTTAGCCGGGCCTGGGCGGTCCTCGCGCTACGATCCAGGCTCAACTGCTGCGTGGAAGACCGTGAACGGAGTACCGGTTCCGCCGCGACCGGAGGAGCCGGATAACTGTTGCATGAGTGGCTGCGTACATTGTGTGTGGGATGACTATCGGGACGAGATGGAGGAGTGGGCGGCTCTACTGGCCGAGGCCAAAGCTAAAGGTCCGTCGAAGAAGAGTGTGGTTCCGGGTGCTATACCGAAGATGCCGGATGATGCGCCTGGTGGCACGAGTATGGATGATGATGGTGGTGGGAGTGAAGCGAATTGGTCGCTACCAGGAACCCATGATGATTTGTTTGCAGATATCCCAGTTGGTATTCGCGAGTTTATGAAGACGGAGAAGAGGTTGAAGCAGATGCATCAGCAGGGGCGGGAGAGCTCATGAGTCATGTCCGTGAGTTTCGAGTGTATAAAAATGCCCATTCGTTATGCTTTGTGTTGCATTAGCTGTATATATTAACAAAAAATAGATGTAGAACTAGAGACCCTGTATACATACTTTCACTTACGTGAGCAACATGATTGTAGAGAGTGCTACTAGGCAGCTAAATACAGCCATACGAAAGATGGCCTGGCAGTAATGCGAATGACTGGTATGAAGCCTGACATTTTACTCCTAATTCCAACTGTATGTGTAGTCATGGCTGGACCGGTGGGCCGAGACAAAGGCGGAAAGTTCAAAGCACATGGCAGATCCAACTATGCCTCATCGGGGCGATTGACGTTGAGGCCGGGCTATCGTTCCACTACCAAACTTTAATTGTACCTGAGTGGACCTGCCGTTGAAAACCCCCTCCATGCCCCAACTGGGTGAATTCTGTCTCGTAGTACTCTCATCGATCGTTTTAGAGAGGACAAGAGCTGAGCTCATATCTTAACTTTAGTAGATTCAAACATCATGTTTTCTCTCCAGGGCAGCAATGGGCCTTCTTGTTTGTACTAATGTTCGGAATCGGGCTGTCAGGGAACTGGACTTCCAGATAATGGTGCTAAGCTCTTTCAGGCGCCCCCGCAGTAATGAAAGGGCTTTTGAAAGCATCAAACTAGCGTTGTTTACACCATGGGACCGACTCTAATCGATATCTGAGCTCAAAGCTACGTACAGCAGTCTGCCAAGGCCCTTCCTCAGCTGTACAGTAGGCTCAATATTTGACAGCTACAATGATATTGATTCATGCATAGCACAGATAATATTATATGATTATAATAATGATCTGTGAAATGATCAGTCCATTATTATCTATTGTATTTCATGGAGTGGAAACTGAAAACACCCTTACCTACCTATTAGGGCCTAGTGCCTCAATCGCATTTCTCCCCGCCAAGCTTTCCAATCCAAACCCGCATAAAATTAGAATCGAGTAAAAAGATACGACAATATCAGGACCCTCGGGAAGACAGCACACGGCCGCGAATTACGCCGCGGAACCAAGGAAAAATGTCCCTCTCCAAATCCGAAACAGACATTATCCTCAACAAAGCCAACATCGCCCTCGCCCGCAGCCAACGCCTCGTCGCATCCTGGCTCCCCGTGCAGCAGACCGGCGCAGAGCAAGACCACAGCAATGCGAAAACTGACGAGGAGCTTCAGCGCGAGGAAGATGAGATTTTCACGGCTGTGCCGGAGAGGTACGTTTATCGCGGTCAACTCTACCGACTTTCTTCAATCCCCTCAATCCGGAACCGATTTTCCTTTTCTTACCGCTCTCTTTCTATCTCCGAAATTAACCAGGGTCATCAATGATATAGACTAGGTCTCGGAGCGCCCCTGCCTACGAAAGCCGCAGACGGGAGTTGGAACCGGACGGAGCTCGATTCGAACGATCAGCTGCGGAGGCAACTTCTGGGGAGGAATTACAAAAAAGTCATGGCGGAGAAGGCGCGGCAGAAGAATGCAGAGTCTGTGGCTGGTTCTTCGACGACGATCACGGCGAACTCTGCTTATAGAGAAGGAGGGGCTCAGCGGCGGGGCGAACATGATGGTGCTGGTGCTGGCGATGGCGATGATGATGACGACGATGAAGAAGAGGGCCGCACTGCGTCAATTGGGAAGAAGAGCTTATCGAAGAAGCGAAAGGTGATAACGAGGGTTGAGCCTACGCGGACGGAGCATGGCGGTGATGAGTACAAAGAGAATGGCGGTGATGGCGGTGATGAAGATGGAGAAAAGGCAGCGTCGCAGCCGGCACCAAGATCAAAAGGGAGGAAGAAGGCTACAAGTTTTCTGGATGAAATTCTTGCTGAACGGTCGAAGAAGCGGAGGAAGCAATAAACGCCCCTGAAGGGCTACATGTCAATTGTCAGATTTTGCAATATATATAACCCCCCCCCCAACCACCCCCCTCCTGGCCAAATTGCACTTTTCACCTGCAAACCTCCTGGCTAATATGCCTTGTACATGCCTACCTAACTAAAACACCCCACAGTTGCCGCATGCGGCATGCCCATTCTTTTGATTTCTTTATCGATTTCAACACTCTCGGTTCCACTCAGTGGGGGTATAAGATGCTGAAATAAGTGAAGCCGGGTTGAGAAAGCTAGCTGTCTTGAAGACAAAAAAAGAAAAGGAAAAAGAATTCGCGCCTATGCCACCATACATAAATCTGTCTGATGCGCTCGAGCCCATCGGGCACCTATACGCCAAGCCAGTGAGACCCTTGATAGAAAAAGGAAATAGAAAGGAGAGCGATGCAAAACTAGGAAAAGAAATGTGATGCAGTCCTCTTGAGCGAGCCCATGTGATATCCAGAAAATCCACGCCACAGAGATTGTACACTTGATCAAAGTATAAGAAACGGCACGCTCCGCAATATGTTGTAGCAGTAGTAGTAATAAATAAATGAAGGAGGGTCTTTTTAGACCCTGGTGTAAGCGTAGGTGGCCAAAGCCACCAAATATATTCTTCTTTTCGATTATTTCCCAACTAAAACCAGGTACGCTTCCAAACTCCTGGAGTAGTGTTGCTTTACTCCAGCCGCTTCCGTTTCCGATCTTCGGCCGCATGCTCCTCATCAGGTCTTTCCGCTGTGTCGGCCGGATTGAGTAGAGAATGAACATTGCTTGCCATGCTGGATCGGCGAGTAGCAGGTAACGAAGACTCGTGTCGAGGGTACCTAGGCCCGCCAAGCCCCCATCCGTTGTCTGTGGGTCCCGGTTGTTGATCAGGATTTAGCGGAGGTGTTGCATGCCGCGAGGTGTCCTGGAAGCGCCGTGGCGCTCCCATCTCATACTGAGCTAATACATCCCGCACTTGTTGATCGCTGGACGCTTGTTGTGTCCGATGCGGGGATGGAGACCAAGGACCATGAGGTGCATGCGAGGGCGGCGCTTGGCCAGGTGGGAACGGAGATACACCAGGTGGCGGCCAGCCGTGCTGGCGGATGTCTGCTGAAGTATGTCGGCGTGCCAGGTTGGGCCCTGGAGGAGAAGACACGGATGAAAGAGGATGTGGGACTGGAGGTTGCGGGGTAACGACTGTTGGGATCTGGGGTCGACTGTAGTGGGGGGGCGAATTTGCCGCACCAATTGAGCCATAACGGCGAGGCGAAACAGACAAGTGAGCGGGTACCGGCGGTCGAATCATAGTATTATTATTTGGGCGATCTGCCATTGACGGTCGACGGCTATCGTCTTGTGGCATTTGTCGGGGTGATAAAGGCGGACCTGGCTCTATAGCGACGCTTGGCACATGAGGGTGTCGGACAGAAAGATACATATCCGGAGGGTGTTCGAGAGCCCGCACAGAGTCGAGATGTTTTTCCAGCTCTGTTTGCATACTGGTTACTGAAGATTGGTCAGCTGTGTTTCTCTTACTTGTTTTTTCTCGGAATATACTTACCATCTCGATATAGAGCACTCTCACGATCGGGTATCACTCCTTGCAAGAACCGGGATATAGAATACGTCCACTGCAAATGTTATTTATGTACGTTTGGTTTCGGAACTCAAAATCTCAGCTCACATGATAACATCTGCTCATACTCTCTGCCATAGCCTGGCATCTGGAATTGAGCGCTGCATTGCCCTCCTCGGCCCGGTTGAGGCGATTATGCATGTCGTACAGCAGGTGTTCCAGGTTCATCAATCGCGCTTCGGTAGCATCGGGGACGGGCTCCGCCGGCGTACCTGGTTGGGACGGGACGGCCTTGTGGCCGGGGAATGAGTCTCGGTGGATCAAAGCATGGCGCGATGCTCGTCGCTTGATTTCCCGCAGCCCGACGAGGTCGCCTCGTTTGAAATTCCCATTTCCGTGTTTAAATTCCCACAAAGCCGAGTCGGGGGAGCCAGTATGAAAAACGTCGCTCACTAACGAGTGGGAAAAAAAAGGGAATTTTTAGCGATGCCAGGCAAGTTTCGTATCACGATTGCGTACCTTTGTGAAAGCCATACATGTTCAGCTGCCTCACAAACGAAGAAATATTCGTGTGTTTAAAGTATTGACTAGAGAGTGGTCGCATTAGTGACTATTCCGGCGCTTGTAACGGGCGAAGCACAAACGCAAGCACTTTAGAGAATTCCGAGGTAGGAGACATGACGAAACTGTCATTCGTGTTGGACCAGGAAATCAAATGTTGGATGCTCTGGTCCTCCAACATACTGTTGGTACTGAATCAGCAAAGGTTCTATTCCAGCAACGTTTGCAACTCAAAAGTAAATTTCATACTTGTACAGTTTATGGATAAACGCAGTCTGAACAACTTTGGGTTGCTGGGCCGCAGCAGCAGCCCCAATAGCCTGGGTATGAGTCGCATGATTGCTAGGATTTCCGGTACCAGGAGAGCCATTGGAAGTCGTCGTGGTGTTTGCGCCCGCTCGGTCACTGTCGGGCGTGCCATGAACGGGATGTGTGCCACCTGTGATGGCGGCCGGAGAAGGCGGAGTGACTTCCATCGAATCGCTCGTCGATGGACTAGAGGAGGGGACGGATGACAAGAGAACAGGAAGCTTCCGTGTCCTGCCCGGCGCATCGACAGCACCAGGAGCGACAATACCTCTCGATGGAAGCTCGGCAAGACTGCTCATCTCGCGCGGCGGAACAGGGGTAAAGGGCGACAACGGCCGCACGCCGCAGGCGGGGAAAGAAACCTAGACCAGGACGGCGAAATTTTTTCTTCTGCTCGATCTGGTTCTGCAAGGATGGGCTGACGAAATCTGCTGCGGGGAGAGGATCCACGAATTGACAGAAATAATACTGTAGGAGAACAAACGGGAAGGTTGATAGAAGAAGAGGCAGTAAAAACGTAGGAAGAACCTCCCGCGTCGACAAGAGCTGATAGTAAATGGCCAGGACTTGTCTGGGCCAAGCAGGCGCTGATCAACTCACAAGTGTCTCCGCTTCCCGAGTCATGGCGAGTCCAATAATCAATAGGCGTTCGATGTTAAAAATGGTTGCCGAAAGTCTTTTCAACTCTTTTCAACTCTTTTCAACTCTTTTCAACTCTTTTCAACTCTTCCGGCAACTTTGCCAATGGTAAGCGCTCCTTGTCCTGTTTGAATAGATGTTTCATATAGTCTTCCCAGATCCTGGGACCTCTGTTCTGCGAGCTCCTCCGCGCGAACAGTCAAATTTGCTGTCGGCCGTGCTCCAGACAGGAGTGCGACGGAGCTTTGCGGGGAGGAGGCAATGAGGAACCAACGGTTCAGTCCGTTGGAGGTGGCGAGCGAGTTGTCAATATCAGATCTGCAGAGAACTGCTCGTCGTCAAATAACAGCTCTAGCCTCCCATGGGGCCGATGTCCGTCACTGGGTCCAGAAGCTTGGGGACAGCCAGACGAATGGGGGGCGCGCGAATCCGAGTTGAAATCACGCCTTCTATCTTTTTTGTTGAAACGAAGAGGGTGGGGTTAAATGATCTCAATATACAAAATACAAAATACTCGTTAATGACAGATGTTGGTTGAGTTCGAGGTGCAACAGACCTGAAGGAGGAAACTGCACTAAACAAAATATATTAATCAACCCCCCATCTCAAAAATCGACCTAACCTAGACTTTCACTAGCACCCACTTAGATTCTCTTGGATGGCTACAACGACGACAATCTTGAATCTGGAACCTGAATTCCATTCCTACCCCCGTTATATACACTGGAATTCATAGAGAAGAATTACTTGATCTCCTACCTGTCTACCCAGCGCCCACCTCGTGCTCCTCCACGCAAGGAGATTGAGTACGGTCTGCGTGAAAAGGCCACACTCGCGTACTGGTAGCATCAAGCATGGAAACAAAGTTTGAATCCCCGGTTAGCACGCGGTGGCCATGGGAGAAGAGGCGCGGAGACGGCTCCCTGGGTAAACCAAGGGCCATGCTTTTTGAAGTATAATGCGTCGCAGCGTCGGCATTGGAAATCCGGATGCTCTGCTTGCCCTCATCATTTGCAACATAATAGAGAATATCCTTGTCGACGCTGGCCATGCACGGTGGAGAAGGAACCTGATTCCTGTGTAGAATGTGTACACAAGTGCTGCCTGTTTGAGGATCGTACGAGACTGGCAAAATGAGTTGCTCCCTTTCTTCTTCCCCTGATCCGACCCAAGCATAGAGAATGCCCAGGCGATTCCGGTAGCTGAGCTGCAAGTCTTTTGCAACATGTGTATTATATAGTGGGCGGTCACTAGGAAGTGGTGCTTTGTAGATGCGACCTGCCGAAGCACCCCCGTCAGCATGTAGTTGATAGTCAGTGACGCAAAGTTGGCGAGACCCCCGTGCATCTACCAGCCCAAGAGAGACCATGGTCAAGCGGCTGGCCGGATGCAGCGCTATCAACAGTAAGCCCTCTACTTGTTCTCGAGGTAACCTATGGCAGGTTTGTGACTCTAGATCGTAATGCATGACAAAATCGTTGTCATCGCCGGCTGTGTTAAAGCATAGTGCTATTCTGGAACCGGCAAGGCTGAAATGGGATATATCTGTATTCGGTAAACGGACGCTGTAGTGCACCTCGTCTGTCAGAGTACTCCAAACGTGGCAGTACCTACATCGTAGTATCAGCAGTCTGTCGAGCTTTGAAGGGAAAAAAAAAAAGACTGACCCATGAACTGTGATTGCAGCTACTGTAGATTGCGAAAGACGGACCATCTTGAGTCTTTCGCGATTCTTGGTGCAGTACCGCTGTTTCCCTCCAGTGATCAGGTTGTAAACGACAATAGCGGTGCCATAATCAGTTGTCCACGCAAATTGGCCATCCGAGTAGTCGAGTGTCAATAGCTCCTCATCAGTTATAGAGGGTAGTACGATCCGAGACAGATTGCGTGGATCTCCACGTTCTATGCAAAGCCTATGCTCTGAATACCGCGCAAATTTAGATATAAAGTCCGTATCGAGATGGTCAAAGTTGTTCCCAGTATATTGTCGATATGTTGCGTCACAGGCTGCCTTGGAACCCAGAACATCGTGCCATCTTCTGGATACCCGTCGGAGAAGATGCATTTCAGCCAGATTGAGAGACTGAGTAATTTGCACGGCGATTTCTAATGGTAGCGCACCGAGGATATCCTTTTGAAATGATCTTGCGTTGATGCGCTCCTTGACATCTCGCCATTCATAAGGATTTAGCTGGTCAATCACTTGATGGATTGCTGAATGCCGAGCTGTCTTGGTGCTTAGCTGCGTGAAGCGAGTGACGATTTCTTGTATATCAGAATCCATGACAGGCATCGACAATGGGCAGGAGGGTCGGATTTGATCAGCGGGAAGTCAAAGAATTCCACTCCCGTGACATCTTTGACTTGTAAGTGAAAGGGAAATGTTTTGGCTGCCACTCCAACATCCACAAAGAGATTGAATACATTGACACTAGGGAAAAGGTAACTAAGAAATGACACTAGGGAAAGTTATAGAAACGAAAACGATGTACAAAACTTTAAATGCACTCTATTATAGATTCCCTGGACCTCCACTCGGAGACTTTCCCTCCCGATTAGGCCTCTCCTACCCACTGTTTCGGTGTACCTGGACCGATTATTCTGTGGGCAGTAGGACTTGGTTAGCGTCATATTTAGATATAAATGTCCTTCCTCAGCTGATTCCAGTCAATTTCTGCGAAGCACCCGTTTCACTAAGAAAGAGAGATGAAGCAATCGGACAGTTGACATGACAAAAGAAAAATCCACGCGGAGCTTAGATACCAAGAGTGAATTCGACACCCACGTCGATCTCGCGGGCCATCTTGACAACCTTGCTGAACTGAACGGACTTTTCCGCAGCACTCTGGAGATCCTCAATTGAGAAGATCTTGAGGCCGGATTCGTTGATCTAAACCTTGTTAGCTCTATCCACACTTTTAAAAACAATGACGTACCAGCTTGTGAGCCTGCTCCATGTTGGTACCCTGCAGACGAGCAATGATGGGAGTGCGCAGGTCCATCTCGTGCACAACATTGATCAAGCCCTGAGCAATGGCATCGCAGCGTACAATACCACCAAAGATGTTGACAAAAATGGCCGACACCTTGGGATCGCTGGTGATGAGCTCAAAGGCCGTCTTGATGGCAGCGGGCGTAGCACCGCCACCAACGTCAAGGAAGTTGGCGGGGCTGCCGCCGTTGAGCTTGATGATATCCATGGTAGCCATGGCGAGACCAGCACCGTTGACTAGAAATATGGTTAGTATACACACCACAGCGTCTCAACCACTACAATAGCAGCCAATCATTACTGACCCAAGCATCCAATATCTCCATCAAGCTTGATAAAGTTCAGGCCGTGCCTGTCACGCATTAGTTGGTTTTCGCATTGACCTTTGCAGCTACATACTCGGCGGCCTTGACCTCATCGGCATCTTCCTGGGTGGTGTCTCTCCATGAGAAGATCTCCTTTTGGCGGAACTCGGCGTTATCATCAAAGCTAAGCTTGGCATCCATGGCGAGAACCTGGTGGTCAGAAGTCTCGGACAGAGGGTTGATTTCAATCTGGGTAGCGTCGGTGTCCATGAATGCCCTGTAAAGGTTCTGGATGGTCTGCCTGGCCTCGTCGACGCACTGTTCAGAGAAGCCGAGCTCGGTAGCAATCTTGGTTGCAATGGCATCTGTTACACCGACTTTGATATCGATAGGAGTGGTGATGATGGCTTCGGGGTTCTCCTTGGCAACGGCCTCAATGTCCATGCCACCTTGGGACGAGGCGACAATGACGGGGCTCTGAGTCTGGCGGTCCATGAGGACGGCAAGGTAGAATTCGCGGCGAGCGAATTTGCGCTCAACAATGTACACAGAGTTGCAAAGGCGGCCAGCAGCGCCGGTTTGCTTGGTAATGAGCTTCTGTCCGATCATCTGGCCAGCAAACATCTTGGCCTCGGTAGGGCTGTGTGAAGTGAAGCGCCAAATCAGCCAGAGAACTAAATTGAGAGGAACTTCATTTGGATAATTCACTCACGAGTAGATGACACGCACACCACCCTTTAGACCGTTGTCAAAGTGACCCTTTCCACGACCACCAGCAAGGACCTGAGCCTTGATCACCATATCATCGTTACCTGCAAAACTGGGGTCTTAGTACGTCGCATTGAGATATTACCCAGCATGGGTTCGAGTATTACCGAGCGATTTGGCGACAGCCTCAGCCTCCTCAGCTGACCGAGCGACTTCACCCTTGGGAACTCCAACGCCATACTGTGCAAAAAAAAAGTCAATTAGGCTAGAATCTCGCCCGCGTTGTTGTGTACACGTACTGATTTGAGCAAGTTGGCAGAAAGGTATTCGTGGATGGAAAGGTTTCTCTGTTGCTGAGCGATACGCGTGCGCATGGACGGCTCCTATCAAGTAAGCTAGTGTTAGCTACCACTGATCACAAAAAGAGCAGTAGAAGCGGAATCTGGGAAGATCATACCGTCGCAGCTCTGAGAGCCGCCGTGAACGGCCGAGTGCGGGCTAGCTTGAACATGGCGGATGGAGGGGAGAGGGGGAAAAGAATAAAAGAAGAGGTTGATGATAAAAGTTGACTGGAAAAGAGCGACCTCCGGCGATCAGCAACGGGAGCCTTGGTTGAGTGACAGGGGAATATAGCTTGCCTTTTGGGGCCGGATACGCTTCGGGATGATATTGTCTTTTTCACTTCGGCATAGATGACTAAGATGGTTGCTATGGCGCGCCGTATCTCTTTTCCGACGCGAATACCCCCGAACGCGACAAGCATGGAAACATCAACTTTTGATTTTTGCATCGATGGTTTATACAATATCAACTTTTTGAATCAGTTCGAGGCGCAGTAACTCCTCGCGAAGCCATGCAGATCCTTCATGCTCGAGTCGTGTATAGGCCAACGACATTCCAACCGCGGATACACGCTGATTTTCACGGCAAATACTTTACACGGCGTGAGCATGGATAGTGACCCCATACACGATCAACACCAAGTTTTGTTTTGGAGAAGCTCATTTCTCGCAAAGCGTAAATAGACCTGTCCACAGCTTTCTTGCTCTTGCTCGCTGCGCCCCCGACTTGCTCAAGTGCCATCAGTTCCCGAGGATCCTCTTTAATCTGTTCAGTCCAAACATCCGAGCCATGATGCCGTGGAAAAACCCTGTCCATGCCCAACCTGCCATGAAAAACCAAACCACCCAGCTCTTGTTACCTTCCCAGATCCAGCTCTTTCGGGCCTGTGCCCAAGGCCAGAGCCAGCGCCACGGTGCGGGCCCGTACAAGACTTGTGCGACGACACTCTGAGCATATGCAGCGTGAGGCATTGCGCCGTCTTGGCTATGTGTCACTCGGCGAGTATACTGGTCATCGATTGGGGCATAGACCGAATCGGGTCGTAGCGTACGCTTGGTGCGCGCAATACGCGATTCAACGCCCCCAGTCACTACGGTAGTGACATTGACACTGGCAGAAGACCTTTTGTTAGTCGGTTGCGCTAGAAACAAGTGTGATGCATAACTTCTCGTACCCAAATGGGGCCAGCTCTACCCGCAGCGTATCGCTGTACGAGTGCAGAGCCGCCTTGGATGCATTATAGATCGAACCAAAGACGTACGGGATAATCTAGACAAGTCAGGTAGTGGACAGCGACCTTTGATAATATGGTACTTACTCCAGCAACGGACCCAATCTGTACAATCGTACCCTTTGCCTTGATGAGTAACGGGACAAAAGTCTTGCAGATGTTGACTATCGCAACAAAGTTTGTTTCAAAGGTTGCGCGAACTTCTGCAAGGTCCACTTCCAAAGCAGGAACGGTGTAATCTATAGCGTAGTGAGCAACATGGACAGCCTCTCTCTCCCTCTCTCGATGAAACATACTGCGACCCCTAGAAAACAGTCAGCTCAGATAAAAATTTGTTGCTTAAAAGTAGCAGCAACTCACGCATTGTTCACCAAATAGTCCAATCCCTTATCACCCAGTCTTTCCTTCACCTCTGCGAGACACCGCTGGACGCTCTCCTCATCATCTACCGTCAGGCTCAGGGTTTCAACTCCCAAGGCTGCGAGGTCTCTTATCGATTCTGCATCTCGTGCTGTCGCAAATACGCGCAAACCATGTTTATGAAACTCGCGAGCGAGGGCGTTTCCGATTCCACCAGGCGAGCAGCTGTAACACTCAGTAGTAGTTCATGAAATCGCAATCAGCAACTTACCCTGTGATAAGGACCGACTTTTGCGAATCGTTGGCCATTCTGATAATTACTCTGCGGCCAGGTTGATCAAGCCAGGGGAATCGTTTGGCCGGACGGAGCTGCTGTAAAATGCGCCTGACTCGCTCCGTATTTTTGGATTAATAGTAGACGTTTTTTGATTTGATTATTGATAACTCGATAAGCCTGAGTCTCTTGAGACTGGTGCTCCACCGAAGCCTTGGCAGGCGGCCGTGGCACATGGAGAAGTTGGGTGGGGGCAATAACAGTTGAAACTCCTCACTTACCACTCCTCAGCTTTACTCATCGAAATCACGTTCCAAGGTTGCAACTTGCTTCGCAGGCTCACCATATGATCGAATCACATTTGATGCCACGCCAAGTGACACCACAAAACACCCTCCAAGCCAGACTATGCCCATCAAGGCTGGACCTCCAAGGCAACAGCCTTAAAAGTGGTCCGGTCAAGTTTCGACCATTGAAAAGAAAGGGACCATTGTGCAGATCACTCTCAGAAATGTCGTCAGACTCGTCATCTGCTGCAAGACCTTGGTTTTCTCGTGGATAATAATCGGTATCATGGTCTAAAATGTTCTTAAATGCGATTGTTCCATGGCTTAGACTACCTGCGTCCCGGTTACCGGCAACCCGACCCCAGACGAACAAGCCTGGCCAACTTGATTGGGCACGAACTCTGAGAAATCAAGCGGGGCTCACGGGTAATCGGCCAGTCGACAGGGCAGCAGCGGTATTTGTGTTTCTGACCAAATAATAGCCTGTGGACGGCAAAGGAAAAGTCCAGGGATGATGAAAGGGCTCGGTAGTCCCAGCGGTCTTTGCTTGGAGTTATCATCATGCATCTACAACTTCCTCCGCCTCCCAGGCATTTGATATCGCCTGCCGAAGGACACCGTACTCCCACAATCGAGGATACACTGAGAGACCTGTCAACTTTCAGCGCTGCACTCCAACCGGCGGCTTCACGGGTGCGCAAAGCACATTCGTCGGCCCTAGAGTCTTTGTACAGCCAGCAAAATCGCGCACATAATGAACAACCGGACCCGGAGGATCTGTCCAGATCCATATCCGAGGTTACTACTGGTAAACTCAATTGGAAGAAGCGGATACGACACTTTACCTGGGCGTTCTTTACATTGACAATGGCTACCGGCGGGATTGCCAATGTTATATACAACAGTAAGTACTGGAAACCGTGTATACCGAAACCGTGTGTATGATCCTGATGTTGAATAGTCCCTTATAGGTTTCGAGGCTTGGAAACCATTGGCATCATCTTCTTCCTCGCCAACATTGTTTTCTATCTTATAATCTGGGCTTTATTGCTCACAAGATTCTATTTATTTCCATATACTTTCAAGGCATCATTGTTGCATCCTACAGAGTCTTTGTTTGTCCCAGCGTCGGTCGTCTCGTTTGGGACTATCCTGATTAATGTTTCGCAATACGGCACTGACAACGCTGGGCCCTGGCTTACAAACGCCGTCAACATTCTTTTCTGGGTTGACGCTGCCCTGGCCGTCATTTCTTCAGCGGGGATCTACCTTTTGTTGTTAGTCAAAAGCTACCAACCAAAGTGGATAATGAAGCTAATCCGTGTCTGCAGGTGGTCAACGCAAACTTTTACAATCGCTCAAATGACTCCCATCTGGATTTTTCCGGCTTATCCCATGCTGATCATTGGCCCTCACGCCGGCATTCTAAGCTCCAAACTCGAACCATCCCGCACGTTGCCGATCATTGTCGGGGGTACAACCATCCAAGGCGTGGGATTCCTGGTGTCACTAATGGTATACTCGGCCTTTATCTACAGACTAATGTCCCAGAAACTCCCGAGAGAAAACATCCGACCCGGAATGTTTGTGTCTGTTGGGCCCAGCGCCTTTACTGTCACGGGGATTGTGACCATGGCCGCGCAGGCAAACAGGTGCTTTCCCGATGATTTCATGGGCGACGGCACGCTAGCTGCGAATGTCTTGAAAATTGTCGTCAATTTCGCCTCGTTATGGCTGTGGGGGTAAGTTGGCCATTTCAACATTGCGCACTCCCGAACTTTTTTTTTCCACTCTCAAAGCCCCCCTCACTTTCAACCTGCTAACACCTTATAGCCTAGCAATATTCTTCTTTTTCATCGCAAGCTTTGCACACGTATCGGCAATTGGCCCCGGACGGATGATATTTACCATGGGCTGGTTCTCGTTTGTATTCCCAAACACCGCGCTAATCACATCGACGTTTGCCATTGGCAACGCATTCTCCTGCAAGCCGATCCTGATCATTGGATGTGTCATGGTTGTCGCGCTCTTGCTGATGTATGCATTTGTTGTGTATATGATGGTTCGAGCTATTATCCTCCGCCATATACTCTGGCCGCAAAAGGGAGAGGATAAAGACGAAGGCGGGTTTGACATCAAGGAGATTCGGCCAGAGGCGCTTGGCGATTCGCCGGAGTGAGTTGATTTTGAAAGTCTTGCGTTGTACATATAGATACCCAGATTATTGCGCAGCAGAGTGAGAAAACCAAAGGCGAAGCGAGCGTAGCAAGCAGTCGAAAAAGGGATGAGAGGATCGATAGTAGCATATACTCCAGGGGAGGTAGTTGTAGTATAGTAGTCGGAGGACTCCGACGCCCAGGGCTTGAGACCCACAGTAAGTTTGCGACGGTCCAATCCATGCTCCGGGTACTTCGTACCACATGGAACCTTATCCAAGGCGCGGCATTTGAAGAGCTTTTTTTTTCTTACCCCTCGTGTGCTATTTTTTCCCCTTGACTATTGTTAATCACTTTACCTTTTACCTGTCGGGAGATCTCCAGTCTCAAGTCGCCTACTTTTACTCCAAAAATCTTATCGTCTCCTCGATCTTATCGCGCTGTCCCGCAGCTTCTTATCGCCCATCATGCCTCAAAAAGTCTATGTCACATACAACCAGGTATGCCAGAGTCTGTGCCTGCAGCTTTTCGCTCTGCAAGGTGTAGAGTCCTTGCAGGACACAGACCTCTGCAGATCGATCGCGCAGGCATCCGTCCACCCAGTGGATCTTGACTTTTCATCCACAAATTCGAACAGTTTATCTAACAACCCGGCTCTTTCAGGTCCACAAGCTATGCCAAACGTCCGCTGACCAAATCTTGAACGCCTTTCATCCCAACCTGATGATCGCCATCGGCGGAGGCGGTTATGTTCCTGCTCGCATTCTCCGGTATGTACGAATGCAGCCTAGGATAAAAAGATCAGCCTAGGAAAAAGGTCGAACCCACGGTTTTTCTGACGGTGTTCGATATCCCAGATCTTTCCTGAAGCGCCCTGGCGACCCCAACATTCCTATCCAGGCCATCGGCCTCTCATTATATGAGGACCTCGGCCGCGGTGATCCCGAGGAAGTCCCTGGCACAAAGGTCACTCGTACACAATGGCTGGACTTGAGCTCTCTGGAAATGGCCAATCTCATTGGCAAGAACATTCTCATCGTCGACGAGGTTGATGACACACGGACAACTCTGGAATATGCCGTTCGAGAGCTGCAAAAGGATGTTGAGATTGCGCAGAAGCAGCTTGGCCGCGAAGGCGAAAAGACGAATTTCTTCGTGTTTGTGCTACACGTACGTCAAGTCATAGCTCGAGAAATTGAACCGAGCTAATTTGTTTCTAAAAAACAGAACAAGAATAAGTCGAAGAAGGGACAGCTGCCTGCGGATATGATGGAGTCGGGCCGCTACCACGCTTCTGTCACTACAGAGGATGTCTGGATTTGCTATCCTTGGGAGGCCAAGTACGTTTGCCATATATTTTTGGAATATAGAGAATCAGAAATATTGATGATCCGATCTAACTGCTTTCGACAGGGATATCGATGAGCACGACGCTCTGGCCAAGGCAAACCCTCTCGTTTAAGCGCCCGCACCAAGCCCCTTGCTTTGCGTTCTTGCTCCCACACCTCTTTATACCTCTCCCGAGCGATGCCCGCCATCACCATCGCCATCGAATAGAATAGCGGCGCGAAAGATTGCATTCTGGCTCGGCGGAGTCAAACATTCTGACCATCATTTCCACGACCGGACATTTTGATGAAAATTTGATAGATAAAAGCAACCACACTTCTCAGACGAATCTATCCCAGAAGATTAGAATAAATTGTTTTTACGAGAAAGAAGGAGAGAGTGGCTTCTCGAATAAATTCCATGCCGAAAACCCATCATGTTCCATCTGATAGGTAGCAAGGGTCTCAAATATAGAACGTCGCGCAAAGACAAAGTTCTTGACATTGCAGTATATCGTACAAACCGCGTCTTCCAGTCCCAATTCCGCCGGCCGATCCCCAGAGAGCCTCATCGTAGAGCAATTATTATACGTAGAATATTCTATGAATCCTCAATCCATCGACCCACTTAATCGACATCTACATTCTTCTTGCGCAGCTCAGCTCTGGCCTGCTCAATCTCCCCTTGCAACTCCTTGTGCGCCTCGGGAACGTCGTTGAAGGTCAGGATCGCAACGCCCAGGCGGCCAAGTAAATAGCACCCAAAGGATATGAGAGCATAAAAGGGGAGCTAAATGGTTGCGAGCAGGATGTTAGCTTAATATGTATAGACATCATGCTGGTGGTTTGAGGTGATTTGGCGGAGAATTGGGATCGGGAAACAGGAGGCGAGTTGAGACGTACGACTGGGATGACTTCGCGCTGAAAGGTCTCGTTAATCGGGACGAGTCCGAGGTACAGGGAGAGATAGAGCTGGTGAACGGAGGTTAGCCCGGTTCGAATTTCTTGATTGACCTCAGTGTGGTATAGCATACGGAGGAAACGAGGAGGAGGACGGAGAGGGTCTGCTGGGCGCGCGTCATTGTGAGGATTAAGTTGGTGATTAGAGGATAAAACGTGGTTAGGAAATCAATGATGATATCTGAAAAGAAAGGAGGGTGAACTATCGCAAATGAGGGACTGGGGCTGGAGGAACTCGTCCAAGTGGACACAAGGTTGCTCGGATTCCTGAGGTTGACCGCGGTCTCCAGTTTGTTGCCTCAGGCCACAAATGCTCCTCAACTATGCCTGCAATAATAAAAGCTTCGTCTATATTCATTCTTGTCAATGTCAACACCCTCAGCTGCACCAGATAAGTCGCAGCCCAAACGACCGGCTTATTGTCCTGCTACATACCTTATCTCTTGTAGCCCAAGTTAAACGGCTACCATACGGAGCCGTTACAGAACTCTTCCCCGCCATTGCGCGAGAATAGTTTTAAAAGATGAGTATCACCAACGATGGGCCCCCAGTTCAGACGGCCAATACCGCGCTCTTGAGCACCCATACTCAAGATGCGGAGGGCTTGGCCTGTCCTTCGCTCAAAGACATCTTTCCCAAATCAGCCCAACTACCTCCTGGTCTAGATCCCCCACAGACACAGTCGTCACCGCTCAATGAGCAGCAAGAATCACTTCTTTCTATACAGAATGCTCTAAAAGAACAAGAGTCTTTGCCCGATGCGGTAGCTCTCAAAAGCGTACCGGGCGATTTAACCAAACTATGGGATTGCCAGTCCCAGTACTTGGTGCAGGCTACAGAAGCTCTGGCTAACGGGAGTAGAAACCGTCAGTCTTGAACTCATCATCGCTAGATCTGCATCGCTAACTCGCGTATAGCATCACTTCGTGCTATGTATGGCCAGGCGGGGATTTTGAGCTTCTTTCTTCGGCTTGTAGCCTCCAAGGACGCCACAGATAGTCGCCTGGTTCTCCATAGCTTAAGGCTAATTGGGAATTCCTGCGCTGATACGGGTGTGTGTCTGATCATGCCTGTTACCTTGAAAGTATATGTCAAGCTGACTATTTACTCAGACGAGAACCGGGAAATTGTGGTAAAGGAAAACTATACCTCGGCTATATTGCGGCATTTGTTGCGGTCAGAGCTCATCCAGGTTGTGATACCTGTTGTATATAATATGTGCATGGACTTTGGTACTTTATCCGACCTGCTACATGTATGCTGATTGATGGCTAACTGTGAAATAGAGCCTGCCCAGTCCCAATTAGCCGCAAACAAGATAGTGTATATTCTTTTGAGGCTGATCAAAGACGACGCATTTCGGGACAACGACGGCCTTTTGGAATATGTGTACGAGTTGATAGAGCTGGTAGGCGAACAAGGTGCGCCATATACATCTTGTTTTTGATATCTCTTTTTTTTGGCTGACTGGCCCAGAGCAAGGAATCAACAACTCTCCCGAAGGAACTCTCTCTCTCCTGACAGCACTTGCACTGGGCAAGGACGTTGACCTCGAACTATCCCAGTTCAACTGCCTTGCAAGTTGTCTCGCGGCCTACCTTAACAACGATAGGTTCCAGAACATTTGTCTTTCCAAAAACCTGCTCCCTGACGTTGTATCCTTGCTCGAACATTCGCTATCCTTCAATCGCACAAGCTCAGTCGAAGATGCCCAATCCATTACACAATCACGCCTGAAAATCAACCAGGCACTAGCAGAATCGTCAGGCTCGCCGCTATTCGCAGAGCTATACCCAATAGATTCTCGCCTCTCGCAGACACTCAAAAGCTGGCTAACCAGCACTGATTCTGAGCTTCAGATATGCGCCTGCGTCATGCTCGGCAACCTCGCGCGCTCTGACGAGATTTGCATCGCGATGGTCAGAGACCTCAAAATTCACGTAGAGCTCATAGCAGTTCTCAATAACAACAACGCTAGAGGCGCAGTCCTCCATTCTGCCCTAGGGTTTGTCAAGAACCTAGCAATTGCCAGTGATAATAGGGAGTACCTAGTCGACGCTGGAATCATCCCGGCCATCTCACGCTTATGGCGCTATGAGACCGTCCCTCAAGTTCAGCTCGCTGCAGCCAGTATTGCCCGGCAGCTGATAATCTCCTCAGTCGAGAACATCAGTCGCCTGCTCCAGCCAGCTAGGATCACTCCCTCTTCAACCAATGAAGATGGCGACGGCAGCCAGCAAACCTACATCTCCCTCCTCCTCGCCCTCTTCACAAAAGCCGACTCCACCCCAATCAAGACTGAAATCGGCCGCATCGTCGCCTCCCTATGCCGCACCCTCGTTCCCAAATCAAAATCCAGTGAGCAAGAGGATAGAAAAGATGCGCTTCTGCTCGATGGGCTTCTCACCCGTCACAGCGGCATAGCCCTTCCTCTCGGCGCCATGATCACTCAGACCCAGTGGCCTGTTGTCCGGAGCGAAGGGTGGTTTGCTCTTGCCTTGATGGCTTCGACCGATGCTGGTGCCGAGGCAGTTATGTACTGTCTAGGAGAAATCGATGGATTTGCGTTGATTGAGCAGGCTTTGAATGTTGAAAAGCCCGGAGAGGCTGATGGTGAGACGGAGAGGCTGCAGTGGCGTAAAGATAGGGATAACATTGTTGTGCTTGTTCAGGAGCTTTTGAGGAGCGAGGTGAGTTGGTTAATTCCTGGTTTCTCTTAGGTTGCTTGCCGAATTTGAGTGGAACTGACGAATGACCTCTTTTATAGCCCGAGTCGCTCGGTTATTCCTGGAAATCTGCCTTGCAGGAGCTGATGAGTACACATGTTGCAAAGTACCTTCAAGCAATGTGAGTGAGATAGCAAGGGTGGAGGAATTATGCCCATGATAGAACCGATAGATACGGGCTTACGTGTTACTACTATCTCAATCAATATCTATGAGGCGTGCAGCCTTTTTGGATCGTGATATAGCATGATTCAATGACGACATAGCACTATTTTTCTTACAATTCATTCTATAATCTCGAGCAAACGTTCTCACGAGCATATGCCCGGTATCTCTGAAGCACATCTGTACCTTCAAGTCCTTCCAAGCCTTGTTTGGACGAGTAATGAGCAACTACGCCCTTGCCATCTATAATGATGTTATCCCTCACTTGGTGACCCCCTTCGTCCGGTACTTTGGTAGTCCTATCAAGTAAACCGTTGGCCCGAATGAACGACTCGACACCTGCGGCGTCATAGCCCATAAAGCAGAAGAATTTTGTGCTGATAGGTCTCACTGGGTTACTCCACATGGGGAACTTGTAAGGGTACAGGTTTCCCCATTTGAGGTGGTACAGAAAGGAGTAATGTTGCTGAGCTTTCACTCTCCAGTCGGACAAGGCCGGTCCAGCCTCTGAGTAAATCGATTTGCCAATAGGCGTGGTGTCGAACTCGTTGTCATCAGTAGTTGGAAACAGGTTGGACTTCTGAAAAAGCTTGTCTTGGGCTTGTGGAGCCGCTGAGCCCAAGGTCCGAAATACTTTTTGAGTATGCCTGCCCTGGTCGGCCAGATGATACGAGGAAGTAATCAAAGGGTGACTGTGTAGCTTTTCGAGTGGTCCCTGATTGACAACGTTGGCTGAAACAATCAGCGAGTCGGGATGGTCCAATTTGGTTTTGACCATGGTCGGGATAGTATGTTCTTCCAGGTATACAGCGCCATCAATCCAAACATACAGTGCGTCAAGTCGCTCATGGGTTGGAAGATTCCTGTTCGATATAGAGTAGGACGGCGTTGCCTCGACCGTGGTTATGAGCCATTCAAAGCTCTCCGTATGGTTTGTCTGTGGTATAAAAAAAACCTGGTCGAGAAAACCTCCGTTGGATGCAAGGTTTCTCTAAGCCCGGGGGTCAGCCAATATAAGCTCATATCAGAAAGTATATATACTTACTTGCAAATAACAGTCGAGGATTTCTGTTTCTTGGACTTCTTGGAAAGGCACCAATGCGATAATCTCAACATCCTTGGGCTTAAGAAAGTGGTTATGACTCTGTGAATAAGCGTAAAAGAGAACAGGAGAACTCCCATGCACAAAAAGAGGAAGAAGACCGGACTGAACAAGGCCGAACTGCACACAGCAAACAATAATGAAGATTATGAGCATACAGCAGTAGCTTATTGCACACCATATAATCATGTTTGTCCAAGACCGACATTGCAAAGGCTCGTCATGCTCAGCGCTCGACTCGATATCTGGAAGGTGGCCCATGATGCTTCATACTGTGGTCCACAGTAGATTTCAACAATCCGGCGAGGCTTGGCTTCATTTTATTATCAATCCCGCCCATCATTGACGCTGAGATACCGCCGAGGCATTGCTCAAGAAGCGCCATAGATTTCCGGTTGCAGTAATCACAGAAGATGCACACGCGAGAGCGTGATCTGCGGATTGAAGCTGCAAACAAGCTCGAATGCTTCTGTGGCGGATTTTAGACATTCCTGGGGAGGCTGGGGGCGAGCAATGACCAAGCAGCGCGGCCAGGGTGTTGATCGCGTTGATGTTAGCCCTCGAAGTACTCCATTAGAAGGAATTGACCCAATAAAAGTCCTATAGAGGATCGAGTTGCTGCTGCTGCTGCTGCTGCTGCTGTTGTTGAACTTGAAATGGTGCTGAAGGAACGATGACGTTGTGACCACATGCGAATGGATTGAAGTCACTCCTCTCAACTTCAAAGATCCCGAGCCAACACTCCAGCTTCCAACCGCTAACTCCGTCCCTCTCTCCTACACTTTCCTTCTCCATGGCATTTTATGTTTGCCGTGTGAGAACATGAGGTTATCCCTCCCGCTTCGCCGGTTCTATACGACTTGTGGTCAATGCCCACCACGCCTTGTCTTCCGCCTGTCTCCGTCGCCGCCACCACCAAGCTGCCGCCGCTTCACATCTCGATCGTCATGTCCGCAACGCTTACGCCCAATTCGACTGGGCCGGGCCCCGAGGATTGGGGCCGTGCTTATCGCAGCCATGGCCCCAGGGGCATTTGTGCAATTAGCAGAAAACAAGGAGGACGGCAAGACCGGGGAGAGGACAATGCTGGAAGCTTCGCGCCAAGAGATAAAAGACGACATTCTGGAAAAGACACAGGGGACTTTGGGGCTTGAAAGCCCTGCTCTCGCTTGCTGGACATACTACATTTATGATACGATAGCCACTGGTTTCCGCTTCGTCCATCTGGTTGTCATATTTTTACCGGTCATTCTGACGGCGCCTACGATATGGCTTGGGAAGCGCATCAAGGACCGCGACGGAACACGAACAGGCACTTTGTGGTGGTATCGCTTTCTTGTTAGGGCAATGGAGCGGGCAGGTCCTGCCTTTATCAAGGTAAGCTTCGCCAGATATATTTTCTTCAATCGAAGCTGGACTAACTCTTTCCACAGCTCGGACAATGGGCCGCGTCGCGCACTGATATATTCCCCCCGGAAATGTGCAGCACCATGTCCTCTCTTCACTCGAATGCTCCTGCGCATTCTCTGCATGAGACCAAGCGGACAATCCGCAAAGCTTTCCACGGAATGTCTTTTGAAGATATCTTTGAGGAATTCAACGAGGAGCCGCTAGGAGTAGGCGCTATCGCACAAGTATACAGGGCAAAGCTAAAGCCAAACCTTGCCAATCTTGCAGACAATCAACGTACCTCTGGGCCCGAGGAGGGCTTAGGAAACAAGTTTCGAAAAAATGTCGACGTGCTGGTCAAGAGCACTCCTCAGCGAGTTCCCTCTTCATATGTCGCTGTCAAGGTACTGCATCCCCGCGTCGAGCGGCTGATCCGTAGGGACCTACGAATCATGCACTTTTTTGCCTCGTTGATCAATGCTATTCCGACCATGCATTGGTTATCATTCCCGGACGAGGTTGCCCAGTTTGGGGAGATGATGAAACTGCAACTGGATCTTCGAATCGAAGCAACAAATCTCAAAGTATTCCGCGAGAAATTCAGGTCTCGCACTACAGCCTGGTTTCCATATCCATATCTCGACTACAGCACTCGCGAGGTTCTTGTAGAGGAGTTTGCGCAGGGCATCCCATTGTCCACCTTTTTAGAAAATGGAGGAGGTGTATACCAGCATGAGATTGCAAACGAAGGCTTGGATGCCTTTCTTCACATGCTCTTGATTGATAATTTTGTGCACGCGGATCTGCACCCAGGCAATATCATGGTCCGCTTCTATCAACCTAGTGAGCTTGATCTTTCGCTCCACAAACAACACAGCCGTGCATCCGAGGCGCCAACGGCCGCAGAAGTCGACGTGGCAGAAGCTGTGCTTGCACGGTTGCGGCCGCATGAAAAGGACCCGCAAGAATGGGAAAAGGCTCTGAATCAGCTCAGCGCAGAAGGCTACCGGCCTCAGCTCATTTTCATTGACACGGGCCTCGTCACTGAACTCAACGAGACCAATCGCAGAAACTTTTTGGACCTCTTCCGAGCCGTCGCCGAATTTGACGGTCACCGTGCAGGCGAGCTTATGGTTGAACGATGCCGCCAACCCGAAGAAGTCATCGACCCAGACATTTTTGCTCTGAGGATGCAGCATCTCGTCCTCGGAGTCAAGTCGCGAACATTTGCCCTCGGAAACATCAAGATTGGCGATGTTCTGGGCGAGGTGCTATCCATGGTCCGGCGCCACCATGTCCGCCTCGAGGGAGACTTTGTCAATGTCGTCATCTCAATACTTCTCCTCGAGGGAATCGGCCGGAGCATGGATCCTAACCTTGATCTCTTCAAGAGGTACTTTCCTTTCTTGAATCTCCTAGAACCGCTCCTTGTGCTTTTCGCCGGATAAAGCAACCATTTCTAACTCCAATCCGCATAGTGCCCTCCCTATCCTGCGCAAACTCGGATCCAACGCTACATTCCTGAAAACGATCCGATCAGGCGATACTTCGATGTTGCGCGTGTGGGTCGGTCTCGAGGCCCGCGGCTTACTGCAGGCGAGCATTGAGAGAGTCGAAAATTGTGTTAGATATGATCTGTTGTCTCCCAACATCTAGAAACGCGGCCAAGATAGCATTACAATTTCTGAAGACTGTTTTTAGCGTCTCTGAAATGTACATTGATGACACTAACTAGTATATATGTGGTTAGGTTGAGCGGTTGGTACTATTTCTCCAAGCATCCGTCTCCCATTTCTACTTGACTGCTTGTTTTGAATATGTAGAGAACTCAAAAGAGAGTAACCACACCTGTGAAATGGCATGCCAATTATTGCTGTTAGACCAAGCAGGTAAGACTAAAAATACATGCGCAAGAGTCTATTATATACAGTAATCAACAACTAATATAACACACATCCCTGAAACAGGATGACGAATATTAAACCTCCCATCCAACAGACGAAGAACCATGACTCCCAGAAACCCTTGTCATCAAACATCAAGCTAGGAACAATGTAAATGCGAATGCGAATGCAAGTGAGACCTTCAAACTCAAACATAGATCGGCTAATTTGGATCCATGTCAAAAATAGAGTGGAGAATATCAGTAGGCTGACACCAGACTGCTGCAAATCAATTAAGCAGTTGGAATCAGTTTTGGTTTTGGTTTCGGACATCACCCCCGCTGGCGCGCCACCATACATCTCCACCCCATCTCATTAAGCGCTCGACGGCAGCGGTAGGGGAATCCAAGGCGGGCCGGATATCGAGGTAGAAGACGGGCTCGCCAGTTGGTTCTGGAGGACCAGAGTAGTAATCGATTACGTATCGGACTTCCTTGGGACCTGATGGCGTCTCGCGCATCACATACCAATCATGTCGGTCGAATGGCGGTTTGGTTCTGTTGTGTACGATCGAGTGTTAGCTCACAAAGGAGAGAGCAAGAACCAAAGTGCTAATTCTTACCCGAATTTCGCCGGATACAGCCGACCCAATGCCTGGAGAATCTGCGCCTTTGGCGTCAGTTCCTGTGGCCGGCCTTGGAACCTCAAAAGACGTGGTGGTGGTGTAGCAGGGGCAGTCCCGTTTTGTTCAGAATATTCCTCCTTTGCCAGTTCCATTGCAAGGTTCTCTTCGCCGCGTCGGCACTTTCCCCAGCCATTCAACAGACCTCTAGAGAAGACGCGCTCCCATCCAACAATCTCATTCCAGGCGCCCTCATTCAAGAAGTTGTGAACAGCAACCATAGCCTCCACAGCATCCTGCGGGGTATCTGTATAGCCCTTACGCAGCATGGCGTTGTACATTTGCTGCGGAGATGGGTACTCCCAGTTCCCTTCCGAATCGCCTCTGGGTATGGTGGAGAGCTCGCGGTCCACGGGGAGATCCAGAGTCTGATTTGGCGCCCGTTCTTGCGAGATTGACGCGAACATGTAGTTCAACGGGTTGAGCTTAGATAGTGTAGACTGTTGTTTCTCTGGAGCTGCAGGCGCTTGAGGGGGGCCGGCTGCGGATTTGGGTGGCACAAAGAATGGAGAGTCTGATGATCGGACGGGGCAAGCAGTCTGGATTTCATCACCAGAGGTCTGAGGTTGAAATGGGCCGTTTGAGGTGTGCATCGGACAGCTTGGCTACAGTTGAATTAGCTTTTAGAGATTGAGTAATTCGATTCTTTCGTACCGGAGAGTCAAGAGATGGTGCAGGTACATTGCGCGCCGGAGCACTCGGCTGCGCATCCGCCCAAAACCAGCCCATGACGAGAAAAATTCTGATATAAAGGAAGATAGAAGGGGGTTTCTGGCAAATGATTAAAGGAAGGAAGACTGGAGTGTGATGGTTTTTGGGCACAGGGTGGATGAGAAGAGCAGAAAGAAAATGGTAAAGTTTTGGCGGACCGATGATCTAATCGGAGATTCCTGTACTATTAGTACTCCCCGATAACGTTTTTTCCCGCGTCATACAACCGTATTCCGAGTACAACACTCACATACAAGGTATTATGATTTATCATTTTAATTTCAACGAAATACTGCTAGCTACAGTCTCGACTTGTAGGGGAAGAGAATAAGCCTGGAGGAGCCTGGTGAATATCGCAAAACAAGAAACGCCACCCTTCTCGGTACGCCATCCCGATACACCCTTCCCAACGGTATAGAACAAAAGTCAAAGGAGAGAGGCACCGTATGGTAGTCTCGCTGAGTAATGAAAAGTGAAAATAGAAAAGGCGCCTGCCCTGAATATGATGACAAGAAGAACAAGGGGAAAATATTTATGGCAACGCTCAACGCTGGACATCCTGCACCAATCTTGAAATGAGGGCATAACCAAACAAGACTGCAAGGCCGACCCAGACCTTGTTGCGCTGAAGCCAGGATTGACCGACTTCTCGTGCAGCATTGCCACCTCCCACGACAGCTCCGAGACCTGGGGCGCTGCCATTGGGACGTCTGCGGAGTGCGCTAGTTTCCGGAGAGCATTTGTTTGATGCGGCATTTGGGTCGGGTCTTAATTGCCCAGTCGCGGTATCGATGCGATTTTCCTTGAGCCACTTCCAGTTCTCTTGATCTATCTCTGGCCATTCCGTGCGAAACTTTAGGCCTCCATCGCCCGCTTTCACATTGTTGATCCCCCTCGAAGTGGGAGTCACGCCAGGAGTGGTGCTGATGTGCGTACCTCCGCCAGTCGAGTTCCACCAGCGTGAGCGTGCAGCAAGAACTCGTCTTTCCGCTTCAGAGGCGCTCACGCTTCCGGTGGTCATTTCCTCGCTAGTCATAAAGGAGAGGAGTCCGATGAGAATTGTCGAAACCTCCCACGCCGGGTTGAACGACTTTGGATGAAAGTCGCTAATGCTCAAACAGAGGCGGGCGGACGGTTGGAATCGACCGCTTTGGGTGTGCATGCGAATCGCAGGGGGCGCAAAAGGGTATTCGGGGGGGAACATCAGAGTGCCCCAGTACTGGCCATTTTCATATGGAGTACCGGGCGGACCAGTGAGGATGTAATGCCACCTACAAAGAGGTTTGTCAGTTTGTTTCAAGAGGAAAATAGTGATTGAGAGGGCCAGACGCACTCGAGTATGTTTGACTCTGAAGGGTGTGCAATAATAAAAGGTGGAGGGTTCTTTTGGATGTTTTGATACTCGCGGGTCAGCTATTAACAAGAGTTAGCAGACTGCTCTTCGATCAACGAGATGCGATCGATCCCACCCACCCGCTTGTAAGCTGCCTTTGTGGCCATCTTGCGGGCTGGAAGTATATGTTCAGGAACAATGTGTTGGTGCTGAAGGGTCGGGTAGAAAAGAATGACGTAGATAATGGTGAAACTCGAGAGAGCGAAAAGTTAACAGCGCACAGAAAAAAAAGAAGCAAGAAGCAGAAGAGGGGGTGAGGGGGAGAAATGGTTGTTGTTGTCAAGTTTCATGCAAGCTGACGGCGGGCAGATTGAGAAGGCAAAGGGCCCAGCACGTGACCTACTGGCGGGATTGCTTCATCCGACGGGGTCTCGGACAGAGAGTTAGAAGTGACCCCGATAGCCACTCCTCGTTGTTTGCTGCCCATTGCAGTTGTCGCAATGTCCTCCCCACTCTCTGCTGAGGATGGAGACGTACGTCGTGCCATGTGCTACCCGTGTATCGCTTTATTTTGTGCGATTTCTAAAACCATTGAGTCTAGATTCTCGAGCGTCTTCAGCGACCTGCCGATCCAAAGGTGCTAGAGGAGCAGCAACAGGCCGTCAACGAACGGCTGCATGCAATCTACCAAAAGGCGCAAGCTCGTCTTGGAGAGCTGGTAAGATAACGCCACTTTTGTCTCTTTAAATCTGCCCGAGTTGACGTGATTCGAATTGTCCAACAATAACTGACGAACCGCCATAGATTGACCAGAATTCCACCGTACCATGTGCGATCTCGTCAGTGCAGGTCCTCAACGCAAGCCATACGCGCAGGGGCTTTCTTGAACAGATTTTCAACCCATTGTTGAGTGCAAATCAGAAACAACCCTATACTCTATCCGAAGCGTTGCGGGAAATATCGGCACGTGCGGACAAGCTGAGCAGATTCGGTGGGTGGTCAATGATTTTATTTCTTTCAAAGCTCACCACTAATTTGAAGCCAATAGATATCTTTCAACAACCAGTCTCTGTATATCTTGACCAGACGCCGGCATCCGAAGAGCAGTCGGATTTGACCAACCTCAATGTATACTACTCGGTCAAAGAAAAGTCCCGTGTCTTGCTCAAGACCGGAACTGACCTGGGAAATACCGAAGGCTCGGCGTACGGTAACCTCCTATGGCGCAACGTATTTGGTGGTGCAGAGAACCTAAACCTTAATGCATCCCTGGGTACGCGGACGCGATCCGCCTACCAAGCCGCATTCGACACCCCGCTTCTTAGCGATCCCGACTTTCGCTTGGAGATTGGCGGAATTGCCAGCGCAACGCAAAAATCTTGGGCCAGCCATGAGGAAGTGTTGAGGGGCGGATGGAGCAAGCTCCGGTGGTTGACTCGGTCTGGCCATCGCCATGAACTTGGCTACAACGGCTTTTGGAGACAGGTAACAGGTCTGGCTGAGAATGCCTCACCAACAGTCCGGGCAGATGCAGGTGATAGTGTGAAGAGCAGCATCTTTCACAGCTGGACAGCAGATCGCCGAGACAATGCTTTCTTACCGTCTCGAGGTTACTATGCGAAAGCGTTCAACGAACTTGCCGGCTGGGGTCCCTTGAAGGGTGACGTCGCTTTTTGGAAGTCTGAAATCGAGACCCAGGGCGCAGTCCCAATCCCGATCCCAGGAATTAAGGGGGATAGTGGCATTAGCTTCACTACCGGGTTCCGTGCTGGTCTGCTTTATCCCCTTGGCCTCGACTCCGACTCTCGACCTCGCCTGTCTCGCCTGAATGATCGTTTCCAGCTAGGTGGCCCTACAGATGTCCGCGGCTTCCGTCTCTCTGGCCTCGGCCCTCATGACGGCGCTGATGCTGTTGGAGGTGACGTATATGCCGCCGGAAGTGCAAACCTCCTTTTCCCGCTCCCCCGAGTGGGCGTTGAGAAGCCTCTGCGACTTCAGGCGTTTGTGAACGGCGGGCGTTTACTGCCTCTGCGCACGGCGCAAAAGACTGCCCCTACCACTAGCGGAGAAGTTACTGATGCCATTGCATCTACCATCTCTGAACTCGGATACGGGCTACCAAGTGTTGCGGCGGGCGTTGGGCTTGTTTATGCCCACCCAGCTGCTAGATTCGAGCTCAACGTCTCTCTGCCCTTGGTGCTGCGCAAAGGCGAAGAGGGCAGGAAGGGGTTGCAGCTTGGAATCGGCATTAATTTCCTGTAAGAAACATTGAAACAGCAGTAGACAAAGTCGTCGTATGTACTTGTATAGTCAGCGTTTAAACAATTGAACTTTCATAGCGCGGATGATGATCATATATATGATGACTAAGCCCATAGATAGACGAGAGGTTCAATTCACCGCCGACAAGTGGTCTGAACTTCCTGTACGAAGCTCCAGCCTCCACACCTCCGTCACTCCAGATTCCTTCTCTAAACCTCTTTTCTGCAAATCTCGTCTTTTCTTTTGATAGGCGAACCCTTTACTACCACTGCCATTCGCGGCACTACTCACGCATCTCTTAACAATAACCATCGACCATCAAAACACCTACCACCACCATGGCGCAGTACTATCCGCAGCAGCAACCCTATGGAGCTCAAAGCTCAGCACAAAATCTCCAGTTTTACCCATCTACGTACTCTTCCGTATCGGGCCACACAACCCCCTCTCAAGCTTCGTATGGCCCATTCGGCGGCCCGCCCAATCCAGCGGCGCAGGGGTATCCCGTTGGAGGAGGGGTTGGAGGCGGATACGGCGGTTTTGCGTCCCCGACGGCTGGTGTGAGTGGGAGGATGGGTGAACAGGGCGGGTTACGGATGGGGTGGCTTGCTGCGTTTGGGACGGAGGGATACGACGGTGAACCGCCGCTGCTCGAGGAGCTGGGTGTCAATTTTGAGCATATTCGGACCAAGGTATGTAATGTGCCCACATCCTTCTATCTCTAGGAGAAGATAACTAAACCAGCTACTGCATAGACGTTAACAGTTCTCAATCCCTTTGCACGAATCGACCAACACCTCATGGACGACAGCGACCTCTACGGCGCCCTCCTCTACATAGTCCTATACGGGACCTTCCTCCTCCTTTCGGGAAAGGTCTTTTACGGCTACATCTACGGTGTCGCCGTCTTTGGCACCGTCGCCCTCCACCTAATTCTCAGCCTCATGTCCCCCGCCTCCCCACTCGACCCCGCAGGCGTTGCATCACAACCTTCAAACGCCGCAGACCCTTCCTCCAACTACGACCCGCACGCGAAACCCGGCTCCGTCGGGCACTTTTCAGCCACGCTAACTTTCCCCCGCTCCGCAAGTGTCCTGGGCTACTGCTTCTTGCCGCTCGTGCTGACGAGTCTGCTGGGGATCTTGGTTCCTATGGATACAATGTTTGGGTACCTGCTTACGACAGCGGCGGTGGGGTGGTGCACGTATTCGTCCTCGGGTATGTTCTGTGCTGTGGCGAGAATGCGGGGGATGAGGGGGCTCGTGGCGTATCCGTTGGCGCTGTTTTATGTTGTGTTTGGGATCATGGGAATTTTCTCGTCGAGAGGCAGTGGGACGTTGGCGGCCAGAACGGGGACTGCCTGATTTATCATTCCCGGGTAGTATGTTTGTGATTTTTCTGTATTCGCCGGAGGAAATTCTCTATTCGCTGGACTGGTGGGTATACTAATCAGCTGGTGTCGAACTTGGCTTTGTGGAATGGCAAGTGTCCGGGCTGGAGAGGTTTGATTATATGTATGAATATCACGAACTTATGCCTACCTGCGTGAAATAAAAAAACAGATCCTAAAAAAAATCGTAAATTCATCAAAATCTATATAACTATGTATTTAAACCTCCCCCTTCGCAGGAGCCCAATTCTCTAACCACTCCCGCGCTTTATCAAGCTCACCACTGGCTGCCTCGACAGCAGCAACACACCACGGCAGTTCATATGCCTTTCTCCCCGATACCTCTGGCTCCTCGGCGGCAATCATCTCAGCAAGAACACGCCTCTGCTGACCGGCCTGGTCAGCGCATAGATATAGCGGCGCCGAGTGCGATCCTTTTCGTTGGAGATCGACTTTGTCAATGAGCGGGCGGACGAGAGCGAGTATCTCGGCTGCGCTCATAGATGTAGAAGCTTCAGAAGGATTTCGATTTTGTTTCCCCGTCTTGCAGTATTCGTTTAGGCACCAGGGTTTGCCGCAGCCGCTCATGACCTGTGAGAGGTAGCGGCGCTCAAGGCGGCGGCGGAGCGCTTTGCCCTCCGGGTCGTAGGTATCGACGTATAGCGGCCCGAAGCAGATGCTGCAGAGGCCTAAGGTGTCGGTTCCCGGGTTGATGGCGGATTGGAGGCCGCGGCCATCGAGCGTGCGGCCGCAATTCTGGTTCAGGCAGATTTGGGGTGTTGGGCGGGAGAGCCGGTTGAGGTCGTGGTGGCGAAGGTGTGTCTTCATATCGCGAAGTCGAACGATCTTGTTGCAGAGATGGCATTCCGTTGTTCGGCCGCCGTCGACGAGTTCGTGCGGGGTGAGGCCGGAGAGTAAGACCTCTGGGTCGTGGATGTCCGGATCGGACTCGCCTTGTTGCGGGACGACTAGATGGCAAAACTGACAGAGGATAAGCTTTGCTGGGCAGACTGTTGTCCGGTGCTGAGCGAGTCTCTGGAGACCCTCGGCCTCGAAGCCACAAGCACGGCATGAACGGTTCGTGTGGAATATCGAATCATGTTTGCTCTTGCCGGCAGGGTCATTGCCGTATGAAGAATCGTGAGGGCAGTGCCAGTGATTCTCCCATTCGGAGGAGCGCTTTTGAAACACATTATTGCATTGCGTGCAGAGTATATTGTTTCGGAAACAGAAATTCTCATGCAAAACAAACGTCCGCTGGGCTACCCATCGCTGGCAGTTTTTACACTGCACATCATCAGGGCCGTGTTCTTCCGTGACATGATCCCCAGCATTGGTCGTCGATGAGCCAGATTCAATGCGCAGCCGATATGGCAATGGTGATGGCTGTTGCTGCGAAAGATCTTGCGCTGCATGCACAGATATATACAACGACTCTGCCCCGTCCAACTCAACATTTGTAGGCGCAATCGTAATCCGCTTTTCTGCCGGACCAGAAAGCTCGCCAAACACAAACTCATCCTCGCGCGGGCGGTTCCTCTGACGACCAGATAGCGGGCTCACCAGCAGAGAAACATCGGCATTATCGTCCGCCTCAACGATGATATCTACCGGGCTGTCCCCTCCCCATTCCTTTAGCTCATAGTCCACATACTCGCCCGGAAGCACCTGGCCGTTGACTGCGACGCCCAACTTGAGCATTCCGCCCGCAGACGTACCCCCTTGTGTTCCAGGGGTACGGGATGATGCCTTTGCCAACCGTTTCTGCAACGTCTCCCTAGCTTGGTCCTCGCTCAACGCAACGATATCCACCTCCAAATCCGTGTCCACAACGCAGATTCCCTCGCCCTCGGGCTCTACCCGATCGAGCAAAAATCGAAACGACCCATCCTGGCCCCCGGGAATGGTCAGCACCTCTCCCGTCGTCAACGTAGTGTAGTTGTCGCGCAAATGGCGTTCAAGCAGGGCTTTCCAATCCTCGGGGTCATACCCAGCTTCTAGAGGCCGCAGGCGAACATATGTACCCTTGGGGAGTTGCCTGGCGTGTACAGTCACTACGGGGAGCGAAACCGCACCGTCTTCGCCCTCCTGCAAGGGCACCCCCTGGTCATCTCCAATGTCGAGCGCTTCCCGTAACGTTCCGCTAAGACCAATCTCATTGTCCCTAGCGGAAAACTCGCGAATACCGGCGTAAATCACACGACCATTTTTGGGGTTGACGATGCGAAACGTCAGCGGGTGGGGTAATTGCTGCTGTCGGTCGAGACCACGCTCGCGTGCATAAGATTCAGCGGCGAACGTATGTGGGTTGAACGGATCGAAGGTGCTGGTGTATGGATGAGATGGTCGCTGCGAGGATACTACCTCGTGAATCGGGGCGGCGGCGAGGAGCTGTTCAAGGGCAGACTGGGGGAGAACGATCTTATCTCCAGGTAGTTTTGGGGTATCCTGAGATGGGGCGACGGCAAACTGCGATGACCAGCGCAGTTGATCAGCCATAATTCTGGCGAGTTGTGTACGTGAGAGTTGTCCAGAAACTCAAGACTTGAGTAGTGAGAAACCATCATTAACTTTTAAGCGAGCACTGGGCGATCCAGGTCGAAGCGACGCTGTTCGACGCATCCAAAGCCTTCTGGAAGATACCGCCTCCGATTTGTCATCGCAAGTCCGATCAGGCTGATGATGCAAGCTGAATAGTCTCGGGAGGCAAAGAAAGGAGTGGAATAGGAGCTTGATTTCTCAGTTTCTAGTTAGATATGTCATCAAGAGCGGAATGAGACTACGACTAAATATACAAAATGGTATCGAACTCAAACAATGCAAACGCTGCCGCCACTTAAAACCCTAAAGCATAAACTGCTGCTTCCATCCAGCTTGCGGTCAATAAAGCTCCCTCACGCGGTGTCGGGTGCTGGTGTTGCACCAATCACACTATGCGAGTCAGTCACACATGAGCGCCAGGACAACAATTGAGAGTCCATACCATTGTAGAGGAGCATCCCTCGTTGTGTTCAATGCAATAATCGCCTTGACATGTTTGACAGGTTCGTTGGCAGTCTAACTTGCACGAAGCGCACTAGAGAAAATCAGTCGGTATCACAAAACACTTGAAAAAAACTCACTGTCGGCCCGCATTCCCAACAATCCTTGGTGACCCCAGGTCCAAGCTTCTCATTTCCAGTACGAGGACCCCTAACCGCGGTTTGATGGGGAGACAAGTTGCTTCTCACATGTTCCGGGTGTGGCAGGCAGGAGTCGCAAAACCACTTGTTACAGCGATGACACCAACGGTCGGTGAGACAGTCGGCGCAGCGTGCGATCAAGACTGGATATTCATCCGGAAAGACTGCTGGACGCCTCGCTGACACCAATGTTGATGAATGAAAAGGTGGTGGTGCGAGAAGGGGAAAGTGTGTGTCAGGGGACTGCCCCCAGATTGCCGGGCCTTCTGGGGATGTGTGGCAACCATCACACCCTCTGGGACCCATGGCGATTGTTGCAATGGCTGGCCTTAGGAGTCTATTCGGGTTTTCATTCTCGTTCTCGTTCTCATTTTCCGCTGCTATAAAGTTGATATCGTGTCGAGGTCCACGACAGAGAGCAGCGTCAAAAGCGATGATTCCTTCGCATTTTTGTAGAGTCTGCGCCCAGCCTTCTTCAATGTGTCGCTTGAGTAATTTGCCAGACGGGCTATACCAGGCATTCTGGTGGTCATCTTGTTGACCAGTTGCAGAGGTAGACTGGCCAACGCACTGCGAGCTCCACCAATCCCGATACTTACTCCGGACAGCAGCTCGGGGGCGATCCATTGGAGTAAAGTAGTAAATGCCTTTCACACGGGGCGTTCCGGCTGGTCGTGAAGGTCGAGTTGCATAGTTGAGGACCTGCATGAGCTTCCGTTCGTTAAGGTGGTGGCACCCTCGTATCGAAAGCAGGTTGATATTGAACCGCTCCGAAAGAATTATTTCGGAAACTAGATCAGCTGGAACAGACAAGCCGTCCAAGATCAAGGTGCGTACATCCCGCAAGATCGGCCGTCGCCCCAGATTTGAAAAGATGTCTCTCAGAGGCCCAGAATAAAACTCATCCTCAGTAACGGGCGAGTCTCTTGGGCCACCAACATCTAAAGACTGGTCAACCAGCTGAGCACCACGGCAGGTAGTCAGATCGAGGTGTCGAAACACATATGGGGTCTCTAAAATCAGAGAGCGAATATAGCGTGAAGTAGCGGACAGGGAAAGTAGAGAACCCGTGGTAAGGTAGGGCGCCATGTGGTCAAGAATCAAAGTGTTTGCGAGAAGATCTTCAATGGTGGCCCCAGAATGAGCTTTTTGCTCGGGCTGCTCTCCAACACTTTCTTCCTCGTCTGTTAGTTCGACTTCACGTACAACGGGAACAAGGCCCAGCTCTTTCGGGGTCAAGCGGCGAGTGCCATAGTAGAAATCCGGGGCGTTGCTGATTAGATTTTGACGGTAGGCGGCCATGGCTCCAACGGCCAATTCCTCCCCTCGAGTTATTACTGAGCCAGCATTGGGTTGGATTTCCAGGAGAGCAGCCCTGGCCTTGGCAAGTTCGGTCTCGAGGAGGCTGATGGTAGATTGAATGGCAGCCGACATATCGCTTGTGTTATTAGGATCGATGGAAGTTACTAGGATGCTTCTCCATAGCGCGTCGGACATGCTATGGTAATGTATCGGACGGTTTTTGGGCCGATTGAAAGAAAGGCAGGGCCGAACTTGGCAAGAGCAGCAAAATAAGCGATGTGGAGAGTGTGGCAACAACTAGTAGAAAGTTTTGAAAGGAGCGTTTGTTGAAACGGTTGGTGAATGTCCAATGAGCTTGTCCGGATGGCTCCTTTGTGTCGGAGATCGGGGGTGAATATACTCGGGGAGCCGAAGAGCCTAGGCAATGGGCGAGTGTTATTGTAACGGAACGGAAGGAGTCTGAGGAGATGAAGAATTTGGTGATGATTCTGGGGAACTTTGGAAGATATACCCCGGAGTAGATTGCTAACGGGACTATCAAAAAGTCGGGGAGCGATCAGGGGGTTACCGAAAAGCTTCACCGGAACGACCAGTTGGGCCTTATATAAGGCTGGTAATAAGATATTTCTCCGTCCGGAAGATGAATGCGATACGGAGGAGCTCACCCCGATTCCTCTTCGCTACTGATTACTGTCTGCCGCCTGCATAAAAGTACAACTCAGAACGGACGCAAAAAGCAACGTGAGCGCACCACCGTGGTGACTGGCAGGGAGCCCGTGTTCGAGGTGATACAGCGTCTTTCTAACCTGTTCAAGCAAGCGAGGATCCTGGGGGCTCTCTCGCGAGCCATCGGATGTGTACACTCTCTGTATACCTCCAGGTCGCGCGCCTTTGCTCGAATAATGGGTCCACCCAACCTGGTCATCCGATCTGGGCCCCGGGGCCCGCTCCACCCAAGCCGAGGCCCTGCCCAGCGCCAAGCGGCCAAAAGGGGATCGCCTGCGACGCCTCAGGGTCACGCGCACGTCTGTGGGGCAGGCTCTGGAGTACGTTGTGTGGCCACTGTGGTGGAAACGCAAGTCAACCGGAGATCGGCCGGCCGCCGGGCCTTCTGGAATCCTGCCATTTGCCAGTTGGCTGTTGGGCAAATCATTACTGTTGCCTTCATCTAACCTGTGGGAGATTGAAATAAGAGTTGGATGATTAGGTTTGGGCCCTCGATTGTTCACTGCATACTCTGTGGACGGAGTATACGTACTGCCAAAAGGAAGACAGTCGTGGTGTATGTGTTATAAAGTGGCTCCTTGTCTCAAAAGAGAAGTTGCAGAGATAAGCCATCGCACCCTTGCAGATCCAGCTGATCCCTCCCACTGCCCAGGCCTCAGTTCAGAATCAATACAAGTTATACAACAGCCCCAGTCTCCAGAGCTGCTGGGTGTTGGGTATCTTGGCATGCTTGGCTATCCCAAATCCATGTAGCACATCGTCAAAACTTGCCAAGGCGATGGTGTCACTCTGCTCAAGTATGGCTCTCCAGTCTGATCAGGCCGGCTTGCTTGATATGTAAGACGTAAGGAGACTAAAGCCATCTGCAGCATATCCATTCGAGTAAGTACAATATGTAAGACAATCTTGGCATCAGATTTCCCAGAGCCTGGCAGCTACGGAAGAAACTACTGGATGAAAACGCCGATCACGGGAATGGGTTCTCTTCAAGTCTTTCGAAGGTTGGACGGGATAGATGCACCTAAACTCCGTATCTCAAACTGAGTGACAACTCAGCCATCTCAACCTGTAGATCTGGCCGTGCCAGGTGCTCCTAGTTGTCAATCCTTACGACTTCGCAGACAGGCAACCTATTTTTGGCAATGCACAAGCACCTGGAATAGACTCCGGATATATGTTGTACTAGAGTACGTCACATTTGGATTTTGAAACTTCAAGGTTCTATTTGAAGAGGACTTATTTGCGAATGCGCTAGATTGACAATCGTGCCACTCAGTAGTAGGACTATAGTAGGTAGTAGTATTCTTACATGTCGTCACTTGCCTGGCTTTCTACTTGAACAACTTCGAGACCGCAACCTCCTTGTCGTCATGCTTGTTGAGGATCTTGGCGGTGGCCAAGTCAAAGTCCTCCTGAGTGACATGTACCCGACGTTCTCGGAGTGCGTACATTCCCGCCTCCGTACACACACCCTTGAGTTCAGCCCCGGAGCATCCGTTCATCTTTTCGGCAATCTTTGTGAGGTTGATTCCACGAGTCAGGTTCATCGATCGGGAGTGGATTCGCAAAATGTCCGCGCGGGCTTCAACACTAGAAGAAGTTAGCAACAGCTTGAAAAAATATCAACTTGATGCTTACGATGGCGGCGGGAACTCGATTTTCCTATCAATTCTTCCCGGACGCAGCAACGCCGGATCCAAGATATCAAGTCGGTTTGTCGCCATGATGATTTTGATATTCTTCGTCGGCTCAAATCCGTCCAATTGATTAAGCAACTCTAGCATTGTGCGCTGGACTTCTGAATCACCCGACCCGGCAGAGTCTATCCGACTAGAGCCAATGCTGTCGATTTCATCCATGAAGATGATGCTGGGCGCATGTTCTCGAGCCATGACAAAAAGCTCACGAACCATCCGGCTACCTTCACCAATGTATTTCTGGACAAGTTCCGAGCCGCTAACACGGATGAATCGGCAGTCTGTGTGATGGGCAACTGCTCGAGCAAGTAACGTTTTCCCGGTCCCTGGGGGCCCGTAGAGAAGAACACCTTTGGGTTGTGCGATACCGAGAGATTCAAACAGCTCAGGATGCTTCAGGCCAAGCTCAATAACCTCCTTGATTTCCTTGATTTGTTGATCGAGACCACCAATCATGTCGTATGTACTATCCGGAACTTTTTCAACCATCATGAGTGAGACCAATGGGTCTACAGATGATGGCAGCATCTTTTCGAGTTTGTACGAGTCGGACAGCAGAGCAACACGCTTGCCGACGGTCAGCTTGGTGATGTCGACGCCATCCGCAATATCGACAACTAGACAATAACAGTGTGAGCGCGTCTTCTCCTCCCAACTATTCTCGAGACTCACCGTATTTTCCTTCTGGATGTACTTTCACAAGAACCTTCTTTGTGCTCATGACCTTCACCACCTCTCCCACATATGAGCCGGGTTGTTGAAGTAAGCCAAGCTCCTCTCGCAAGAGCCGCACTCTCGAGTTATAGTCATTGCGTTGTGCTTCGAGTCTTCGTAGTACAGCCTGCCCCTGAATAATCTCCAGCTTCATGCTCTCAATCTTATTGCGATAGTAGTTGTCGAGCGCCATGGTGACCGGAGCTCTTGTCGTCCAGGACCAGGAATGAGCGTTCGGAGGGTAAAAGGTAAAGAGCAGTCCGTTGAAAGGAAAGAACAGAGGTGACTTGTTGGAGAAGATCAGCGACGAAAAAAAGTAGAAAAGGTGCGTGGTATCGGAGGTCTGAGGGTCTACCAGGCGAGATGTCACCAAACAGGTAGCTCTCGGCGGCGTGAGCTTCCAGTCACGTGGCTGCCTTAATACAAATCGTCTTCCGGAGCTTTCTTCAATAATGCCTCAAACAATAATGTTCAAGAATTAGGAGTATGTTTACGCTCTGCCAAATGCCAAACAAGGTCACTGGTAAACGATGCAAGATCCATCTCTGAAGCTTACCATGCTGAATCATTTGAATGAGCACACGCTGCAGATGTTGAAGCGAACCATTTCACGCGGGCAGTCAGAAATCCATCCCCAGCGTGACGTAGCTCTCCTCTGTTGTACTTCTAGCTTCTTGTAATCTTGATGACGGTAGCACTCTCATCAGTATCCCACCGAACTCGGATTATATCCACTTGACTTCCTTCTGTCTGTCACCTCGGAGTTTCAGGTGACTGCTGCTGCTGCGGGGAACTTTTATGGCGCCTTATCGTCTGATCTCAACGCTCCACAACATCTTCGAATTTGAGTCTCTTCGACTTTTATCTTGGTCGCGCCCTTTTTTGCTTGTGTATCACCATGTAACTGGGAGACTGGATATTCTCTAGCATTGTGTTTTTATTGATACTTGACGAAGAGTGCAGGTCACTTTTGCGCTTTGTTTTTCCCCCCTACCTGTTCTCTGTGTTTAGCTTCCCAGCCACCGCTGTTTACTTTCAGCACAAAAAACTTATGAGAACATCGGGACAAGCGACATAATTATGGCCGACAAGCCGGGAGGTGAACCAGCAAGTCGTCCTGGTCCGTTGGATTCTTCGTCGCGCTTTACCTCGAGCATGTCGGAAGAAGATAGCATGTCCTCGGGGACGGTGCGTCATTCCCGAACAACCACGCAAAGTAGAAACTACGGTATGATAGTGCCCTTGCAACGAAGAGCAGTAGCTTATTTACACTTTCCAGGCACCTTGGATCCATCTGGGAGGTCCGCCATTGAATCCCAATTCGCCGAACACCAGCCCGAGAGCTCAAGTCGTGTCCTCCTCCCAGCTTCCCCGTCCATCGGACCCTTGCAAACTGACCCGGATCGACTGCGAAAACCGCCCGTGACGCGCCGCATGTCATCAAAACGCCACATCCCACACAAAGGACAAGAATTCTCTACCGACGATGACGTTCAAGAGGTGGAGGAGGATATCGCTCTGAAACAGTCTGTCAATACCCCCAAGTCGCCCAGAATATGGCCACTACGAAAAGAGAGCTCGACCCTGAGGCGGAGATTGAATCCCCGGGTCAATCCATTGGCTTCTTCTGGGAACGACGATGGCGGCGACGATGATGACGAGGTCGCCGACCTCCCAGAACCGAGCTTGTCATCTTCCCGAGATCCTGAGCCGCAAACGAGGCTAGATTCCGACGACGATGACGGCGGGGCTGATGAAGAAGAGAATCAAGATGAGGTGGACGATGCGGCTAGTGATGCAGAAAGCTTCACACTCAAGGATCGTCAGCAAGCTATCAATGAAACTCACCCGTTTGGAATCAGGATATGGAAACCAGCGCTGTACAAGAAGAGCCGTTCGGTGGAGAAGACTGCCGAGGGCGACATCCATTCCTCGCCTGGAGGCAGGGTCGGTAATCTCCTATTCTTGATGAACCTTTTGTGGACACTGTTTTTCGGCTGGTGGCTGGCTATCGCTGCGTTAATGGGCGCTATTGCCTGCTTCATTTTCTCGTTCTCACCCAGTGCGGTGGAGTACGGCAAGGCCTTTTCTGGCCTTTCGTGGTATCTTCTATACCCCTTTGGATCATTTGTCCGTCTCGACACCGATGAAAACTATGCAGAAGAGGACGAAGGAGAGGGCCGGAGTATCAGCGAGTACGAACAGTGGCAAAACGGTGATCTTGAGCATGGCGGGCTATTTTTTGGTCCCCGTCGGAACCGGTCACTTGTGGGAAGAAGGAGAAACAGTGTCGACTCGGCCGGAGAGCAGGACAGCCTCTTGGGACGAGCACCTAGAGGAAGGTCTGAAGATAGCTCTCTGCGGCCCAAGCGACGCTTGTTCGGCCGTGGCGAGTGGACGCTTGGTCGCGTGGTATTTTTCGTCTTCTTTTACTTTCTTGTAGGGCCACTCATGCTCTTTGTCTCACTCATTTGTTGGCTCCTCGTCTTCTGGATACCCATGGGACGCGTGACTCTTATTCTTTTCGACCATCTCCGCAGACATCCTCTGTCTCTGTCTTATCATTCAGACACAACATTTACTCGCATCAGCCCTGGGTCTCCTGCATCTATCCTCCTGTGCACCTATCGTGCAGCCGGCCTTCGGTACTGGAAGTACACAGTCGGCGGAACAAACATCTTTCTTATTAACCTCTTAGCGGTCGTCATATTTGTCGTTTTTGACTATTTTCTTCTGAGGGAGACTCTTGGTCTGGAGATTTGGATCACTAATCCGGGGCTGCTATTCACGCTGGCTCTATTCTCCGTCATACCCTTGGCCCATTTCATAGGGCAAGCTGTTGCCTCTATATCCGCCCAGTCCTCGATGGGCATGGGTGCAGCCGTGAATGCGTTTTTCTCAACTGTCGTGGAAGTCTACCTCTACTGTGTTGCCTTGACTGAAGGCAAAGGCAGACTTGTCGAGGGGAGCATAATCGGCAGCATCTTTGCCGGTATTCTCTTTTTACCAGGGCTGTCCATGTGCTTTGGTGCCATCAAGCGCAAAACTCAGCGATTCAACGTCAAATCCGCAGGTGTTACCTCGACCATGTTGTTGTTTGCGGTGATTGCAGCCTTTGGGCCTACCTTGTTTTACCAGGTATATGGTAGTGTAAGTTTCATCTTCTTTTCGCAACTACTTCTTTTCTGACTATTCACTTCTAGCATGAACTCAATTGCCACTCCTGCGATAGCAATGTAGAGCCAGGTAGCAGTGATTGCCGCCGTTGCTATTTTTCTCAAGTACCAGCTATTAATGACAAGTTCTTTCAAAAGGCTGTTCAGCCCTATTCCTGGATAGCAGCCATGTTTCTATTCTTGTCCTATATCATCGGGCTATGGTTTACCCTGCGAACACATGCTGCTCTCATTTGGGCTACCGAAACTGATGAGAAGAAAGCTGTTGCTCTCACACACGAGCAGCAAAGCACTGATGATCCACGACACCAGTTCTTCCAGAGCTCAGCTCTGGGAGCTTCTACCTCTGGACCACGAAACTCTATTCGCGACTCCCATCTGTATAAACGGATACTCGGACAATCCCTAAGAGATGTTGGCTTGTCATCCCGCGATGAAATAGAGCCCTCTGGCCCATCGCGGGACAACAAGCCAACGCCGTATCTTGTGCCTCCACGAAAGGACGGTGACGGCGGTCCTTCTTCCGACTTTGCCGAGTACACCGGCTTCTCTGAACAGCAGAATGAGCAATTTGTCCGCAAGGTAACCGAGGTCGCGGCCACTGCTGCCGCCGTTGCTGCTCGGGATGCTGCTCGAACCAGGAAACTGTCCGGCCCGCGCGGACTGCTACCGCGACAGGGGGGCAAGGCCACGCCTTCAAATTCCCAGGTCAAAACAATCCTAGAAGACCAAGACGACATTGGACTTGAACAGAGCCCTACCAGTGGCGGGCATGATGCCCCCAACTGGAGCAGAACGAGGAGCTCAATCATTCTTCTTGTTGCCACAGTTCTTTACGCGGTGATTGCTGAGATCCTGGTCAACACTGTTGATGTGGTCCTGGAAAGTGTCGATGTCGATGAAAAGTTTTTGGGAATCACTCTGTTCGCACTGGTTCCCAACACTACCGAATTCCTGGTATGTGCATTATAGATCTTTGAGATGTTCAGGTAAACTGACGACTATAGAACGCCATCTCTTTTGCCATGAACGGTAACATTGCTCTTTCCATGGAGATTGGGTCAGCGTACGCCCTGCAAGTTTGTCTTCTTCAGATACCTGCTCTCGTTTTGTTCAGCGCCTTTTATGGGCGTGTTCTCGATTCAGATGATCTTATCACCCATTCCTTTCAGTAAGTTGCATCCCCCGCATAACATAACTTCTTTCTAATCGTGTAGCCTCATCTTTGCCCAGTGGGACATGATAACAGTCATCCTATGTGTCTTCCTCCTCTCCTACGTCTACGGCGAAGGCAAGAGCAACTATTTCAAGGGATCTGTCCTTGTCCTCACCTATCTTGTCGTCGTAATCGGATTCTACCTATCCGGTTACAGCAACATGGACACAATGGGCATCGACCGCTTCGACACTCTCGCTCTTGGGTTGGAGAGATCAGAAAAGTTTTACACAATTGGGAGATCGAAGCGCGGGGTCGCATATTGATCTGCATGAGATTCTATTCAATCTGCATCTGCATCTGCATCCTGCCGCCCTGTCTTTCCAAGGTACTAATGATTCGTTCTGTTAATTTTTTTGTCAATCTGTGTTTTTAAGAGTTATCTGATGGTTACAAATCTCCCCTACACAATATTTGAGCTGAGCATGGAGAGTTGAGAGCATGCATTTATTGTACTTTGATACTGTGGATAGTTTTGAGAGTGCATCTATAACGGTCTTTTCGAAGGGTTGGAGAGTTATCTTTCACCTAGAACCTTGTTTGTGCGCTGTACTAAAGAACTATCTGGCTAAAGATGGCTTGATACATATCTAGGACCTGTATTACATTTTGCATATCGATGACTCTGTCTTCTCATGTAATACAATCCGAAATATGTTTCTGCGTTGTATGCATTATATGCATTATCTAGTTGTATAGATATATGCATATTATTGCTTGCACTTAGAAGTAACAAGGTTTCCCAGATTCAATGCTCACTAATCACGAAAGGGATTAATGCTGAAATCATATATCCGCAAATACTAAGACGATCCCCATGAGCCCACGACACCATCAATAAGGGCCCGGTACTCCTGTTGCTTGTGGCACTGCTCGAGGAATACAGTGTACTTGGCCTCTAGTAGGGCCTTTTCATTCTCGTCGTTGGTCGGAACAACCTTCTTTCCAGGCTTGCTCATACGATCCATGATGCTCCATAGATCTTCCGTATTTCCCTCAGCATCGGCGCTGGCAGCCTTGGCACCAAGCATTGCTGCACCGTGGCAGACGGCAGCATGGATATACCGGGGAATAAGTACGGGCATGCCGCACGCGGTTGCTATCAGGTTGACCAGAATTTCATTTTGGCACTGCGAGCCTGACATAAAAATGGATGCAAGGCTGTGGCCTGCCCTGTTCATGGTTTCGACAATTTGCCTAGTCTGCAAAGCGATGAATTCGAGGGTGGCGTAGTAGTAGATTGCGAGACCATCCGCGGACTGATCGCTAGAGAGACCAATGACCGAGCCCGTCATGCTGCTATTGGCGATTGGGGAGCGGTTTCCCCAGAGGTCGCCGTAGAAAAAAAAGTGACGAGCCAGATAGGATATGCTGGGGGCTTTTCGTTCAGTGACCATCTCCCTCAGGTGTTCATTGAGATAGTCGTAGATGTTCATGTTGTAGGATTCTGCAACTGAGAGCGCCTTGTTAAAGGCTGGGTGCGTTTCAATGACATGTTTAAGTAATTCTCCCGTAGCAGACTGTCCGCCTTCGGACATCCAGTACCCAGGAATGATGTTGTCACGGTACGGACCCCAAACTCCAGACACAAATACTGGATCAGGGGACATGGCAAGGTGGCAGGTCGAGGTCCCAGCAACGGCTGCTAGGCGAGAGAACGCTTGCGTCTTGTCATTCTTCGCCACGTCCGAGGTCAACTGGTCTGATTCCAACTCGACCTTGGTGCCAACCGTGCCAATCCAGCCAGCATAGGCGTCTATGACACCGCTACCGATAGCGATTCCGGCAGGCAATCCCAAGTCGGAAGCCGCTTTTTCGCACAATGTGCCAACGAGCTCGCCGGCACTCAAGTAGTCTCCATTCTGATATTGTCGTCAGTTTTTTCTAAACGTACTAGAAGCTGAAGAGGGCTCACCACCCCATCAACACCGCCCATGCGTTTAAAATTATCCTCCGACAAGTCTTGTAGGTCAATCTCGGTCAGAAAATCTTCCTGCCAGCCCTTGACACTACCATCAACCCCGACAGGGACATAGCCTTGCTTGCAAACAACGCTGCAGTAGCTTCGCTTCTCATTACCAGTAGCAATGTGAGTCAGCGCGTCAGCCAGATCATAGAACTTGCACTGGTCAAAGAGTTCCTTGGGCATGTTGTTCTTCAGCCACAAAACTTTCGGAATCTCCATCTCGACGGACATCTTCCCGCCTACATAGCGCAGAAGATTGTGGTTTGTCGCGTTGATCTTTTCAGTTTCTTCCACGGGCCTGTGATCGAGCCAGAGTATCACATTGCGATCAGAGTCGAAATTAGGGCCAGTTACGGAAACTGGTTCGTCGGTCACATTGTTGAAGACTGCCAAAGAGCAGGTTGCGTCGAAGCCGATTCCACGCACGGTTTCGGGGTCAATGTTATGCTGGCTGATTGCGCGCTGAACCGAGATGCAAATGCATCGCCAAATGTCACTTGTTGATTGTTCCTGGGTTTCGAAATTAGTACTCGCAGCGGCAGTTAGAAGGTTATTAGAACATACATAGTATCCTGTCTGGGGCTGCCAGAGGCCAATGTTCTCAGAGGCCAATCCGACAATATCTCCCTTGCCATCTATAATGCAGGCTCGGGCGCTCCCCGTCCCAACATCAATACCAATAAAGTGGTCAACTTGAAGGAGAATGTCGTCGCGCGGATCCAAGGAGGGCTGTCTGGACGCCTTGCGTGTAGGTCGATGGAAAGGAAGAGGAAAAGAGGCCATGATCTCTAGCAATGCAATGATCGGAGGAGAGCTTTGTGCAAGATCTGTTCTTCGTGTGAGCTGGCTATTTATGAGGTTAAGCTTACTTCGGAGTAGGGGGCGTGGTAGCAGTGATCAAATGGCAAGTGAGCAGCTTTTGAAGAGACCAAGAAGCCATCCTGGAGGGAAGCGAAGGAGGGGGCACACAGGTATCTACTTTTTTTTTTTTTGTCGCGAGCCGGGGAGGCAGCTCAAGTCACCTTGACCGTGGGGGTATCCTGGAGATCCAGGTCAAGAAATAGTAATAATTTGTGGAACAAGCGAATGGCCGCCCATCGTCGAAAGAAGGCGCAGAATGTTTCCAAGTGTTAGTAGCCCGGTCCTTCTGCTTACCGCCGCCACATGCGGTGGTCTCCAATCTATGCTTGTAGATCAGGCTGGAGATGGTGGGGTGAAGAGAGGCAACTGTGCCACCGACAAGGAGCTTTGACGGCGATCGCGACAACATCTAACCAATATGGACATTGGTTAAGTTGCCTTCCTTAAGAGTACATTTGAATGTACATACCTTACGACAGTGGCTGAAACCTCCAAAACGCCGTCCTCCATTCTCCATGCCATACGTAGTAGTACATATGTCCTCTGATACTACTAGCGACTCCCCACACCCAACCCCTCCACAGGTGTTTCGAAGAACCCCGTGAGATTTGGCCAAGTGCAGGGTGTCAGCTGATGCAGGCGCGGAGTCCATTGCTCCACAATTCGAGAGTCCAGAGCTTTGGAATCCCTGACACACAATCTGGTCATCGCCCTCGTCTCGAGTAAAGAAGAGAGTCGAGACCTAGTCTACGTCCAAGTATCGAGGTCTGACACCGCTATCCCCGATAAAGCAAGCCCGGGGCGTTCCCGGTTCCGTAATGCGCACTGTGGATCGGAGTTGCTCCAGCCTCAACCTCAACAAGAGTGAACAACTATCAAGGATCAGACAACTTCTCACGATGCGCCGGTTTCGATCCCTCTTCTCGACATCCCTCGCTCTCTTCTTCCTCTCTTCCGTTGCACTCGCATCCTACGCCCCTCAACTAGAGATTCTCTACTGGCCCGTCTCCAACCCTCAACCATCAGTGCTCGCCCACGTCTCCTACGATCCAGCTTCTCTAAAATCAGACCTCATTGACTATACACCTCCCAGCGCAGCGGAGACTTCGGAGGACATAGTCCGCGTGGGCTTCTATATCTCAACGCCTTTGAATCCGAAACAATGGGTTGGAACTCTGACCTCCCTCGCCGCTCTTCGCGGGGATAATGATCAGAAACCGACCCTCCGCCTGCATATTAGCCCTTCAAATGAGGTCTATTCTGTCTCTCTGGCCTCAGATTCCTCATCGACTTCTTCATCTTCCTCTGTTAATAACCCCCGTCTTCAACTGGTGACGGACGAGCTCGGCCCCCGCCCCCATCTCAATCGTCCTATCGTTGTCGGTCCTGACGGCAAGGATCCTGAGGAAGTTCCTGAAAAGACGCTGTTCCAGAAGTAAGTTCTTTTTGAGCTTGATTTATACGCTTTCTCTAATCTACGTGGAACAGGTACTGGTGGGTCTTCCTCATCCTTACCTTCCTAGCCATGTCGGGAGGTGGAGAGCAGCAATGAGCGTCTATACAGTCCTCAACTTGGGCTTTTTCCTTCGCCAAAACGCCCCCGTGGTGTGAGCCGGAAAAGAGCAGAATATCGTGCTGGGAGATTCATAGCCTGGAATGGGTATTAACTAGATTCTACACCCGAGAGCTTTCATCGAAAGATATCCGAAACTATCTACGCATAGATCTTGCCCTGCGCGCCAGAATACATGTATCCGTGGGCTCTACTAACTTGTGAGCTGGGCAAGCTAGGCTTACTGTACATCACGAATCTTGAGGTGTACGTTTGGATCCATGAAACCAGTGGTATGCTAAACCCAGCACGACTCAGCGCAAGCTTCTTCTCTTAGAATATATCACACTCTGCTAGTCAACACCGAAAATTAAAGAAACTAACCACCAACTCCATGCGCTGCAACATACCCAATTTTTACTTCGTCAAATCAATCCGCAAGATGACATCCCATGGATCTATACTCACATGGTGTCCCGGACATCCAGTAGCCGTCGAGATTTACTCCCTCGTCCAGAGGGCGTGAGATCCCACAACATGATTCCCCGATCCGTAATGGCAACAAGCTCATTTTCAATTTTCGTAAAGCGAAGCTGGAAGCAAACTGCATCAAGCTTTAGGACAATGGGTTGCAGCTCAATTTGCCCCGTGCTTGTAGACCTCCAAGATGGGTCATAGTATGCCTCGGGATCGCCATCGATGAGAGCGCCAGGCTGCAACGCCCAAACGTAGATGACATCCCAGTTTGCAACGGCAATCCTAGTTCCTAATCTCGAGGCCGCAACTCTACAGCCGAGGGAGGAGTCGGTTGCGTCGCGGAATCCCCAGAGCCGGGCCATGACTGTCCAGTCCTGCAGGCGCCGGCCACGTTCAAGGTTCATCTGATGCCCGCATGTCCTTGCCCGGCAGGTGGCTTCGGACCTTAGGAGGCAGGCAACGGTCCATTTCTCCTCGCGGTGCGTGGCGATTCCCAGGGAGAGATACCTCCATCGGCAAACCTCGAAGCCATTTTGAGTATTCGTCTCGTGGGTTCCGAAAAAAGGAACGCCAATCGAAAAGAGAAGACTCAGGTCATCCGTAAAGTCAACAGGGTTGGAGTTTTCATACAGGGTCGGAGACCCAGCTCGGTCAATCTTCTGAAAAGATGCATAGAGCGATTTTGCGGGGTAGGAGTATAGCAATTGACTTGATCGGTCATTGAATGCCATTTCTGTGACAAGCGGTCCTCCCAGCCATTTGTGTAATAGGCGAGGCGTGTGGAAGAATCCTGCTAGGGTGTTAATACTTATATATAGGCATCTTCCCCGAGATAGGAGGCTATCTTACCAACAATATCAGGCGCAACGTCATATTCTGACCCCACCTTGATGGTGTAGTAGACAACACTGTGGGTCGAAAGCATGGGATGGCACCATGAGATTGCAAAGGCACCGCCGTCAGCCACAGCTAGAGCCGATGGTTCGGAACGCCCGTGCTCGGGAAATGCACATACTCTCACAGGCTCGTTTGGGGCTTGTAAAGAGTGGCAGGTGAGATAAACCGTTTGTCCGTTGTCACCGAAATCCCTTGCTTGCTTCACGAAGATATGCTCTGGACTAGAGCTGGGTTCCTCTACATCAGGAATAAATCTGTAGAGTATATAGACCAAGTCGTGTCCGTCAAAGGCTGTCTTGAGTATCTCAGCTGATCCCGGCCGAATCCAGGGAAGCCTCACTCGACCGAGTAGCGCAACCTGCCCATGCTGGGCCCGAAAAATGTGGACAACGTTTTGTTGGTCTCGGCAGGTGAACAGAACAAGGGTATCATCACCGTACACCGCGAATGATGATGCCTTGACATTGGGTCTTGTATCTCCGCACTCGAGTATTATGCAGTTTGCATTGTATTGGCTGTCACATAGCTGTTTGACCGCGCGGCTTCTTAGAACAGGGAAAATGTCACTCGTGCTAAGAGAGGAGACATCCAGTGGTGGCCCAGGGGTCCGAAGTAGATGAGAAACGAGAACCTCTCGACAACTGGAAGCAATCTCATACAGAGCACGACAGGTGAATGCTATCTGAAGAAATGCGGGGGTGGTGCAGTGGAGCAGAACAAGCTGAATAAGTTCCGGAGGAAAGTCCAAAATCATGGTACCAGCTGTGTTGCAGTTGGTTCATATAGCATCCGTCCCGCGAAAATGGTCTTCAAAAAGGCCAGTGATGTGGTTGCGAATAGTGTGGGCGAGGCTCCAAGATTGTGATCTTCGGGAGCATGAAAGGTTGTCTTGTTTATTGTCCTCTCATACCAAATTAGCTGGTGAGCGGCACTTTTTGAATATTCCAATCGAGGCACCGATTACAGATCGTATTGCTGCCTGACGCCTTTGGGTCGGCTGGGATTTATGGTGATGTTGTGCCAGTTATTTGAGGCTGTTCCTAGGTAAATAGCGGACACGGGTGCCTGGCCCGGGGCCCGCAGCCGTCCTTGGTCTATATTGGCCAGCACTACGAAGTCTTTATTTATATATATATATTATATAAACTTGTCAGGCCCCGTGAAGAGCGTCAAGCTTCGAGTAATACTATAATAAACCCGTTTGCTATAAAAACGCCAGACACCTCGCAAATGCGCTCACATCAGACCAATATGCTGGAGAAGAAGAAACGACAGGTTTATCTCATCTTGGATTATTGTGCGTCTGCTCAACAGCCCATTCAAGTACACTCTCGTAGCAAAGCACAAACTGACTGAGGTTTTGTACCACACTTGGCCTCTGTGTGCGGAAATCAGATACGGTCTTTGCAACGAGATCCAAATGTCCGCCGCCGAGCCATGGTTCAGGCGACTGCCCCTCGCGCTCTTTTGTTAATTGTCGCTGCAATACATCCAAAACGCTGTCAACTGTACAAAATGTACCAGTGCGGCCGCATCCCGCGCTGCAGTGTACCAAAACAGGTCGCTTAGGATTGCCCGGTGCTGCATTAGCCGTCGCAGTCCGAACCTTGTCGCATTGTTCGATTAATTGTAGTAGATGCCTTGGCTGGGAGGTTGTGCCAAAATCAGGCCAGTCGGGGTACTGAAGTTGCGTAACTTCACGAAGAGGTTCGAATGGATATCCTGAATGCGACAAACCAAAGTGCCTGACAACAATGGCTGATTTCTCGGAATCCATGGGCGATCTTGAATTGGCCTGCGGTGAGTCGGCTGGCTCCATGGGGATATATTTCTTTGAGAAATTATTCACATGGAAAGGTCCATACGTGCCAGATTTCCAGTACGGATGGCATTTGACCTGCCCTCTTTCGACCTCTGCGGTCAAAGATACTACTAGTCGAATGTCCTGTTCCCAAACAACACGCCAAAAGTCCTGGATTGCTGTCAGCGCTTTTTTTTTTTCAGAAAAGTAGAAGAGCTTGTTTCTCACGTTAAAAGTATCAGGCACAGGGGCTTGAGTCGCTATGTAGTATCGGTCGCTGTGCTCCGCCTTCATATAACTTGCGTTCACATAGTCACAGCCCCCAGAGGGTATATCATGAAGTCTCACCCGCGTATGGTCGTAAGGATAGATGTCATTGTATCTGTTTTTCGTGCCTTTCTCAATTCCAGCGACACGGAATGTCTCGTTTGAATTTCGATTTGAACTCGAAATGTTGTCATGGTTGTATGATAGAGCCTGCCTCATGCGCTCCAACTCGGTCTTTTCGATATCGAGAAATCTCGACGCTGCCATTCGACCTTGGTCGCTGGGATCCGACACTTGACAAAGCCAAGGTGGAAGCGATCGTCTTTGCGATTCCGACAAGTGTTCCGAGTGTTTCAGCGCAATTTGCCCAACGCCACCGACGAGATCCATATTTTGGCGAATGTTGCCAAAAAAAGGAATTGCAGCACTAGACGATTCCGGTATGTTGCATCCACCAGCAATAGGTGCTGATTGTGGTAAATCAATGTGCATCAGAGAGGTCTTTTTGGACTGCGGACCAGAAGCTTGCTGCTGCTGCTGCGTAAGTTCGGGAAACTTGGCGGAAAAAGCCCTGAATCCACCCATCAAGATCTGGCCATCGCCAGTCCACCCCTCGGCTGAGAATTTTTTAAGAACATTTATAAGAGGCCCGGCGTCCTTCATACTGGCAGTAGCTGCATCGTAGACGATGATATGTCGGCAATTCTTCCAGCGAGCGAAAGTAACCCGATCAGATTCGTTCGTGAAAGTATTCGCCAACTTTCTTGTATCAAATGAAGGGCGCTTCAGGAGGGTCGTCGGGATGCAAAGGTTCAGGGCTCCTCGAATGCTCCCTCTGGAAAAATGGGCATAAGGTCGTACATCCAGAAGCATCACGTCATGCGCGCAAGACCCAAGGAGCTCTGCACAATGCTCGACTGAAACCGGTCTACCGGTCGCCCCTGTTGTTTGTGCTGACTGTGATGGCACAGCTTTTGACGCACTCGTGTTCAGCTCTCCTTTTCCTATGGCACGGTTCAAAGAGAGTCTGTAAACAGCGGAGTCAGGGACATTGCCCTCGCTCCCTGGCCGTACTCCGAAAGGAACATGTTGCTCTCCTGCTACTTCTTTGCCGGATATAAATTGTCCCTCAGGGCTCTCATTTGAATGGATACGGGACAGGTGATCTCGATTCTTGAGGAGGCTCGGGCTTTCTAGATTGAATGAAAAGTAGTTCGAGTCAGACGAGAGTGTCTGACTCGGACTGATTCTGTTGAACGTTGAGGGACGCGAGTCAGATAACGGGAAAAATGTCGCTGGGCTCGATGGACCGGGGAGGGCAAGGGTCTGAGATTCCTGGTGCCACGGCGACGTTGGCGATCTTGGCCCTGTCATCGCAGACATAACTCTCCCGCTTTACAGAGAAATGTGTGACCTGACTTCCGATAACGATATCGGATGAAATCAAACTCCCAACCTGCTTGCCATTTCGAAACCAAATATTGTCATAGAGCGAAAGAGCGAAAACACCGGACGAGGTCGAAAGACTTGGTCGAGTGTAGCTGTCGGGTGGGGGGAAATTCTTAACATAAACACGTCCAAAACGAGGTGAGAGCAGAAGAGGTGCTCAACGAAGGCTTTCAGAGTTATATAAGCTCCATGTGTGGGTATGTAATGAGTTCTGAAGAGCGCGGTGTGGCGTCAAGCGGACGGTCAGAGTGTGTAAAAAAACGGGGATGGAATACCTCGTTCTCAGGCGGCGGTTCTCTCTGCACAACGAATCGTCGCTTCCACTACAGGTATCACATAAGAAGGTCCAGATCCAGTTGAGTTCCTGAGCCAATAGTGTGGACGGAAAATTAGTGGGGATGAGGTTTGACTAGTAAGGAGTATCATTATCGACCCACTGGTGTCATCGTTCAAGGTGCTTGAAGCAATGAGAATCGATCCGAAGAGAAAAACGGGGGGCGTGATGTTGCTGGCAATGACGTTATGTGCGGCCAGCGGCAAACCTTTGTGTTTCGAGCCATGGCGAGTTCGGCCGGTCTGGATCCCAGGATTGCAGGAACCCGGCCACTAACAGGGTGCTTACCTCCAGTCCTGTGTTGGATATGTTTTTCAGCATCATCATAATGCTCATTATTCCTTTTCCCCTCCTTTGTTGTATGCCTTGAATGGGCTTTTCTTGCCACGATAACGAAAATGCCCGCGAACGTGTAGCAAAGCTATATCGTACTCCGTTTCTTCGAGCTGCTCTTTGCAAGCCCCAGACAGACGAGATCTGTGCTCTGATAGACTCTGTACTTACAACGTACTTTAAGACTTTACATCATGTGACATTGGTAGGCCTAAGCCCAGGAATCATGGCTGTGACATGATACAAGAGGCTGAACTGATAGGCGCATGGGTTTCGGCATGCATCAAACCATCAATCTTGGCTTGATTCATATAGTATATATACTCCAAAATTTGTGTGCCGAGTAGTTCCATACCAACATTCTGGGTTGATGGCTTTGAACCAATCAAATCGAGTTGTATGCCGCTAATGGCGGTGCTCAGCAAATGTCTTCTTTGTCTTCATAACTCGTCATAGAGTGGCTACGGAGTGTATGGTCCAGGTTTTGTTGCGTATATGGTATGCCTCGCCTTGCGATCGTCGAGCTCGCTGGTCAAAGTGGTATCACGCGGCCCCATGACGTCCCACCAGCTAATACATAGCAGACAACAACCAAAGCGAGTTGTTTGGGGTGTATAATAATGAATCCGCGTGAAGCTCGAACGGTGTGTCCACTGCCAGAGTATGAGATGAAAGGCTTCAGACGTATGGACTGTAGAAGTTGAGGTCCCGAATCAACAATCGAAATGCAACTGTCTTGCGCAGGGATGCGCAGTAGTTTGTTGTTGACAAGTTAAGCTTATCGTTTTCATTGACTGTGGGGAGGTTCTGGCCCCTGACATTCTCGGACACACCAAATGATGCCCAGGAGTTATTGAGCATGATGCTGGCGTACAGACCGCGATTATAGTTTTCCATCGGGTTCACCCTTGAATCTTTGAACTCGTTTTTGTTCCCAATTATCAAGATCTTTGGCCATAAGCCTCTGTTGAGAACCACATTAGTCGGCACGAAAGCATATTATATAGACAATAGCACATACATAATACTCTTCCCTATCGTCGCCAACGATTCTCCTCCTCGGATTTCTTTTAATTCCCTCCTCCCCGTCAGGTCCCTTGAGACCCAAATCCATGGCCTCCTCTTGGCTGAGTTGTTTGACTTTGCGATCGTACCTTTCGTATCTCAAAGCAGCTGCTGGGGTCAGGGCAAATGACCCAGCCACGATAATCATGATGAAAGGTAAGCCGAAGAAAAGAAACGGATGTTTTGGAAGTCTGGCCCGGTATGCTTCACCAATCTTTTCCCCTAACGAGGAGGAGGCAGTGGTCGCCCGTCGGAAAGTTTTGGTTTGAAATACTGGCATCGGGACTAATCTTATTCGATCGGCAGATGTCTAACTGAGAGCCCTCAAAAGATGATGGATCGTTTGAAAGTGCCCAATGGATCCCTGGATGACTGCCGGTTGACTTGTTATAGAAGAAGAGTCAAGAGTCGAACCGCACCACACGAGTAGATAGTAGTAGGACTGGATTGAAAGAAAGTTCGGATAATCCAAAGTTCCGTCCGTCCCTCCGCAACCTGTGGAAGCTTCCGCATCAACAATAAAAAATCGGGCACCTGTCGAGCAAAGGAACACCGCATAACCGCTTTGGCGATAAAATCGATTGTCAAGAGTTCATCTCGAGGTGTGCGCATGATTCTCTTGATTGAAAGATTCTATCGTCCTGACTATTTGGCGCTAATATCGTCCATCAACAGAAGCCCGTGCTGGCCTTCAAGGGCCGTCTAGACCGAAGCGTCGACCACCACACATCCAAACATGTCCTTTACGGCTAGCTCTATATTCGGGAAGGGTGGCTTGGGAGCTGCTTCACAGCCGTCGCAGCCAGATCAACCAGCGCAACCGTCGAGCATATTCTCTCCTTCGAACCCGACGAGTATCTTTGGCAACCCTCCAACAACACAGGCGCAGGCAACTACCTCTATCTTCGGCGGCCAGCCTCAATCCCAACAACAGCCTGGTCCCTCATCAATTTTCGGACCGGGTCAACCGAATGCTAGCACGGCGCAACCTATACAGCCAGCTTCCCAGGGCGCGCAGCCTGCCTTCTTCAGTAGCTTATTGGAGCGTGGTAAGAAGCGGCCACTTTCTGCCGTTGCTCAAAATGGCAACTTTGAGGATATGCCCAACCTTCAGTTGGGCCTAGATGACATTCGCCGAAAGGCGAGGGAACTCGGCACTGGTGGCTTCAAGGATTCTTATGTGCCAAGCAGTAAAGCGTGAGCCCTTGCTTACCCTTCTACCCTTGTTCTCGCTGTCTTTTCAACTTGCTCACTTCTCTATTGCAGTTATTATCTACTTGCAGCCTCGGGTGTGTCTCCGGGACACGCGCTACGTGATCTAAAAGCTCTAGAGCCACAAGCCTCCGTACAACTTCCACCAAAGGAACCAGACACATTCGACCCCGACAATCAAAAGTATCTCAGAAATATTCAGCAGCGTGGCCGTCAGGTAATGATTGCTGAGAGCCTCGCAAGAGCTCAAAGAGATTTTGACTCCTTCCTGGAAGAGAAAGTCGACTTGGATTGGGAAGAGCAACGCCACAGGATCTTCCAACATTTTGGACTATCACAGAAAGAGGATTCTGCTGGTGACTCGGGCCCATCGTTTGGCCGGTCAACGAGGCAAGCTAATCAGTCTACCTATGGTCCCTCTGGGGCAACACGTAGGAGTGTGTTTGGCCGTTCTGGATTGGACAAGTCGGTAATAGGAACTCCTGGGACTGGAAAACCAAGTCATCAGCTGTTTGACGATTCTTCGGCACGCACTGAAGGCCCTATTTTTCAGACACTGGATATTCGATTTCTGCGCGAGAAGATGGGCTACTATGCAGATAAGGTTCAGTCACTAAATTCTACTCGCCTTCAAAAACGCAGCTTTCCAATTCTTCACGAATTTTCTGATGTCGAAAAGCATGCTGGCGGCGACGTGAGTCATTTTATTCGATCCCAGTGGTACTTGAACTAATGTGATACTAACTGTATCAGGTTCCCCGGCAGCTTTTTGACGCCTACATCGCTCTCATAAACATTGTTGGAGAGCCACTGGACGTCACAGACGTATCTGACCCAGAGGCAGTCAAGGAGCGCCAATTCTCAGAGGAGTACCTGAACGAAACGCAAAACTCACAGCAGGCGGTAAATCTCAGAAAACGAATTGTTGAAGGCTCGAGAAAATTCCTCGAAAACTCATTTTACAGTGAGGTCGAAGCAGCAATCTCCAAGAATCCTCGCGAGGCTCAGCTTGGTGGAATACCAACTGTCGTTAACAAAATTCGCGCATACATACGCCTGAGAGATGCCCGAAAAGACCTTGCGCCGGATGGCATGGAACTACAAATGGTGGGCAATGACTATTGCTGGATTCTAATCTTCTATCTCCTTCGCTGTGGCTTCGTCACCGAGGCAGCAGAGTATGTTAGCCAAGACCCTGGTTTCCGGTCATTAGACCACAAGTTCGTGACATACATGACAACTTATGCCCAAGGTAAACGATTACCAAGGGACATGCAACAAAGAATCAATGGCGAATTCCAGCAACGGTCGCGCAATGCCCCAGACAACACTGTTGATCCTTACCGCATGGCGTGTTATAAAATCATTGGGCGCTGTGATCTTGGACGCAGGCGCCTAGACGGCATCAACCAGAGTGTGGAGGATTGGATGTGGTTGCAGTTTAGTCTTGCCAGAGAGGACGACCGAGCTGAGGAGGTTGCAGGTGACGTTTTCGGGCTTGAAGACATCCAGACAGACATCACCGAAATTGGTCAGCGAGTGTTTGGCAAGGGCCAAGAAGGGCCCGGTGGTTACGGAACCTTCTTCCTCCTTCAGATTCTCGGAGGAATGTTTGAACAAGCTATCTCGTATCTTGGATCGTATGCGCCCATTAGCGCGGTACACTTTGCGGTTGCGCTGGCCTACTATGGTCTCTTGAGGGTCTCTGATTTCTACACATCGGGCGAAGAGATTTGTAAGTCTCGGGTCCGCTTTTCTTGAAGCCTTTTTCATAGTTACTGACCAGAAAACAGTGTCATTTACCGTGAAACAATATCCGCAGATCAATTTTGGCTATCTCATTACTCAATACACAAAGGAGTTCCGCACAGCATATGTGGAAGCAGCAATCGATTACTTTTCTCTGCTCTGCCTCAATGCTGACCTTCCTGGTGCGCTGGGCAAGTCGCAAGCCTCCGTGTGTCACGAGGCCCTGCGGGAGTACATTTTGGAAACCAGAGATTTTGCCAAGCTACTCGGTGACATTCGGTCAGATGGTACCAGGATCAAAGGGCTGATTGAGCAGCGTATAAGCCTGATCAAGCTCATCGACCAAGAAGAGTTCCTCAAGACGATAACAGTGCAAGCAGCAGCTGTCGCTGAAGACAAGGGCCTAATCACAGACTCCGTTCTCCTATATCATCTTGCCGAAGACTACGACCGTGTCATTGATATCATCAATAGAACGCTGTCCGACTCTGTGGCTGTGCCCCTAGGAAGTCCCACGCTAAAGTTGCAGCCATTGAGACCTCGCGCTACCTCAGGAGTTGATGTCTCCGCAGAGCCTGGGACAAGCCTCAGCCTAACGACCGTGGAAGACCCAGTCGTGTTGGCAAAGAATATGATAAGCCTCTACAATCAAAACGCCATGTACTATCAGCGGATCCGTCAATCGAGCCGTGACGCATGCGGCCTTTTGCTCCGGATGATGGAGGCTAAATCAGAGGTAGAGGCAGGGAAGTGGACAGCGGCTTTGGACGTGAGTTTCACTTTGATTTCTTTTCCCCCAGTTGAGTTGACTAACATTAGCCATCTTTTAGACCGTCAACGGACTGGGTATCCTGCCACTTCGGGCTCGAGGCTCCGTACCTTATATTCGTAGCGCCGCTCAAGCATTCTCAGCCTTCCCATCCGTCATTGCCAGCAACATAGGCCATGTGATTATATGGAGTATTACATGCATTGGGCGTGAACGTGAGCGATTGAGCTCTGGTCCGTACGAAACCGAGATGAGACAAGGTCTCTCAGAGGAGCTCTTAGTCATGGCAAAGGACTTGATGATCTTCTCTGGAATGATCAAATACAAACTACCCCCGAGGGTTTACGAGACGCTTGCTCGTGCTGGAGCGGACATTGGTGCGTTCTAAAGGTGCGCCCTTGGCTTGCGCGCGCAGCAAGAATTCAAATTAGGGGCATGGTGTTTCTTGTCGAGTGGCACTCTCGGGACGTTTCAAGTGTTCTACCCGTAGTGAGTACCGAGCATCATAGGTGCGAGGTGCAAGGGCGATTTCTTCTCAGTACTGAGTACCGAGCTCAGGGATCATTACAATCATATCACAGGCCATCATTAGTACATTAGTTACCCGTAATAGGATATGCGTGTATTTCTACTAATGCACCGAGAGAAAGTCCGTCATATGATTTTGCTCCTAATTCCACTAGAAATGCATTCACACGAGAGAATAGTAGTGCCAGTCACTCTACGTCAGGGATACTTTTTGACATATACTACTAGTTATATTTCGGGAGGACGCGGATTAGTTCCGCGATAGCTCAAGGTGCGCCAAGCTTTGGCGGGTCGATGAAGCTTGAGCACAACCCATCTTCAAGAATCTGATCGGACAGAAACTCCACCTTCACACCCATTATATTTGAGAACACTCGTTTCCTGTTTTTGTACAATGTATTTGGCACATTGAAACTCTACTCTGCCACTCTGTATGCGAAACTCTCGGCTCCTTGATTCGACCCTGTCTCTGACCGACTGGCCTGCTCGACATGGACCATGACGCTTCCGGTGTGTCGGAAGGAAGCTCCAGGTCCATTTCACCGAGTAGTAGGCCAGAGTCCCTACAAGATGGAGAGCCAGCACGCGTTATTGAGGCGGCATCCGCTCAACCGCCGCAGATAATGGATACGGCAGCGGATATTGGCATCACCGCATCGATTGCGCAACAACCAATTGAGCCTCAAGCACAGACAGAACCGCAGCAGGATCCAGAAACTATAGACCGGGACACGAGTGCGTCTGGGCCGACAAGTCCCGCCCATGCAGGGAACCGTTCAGCTTCGCGCAATGGGTTTCCCGAACCGCCAGTCAACGAGACGGGCGGCGGCTCAAACCAGGCGGCTCAGACAGGCGGACCGGCGGATTATGATCTTATCGACAACCCTCCAAACCTTGCACGGATTCGTCAAGTTCTGTTTGAGTGCAGAGAACCTATCGAAATTAGCCTACAGGAATTCGAAACTTACTGGCCATTTATCGATAACGTTTGGGTGAAACAGAGGTCCAACTCGAGCAAAGAAGGACACTGCACCACCGACTACTATATGTGCCGCTTGCGACGCCCAACGCACCGTAGCTCGGATTCACGGCCGCTGCCGGAAGGCAAGCGGCCTCGGAAGAAAAGAGTTCGCGAAGGCGGACTCTGCAACTTTCAGATCAAGGTTGTCAGGTTCGAGGGGGCGTACTCGACTGTCACTATCTCTAGAACCCCGGGCAGCAGCCACGAACACGCACATGACCTCGATTATATTGACAAGGTAAAGCGAAATTCAGGGCTGATGGAATTCGCCAGAAGAGAGGCGAGCAAGGGTTATCTACCTTCCTCTATTTACACCAAGTTCCGCGAAGAGCCTGGAAAGCTCATCGAGGCAGGAGGGAAGTTTTGTACTGTTACAGATATCCGAAATGTGTCTGCAAAGTGGCGGCTACAGAACCCAGAGGTGAAGCTTGTGCCACATGAGGGCTACGAATACCAAAAAGGGCATGGCATTGTGAGGACTCGACCAGAGAGTGATTACAGCGACTCGACCGCTCCAAAACTTCCGCCCGTACCGCCAGACACCCTACCTTTTCCTCAGTTCCCACTGAATTTCCTCGAGCCCTATCTCCCGAGGAAAAACGAAAGACGCGAATTTCCCCACGTTACACTATCTTACGCTTCGTCTATGGATTCGAAAATCTCCCTCTTGCCCGGAATGCAAACCGTGCTATCCGGACCAGAGGCTAAACTAATGACTCACTACCTACGATCGCGTCACGATGCAATTCTAATTGGGGTCGGAACCGTCCTTGCAGACAACCCAGGATTGAACTGCAGGTTGCAAGGTGCCGGTGGCTATGGCGGCCTTGGAAGGATGTGGCAGCCGCGGCCAGTCGTAGTCGATCCTCTGGGCAGGTGGCCGGTGCATCCTGACTGTAGGATGCTACGAACGGCGGTCGAAGGAAAAGGTAGAGCACCGTGGGTAGTTGTATCTCCCGGCGCTCAGATCCACCCTCAGACGCTCATGATGCTGAAAGGATATGGGGGCGACTATCTACGTATTATGGAATACCATCAGAATTGGCGACTGCGTTGGGAACCCATCCTACGAGCTCTTGCATCAGAAGGTATCAAGAGTGTGATGATTGAGGGAGGTGGGAGGGTCCTAAGTGAGCTGCTGAACCCCGAATACACCGAGTTTATTGACTCAATCATTGTCACCATTGCACCGACGTACCTTGGATCTGGCGGAGTTGGTGTCAGCCCAGATTCAAAGCGCGATGCGCAAGGCAAGCCCAACGCGGCACTCAATCCTAGAGACGTGAAGTGGGTTCCCATGGGACAGAATGTCATCATGTGTGGAAAGATCCGTACTGCTCCTCCTCCACCAGAGGTAAACCATCCTCTCGCTTAACCCAGTGCCGGACTTTCGATAGATTAGGACGATGTCGACATAACACATACCCTTACCTAACATCGCGGCACTTCTCGGGCTTCAGCTCTATCATCGGTCAAGGTCTAATAAATCAAGAGGGACTGGGAACGCCATGGGGCCGATAAACGCCCGCACCTTCAGGTCTTTGTCTTGTGGTAGGACATCGATCTGGTGTTGCAATTTCTTTGTGTGCTATTTTCAGCACAAAGAGAGTATAACACGGCTGGGCCGAGCAAGTGCGCTGGTATCAAACGACCCGGGACACTTTTGAAGCCCAGCAACAGTGAAAGAAGAACATGAAACATTATTGAAAGAAACCCTGAATCAGGCCATTTGACATCGCTGTAGCAGAAGGTGAACCAGCAGGGCATGGCCTCAGGTGACTCGGAGGGCAGCGCTAGCCAGCTGTTCTCCGTTGATCATGCAATAATAGTGATAGCAATACCAATCTCAGAATCGAGTAAGAAGAAACCAAGTCCACAAAATTGCGAGATTTCTCAAGCTGGCACGCTGGTATTTGGGAGTAGAGGGGACGTAGCGCGTGATTCGCCGCGACAATAACACTCCAGCAATCTAATACCTGCAGAACAACAAACCAGCTCGCCCGACCTCTTTTTTTTTTTCTGCTTCCCTCCTCCTTTGTTCTCGCTCCTCTTTCTTTTGAGACCATCACTTCTCCTCTCCACTTCTCTAAATTCCAATTACTGGAAGGAAAATCATCCATCTTCCCTTCATTCTATCTAATCGATTTTCCGAATCCCAATCTCACACCTGATTTCATCCTCAATGCCTCCCAAAAAGGGCGCAACCAAGACCGCGGCGCGGTCGACCGCTACCGTCAATAAGGCGACTGGCGCTACCACAACCACCAAAAAGACCGCTAGCGATAAGAAGACTCCAGCAGCCCGAGGACGTGCAGCGACTACTACTAAGACGACTACCACAAAAGCTGCTACAGGAGCCGCGACGAAAGCTGCGCCAACGCGCAAGGCCACCACCAAGGCTACCAAAACAGGAGCTTCAAAAGCTGCGCCGGCCCCGCTCACTAAGAAGCGCAGCGCCGAAACTGTCGACGAGGCTGAGCCTACTCGCACAGTCAAACGCGCTCGTGTTGTTAAGCCCGCCGTCGCCCCGAAGCCGAAGCCGAAGCCTGCCCCAAAGCCAAGGGCCAAGACGATCATCAACCAGGCTCCTACTGCCAAGCTAAACGTGTACGTTTGCGGTGAAGGCAGTTCTGGAGAACTTGGCTTGGGTACTGCGAAGAATGCCATTGATGTAAAGCGCCCGCGTCTGAACCCCCACCTGTCGGCGGAGACTGTGGGTGTCGTGCAGGTGGCTGTCGGCGGTATGCATTGTGTTGCCCTTACGCATGACAACAAAATCCTTACATGGGGTGTCAATGACCAAGGCGCGCTTGGTCGAGACACTGCATGGGAAGGCGGATACAAGGATATGGACGACAACAAGGGCGACTCGGACTCAGATTCGGACTCGGGTGACGGACCCGATCTCAACCCGCACGAGGCAACCCCCACTGCCATCCCTTCTGATATTTTCCCCGAGGGTACTGTCTTTGTCGAAGTCGCTGCTGGTGACAGCTCAAGTTTTGCTCTGACCGATGAAGGTCAGGTGTATGGCTGGGGAACCTTTCGAGTGAGTGTTTCTTGTTTACAACTTTGCAATGATTATACTGACAGCAACTCTAGAGCAATGACGGCATTCTAGGCTTTGATGCTGCTACCAGGGTCCAGACTACGCCAACTCTGCTTCCGGATTTGAAGAGAATCAAGCATGTGGTCTGCGGAGATAACCACGTTCTCGCTTTGAATCATCGGGGCGCTGTCTTCTCTTGGGGCTCAGGCCAGCAAAACCAATTGGGCCGTCGTATCATCGAGCGCAACAAATTGAATGGGCTTCAACCGCGAGAATTCGGCCTCCCAAAGGGTATCGTACACATTGGTGCTGGTGCTTTCCATTCCTTTGCCGTGCACGAATCTGGCAAAGTCTATGCCTGGGGTCTGAACAGTTTTGGCGAGACCGGAATTCGCGAGCACGCTGGTGACAGTGAAGCTGCAATTGTTCACCCAACCATTGTGGAAGCTCTGTCCGACAAGGATGTCACGCAAATTTGCGGTGGTGCTCACCACTCTCTGGCTGTTACCGCAGATGGCCAATGCCTCGTCTGGGGTCGCCTAGACGGTTTCCAAACAGGCCTCAAGATCGATTCCCTCCCCGACGACGCGGTCATCAAAGACGAACGTGGCCGCCCTCGTATCTTAATCGAACCCAAAGCTGTCCCAGGCATTAAAGCAAAGGCTGTCGCTGCGGGATCAGATCACTCAATTGCCATTGACAGTGATGGCCGTCCCTGGTCCTGGGGGTTCTCTGCTACCTACCAAACCGGCCAAGGCACTCAGGATGACGTTGAAGTGGCGACTGTCATTGAAAACACTGCTGTTCGAGGGAAAAAGCTCAACGGAGCTGGCGGGGGAGGTCAATTCTCGGTGTTTACGGAGCCCATCTAGACCGTTCAAGGAGGGACACCTTCAGATTTTCTAGTTCCCCCGAGCTATTCTCTCAAAATATGGCGAAGGATGATTGGATAATCTTTTCAGTCATTTAACTATGGTTGTGGCTTTCAGCGGCGAGTTTAGACTTCAAATGTGCTTGTATTTTAGGGTCTTGTAATACATGGGTTTCGTTACTCTTTTCACCGGAACTTTGCAGTTTTCTCGTCTATTGAGGCCTAACTCCATTACTGTAACTATTATTGGGGTATCTCTAATTCATCCATGGCTTCTAGCTTGTCCGCATGGCTCTCGGTCTCGATCGCATCGCGCGTCACCTGCTTCGAGGTAGTACTCTCAGGCCTAGCTTCATCTTCGTGTTCCCTCAACAGAGCGTCCAGTTCATCAAAATCATCCTCTTCTAGGGGAGCGGCGCCAGCATTGGCTGGTCGTGGCTCACTCTCATGCTCCTTCAAGAGTGCGTCCAGCTCGTCCAGGTCGGCATCTTCCAACGGCGCACCGTCAGCGTTAGCTGGTCGTTGCTCATTACCCTCGTCCGGCATGAACAAATCGTCATCCATGTCATCTAACTGCACTGGCCGTGCATCGAATTGGTCGATAACTACTTGACCTGTCGGTAATGTGGTTGTTGGTGCAGATGTGTCATTGTCCAAGATGTCATCATCGTCGCCTGTGGTCTTTGGCTTTTCTTCGTCTATCCATGCACGTCGCATCGTCTGTATGCGTTTAGAATGCCCAAGTCGTTCTATCATGGCTAGGCCATCGGCGAATTTTGCTCGAGGGAATAGGTCATCAAGCCATAGTTGGTAGAAATTTAGGAGGCGAGCCAAGTCAGAGAACTAGTCGGAACGAAACGGGTCGGTTAGCTGCGCAGTTTCGTCAAGACAGGTTGCAATTGTAGCAGGGTAGGCTGGCAAACCTCGTGTCCTTTGCCCTTGAACTTTAGATTCCTTTTAGCTGAGCGCCGTAATTTGGGGATTCCAGCTTGTGTGAGTAACCTGGTGGTAAGAGAATTAGAGCTGGCAAATGGGTTGGATACTGGTTTGATGGATCATAACTGACCTGTTTTCGTCCAATTTTGGCACAGGCTGTCGCTTCTTCGCAACTTTGACCTCATCGTCTAATCCCAGGACAACTCCCGAGTTGTCCGGCGGAGCTGTTTGCTTTGGCGCGTTTGCAGTGCTTGTATTGGTGCTGATTTCCTGAAGGATGCCATCCAGGCCTACATCATAGTCGAACAAGTCGTCGACAAAATCCACAGGACGCGACGCTGCCGCTGGTGGGCTGTTTTCGGTTGCCATTGCAATAGCTAGTAATTGTAGATAGATACTTCAATTGCGCCTGTCATGAAGCTCGTTCGAGGATTTCATCGCGGAGAGCAATAGATCATTCCAATGGAGCTGATATCAATAACCCCAAAAAGCGCTGGGACGCGTTTGGGACGCGTTCATCACTCGCAGCGGCCAATGATGGGCGGATCAATCTGAATTTCAAGTCAGAGCTGGACTATCCGCACTAGCCCGTATTTGGAAAGTTAAAGCTTGGCACAACCTCCGACCCTTCAAGTTCAACCCCGTCCTGAGTCCAGACAAGAGCGACTTTGAACGACTCAATCGTCGCCGACATTTATTCTATCACAGCCCATTCACCATGGCTGCCGAGCAAAAGTCTGCGGTTATCCCGCCCAAGCAGGCGAAGACCGATTATCCGGTGCGACACCTCTCTCCCAATACCCTCAAACCAACGGCCCTTCTTAGGTTCTGAATGCTAACATCGGCTTCCAAGCTCATTGATTCTGACCCGTACGGACAACTCCCAATATGACCCCTTTACGCCAAACGCGACGGCTGGAGCCTGCTTGTGACGAGGCGGACTGACTCAGTTTCTACTGTAGGCACATTCGCCGAGTGTTTGGATACGCGAGACCGTCCGACTATGCTGTTGCTGGTGGGCTGGGTGCGGCTTCTCCTCTTGCGTTCTGGGTTATGGAGAGAGTGAGCCCGTCGCACGTTGGGCGGGGAGGCTTCGCACCCGTGATGCGCCTGGCAACGGCAGTTGGTATTATTGGAGGTCTCCACATCCTCTACCAGAGGTCTTGCAGTACGTCGTGGTCTCGGATTTTTTGCAGTTTCTCTTCACGCATGTTGCTGATACACCAATCTTACTAGACCGCTTCTATGGCTTTACGGAGAACACGAGAGAGGTGGAAATGGATATGCGGGAGATGGTTGACAAGGTTAAAAAGGGCGAGCCTCTATACGGCACTTCACAAGTATCCCCATACTTGCAGGGGGTAGCTGCTCAGAACTCGCGCTATGCGCAGCTATTCTCTCACATCATCCCGTGGCCCAACCTGGTCAACCATGACCGAGTAGGTTTTTCTTTTCTTTTCCTTGTGCCTCTTCTTCCTTAGGTTCTGCAAACTGATAATCATGCAAGCACGGTGTCGATACCGCCAAATACTACCAGCAAGCGGAGAGGGAACTTGAGGCTGAGCGTCTCTCAAAACTCGGGTCTCCTTGAAGGTTAGATTAGCGGTGGAGATGAATTGATTACTTTGTCCGTACGTCATCTGCCGAGACCCTGTGCGCTTATTCTGGCGGCTGTACAACTCTATTACCACCGCCGATGTGCAAACAGAATTGTATAGTTATCTTGTCATTAGAGTTGTGGCTAGCTCAAATCGGAGTTGGATCCGTTTTCAAGGTGTCGCTCGGTCAACACTATCAAGTGGGTCATCGAATTTGGTATTGAGCTCTCGATGTTTCTTTGGGCGAGGTTTGGGCGCTTTTGATGTCAGTGCCTTTTTTTTATCTTGAAAAGAAAAGAACACTAGATGCTTGAGCACATACCTTTGTCATTTTCTTGGATGTAAAAGCGTCTTAGTAGCATAATAGCCTCCTGACGCTGCAACCCACCATACACAGGATAAGGCGGGTCGATTGAAGGGCTAACGCAAACTTAGTCTGGAGCATGGGAACAGTGTGGTTAACATACTCGGAATGCAGAGTCAAAATGCTTCCAGTCCCTCCAAATCTCTCGTTCCCGCAACCAAAGTACACACTTCGGATCTGGTACTGGCGCAGGGCTGATGCACACATAACGCACGGCTCAACAGTCACGTAAAGGTCTGTTGACCGGAGAGCGATTTTTGGATAACTGCGCAGCATCTCTTGAATGGCGAGGAACTCTGCGTGTCTCGTGCCCTGTTAATGGGGCGTCAGATATGTATCTTGATCAAAAAGTCCAGGTCCCCGTAGGTTTCCCCGTGTGATATAGCCTATAACAAGCAGTCTCAAAGGCATACATTCATGGACCTGTTCGTGTCGTTCATTCCATAGCCAACTATCTGGTTCTCGTAGACTAGTACGCATCCTACAGGTGTTTCGCCTGTGTCGAGTGCTTTTCTTGCCTATTCATGCATGAGCCTCATTTCCTTGTCTAGGTGAAGAAGGGCAACTTACCATTTCAAACGCCTGCTCCATAAAGTAGGCTTGATCTGCCGTTGCCTGTCCCATCGTGGTGCGGCAGTGCTATGCGTATACTTCGAAATGACCAGTTTTGAAAGGAACAAATGTGACTACTAGAGCCCGCGGTTTGCAATTAGTAAAAAAGGGTACACGGCTACGAGTAAAGAGCCTTCACAGAAATAAGAAAGAGGTCAAGGCCGCAAGAGAGTGAGAGAATTTAAAAAAATTTGTAGCTTAATTAATTTAGAAAAAAATCTAACCAGTAGAGAAGATAAGTCGTATGATCAAAGAAAACAGCAGTTGCGTCGAAGCTACGCCCTCCTAAACGTTTCTTGATCCCATCCTCTTCAATCCGATCCCTATCTATGCTCTAGATACATATGGCGATCCCAGCAAGCAATACAGTATCAATCGTTGGACGCTTCCCCACTTGTATGCATCAGCATTCATTACCTGATAAGCCGCTTATCGCAGGCACTTTCTGCGCAACGCGTCAACTTTCTTGAATTCGCGAACACGCACTTTGAGTGCATTCAACATTGACAATAACACTCGTCGAACATGGCATAGTTCAAATGCTACTAATTGCAGCAGATGACTCAAAGGTCCATCCTTATCCTACGAAAAGTATGACCGATTTGCCGTCTACAGAACCTCCGTCTACCCTGGCAGCTCAATTGGCACCGCGTCTCTCCTCCCAGGGAAGCCAAGTCCACAACCTCACAAGAGAAGCCTTTGCCCAACTCCGTCAAGAACTAGTTGATGGTCGATATAGTGAACTACGCCTGGATGATAGCGCCACCGATGTCAGCCGGTTGATTTGCATTGTCCTCAAGGCCGGCCTGGAGCCATCAAGCAAGGAGGAAAGATCAGACACTAGGGACCTGAACGGCCAGCTCTTGGACTGCCTAGATATCATCCAGACAACTGTTGAAAAGGTTCCGCAAACGCTGGTTGAAGTTCCTGACCCAGAGATTCTTGGAGAAAAGGCGTACGCCCCATTATATGCTTGGCTCGTTATCCGGCTTCTCCACCTGTTCTGTGCTCGGAGCGATGGCGTTGCAGATGAGAAAATCACTAGCATTGTCTCGACCATAGCTCAGGCCCAGTATAAACATACGAGATTGTGGACTTCTTGCCATGCCATTCCCACGTTCTTGCGGGCTTGCGCTGCCGGTTTGTAGGACTCCAAAGCTGCCGCGGATCGTACTAACGAAACCTAGAGGTCATTTCCTCCTTGGAAGCACCCAAAAACCGGGAACGATGGGATAATCCTCTTCTCAAAGTGTTGCTACCATCGTTCGAAGGACCCGTTTCTGTAGTTCTAGGCAAAATTGGCCTCCCTCGCAATTTATGTGAGAACAAGAAAATCAAGCTTGCATCATTCCCGAGAGCTGTTGTGCTGTCGCTCAGTCTACTTGACTCTTTTCTGAGCCTGAGAAACGAGCGCTTTTCCTTGACACCTAGTGTCCGACAGAATTTGGCTTGGATCCTGGATGGATATCAACGTCTATGGAAAGTTGCTTCTAGTTGGCTTCAAAATTCCACAGCGGACATTTTTCAGCCGAAAGTCGAAATTTGCTCACGGTTTCTGACATCTATCTGGTTATGCTGGCAATCTGGAGTGTCATCTGAGATGGAATTAGCGTACGATTTTATCGAGACGCTGATGAACATGTCATTCACCGACATCTTAATCCACTCCCCCACCCTTCAATTGGAGCTGGGCCAATTCATTAACGATTCTACCAAACTTCCTGGATGTACGGGAAGGCACTTGAAGTGTATTAGAAGACTACAACCATCATTAAGTGACGCTATCAAAAGACCCGCGTTCCAATCGCTTGAGCCCAATCTCCAGGTAGAAGAACCCTACAAACAACTCTATATACTGACTATGCAACTGACTGGAAAAAAGACGGCCATTCAAAACACTTTTTCGAGAGTGATGCAGACGACTTCAAGGTCGAACTCTAATGGAATATCTGCACTCACTGATAATGATGGTGATAAAACGATGCTAGATTCATTTGCGTCGACCCAGGGGCTAGCTATCCATCAGATAGCAGACGACGGGCAAGACGGCCACACACCCGAACGCCGCCGGACTGGGGCAGCGCAGGATAAGACTGATGATGGTGTCGACAAGCTTATGTCAAAGCTGATGGGCATATTACGTGCTGACAGTCCTACCAGCTTGGAGAACCTGAAGCTTGCTACCTCGTAAGTCCAACGTAGAATTCTGTATAGGTGGTTTGAGTGCTGAATATAGGGATCCTAGCAAGTCGTTCTCTGCACTTTCCGAGCAGGAAAAACGCGAGTTTCTTGATGATCTAAGCCACTTACCCTGCGCGATGGCCGGGAGCTCAAGCATGGCCTTGAAACACCAGTCACGGGGCGGACAACTCTGCCATGTCTGTGATGACGAACGCTATGATGAAGCCCAGAAAATTCCTCAGTGCTACGACAGTGAGACGTTGAGCCAAATTTTGGCGTTCATGGTCCCGAAAATCTCTCGTTCATCAACTCTCAGGGTAAGCACCATGATTGCTCTGAAGCGAATGTTGATGCACACCTCGTCATTAGCGCACCTGCAGCTATCAAATTCCGTCTTTGGCGACTTTCTCCTTAGCTCCCTGCGAAGCTCTGTGCGAGAACTTCGAGTCGTTGCTGGGTAGGTCTTTTCGTTGATTTTTGTTGTGTCCGAAAAACCTACTAATAAAATGGTAGTCAATCGACAGTCTGCTTTGTGCGCAAGAGCTTAGACCACGAAACCCGGCGGAGCAACTTCGTGGTACTGTTAGAATGGGTAAAAAGTCTATCAGAAAAGCAAGAAACGGCTCTACATGAGACTTGCATCATGAGCCTATGTCGACTGGCAAAGTATGTTATAGTTTCCGGGCTGTTAACCTAAGACTAACACTCTTTCTTGGACGCCAGGTTTTCTAATGATGAGGAGATGAACATAATCCTTCTTCGTCTTATAGAGTACCTAGGTCACACGAACCCATTCATCTGTGGAGTAGCGTACACTGAAGTATGTGATGATTCTAAAACTTCGGATTATCTCTAATACAGCTATAGATGTCAAAACTTGCACAGCAACGTTCTGTTACTCCAGCTGCCCTGTGTCGGCCATTCTGGAGAACTCTCTCGGTGATTGTGGCCAAAAATCTTCAGTCACGTCCTTACATGGCCGAGCAACTTTGTGACTTGCTCGGAATGCGAGTGGATGATTTTCTAAGGCTAACAGAGGTCTTCGTTCTTCCTCATCTCGTTCTCTCTCGCAAGCGGGATGTTATCGCCAGAATTGGAGGAACCTACAAAGAGGTCAAAACTCCATTTGACATATGCTCAGAGAAAGATAATCTCGCTGCAATATTGGCGTTTCTGTTATGTCAGCCTTCTTCGGAACCCCAGAAAATGATCATGTCGACGCTGTCTGCTGTCGATTCTGCATTTGACGGTCGTACCTTAGCCGAGTTGGTGAGGATTGAGCCTATCTTGATCGCCTGCGACCTTCTCAAGGGCCTCGGGGACATGGGCAAGGACAACGGCGCAAGAGTATGTGTGGGTCCTCGCATGCAGGCCGTATGCTAACAAAGATAGTTCCAACAAGCACTCGTCGTTCTGGCCTCCCTCGTGCCACGGAAATCTGCACATTCATCGAAGAAACCAAACTTGGTAGGTCACTTTATCGAGGAACATGTTCTTGGAATAATCACGCAGTTCGCGCACGCCATCAACGACTTTCAAATCAGGCAGCCTCTCGTTGAGAAAAAACGAAATATCATGGCCATTGGGGCGATGGTCAAGGTTGCTCCTGGGCATGTCAGTAGTGCTTTGCCTCAGGTGTGCACACGTTTTCTGAAAAAGAATGTCGCGATTAAGCTGACGATTATAGATATGTGCCTGTCTACGATCTGCCTTGGAGATTGAAGAGCTCTGTAATAATGCTTTCACGGTATGGGGAGTATTGGTAAGCTCTTTACACGAGGAAGAGGTCGAGCCGCTGCTCGATCAAACATTGTCCATTGTCATAAAGCATTGGGACACATTTACCCAGGAGACCAGAAAACTTGCTCACGAACTCGTCGAACACATTTTGGGGTCTCACAACGAACTGCTGCGGGATATATTTGGCACAATGCCATCGCTGGCATCGATCCCTGTCCTTGCCAAGTTTGAAGACAAAATCAACGAGATGAAGGAGACGATGGATGTTCGAAGTCACTTCCTTGCCTTTTCTCGACGGTGCTTGAGCGAAAACACGACTGTTGTCGAACAAGCCCTAACGGAGCTCGTTTCCTACCTCTCTAGACACGAGGAGTTCGTTCATAGATCTGTTCTCAGCGAGCAGCCTGATCCAGCTGTGGCACACTTGGTTCGGTCCCTGCTTGACTGTACTGTGAAATTCAACACCACCTCCGAGTCCATCACCCTTCTCACGGCTCGCTGCCTAGGTCATGTCGGTTGCTTAGATCCGAACCGAGTGGATTCGGTCAAAGAGAAGAAAGAGATCCTCGTCCTGTCAAACTTCGAGAAAATGGAGGAAACTTTTGAATTCGTGCTTTTCTTTCTCCAGAATGTGCTCGTCGATGCGTTCTTGTCTGCTTCCAACACTAGGGCTCAGGGGTTCCTTGCGTATGCAATGCAGAATCTACTGCGATTCTGCAGCCTGAACTCCGCAGTTACCCAGCGCTCTCGCGGTGTCCAATCCGATGAAAAATACCAGCGCTGGCTGGAATTGCCTGAGGCTGTGCGCAATACGCTAACACCTTTTTTGACATCAAAATACACAGTCACCGTCGGTGCGGTCAGCTCAAGTTGTAGCTATCCAATATTCTCGTCTGTGCTATCCCACGCTGATTGGCTACGAAACTTTGTCCAGGATTTGCTACAGAGTGGAAACGGAGACAACGCAAAGTCCGTATTCAGCGTCTGCAGTCGCATCATCAAGGGGCAGGATATTTCGATAGCTTCGTTTCTTCTTCCATTCGCTGTCTTGAACCGCGTGGTAGGGGGCACTCAGGGTGAGAAGGACAACTTGCAGTGTGAGCTCCTGAATATCCTTTCCTACCCGCTCCCGGAAACGAGCAATGAGGTATACGAAGCCATTCTTCTATGCAGCCAGGTAAAAGATCGTTCCGCCCCTTGTGGTGTCGAATATTCATATTTGTCCAGCTAACTCCCACTCTAGAGCGTATTTGAAGTTTTAGACTACCTTTCGAGATGGCTAAAGGGGAAGAAAAGGCAATTGACCAGCCTAAGAAATCACGCACGCCACGATAACAAGCATTCCAAGGAGAGTATTAGAGACCTCTTGGTCGACTCGTACTCATCCCAGATCAAGACAGTGGAGTCTCTTCTTAGCTCAATACCTCCCGAAGTGATATCCAAGCGAGCCGTGGAATGCAAGTCTTTCTCGAGGGCATTGTTTCATTGGGAACAATATATTCGTCAATATAGAAATCGTCCTCAGGCACAGCAAAGCACCAATCTTGAACCTCTCTACGAACGCCTGCAGAATATCTACAGTCAAATTGACGAACCAGACGGTATTGAGGGGATTTCAACACATCTACACGTGCTTGACATCGACCAACAAGTCCTCGAGCATCGGAAGGCCGGAAGATGGGCTACGGCGCAAAGCTGGTATGAGTTGCAGCTCGAGAAGGAGCCAGAAAATGTAGATGCCCAGTGGCATTTGTTTACTTGTTTGAAAGAATCGGGTCAACAAGGTAAGGTCCTGGATTTATGGCCTGACTAGACATTCTGCTTATTTTTGACAGATGCTATTCTCACTCGATTTGAGATCCTCAAAAACACAAACTCTGTCCCTAAATTTCTCCCTTTCGCGGTCGAGGCGTCTTGGATGACGGGCAAATGGGAGAAGATGCACAATTATCTTGAATTGTGCGCCCAGAAGAACACTGCGGACTTTAACATAGGTGTTGGCCTGGCTTTGGATGCCTTTCGTCGGGGCCAACGACAGCAATTTCGCGATATTATCGACGGCTTGCGGCTCAGTGTCTCCAAGTCCCTTACGACCAATTCCGTTACCTCTCTGCAATCTTGTCATGATAGCATACTTAAACTGCACGCTCTAACGGAAATAGAATCCGTCGCTTTGGCTGGGGCCGATGCATGCAAAAATCCCGAGGAACGCTCAAGCTTGCGGGAGTCTCTTGATCGTCGGTTAGATGTACTTGGAGGATACATATCCGACAAACAGTATCTGCTTGGTCTCAGAAGAGCCGCCATGGAGCTGACGTATGTAATCTTTAACAAAATGTCAGAAGGCCTATACTAACATTATCTTAGGGGAAATTTCGCAGATTCCGACATAGCTGCTGCTTGGTTGATGAGTGCCCGTTTGGCACGGAGAGGTAACTTTGGCAACCAGGCATATCAGTCAATGCTCAACGCCGCTCATCTCAAAGACCGATCTGCGACAATTGAACATGCCCGATTACTCTGGAAGGATGGCTACCATCGAAAAGCAATACAGATACTAGAGGGTGCAATTGCTGCCAATGAGTTCGCGTCAACTGCGCCCAGCTCGGGTAATCCAGCCTCACCAACGTTTATCTCAACTCACGAGAAACAACAAAACCTATTGGCTGCTAGGGTATACTCCCAAGCCGAAACCGTACGGTTTCTGTTGCAGATCCAGCTGACTTGTCTAGGCGCATCTACTGCTAGCGAAATGGACCGATCGAGCAGGACAGACTCAGTCTGACATTATCGTGCAAAGATATCGAGAGGCCATCAAACTCCAGGCTAGGTGAGAGTGAAGCGCCGAAATCGGATCCAGTTTGGAGACTAATATCAAGCAATAGATGGGAGAAGGCGCACTACTATCTCGGGAAGCACTACAACAAGATCTTGGACTCCGAGAAGTCGAAACCACTGGGCAAGGAAGCACAGATCTAGTAAGTCCTTCTATGAGCAGTCTCAATTGATACTAACAATTTTAGCTTGAGCGGCGAGGCATCTAAGCTTGTCATCGACAACTACCTTCGGTCATTAGCGCACGGAAACAAATACGTTTTCCAATCTTTACCCAAAGTGTTGACTTTGTGGTTGGAGCATGCCTCGGCAGTCGAACAGCCATTTGACCCTAAGAGAGGAGATAACGAGTAGGCAGCCCCCTAACCAATTTATTTTCCTGTTTGTGCTAACGGGCATCAAGAGAATTTCAAGCACATACCTTGAACCAACGGAAGAAGAGCCTTGATGACATGCATTCGCAGCTGAGGAAATATGTCAGTAGAATGCCGGCAGCTCTGGTGAGGTCCCGACTTCGCAGCATACCCCGGCGATACGTCTTGCTAATACAATGCAGCTTTTCACTATTCTACCGCAGGTTGTCGCGCGGATATGCCATCCCAATCCGACGGTTTACAACTTGTTGACGAAAATAGTGGCCAAGGCAGTGAACGCTTTCCCTCAGCAGGGACTATGGACGGTCCTTGCTGTGGTCAAGTCCTCATCCAAAGACCGGGCCTCGAGGGGTTTCACCTGCCTTCAGAAAATCACAGTAGGCCCTATGTGTCCACTCGACTCCGTGTGCGGTCACCAGCTAGCTAACATGGCAACAGGATATGAGCAAAAAATTAAAGACCGAAATCGCCCATGACATCCGTGGGATGATCAACCAAGGCCAGAAGTTTTCGGACGAGCTGCTGAGGCTATGTGTGGCAAAGATTGAGAACAAGGTTTCCCGGATTCACCTAGCTCGAAACCTCAACTTCAATCACAAAGTAGCACCCTGCCGTCTTGTTGTTCCATTCCAAGCAATGCTTACGCCGACTTTGCCCGCTAGCCATGATTCTGAATACCTCAAAGGCTTCAGGGCTTTCCCTCGAGATACTACGACCATTGAAGGTAATGTTTCTCTGCCAATACATTGCTTGTCTTGTGAGGATGTTCAACCTGACGAATGTTAGCGATCCTTGACGATGCGCAAATCCTGAACTCGCTTCAGAAACCCCGAAAGATTAGCATCCGAGGGTCCGATGGCAAGATCTACAACATCCTTTGCAAGCCAAAAGATGACTTGCGCAAGGACCAGCGGCTCATGGAGTTCAATAACATGATCAACAGATTTCTAAAGAAGGACGTGGAGTCTAGCAAGCGGAGATTGTGTAAGTGTTAATAACTCCGCATGTGTGCGTGGTTGCTAAGAAATCAAAGATATCAAAACATATGCGGTCACCCCATTGAATGAAGAGTGTGGACTTATCGAGTGGGTGGACAATCTTAGGACATTACGTGAACTTGTCACCAAGTCGCTAAAGGAGAGAGGGATATCGCCCAACGTGAGCTAAACCAATCATGCATAAATAACCCTCGCGTTGTAAAAAGCTGACTACCCAGTACGAGGAAATACGCAAATATCTCACGGACGCCTGTTCGGATCCATCCAAGGTCTCAATCTTCACAGACAATTTGTTGGTAATGTGAGTATTATGGCGCATTCCTATCGGTCTTTTAGCACTAATCGTGTTTGAGGTTCCCTCCTGTCCTTCACGAATGGTTTGTAGAAATGTTCCCCGAGACAGGCGCATGGTTCGCGGCGAGGCTTCGGTATACTCGGTCGTGTGCTGTCATGTCAATGGTAGGATACGTATTGGGGTATGGCTGAACCACAATCCGCGCGCGATACATTCCTAATCATTCATTCCAACAGGCTGGGTGACCGGCACGGTGAAAATATACTCTTCGAGGAGGGCACGGGTGGTATTCTACATGTCGATTTCAACTGCCTGTTCGACAAAGTAAGTGATGCGCGGCTAATAACGTTTCAAGAATGAATGCTAACCTTTCTCCAACTAGGGCTTGACGTTCGAGAAGCCCGAGTTAGTGCCATTCCGGCTCACCCAAAATATGGTCGATGCCTTTGGCGCATACGGATATAATGGTCTGTCATGATCAACCCAGAATGAATATCATCGAAATCTAATCAAGCTTCTAGGACCATTTCGAAAAACGTGTGAATTAAGCCTAGATCTCCTGAGGCAGAATGAAGATGCACTGATGACAATCCTGGAGACATTCTTGCATGACCCGACGACTGACTTCATCGGCAAAAAGGTATTTACTTGCATCTCCACAATAAATGCAGCGATTTTGTGCTAATAATACATGGCTAAAGCGTCGAGTTCACGCAAGTGTTCCCGACACACCAGCTGGGGTTCTGGAAAACACCCGCAACAAACTCCGCGGCCTTCTCCCTGGGGAATCGGTCCCACTATCTGTGGATGGTCACGTCGACGAGCTCATCATCCAGGCAACTGATATTCGAAACCTCGCGGCGATGTACATTGGCTGGTGCGCTTTCTTTTAGTGAAAGCGAAGGCCCGAATCGCTATAAGACAAAAACTCTTTTTTAAAACTCCGGCACAGTGTATGATAAACTTCGTGAAACCGGGAGCGCCACGCTCAGTCTGACGTCTTCAGATGAAAACTGAGACATGTCAATGATTGAAATGAAAAGAGAATTTGAGAAACTTCTCCGCCGCATCTACCTCCTTGGGGGGCCACGTTGATTGCGGCCCCTATCACGGCTGTAGCCTCGGCTTCTACTGCGACTGCTGTAATCGTAGCTGCTATAGCTAGGACTACGGCGCCTACCCCGCCGGCCGTTATCATCGTGCGGGCGGCCCCTTCTCCTGGGCGGAGTTGCTGAGGGAGATCGTGAAGACAGCGACCGAGATCGGGAGCGCGAGAGTGATCGGGGCCGATATACGTCATGCCTTTCCATGGGCCGAGAACGGCCATATCTCCTTGGAGGAGACGGGCTTCGTTGTGAGTACGGCGAATGGCGGGACGAACGAGTGTCCGCGGGATGTCCGCGGGGATTCCTTTGGCGCCCATAGTTCCCTCTTGTATCCGAAACTGGTGGGGGCGAGCGGGAGAACGCTCTTTTCGGGAGTACGATAGACACATTCAATACTGCCCCATCAAGCTGGGCTTCATGCATGTGCGCGATTGCCGCTTCAGCATCTGCAGGGTCGTGATAGAGTATATATGCCGTACCTCTGTTCGTCATAACTACACAGGGACCGTGTTAGCTGGGTCCAAGAATGAAGAGACCAATAGAGTCGTACAGGTTGTATTTAGCGGAAGATCAAGGCTCTGTATGTCCCCAAAGCTCCCAAATATCTCAAACAGGTGCGATTCAGTAACATTCTTGGTCAATTTCTCAACCACAATCTAGCAATCACCGATGTCAGCTCAAATGTCTCAAAAGTTAACTGCAGGAGACTCCTGGCAAGTGTTCTCGAACCTTGGAACTTCTTTGGCTATATGTAGGGGGACTTTGACTTCGACTATAGCTCCTACCCCTATAAGACCTGGGTGTTGGGCTGCGAGTCCAACTTCGACTCCGGCCGCGACTCCGACTGACGGATCGTGATCGAGACCTGGAGCGGCTGACTGATTGACGTCCATTTCGGCGGCCAGCGTCGCTCTCCAATCGGGGGCTTCGGGAGGCCCTTTTGTACCTTGATTCTGATCGCACGGATACGGAGCGCCGAGGGGAACGATCACGGGGCGACTGCCTAACCATGGCGCTCGAAACGGGGTGTGTCCTTATAGTCGAGGTTTTTGGTTGATCACCGCGGTGTTGCTAGTGATTGAGGCGCGGCGCAACTTGATGAGGGTGGAATAGAACGACCTTTTATGTGGCGTATCAAGATGGTCTGCGCGCTGTTTGACTTATAAGGTTTCAGGTTGCAAAGAAATGAAAGCAAGATTTTGGATCAGAAGCAACCAGGGAGATTTCTAAGAGCCTAGAATGGGAGCTCTGCCGGCCCCTTGACTTTGCTAGCCTTTTCAGGTTAGTCGAGTTTTCTTCCCACTCTGGGGTACAGAAGCCTCTAATCTTCCAATAAGACGAGTAGTCATGCGCTGGAAAGCCACAAACCACTCCGTATGTATTCAAGGTCGTACTTGCTGCGTACATGTTATAGTCTAAATCTGTCTATAGTGCGCATTACCCTAAAATCTTCAATATAACGCGTGGATCTATATATAACACTGATGCCGCCCGCATTCACTTAATATCCACGGAGTCTCGCCATTGCTCGTACTCTCGAACCATATTCTCGTCCACCTGTTTCCTAACCTGGTCGAGAGCATACTCAAAGTGTCTCCAGCAGACATTTTGCTCCTGACCGGTCTCGTCCTCCTCATCCAGCGCGGCGTCACCTGCCGTCTGGCAAATGCTAACGATTTCTGCCCCAGTGTAGCCTTCAGTTCTCAAAGCCAGGTCATCGAGCGCTACTTCTGGATCAACCACTGACTTACTGAACCAAATGTGAAGAATCTCTGCCCGAGCTTCGAAATCAGGAGGTCCAATATAAAGGATGTTATCCAGACGTCCCGGACGCATCAACGCTGGGTCGAGGACATCGGGCTTATTCGTCGCCGCAACAACCAAGACACCCCTGAGCTCCTCAATGCCATCCATCTCGTTCAATAGAGTTGTGAGCACATTGACACCTCCTTGAGAAGAGTTTCCACGCTTTGCCGCAATAGCATCGATTTCGTCAAAGAATATGATGCTTGGCCTAGCTGATCGTGCTTTTCTGAAGATCTCACGCAAGGATCTTTCCGATTCGCCAACATACATACTCAGAATCTCCGCGCCTTTGACGGCCATGAAGTTCAAGCCCGCTTCCGTAGCCAGAGCCTTGACGGTTAGTGTTTTGGAACAACCCGGCGGTCCGTAAAGGAGAATGCCCTTCTTGCTCTTCACATTGAGCCTATCCATCCGTTCAGGGAACTGAAATCGTCAGCATACTGCGTGTCTGAATATCAACACCAAGAATATACCTTTAAGGGCCGTTCAACGGCCTTCTGTAGCCGCCTTTTGATTTCATGCTGACCACCAATATCTGTCCATCTGACCGTCGGCGTTTCTAAGAATACTTCTCTCATTGCAGTTGGCCGGGTCTCCTGTAGTGCTGATAGGACATCACTCTCCTCAATCTTCAACTCGACGATCGACTCTTTGGATGATTGCTGGTCTCGTGGTTCATCGAGCGTTCTTTCACGTTCAAGGTTTAAGTCTCTGAAGCCGGAACTGTTAATCTGCCGCCGTCGAGCTTTGCGGCACACGAGCTGTAGCAAAGCAAACAAATCAGCTCCCACATAACCATGGGTCTTTTCCGCTAAGAGTTCAATGAGCTTTTCGTCGAGTGCCACAGATGGGCCTCCGCATATAGCATGCAAGATTTCAGCACGATCACGCGCCGTAGGTATTTGCAACTCGATCTCGTCGGCAAACCGGTGAGGAGTTCGTAGAACATCATCGACATCATTCGGATGCCGAGTAGCCCCGACCACGAGGACCCGGGCGGCGCGCACCATATCCATGCACTCGCATAACGTGGGCGCGAGAGGGTGCGAATCTGCTGAAGCTTTTTTCGGTGCGATGAATTCCAATTGGTCAATAATCACAACGCTAGGCTGGTATCGAATAGCTTCTTGGAATATATTGCGCAACTTAGTCTCTCCATCCCCAACACCCTTGCTAAATGCCGAAGAGCCGATATCGAATGTTCTTCGCCATGCTGCCGCCCGGATCTGGCCAAGAAGGGCAGATTTACCTGTTCCCTTCGGACCATACAGAAGAATCCCCCTGCTGTGCTCGTAGAAGGTAGGCATGGTGAGTATGTCTGTATCAGGATGAAAGTCCGCAAGGGTCTCGTTGATGGCCTGGATCTGGCGGCTCATCCCTCCGAGACCGATCGAGAGGACCTCAAGCCGAGAGCTTAGGCTTTCGTCGACATCGCCCTGGGCCTCGTCTATCAAGACCTTCGAGTTTACTCCGAACCGAAATAGAGTGCTGCCATTGTTTTGGTCCACCGGTCGAATGTTCGCGATCCTAAAGCTCCTTTTCTGGCCCCTGACCTCCAAGTCAAAAGTCAATCCCACAGCTAGGGCCTCGCACTTTGAAAGCGGAAACTCCAGAGACCAAGCCCAGTGGTGTCTGTCTTGTATTGGGATCGGACCGTATCGTTCAATTCTGTCAGAGTCGGAGCAGTCGGTCAAGGAAATAGATCCAATTTCCTGCAGAGCCTCGTCCACCCTGACAAGGGAAATCTGATCACCGAGTTTGATTCCATAACAATCTTGGAGAGTCCTTGATGTTTGTACAATTGACTTCCCTATGCTCTCAGGCGAATTCCAGGCTATAGCGTCCTTCGAACCTCCGCCGGGAAGTAATATACGACAGACATCGCCAGCTTTAAGTTTGAGAATGGCCAACGAGGTCGACGAGAGGTATACTCGAAAGGCATCTCGGTGGTCGTTTCTTACTTGCTTCGAAAGTGGCCGCACGGCGAAATCGCGATTTTCCGGCATGTTGTAAATGAGCACGCAAGACCAAGGAAAGAAGGAGAGGGGGATTTTGGTTTTGAGTAAATGAGAGCAAGGTGGTATATTTCTCTTTCAGTCACTGTATCCATGCATTTAGAATGTTGTTGAGCTATGAACATCGGCGTGTCCTAGAGAGAGAAAAAAGTCCTGTTTCGAAAACTTTTTCTATGCTTCAAAGTACATACATCGGCGGAAAGGAAGGTTGTGCACAGGAGCTACTTCTAAGAATCTGAATGTAAGCTAGTCAATGGGTATATTCTAAAGAAACTGTCAAATTCTTACCTATTCTTCGCAGTCTTTCGTTCTACTTTCGTCTCCCCTGTCCCTTCGCTCTCTTTTTTTTTTTATTCTGGAAGAGGGGAACAATCATCCTTGGGTGGGAGTGCTTATCGATAAATGGACTAGGCCCACCCAGGCATAATGCAACGGAGTTTGGGAGCCTACCTGAAGATATCAGACCCACATAAGCCAATTTCACAGTATGTAAATACGGAGTACTACTCCAGACAGGAGTATGTAGTCAAAACCTCGCAGCCTAGTACTAAGTACGCAGAAGCCCTGTCAATGCATTCCTTGAGGATTAGCGAGCCTTTTATCTCTTTCTCTGAAAGATCAACTTGGTCGACTTTTTTTCGGCAATTTTGCACCGCAAAGGCCAAAAAAGCTTTGGATGGAGAGGTGGAAGAACGAAAAGGCGAGGACAGGGTGCTAAATCCACTATATTGCCAGGGTTCGAGTTGGGAGTCACTTACGGAAGGTCCTCTATGTTACTTTTCGGAAATGGACACTACTACGAGAGTGGGGCGCAATCTCTCGTTGACAGGGAGCTCTCTGCCATATTGGCTTGCGGAGAGCGTGAGGGATCTTAACGAACAGGACAGAGTCATAGGTTTGAAAAGTAGTCGCATTAGAACTAGAACTTGGAACGCCGCCTTGAAATGTCGAAATAGCAAACGAAATTGGTAGCCCTGGAACAATTATAGACATACAGATATAAAAGGTCAAATGGTTGAAAAAGTGAGGGCACAGCTTAGAATCTGACGCACAGCAAGAGGCACCATCGTTGATAGGACCAACAAGTCCCGGCAAATCACCTAAGATGGCGGCCGAGGGGGAAGGGCAAATGATAACAAGGAAACCTATTCAACAGCACTTTCCTCCAGTATTGCCGCCCATCCCCGAACCTTGGTTGTCTATGCTGACCCCTTGTGAGCCAGTCTGTTCGGATTTTGAGGAATCCATTCCCTTCTTGATGTCGGAAGCAAGGTTGTAGAAGGCTTTCTCGATGTTGATATTATTTTTTGCCGAGACTTCGAGGAATGGTATCCCAAGTTCATCCGCAAGCTGCTGGCCTTGCTCGGTTGTAACCGCCCTCTTCTCTTCCCAGTCACATTTATTTCCAATGAGAATCTTGTGCACACCCTCACTCGCATGTTGCTCAACGTTCGAGAACCAGGTTCGAATGTCTGTAAAGCCAAATATCAGAAGCCGTCGTAACAACAGTATTGGGGTCTTACTCTGGAATGAGCGCTCATCTGTCACATCATAGACAAGGAGGATGCCCATCGCTCCCCTGTAATAAGCTGTCGTGATCGTTCTAAAACGTTCCTGTCCGGCGGTATCCCATATCTGGAGCTTCACCCGCTTCCCGTCAAGTTCAATGGTGCGAATTTTGAAGTCGATGCCAATGGTAGTAATGAAAGACGGCGTAAATGAGTCTTCGCTGAAGCGCAAAAGGCAGCACGATTTCCCAACCCCGGAATCACCAATCAACAACAGCTTGATCTGAAGCAGAACAGTCTGAGCCAAGTGACATAGATTTCGATCGGGTAACACTTACCAAGAAGTCGTAGTTTCTGGTACCAGCCATTGTGGGATGAATTTCTTGAGTGGACTGTACAGAAGTCGGGAAGAGAAAGTAGGTGTGAAAGTACTAGGAAATCCTAAGAGATTGCTGACGAGTGCCGCGGACTGCAACGGTGAAACTGCTTCCCCTCCTTTCCCACGTGGCCGTTTTCGGCTCCTTTGTTTATCTTTCGTTTCGCTGTTTATTCCACGGGCGGCTCCCACACATATGGAAAGGTGCAGCAAGAAGCGATGTAGCTGGGGGGCGTTCGTGAGATAGCAAGGGTGGCCAGGGGACGGAAAGATGTTGGCGTCGTGTCGCTGTGCGGAAAATAAGCAAGTTTTATCGCAGGGGTTGCAGACAGCCGGATAGACAGAGGAGATTATTCGTTAAAATGAGATGGATCTATCGTGTGAAAATGACAGAAAGTCTTGGATGGATTGTCCGCGAAAGTAGCACCTGGTGGATGACTTGAGAAAGCTAGGGATGGCACTGATAATGCGTAATCTGTGGTAGTACGAGGACTAGATGGGGTATAGTTTCCGTCACAGGCAAGGTCGAAACAAAACCCCCTCCACCCCACAACATGATGGCTACCTAGTATGGGGTAGAGTACACATCGTCTTCTAACCTACTATTCATTCTTCACATTATTCCCGAAGACGCGCAGGGGCGATAGCAGATCATTAACATGATTTTGCACGGTCAGGGCATCTTCTCGTACAGGCTTAGCTGGTTCGCGCCGATCGATCGGATGACCGAGTCGATTCGACTTAATATACTCAGAAATCTATCTATTCAAGTCTAGAGGTTATTATAGAAAGTATGAGGCTTATGGATGTACGCCAAGGTCGGAGGTTGTTAAGGCACAACAGGCCTTCTGTCACTGTGTCCATTTCGAGAAGGTCCACAACATTCTCTCGACTACTTGGAGCTGCTTGTCGGCTCGGTTCTCGTCAACCAGATCGGCAATGTCCTCCTGGAATGCGCGAAGATCTGCTCCTTTCAACATAGTTTGGGCTTTCGTCAGAAGGATCTCGGCGTTGCATATCAGGAGACCGCGGCTTTTGTAGGGAAGGCGTCCGTCCACGGCTGGATTCGAGGAGGACAGTATGCGATGAATGTTCCTGATACATGTTTAGTCGACGTCCACAACCATGCAGAGGCACCTACCGCAAGGCATATCGTAAATCATCTTGTCGTCTACCCATTCGGAAGCCTCTCCTACTACCGAGAACGCCAAAAAACCAGCGTATTGAAGCGTAAGATATGAGGATCCCAGGAGTCAATCCGACAAATCTGCGCCACGTTAGCTGGTTACTGACACGCTGAAAAGAAAGCAGAATCATACCCAAAAACAAGCTCCTGGCTCTTGAGTAGTGCATCGATACCACTCATCGCTATTTCGACGTCTACTTTGGTCTTCTGAATCTGAATCAAAAGAGCACGCACCAAATCGCCCCGAACCGTGCCTATAAACGGACTGCGCAAGTCTTTCTCGTATGCCCTCAGAACTGGTGTCAAGTCTCCCTCTCTTACTTTATGCGCGATCAAATCAGCGGCGGAAGGGTGACCCTGCTCGCCACGGTCGAGGACAAAGTCAACCACCATTCTCTCCAGGCTCGCTCGGTCAGCCTCCAGGCTGTTCTTGCTCATCAATGCAATTTCGCTCTTCTCATCGTGACGGATAGTTCGAACAAGTTTCCACATTGGATCAATAACCCAGTTCCTCCAGAAATCGATAGTGGTAGCCCCAAGATTCGAGATCCAATCAATCAAAATGGGCCCCAGGTCCTTCATAATCTTCAGGGAGGTGGTAGCCGACACCAGGGCGAGGGAGAATGGGAGCCAATAACGGACTACGGGTGATGGGCGCCCAAATTCAGAAACACCCTTGTCCGTGATCTGCTGGAATCTAGGAATGAGGTCCTTTAAGACGTGAATAAGCTCCTCGAGGACGTCCTGGGGATGTTCGAGACCTTCAACTGGAGGACTGTATTTTCCGTCAAAGAAAACTGGGTTGTCCGTTGTGGTGGAGGAACTTGTGAACCATTTATCCTCATCTCCGCCAAACTGAAGAAGCGATTTCATTAGACCGACTCTGGATCGTACAAGGTAGGATATATCATTGCTGGATACTTCGGGGCTGTCCGTCTCATATGATAAGCACTGTTCAATAAGAAGTCCGACAACACTGGCATTGAAGTCCCTCATCGCTTTGAGCTTTCTTTTCTTCCGTTGGATCTCCAGTTTTGGTCGTCTCAAAGAGGAATGTAATCCAATGCGGATTGAACTCAGTCCTGGGGAAGTACATCGTTGCACGGAGTTGTAAAAGCTCGACCACAATGGCTGGTTAGATCTCTGCGCAGTCGGCAAATCACGGCTTGACGACACGAGGTTATCGCCCTTGTCGGGTTGACTGAGCTCCGTATATTTTTGCCATGCCTTGAGCGGAGAGGTCTGCAGGGCGTAAAGACCAATACACCAGTCAAACTGCTGAACGTCTTCCCAGTACCGAATCTCTTGGTTAAGCAAGAGTACATTGTTAGAGAAAATTTTCAAGACGGTGGCAAGCGTCTGCGTAGACGCTTTCGCGCTTACTAGCCAAGCGACATCATTGAGCCGTAGCGTGATGCCGTCCAACTGCGAGGTGGAGAAATCGGCAGGCTTGGAAATCTCATTGCTAGACTGTGCTATAACGTCCGCGAGTTTGCCATGGTGAAGAATATTCTGGCTCTTAGAGCTGAAGGAGAGCTGGGCGATAATATTCTCGAGGATCAGGAGTTGTTTAGCGTGAGGCTCCGTCGAATCAGCGTGTCTGAGCTCTCCCTCGATGCGTTCGGATATGCGCTGATGAAGTTCCCCTAACTGCGTCTCAAGACGGTAAAGTTTGCTATTAACGCCCGTCAAGTCAATCGCTGACAAGCTGGCCAAAAGTTGGTCTATTCTTTGAATGGCTGAACTTACCTTTTCAAGGCTGACATTGTTTGTCCCTTCTATAGGGAATTTGCCAGGTTCCTTGGGATGTTGAGGTTTGCTTCTCAAGGACGTCTGTGTTATGGCGTCATCACTCCCAGTAGACTGGACTACCACAGTTAGCAGAACAAGGATTATGCAGCTCACTATCACGATTACATCACAATTTGCTCCTCGGCTTCTTTGAACTTCCAGGTGACTCTACTCCGTACCGCATTGATAAAACCTGCGCTGAGTTATATCCGAGCAACAACCATCAGCTACTATGTTTAACAACCTTAACGTTCAGCGCTAAGATGTCGCGAGCTCTGCAGCTTCTAAATGCCGCTGCTTCATGAAATTCAAGGATTTATACGAGCAACAGTCTACTAATACAATTTCAATAGACCAAAGACCATAATTCCGGGGTATGATCGTATCGATTCGAGGTAGGCTTTTTTTCAAACAGCGCTCTCACATGTGTGTCGATGTTATAGGATTCTCGATTATTGGTATATTAATATACCTAGGGTAGCGGGGTAGTACAGTCGCCTTCCGCGACCGGTTTTGTACCCAGAAATTTCTGATTTATGAAGAATGCAGTCGGAGATAAACTCAAGCTTCAACTGGCATGGCTAGCACAAGAATCTGGTGGAGATCCTTTCCAAAAGGATGTAAGGCAAAAAAGGAGCAGCCTGAGTGGTCCGTTCTCATAGTAACCGATGCGGTACTGGAACTACCACGTAAAGAATGTACTGGGCTCGGCCACATGCACGACTACGAGTAGTACGATTGAGCATTGATATCGCATCGAACGTGTTTTTTCAGTGCCCCAAAGATTAATGGCTCGTATAATCCTGCCCCCTCTCCCCCCGGGCCACAGTCTCGGCCCGCCTTCAGGTGTGCAGGACAGGGGTGCGTATGTACAACAAGGACAGGCGCCCAGCCTCCCAAATCCGCGGCGGCAGTCCTGTTCCCAACAGGATGAATTAATTTGACGCCAAGTGGGCCATGGTTATCGGCCCTGATCGGCTCGGCGGTGGTGCCAGACTCAAGAGGCAAGGCTCAAGGGGGAATTGGTCAATGGCGGGTGCCTGGGCTGTGGTCGCGCCACTCGGAACACAGCTCCCAAAAATCACGCGGTTGACCCTGTCGCTAAATAATTTCTGGAGCTTCGATTTTTGGTCCTTCTCCCCCTTTCTTTACCCCGTGAACACCACAACTCGTCTCAACTCAAGGGTACAATTTCAGTACAACAACTACCCTTGAGTGCAGTTCCACCCAATAATTTCTTTCCACCAGAGCAAGAAGGCGCAGATTACGATCATGAGTTTCATGTAAGTGCAGGGCTTCTCCTCGCAAGCACTTCGGATTCCGGATGCTAATTGGCATCAGGAATTCAACATTTCCGTCTACGTCCCCAGAGACATACTGGGGGCATTTCGAAGAAATTTCCGGGTACAACACACAACTCAACGTCGCTGAGCGTCTTTGGGCCGCGTGGTATGCCTGGATGCAGAATGATGTCCTTGCAACTGGCATTATGTCCTTCGTCATGCACGAACTCATCTACTTTGGTCGCTCTCTACCCTGGATTCTTATTGATACGTTTGGCTTCTTCAACAACTACAAGATACAAAGTGTAAGCCTCCGGTTTCTATCAATCGTGATCTCTTCACCCGCTTATTCGATTAGAGCAAAATCCCGTCCTTGCGAGAACAATGGGACTGCGCGAAATTCGTTCTTTTGAGCCATTTCACCGTGGAATTACCTCAGATTTGGTCAGTCTCCGTTCCCAAAAGCCCAGACAAGTGTGATATTTCTAACGTGGCTGTTCTTGTCTAAAGGCTATTCCACCCAATGGCCCAGTTCTTCGGTCTCTCGACATCAGTTCCCTTCCCGACTATCTGGACTATGGCCTATCAAATTGCCATCTTCTTCGTCATGGAAGACACCTGGCACTATTTCTCTCATCGCGCTCTCCACTGGGGTCCGCTCTACAAGGCTATACATAAGATTCATCATCAGTATTCTGCTCCATTCGGTCTGGCCGCCGAATATGCCTCTCCTATTGAGGTTATGATTCTTGGATTCGGTACCGTCGGTTGTCCAATTCTATGGTGCGCAGCAACCGGAGATCTTCACATTTTCACCATGTACGTTTGGATCGTCCTTCGATTGTTCCAGGCGATTGATGCGCACAGTGGGTATGAGTTTCCGTGGAGTTTACACCACTTCCTTCCATTCTGGGCTGGTGCCGACCACCATGATCTTCACCACGAGAAATTCGTTGGCAATTACTCCAGCAGCTTCAGATGGTGGGATTATCTTCTGGATACAGAATACAGCCCGGAGGCACTCAAGCGGAGAAGGGAACTCAAGGCAAATGGTGTTGGCAAGAAAGTACAATGATAGACTTGATGCCTACTCTGTCATGTCGATAGGGTCTGATTTTGCATGGCTACGTTGATGACGGTATTGATATAAACTTCCTGGTGTTGTAACAAGTTCTGACTCGTTCACATGCCAACCTAATGGAGTATTTCTTCTATCCCTAATTTTCGATGTATATTACTTGCTTTGTTACTTGAATATAATATATCATTTTTCTCTTTATTATAATTACTAGAAGTTTAGGGTTAGCTGCCTAGCTTGTAAGCGGCGAGGTCGGATCGGTGGCGGTTGCCAGTTGGTCTTCACCCGCGGCGAAGCCCTAGCAAGTAACGAGATGTCGAGCTACGTAGGATATATGAAAGAGGAAGGAGAAGCTATATACTAATTGATTTATAAATAAATTACTAGGGGTTAGGAAGACTAGTAATTTCTTATGGGTCTTTTATGTAAGAGCCTCGCGAATGTACTTAACTAGACGTTACAACCCATGGTCCTTAGTCAGCCCGTGGGCTGACTAAGCCCACAGAGGACTTCCTCTACTATAAAGGTTTAATTTAAACCCTTAGTATTAATCTACTATTAGATTCTTATTCTTAAAATTAAGCTATTATAATAAGCTATTTTTTATTACTATCTTTTATACTACTTACTAACCTTAGAAAGGCTAAGGACCTTTATAATTTTAATACTTATTACTATAAATAGTTTATTAAGAGTAATAATAGTTAATATATAAGTGTCAGAGAACGCGGGCATTGTCAGCCAATGGATCCGTTGTGCCGCAGCCTAGCGCCGTGATAACTATGGAAGAATAATGCGCTGGAACCAATCATAGTCGAGCTACGATGCTAGGCTGGATTAGGGTTATGGTCGTAGGTAGACTATGAGGAGTATAGGCTGACTATAATGGAACATGCTTAGGACATGACTAGATCATAGCCATGCTACTGTCAGATAAGTCCAACCGATCCTGCTTAAGGCCTGGAAGGGCTTAAGGTATTCTTATATTAATGTGAGAAGACTGCTTCTTTATAAATAAAAAAGATAAACTGGGTTTTCTAAAAGGTAGGGTAGCTTTAATTCTAAAAGTAATAAATAGTAGCTAAAACTAATTATATACATGAATAAGTGTTCCTAAATACTATTCTTTAATATAGCTAATATATTATTCTAGCTATATCTACTATGTAGGTAGATATATTAAATATATTACTTTACTATATTATGATTATTATATAACTCTTAGTATATATTAATACCTCTATATTACTATATTACTTAGATTAATCTTATTCTATCCTATTAATATAATAGCATATTAACTATAATCTTATAAGGTAAATTTATTAGCTAATAATATTTTATATCTTAGTATAGCTCTTTAATAATCCCTCTCTTTTAAGGTCTTTATTCTAAAGATATAAGTAGCATAGTATCCTTAAGTAAGATTCTATTATTTAATTCCTTTATTCTTCTTAATATAGTTTAGTTTACTAATATTCCTATAATATCTATAGAGTCTATACTCTATTCCTAATCCCTTAAGTATTATATTAAGGAAAGTAGTTTTAATATAGTAACTCCATGCCTTTATTATTCCTAATCTAATAAGCCTTGTATTTATATTAAAGGTTCTTCTTATTATAAAGTATATATTATAGTAGTTTAGAAGTATATTATACCTAAGCTAATATTTTTAGATAAGTAGTACTAGTTAGTAGAAGCTTAAAATAAAATTTAATTAAAAGAGTAAGAGAAATAAGAAAAGCTATCTTATTTAATATAATAGATTACTAAAGTAAATACTTAAATAGATTACCTTTAAAAATAAGATAATCTCCTTTATAAGCATGCTAGTAACTTTATTATATATAATATAAAAGAAATTAAAGAGCTTAAGAAGCTTAAGAAGAAGGAGTAGTATCAGAAGATAGATGCCTAAGGCATATATATTAATGCCTAAATTATTAGGTATCTATATTCACATGAAAACAAGGAAAGGTCTCGATTGATCTTCTTATAAATATGGAAGATCTGGACTGATCTCCTTATAAATTAATAAGAATTCTATAATTCTATAGAATTCTACTAATACATACTAAAAGTATAAAAGCAAGTGATTCTTTCATGTATCTAGTTGGAAACCAGAGATCCTAAAATATCAAAAATCAAAGTCCATATTCAGTGGCAAAACCCACCTTTATTATATATACTATTAAAACCGCCACCCTATACCTAATTAGGTATAGTTAAGGCTAGGTATATATAATACATATTTCTTTATATGACCTCCACCTTCCGACAAGTAGAAATAAAAGAAAATTTTAAAAGTAGAAAAGAGTTAGTTATTATATTAAATAGTAAAAGTTCTTTATAGGTAGCCTTTAATATAAAAGCTACTAAGGTCTTTATATTACCTCCTTTATTAAATCCTTTCTTTAACTATCTCTATACTAAAATTCCTAAATCTTAATAGAGTAGTTTAAATATCTAATAAGTTCCTATAAATTATTCTTAAGTAAATAACCCTTTTATCTAATAAGGTATTAAATCTAACTCTTTATAATATATTAGTCTAGGATCTTTTTAACTTTAAACTCCTTATTAATATTAGTTACTTTATCTTTAGTATTTTCTAGATTTAGTATTAGTTTAAGTAATAAAATATAAAATACTAGGTAAACTTATATTCTTATTAGTAGTATTAAGTAATAATTATTATTTATAAGTTTCTTTTTAATTCTAAATAGTCTATATTTTATAGTATTAAGTTTATTACTTAGTTATTTACTTATAATATTAAAATCTTTCCTTCTAATTATTTATTATAAGAGGTAAACTCTCTCTTTCTTTATTTAAGGCATATCCCTATACTTTAAATTATAATAGTATTTTATTTTTTCTTTAGCTAACCTAATATCTTTTATAATTATATAATATACTTAAGTACTAAAATCTATATTAGTACTACTAGTAATCTTCTATCTAGTAGTAAAATTATCTATAATATCCTTAGATTTCTTCCTAAATTTATAAAGTAACATGTATAATTTATAGTTATATTTCTTATATTATTAATTATAAACTATACTATTAGTAGAAGTTTAACCTAATTATTCTAGTTCTAGTTAAGGTAGTATTATAGGTATTATTTAACTAACTAAATTATCCTTTCTAATTATCTATTAGTTTATTAGTAGTATATAGTAGATATATCTTAGCTTATTCTACTAGTATCTATAATTATTTTCTAAAACTTTAATATAAATAACTTATCTCTATTAGATATAAAGTATTATAGTAGTCTAGTCTAAATAAATACTTCTTATAATATTAGTAATACTAGCTACTTAGTAGTAAGGTTTACTAGTATTAGTCTAATAATTATATATTTTTATTATTTTATATATAATAATAATAGTGGTTATATAGGTAATTCTAGTAATTAGATCTTATAATAGTAGTAATCCTATAATAAAATTAATAGTAATACTTTGCTATAGTTTTATTAGTATCTTAGGTATCCTTATCTTCCTAAATAGTTAATATTAAGATAGCTTATTCCTATTATACTTATTATATTATATAATATAGTTCTAAACCTATTAGTATATTTATAAAAAGTAGTATACTTATTAGATTTTCTCTATTATTTTATTAATTCTCTAGTATCCCTTAGTTAGTAGGTTATAATATACTTTAATTACTTCTTCTATTATTAAATCTAGTACTATAATTAATCTATTTTAAAGTAAAATCCTATTACTTTCTTCTTTATATATAGTTTTAAAGTTCTATTTCTAAAGATATTTATTATTCTATTATTCCTTCTTAAGTTATACTAGGAATTTATAATTATTAATTATATAAGTAGCTATAAGCTTAGCTTTTTAGTTAAATCTAAGAACTTCCCTATTCTTATAGAGTAGGTTTATTTCTAGATTTTTAACTTTAACTATATAATCTAGTCTTTAGCTTAGTATATTAGTAGTAATATTCTTTTTCCTATTAATATACTTAATTCTAAATTAGTATTATAAAAGTTCCTAAGCTTATTTAATTTATTATTTCTTAAGTTCCTTTATTATTATAAAGTATATTAAATTCTTATAGTTAGTCTAAATAATAACTTTATACTTTACTTTTTTAAAGTAGTACTTCTACTTCTTAAAATCTTCTATAATTACTAAGGCTTCTTAGTTATAAGTATTATACCTTTATTTAGTATTAGTTATCTATTAAGAGTAGAAAGCTATAGATTATAATTTCCTATCTTCTTCTTTCTACTTAAGGACTATTCTAATTACTCCTCCTAATATATCTATTTTTATATAATACTATAGTTCCAGGTTAGTAGGTAATAGAATTAGTACTTTTTTTATACTTTTCTTAACTTTCTTAAAAGTATCTTACTACTTAGTTTCCTATATAAATAGTTTATTATCTTATAGTAATTTTATTATTAGTTATATAATTTTAGTATATTAATAGAGATACCCCTTAATATATCTTATAATTCCTAAGAATCCTTTAACTTAAGTCTTATTAGTTAGTATAGGCTATTTAAAGATCTTATTAACTTTCTTTTATAGTATCTTTTATCTTATATAAAGATTATTCTAAGGTACTTAATCTCTATTATATTAAATATATACTTCTAGATGCTTATTATAAGTCCTACTTCTATTATTATCTATATAACTTTATATACATGCTTCTCATGCTCCTTAGGGTTTCTAGAGAAGATAATAATATTATTCAAGTAGATAATAATAGTTTTATTAAGATATTTCTATAGGATATATATTATAAATCTAGTAAACTTAGTAAGTAATTATATAAGTCCTATAGGTACTATAACCTATTTATATAATCTTAAATTTAGAAGAAATACTATTAGCTATTAATCTTCTTTCTTTAATAGGAGGTTATAGTAACCCTATTTAATATTAAAAATAGTTAATTACTTAGCTTCTTATAATAAGTCTCTCTTTTATTCTATATAAGGCGCCTAGTTT